AGGGTTCATAATCACAACCACAACCATCTTAATCCATCCACTCGATCCCGTTTTGAAACAGACGGAACTAAGGTCGTAATTTCGAATCTGAATAGGAACTACCTAGACAACCGCTTTATGTATTTTCTCTTCTTTTCTCGTCTATACAATACTATACTGTAGATACGTACCTAAAGGCAAGTAAAGTACATGTATAACTTCGTATGTAGCACTGATACTAAGAATCGTAAGAATAATTGAAACCTCAAAAGTAAGTGACATATGTGAACACCAAGCTAGAAGCTAGAAAATAACCGGTCTACTCGTTTTGTATTTATCGGTAGGTTTGAATGCGTCCCAACGGGATGGTGGTTACTATGTATGCACCGGGTCGAAAAGTTGGCAGGGTTGGGATGTGACAAGTGAGAGAGATCAACGTGACGGAACCCGGGAACCAGGTTTGTGGCCATGGATCCGGATTCATTAACCTGCAGCTGTTCCGCTGTCGTTGTCTCTCTTTTGTCCTCCCCGTAACGCAATTGGACCAGTCGCACACCACACACACCACACACATACCACACACACACCACGCACACCACGTTACGAACACAAGGCGCTTGGGCGGCGCACGGGATCGTTCTGTCACCACCCCAGCTTCTCGGGATTACGAAGATGGCCCTTGCTTCGATGGGGAAAGAGATCTGCAACCCTTGGCGAAACTGCAAACTTCAGATCGTGCCTATTTTACACTTGGGACCAACCGGATCGAAAATCTCAGCTGCCTAGACATTTTAAGAGCAACGCTACGATAAAACTAACAATAAGAGAGGGTAGGACCTCCATGTCAAGTCTCCAACTAAACCCACCAAGTGTCAGAAAATCTGCGTTTACTATTGCCTACTACCTACATGTATTTACGTATGCATGTGTAAGTGTGTAAGTATATGCGGTGAAAGTCCGCACATGTTGACGAGGAGGCTAGGTGGGGGGTACGTATAGGGTATAGGGTAGAGGGCAGAGGGCATCCATCCCTAGGTAGCGTTAGCATACATCAAGCGGTACCAATGATAGCTCTTACATGTCCCTAATAAATACCATTGTGGCGACGTTATATTTCTTCGGATAGTAAGCTTGCATTACATAGGTTAAGTTAGGTACTCATATATACACATATCAACCGTAACTTGATCAAAAGTCTACATGTAATGTTTTATACTAGGACAACTTGTATGAAGCTCGGTATAACAGGTAGGTATAAAGCATTTGTTGTCTTGTATGGTTCCGTTAGCGATAACGTCTAGTGCCTGTATGAACAATACGCTACTAAAGGCACCATTGCTACCCTCATTATTAACGTCTGGCGGGTAGATAACTGACTCGGATCCTCAACATCACGTTATCCATACCACAGCATATGATCACCCCTTAGAAATAGAGAGAAATAGAAGTCTTACTACGAAATACGACTTGTAAGGTTAATATTGCCTTCTCCAAACTGTGCTACAGGAAAGGCGAGCAACTTAGCGCGAGATTGACAGTTATTGAGGAGTGCATGGGGAACCAATCGCAACACATAAAGATATGGAGGTCATATCCACGGCTCGGCACCGATCTGTCTTGCAGCTTTGGACGATGCAGATCGTCCATGGACGGGGTACGGGGATTTTGCCAAAAGCATGCTAACCCGACGAGATTTGACAGCCGGCTAGAACAGCAGAGGGGATCATCGCGTACCCATCGGGGCGGATGCCACTAGGGTTACGCATACCGTCATGTATGTACAATACAGTACCTACACGCTATGCATTCCCGAATCGTCGTCGCGGCCGCCTAGCGGTAATCCACCTCAGTATGTATGCTACAGTAGGTATTGTGCGTTTCCGTTTTCCGTTTCCGCCACAATGTTATGACTCGATACCTCCTCGTAGCTAAATGTCAGAAGCCAACTACCAAGCCAGCGGAACGTGCCCCTAGGGCTTGTAGTTCTATGCAAGTCATCGCTGTCAAGGTTAAAGAATGGTTCTAGGAATTATCCGAGCTCTAAATAACAACAAATAAGAAGCTATTATAATATACAGGTAGCCTTTGGCGTCGTAGCATTGGCTCTATTGGTGCTCGGTGAAGGTAAATAGATACATTAACTAACTACATGTAAACGGCAGGTCGTTCAGGTTTCGGTCCATGACTCGCCTCAGGTTTGCTGGAAAATCCCGATTCGCCGGTTGCATAGCCTGATTGGTTTATGAATTTTGATCATCGCAGAACATCTAACCTAGAGAAATTCATATATCGATGCGCTTAACATCAAAGCTGGCTACTAAGGATAATTTCAGCTGCGTTGTCGGAGAATATAGCCTGAGGTCGATATATATACATCATTCTACGTGAGAAATCGGAGCATTGCACTGACAAGTCCGAGCTAATTATTTGTAATATTAAAGGTCCCCAATTTGTGTTTGGTAGCTAAAGTAAAAGTTCCAATGGCTCGAAGGTAGAATGGGGACTTAAAAAGGGGGGAATTATTAGGTACATACATGTAAAGAGGTTGCTGTGGTATCTATCAACCTTTAACTTTATCCGGTGTTTACTTATAAGTGCCTACCTGGTAATTATCAAAAGCTTAAGTAAAACAAATTGAGTTATCTTTCCAGGTTATTCATTTTAAAGTTTCGTCCCATGGTTTTCGATTGGACCCTTTTCATGATTAGTATGCTTCGAGTATACTTTGAAGTTATTGGCTTATCGGATTATGCTATTTTGAGGGGGGGGCAAGGGACATGGTAAGTCCTTGGTAAGCCCTTGGCAGATTTTCCAGATTTCTAGATTTATCAGATTGGCCCCCCCCGGCTTTTGAGATTTTGCCTAGAACCTATTAGATATGGCACAATATAATATACAGTGGTTATGTATGTCATGTGGATTTCATCTCATGAATATTGCACAAACTTGCACTAACATTTTATTGGTTATGTACACGATTCATTGCCCCTGGATTTTATCAAAGCTCACTTGTCAACTAAGACTTGAGAAGTCCCGCTGGCCCCCATGGGCAAAAGTAAAGAGCGGGTTTCCTAGTAAAAATGGGTCAATAAAGATGCATTTATGAATACATATAACGGGGTATTAATATATCGTTTCTAAGGAATAAGGAGTTGTTGATAAGCCTAAAGAAGAAGAGGGAAAAAAAGATGAATGTCACGCATGGCAATACCCATCTATTATTATGGCGTCCCAACAGGAACCAATTTAGTATATTACCTATGCATAAAATATTGAGTTTTCTTTTTCAAACGGCCAGTTTAATCTTCGTCAAGTTTGAATATCTTAATAACAGGTAACTAAAGGAAGAACAAAGTTAACTTTTTTTTACTGGCGGTATTTTCTCGGGTGCGCCTCTGCGTCATGCCGTAGGTATATACATACCTACATTATACATATAAAAGGTGGTCTGGATAGTCTAGATAGGCAGTCTGGAGGGACGCCCCATGTCATGGCGAACTGCAGGAACCTTCCTCTAGCTCGGTAAGATACAGACGGATATTTGGTAAACCACCACCATGACTCTCATGCTTTTTGTGGGATAGAGGTAATTATTTATTAGTCTTTGCTTCTCTAACCCAAGCCGTTTCGAGTCTCGACACGGCTTAGAAATTACCTATTTATTCGGTCGATTAGAGATAGGAACAATGCACTCTCATATTTTGACTAACAGGTAATGTAATATCTACCTGTTATGCTAATAACGGCTGTTTAAGAGGTAAGTATTTTAAGTTAATATTTAATTATACTTGCGAGAGTTTGGCACGTGCTAGATTTGGTAGACTACCATCATCCCCTTTTTGATAAATATTTAGATCCATCTCTCAAAACTTGCAAGGAGGGAATAATTCGATCCGGCCTTCCAAATGCATCGCATGTATGCAATGGTACGTGTCTAAAATCAACCCCGGTAGCCATCTTCCTTTTCATCGGGCAATTTCATCTGGCACCAAAGCAATAACCGTCACGGTCCGGGGTTCGACCCCTGTCCTGCATGTACATCAATACTACTACTAACGCTGACCATTCCCTACTGTGGTTGTGTCACTTATTCCCCCTACATCCAGTACTCTAGTATTCTAGTATTCTAGTACCTATTCTAGTACTCCATCGCTATTGAGCCAAGCCTGTCGTCAACCTACAGCGTAGGCAAGTCTGACTAGCCAGACCCTTTAAGCCATGTGCGCTTTTGGTGACCCAGTAACCAACCTTACATACTACTACTACTACTACTACTACCACTACTTACATACTAGGTACTTGCCTGCATAATACTTGCCTACATAATACTTACATACCCTATCGTACATACCTCCATGTAAGCCTTAGGAGACGTACCATCCCAAAGGCTAGCTTGTCAGTCTTCACTTCATTGCCCGCAGAGCGTCGCAGTATGTATTAGTAGAGTGGCCATCTGTGGGGAGGTGGGTACAGACTAGTCTGCGGCTATGGTCTTCTTCTTCTTCTTCATACCCTTGATCGTTGTCTTAGCATCTACTGATGTATGTCATCCTTGTCCATGGCTCGCATCCTGGGCTTGTTACGGGTTAGTCAGTTCATCGATACAGACCCCCATACCTCTCCACACCTTCAAAGAACCTCGCATCTTTAACATACATAGAGAATATTTCCGCCTCCTTACTGGTGATATGTTTTCTTCATCTTTTATTTGGCCTTCTTATTAGATTTATAAGTATCTTCTACACAAAAATTTCCTCAACTATCCACCGCAGCGACTGATTACTTGTACCAATTGGACTAAATCATAGATTTATTATTTACTCTTTGTGTCCTATTTGAATATCGTTAAGCCTTATCGTATCTGGGTCGGGATAGACAAATCGCCACACGAAGGAAAGAAGAAGAGAGTATGTAAGAAAGGACCTGCCGCCTAGCTGTAATTCTTGTTAAGCTAACAATAATAATAGGTTTTAAGATTGAGGTGTATATATGCAGTCATTTTATTTACGACTATGTCTACTATGACAATCCATTCGCCGTATCATTCTGGCCTTTCTCCGGACTATCCTCAACAGTTTTCTAGGGAAGGAGGAAAAGTTTCCCTACCGTCAATTCGACAGGTATAATCTACCGCGTCTAATTAGAGATTATTACTGACCGACTATTAGGCTTTCCCTGAATTTGAACAACAAAAACAAAACTTCGTGGTTACGACACCATATCCCGTAACTAGTCCTTCTAGAGTGTCTTTCACTGGAGAAATAGCGCCCCCAGAATATATACATTCGCCAGCCTATCACAAGAGACACTTTGAGAGTGGGAGGGACGTTGGGAGAACAACGTCGGTTCCAAGGCTATTAACCAGTTCGAACAGAAGCCCTTATCGCTCTGTTTCACCACCCCTTGATTCTAGGACGGATATAGGAGCATGGGGCAAATCAACCCAAGCTGGTTATCCATCTAGCGATGGCACTCTCCAACAATATGTCACAAAGCCAGGACATCATGAACAAGCAGAGCATCAAACGGCTTTATCGAAATTATCCACGCTAAATCTCGCTCGAGATAGAACTGAACCGTTCCCAAGCCTGCCGAGCGACGACTATATCCGAGAAGCTCAGAGAAGAACGAGAACTCCAGAAGACGTGAGCACTAACGCCTACGGTTTGGAGATAAGGCCAGCTTCATACCGACCTACCAATTACCACTACGGTTACCATCATCCCAATCGAGTGCAATCCCTTTCTGTAGGGTCGGCCCATCTCTTCGATAGGCCACCGCTATATTCTCCAGTAAACTCGCCTGCCACGTATGGCCACCAATCACATAATAGCTACATGCCCGTCCGCGAACTCGGCGTTGGGGGAAACTACGAAGGCAAGCAGCGAAAACGTCGCGGGAATCTACCAAAAGAGACAACAGATAAACTCCGTGCTTGGTTTCACTCCCACCTATCGCACCCCTACCCAACAGAGGAGGAAAAGCAACAACTAATGAAACAAACCGGATTACAATTAAGTAAGTTAGTTCAGTGAAACGTTGAATCCCCAACTCTTGACAAAATCTGCTGCCTCATAGAGAGACGGTTAGTTATTAGGCTCGACTTTATATTAACCAAACATTTTTTAACAGATCAAATATCGAACTGGTTTATCAACGCGAGACGGCGGCAACTACCTAATATGATTAACAACGCCCGTGCCGAGGCTGGCGCTATGACTGTGCGCAACGCGGAGAACGGTTTAATACCTTCGACCGAAAGGGCCGATTACGACACGGACGGCAGACCTCTAAGTGATGAAGAGGCCGGTGCAACTCGTGACGTTGAATTAGAGACTATTAAACGGCGCAGAGTCACTAGCAACAAACGGGGTAGTATATGAGGTGTCCGTGCTTCTTTTACGAGGGGGGGTCATATTTATTGTATTATTACTACCTAACTATCTTCACGACGGTATGGGTTTTACCAACACACTATTCTTTAATCAAGGCCGGCCTTGATCTCGCGGGCGTTTTAACCCCCACGAGCCGGTCCCCGACAAATACTTGTTTTAACAGCATTCTTTGTATAGGTTAGGTAGGCAATTCGAATATTGGGCATGGCTTTAGGGTACGGGGATGAAAATAATAGGCGTCTTTGGGGGCGGGGGGGAGGGCATTAGATTAAGAGCAATGACGATTCCAATGTTACAAAATAAAGGGGCAAAGCTGTATATTACCGTGGATCCGATTAGGAAGTTCTAATCATGGAAGCGAAGGATACGTGGAAGTATAGCGCTGTACGTGTAAATTTAGCCTTAAGTCGAAAGTGCACTATCCGGATGATAGAAATACGTCAAATTCCTTAATATCGTTTACCGGGCCAAAAGTAAAAAGTAATAATGCATCTTAGTTTTACGGATCGTTTCCGAACCAAGAAGCAAGGTGAAAAAAGCCATGGATCCAACCATAAGCCGGGACCCGTTCCGAGTGTTATAGGAGATCTACTTTGGTGACCAAGATAGATGCAGGAGCTCCCGCATTGGCCTTTCAGAAAAGAAAATATATTGTTCTTGCATACCGCCCTTCCGATCGATAGATTAAATGCAGATGCCCGTGGGCGTGGGAGGATGCTTCTCTCGAAATCCGTTGGCTACCAAACTCATCGTGACGGCCACCTAATCTCGCCGCATCGCACAGTTTCATCAGTTAACCCAGATTATCACTTAGCGGCAGGCATATTTCCATGATGGATTCGGATGACGACAGACGTTGCAGAACAGCTGACGTACGTTCGGTGCTTTGCTCAGACCAAAAAAAAGGCTGTGAACCCGAAAAATGGGCTCACTTCTTCTTCTGTTATGTATAAGCAGACGTCGTGCTATTAGGTACCTAACCTACCTACCTTACCTACCTTACCTACCTTACCTATCTGTTCATCTTGCCGGTCCAAGTCATGCAGTGACCAAAGTACCACTGGGTTGGTAGCCAGAGGATTGCCCGCTTCCTGAGCTGGGAGACAAGAGCAAATACCCGTTTGACGAGATAGAGTGACGGGATCTAATCTATTCTAGGCGAATATGACAGATGCATTCATTCTCCATACTACTACTTTAGAACAATTGGTATCCACCCCATTCATGGAGCTTCTGGCCAGATCCGTTTTCCAATATTGCCGCCGTGAGCCCCCGTCTCGATGCTCATTGCTCAGTCATCAACTTACGGAGGTTGCCGTCTACGTAGTGGCACCTATCTAGTTAATTTATCATGGGTGGGCAAAACTAGTGTACGTTAGTATGACATCTCAAGTGTCTTAGTTTGGGATAGTGTCACCCCTCTCTCTCGCCTTCGTCCATTATTTAATATGTAGGTTAGGTAGACAGTAGACATACACGGTGATATGGTAAAGTTACGCCAGGACGTATCTAACATATCATATCTCGCCCATATGTAGCTCGGATGAAGAAAAAACTTTTATTTTTTATTTTTATTTTTACACACGAACTCTTTATTCCCCAACTCGCCTACCCGAATATAGCAGCCGCAGCACGGATCTCCGGCCGGTCCACTTCGCTTGAGTTGAGACATCATGGCCCTCTCTTCGGACAAAAAAAAATAAAGTCAATGTCTCTTCACCTTTTTTGGGGAGGGGGCAAACGAATCCCCTCTTTTAGTTAATGTCTCAAAGCTTTCCGATGGGTCTTAGATATTGATGATGACATCTGAAACATCTCACTTGAGCCGCGCTGGAGAAAAGACGGTTATATGTAACGGTTATAATGTCTTGTCGCCGTACCCCTGACAGCATTCGCCTACCTAGTCCCAGTTACAATATCTATCGAGTAAGTTACTCGTTTCTCAACCATGTACAATGCAGGTGCCATATATTAGATATGCCAATAGATCCCCTCACTGCTTAGCTGCTGCTTATATTCGCAGTAACGAGGTAGCTAAGGTTTCAACAAGGGGGTCCTGATACTTACCTAGTGATCACTTTTGACAGATTTGCCCACGTCGCTTTCCGGACGAGTAGGGTGACCAGGCGCTTAAATTGCTGGCTTGAACTGTTCTATATTGTACCCTACATAACATGAGACGGGTAAGGAATCTACATATGTAGGTAGCTTTCGCTAGATTACCTAAATGTACCGACCAGCAGGAAAGTTTGTCGTGTTTCTAGGGGTTCAACCCACCAAAGTCTTATCAGACATGCTTGCCAGCTCATGGGTTGCCATGCTTCATAAACTCAATGACATCCAATTCTATTATCGCTCACTGGTAACAAAAAATCGCTGTAATATGGCGTGCTTCTCATATGTATATTGCGGCAAGACTTACATGAATACATCTGTCTCTTAGGCTGTTTTGTTTTCGTTAGTTTTTGTTATCGTATCACACCCATAATATATTAACCTCCAGCCATACAGCAAGTATACGTGGGGGTTGTTAGAATCCTAGGTACATCATTGAGGATGTATTTTTTATTCTTCTTTCTATATCCTTACACACCTTGCTGCATCATCACACATTTATTATATTTAGGCATGCCGTGTCCTATATCCTAAGAGTAAAATGCCTAGCTCGTAACCCTCATCAATCATGTATTTCGGAAGATGGTGTGGTATATCTACCGAGTTTTCTTTCAACCCCTCGGCATCGTGCCGTATGAATCAGTATGGAAGCACTCCAATAAGCTTATTTTTGTTAAAGTAGGGACTAAATTACCCGGTCACAAGAGAGTTGTTGGCCGACGTTACTAGCCTAACTACCAAATATCCGTTTGACATTCGTCTGTATCTCGGTTTCTATCCTTGTCTCCATCTAGACTTTCTCAAGTTTCAACGGTGCTAGCGTACCTAGTTATTTTCTTTTTCGTAGGTTCAAGGACGACCCGAGTATTTGGGACAGAGGCCGTCCCGTCAACAAACGGGTCGCCAAATACGGTATGAGTTTCATCAAAAATTTAAAGTCATGACTCGGAGACATCCGGCCATATAAGACGGGACGTACCCCGGAGCGAATAATAGGTTGTCAACAGGAAGTCTAATGTATCCTAGTCTCTATCCTACATTAGCTTGCGCTTCTATGCCGAGGCCTTCGGGGTTCCTACCGCACATCTGGGCCTCCGGAGCCATTTAGACTTGAGGATGTACCTACGATGGTGATGGAGCCAAGTGCCTATCATAGGCTAAGGTGAGGGCCGCCTCACTGCTAGAATAGCTTGGTTGGCCTAGACACCGGCTCCTCTTCTTGTTTACCAAAGTTCCCAACCAATGCCGACTTTGATCTAAAAGGATCTGCGCTTGTCACTCCGTCAGTGGAGCTATATCCATTCTTACTAGTAGCGGATCTGTCGTCTACCGACAACTAGGAACCTATAGTCTGTATTAGCCGGCATGGTTTAGCACTGTACGGGCTATCTGCATGCACGTATGCCAAATCAGCTTCAGCTGTCGTGCGCACTTGACAGTTTAGACGCTTTTTGGATCCACAGGGACTACAAATCCCTGAGTTGCTTAGGCGTCCCCAGCTAGTAGTACTGAATATTTACCTTTGACGCCGAGTACTCCACAGCGTTCCCTTATTACATCACAGTATTGCAAGACTGAGTAACAGACAGGCATACTTACGTATTAACTTACAGGATACGTACGTGAACATGCATCCTCTGTGGCGACGTGGGCTCTAAGCTCGTGCCGGGTACGTACAATATAGAATGTGTGGATATCATGCCATATGCCATGATCCATGGATACATGGACACGTAGCTTATGTGACAGGTCGTTTACTATGCTTGCTGATTTGTGTGTTTCAGGAATCGTACGCATGCAAGCAAGTGGCTATGTGCTAGGAACGCTTTGCTCCTTTAATGAAATGTTTCTGAGTATACTCATACAATAGAGCATGACTTGAGAAAATGGTAGCGGTCAAGCTGAGTAAGTCAAACTGCTGGCCAGACCTCAAGCTAACTACCTAATATTAGAAGAGAAAGTAAAAAGTAAAAAGATGTAGGGAAAAAATATGAGTCCTGATAATAATATAACAATATCTTTGCTTCCGTCTCACCGGTAGCGTTTTTATACCTGGTTATTTTCGTATACGTATAGGCGAATATCAAGTAAGAGAACAAATTTGGCGACAATAGTTCCCATTATAAATTCCGTAAACAGTATACTCATGCAACAAAACAAATATATGTGATAAACGATATATTATACGGGTCTTTTAAAGTATCTCGAGTCAAGATGCGATTTAGCTAAGAATGAAGAAATATGCCCGAGTTTACGAGGGATATTGTCTTAGGGTCTGGTTTACGAAGTAGGAAGTTCGTCTGTGCGCGAATTTTAGGCATTTTTATTGGGTGCATCCCTAAAATAAGTGGAATTTTCCAAAGTCCCCACTTTCATCTTTTTCTTAAAATACGTATCTTTTTGCTTCCGAATCCCTGGGTGCCGAGCCCTTCTTTTGGGTGCCGAGTCTTTCTTTTGGGTGGGTGAGGGTATCGAGGTCAGGGTGCCGAGCCCTCCTTTTGGGTGGATGAGGGTATTGAGGGTGAGGGTATTGAGGGTGAGGGTTTCGAGGGTGTTATAGGTAAGGGCTTCGGGCCCTTTTCCTGGGTGACAAGTTCATCTTTTGGGTGCCGAGCCGTGGGTGAGGGTATCAAGGATGAGGGTATCGAGGGTGAAGGTATTAAGGGTGAGTATATCGAGGTCAGGGTGCCGAGCCCTTTTCTTAGGTGCCGAGTCCTCTTTCAAAATATTCAAAATATTTAATTATATAACTTCTGTAAACTCGGGCTATTGTGGCACTCTGGGGTGCCCTCCAGTGTAACTACCTAAATTAGTGTAACTAATTGAGTAAGATAGCAATTGATTACATGGGTATTAGACATTACCTTACGGAAGATGAGTCTTATGTAAGCTTAAGTGAGGTTGTTTAATTCCGTTCTTACGCAGCATGAGGGCACGGAGCTATCGGGATTGAAGCTTATCGGGTTTCGGAGAAACTTTGACATCCGGCCCATCTTTCGGGTCTGACGAAAGAGCACGGATGCCTTGTTACCTTAACCCCCTTTTTTAGGTGGATGCCTATTCGGATGCTTATTCGGATGCCTGGTCGTTCAACCTTATTTATCACGTTTAATAGAGACGTACGTATCTAGGTATATTAGGTACACAAAGAATTAAATGCGAAAAGACTAAAGTTGGATTTTTATTTTATTTTAAATGAGTTAATCGTATCGATATGATGGCCGGGGATGAACCCTCCGTTGAAACGGCTCAGCCCGGAGAAATTTTGGTGATTATCATTCTTTCATCCCCTGTTCGAAGGCGTTAGATACTTATGCTAATACTATAAACTACCTACCTAGTCATGCGTGTCATGCAGGTACTGTTGGTTGACAGCCGCCACATTTCAGCCTTGTAACTCATATCATTCTCATGTAGAAACCGAAAACTCAAATGTGATCGCACAAAACCTCGCTGTAATCGCTGTGAGAAAGCTAAGCTTGAATGCATCTTCCCTGAAGCCCGAAGAAAACCGGCCTTCAAGCGGAGGAATGTAAAAGAACTCGAGGCTCGCCTGGGTAACTATGATCTGGGATGTCCCTTAAAGACGTAATACTTGGACTAACATGTACGCATAGCTCAAGTTGAAGTGCTTCTAAAGGAAACAAATCACAATCGGTCGCAGCGTGATGAGACTACGCAACCAGTTAACTCACCGTCCGTTAATTTGCCAGGGGCCGAGGATGTTCTCTTTCAGGGGTTTGATTTCACGAACCCCATCCCCTCCTTGGACGATGACACTGCATTCTCATTTCAACAGGACCCAGCGGCTACGTTCTCGACTGGTAACTTAGATAATCAAGACCAAGATAGTACCCCCTTTATAGGCGACCTTATAGACCTCGGTGGGATATTCGAAAGTTTACCCCCTTTTGAGATGATGGAAGACTTGTGAGTTATCCTTGCTTGGAGAAACCAATAGCTGGTCGCTCATGGTAATAGAAACCGGCTCTTCTTTCTGCGTCAGGGACACATAATTCCCATAATCCACCCCTCCCGCTATCTACAGGCTTTTTATTCTGCACCGCACATGAAGCCGCCTATGTGTCTCCAATACGCAGTGTGGGCACTTGCTGCGCATGGTCATCCCAAATATGGAGCCTACCATGATATATTTTATCGCCGCGCTCGACAGTACGCCGAGTTAGATGAGTTAAAAGTAAGCTACTCTATCCTCAAAACAATCTCCATACTCGTACTTATTGCAGGAAGGGTCACGGTGAACATTTCATTACAATTGCCCATGCCCAGGCGTGGTGCGTGATAGCCACATACGAGGCCAAATCTATGTTGTTTACCCGAGCAGCCATGAGCGGTTCTAGAGGGGTTCGCCTCGTCCAAATGATGGGCCTTCATCGACTCGACGGTAGCGCGGAAGAGATATGCCCAACCTTATTACCCCCAAGAGACTGGATCGAGCTAGAAGAACGGCGAAGAGTTTTTTGGGGAATTTTTTGCATCGACAGCCATTGTTCCATTTCAACTGGCTGGCCATTTCTTATCGATTCCTCTGATGTAAGAAAAAGAACCAGTCAAACTAGAATTGTAACTGATGCACATCCTAGATTACAACTCTACTCCCTGCTGTAAGTCAATACACCATCCTCATAAAGTCCCGGGTACAGTTCAACTTCTCGAAAACTTGAGCTGCCTGAAGCCGTTCATAAAACTTTAAACCCCCTTGCCGCTGTTCTCTGTTCATATACTATTTTACTAACTAGAGGCTTTGTAGCCGGAATCTGCATTTTTAAGCGGCAAGAAGGTAGAAACATGTAATATTCAAAACGCCCTTAAGGGGCAGACGTATTCTTCCTTTGCAGGAGCTATCTTAGTTTGTCACATGTCAGAGCCACATCACCTCGAGTATCTACGGTCTGCTAATAATAATATTAAGATTCAATCAAATCCTCAAGCACGTCCACAGACCGAAACCTACAGATAATCCCGATAACTATGAATATGGCGAATATTGGCAACGCCATCGTGAGCTTGATAACACACTCTCAGGCGCGTTTATGTATCTCCCAGGGTCTTTCCGATTACCAGATAACTATCGTGACCCGATCGCTGTACACACAAATCTTAACTTACATGCATCAATTATATGCTTGCACCACGCCGCAATCGAGACGATAGAGACCTATAAGTTACCAGAGAGTGCTAAGAAAATCTGCCACGATCGCTTGAGCACTGCTGCGCAGGAAATTGTCAACATTATGAAATTGACTAGCCATGTGAATTCAGGACCGGTAAATAATGCATCAAATCGATGAGATGTGCCTAACTATTACTAATACCACGATAGAAGAGTCCACTGGCTGCGTTATCGCTGTATTGTGCAGCCTCGGTCTATGTCTATTTATGCCAAGAAACACAGACGCCCACCAATATTGAAAACCTCGACTTTATCATCGCAGCTATGCAGGCTTTTGGGAAGAACCATTCCATCACCCGGGCTTTCCTTCGCCAAGTAGTAATTGATATAGAGAGGAATGGAGTTGGAAACATTGTGCGACTGTCTCGTCTCGATAACCTTGGACCCGATTACAGGAATCAAATCTCGCAAAATATACCTCTACTCGCTCGGTCCAAGATATCACGTCATTCTCAAGTTCAACCACCACTGCCGGGCCGTCTACCGCTCGGGAAGCCTATGGGAAAAGTTATTGTTGAGGAGTCTATGGATTGCGAGCATGGGACTTGGATCACGGACGACAACGAATTGTCTTCGTTCGAAGCTCAGTCTTCTAACTACATAAGACGCAGTAAACGAAAACGGACTACTCAATCGTGCGGTGCCAGCACTATAGATAGCTATTCCGAAAACCACGATTCGCCCTGGGCTGCAAACATTCCAGACCGGGTATCAACCAATCCCTCAACACACCCCTCCCCCGAAGACCCCATGTCTGCCGGCACGCCGTCACACCCCGCCCTTAGTGCCGCGGGCTACGGCGTAGCTTTCCCGGGGCAGGGATTAGATCTACCGCATCGTACGGACTCGCCCCGTGTGAACGTAACTTCCCATCCGACAACACCACAAAGCAGCAACCGCCCACCGTCCACAGTCGACCGCTGGAACCTGCCCGGCATCTACATGGACGCATATAACCACCAGATCCCCACGGACATGCCCGCCCCATGTCTTTCGTCCGATAACGATGACAACATACCATGGTTCCTCACGAGCGAAAACGTCAGCGTGGATTGGGGCGGGGTCAACTTGAATACAGATATCGGCGAGACGTCAGGGGCGGCGGAGCGGAGAGGGAATGGGTCTTAGTTCTCGCTGGGTGAAAGATGAGAATTAAAAAAATTTGTAAGAGAAGAGATGCCGTGTTATATCTAGAGCGGGCGGACTGCGAGGATCACGTACTAGCGCTGCGATATGGATATCCCCCTTGGCTTATCGAGTGTGTTATACTGTATATTAGGTACCCCTATATAGACCCTATATTTATTTGCCTAGTTAGTTATATATTTAATCTAAGGTTTAAATTTCAATATATAGTATCCTAATAATCAACTTAATAATGTCACCACTATTCTAGCAATTACATCAAAGCGGTTTTATGTGGCAGAACGTCACATAGAAAACATGGCGAAAGCGAGACGTTTCGAGACGTTTATTATCATGTATAACACACTAGACATCAGATGATAATAGACCCCTACCAGCAGCATTCAAAGCAAAACCTGCCCCGCCTGCCCTACGAAACGAACTAAAAGCCCCCCGGAACAAGTTTGAGGGATATGAAAAGACAAGGAGCCAAGCACACACGTCGAGATACGGAACGGGATACGGAGGACCTGAAGGATCGTACGGCAATACGAATTAAAATACCGGCCAGGGATCGTGGTGGTGATAGATTAGAGAATACAGTAACTAGAGTTACCATGAAGTCAAGGGCACGATGAGTGAGTTTGCTGTTATTGCTACTGATTTTTTATTTACAAACTATTAAAGATACTGGCCTCATGTGTTCTGTGAAGCCCATATGAATGGTGTGGTATAATATACATGCGTGCATATATGCCAAATTCCTAATTGGCGATTCCTATTCGCCTTCATTTTAATACCCGTGTTCAATCTTCTTTTAGATCGGCATACTTAACAAGTAACCTAGATGCTCACCCTATACACTTGTATAACACCTCACGTACGCCGGTCCCAAAATACGAGCAGTTACGTCTTCTGGTCTGCTTTGTTTTTACATTATCTTCTTCATGTCGCCTATTTCTTGCTTCATGCCCTCACGTCGGTGCCGTCAGCACCGGCATCACAGGCTCAAAGCTCCAATCGAAGTCATCCATGAATGTCCAATCTATATTCTGCAGGGCATCGGCGCTTCCTGCCATAGTAGCCGGCGTTTCACAGCCGTTCGTACCACCAGTAGCACCCGGTGCTGGAGTAGTACCAGAAGTGCCAGAGGCACCAGATGGCTGGCACTTGCAGCGGAGGGCGTTATGGCGCTGATCACTTTTCCAGCGGGTCATGCAGTCGAAAGTTACGCTGGCACTGAGGCGGTGCGAGAACGCCGACACGGGCTCCTCGCTCCACTGTAGTTGTGGGTATTGTTGCGGTTGCGGTTGAGTGGCGGCGGGGTCCCCATGCGCCAGCAGCCAGTCAGACCAGGACTCGAGGAGGTTTCCTAGGCGCATAGGCAAGTCGGATTCCATAATACTAGCACGCCGGGCCGCAGTGATGATGTCGGCTGCCGACCGCTCGGCGGCTTTACGGTCGATGAATGACATATATGATGACCGTAGAACTCGGTATACGATGCATCCTGCAGCCGCGAGCGCCCGGAGATGGAAGTGTGGTATATGCCGTAAGAACTGCACTTTATTGTCTAGTTCGAGGGACTCGTGGATCACAACCTGTGCTGTATTATATGTTCGTAGTATATTGCGTTTTAATGCGTCCGGGTTGTAGCCCGGAAGCGGCATCATATAGTACGTTTGTATTTCTAGCTGTACTAGCAACGCGTTGAATCGATCGAGGTCGCCTATATACAGTTAATTTCTAGAATATAATGATATAGTTGTGTCCTACGCGCACTCTTGGGACTTTGTTGGAGATGAGATACATACCTGCGCGTTCAGAGCATATAAGTCCTCTTACGGCGTTCCACTCGTCTTCGAGCAGCTGAACCAGCTTTGCCGAAACCCCTCGTGCATCTTCTAGGCTGACCGACATAGTTTTACTAACATGATTACAGAATTTCTGGCATTCGAGGAGAATACGAAAGTTGGAAGGAACTTGAAACGGTATCCTGCCATCGATGACATTCTGAATGGTCTGATTGAATAGGCAGCCTAGAGGCGGGAGACCTAAGAATGAAGACACCCTTTGAGAGACTATATTATATCCAGCCCACGTAAACGAGGCTTCTTCGTCTGTGAAGTTGTTCTGGAAGACGCCATGGCTATATTCCGGATGAGCCCCTTTCCCACAATGAATTCCCAGTTGAGCAGTTGCACTCATGCAAATGCTCGAAAATAGTGCGCACGGATCGTTCACGAACCGTACCTCTGGGAAGATCCAGGTGCAAAGCAAGATGAGGGCATTTATTGAAGGTAAGGGGAGGGGCGGATTAGCAATGGCTGAATATGCATCCCGCTTAATAGAATCTATCATGAAGGGAAATATGGTTGAGTTTTTAGCGTAGCGGCGTGTCGCTATGTAGATGATAGTCCAAAAAAGCAACGGACTAGTATCGTAGCATTTATTTGGGTCCTTGTGCCGTACGACTGGCATGTAGGGATGGTAATGTTCAAAATATCTAGGTATCATGTATTAGAGATACACACTTTTTTTTTTACGATCCGTGGTGGCAATGTACTCACTTTTGAAAATAATATTCAACATCTTCACCAGAAAATGGCTGTGATCCAAGAGCTCTAGGAAGTATGGGCTCAGCGGCCGGGCCCTGTATGAGCGGTATACTGGTGGGAGTATGTATTACTGAGGAGGGAGCAATTGTGGTGCTAATTGTTGTAGCTACTATAGCAGGGGCTCTGCCTTCTACGTCTGCAGAGACGCTTATTGGTGATGGAACTCCTAAGCGTGGTGGAACCGACTCTTTAAGAGGTGTGAGGACCTCATTCTGCGGAGAGAATCCTGTCGTTTGGCTTGGCAGCGAAGTTGATTGTCCACTAACACTCTGCTTGATAGATTGTATTTCCTGGACTAGCTCGTCTAACTTACTATTGTTCTATTTAGTAAGCCGATATGGAATAAGGAGAATATGGTTACCTTTTTCGGCTCACTCTCTTATGAGTCTTATCTACGACACACGTCAAGTGAAGCTTGGCACAGCGCTGGCACGGTTGAGCTGGGTTATGGCTGGGGTTGCAGCGGACCTATGAGAAAGATTAACATACCTAAAAAGTTCAAGTCAAGCAAGGGCTAGGACATACCTTCGCATCTCGGCAGCTGGTGCAAGCCGTATTTCGCTTTATTCGACTAGACATCGCATGAAGCGGCTGTGTTTCTTCATTGGTTTCCGGCATTGGCGCGGATGTTTTTACGGCTCCGGTAACACTATGTCACATCTACCGGGCCCGAAAAATTATTAAAATGGCGTCGCTGTCGGACGAGAAAGATCAATGAGGCCACAAGATAGATAGCCGACCGGCTACAGGTTTATACATAAAGAATCCGAAAGACGGATATAAGAGGGCTTAAGATTTAACGCCAATCCACGCTTCGGCAACAATTCGGTGCCGATCCTTGCCATTATTTATAGATGTATCCACCTAATCATCCGTTCTTTCTACACATAACTAGTACGAGAGTACCTACCTCTTATATTATACCTACATGTACCTACCTACATTAGGTATCTAGGCACCTTCCAGTCTTTCTTCTTACATCTTGTCAGCTACATACATCATATTGGAAAGTACCTACTTGAATCTCATATCTTAAGATGACCCATATAAATGAGCTTTAAGTTCATCATAAGGTAATCAATTAAACTGAAAGAGGGAAAATGTCTCCTCTACTCCCATTTTCTTTCCGCGATTCCTACCCACATTCCCCATCCTAGAATCTTCCCTACGATAGCCTTGCCGATCTGCTCTCTCGTCGTTGTCGCAGTTAACAAGCTAGGATCTAGCGGTTCTTTTAATGCTATGATCTCGAAGAAATCTACGAGAAGTTAGTCTTGAAGTTACGTCTAAGAGGTATTTAGATGAGCGGAATGAGAACCCCGGAACCTTACATCTATGTGGTCCGTGATTTAATAGTGGCCGAGGCGCGATGTAAACGCTGCCGTTTCTCGACCGTCCATAATGGAACCCGCCTTTGAGAAGCGCATTGCTAGGATCTTCTACTTCGAAGTCGGCGGGTTCAACACTTGTCTTCGTAGGTGGGATGCCTCCGTAGATGCTGTTATAATTCAGTCTTAGTTTCCTGCTAAGACCATATAGATTTACTTAAACACTCACCCGTGGCAGATAGGCGTTGGCAAAGGCGCATCTGGATCCTCCGAAACTAGTAACCACTCTTTCACTTGGTCTGCAATATGCGAAGGCGCCTCCCACCGCAAAGCAGGGAACTTGCCTATTCCGTCGTGCGTATACTCGACACCGAGCACCGAGTTAGTGGGGCCGCATTCCGGCGCTGTAACGGTGATCTCCTGCTTCTCCTGAAAGTCGGAGAAGGCAGGTCCCTTGAAGAAGCTTTTCGCATCGTGGCCCTTTGCGTTCTTAAAAAGCCATGACAATGAGACTTCAATGAGGGCTGTCATTTCACCTAATTTGTACTTTGTGCTTGTGTAACTGCACGGTGTTATATCTTGGCACGGACCGAATTTAGGCGATGGTATTATTCGTCCTAAAACCTATGGGGATCAACCTTGTTTGTTTTTTTTGTTTTTTTTTTTAGAAAATAAAAAATAAATAAATACTGATTACAAGGTTAGTGAGATATATACCTGCATTCTAGTAGTTAGAGGCTGACAAAATGCGCCAGACATTAGTAGGTAGAAGAAGCTTCATTTTATACATAGAAGACTGAGGATTGAACCCCCCGACTAGCTGGATTTCGGAGCCGATGACGCTTATGGTATGTCATTCCAACGCCAAGCAATATTATCAACAAACATCACCCCTGAAAAAAACAAGGCTTCCATACATAAGCATCTCTAAATTGGTGGTTCCTGCATTCGATCAACCGGATAATTACCTTATATCAATACAGCCAACACTTCCGACCATGGCAGGGGTGCTTTTAAACATCGACTGGCGGTCGTTATTAGGCAGAGATGCCTCCCCCGCGACCGAACCTGAGCTTGAGCCCGTGTTCGAGCCCGTGTTTGAGCCTGTGGAAGAACCCGCGTTGGAACCTGTGTTAGAGGAGCCCGTGTCCGTGCCTACGCCCGAAATCGCCACACCCGAGATTATCGCGCCTGAGGTTGAGGTAAACTTCGAGCCTTTACATCCGTACCATCCCTTGGGTGTGACTATCCCGGGTTACGCGTCTAATGAAGCATCTGTTCCTGTGCTGTTAGCGTCACTGAGTGGCATGGTAGTATTTGCACTCTTAGGGGCTTCCGCGATAGCATTAAGGGTAAACCCAAAATTGACAAAAACCAATTTGATTCGGTTTTGCTGGTTTATTCTGAGTAAGTTGCTTACTGAACCCACGCTCTTGTGTTTAACCGGGTCTCTTGTTTACTGACTTGACTGGAATTTATAGATGGTTGTTTGCACTGCTTTTTTGAAGGTGAGTTTATTACTTTACGTCACTGCACAACGATCTGGTCTCAGTCTATATGCAAACGATAGAAAGAATCCGCGTGCACAACACGATTTTTATATTTTAAGGATCATTTAACTAAGTCTATCTTTACAAGGATATTTCGTCTTCAATCACGCTACCGTTGCGTCGTCACAAAATGTATTCGCCCAGCTATGGAAGGAGTACGCGCTGTCGGACTCACGTTACCTAACGTCCGATTTCTTCATTCTGAGTATTGAGAGTCTTACGATGGTGAGTAGCAACCCAAGCTAGCCTGACCGGGCTTCGGCGTACAAACGTTATGGTATGAAAATGAATGCTCATTATAGGTGACAGTTTATCCTGGGACCTCTCTGCTTCGCCAACGCCGTTGCTATCGTCCGAGGGAGCCCCACTCGACATGCGCTTCGCATTGTCGCGTGTATAGCACACTTATACGGCGTAGCTTTATATTACGTTACAAGCCTCTCCGAGATTTACTTCACGGGCCGTTCCCACAGCCGGCCCGAGGCCTTATACTTTTGGGTTTACTTCGTTGGGTTTAACTTACCATGGGCCATCATCCCGGCAGGTCAGTTCTCAAACCAAAGGCTTCTTTATGAGTCAAATTAAACGTCATGGCTAACCCTATTCGTCAGTTCTCTTATATGATAGCGTTAGAACTATAACTGCGGCGATAGGAGCCTTGGAAAAGGTAGATGTCACTCTAAATGCTTATCATCGTAGACAGGGCGGGGTAAACGGCGTTTCCGAGCCTAAAAAGACGAGGTGAATTGGGTAGTAATTGGGTTAAAAGTGACCAACGAATCGTTTTATAAAGTACCGAGCCTCAGCGTGTAAATTGCTACGTTCTTATAAGGTTTTTTTTTGGGCGGATTTTATGTAGTTTAATGTACTTCTCGTCCAACAAATTAGCATAAAATTAAACCAAATAGATGTGATTGAGTTTTGTTTATGAATATTGATATAGTATGTTGGCGTTTAACTGCGCTAGCCTACTCCAGTTCTAAGGTGCTTCATTGTAGTGAGCTGGGACGTCATGAATACTGTTACTGGATCCCCGTAGTCAATGCTGTGGGTGGATAGAAAATGAGGCAGAAGAAAGAGTACCAAAGTATCACTTCTTATACCCTAGGTAGGTATTCCGATCATCAATAGCTAGATGAGCAACATGCAGAAATCCCCAACGTTGCGTCGCACACTAAACTATTACTATATGCACTAGGAAGGTAGGGCTCCAAGATTATAAATCGCTGAAAGCCGGGGTGCGTAATTTTCTCTCACGATTCTCTTCTTTTATTCATAAAAAAAAAAAAGAAGAAATCTCTTTCAGAATGAATCTCTATTAGTAGTAATAATTTCTTTCGCCATAGTATAAGTTCGTGGGTTGGTATCATCGCGTAATATACATCTCATCTCACGTATTTGTTCATAAACCGCTTGTGGAAATCGGACCGCAGGAGATCCTATATACAATGTCAGTTATCAGCAACGAAATGAAACAAGTTTTTAAGACCTACGTTGATGAACTCCTTTCTCTTGCCTTTGTCCTCCGTTCCTCTCGCTTGGTTCTTGAAGACGACATCATCGTCCCACCTGTAATAGGTCAATTAGCACAATGCTACAATAAATAGGTTCTCGTGGACATTTAATATACCTCCGCTTCATGTTGAAGTTCTTGGGATTTAGCAACGGGTTGCCCAGCGCAATATCCCGCTCTCGTTCGGCTTCTTCAGCTGCAGCCTTTTCGCGTTCCTCCTTCTCGCGTTTCTCAGCTCGCTCGCGTCTAATCTTCTCGAGCTCGCGCTGTAGCTCCGCTTCTTCATCCTCATCGTCGTCGCTGTCCTCTTCGCTATCATCTTCATCTTGTTCTGAATCCGAATCCGCATCTACATCTCGGGACTCTTCTAATATGCGCCGCCGTTTCGCCTCTGGGTCTTCCTCGCCTTCACCATCCCCATTTGATCCCGAATTCAACGCTAACGGTCGCTTCGAAGCATTGTTGGTTGCGGGTGCCGCCTCGTTGGTTTCCCCGGCGACATCGGGAAGCGCGCCGCCGTTTTGCTTCGCGAAGTGGGCGGCTTCGGCGGCGAGAAGCTCGGTTCGTAGGTCGCGGGGCTGGTCGGCATCTCCTCCTTGTCCGGGTTGTCTGAATTTGAGCTGGGTATGAGCAGGTAGGAGCCGTTGGTGGTAGGCCGGTCCTCGAAGAGCCTCCTTTCCACGTGCCTAATATATACAATTAGCAATTATTTAATTATAGCTAAGAAAAAGTTAAATATACCGGGTCGAAAGTAGGTCTATGTGCTGTAGTCATCTTCGATTATATTATGATATCAACCCCGTTACTATTAATGAGAAGTTGTAGATGAAAAAGTACGTGAAGCTTTTAAGTGTTGTTTGTTACAGGTACTTGGAGGTTGAGGCTCCAGTTCCAATGCGCGGTCCCACTAATAAAAGGATTAGCTGCAGAGTCGGCATTTAACTGTCCCAAGACCCGATCTTGCATGGGCTAAGTACATATTTTGTATGATCACCGCCCGGCAGAATTTCTATTGGAATTTTGAAGCTCTCAATCATGAATATGCACAAGAACCAAACACCCCACTATCTCTCTGAAGTTGCTGCTACATTAAGTAGGTATTTAAATCGGTACAAATAATGAGGTGAAACAAGATCAATTATACATTTTACTTATAATCTTCCCTTTCACTATGCCTCGAGAGGCTGAACCTTCACTCAATGAGCGCACTTTCGTCGTGCAGGCGTTACAAGAAGGCCTGCGCATCGACGGCCGCGCCTTCGACCAATATCGAAAGCTCGAGCTTAAGTTTGGTGACCAATACGGAGTTGCAGATGTAACTCTTGGAAAGACAAGGTAGTTTATATACTTTATATACACCTAAATTCTCTATAATAACGCCAACGTAACTAGGATACTTGTCAAGGTCTCGGCCGAAGTCACAACACCTTACACGGACCGACCCTTCGACGGCATCTTCACTATCACGACAGAACTTAGCCCCATGGCATCGCCCGCTTTCGAAGTTAATCGACCGACAGAAACAGAAGTTCTATTATCGAGACTGCTTGAAAAGACCGTCCGCCGATCGAATGCTCTCGATACCGAGTCGTTGTGCCTCGTCGCCGGGCAAAAATGTTGGTCTATAAGAGTTGACCTACATGTGCTCTCACACGATGGTAATCTAATCGACGCCTCATGTTTCGCGGTAGTAGCAGCATTGCGCCACTTCAGGAAACCAGATACAAGCATGGAAGGAGGGAATTTAACTGTATATACTCCCGCCGAACGAGAACCTGTGCCATTGAGCTGGCTGCATTCGCCGTTTTGCGTTACATTTAGCTTTTATGAAGGAGAGATCACATTATTGGACGCAAATCTCCTGGAGGAACAATTGAGGGTGTCTAGCTGCACGATCAGTCTCAACAGACACGGGGAAATATGCCAAATCGCAAAGCTGGGTGGCACCCCTGTAGAGGCGGCCACGCTGCTCCAGTGCACAGCCGTCGCTCTCAACAAGGTCAAGGAGTTCTCGACGTTATTAGATCAGAAGCTAGCCGAGGACTCGAAGCGGAGGAACAAAGGCGGACTCCTGGCAGAATTGTCCGCGGAGAACGAGAGATAGCAGACGGGGGCTACTCCCACAGATGACCCAAAAATAAAGATACCCATGATGAACTCAATGATAACTCCCATCCTAGTACGCCTGTTCCATGACGCTGAATACAAACCAACCAAAGGCCACTTTACCTGAATATCACAACGTTACGTAGAGCCTTTCCCTTCCCTCACCGCATCACTGGCGGTCTTGACTCTTTATTCCATTTAACCCTCGACCTAACCCAATCAATCGCTTCCCTCACACCTGTGCCCGTCAGAGCGCTCACCGGCAGCACCCGGGAATCGCGTATACTCGACGCCTTCTCGCCCTCGAACACCTTCTTCACCAAGCCCTCCTTTATGCGCACGACCTCGACGCAATCCTCGCGATCCTGCTTATTCGCCAATATCAAAAGCGGCACGCCCTCCGTCTCGGAATTCTGCAGCACATCCTCGAGCACGAGGCGACACTCATCAAGGCGGCCGGAACCGTCGTGCTCGAGTGATCCGTCCCCGATATCGGTGCTGTCGATGATGAAGACGATGGCGTGGCAGCTGGCGTAGTAGCTCTGCCACAGCTTGCGAAGGGTCATCTGGCCGCCCACGTCCCAAATCTTGAGGTACATGTCGGGCAGGGTGAGAGTGGACACGTTCTGGCCTACGGTCGGCACGGTCTTGAGCTTGGGGTCTGGGTGCTCGGCTAGGAAGAGCGATTTGGCCTGCTCGTGGAATGTCGTCTTGCCCGCATTGTCCAGCCCCAGGAGGATCACAGAGTATTCCTCCTGCCGCCGCGCGAGCAGATACAGCGACTTGGCGAGATGGTACATGGCGCGGGTGGTTTATTTGAGTCGAGTCGGAATGGGTTAGATTAGATTAAGTGGGAAAGCAAACGTTAGCCCGCGGGGAGAGCTTTGAGGTAATGTTTCAGAAGGGCTGGCCAATGATGCGTCGTGTGATTCGGGTTGGAATGATTGCCTGTAATGTCGAAATTACGAGTACGGAATACCTGAGTACATTAGGTACTGTGATATGACATTTAGGCTAATCCTATATGGGTTAGATAGCTAGGTATAGTCTGAATGAACTAAGCGCGCGGCTGCGGGGTATCATTGGCTGGATAAGTATAGGTAGGTACGCTGTACCTGCAGAATAGAGGCTTGTGATGCATACATTCGGTAGGTTAGGTACCTACATGACATAACATATAGTTACACGGAAAGGTAATATTATAAGTCTTAAAAAATATCAATACTAAATTATTTCAAGATATTCGTTTGCAAAATTAAGTATTATGATAGTTCAAGTAGTTAGAAAATATGCATTCAATGACATGGAATGATATATCTTAGGTATGTGATGAGTTATAAGAGATGAGCTGGTGTTGAGAGAGTATATCAAGCTAAACTATTATTGAAAGTGACACATCAGCACCCAACGAAGGAACAACAACAGCCATCGTCATTAGGCATATACACTTCACAAAAAATTTTCATACAGCAAAGCAGCGCATAAAGATTATAAAAACCTTCATAAACCGACCCATTCTCGCTACGGTTGGTGAAACTATAACGGAATATAACATCTCATAAAATTACTAACCTATAGTTAGTTACCCTGACTTATACCTTTTTCAGTCTTGTTCATTCCATTGATACGGTTTATTCATATACGCTATATTATTCAGCTATACGAACAAAATACTTACGCGGGGTATGTAATGTTGCTTTTCGACTTCCTGCGCAGGATTGTTTCTTGTTGAAACCTCTCGATTTTCTCATCCAATAGCAATAAAAAACATGGCGTCATATTAACTCAATTAATTTCTGCGCGGTTGTTTCCCCGAGCTTCTCTAGCTCCCAGCCACGAAGCGACAACCTATAGAGATGCACAGAGATGCCACTTCAACCCTTGTAAGCTCTCTTACAAGTCCTTCGGCTACGGTTACGGTTACGGTTGCGGTTGCGGTTGCGGTTACGTGTAATTACTTAGCTTCACTCTTCAAGTATTGGCTTCATTATGTCTCCTGTGCCGTTCCAGCATCCGGTGAGGTATGTATAGGTTGTTAAGCCCTGTTTATTTATGAGCCGACTAGTTAATGATGTTGATTTCAGGTATACTCCGCTGGCGGTGGTTGGTACCTATATTACGGCGATAGTTTACTTGACGTATGCAATCGTTGTTGGGCTCTATGCATCGTATAAGTCCTTAGGTCCAGCTCAAGACACACGATCACGTTACGCGCAGCGCAGGAAACTAGTTCCTATCTTTTTAGGACTTGCTGCCGTGGCTTTTTCTTTGGCCACTTATAACTCTGTGGCGTCTGCTGTCTTGTCGTATAAGACATGGGCGCATGAGCATGGTGTCAACCAACGAGAACGGTATTTACTTATTACTCTAATTCTATACGTTATCTCAGTGTCTAATGTACATATAGCTATATCCTCGCTGAGAAACTTGTCCTTACACCTCGGGACTTGAGAAGATCGAACTCCCTTTATATCACCCAGTGGTTGAGTGACACTCCCATCTTCTACGATGCGCTGGAGATTGTCGCCGAGAAAGCCCGTCGCTTTTGGTGGGGGCAACAGATTGATCTCGCAACAGTAGCGTTTAGCATGTTATTATCGATCGAGGGGCGACGACGAAATATCCCCCTGACAGCTTCGTTTCTGATCTTAGCTCACCTTGTCAGCCTGTCGTTTGCGCAGAATCTATTCTACGTTGCTCTTCTCTTAACCCCTTCGCCATTACCTCCAGGAAGCGAGAATTTTGAGATACCAGTCGTACCTGTCCTTTCGACGTTAATTTGGATCCGCGACAAAGTCATTGCTCCAAAACCAAAGAATTGGCATTTGCGCCCTCGCATACTCTTCACAGTATTAGCCTTGAATTATCTTTCAATATTTCTACTTCCTTATGCTGCGGACACACATTCGTTTGTAAATGTGGTCCATCTCGGTCGAGCGTCGACTTTCTTACCCCTTATATTGCCGGCAATTGCGCCGGTAAGCTGGGGTACCGTCTACTTACACCCTCACGACGCTTATGACTCGTTCAAGACAATATTTCGGACCATTTCCGTTGTGTCTTTTGCATTACACGCAAAGTCTAGCATTGAAGGGCTCTGCTACAATATTCCCGACTCCCATCATCATCGCCATAGTATCTTCCTCCCCTGGAATATCGAAGAGCGCACCAATTGGGAACGCAGTACTACGGCATTTGGCAAAGTTTTAGGTTCCCTCTACGACCACCCTGCCGTAAACGCTGTTGGATGCGATGTTCTAGTCTGCACGATTAGCCTTGGTCTGTGGGCTGCTGTACGTGCTATAAGCGTACAAGACATTATCGCATCAGCTGTTCCGACTTTCAAATTCCGTCTCAGAGCTAGGCGCGTCGTCGAGGATAAGATCTTCCGTATGCCTCGTATGCCTTATAGTCCTTATACACCCACTAGAGGGAGTTACGACTATCCCGAATATCGCACATCGGAACATTCGATGACTCTTAGAAGTCAGAGTAGACCGGGCCTACCGGGACTAAGGAGTTCGTCAAGGTTAAGAAATGCGTCAAGACTAAGGAGCGAATCCAATGTAAGAAGTTCATCAAGAATAAGAAATTTGTCGAGGGTGAGAAATGATTCGAGAGTAAGAAATACGTCAAGAGTAAGAGACACTTCAAGAGTAGGAAGCGTGTCTAGAATAGGAAGTGTTGCGAGCTCGTGCACACCTAGTGAGGATGGAACTGTGACTCCCGGGCGAAGACGAGGACGGGCAAGGGTGTCTAAGAAACACGAAGACGAAAAAGCATATCGACCTACCATGTTCTCGCCTAGATCCTCTGTGGAGTCGGACCTCTTACCGGCTACCGAGTCAGATTGGGACTCTGGGGCTGTAGCTTGGGGCATGGTTGCATTTGCTGGGCTCGGTTCGGCGTCCGCGGGTGTGCTTGGAGGGGAATGCATTGCGAGATGAGAGACGAATGAATAGGATAGGTTGGGGGTATTATGAGGAGTTTGGAATGATGATGAGAGTAATGAGGCAAAACAGGGTTTGGGGGGTATATTGGAGGTATTGGGGCGGGTAATGATTGGAAGCGGTTTATGAATTACGAATAACACTCAGCGTAGCGGTCATGGCTGAGTGTTTATATACCTAGGAGGTAGATATTAAAGTTAACAATTCTCATCTATGGTATTGATGCCGTGTACGTATATACTTAAGTACCTAGTTTAGGTACACTGGTACACTTATAACAGTACCAGCCGCCATCTACTAACCATCACGCACCTTGTTGCCGCTGCACCTGACCTCTCAGGTGGCAGAAACCCAGGCAACGAGATACATCTGCCAAAGTACCTACCCATGAAATAAAGGTTATATATCCTAACTGCAAACCAACTTTCAACCGACGCCCCTCGCCTGGGCGACTTGAGGTTAGAGAAAACCCCACTGTGGTGTCTTATGCTGGACCATTCTTCCCAAAAAAAAGAATGTGACTTGACAGCAGATGCCAAACGAAGCCGGTTTTTCGTAGGTCTCTGATTCGAATCCCCTGCCCCTATCCGAGGGGGTTCGAATCTGGGACTGAGCTTTTTTGTAAATTCTTTTTTTTTAATAGAATTCTTTTAGAATTTCCTTTTTCTTTTTAATCAACCCTCCTTCCTTTCCACCTTTGCCCTTGCCTATCTACTTACTATTCTCCAAGTCGTACTATTATTGCATGCATGCACTATTTCTGCCTGACGAAAGAGCCATCCATCATGTCCGCAACTACCTTCTCTATGCTTGATAAGTTCAAGCTTCAAGTACGCCCCGGCATCTCTCGCATTACCTATTGCTTCCTCGAAGCACCCAACTTAACAGAGCTGAAAAGTTACCCAGAACTTCGTCGATATTGTCTATACCAAGAACCTCAACCGCAGAGCCAGACGCTGAGCTATATATAACCAACCCAGTTTGATCTAATCATCGCCACCATGGACATGGACATAGACCTATCACGATTCGTGGAATGTAAGTGGTACTTACAACTACTCCTATTGCTTTCACTCAATACAATACTAATACCGAGAAGCGGCCGAAACCCCAGAGCCCAGGGAATGTAAATTCCAAAGCCTTCATCGAGATATTCGCTGCCGCATCTACTGGTATTACCTATACCAGGAAGGCTCTCGCATTCTTACAGTCCCCCCTCCCGCAAACATGGTCCCCCCTCCCCCAGACATGGACCCCCATTCCGCCGACCTTGGCCGCCGAGGATACTATTATCGTGGCTGTAGCTGCAATGCATTATCCTATGCACAAAGGCTCAGAACTCGGGATACGATTATCGACATTAATCTAGCCTACACTTCCAAGTTCTTCAGCCACGAGGTCCTCACTTGCATGTATAGCAAAATGGTATGCCACAGCTAGCTAGCTTTCTTCCCCCTTCCTCCTTTCTCCTCCCCAAACCGCAAGCCGCAAGCTAGACGCTAACCTCGCACCACACACACACAGACCTTCGTCTTCCAGTGCACCTGCAGCATCCTCTACCACATATCGACCAACAACATACTCTCCGACTCTCTAGAGCGCATCAAATTCTTCTGGGCCGGGCACATGTCTGACGAGGCCTTCGTCGCGCTAAGCCAACTGCCGCTACGGCGTCTAACGGCCGTGATCGGGGACTTCACAACGCGATTCCTCACCAGCCAGGAGACCATATTCCGACGGTATTTCCTGCGGCCGACAATCCACATAACGCAGGCTCTCGGGCTACCCGAGCTGCTCCAGCTGCGCGACCTCGAATCCGTCCGCGTCGTGTGCTACGGCTCCGCGTATATCCTAATGTCCGAGGACGACCGCCTAGGCCTGGAGCATCTCTTACGCGAGTTCCTTACTAGAAGACGAGTGAAAACCGAGGACGAATATGCGAGCGATTGATAGGTAAAGTTGTCTAGAAAGGCTACGAGTGAGCGCCAATGGGTGTTAGAATTAGAAGTCTCGCCTACCTGGATATAAACACCAAGTATGTTGATGGTGCAGCATGGTTGCAATTGGTATCCAGCGCATACAAAAGGTAACGGAGTCACAAAAGCAAGGCAAAATAGGTTATGTTTCCTGTACGGTGGTTCGAGGACGTTTATAGCATGGCATTACGAACAAGGAATGGGGTCTTTTATTTTCGCCCTTTAAGAGCAGAGGTTTAATGTGTCGTTGCGCACGAATCACTCTGCATTGGCTAGGTATTCTAGTAATAAAATTATAACTGGTGTAGTAGCATCCTCCTCTTTTACCCCTTTTATCCCATGTGTACTACTATAAGGTCAGATAATCGCCCAAGAAAAAAAGGGGCTAAAATTATTCAGGTAGGACAGAAAGTATAATAACACCTAAATCACATTAAACATGAATAGAAAAAAAAAAAAAGAAAAAAAAACCATATGAAAAGAACAAAAAAGAAAAAATAATGGCCCAGGCAGGATTCGAACCTACGTCACTCCAGAGTCCATCATCGGCTCTATTTCTAATCCAAGGAACCTGTAAACACCACCCAACCCATTCTATGGTGCCTCAGGAAACCAGAGTGTGTTACCACTACACCACCGGGCCTTGTTTCTTAGTGATAGTTTGGTCGGCAATTACGACCTTTAACGTGCCCGCCGATTAGGACGATTAGTGGGTACGTAGGTACGTGAGTCGCGGTGCGCGTTGTTCTTGCTACGATGCGCGCGAGGAAGGTACCTAACAGGTGCTGCTGGCCCGTCAAAGACATACGGGCATAAAATGTGATTTGTAAGTAAAAAAACCGATAGATAACGGTCAGATAATTAACAATAGAGCACCAAAATTTAATAGGGGAACAACACGAGTATATATATAATACCAAGTACTAAGCCCCTTTATCCATATAGTATCTCCATCTCCTTATAATAATACTTCACCAATCCTTCTAATATGCGCCCATGTTCATCAGACCCAATACCACCAATGCCACCAATGCCACGTATCCGCAACATAACATTCAAGCCCGCGATGTTACTGCTCCGCTGTATAATATGTTTGCAGCCCATAGCCAGGAAAGTATTCCCACAGCCTTCCGTGCATCCAACCCGCGAGCACATATTCTAGTACTTTCCCTTGTAGCTGCCGCAATTAGGATGAATGTAATAGTGAGTACCACCGTTTCGACAAACCGCCCCTAGCGGCCTTCCCAATATCCTATGAAAAGCTTTGCTGTAGCATCCCCGCCAAGCCAAATGTGATACTGTAAGATGTATGTTTCTAGCGAGATACGGCCGAGGAGGTTGGGTAAGTAAAGACACCTATCTCTTAACATGCGATGAGAGTTTCTGAGCACTATAAAAGATAGTATCGGGATCCAGGATATGAACGGGTGAATTTGATTGTATGCCTGCTTCTCTTGCAGATAAGTTTGGGTGACGTAGAAGAATGTTATAGTGCTCCCTACACAGACGATAGCTAGCCATAGTGTGAATCTTAGAGTGAAGATCGCTCCAACCCAGCCGAATTGAAGGAAATTTCGCTCTCTGCGAATAGAGGCGCGATGGGTAAGAGCCGCTACAATAATCCCGATGAATGTAATGTAGCGGTCTAGACGCAGCCTAAAACGCATTTCTTCCACATCTATGGATATGTAGAAGACATCATGTATGAATCCGGTAACAGTTTCAAGAATGCCAGGGGAAAGTATAAAGATATTGGTCAGTCTAATTGTTATCGCTATTTTCAAAAGTAACCAACGCAGATCGCGATTGTAGCTTTTGAAAAAACGAAGCATCGCGTATAAAACAAGATACCAGAACGTGACAACGGGGGCAAAATAATACGACGTATATGTTGTCCTCATTACGTACGATAGGAAGACACTCAGAAAGTTCAAACGGCATAGAATCTCCATGACGCGATTCAAAGAAAAGTCGTTCGTTTCGAGAAGATATAGCGTGTGAGCGTAGCCGGATATGTAGAGGTATCCGGAGATAAATAGTCGGATGATCTTATACACCCAAAGAGCCTGAGATGCATAGTGATAGTGATAGAGCAAGATAATCCCTTGCATTAAGCCTTTGATCTCGTTAGACTGATTCCGCGATAGATATCCTGGACCACGATAGTATCGAGCATCGCGTTTGGACGATGAAAGACCATCTGTCTGCTGGGGGGCTTTCCTTGATGACAATACACTGACCACTAGCCATATAAGACAAGCCGCGACGAAAGCGTTTTGCTCATAATGGCGTTCAGCTCTTATTAAGTAGTAAGTCCCATCGGCGTACCAACACCATAGGAGGGTAGCAAGAACGTTTTTAAGGATTTCGGTGAATTGAACGACTCCTGAGCTACCTGCGGTCTCCAAGTGACGGCGCGCACCAGCGACGAACCCCGCTGAAGTTCCAAATAAAACGAAGACTATCAAAGCAGCATAGTTCGGCGGAGTAACGGCGCAGCATGTGCCTTTGAAAGAGCGTGAGCGGGCGCTTGCTGCTGGGTTGCAAAGTGCGTTAAAAGCAATGTTTAGTTTAAGTGCTGCCATACTGTCTGACGCATGCAAGCCGTCTATATCGAAATCCCTTTTAGACAAGGTGGGAATTCGGTTGTATACCCAAGGAATATACGACAGATTATTCGGGAAGACTTGTGAGAGATAGTTATTCATGGTCTCAATCCGCTCCGGCGTAATGCTCTTAGACCGATTCGGAGCTAGGTTGCTGTAATCTGGGATCCCTACTGGTGTTAGAAAAATCCGGTTTGGAATATCGTCGGGGCCACGAGTCGTTTCCATTGCTAGTGATATGTTGTTATCAAGGCTAGGTGATAAGTACGGCACGACGCCGGTGACCGCGCGCTTAAACAGGTTCAGATAGTCATCTCCGCCGTATCGAGCAGCCCAGAGTCCAGGAGCACCCAAGATAACGAGCATAGGTGACAATTCATCCATCCCCACAATGGCTTCCACATCTAGGGATGTAGATAAAGCGTGAAAGCTCTTGAGTACATCGTGCAGGACGGTAGAGTTTAGCCAGGGATCCCAGATAAATTCCAGTTGGACATTATCAGCCCGAAACGAGATATCGTGATGCTTGCCGTTCGATTGAAGTAGGCGTTTTATCCTGGTTTCGGACTTGCGGTGAGCAACTTGCTTAGTAGCAGCCCAGAAAAGCTGGCGGATTGTAGAATCGCCGATGAAGACAACTTTTCGATCATTGAGGCATCCGTGAAGAAAATCTGCAGTATGCTCAACCATACGACAATCTTTTGGTTCCCATCGTCTCGAGCCGTCCGGAGCCAAAGGCGACCACGTTCCATTATTCAGGAGAGTTAGGCAACGATGGGGATCATTTTTACCTATGAAACTATTAGAATGAATTCCATAAAAGGCCAGAAGCTGTCGACTATCTGAGTACTATGCTCGTACCATATGTAGCGTGGATATTCTGCGTGGTAAAAGTAAGAAATGCGATAAAAAGCAAAGCATAGTTAGCTAGTTTTGACGAAGTGTCCGGCATTATGACCCAAGAAAGCAGCCAAAAAAAGGTAGACTCGTTTTTATTTTTGGTTTGATGAAGTTTTATTTAATAGAGAGGATGAGTTTTGGACAAGGCATAGATCTATGTTATTAACCTAAACCCGAGTGTTCCTTCCAGTCTCTCAACGGAGTTTCTCAATTTGGTAGCTCTTTCTCTAAGTGTAATAACCAAGTAAATGATATTAATAATATCTAAGTAAAGACCTACATTCTCGAGCTTAATCGAAGCTTGATGTAAGACGGGACCTGGTGTAAGTTGAACATCTAATGTACCTAAGGTAGTTACTAAATTACCTATAAAGTAATTAATTATCCTCCCTTTTTCTCCTTTTTCTCTCATATTATGAGCCACAGAGACATATAAAATGGAAACAGTCATCATAAAATAGTGTTGCAATTATTCGATTAGTACCTAACGAAGTACATATCCATCTCCTTGGTGAAGTCGGGAAGCATTCCGCAGGGAATCACTTAGGGGGTGGCTAGTAAGTAGTATGGCTTAGGTACCTGACTTGTGGCTGTGTCTCACCCCCACAAAATTGCTGAGAAATTTCTCTACCGACAAATTCTGTATTTTACCTAAACTTCCTTCAATATAATCATACGGCACACCTTCCGAGTGTCGATAGTCATCATTCTCCAAAGCCTGTTTCCTTTGAGCAAAATGAATAAATAGTGCGAACTCTAATAAATTATAGAAGCAAGGCGCAATCTCAAATAGGTAAGAAGAAGGCACTATTACAGTCTGTTCTATGTAGGTTATCGCATCCTAAAAGGCAGCCATCACGATTATAATCATCTTCGAAAGAGTTATCCAAGAATCATGAAATATAAAATCGTCTTTTGCCAATGCTCGGTCAGGCTTGATTCCACGCCTGATCTCGAGCCGGATACCTCGCTTGAGTGTATGAGACAAGAGTAAAATACAACGATCTTTGAGTACGGAACCTCCCGGCGAAAAGCGTCGAGGCTTTCGTAATTTATCTGTTGCAACATCAAATACATGTTCATCAATATCGTTAACTTGATATTAGGCCTATTACTACCTTATATAGACATTATCATCAATGAGCTTCACATTTCAATTTGAACCATATTACCATCTCAATCCCAAGAAACTTATCGAACCATTATCATGTTACAGTTTGAGGATCTCTAATCAATATTCTGAAAGATATTTGAGACTACCCGTCTGCAATAATCTAGTGACTGCGTTACATAGTACGAACAACAATAATCACACAAGAGCCAATACACTCATTGTTCAAGCATACCACTCTCCTCCGATCCACCTGTTGAATAGGTCTAGGGAGCCCTCAGGCTGGTTGAATGGAACCATGTGGCCAGCCTGGTAGACACGGGCAAATGTGAAGTTGCCACTGCTCTTCACTACACCGTAGTTGTCAGAGCCCTTAGTGAGATCCTCCAACTTAGCAGCGTTGAATCCCTTCTTGCCGTGCCACTCAAGTGCCTCTGACCAGGCCTTGTTGCCGAGCCAGTTGCAGATGTAGTCGGCGTCACCAGCATAGATAAGAACTGGGATCTGCTTGATGATATCGGGAACGAGGCGGTGGAATGGCTTTGACCAATCGCCTTGGAACAAGAAGTTTCTGTTAATATCCGTATTGCAGCTCTCGTAGTCTTGCACTTCGGCACCGACTGCCTTGAGAACCTTGTCCTGGTTCAGGTACTTGCTGATCCAAGCAGTCTCGGTGTAGCAAAGGTTCTCTTGGTCCTTGCACTTCTCACGGATGTCGTAAACATTGTATCCGGTGCGCTGGAAGGGGCCAATCATAGCATTGTTACAGTAGATGGCGCTGGGAACACAGGACCATACGCTCTCGGAATCGTAGCAGCTCGAGATGAGAGACTGGCATCGCGGGAGAGCATTGTCCATCGACTGACATTCGCTCTCGTCGAGAACTGCGTCATAACCACCTTCACCACAGGCCATTGGGCGGTATTGGGCATATTGTGTTAAGGGGTCAGTTAAACCATTACCGATGGCAATGCTTTGCAAGTTAATGTTGCGGTTCTTGTGCGACAGAATCTCAGATGCGAAGACGGGGATGTAATGACCAGCGTAGGATTCTCCAGCAATGTGGAATGGCTGCTCGCTATACTCAGGGAAGTTGTGGAAGAAGAGAGTAAGTAAAGCATAGATGTCCTTGCTTGCGGCGACGGTGTTGTAGACGGGGTTGCTACTGTAGGAGTAGCCGGTGTTTACGGGTTGGTCGATGAAAATGACGGAGGCATTGCTGTTCCACGAGTACTCGTTGTACTTGAGCGAGCCGTCCTTGTTGATACTGGAGGGGCCCAACTCCATGAAGAGTCCCATCATGGAGGAACAGCCGGGGCCGCCGTTCAACCATAGTACTACAGGGTCGGTCTTAGGGTTATTTCGAGATTCAAAGAACCCTGGATATAACGATTAGCGACTATATGAGTCAGGGTACGATGATATGTATACTACTTACAATAGAATAGATGCTTGTCGTTGGCTTCGTCATCAAGGTACCCACTGTACTGTTTGACCTTATCTACGCCGAGTTCGGACGGGTCGACGTTCTTAGCTCGTAGGTTGTAGGCCTCGAGAGAACCGTCAACTTTTCGGTGTTTGACACCGTCTGTCTCGACCCACATGCTTTGTACATCAGCGCCCTTGATAACATGGTCCCATTCGCTATCTGGGCGGCGTCGATGAGCTTTAGGGTAAGAGATAAGGTTGGCGGCCTTTTCGTAGAATCCAGGAACTAGGAGGCTCATTTCATCCCATAGGCCTTTAGCAACATCTGGCATCTCACCAAAAGCTTCGCTAAGGTGATCCAGAGGTTTCCTGACGGCATCGCTGATGCCACCAAGAACCTTCTGTTGGTCTTGTGCGAAGGCAGCCGTGCTGGCGCCCAGCAAAAGGGCCGAGCTAGCTACTCTCATGATGGGTAGCAAGAGAGGATGAATAACGTTACTACCAGAGTTTGATGATGATGATTATGATGGTTGATGATAGTAATGATGAATGGATTAGAGAAGAAAAGGAATAGATAAAAGAGTTAATAATGGATGGAAGATGGGAACGATGATACAAATACTAGAGTCAGAGTTGAGACCGGGGGAGCTCTAAGATATGGATGGACGATGAAACGGGGGTGAGAACGGGAACCCGACTGGTCAGTGATCAGCTACGCTAGGTTATATTTATGTGGTGACCAGCCAACCATTAACCTTCCTGTACCTTAATTAAGTTTCCCCTTATTGCTTACATACCGCTTTTCTCACTTATTGAATGCGGGAAGTTGCCCCACAAATGATAGTAGGTAACATGCTCGCCCTGTCTTAATGCCGGATTCGATTACGACAACTGAGCGGGCTGGCAGGCTGGTTATCAAACTGCGTGTCGCGTGATAGATGGAGGGACCTTTACCGATAAGCGTCATCGGTCATTCTTCTCCTGTGTACCGAGTCCCTATCGATATTGGTTCTCCGCTAAACCGTATGGAGTAGGTATATGTATATTTTCCTTATCATTATGATTCAACATGACCTCTATAAAATTAAATTGAATATTGGGAGTGTAACTGTCGCGTCTGGGAACAGAATCTACCTAATCACCTATTCGATTCGTCAAACCCAATAAATAAATCAATATACCATCTAAGTATGATGCATGTACTTGTATTCACCCAGTCAACTAAGCTGTTCCTGCGTCGCTCCCTTGCCTACATAAGGGACCCGCTATGCGCTGGCCTAAAAACCATGTCTCCTTCAAGTCGGTAAAGCACGAACGCACGGGTAATTGCACGTGCTTCTCCACGCAAAATCTCGATTTAACGAATACTACGCTTATACAAATCTTTCAACTACTCGACATCTGAATATCATTTGCGACGTCAGACTTTGTTCATCTAGCAAAATAACATCAGCATTTTCTGATAACGAAGAGACAACATGTCGCGCATAAACCAACCTGGTATGTAGAGTAATAGTATATTTAAATTTCCTATTATTCACCCTCCAAAGCTATCTCTTTTTAGTTGTTATAATATCTTAGACAAATACTAACATATCACAGTATGTAATTAGACCCCTCTTCCCCTCCATGTCGTCCCCACGTTCTCGGAGGCGCTCGAAATATATTTATACCTTAAGTTAGGTAGGCAAAGAAATACTAATAGACCCGGACGGAACAGTCAAATCAAATAAAGCTTACGAACGTATCGCTCGTCCGCCTAAAAAAGGGAAAGAAGCGCTTCGAAATCGCCTGCTACAAGAACAAAGTATTAGAATGGCGATCCGGCATCGAGACCGACCTCGACGAGGTCCTACAAATCCCCAACGTCTTCCTTAACGTATCGAAGGGACAAACAGCCCCAGCCGCAGATCTTACCAAAGCCTTCGGAAAGGACAAACCTCTAAACGATATCATACTCGAGATTTTAAATAAAGGCGAGCAGCAAGTAGGAGAGAAAGAGCGCTCGGCGCAGCTGGACAGAGTGCATAATGAAGTCATTAGTATAGTCGCAAGCAAACTAGTCGACCCGCGCACGAAGAGAGTCTATACAACCGGTATGATCGAGAAGGCGCTCGATATGTTAAGCTCTCAGGCGCATCAGCAAGGCGACAAGAAAACTCCGGAAGTAGGTAGCGGCGCGGGAACACCGGCCACAGGCGACGATGGGGAAGCGAAGCCAAGGACGAAAGAGCATAACTGGACGGGTGTGGTAACGACGAAGAGCGCAAAGAGCCAGGCCCTTGAGGCCATGAAGGCTCTAATCGCGCACCAGCCAATCCCAGTTACAAGAGCACGGATGCGGCTCAGAATCACTTGCTCGACGAACGTTTTGAAGCAGGCAGTGAAAGCACCCAAGACTGCTGATGCGGAAGGAGAGCAAAAGGCCCCCGGGACTGTGAAGGACAAGATCTTGAGTTACGTTGAACAAGTCGAGACACAAGACGTCATGGGATCGGAGTGGGAGGTTGTCGGGTTTGTGGAGCCGGGCGCTTTCAAGGGTCTATCCGATTTCGTGGGGAATGAAACCAAGGGCCAAGGGCGAGTGGAGGTCTTAGATATGGCAGTCACTCATGAGGATTAGAGTCTTTAGTTCTAGCGCTCATGAATAATGAAGTTGACGAACTTGCGAGATGTCTTGATAGCATGGCATAGGAATAGGCTTGGTAATGGTATAGAAAAAAAATACGATACTCAGGAGGCTTTGATACCATGACAACTTATTCTCGGACATATTACACGTAATAGTTTCACACATTGAAGAATTATAGAGTGTTGGTCACAATGATGTCTCCTTATTCTCTAGAGTACACCTATGACTTGCCGAAACCGATGAGCAAAGTCCCCAATTCGCAAAGTAATTCATAGAAACGTTTTGATGCAGTAATTTCAGTCCAGCCTTCACGCCTGTCCATCCGCAATGAATGACCTGAACCAATGAAACCATGCTGCCACCGCTAAGACCCTTAACCACCCTTCTTCTTGGAGACACCGACAGTCCGGCCGCGACGACCGGTAGTCTTGGTGTGCTGACCGCGGACACGGAGGCCCCAGTAGTGTCGGAGACCACGGTGAGCGCGGATCTTCTTTAGGCGCTCGAGATCTTCACGGAGCTTAGAGTCGACACCGTTCGCCAGGATCTGCGAGCTCTTGCCATCGGTGATATCGCGCTGTCGGTTAAGGAACCAGGCGGGGATCTTGTACTGGGTAGGGTTTTGGAGGATGGTGACAATTCGCTCAAGCTCTTCGGAGGTGAGTTCACCGGCACTGTAATGGGATTCCATTAGTCTCCGATTCGTATTATAGTATCTGGCTCATTCGTTATTCATACCGCTTGTTCAGGTCGACATCGGCCTTCTTGCAGACTAAGTTGGAGTATCGTCGACCAACACCCTTGATTCGGGTCATGGCGTACATAACCTTCTCCTTGCCATCGACGTTCGTGTTGAGGAGACGCAAGATCTATTGAGGTTAAAGTTAGCTAAGACAGGGTCTTGTCATCGCGAAGTTGTGCAAAGGTTGAATTGAGCATTCGCGTAGTTGTCAATCCCAAGTAGAATGACGGGCAGGGCGAGGCGCGTAAATTAAATAGGATTCACTTACGAACTGGAAGTTCGTCTTCTCGCCTGAGACGAGCGACATGATGGGCAAGTGTGTTGTTGGGTTGTTGCCTTGATGTCGTTCAGATGTGTATCTTGAGTTTGATAGAAGAAGGAATCGAAGGTTTGGTTTTTCTGGTAGGCTCGCTTAATTAGGGTACAGGCGAAAAAAAGGATGGGCGGGGCTAGGTGAATTCGATTTGTGGTATTTGGTACCCACCTTTATCGGATTTTTCCAGGGCCGAGTCCTAATATACACAGACCACGTCGATAGAAAGGAATCCACTATGGGCCTTAGCCTTCAAACCATAAAAAAGATTTTACCACGAGACTTTTCTTTCTTGAAATCATTCTACAGAATCGTGACATTCTTCTGATACTCAACTATTTCTGCAATGCGTGTTGATGCTATGCTCTAGGTTGCCGTATATATACGAAACTCGAGATCACTGCTATAGAGCAGACATATATTTACATATTCTTCATTTAGGGTAGGAGACCCGAGGTTCACGACATGTATTCGCACAATCTCGACACCATTTAAGTATCAACTCTAACTTGGACATATACCGTTATGCTCGCACTAAGCAGTGTCGATATTTCCAAACCACCAGAAATAGCTACTTCGAGATTTCTTTAAGACAAGTCAAGATTTGACTTGATATCGAGTTTTTCCCCCTTTTTTTTTAACTGTATAACTATGGCCAATGATGAACAATCTTACACAGTCTATGAGGATATCTCCAATGAGTTATATTTTACACTGAAAATTCTGAGGCCTTATAACTTTTACCACCGAGTATACATATTACCGCATTTGTGTATCATGTACAGAACAATCAAAGATATCCCTCTTTAGCAAATATGCTGATCGATGCCTCCGACCTTTCTTCCTATTGTCTGTTTATCCCTCAACGCCAACCAGTGAACAAATCCCTCTAGGTATCATTACATTCGTCTTATCGTAGCCCATTAAACTGTTTCGCCTATTACCATTAGATGCCTAGTTCCTCTCTGTTGGATATGTCTGTTGCTCCTCTCGCGGGTCCTCCCGAGGCGACTCCTGGATTAAGACACTGTTGAATCGAGGACGTGTCTCTATTGGATCAGAGTCTGGAGGTACGTGGCTGTGGTCGACACTGGTGTTCCGCGAAGCACTTGGACTGATACCGCTCGTACTACTTCGACCACCATGGCTCGACCTTCTCTTCCCAAAGTTCCATTCGAAGGTGTTCAGTATCTTCTGGTGTTCTAAATTCTGCTGAGTGAATGGCTTATTCAGATGAGCAAACTCGTCGCGCTCTTCCGACTTCTTAGGCTTGTGGGATCTGAAGCCTCCGGTCAGGGTTCGTAGTATGCGAGATTGTGATTTTGAGAGATCTTGAGTTTCGTTGTCGGTTGGTGTTGTTGTGCCGTTTGAGCGATTGCCGCCAGAACTAGCAGAAGAAGGCTTCCTACTGTTGGGAAAAGTCCATCTTCCTAGTGCCATAATGATATAAAGACGACGTTGGTTGTTGAGGACTTGATATATGTATATCTGAGGTTTGTGGCGCGTCCGTATTATGACTACCTACTTGAGATTTGATAGCACGGTAGTTTTGAGACGTCTATCGCCTCAAAGGGCAAAAAAAAAAAACAAAAATCAAAAGACAAGTTCATCGACGGAAAGCGAGAGATCTAATAATCAACGAAACTGAGCGGTTTAATATTTCTCGACCTTATTAATGATCAGTTACCTTAGGTAGGTAGCTTTACATAGATGGCGCAACAGTGGTTACACTCACCACCCATCACATTACAATGGGGCTATAGGTATACCGTATGCATCTTTAGTCGATATCGCGGGGTCGCCGGGGTCTAAGATCTCCCAGGCGTGCGCGACCCCATGCTATCGAGACGTCATCCTACAGACAAAGAAAGCCGCCGAGACTACCATACACACCAGCAAATCTGCTAAACAAGTCCTAGGGCCTTTATAGGTCTATCCTCCCTGTATTGGTGTCTACAAATACAGTGTGATGGGTTGGTCTGGAATACCTCGTGAGCCTTAATATCGTCGCATCGATTTCCTTATTAGTTATAAGAGAAGCTAATACGTTCGATCTTTTATTATCTCCAGAATACCCCAAGGATCAGTACGTAATTCCACAACACTCGGTGTTTACAACTATCCAATAGGACTTTCATTCGTTGGTGGCAACATCGACCTCAACTAATGGACCCGACCTTTCTTTGGTCTAAGACATCCCGTCGATTCCTTAGTAGTAATACTTGGAGCTTAGCGTTACGTTATACCTATATGGGTACTTTAATGTCTGCTATATTCGAAAGAGAATTGGTATCTGTACCTATCCTTTGAACTTTAGTCCCTCGAGGCTCGGGAACTTTAGGATCGGTTCTGTGTTTTTGCGAATCACTTCTCAATAGGATTATGCCTCATCTCACAGTACTTACATCGATATGTACACAGGTTCTTGAATACCTCATGGTAGATTTAATATACACCTCTTACAACTTCTCCTTAGTGGAACGGAGATTGGCGAGATTACCATTGTCGTCAACCTCCATAACACAGCAGATGAATGTATCCTTAAGCGCTCCAAGACGATACTTGTGATTGACATCTTGATACTCCTTACTCCCTGCCATGGAACCAAAATGTTGAACGGATGGATAGTGTACGAAAGCAATTTCTTCCCATCCATCTCCATGCGCTTGACCACCTACCACCCTCCCAACAATCTTAACCCGTCCGCCGTGTTTAAAGCCGACCTTGGCCGAGAAATCAGCACCGTATTGCTTATATTGATCCTTCTTCCCGGAATTGAAAGCAAGTAAGTTTAGCATCGAGACCGGATGCTCTTTCAATGGCATCGGTAGCGCTGCAATCCACTCTTCTAACTCGGGGCTCATTTCGAGGTTTTGCGATGTCCTGGATGGTTCAATGGTGTGTTTTTCAGGCGGTTTGACGGAGCCGGGCGGCGGGTGAAGTAGTTCCTCATTCATCGCTTCATAATTTGATATAGCTTTAGATGAGACACCACTCGATGCGCTCCAAGTTGCATCGATCTCTAACTGTGCTTCATGAGGAATAGAATCGGCCTCTCCCAGAATTAGCAGAAGGTCCCAGTGGATATTTCGGCCCAAGAGATGGCCTATTGAAATCTGTGTGGGCAGGATCATCCACCGAATGACTCGGGCCTGTACGACGGGCTTAATGCCGCTTCGACGGAGCTTGGCGAGAAATGAGCCGATCGAAACTCCGTCCTTGAGCGAGATGAGTTGTAAGTTACAAAGAACCATTTTCCCGGACAACTAGTTACTATTCCTCGATATTTCCATACAGCCGTTATTAGTAGTTGTCACAGATAAAATAAGTAAACGGGATATGATGGTAGCTCCCCTGGATTCTATATTTATGTCGATGTTCGTACATGGCTACCTAAATGTACATTTGACCGAGGTTGGCTGGAAATGGTAAATAGCTCTTCTACCCCTCTAGCACTTCCCAGGGTTCTCCAATCATCTCATCCAATTTGTCTCCATTAAAATGGAATACTAGATACCCCTTTGGGGACTTGTAGTGTTGAACAATAACATGCCAGACAGTATTGAAAACAGTGTAAAGGTTTGAAATCTTTATGTTATCCCTTTCTACCTAAAGAAAGGTACGAAAATTTGAGTGTCTCTAGTAAGAGGGCTCGTGCAAAATGCAGTCCTCTTTGGACCTATTCCTATTCACCCCCAAGCTACCGCCTACTCAACCAATAGTCTCCAGACTACAGAGTAATATGCATCAATGCCTTCCACACATGGGTATCTAAATACAAATACATGCCAAATTTCTTTCGATCTTATTCGTTTTAGCCTATGCAATTGGCGCAACGACATTAATCTCCTGTTTCTGCTTCACGATCGAAACATCACCGTTCACGACAGTGATCTGCTCAAACGACGTGAACAGTTGGGAGCCTAAGTTGGCAAAAGCATTGCCGTTAGACTGGTAGAAACCGCAGTCCTGGAGGAAGGTATCCGTGCTCTCAACGAATAGATCCTTTTGATTCGGCAAGATGATGGCAGCTGGATCAACGAAGACGAGATCGATAGCCGGCGCTTTAGCACCGATAGGGAGGATCATGCTCTGATTCGGCTTTCCGTACGGGGCGGCCGGATCGGCGCCTACGAGAGCAGGCACCGCCGTTGGTTTGGTGACGGCGCTGGCTGCTTGGACCCCTGCGAGGCCGACGGTCTTCGATGCGCCGATAGTCATGGTTTGCGCATCTGAGACCATGACCATGATTTGACTTTCAGGCTTGCCGTTATCAACAAGCGCCTGGTTTACCATGTACCTCTTTTGGCTACCCTTCTCAGCTCGGGCATCGACTAAGGTCGATACTGTGACAATCACAATGTTCTACCCACTTGTTAGCAATGAGGTTAATCGAACTTGGTACTGTATAGTTGACTTACCACTTGCGAGAAGCGAGCCTTAAAATGATTGACTCGGATATTATTCTTGATATCTTCCAGTTGAGTTATTAAGGCAACCTCGGCCTGGACAAGCTGGGCAAATTGCTGCTCGGCTAGCTTTTGTAAAGCGTCTAACTCTGCCTTATTGTCTTCAACGATGATGATGTTCGTCTCCTGTACTATCTGCTCGATAGTAAGAGGGGATCGTCGTGGCTTCCACTTCAATCCCCTCCTGGACGCCATCGCATGCGACTCATCAGCTGGTGCTGAACATACTGTTAGTCGAAAGGGATTTCTAAACAGGGGTGGGCTATCTAACCTGACGCAACGAGCGACGAAAGACCCAAGAGGGTCGCACAAGCACGTCCAAAGTACATGATGTAGATTCGGCTTTCCAGAAGCAAGAATGAATGAATAAGAAAAGCCTTTCAAAGGACTGTGATGAATTGGTATTATGTGCAAAGAATGGAATCAAGAAGACAACCTCTAGGGCGTCGCGAAGAAAAGAATGGAAGGGGAAGTAAAGTGAATGATCTACCAGGACACGATCATATGAGTGTTCCTAAGGCGATCATGTTCTATGCGAAGGGGATCATTCTCTATATATACCTTCTACCCAGACGGCGATCTAACAGCATCTACACCGGACGATGATTCTCATGATTCCCTTATCCCTTCGGATGGTCGACTATCCGGTCAATCTTCAAAGCGCCAGGGACGTTAACTAGTCCCATGTCACTAACACAGCAATCTGCAACGTGATTCGTCCGACTCTAGGTGAGGCTCTTACTCTAAGGCGATACCCGGGCTGTCAATCGAGACTTGGCTCTAGGAGCTTATCCGGAATAAGAATCAGGGACTTAGCGCCGGTGCAATACCTACATGTCTACCTCCTTAAGGTAACCATCTAAGGATAATATGTGCAGTTGTCACCACGGAATCTGGCACAACCCTTTAAAAGTGTAGCAGATTATCGAAAGAGATGACAGGTATCGAAGTATTTAACGATTATAATATGCCAAGAGCCAATCAGGGTGCGGTATAATCCCCGATGTACGTGGATGATCCTAGCGCGGCACATGGGGGGCCTATGTTTTCGAGACCTAGACGAAACGTCACTCGTCTTAAGAGGAGCTTATCAGGAGTTCCCGCAGCAACCCAACACGGCAAACGGCACCTTCTACTATTTAATAAAATCTTGGTATATAGAATTAGGGTTTAGAGAATAATACCTAATATCTCATGTTGACTTATGGACTCTACGAAGTAGTTCCCTAAACAAGTTGGAAATGTGGAGTCGCAGATCTAAGAACGTTTTTACACAAGCTGCGATACCATGATGTGCATCAATATTCCGAACATTATCAACACGTCTCGTAGATCCGTATCCATGTATAGGATCATTAAATTATATTTTTATTGTTATTTACAGTAAGTAATATACTGTGTTAGACGCCTCCACAGTATTTACGCCATGTCTAGAAGAGCTGACGGAATAGATAAATTTTAGAATGAGGCTTTCTTCGGGCTCTGCTATAGCCCTGTCAAATTATTGTAGCCATGATCGACTTTACCCACATATACATATACATATACATATACATACCTTATACCCCCGTTTTACGTATACCCAAATCGTTCAGACGGTCTTAGTGAACGAAGCGGAAATCAAGCCTCTGCATCCCCTCGTCTTTCGTCGTCAATATGTAATTCTCCTGCTCCTCCTGCGTCATCGAATTCCACCTCGCATCGCGCAATTTATTGCGCCAAATGTAAAACGCCTTCACGACGTAGAATATCACGATATTGAAGACCGTAATTCCCAGCAAAACCCGGTTACCACGCCGGTACAAGGGCTGGTCGTCATCGCGGTAGATGTTGCTCGCGATAATGTTGCCGCTCTGGACAAACATGTTATAGAGCGCTGCTGAGACTGCGCGTGTTCGCACTGCGTTACTGTTTTTTGCGTTCCAGCCGACGAGGATGGCGTGGCAATAGGGGTAGCTGAGAAGCCCCGTCAGCATGGCGTATCGGACCCATGGAGAGGCGTTCTCCGGTAGGAGGACTAGCGCGAGGATCCATGGGAAGATCCAGATGTTGGAACTGGACGAGATGATGGACCGCTCGTTGAAGTGTCGCGAGACCCACGTTACGATAAGAAGATTGACAGCAAATAGGAACTGCGATGGGATCGCGAGGAGGTTGGCCTCAAAAACTGAGAACCCAATCTGTCGCAAGATATATGACAGGTAGTTGGACGGTGGTGCGGGCGGGATGTATGTTGTGAGGCCAATGATGTACAGCGGCCACATTTCCCAGTCCTTGACAGCCTTGAATAGTAGACTGGGCCCGACGGCTTGCCTATTGTTCATGTCTCCCTTACTCGGGTCATCGCGAAGGAGTCGGTTGACCAATATATGCTCTTCATGATCGCTGAACCACCCATTCTTACCCCGGAACCAATGTCGTGTTTGAGTAGGTCCTGGTGGCATTAGACCCCACGAAAAGATTCCAATGAGCAGCGTTATTAACCCCTCGATGAGGAACAACCACTGCCAACCGCTCCACCCATTAATCCCACGCATCTGAAGAATACCGGCGGCCAGTAACGAACCGACGATATTCACCGTGCTAAGGGCGGTCCAAAACCAAGCCAGGCGAAGGGGGAGCTCTCTACTTTTATAGAAGTATGTGAGCCAGAGAACTATGTCGGGAATAAACCCGCCCATCAACAAGCCTAAAAGAGCTTTGATAGCGTAGAAGCCGGCCCTGTTCTTGAGGAACGCCTGCGACAGCGCAACGATGGACCAGCCCACCATAATCGTAGGGATCCAGACATCAGCGCCGAGCTTCTTGCTAATTAGTCCACTAGGCAATTCCGCAGCCAAGAAACACGCAAGAAAGATAGTTTGTCCGTAGTTGTAGTCGTTCGTGTTCATGCCTACAAGCTCAATTAATCTCACTAATCTTTAAGACAGTTTTGATTTCTGTGTACAATCATCTTATACATGAGAAGTATGCATGCGTAACAGAAGACGACTTACCAATTTCAGCCAGCATGTTATCCGAAATAGCTCTGTTAATATTCCTCCTGTGCATATCCAGCGCGCAGAACATCAGCCAAGCCCAAACCATGATCCTGCCATCGATCTTCCTCACCAACCGGCGCTCCTCCTCCGCCGTCCACTTGTACTCCGGGTCGAACCGATGCCGGTTCTCATAGCTGGCCTTCTCGTACTTGGCGCGCCAGTATTCGGCTACCGACGGGTCTGAAAATACATGATCGTCTGTTGAACCATACTCATCTCCTTCTGATGTTATTTCCTTTGACGCCCGGCCGGGGTCTGCCGTGTCCTGAGTCTTAATCTCTTTGGTTTCCGGGCCCGGGTCGGAATCGGAGACCTCAACTTTTTCTCTTGGTTCGCCTGCCATAGCTCCTATGTACAGTAATCTGCAATTAAGTACATAGAGTGAGCATGGAGTAAAAGCAGCGAGATAAAAGGACTGATGACCGGTCTATGCTAATATGTTCGTAATTAAACCAGCCCTGTAATCTGTACCTACATAAATTAATATTGCCATTTTCTTCGGTCCAGCAAAGTGATTTATATGGCCGAGTGTTCGACTACCGAAAAGTCACCCCGATGTAGTACCTCTGCGATCACGTCATGTAGACGGACGAAGACTGGCTGCTTCGGTCTTATCTATTGCACCATACTAGGGGTAAATTGTGTGAACCTCCATTGCAATTAAATAACTTCAGATTTTCCTTAGAATCCTTGCAACCAAGCCCAGTAGCTTGGAAGACTTTTCTATAATCGCTGCTATTTACAAATTAGTAATGATAGCCGTGCTGCTTCGCATTCCGCTCCGGAATCATAGACCGGCTCCGGTTAGATCATGGCGATGAGCCGGGTCCTTCATGTTAGACCGGTTTAACCAAACTAATTCTCAATTGGCATAGAATTGGCATAGCATACAGTATACTTAATTAATTTTATTATTCTTGGTCTGGAATAATATCATGACAATATTTCAAAAAATTTACTAGTAATACTTAGTATTCGTAAATCTGAAATTACTAAGGTAATAACCCACTATCTACTGCTCAAGGCACTAAAATACGCTAGAAATACGTGGGAGGCGCCGTGACATGTTCCCTGCTAAATAATGCATTAACGCCCTCGTGGGCGTTGATATCTGACCTTCGGGAATTCCAATGGCAAAGCTAATTGCGCCACTTGTACATGCGTGCCTTTTTCTGCACCCTTTGCAGTTTTAACCTTGCCACCAATCTCGCGGAAATACTGTCCGAATTGCTTCTCGTCTAGGCCCAAGTCGTATCTAATAGAGCTTGTATCGAAGCTATAGTTCGACAGTATCGCCGCGAGAGCACAACAATAAGTGTACACCAAATCGACATGGAACTTCCTCATCTCTGCGTTAGATGAGAACTTTCGCCTAATGTTCTCGATAACGGGTTCTGGAGCAGGCTTCATTATCTCCCTGAGCTTGTCTTTCGGCGGGATTCGTTTTGTGCCCCTATCCTTTCCTGGTTTAGTATTCCTGACGAATTTGATAAGGAATTCTAGATATCGAAGAGCTCGAAGTCTATGCACTGGGTTTGGTCCTTCTCCAACGGCCTGAAATCGGTTGGCAATGAACTTGGTCGGTATTGCGGAGTTTTCTCCGTTCTTAAGTTGTTCTTGCCAGTCTCTAATTGGAATGGCATTTAAAATTTCACCTCCGATCAATTCTTCGATAGTATACACATCCTGTATCTCCTGGGCATCAAAATTTCCTGGTGGTACTGGCTTCGCTGCGTCGGCTACTGCTTGAAGATCTTCTTTAGATGCCATTCCCACGGTGACGTCGTTGATAGAATCCATTAGCGCCATGGAGGATGAGCTGAGCTTTTGAGGGTTTCCGCCTGCATCGGCGACAGCTTTTTCTGGAGCAATGGCATTCTCGGTGATTGCAGCAAGCGCCTTCTTTGCTTTCTTAGTTCCAAACGCTTCGCCAAGGTTGTTGCGTAGTTCCATCATCGTCTATGTAATAGTTAGATACCTTTCTCACCAAAACACTAAGATGGAGCTTATATACCTTGGAGGATTTTCTTTCTTCTGCATCTTCCTCTGGAGGTTTCTGTGCTCGAACTGCACCTCTGACAGCCATCTTCTTGGCTTCCACGACTGACAGTTGGCCCGTCTTCGGATCAAAAACTCCGATATAATGCTTAAGATGCGACTCCCGACCACCAGGCCCATCTTCCTTTGCTGTATAATCCAACTTGCTGTGTGAGGATGAATGTAGGAGGAGGCTGGGTGTGTGCGCATCTGTCTTCTTACTGCGCCTGGAACCTGTAGGCTGCGGGGATGTATATGTCTGAAATTTAATTGAATCGGGAACACAGAGACCAGGAGAAGTTGCTATAGCAAGAGGTTAATTATTGTCAAAAAATAAAAATAAGAAATATTAGGGAATGCCGTACCTATTATTGGAGGATAGCTTTTGGCTGTCTGGATGGAGGAGACTTTAACAATATTTGACTGTATAGGTTGTGAAGGAGCTTGGATAGCTACCTTTTTCTTTGGTCGTGAACCGGCATCTTCGCTACGCTTTCTCTTCTTTTCCTTATGCTCTGCCATGGTTAGGCTGCACCAAATTGACTGGATATGATTAACCGCAATCTTCAGACGATGCGCTTTTGTTAGAGCAAATTCGAAAAACTGACTGCAGGGATTGAGTTTGCATAGAAAAAAAAGAATGGACCAGAATACTGCCGATAGATAAGAGATTAGGCAGGCGGTGAACAGACCCCATGGTACGGAGTACATATCATAGCCTCATATTGCCGCAAACGGTTTCAAAAAGGCTGCATAGGTACCCAGGTACCTAGGTAGCCTTTGGGAATTATATGAGATTTTCTTAATGAATATTTAGTCTATATTAATTCTTGACTTTTGTGTTGCTACCTAAAACGTATCAGAGAAGTTTATTAAAAACTTTGTTTAGGTAAGAACTGACAATGTAATGGAAGGAGGGGTATCGGAGGAAACACGACGTCATCATCATCAAAATCTACGTAAAGCTTACGAGACTACCTGGCATATTCATTAACGGGGCATTGGGTAATCAGTTAGTTATAGAGATCGACATTTGCAAATCTATTGACTAGCACATGGATCCTATTTCTTGTGCAATGATCATGAACATCTCTTAGCAATTATGCTTTTTGTTCCGCGATACGTAAACACAACTGTTGGTCCACTCGATGGTGTTTGACCAGCTATCCTCCGGTCCAATTCGTTGTCATCATTCAGCCAAGCATACACAACTACAGCCATTCCCATAGTTCTTCCTTCCTGTCATGTAGACATCGCTTTGAGTTGAGGAATAGTCAAGATAGTCGAGTGTCATGTGCTGAGTTGCGAATGTGTTGATTGTGCATCGTGATTGTCATGACGCGATCCGGTCTGGTGGAGAGGCGCTGAGATCGAGTAGGGTTGATATGTTTACTTGCTGTTACAGAGAGATCAATCAGTATTAAAGTCGTTAATAGCTTAGCTATGAAGAAAGTGTGCGATAACGTACCTGCGAGCTCTCATCTTTCTTCTCTTACGCTTGAGGCGGCGAACTCTCTTCTTTCTCCACTTGGCTCTCATCGTGGCGACTACGACTATTTGTTGTTATTAGTACTTGTCATTCTTTCCAGAAGCTGTGGTGGTGAAAGATTATGATGGTGAGGGGTGGTGGGAGTGGATTTGTGGCGACCGCGGGGAACTTGTGCAAATCGACCGCAAGATCAGGATAATCGAAGCGCTCAGGCAATGCGATGGCAGAGGAATTCCTCAATACCTTTCGCAATTGCCTTGCAATAGAGAACGCTGGGGCAGCTGAGGGATTGAATTGTACTTACAGGTTGCTGTCGATGAGTTGCTTTGTTGATGAAGCTTGGGAGAAGGAAAGGAAATTTCGAGAGTGGGATGAATTGAAGTACGGTTGGAAATTATGTTAGGGTTTGTGACCGGCTTTTCTTCGGGTGCAAATAAAATGGGACACCTGAATTTTTGTTTGTGGTTGCTTAAGTGGTCCGTGCATATATGACGCTAAATTTCAAGCACACAGACGTCACTTACAGGAAGATGCTTCCCCCATCGCCTACACACTAGGGATATTACTCATTTTAGTAGTTTAATCTAGCTGGCGACTGCCTCGAACTCGAATGGCTCTACTGTATAACATAGAATGAGCCTGCCAGGAATATGCTTCAGGCTCGGCTAGTACCTTCCTCCTATTTTGAGGATCAACATAATAGAGTTTCTCAATATTAGGAGGTAGTAGCGAATCAATTTGAGAGGAAATAGTATCTTCAACTCTTACTGTAATTTACCTAACATGTATACCTGCCTAGGTAGATGCTATATAACACTTTAAACATGTTTAAAAGAAAATGAATAGAAGTCAATTGTCGTTACAACCGTAATTATCCATTGATTTTATTTTTTTCATACATCAACTTGTTCAGACCAATTAACGTCCAGTATGATTCATCCAATCGCACAAATATCCTGCTGGATTGTTGAGGACTCTTCGGAAGAATATAAACCTCCAGGTATGCCTTCGGCGTTCCAGATGATATATTTCCCATGTATTGATCTTTTGATCCAATAACTTACGGGTATTTTCACTTTTAGAAGGCTTCTATGTGAACAAGCTGCAAGGCGGAAAAGGCGGAAAACCTAGTCGTCACAACACGGAACTCTTCCTAGACCTCCCCCTACTCCCGGGGCGAGCCATAAATGTTGGACGGGATCATCATGTGAAGTAAGCCGAGCTTCTGACGGTATTTTTTCATACTTCGTACTAAAGACTTGAAAGTGATATTTCTATAAACCATCCTAATGTTTCAAGGAAACATTTCGTTATCTATTCAGTCATATACGACCTTGATGATGTTCAAAAGCAACCCTATCTAGTATATGTACGAGACTGCCAGTCTCTTGAAGGTACATATGTCAACGAAACCTGCATTGGTAATAAAGAGAAAGGTACCGCCCACGGATTTTATATTAGTCGAAATGTTGTAGTTACTGTTAAGCCTTACTGGAAATTTCGCATCTCGCTTTTATATCATACCGAGTTGAAATACCCTTTGAACTCAATTCAACTCAAGGAGTCAACTGTAAGTTTAGCCAAACTGTTGACGGCGTTGAAGCAGATTTCTCATGGGCTACAGCTTTTTCGCGATCGATATATCATTACCGAACGAATTCTAGGCCGTGGGGCCTTCGCGAAAATTCATTTGGCTGTCGACGCGAGAACCGGGAAACAGCTTGCTTGCAAAATCCACGATCTCGATCGTCTTCGTCGACTAGCACCCTCTCATGATTTAATCCGACGTATTAGGGATGAGACTGATATACTCGGAAAGCTGAAGCATGTACGTGCTTTTGGTTTTATATATCTGCCTATAGGTGGTTTTAGCATACTCACAAAGATCTAAGCCTAACCTTCCTATATTCGAATATGCATTCCACTCAGCACACACTTTCTACACCTTTATTGAGCTTGCAACAGGCGGTGACCTCTTTTCCATGCGCCTAACACGAGGAACTTTCGAGGAGCAAGATTGTAAATTCGTCATTCGGCAAGTCGTAAATGCCATTTGTTATCTTGTGCGTATTATCAGCAGATTTCTTCTCCCCCTTTATACGTTTCTTAAATTACAGCTTTCTAGGTATCTAGAAGGTACTTACAATTGTTAGCATGAGTACCGGTAGTTTCTGCGTTTGATATGCGCTTGAGTTCCCTACATACATCAACCAATAGGGGGTTTGCTGACAATAGTTAACATAGCATAAGGGAGGCATTGCACATCGCGACCTAAAGCCCGAAAACATATTCTTTGCTACAGGACCGGATCCTACAGGCCGCGTTATTGTTGGTGACCTCGGATTCGCAAAATCTACTGCATCAGGCCGTATGGCTAGTCGAGTAGGTACTGACCAGTATATGGCACCGTAAGTCAACTCGGCCTACTCTCAGGAGTACCTGCTGACCGTCTATCAGCGAAGTTGAATATGGTGGGACACATGGTCTAGCTGTGGACATCTGGTCCCTTGGTATGATTGTGGTGTTCCTTCTAGCGCCAGATGAGAACGCTGTTCCGAGTAGCGCCATGAAAATAAACCAAGCGGCAATTACCGGATGGCTCGACAGCGTATTCGAAGACCCATCTCAACAGAGGATAAGTAATAGCTGTCAACAATTTATTAGATCTTGTCTTATGTTTGAACCTGAGTGTAGGTTGGAAGCATCCAAAGCGAAACATCATTCTTGGTTTCAGCAGCAACCAGACAAGCAACAATTCAAATTTCGCATGAAGGAAAATATCGAGACATGGAAGCCAGCTCATACTATTGCTCCACCTGTACAAGAGCTTCCGGAAATGGAGCAAATCTACGGCACAGTTCACAAAGGAGAGCAAGTTAGGACATCTTGCCTTTCAACCTCATCAACTAATTTAGGGAAGAGGACCTCCATAGACACAATTCTAGATGGAAGTGATCTCCAAGAATCACCTCACTTCACATTTTCAAGACCAGTAAGGCCTAAGCGATTGAAGATGACTGGATTAGGGGCTGAAATACCTCGGACTACGCCCTCGATAATCAGCAATATCTACGTGGTATCGAGCGAACAGACCCAAGCTAAATCATCGTAAAGGCCTAACTCAGTCATCTAGTACAACAAACCATGGTTATTGGAGTGCTATTGTAATTCATTGTATTCTGAAACAAGGAGGCTTCAAATATACTTTCTAAACATGACAGTGAACTATGGATTTGTACGAGCTTGATCTCCGGCTGTTATAGAAAGTTTATGAATTACAATGCAATTAATTGTAAACAATGCACTTATAATCTAACTAAAATTCCTCCTTTATGTTTCATAATAGCTTTATTACTATTAATCTTTGTCACTATTAGAGAGTACAAATTCAAGGAGTTTCTCTCGTTAATGAACCCAGGGTTTCTTTTCTTCATCGCATCTTCTTTGCAATAATTTAACACAATGTCACCAATCCAGCAGACAGGCAATACAACTGACGTGAAGCAAACAGTAGCTAACGGAGCTTCTTCTAGCAAACCTCGCGAGTTAAAGAATATGTCTGCTGGCAAAAAGTCAGTGAAAACCGGAGATTCGGAGTCTGAGGGAAAGGTCTACATCAGAGACGGCCTCACTGGAAGGCTATTAGCAGATGATGGCGAGTCTTGTCTGAGATGCATAGACAAGGGACTTAAGTGCACCCTCATCTTCCTAGGTTTTGAGAATGAAGCTAAATGCGCTGCTTGCAGAAGATCTAAGTCTCAATATTGTATTCGACAGCGTCGGCCTCAGGATTGTTATATGTTCTATGGACATCCTTGGAACAGCCCAAACTATTTCGCCGTTGGACAAGGTCCCAACTCGAGAGAAATGGAAGAAATCCTTAAAGAGCACTTCGTTGGCAAGATAATAGACTCTCCAGGTGGGTATTCATATATATACATCTATGGTCAGAGACGGAATAGTATAACTCTTCCTGCTTTCAACGGTAGTGACCTGCCGGCGGCTATCCGACCGAAGGATTTTGAATCCAAGACCTGGGAGGACGTGTTACCGATCCCGATGAACAAGAGCGCTCTCTGTCGGTTAAAAGATAAAGAGGAGAAGGGCAAAGCAGCGGAAGAGAGAGCGGAGAAAATGAGAAATGCGATGGTAGCTTTAAATACCCCTGTGACAGCGCTTGGCACTCCTGGATTCGGTACACCGGCTCGCAAAGGCAATTTTCAACAACGTTCTCGGTACTATCCGATTAGAGGTATGCATTTGAGGGAATACATTGCTAATATGGAAGAGGTACCGGGTGCTCAAATAACTGAAATCGAACAAAAAAATCGTAGAAGAAGCGTAGGGCCATAAAGACTAAGTACCTACCTACCTTAGGTACCTATCTAGCTTATAGAAAAGTAGTTTCCATAGTATCCTAGCACTGAGTAAGAAACAATTTAATGAATCATATTAACCACAGACGGAATTCTTGATATATGAATTTACAATTATAAAGTGAAACTCATAAACTTCACATCTTAGTCGCATATGTTATGCGATAGTCTTACTAACTTCTACTTTCTAGTATAGAGGTCAATCCTATGACCCTAATAGGGGTACGAAACTGTATGCTATCGAGCCCCCAGGCAGCAGCGGAGAAGACTGACAGGACCATTCAGTTAATTCACCTATTACATACTAGCATAATAAACCCATAGACATATTCACTTAAATTTTTACCAAGTCTACATTGTGACTTATTTATTCAGCCGTTTCGCCCGGTCCAGATCGTTCCAGAAATCGCACTGGGCAATCCTAACAGAATCTTCCTCTACGGTGGTGTAAGCACCGGGGTTAATAAGAAGTTGTTTCGGCCGAGCCGCCCCGCAAGTCTCCGATACCTGGTACTGTGGCCACTCCGGGGTTCCCTCTAACCGGGCACTATTTGGGTTGCCCGTAGCTACAAAACTAGCTAGGTAGGCGTGGTATATATGGGCGGTTTGCGGAAAGGCCACTCCTGACGAATCGTAGGCGTAAGCTGTATCGGAGGTATGTGGTATTCCGCGCCATGCTTGGTACTCTAACGGATGGTTTGGCGTGTTGAAGTGGAGTCGCCACGTGGGGACGCCGGCTGTCGATGTGCGGAAGGCCGTTTCACGACTGGGACATATATAAGCCATATCTGACCAAGCAGCCGAGAGTCGATTATACTGGGTGCTGTTGGGCGAGTTCGCCCAAGGGGAATCAGGATGCCGTGTTGGGTCTGGGTAGAGCTCATTCAACAAGGCGATATCGGTGTAATTTAGATAGGGGCTCATAGCATATATGAATGATAGGAAATCATCGTTGGTGTGATGGATTGCCGGAGTATAAAACTTCCCTTCGTCGGTGACATAGGAGGTAATAGCGGGGAGATGGTGGAAGGTTCCCTCGGCGCCGGACTGTGATCCCGGTCTTTCTAATAGAGGCCCCCCTAAGGTCGGTTGGAAAGGCCAGCTCAGAGTTTGCTCTGCCTCCCCATACATCTCTGCGCTAATGTGCTGAATATCATGTATCGATGCTTGCCGAAGGCAATCTAAGGCTTGTGCATTACCCCCCTCAGTCTTTTCGGTTGGACAGCCGAGATATCGCATATACCGTTTGAAGTCCTGCTTGTATTGGGGAAAATTCGAATCCGGAAATGCGCGTGCTGTTACTGAGCCGGACTGAAAGATAGCTCGTGCAAATAGTGGTTTACCTTCATCCTCCTCATAATTGTGAAAGTAATGGATACCAGTAGAGTGTCCGCCGGCCGATCGGCCTCCTATAGTAATCTGCTTCGGGTCTGCTCCGAATGACTCTAGGTGGTCCTGGAGAAACTTAAGCATGAAATGTTGATCACGTAGCCCAAGATTGAGAAGGCCCTCCTCTTCGAAAAGCCTACTAGGAAGGAATCCTAGCGAGTTGAGCCGGTAGTTGAATGTAACAACTGCAATAGGTAGCTTAGATGAGGAGACGAACGATGCACCATCCATACTTCTACCTGAACCAAGAACAAAGCTACCTCCATGAATCCAGACTAACGTAGGGAGTTTCTCCGTTATCGGTACGCCTGAGGTTCGATAGACGTTGAAGTTCAGACATGCCTCATCTTGGACCTGACCTGCTGTATAAATAGTGTCTTGTACGCAGACATTCCCATAACTTTCTGCTGGCCTGATTTCATGAAATTCCGACGGGCGATGCTCTACTGGCCGAAAGCGCCGTTGACCGACCGGCTGAAGCGCATAGTCAATGCCAAGCCATGCGTCCACAGAAGCTGGAAGGGGACTCCCGGATAGTTCCTCATTTATCTTCACTCCAGAGAACAAGCCATAACCGCTTAGATTAACTGTAGGTGTTGACGAAACTGGGTCATGGTTAGATAACGGATTCTGAGCCAGGAGGCCGAGCTGTGCGACGGCCGAGAAATGCATGAAGTTGGGCTGAGTGATCTTGCGTATAACATACTATGGAAATCAGGGGTAACACAAGCGCACGAACAAAACACATGAGTCTTCGCTCGTGGGTTTGCTTAAAAACAAGACGAAAAGAAACGAAACTGTCGAAAGGCCGGTTTCGCCATCGATCTGCCCCCGCTTGAGATAAGAAAGCGTTTCCCAACTCGGAAAGAAATACTACTCGTTTCGATATCACTGATCCCCGCAATTGCGTCTCTAGCAGAATTCATGGGTTCATGGCTCCCGGTATAATTGTTAATGCACGGTACATGAGTTTGATTTAAATACCTGGATTACTTCGGTTAATATGTTTATAATAGATTGCAGAATAAAGACTAAGAGTAAACTATGGTCTGAATTGTAATATATCTGAGGGTAATTGGCTTTTCGGAATATATAAATTTTAGATAAATATGGGTGCTGATAATTTAACCTAGCTTCTGCGGATTAGGAAAGGAGGCTTGCGGTCTTGTCCTTCGCTCAAGCCGACGATCCCCCTGAAGCTAAGATAACTTGACCAGTAACCCATTCCGAATCGTCACCAGCTAACCACGAAACCACCTTTCCAATATCACCAGGCACAGCGCATCTACCCATCGGGCACGCGCTCGACATAGCCTGCTCCACTCTCTCGGCAGACCATGTCTTATCGGCTCCCGGGATGTAGTGCGTAGCCATCTCGGCAAACATATCTGACTTGACGCCCCCCGGCGCAATGGCGTTTACCGTGATACCATCTGCCCCGAAATCCGTGGCCAAGGAGCGTACAATGCCTTCGACGGCAGACTTTGACCCAGCGTATAGAGCGTGGTCCTTGATGCCTAGGATTCGGGCGGCAATGCTTGACGTGAGGATGATGCGACGCGCGTACGGCGACGCCGTCTTCTTCATATAGCGGTATCCCGCAACGGCGACGAATAATTGCGAGCGCGTGTTGATGTGGAAGACATGGTCGAAGCGCTCCGGGGTGATGTCAACCGCGGGCTCGAACGACTCCACGCCGCTATTGCTAACGACGATGTCTACGCGGCCCCACTTCTCGACAGTCTTAGCGAAGATCTTGTCAATCTCAGCTAGGCTGGTGACATCTCCCTGGACGGCAATGGCCTCCGAACCTAATGCTTGGATCTCTTTAACAACTTCCTCGGCGGCTGATGATGACTTGGCGTAGTTTATTGTCACTTTGGCGCCGCGGCGAGCTAGTTCGAGGGCGATGCCTCGGCCGATGCCTCTGCTTGAGCCTGTGACGATGGCGACGCGGTCGGCTAGAGTAGGTAGTGGTGCTTGAGAAGCCATGGTTTCGTAAATTAGATATGAAATAGGGTAGTAGAACGGTAATGGAGGAGAGTAAGATGCTATGCTCAGTTACACGCAAACTTAGATGCAACCCATCATCCATTTGTGTGAATTCTTTTCACCATCGGCTCGAGGTCCTCCAACATTAGAAGCGGCACTTCCATAGTGCCGATGCGCCCGAGACGATTCCGACGATGTTTCATGCTTACGAATTGATCTACACTGGAGTTGAAGAGCTCACTCGGGTACCGGGTACCGGAGATCCGGAACCCCATCGGAATGTGTTTGTGTAACCGGAACGGGGCCGCTGGGCCCACTTATACCGCTACGCCGAATATCCATAGTTCATGCAGCGCATTATAGAATAGCCTCACATCACTTCCCACTGCGTAGCAACGTGCGTAATTTGAGTTGCTGATTGCAAGCCATTATTTCTAGGTAATTCATAACAGTATTACCCCGCACAATAGGAAAAAGCAAGAGGCGTACATAAGAGCTGAACGGGACGTATCCGGGCCCGTGACCACATCTAAATTAAGAATGACTTATCGATAATATTCTCTGCAATGCAATGGGATCTACAGGAGACTAACAGCCTGACAAGCGTTTTGATTGCTTTTTAACTCAATGTAACTATTTACTTGTGCTATGTACGTAAACTTGACCTTCGCACCCTTTATAAGGTTGGCGATGTCCTGACTACTGCCCACTTCAACTTGCCACTACCATGAAGCAATTGGTCGCAATTAGCTATCAGCGATGGTCCTCGGCCTACATCACTTAAACTCGAGGCTCTTGAATGCCAAGTCGAGTTTATGCAGACCCAAGTTGCTGATATAAAGAGACAGGCTATTAAGAGAGGTTGTTGAGAACGAACATAGTAAAAAAAACAAGCAATAGTGTTTCCGGTACGCATGCTAGGATCTTCGGAGTGAATCGGTTTCTTTTATTCGTTTAGTTTTAACCGGTAGTGATAGTGGACTGTGACAATCTAACTCGCTCCGTAGAGGCCTAAGTAGCCCCTTTTATTGACACGAAATAGGTACGTTTATTCTGACGACTTCACACAAGTATATTCGGTTGAATACTGATAGGTGTCTTATATGATAAGCTTCTCAAGTCGTCTTGAGCCACTGCAATCCATCATCAAATGCCTGTTGAAACATTTTGGCCGTCAATTCATTCCCCAAGTCCGGCCTGGTCGCAAACCCGTGCTGCGTCCCTCCGTAGACGAGGAACTTCCACGTCGCCCCGCATCCGGGGAGGTGGTTCAACATCGTCTGGATCAGGTCTGGTGTGAATACGTCTGTTTCTGCACAACCTACTAGGACAGGCTTCTTGAGACCCTTGAGGTCCGAAGGCTCAAGGAATGACTATAAAATCAGTCAGACGTGATGTCAAATAGAATAGATATTCGCATGTTTATGGGAAGTTTTTCGGGGCACAGGGGTTATGGCGGTAATATTGTAGAATAGCAAGATCTCGAGGGTTATCTGTTGTTACATAACTCACCGGATGAAAGATAAATATAGAACTGACGTTCTCATGGTCAAGCTGCGCCAGCTTGAAGGCATGCTTGCCACCAAAGCAGTGACCAAGTATATGGATCCTTGCTTTAGGTTCTTGGCCCCCTTCTGCTACGGTGGTACAAAACTCGGGAAAGAATTCGGCTACAAGTGAGGATATGTGTTCTGGGGTGTGCCGCTTTAGCCAACTTGGCATATCAATCTTGCGAATAGTCTCCTTTTGCTGTTTATACCCGAGAACGAATACATTAGCGTACGTCCAATCGCTTGCTACGAATGAGTTTTAGCGGGCTTACTTCTAATGTGAGATTATCGTATGCGTCAAGGTCCGTCCCTGGTGTGTATAGCATGAAGGTATCAGGTAACGCGTCGCCTTCAAAGTAGTCCACAATCACTGTCTCATAACCTAGGATATGTTAATACTGCTCGGATCTGGTAATTATATACACTCGGTGTCAAGATATACCGTGTTGGGCATATTTATCCGCAAGTCTCTGATTGTGTTTGGCTAGGCCAAATCCATCTGGTAGGTAAAGGATGATATCGCGATGGGAGTTTTGGTCCTTGTTCTGAGGCGTTGATCTGTATATAGGCAATCCAGCAAGAGTTGAGAAAGACCCTTTCGGCTCATAAGCGGCTGTAATAACTGTCGCGTAAGTAGCTACCTCATAGTGGACTGGATTTCGCTTAAGAAGACTTACGATCACTAGCTGTTCCTTTGAAACAGTAACATGTAGACATATTGCTTCACTAATGTATGCAGGTGAAACTGTGTAGCGCTTGAGATCTTGTTTGTATCGACATCAAGAAGCAATGGATGAGCTACATAATTAAGCTTAAGTAGAAACGACTGGATTGGGGTACCGGAACCCCACGGCACGGTATTAACAACCTCCATCATGCATACTGGCTAATCATGATTCTTTCTCAAACACAAGCTTGTTCCTCAAAGAACCAATACCACTAATATCAACCTCAACAACGTCACCGTCCTTCAGCCAAGGCTGCCCCGGCCACTTAGCAGCTATCCCAGCTGGAGTTCCAGTCATGATTATCGTTCCCTGCCTTAGCGTCGTTCCTCTGCTCGCATGTGCAATGATTTTCTCAATATTGAAGAGCATATCACTTGTGCTTCCATTTTGCCGAACTTCACCGTTAACTGTTGTCTTGATCTTGAGCGGAGCATTGGAGGTTATTAAAGAACCATTGAGAATCGTAGGTCCAATTGGAGCGAAGTAGTCAAATGACTTGGCGTAGGTGAATTGCCCTCCTGAGTAGGGAGGTCGCTGCCATTTGCGCGAGGAGAGATCATTTCCCGCCGTGACTCCTAGGACGTAGTCGAGGGCTTTGTCCTCGGGAATGTTTTTACCAGTCTTTGAGATGACTATACATAACTCTCCCTAAAATAATACGTTCTTTAGTCAGTATACGACCAATCCCAAGTCGACGAGCACAGACCTCATAATCCATCAACTCTGCTTCAGGGGGGACTGGGACATCTGAATATGGACCTGTCAAAGCATCTATGGTGGCAAGCCACGACATCAGCAACGTCCGAATCTAGTGATAATACAATTATTAACTACTACTTACCCGATGGCTTCGTAAAGATAACGGGATTTGGTGGGATTGCCAGCTATAGCAAGTGTATTAGACTTGACTCTGAACGACATGGTAAACACCACAAACATTGGCTTCTTTCGCATGATCCGCATAATTCAGTCCTATGCAGACAAACAACGGCGTAGAGGGAACTGGAGATAGCAACTTTGAGGTAGTAATATTATTAGCTAATAAAACACTGGGCAACACATGGGCAACGTCGTGCTGCTCACCTTGTGGACTACAGCAGTCTTATCCGTTCGTCGTAAACTAAAAAGGTCACCTTCCAGGAGCTGTACAACTGAGCCAACGATACTATCCAGCGAGCTATTTATGACATCGCCATAATGTTTAACGGACGACTCATCTAGGAATCGGATCAAATTAGTGAACGTTGGTGAAGACATGATTGCTTGGCATTGGCCTTGGATATACGCTATACCCAGTCTTGAGGTTATGCTTATATGCGAATGGCCAAGGCATAGATATACTAACTTCGGTACTTATAAAGGGGGAATGCAATCCTAATGATAGGTAGGCATGCATTTACTTTACGACTCCGATGAGGCCAAGCTCGGCTCTCCACTTCCGAGGAAATAGCCGGACTCCAGAACATCCTGCATAGAGGTAGGTACCTATTTAACTTGCATCATAATAACAATACCCGAGACAACAATTATCACTACTTGGACTATTTGTCATCGTCGCTATTCGGTGTTATAGCTGAGACTTAACGTGATATTTCCTCTAGTTAGTTTGTAGCTTAACATATACTATAGGTACCTTAAGTAGGTAAACTGCCTGTATAGAAGTAAAACAATAGGGTTATACTATTGTTAACTAGGACGCGTTTAGATAAATTTCTCCCATCTAACGTTTATATTTATTAGTCAGATGCTTTTATACTTTATTGTTTGATAGACTTAGTAACTTTGATTCATACAGGGCTGTCCTACAGATTGTACGAATCCGTATATAATTCTGCATATTTTGAGATTATTGGGTCAAGCATTTTATTAATTAATCGAGGTCCTCAGTAATGACCGACTCTCTTTGATATTTAACTACCCACCCCTGAGTTTTGTATCCATCCTGAAGCACGCCGATAGCCTATTTCCCAAACGCTAAGGGTAAAATCCGCTTGCTAACCCCGAAATATTATACCGTCCAATCCGGTGAAATCCAAATGTATACTATTGTTTCTTATTCTAACTGGTATTTAGGAAAGTATGTAGTAGCTTTTAACGACGGGTTTAGTGAATGTGAGCCTTCTCCCAGCTAATTAACCGCCAGTGTGTGGAAGTATGATGGCGGATCTTGGGTCCCCAGAATACCAATGCGATTGCTAGGAGAACAAAAGCCGCGAATATACCCGCAATGGTACCAAAAGCCTATCAGAAAAGTGACTTGTCAGTATAGGACAGAAAAAATAAGTCTTTAGGAGTGATCAACTTACCTTTTCGTAGCCTTGGGATTCGACCCACGGCACAGTGCCTCTAATAAATCCAAATGCGACGATATTTTTGAATCCGTTAATTAATTCTAAGCACTCTGCTGCTACAGGGAAGTAGCTATCACACACATATACCATGGCAATGCTAGCAACGCCCGTAAGGCCGACGCTCATTAAACCATAGGCAACAAAAATGACGGCCCAGTGCATTTGTCTCTCCGCAGCGAAGCCGAAAAGGACAGTTCCTGCAAAAACCAAAGCGCTAGGAATGAATAAGAGAGCTAGTCGTTCCTCAGGAAGAAAGATACCGTTATTGCGACGAGCGCGGTAGGCGGAATACCTGTCAATAAGAACACCGCCGATTATAAAACCGCTTGCTTGGCCGATCATTCCCGGAATGTTTATTAGCCCTACGTTTCCCACATTGAAGTTGTATGGTGGGGGTATTAGAATACTGCCACTCAGAACGTTGACCATGACAGTTGGAGCGAGGCAAATAGAGTCTTTTCCCCAAGTTAGCAACGTTTAGTACGATTCAATAACCATTTTAAACTCACAGATAAACGTAGCCATGAGGCAAGCTGGGTAAACAATTAAGGGCACCGGCCGGAACATTAGGTCGAAGAACGACTCCTCAGGTGTGGTTCCAGACCAAGGATTGAGCAGTGCTAAGTAAGGCTTACGGGGTATGCTAGGGTCCGTCGGGAACAACGTTGAAGGGGTATTGCTAGTTGACTTCTCAAGATGCACGTTATCAGACTTGTCCATACCACTGCTGGCTTCGGCATCTGTTGCCGTCTCGGAAATTTGCATTGGCTCTGATGCCTGTGTTGTCTGATTGGGGGGATTTGACGGTGACGGGTTTATAGTCCGGTTGAATCTTGTTTCTGGAACAAAGAAGATGATCATCAGGAGGTTAACGCCTAGAAATATAGCGCTGAGCCATTTGCCCCATTTCAGACCTCTGCCTATACCACCTTTTGTCAGTTTCTAGCTGGATTATATCGGGGTGCTGGAACGTACTTTCGATAAGATATCCTCCTATAAGAGGTCCCAAGCTGCTGCCGAACGCAAGCATGATCAAATTCCACGCCATTTTACTACCTCTTTCGTGCAGAAAGTAAATATCCTAGGAGGATAATTTAGAAAAAGCAATCTATTGCCAACTGACTGAGGGTGCAACTTACGTTGATGATAGCAGCTCCAAGCGCTTCAGATGCTCCTCCACCAAAACCGCCAACTACACATGCTGCTTGCAAGCTAGCAAAGCTGTCCGTTGACGCTGCCCAGATAGCTGCTGCAAACGTGATAGCACACGCTAAGATGAATACGGGCCTTTTCCCAAAATACAGAGCCGAAGGAACCCAAATGAAGTTCTGTTGAAAACGAAAATGTAAGTGGAGTTAATTCATTGAAGTAGGAGGATAATATCTTACCGACACTCCTAGAGTAAGAATTACCCAGGCGATCAACCCGGAGGCTTCATTGATAGATACATTGAAGTGCTCGGAGATGAGAACGAAGACATCGGAGTAGACGGTTCCGCTAATATTGTTCGTGCAAGCAAAGGCGCAAACAGATGCGTAGGCCATGTTCTTGCGCCATCTCGGCCATCTCAGGGGATCATTGGGATCTGCAGATGGCTGTGGAAAGAGGATAAGGTCATTATTGCCGTGATGCCGTTCACCCTCAAGATTCTCTACCACCGTGACTCGTAGTTAGATACTGTTCCTCAGAGAAAGATTAGTTAATATTTACCTTTGAACAATAGCACGGTGCCTTCAGTTGTATCTAACTCCTTAAGTGTTCTGAAATGCATGATGCCGGTTGGAGTGCTTGTAGGCACTTGTGATATCTATTCCAGATAACGTCGAAGCAGTCCTGGAGTATGTAAAAAGATATATAGCGAGACTGGAAGACATAGATAAGGGTAAGTGACTTAATGCACATCAATGTAAGTGTCCGTCTAATCTTAACTTCCCCGGATTTCCAATTCCATAGAGGATCTACCTATGCGAGATCGTCGCGGGATCTATACGCCTAACTTCCGTACCTTGTACGCGCACACACTTGTAGTATAGTTCGAGCTTGAAATCTCCAATTAAGATCTAAATTAGGAGATAGCTATGGAGATTCAGCTCATCTAGGAAACCTCGATGGTAACGAAGACATGAAGACCGCGTCAACTCACCTTATGGAAAGTACCGCCGGACCGGTGGGGGTCCGATAAGACGCATGCACAGACGGTGGCTTGTCCAATTATTTTCATAGTAAGCTCACGTAACCATCGCATATGATACGTAATGTACATGGTGATGATACAGGAGAAATTGAAGAAAGCCATAATTAGAAGGTTATGATTTATATTATTCTTGGCCAACGAATATCTACCTACGTTTTAATATCTTAGGGTAGTTATAATGGATTAATATCTGAGCATGTTAGTTATCACGTGCCACCACGTGATATTCAGGGGGATCGGTTGAACTTTGAAATATGTTGGGAGTAAAAGCTGTTGGTCGGATTATCATTTCAATTTCATATCTGATTTGGAACTTTTGACCGATATCTCTAATAAAGCCTGAAACATGATTCGACTGCACAAAAACACGTTTTTAGCAGAACAAAGGAGTTCCGGTATTTACTATTTCAAAAGTAACACTAAAGCACCCCGGATTTGCGGTTTGCGGGGAGTATTAGACTAAGAAAAGGCGCTGAACATCTCGGCTCATTCGGAGGCTAGTAACAAAGGCCGAGGTGGGTTACGCGGATTTACCGGACAGGGGCATCCCTATTCTATGCGTCCTATGCATCCATCCGTATAGCGGTTGCAGAAACCTAGCGCCTTTTCTTCAATTTGTGTGACGAGATTATTCAAAAAATTGTCTGTTAGTTTAACTATATCGTTTGCTTATACTATTTACTTATAACTTAGGTATAGCTAAGGAACTAGCTATACCAATTAAGAGATGGCATTTTGCACTTATTGTGGTCAGGAGTTTCAACGAAACGAGCATCTCGAACGCCACTTAGCTACTCGTAAGCCGCCAGTGTTTTAGTATCTTACTTACTATTTGCTATTTGCTGTTTGCCCTACTGATAACAATCTCCCATCTTACAGACGCTAATATTAAGCGATTTAAATGTAATATCTGTCATCTATCTTTTTCTCGGAGGTATGTCAGACATTCCTTTTTTTTTTTTCTTACACTCCCTCGTCCTCTTTTTATCCAATTATAATTAATTGTTCTCAGAGATGTCCTTCAGAGACATGTGGCGGTTCATGGTGAAACCTCCGCCGATGGACAGTCCTCAAATCAACCGATGGCTGGTGTAAGACATCGTACACAAGAAGCTTGTCGTAATTGTGCGAGGACTAAGACAAAATGCGATTCTAACACACCCTGCAATCGTTGTCGCGTTAAACAAATTTCATGCGATCGACGACCAAGAAAGGTACCGGTACCAGTACGTGCATCTTTGTCAGGCGCTAGCCAGGATTCAATAACGCCAGTATCAGAGGTTAATGTTACTCGCGATATTGGATCTATTGGATCTTCTACTAGTATAAACATAGATGTGGAACACGCTAGACCTAATCGGAATATTCAAAGCTCTTCGGAAAATAATAAAGGTCTTGATAATTCAACACATAGCTCTGCCTCATCCCCGACAAAGCAGTTACAAATCCATGATGCCATCATTGAATCTGTCACCAGTGGTGGGTTCGGTACCTTCATGGACAATGTGTCTGAACAAAACATGAATAATGGTGCTGTCCCACCCGGCACCGAATCATTGGTAATTGGGTCGCACATAGAAACCTGGACTGGCCAGAGCCAAGCTCTCATAACAACTCGGAATAGTGAACAGACTGAACATTCTACTGGCGTGCTTGGTCCAAGTCAGTATGGGGTAATCTGCAATACAGGATTGACATCGCACAGTCCTACTGAGCTGCAAACCGACGGGTCAGCTAACTTGTGGAATGAAGACCGACAGGCGTACGACATCCAGTGGCAATATAATACAGACGCTGTGGAACATCAAGTTATCATCCAAGCGTATAATTACTGGTCATCGTTTCGCTGCAACCCGTTCGAGGATATGTCGAAGTGTCCTAGGACGGCCGGAGTGCTCCTTGAGAGCCTCGGTCACATGCCAGAGTTGGATAAGTTATGGGGTTGGCTTGGGCTCGACTTCGCAAGCCCTAATCCGTTCGAACCCCTAGCAAGCTTACAGCTCCGCGAGAGTGTGCGGGATAAACTTGCTGCTATCTCTCAGGCTCTCCTCCAAAAGGCCCTCAGAGTCCATCAGCTCGACCCTGCCACGGCTGCTGCCAGTTACCCTTCCCCATCTCCCGATGGAACCTCCCGCGGGTTCCTTATTCTCCCGCCCTCCGCGACTATGGAACATTTTCTTCGCGAATATATGCGCATATTCGAGCCATTTTATCTTCTCGTTCCTGGAGGCGTTTTGGATGCAAATATGCTGCTGAATGGCTCTAATGATACATCATCCACTCTTCTTATTCTGCTTATGATTGGTCAGGGAGCTATATCAGATCCTACAAATGAGGCACGACGTCTGTCAGGTGGCTTAACAGAAGTTTGTCGTATTTCCTTATTCGACACTATCGAAAAGGATGTTTCTGTCTGCCACCAGCCCTTATTGCTGCATTGTGCACTGGTGTTTATTATCCAAGCTGCATGGAGTGGTGATAAATGGTTGATGGATATTGGCCTCGGACAGCGTGGTATCTATATTGCGGTATGCTAACCCCTATTCCTGACTATATCATTTTTCTGGACTATGTCCGCTCCTAGGATTTGATATCTAACCATCAGTAGATCGTCCGAAACAGTAGATTATTCGATTCTCAAGTTAGCCATATGGAGTCCCTAGAACTTGACGATGATTCAAGGCACGTAGCCTGGCTTGAGCGTGAGAGACTAATTAGGTAGGGCCACTTGTCGCTTCCTCTCGAACTCTTCCTTTTCTCATGATTAAAGGGGTTACTGACATTGTAAATTTCTATTATCTAGGCTTACATATACATGGGTTATTCTTGACCTAGAACTCAGCTTGTTCCTCGATAGCACCCCGCATATACAGATAGCGGACCTTAACTTAGTCCTCCCTAGTCCTGCAGAACTCTATCTAGCTTGTGATACTGACTCGTGGAAACGTGGAATGAACGATACACCGCTGATACAGCCATCTCTCCGCGTGCTATTTGAGTGGTTCCTTACCGATCAAGTTACGGGGGACAGACGTCTTTGTCTAACGCCCTCGGCGTTTCGACTATTGCTTCATCCCCTTTATTCGCTTGTTAATAGTTTCCGCCAAGTCCTCAGTTGCTTTAGCGAGGGGCCGAACTCGCGCCTATTCTCTCCGGTTACGAAAAGATCTACCGATGTTCGAATGGAGGAAATGCAGGTTCTTCTGCACCGCTGGTTTAGCTTATATTGTTCCCGTCTCCGTGAAGTTGAACAGTCAGATGTGTCTTTCAATCAATTTCGGAGCCCATTGATGATAGCGACTCTCATCACTTATCATATTATCTATCTTAACACAGTAACGGGCTTTACCGACATCGAAAGCTTAGCTAGGAGGCGACTGAGCGATTCTCGACTTCAACACCTATCTTCCACTCTTGTTGAACAGTATATCCATTGTCCAGATGAGGCTCTATTACACATCGGTCAAATCCTCTATCTTCTTCGCTCACTTGATAAGAAAGTCCGGCCGCCGTGGTGGCCTGCTGCTCTTTACCGTGTCACACTTACTCTATGGGCGATAAGCGTATTCTGCGGAGCGCGATGGAAGAGGCTATCATCGACTCTCGTCTTGATAGACGTCGAGTCGCGAGGCGACGATGATGCAGTGTATCGTCATTTTTACTCCAGCGTAGGAGCAAGCATTGCCGGATCCAACTCAGCAACGACTTCGGATTCATCTTCCAATCACCAGGTTTGCATTCCAGCAATTACGGACCAAAGGGGTGGTGCTGAGCCGGTAGCATTAGATGATCCAATCCGAACACTGGAGACTTGCTTGTTAGCTTTCGGGGGTGGCATCGCTACGAGATTCTCGGAGGGAGTCCACACTAAGTTGAAGCAGTTTTTGGTTAGTCGATATAACCTGAGAAACGGATGACTTCTTGGGCTACTTGGTGTGCTCTGTCTAAAATCTATTCTACTCAAGCTGGCCTTAGAGGCGATTAAACGACGTCGCCTCATGTACAAACCATTCTTTCACATGTAGCCTCCCATCCTATTGACCTGACCTAGAGGTTCCTCAAGCAGCAACTCCATTGGCCACTTTAGCCCCTTTACTAGCCGTCTCTGCAGGCCAGAACTTCCGCATGTCCGTCCTCCATTGCGCATAAAGTGGCCGATGGATGTTTTCGAGTTCCTTAGGATCCCCCCGAGCCAGTGCCCTAAAATACCAATCCTCCCTCGCCATATCGTCTGCCTTGGCACCATGGAGGCGCGTCTTATTGGCGCTACTGAACGGATGAATGACATTCTGGAAGACCCATCTCCGCTCTGTAGAGTAGCGGTTGAACAAGTCTTCCAGATTTGGATTAGACGATGATGTCGAAAGAGCAATTTGGAGGGTCTGAGCTAATGCGTCACCGTCTAGAAGACCGGTACATAAACCCAACCCGCCAATCGGGTTATTGATATGTGCTGAGTCGCCCGCGAGAAAGCACCGCCCACGATGCATGGTGCTGACAAGTAGCTGATGCATTTTATAGAGGCTCTTGCGCACTACCACATGGTTACTCGGCCTAGGTCCATCAATTTGACGTAAGAGGAGTGAATCGACATAATCCGGCTCAAGAACCTGCTCGTCTGTCAGACGAGCACTATTAGGGTCGTCGTTGGGTTTTGCTGGTACTGCTAAGCTATATCTCCAAAGACCTTTCTTTCCGGCCTCGACGTGTTCCAGCGGCGTCGCTACACCCCAGAATGTCTCGTCAACTGTAAAATGGACGGAAAACTCTGGGACAACTGGTGCGATACGCAGTACATCCGTCGCTAGGAAGCGCTCGGGCCAGGAATGACCCGAGAGGCGAATTCCAAGAAGTTTACGGACTGTAGATCTACCACCGTCGCAGGCGGCGAGATATTGACCTTTAAGAACCTTGTTTCCCTCTCGCGCCGTCTTTACCGTGACTGATACTTGGTTCTCGTCTTGTGACAAGCCCGTGACTTCGTGTTCCCAGAGGACTTTAACAAAACCAGTCTTTTCCGCATTCTCCAAGAAGATTTCTGCGAGCCGACACTGAGCAAGCTGGATGGAATAATGACCTGGCTTGAACTTTCCGTCGGGACCGGCCTTGCTCATCTCATTTTTCCCTATAATTGCGCCCAGTTCCTTGCCTACCACTGTGCCATTCTCATCAACAACATCAGTCGGGAGCTTGCGCCACACATAGCCTCCTGAAGGCATCCCCTCCGTTGAAATTTGGTCGTAAAGTCCGATCTCCTGGAAGACATCATGTACCGGCCCGTGATATCCTATAGCACGCGGCAGTTGACTAAGTGAGGATTCCTTTTCCAAGACTATGGTGTGAATCTGATTCATAGCCAGGCGAAGAGCAAGGAGGAGGCCAACTGGCCCAGCACCTACTATGATGACTGGGACTATATCGGTTCCATTAGAGTCGTTATGTGTTGATGCATTCGTACTCGTCCTGTCTGCCGTGGACGTCTCATGTGATCTATCTGAAGAAGCGTGCGGTGCCATTGCTACTCTATTAATATATTATGTAATGAAATGTCGACAATTTACCGGGCTATGCAAGTTAAGTGTCTGGGTTCATGGGCAAAGACAAGGAGCTATCTTCAAAAGCTATTCAACGTATAAATGCCTGCGTCTAGTGTTATTGTGAGGCGGATAGGTGGGATCTCCGAATACGAAATTCAAATGTATGGTGCGAGAATCGTGCGATTCGTCTTTACAACCGAATTCTCTCCCCAGCCGGGATTTAACAGATTTCCCGAGGGAGGGTCCCGGAGGAGAACCGAGAGATCAACTCGGACCATGCCGTATCCGGAGAGATGTGACCGCTCAGGTGAAGGCCTCTCTCCACACTTTGAAGCATCGTTGGACTAGACGCTGAGATGGGTTCTACTAGCACTGCTACGCTTTCATAAAGAAGCTTGTGCGTAGGAGCAATGTGGTCACTCATCTTCATTCGTGAAAATTACGATACATATTTATGACAAAGGAGGACGCAAATGAATACTCGTATTATTAGAAAGTTTGCATCGTTTACGCCCAGCAAGATGTCTAATCTACACCACCGAATGCCTACCACTTTTGGGCCATTCCCAGGACCGCGTCAATCGTTCGACGGGCGTGCTCGTGACGGTTCTGGGATAAGCAACGTGGAAGCCTTCATCACGTTCAAGGCCCAGCAATCTGATCTTGCCAGTCTACTACCCCCTACTTTTTCTTTCCAGAAACCGGGTCTGGAAGCCTATGTCAGCATCACAGCCAAACGCCTAGATAATCTAGAGTGGCTTGCCGGTCGTGGATATAACCTCCTAAGCGTCTACATCCACGGCGTGCAATACACGACGGAAGAAGGCGGCAGAGTATATCGAGGCACATATCTTCCCGTGCTCTGGGAGGATATGGCAGACCCGATTATCAGTGGGCGGGAGGAGTTAGGTTTTCCGAAACTATACGCGGATCTCAACATCTCGCAAACAGAAAGCACATATTCGATGATAGCGAGTTGGGATGGATCGAAGTTTGCCGAATTGAGCCTTAGAGGCCTCCACACGGAAGAAAATCAGGACGGGATGGGGTCCCGGCGGCTGCTGGCACCCCCCGAAGCTGGGGTCGATGAGGGGATCCTTCTATGGCGCTACATGCCTTCGACGGGGCATCCTGGACAAGCAGATGTGGATTACCCTGTCTTTGTCTCACATGCAGAAGAAGAAAAGAAACAACAAGCTAGGGTGATCAAGAGGTTGGTTGCGGGGGAGGGGGAATTCAAGTGGCACCCTTTGGATTGGCAGGCTTTGCCGACGTTGCACCACATCGTCGCGCGGCTGGAACGGATCCATACATTGGATATTGTGGCCTGCGGTCTCGTGGAGAAGGTCGGCGGAGGTGATCTCTCTTCGGCAAGGAGGGTTGGAAGCGAGCAGCCGAGTTTGTAAGCTACCAGACAAACAAACTAACAAACACCCGTTAGAGATAGCTATTTTTTTTTTAATCCCTATTCACCGAATTCCGAGTCTCAAATGAATTTGTAAATTGGTATGAAAAGTAAACCTCAATTCGTAATAAAGATACAAAGCCAACACCGGCAAACATGGGGATTCCGGCTCTCCATCGGAAGTATAGAAGGTCGTGCACCGTGATCCCAAGCCACTCGACGCCGTGTCCTACCACAAGACTATTTGCATTAAAAATCTGACGTCGAGATTAATAAGGCGACCGATGGTGTATTCTCAAAATAGACCTTCGAACCGGGTTAGCATTTATATCTCATCGCGCTGACTTACTTCCTAGAGTTAAACCCTGCCGGTGCCAATCTTGTGAACTCAGGGTTAAAGACAAAATTGAATTCCTACCTACCTACCTACCTAACCCATATTGAGATAATTCCAAGTAAACCAACCACATCCAACATGGTGACGCAAACCACCACCGTCCAAGCACAAAATGACAACATCCAGCTCTCTCCAGACAAGTCCAAGCGCATCTCGCCCGAAGCCCTATGCCACGTTGTCCTGCGCACGACACCGGACAACTTCGAAGCCATGGTAGAGTTCTACCTGACGATGCTCGGAGGGCGAGTCTCGCACCGATCGCACCGCCTATGCTTCATGACATACGACTACGAGCACCACCGCATCGCCATCGTCAAGGACCCGACAGCGAGCCCGCGCAAGGCAGGTGCCCCGCAGGTCGTCGGCCTGCACCACGTAGCGTTCGGGTTCAAGACGCTGCAGGACCTAGCCGCGTCGTACGAGGAGAAGAAGGCGGCGGGGATCTTCCCGGTCTGGTCCGTCAACCACGGCATGAGCACCAGCATGTACTACGAGGACTTGGACGGCAACCAGCTCGAGTTCCAGGTGGACAACTACGATACGGTGGCCGAGGCCGTCGAGTTCATGGCTTCTCCCGCGTTCGAGGAGAACCCCGTGGGAGTCGACTTCGACCCGGAGGTTTTTGTCAAGAGGGTTAGGAGCGGGGAGGACGATAGGAGTATTAAGGCTAGGCCGAATATTGGGCCGAGGGATAGGAAGTAAAGAGGGTTTTAAAGGCGTTGGGGTTGGTGTGCTGGTCACTGCAATGGTAGATGAGATAATTCTATAATGATAAGGAGTATCCGTGTAATAGGGAAGGGTTCGTGGAAATATATTTCTTCGGAATCATTTTATGTAGTAGAGCATCTATCTCCCTAATGACCGAAAATATCTATGCCATGGTATCATACAATCGATCGTATAAATAAATGGCCTACTCCGTAACACCTCGGGTATCCAATCCTTTGTGTCCTGGTATGAACCTCCCAGCACTTCGTATTTTTGCAAATAGCAGTATCCATAGCGGCGAAGCTATATAGAGGATATGGGGGGGTTGATGTCGGAGCCCGGTATCTTCGTGAACTAAGATGCGTACGAAGAAGTTAGAGATGTCGAATGCCTGTCGTAGTCGTTGCGTGGTGAAGATAGGGAGATAGGGGCCCCCTTTTCTCTTTCCAAATACTAAGAATATCCCCAGCACTGGGAACTCGATTCAATGTCAACCCTTCACCCCCCCCCCCTTTTTTTTTTCCAATCTCCATCTTCATGATCCAATCTAAAAAATATTTTAGTCAATTTCTCAGCAGCGACAGGTGCGATAGATAATACCATCGTGAAGTGTTATCGCCCCTAACACATGTACCTAGGTAGTTGAGGTACGTAGCTCCTAGGAGCATATCATCGACAAGACGCTCAAACATCTCGCTTTACGCTTTTTCCATCCGAAGCGAGGGCTTTTATGAGGATAGTATTGCCGCACGCCAACTGAAGGATAGAATCTGACCCTCTTTTTAGGACGGGGGCCTGGACGGCTAGAGCGAAGAGCACTTCGTCTTGGGATTTTCTGCTTTCTGACCTGTGACGGCCGGACAACGGGCTGGCCTGGATAATCGAGGTATGTATACGTAGCCATTTTGAATGTATAGCTAAGCGAAATTCCTCATAGCCTTTCGTACGGTCGCGTGGTACTTGGTGTGGTGTGCAGTTAGGCTGTTGCGTGGGTTGCGTTAGGTAGGTAGTGATCGATCCTGCAAATCAGAAGTGGCATTTCTCAGGATAGAAATTTCGTACTTGGAAGACATAAGGAATCTTCAGGTATACATAGTCGTTAGAAAATTCTGCCGGGCACACTGACTAAATGTTTGAGCTTTGAAGTAATAAAATATGGCCAAAGCTAAAACTTGGAATTGTTAAGACGCGGCTGAAGTAGAGTGATTGGCCACATACTCTTTATTGGAAAGACGATATTTAAACTTGTTATAGTTCATAGCGTACAGTTATACATCTAGGTAGTTTATTATGTCCGTGCTATTGGTGGTTATAATTCTCTTTTGCGTTTAGTACCTAGGTAGGTAGGCATATTCTACATCTTATAGCGGTTCCCAGATATCCCATGTACTATTCATGTCGTCAAGGTTAAATGAGTGAGCGCCGAGCTAGATTAGAAATTGTAAGTATTGAAAGAAGGCTTCTAGTGTCTCTATACGCACCTCTGGGAAACTATCATCCAACCAGCCCGACACTGGAAATTCCGGCGCCTCGGGAGCGGTTGATTGGTAAGTGTCAACCTGACAGTAGTCAGCATATAGGTATACGCTAGGATTATAGCTATGGTTATTTAATAAGGTCAATATCTCAGCTACTTACGTCAGTATGGTTCGAAAGGTCCGGAGGAGTCAGACACTGCTGGCTGGGAACGGACATCCTCTGTCTTTCTATTTGCCTATAGTGTAGGTCCAAGAACCTTCGTGCGCAAATAGCCTTAGCTGTTTGATGGGATTCCATTCCTAGATGTATCTTTAGTAGCATAAGCGCTGCGTGCATTGTAATAAAGCACCAAAGTTCGCTATAACAGCAGCGCAGATGTCTGTCCTCCATTAAAGGAACACACTGTTCAAGGAGGTCAACTATGGCTTGAGAATCTGTCACGATAATGCTATTTGATACTATATGCAATATTAGATTTACCAAAGCTAGACAGTGAGCAATACTTTGCTAGCTCCCGGGTTAATTTTTTGGGGGGAGAAGGTTAAACTTACGCTTAGGCTGGAGCATGGAAATGCGAACTAGACTCAACGAAGCGAGCAGTAAATCATCCCTGACTGTTATGAGGCTTTGGTAGCCTAATTCCGCTAAGCGGCTATTCAGGAGAAGAATATCTCGCGACGTGTGATAGCATATAGTTTCCGAGAGCCAGTATCTACCGTCATTTTTGTGTATATAAGGTCGGTGAAGGGCAAGAACACATTCTTTCAGCTGAAAAGGGCAGAAGGCATTCGCAACGATTGACAACTTAGGATCGCCTTGTAGTGTCGCGTTTTCTTTGTTCCAGGAAGGAATAGCCTCTATTGCTTGTGTGATTTCATGAGTGTATCGAAGTACTTCGTCATAGCTGAGGTCTTTAGACAACCCTCTACTAAATAAACGTTGGGATATCTCAAGACGCAAAGCCCAGCTTTGGGCGCTATGAACTTGATAGGACGTAAAAGTATAAACATCAAGTGCCTTTGACGTAGGTACTTCCTTCGATGTCTCGTCGAAATCATCATCATCGAGATTCATAGGAGGAGGGGTGTCGGAATTAATGTTATGAAGGAAGGTAGGGAGGCCGTACTCGAACGCATTCTGAAGATCTAATTCTCTAAGGACAGTCCATATTCGTCTTTTCATCTCTTGGGTGTAAAATGTGCCGATATTAGAAGATAGATCGCAATGTAGCCCATCTATAATTGCATCCTGGATCAAAGAGCTGGTTTCCTTCCACCATCTTTTTTTGCCGATCATGGCCACTCGCTTAGCGAGATAGACTAAACAGGATATCTGGTAGTGAACGATTTTGCGATGTTTTGGGCCCTGCTGCCTCAACCACTCCTCGCATGAATAAATCCATCGCGCACACATAGCACGGTATTTTGTTGGTATAGATGTAGCCTCGGCCGAGCGAGTAGTAGCATTGGTCGATATAGATATCATCGCCAAGATGAGAGCCGTCATGGCAGGATACCGAGGCCGTTGGGGTAGCCAAAATTTGGCATATTCTCTCTTGAATGTAGGTATATGAATTATTCGGTGAATTTGCTCCAAACCATCAAGATAGAAAGAAACTAGAGCATCAGTGTCCTCCTTAGGAGGGAGGAGACTCTCTAGAATTACTCCTTTTTGGGGCGAATAGTCCACAGCATAGCCATTTTTGATGGATTTCTTCCTTGTAAGGCTAACACCGAGTGGTTTAAACCATTCATTAGCCGTCTCCCTGATAAAGGGGAAGAGTTCACCGATCTATATAAAATATAAGCACCGTCAACATAAAGAGATATGCATAAAGACAACCTACCTCGCCGAAGAACTGAAATAAATTGTGTCGGCTATAATATCCTTGTGGGCATCTCTCTTTCGGATCACAAAGCTCGGTATTGTTGACGTGAGTTATATCATGGCCAGACCTACTCCCCAACAAGGATACTGAATTTGGTTGAGCATTATTTCTGTCGCAAGCTTTACTAGTCAAGTCTTCAAGTTCTCGGGATTTTCTATTCAATGGCACTGAGCCATCGGATTTAGTATGGCTGTCTACCACACAGGAAGTTTCCGCCACACAATCGGTCTCATCCGTGGGAGATGCCTTCGAGAGTAATGCTTTCAATTCAGCAACCTGAGCCTGAAGCTCTTGGATCTGCTTTTCTTGCGACAGTGCTGTAAGGTTAAACGAAGAGGACTGTTCTGTTTCGTATGAACATTGTGTTGATCTTCCTGTCCTTAGACATCTCCTACAGGGTAAGTTCCGGTCACAGGACAGCTACATGCGAACACTCAGTAAAGACTTTTAGGCTCAGATTCATGATAAGTAGCATACTTTCTTCTTCCGACATTCCATGCAACTCAGTCGCACGCGTTTCTTTCGGCTTTTTCTTTCACCAGCGAGGTTTTTCTGCCTTGTAGATTCCGACCTCTCGGTTGTATCGGCTGTTTCAACGCCGGCATTGGACAGCATTTTCACCGAGATATTGAAATGACTTTAAATATGTATACCATAAGATTAGATACGATCCTATTGTTTTGGGGAGATATATCTGGGAGAACCGGAGTTAAAGAAGAATCGCCGGTAGTAGAAATGATTTCCGATCATCTCCGACTTAGAGCCATTCTCCACTTATTGAGACTTAAGATCGCTTTATTTCAACGAAAACACGCCTGCTGAGCAGCAAAAAGACTTGAATAATTTAGTAGTTGGTTCAAAAGTTTAGGTGTGGATCATTCTCAAGATTCAACTAATTATTCTGACACATAAGATAGGGGAAACAAGAAAGACGAGGGTCATTGTGTGCAAAGCCTTATTCATGGTCCCCCTTTTGTTTATTGCGAGTGATAGAGGTAACATTGCTGAATATGTCCAACAAGCCTAGATAAATTGTTTCAAAGACGAAATGCTGATTTTACTATTACTACGCCCTGAATATTACCTGTTGCTAATATTTTTTTACGTTAGACTTCCGTGTTAAATATAGTGATATACTTAGAAACGGATAATAAAGGGAGAACATTTGAATATAGTGAAGAGATATTTAATGTGATAAGCTATGCTTTTTCTTTCCGAGTTGTAGCCAACCTTATAAGAATAGAGGCGCACATTCGCATGCTATAGTCTTCCTACTGTCAGTTACAAGCTAAAAGGTCCAAGGTCGGCAGTTGTCTTACCCCCACGCATAGTCAGTCTTGGGACTTTAATTCCTTAGTAATAATTACCTACCTACCTCTCTATTACCCAGCGCGATTTATCGAATCAAGTCATGTATCCTTATACCCTTGTAAGATTCCCTCGAATAATTCAGGACGAGTCCGTCCGCTTACCTACTTCGCCGTCGCGCCGCCTTATTCCCGTATAGTAAACATTGTTACGGCTCGGTAGGCGCGGCGCATAATGGATATTAATCCTCAGTCGTATATTCTTTCGGAGGAAGAATCGCGGATTATATTTGAGCGAGATATCCTCCCCTCCGAATTAAGCGGGCTCTCTTTGCGGGAGGCGCATTTCTCAGGTAACGGTGATGGAGCCGCCAGAACGCCGCTCGCGGTTCTGCTCATCGGCCAGACGGGCGCCGGGAAGACGCGCACGGCGCCCGCGATCAAGAATGCCTTGATCCGTCTGCGCGGTGGCGAGCGGCTCGCGCATTTCGTCGCTGACACGTATAAGACGTTCCATCCGGCATATCGCATGATCCTCGCCACGCGCCCTGCTTTAGCCTCGCCGGCAACGAGCCCTGATGCGCGGCGCTGGCTCGCCATGGCTGCATCTTATGCCGCGTCGCAGCGCGCGGACGTGCTTATCGAGTCCGCTGCCCGACATCCGGGCGATTTTGCGGACTTGGCGCGCCTCTTCCGCACAGATGGTTATCGCGTCGAAGTAGCCATCCTGGCGGTCCCTGCAGCGCTTAGCCGTCTTGGCATCCTGACGAGGTTCTATGAGAAGCTGCCGGAGGCCGGGCCGCAAGGTGGATTGCCCCTCCGCCTGACGCCACGTAAAGTCCATGATGAATCTTATGCGGGGTTATTAGAGGCAGCGGCGTTTGTAGACTCATCGGATGCCGTGGACCAGGTTGTGGTGGTGCGGCGGGATAACCTAGTGGCGTATGCTAATGAACGAATCGGAAACATTAGCGATGGCGATAGCTGGAGGTGGGGACCAAACACCGCCGAGGCTGTGCGGATAGAGAGGGAACGGCCGTTGACGTCTGGGGAGAAGATAGGTGCTGAGCTTAGTTTACAGAGGCTTCGAAAGATGAATGTACCCGGCCTCGAAAGCCAGCTAGTAGAAATCGAAGGGATGCTAGAACCCCTTTTAGGTGCTCTTGACGACTTGGCGTATTTACCCTTAAAACTACTTTCTCTCCCCAATTCGGTGCACGATGATCAATTCGACGTTGAGGCGGGCCTTATGCTTGGGACGACGCTACCTGATTGTACTCAGCCCCTTTCCTCGAAGGTGCCGACTAGTATGAATGGAATAAATCCATGAGACTACCGCTTGGCAGCATTATAAAAACTACCTATATATAGCTAAAATCTTAGTGTATACAAGAGTTAGAAGCTTTAAGCTATGTATAAAATATAGCAGTACCGTGTTCATGGTACTCAAGATCCCACATTAACTGAAATATCCCATTTATCCAATCCATTTTTCTATACCTCTGTTCAATCCAATGCACAAAACACGGTTGCTCGCTGGTCCCACTTATAGCTAATACATATATCTGAACTCGGGATTCAGATCTCCCAACTCGCTCTTCTCATAGTCTGATAAACCAACGTCTCTAACAGCCTTCTTTCTCCTTTGGTTTTCGCGGTAGATCGATATAAGATATAAGACTGACGCCAAACCGCTCAAACACGTGAATCCGAGACAGATTGAATAACCGTTCTTGAAGTATGGGGCGTCGGTATTGAGAAAAGCAAACGTGGCTATAATTCCGCCGATGTTGCCAAAGCCAATCTGCCACCCTGTACCTATAGCCCTACGATGATGACCACCAAGATTCATGCTAAACCAGCAGACGGTAATGGGCAGCACGCTGTAAGTGCTCATCGTAACGAAACATAACATTGCGTATTGAACCGGTGTGTTGTCGTGGACCCTGAGTAAAACGCCGAAAGCTGCAAGACCAAGGGTAAGTGGCGCAAGTGCAAAAGCTGCACGATGTTGCATCCAATCGGATAGCACGGCTGTGAGAAGAGAGAAGCCAAAAGATGCAGCCCAAGGAACTACACTGTGGAGCTGCGTCTGGATAGGATCGTAATGATATGTCGAAATGATGGTAGGTGCAAAAAAGGCGTAACCATACGCGGGGACAATCAATCCAAAGTACATAACTCCACCAAGCCAGACACGATGATCCTTCATTACATTTACGACATCGCGAAACGTAGTCTTTCTATCAGCAGCATTATGGCCTTGGTCAGCTTGTAGTCGGGCTTTTATGTAAGTTCGCTCCTCTTCGGTCAACCACTTAGCTTCCTCGGGGCTATCGCAAGTCAGAACCACACACACAAGTCGCACTTAAAGCTAAAAGGATTACTTACAACGAGGGGAAAACAAAGTAAAAGACAACAGCAACTAGGCATGTAAGGATTCCTTCAAGTATGAAAATCCATCGCCAGCCATTATATCCGCGGATACCTTGCACTAATCAATTATTAGTATGTTCCGAGAATTATTTTCCCTCCTCTTCTAGAGGACAATATAAACGCAAAACCTCAATTTGCGGATACACTTACTCTTGCCTATGGCGGACGCCAAGAGACCCCCGAAAGCTCCAGCTAGAGAAGTGGACGTAAAGAATAGAGAGTAACGCTTCTGCGATTCACTCCGCTTATACCACATGCCTAATCAAGACCGAATGTTAGCGACATACGCTCACGAGTTAACATATTATACTATGCTATACTAGACGAGCAGGCAGGCACGTACTAATGAGATAAAAGCATCCTTAAGTCTGCGTTAGCATATTCCGAATTTGTAGTTTAGGGACTTGCTAATTACCAGGAAACATTCCACTCTCGAACAGCCCTAAATAGTGTAAGCATGGCAGTCTTATCCCGATTTAAGTGGAAGACAATACCTAGGAAGAACCGTGTCGCAAGGAGACCAGAGTAGTTCTGTACAAGACCCTGGCATACGGACGCAATGCCAAACCCCAACATACAGGTAGGAAGCCATATGCGAGGTGAGAACCTTTTTAGAAAGATATTGCTAGGAATCTCGGCAATTATATATGGTACAAAAAACATGGTTAATGCTAAGTAGGTTCTCAATATCAGTATAAAGTAGCGCCTTTCATTAGTACCTATTCACTTACCAGTATTGTACTCATTATTCTTGAGGTGCAAATCTTCAACTAGAAGGAAAGATTTCGCATTGGCAATATTGACTCTGTCCAAGAAAGCTAGGAGATAAAGAATACAGAGGAACGGTATCAAGTGCCAGTCGACACGTGTTATGAGCTTCCGCTCCGTTGTGTGAGGAGGACATTGAACATGAAGCCCATCATACTCAGCACCGGCAACACCGGGATGATAACTATTGTTTCCAATGATTTCATCTACGGCCTTGTCCGAATCGCTCGGAGCCGAATCTGCTTGAATATCCGAGTTAGCTATCATTATCAGTTGAGTCTGATGCTGTGCGCTTGAAATATCCCGACACCCGGGTTGAAGACGCGGTATAATACGTGACGGAAATTTGGAGTTGGGATGTGGAATTTGGAGAAAAACGCGACGTACGGGAAACTTTGCCAAAATGCATTTTCAATCGAGGCAATCAAAACTAATTGAGACACTACGTAAAAGATGTCCAATAGGGGAAAAAAGCAATTGACTCGCGCATTCAACAATAAACCGAGCAGCTCACGAGACGGTGTGCCAAGTCTGATTGTTAAATAATAAAATTTTGCGATGAGTCGCGCCGCTGACGGCGGCTGACTATTATGTAGAGTCGGACTCAGCTGTTGACGATCTCCAAACGCAGCAGACCATCGCGCGAATTCGGCCTTGGCTCCCGAGGCTCTTGAGCCTCAAATCCTAATATAAGAATTAGCAATACAAACGTATAATATTATTTAGTGACTCAAATAAATAAAAAATATGTCTCTAAGAATATACTCAAAAACATTTAATTTAGAGCCGATGTCGCTTTATTGGTATGAATTTATACCAGACAAACTGGAGCCGCCACTAGACAGGATCAGCTCAAAGAGGAAAAGACCTAACTGACGGGCCAAGTTTGTGCGGGGAAATTAGAGGTTGCGGAGAAGACAGGAGTTGGACCCCTGGAACGAAAGCTAGCCGACCAGTCAGCTCATCTCTAATTCGGAATATCCTCCCGAATTGTTTGCCGCGGCAGCTCTGTAGCTGGATGTCTTGATGAACCCATTGATGAACCCTTCGACCTGCCTGGGATACAGGCCGACATAGACCCAATCAGAGGCTTACAGATATAGCTGAGTACTCTTCTCTTGATATCGATTGGTCTATATCCTACTGCTGTCTTTGAAGCATATAGATATAGCTTCTCTACCCAAAAGACACGGGTTTCGGCATACGAGGAGCCGTGCTGACTCCGAGCCGATTACATTTCCCGGGATTTGCGACGCTTTGTTCCTACGTGCCATCGATTATATTTTGCTACCATGGTGCCGTTGCGGTCTCATTATATAAGTCTCGACATAGCAATATTTTAGATGCGAAATGGAATTCCTTCTATGCAACAACCAGCCCAATTGCATGCAGTATCATACGCAAGTGTAGCTGGGCGAAAGCAATAGCACTAGTAAATGTTTTCATCAGTATCGGATGGTCAAAGATAAAAATAGCACTTTACCACCCATTTCCCACCTAGCAAGCGAATCAAGATCAGAAATGCGTCATGATGGCAGTCAAATTTAATCTTCGACGTTAAATCGGGTAATGCGAGTCCACTCTGGAGCTACCGAGGCGTTTTCTTCGTGTTCGGGTTCTCACGCAAGAGGGCGCTAGGAAAGAGTCTTTGACGTCTTCAACCGAGTAAAATTCCATAGAACTTGCTGAATGCTAATAATTGAATAGGATTGCGTACTATTATATACGGTATATATTTCATACCTATCGCCCTACACTTAGCTGGTAGCATGTCGTCCAAGATCATAATACCTAGATCATGTACCAAGAAAATGACAACCAAATTGGCATTACTTACACACAGGCTTATCTGACCTATTGAATTTATAATGTGCCGAGTACCGAGCTGATAATTTGATCGCATGTCATAGACTCGTTATCGTCAGGGATGTCATAAATATCCGCCTACTATGTATGTTGACAGCATGATCCAAGAGATGAGAAAAGCTTGTTGTAGATTGTGCCACTTGATCACCCAAGACATTTACCTAGTAGCCACCCAAGAAGCTCCTGCGAACTTGTCCATCCAGGCTAAAGAATTGATTGACGCATGCGATGAGAGATCTAACCCAGCGGGCTGGTTCAAATGATAGACGAGACGGATATATTAAACCATTCGCCGTTAGGGTCGTGATCGATGCTACCCCCACAGCGTACGATATGCGTGCTCAGGGCATAATGAATTTAAGATCATCATGCCATTAGGTCTAACCTTGCTTGATTGAAAGAACATTGAACCTATGATATCACATATAGGTATGATCTTAGCATATTCTTAGCATTGTGAGGTACCAGAGGCCGAGAAAACTAGCCTGAAGAATTCGGTGGACGCTAGCCAGGGAGCAACTGCACACTACGTAGTCGCCATAGCTGAGTGAAGTTGCGTGATTGGCCCGCATTTCCGCTACAGGATTAGTCTCTCTTGGCTATCAGGGAAGGCAATGAGGCGCACTCACTAATTACTCCATAAAGAAACAAGCCTCTACTCTTAACCTCCGCGGAAGGGTAGATGGACCAATAATAACCCCCACGAGGGAAGATTGCCCTGTACGCTTATTTCGGGAACGCCTATTCGGTGTGTCACGTTAAGTCGTAAAAAGCTTATGTAGCGTCTAAGGAGGGAGAAAAAAATTAAGTTGCGAATACTACTATGTACTAGCTGAGAAGGAACCAGGAACAACAGTGGAACTTCTGTGAAAGCAATGCGGCGAAAAGTACTACATATTCGACGTAGGAAGAAGTATTACAGCATACTATGTAACCAGTGTAACGAAGGATTACCCTGCTCGGTCAACCTTCTTGACCACTTTTAGTTAGTTTAGTCAGAAGGGCCGTACCTACCTAACAGGAATAATCCATAGGCGTAGCGTCCTGTTTAACATAGCAAGATAAGTCGCGACTGTAACAATAACAACTTATAAACTTACCTTGTTTCTACTCCCCATCTTCTCGAATTCTAGCTTCCTTGGATTCTAGTTTTTTCTCGTCTCATCAACTCGTTTGTGCTCGAGGTGTATGTTTCCGCTTCCGTGCCTACATGTTGCTCTCGGCCGCATCATAACGTCATACCTTCCCGTTACATGTGCGACCGTTTAAGATTTGACGACTAGTTAAACTCACGCTCACATCCCATTCTACTCAAGTATTCGCTTAGTTCTTCTAATTTATATAGTATCTGCCAATTTTTGAAATTGTCAATATGAAGGCAGAATACTCGGACGAGCCGTTGACCTACGACACTCACGAGACCGCCATACCCACTGGATGGTCAGCTTGGTTTGGTGGCCCCAGTGTTAAGATAGGCCCTCGTATCGCTCCTCAGATAGCGCCAATCAGCAACGATGTTCACGATTCCTCGAGTAATCTCAGTAGCGATGCAATCCTTAATAAACAGCTTGAAGAAGAGGCCGGTCATGCTATCCAGTATCGTACTTGTAGTTGGCAAAAGGTGCGTCTTATATAACATAAGCTCAAATTCAAGACCAAGAATGATACATTTTACTAACATCTAACATAGACGGCCGCATTATTATTCTCCGAATATATATGTCTGGTGAGTTTTTCAATTCTTATATTCTCTCACTCGGCGTTGGGGAAATCATGAGATATATGTCCAATTTGTCTATGCTCTATCTTTATTTTTCAAAGGATGGACATTATTGAGACTAACAGGCCACTAGGCAATTATGAGTTTTCCGTGGTCGTACAGCGTCCTCGGGCTCGTCCCAGGGTAAGCTTTCTTTAGCTTCGGCGCTGCCAGTCTAGTCGAAGCTTAATTTACTAATGTATGAATGCAGGCTTATTCTCACTGTAGTTCAAGCTCTTATAGTATTATATACGTAAGTTTTCCTGAACTTCGCAATTATTGAGTACCTTAGGTACTTATGCTGATAATTTTACTATAGTTCTATTGTCTTATGGGAATTCTGTCTTCGACATCCCGAAGTTAGAGATGTATGTGATATTGGCCAGATGCTCTTCTGGGGCCAAGAATGGGCCTGGTATTTCACAGCTTTCATGTTTATCTTAAACAATACTTTCATTCAAGTAAGCCGGACACCCGCCGCCATCATTTGAATTACAAAAACCTTACTCCTTTACAGGGTCTCCACGTCCTCGTTGGAGCTAAATACCTTAATACTATGGTTGGCCCAAACGCTGGCATATCCTGCCAGACTGTATCTTTCGGCGCCATTGTTACTGTTATTTGCTGGTTATCGTCGCTACCTCGCACCTTTAGCATGCTTTCGAAGCTTGGCACTGCATCGGCGGTGTTCACGTTCGTCTCGGTCATTCTTGCTACAATATTTGCCGGTATTCAGGACCATCCGGCGGGCTTCAATGCAGAGCCGGCTACCAGCCCTGCTACTGGTGCAGCACTGCCCTTCGGCAATCCAATTGTTACAGCTGTTCCTATCCTAGGTACTACTTTTGTCTCCGGCTTAGGGGCTTTTCTTAACATTAGGTAAACCAGACTATTCCCTCTAGACGGCACGCAAAACTGACAGTGATGTAGCTATACCTTCATCGGGCAGATTACACTTCCCAGTTTCATTGCTGAGATGCGTGAGCCGAAAGACTTCCCTAAGGCTCTATGGGCATGCACGATTCTCGAGATTATCGTCTTTAGTGTCGTTGGTGCAGTCACGTATGCGTTTGTAGGCAACCAGTATATGACCTCGCCAGCTTTTGGGTCCTTGATTCCGCTGTACAAGAAGGTCGCTTTCTCATTTATGATCCCTACAATCATATTCTTGGGCGTCCTGTATGCTTCAGTCTCAGCTCGATTCATCTTCTTTCGGATTTTCCAGAACTCGCACCACAAGAATGAACATACTCTCATTGGTTGGGGTACTTGGGCTTTGATTCTACGTATGATCTCCGACCAACCCTAATGTCTATCCTTGCGCTAACTGTATTTCTCAGTCGCCACCTGGGTTGTCGCTTTCGTGATCGCTAACTCTATCCCGTTCTTCAACTCTCGTGAGTCTCCTATGATGTTTCTAAGCCTAAGGAATGTAACTAATTATTAAAATACAGTCCTCGCCCTCATGTCCTCGTTGTTTGATTCATTCTTTGGTTTCATTTTCTGGGGTCTTGCCTATTTCCGCATGCGGAAAGCCGATGGTGCTGTCGCATTGCTCAAGGACCGTTCATTCCGCGGGTGGTTTGAGGGTATCCTTAATATTATTATTATCTTGACAGGTATTTTCTTCTTGTCGGCTGGAACATATGCAAGCGTCCAGGGAATTTTAGACGAGTTTGCTCTTGGTACAGTTGGAACCGCGTTTCAATGCGCGAGTAATGGCATTTGAAAAGGCATTTACATGTTTGCAATTTTTTCAAGAACGGGAGATACCCACGGACGAATATACGGATGAGAACGACGATAGAGAGTAGGAATGTCATCATGGGTTGGAAGGCGATGGGTATATACAGTGATTTGATTAATGTCTGGACTGCTGCGGTCACCCAATTAAGACCTCGCGGTTCGAATAGGATAGGGGTTACAATTATTACAGAGCTATCCGTACGAATGCAGGGGGTATCTAGGTTCCAGCATATTTTGGGGAGCCTTGAAGAGAATAATATACAACTACAACGATGGCCACTCCCTGGCATTTTCCAGTCATGGTTGCAATTCTTAGGCATACACGTTTTATAATCGAGCTAACTTCGCTACAGGTATCTATCCTTACCTACCTAATGTAGCATTGTATGAAGCGCACGTTAATTTACCGGCGGAAAAACTATTGTTAAGGTGAGTTTCAAGATTTTAAAGACCCCATGACCTAATGAATAAGGCAGGTAAAGCCAACGGTAGACTGTTTGTGTGTATTCTCTTTAGTAAAAAGTAACATTTGTTAGACCTATCAACCCATGTATTCCAAGGACGTGAAGAGGTTCAATGGGAAGGGCAATTATAAATCAACCTCTTTAAAGGTGGCGGGTGGTTAGAATGATAGTAAAAGACAAGGCTAGACTGAATACTCGGTGTGATAGGGGATTATCTACATACGTCTCCTTTTTGATAGAGCGTTATAATATCAAATTATTTCCTTCATAAGATAGAATTTACTACCACCTAGGTAGATAATGTAGAAGAAAGGGGGGGGGGGGATAAAGTAGAGGTAAAAATATCATTAGTCTAGATGGGATTTAAACACATGACCTTTCCAACCTCGACATCTCATCCAAGTTCGTTGCTCAGAAGCACGTAATGATGGAATCTGCTCGCTCTTTCGAGTTATGTGTTAGGCATCCTTAATGCGAGGTAGACCCCTATATTGTTTACTCGAAATTATAAGGACGTACCTCCTACTTTGGTGCTGTAATATCTATATGATTTCCTCTCATACGAAATACACAAAAGCCTGTTACACCTATTTTTAGCTGGAGAGAATAATGTATGGAACTATACATGCAATCCATCTAGTAGAGACAACACATCCTCTAACTCCTTTGCCGTATCACTCTCTCCGTTCGTCTTACCCCTTAACTGTTCCGCAACCCCCCGTATAGCATTGGCTGAATGCACATACCGCCTTCTCATGCCCGGATTCGCATTCGACAGCAATGTCGCGACGAGCTGCAATACATCTGCTTGAAAGTCGAGGAGCGGCTCGTCCTTAGAGCTACCCTCTATAATCGATACGTCGTACGCCGCTACAGCCGTCACCACGCCCATCCAGTCCTCAGATGTCGTACCCTCGTTCTCCGCTACTATCTGCAAGACGAGAGTAATGCGGATACCGCGAATGATGTCCGCTTCCTGTAGGGCGGTAGAAGTCGAGCTCTCTTCAAGGATCTTAAGCATATCACTTGAAAGTACTTTCCAGCCGTCGTACGAGTTGAACGCATTAATTCCCTTCGATGTGCGGAGCACGCCTTCGAGCGCCGCAAGGACGGGGAGCCTGTAATCTAGTCCACTTGGTTGGGATGGATTCGAACCACTATTTTGGTACAGTTCCATAAACATGTCCATCAGCCCAGCGCCCTCTTTCCTTAGAACGTCACCGTCATCGTCGCGGACCCAGAGCGCGATTGCGCGTATGGAGGATAGTATGAAGGCATCTGTAGCTGCGCTCTCGTCTTTCGCGTCCCAAGCAAGCGTCTTATGGGAGCCGAAGTCCGTATGCGCGTTGCTGGCTCGTGCCTCCGGGTGCAATCCTTGAGCCCCTGCTACCGAGGCATCCCAGCGGTCCCGTAGATACTCCATTACAACGGACAAGGTTTCGGCGATCGAGCTACTAAGCTTGAGGACCAGATCGGGAGGCATCTTGAGCCAGGAATCTGCTGGTTTTGCGTCTGGCTTGGGGTTGTCCAGTTCCTCCATCCAAGAAATAAGTTGGCCGATGAAGGCTGTCAGAATATCAAGCGCGGATGTGAGACGCTGCGAGATCCGCGGGTATTCTGGGTCGTTGAGCATTTCCAGGAGAGAAGGTAGGGTTGCGCGTAGGTCTACTAGAATGAGATTGATGAACAGATACGAGAACGGCTTTGAGGAGTCCTTCTCGTCAAGGAATAATAGCTGAGGCGTCGACTCCGGATATATAAGCAGCAAGGCGCCCGCGCAGTTTGTATACGCAGAACGACTAGCTGCGGTTGGTCTGTTGGTTGCTAAGTTGCGTATGAGCTTGGTAACGGAACCGAGCCATTTTGGATTTCTAGGGATGAGCTGAATGATGGTTAGAAGCTATTCACAAATTCCACTGGAATAAGGGAACATACATTTTCGTTGATATTTCTTAGAACGTGGGATATGAATTCTAGGAGACTTGTAGCGTCGGTTCCAATAAAGGAGGATACGAAAGATTGGATTCCTTGGTCGATCTTAGTCCTCATCGCTTCCCGAGCGACTTCATCTTCGAAGTTGGTAGGCCCCCTCTCCCAGGCCCAGATGAATATTGTGAGCACATGTGAGTGTTCTGGGGCGATTTCTATTAAAGGGGTCCAGTCGTCGATATCAAGATCGGCGAAGCTTTTGGCACCCCCAGGTACGGCAACAAGAGTTAGTAATGTCTCTATGATTACCTGGGTTGTCTCTTTGGAGCTGACCTTATGTTAGTGTATGCGACTTGTAAGTAAACAGTGACTTTCATTACCTATAAAGGACGGCCTTGGCTAATCTTGGTATTCTACCAAGTAGTTTTGTGTCTTGTTTTGCTTCATCGGGCAACAGCACAGCGAATGTATGAATGACAGCGATTGCTAAGTCAAGCATGTCCTTGGAGCTTTTCTGCTCCGAGCTAGAGTGAGAACCGGTGCGTAATAGCCTGTCTAGGAATTTAGGTGAAATAGAGTCCCATAATGAAACTATAACTTCTTTCTCACTCTGAAGTTCGGGGGAGTTGTCTAAGACGGACTTTAAAAGAGCCAATCCAACGAATCTGGAGGTATCATCTTTGGCCTTGAGGAGTTGCTGGATTTTCTCTATAGATGAAGTTGTAGTGTCGCTCGACCCGCCTTCTTCGCTGTTTTGTACCTGTAGCTTTGAGACATCTGGAATATCCATCTTATCTCACTTATACGGTATCAAAACCTCAAGCCAGGGCTTTTCTTAGGTGTTATGCTCACTTGACATCTGAGGATGAATAATTTGATGAAGACCTCAACTCGCTAGCCTTGATAAAAATAAGAATGTATCATGTATTGTTGATTTCTTTTTTTCTTTTCTCATAGATCATTTCTGGGTTAAATGAAGTTCTTTCGAATTCTACTATGATTTAAGGGCCAATGAGAATTAGTGGTATTTTTGGATAACTCCCAAGTCACAGTTACAGAGGGTCGGGGTCGGTAACAATTAAGCTCTTATCGTTATCGTCTAGGTACATGCATTAGGCATGTTAGCGACAGCTAATTCGGACCCATACCATTAAACCTTCTGGTCGCAAAGCCGCAATGCGATCTTGTAGCCATGAAACCTAGACAATCTCCATATTTCGACTCAGTAAGATAACATAGGTACCGCGTTATGGCAGATCGCATCACCGGGCCTTCGATATGGCAAGCAGGAATTTCATAAATCCACACGAGGAAGAAGGCTCGTCATCTTCTACTAGATCACCAAACGAACCGCGGCTTTCCAACAATGACGAAAGAGACGAGCTTGACTACTTGTTCGACGGAGATGATGAGGACGTACTGGGAAATGACCCCTTGAATCACGAATTAGCAGAGCCTATGAGCTTCAAGCGGAAACAAAAGCAATCCGTCTTCTCGCAGTCGAGTCGGTTACTATCCACATTAACGGGCAATCGCTTGGGATCGGCATCCCCACGATCACCGCATTCCGGTACCGAAACGCCAACGAGGCTAGAAGGTCTAAACCCGGAGCGACTTGATAATACTTCTAATACACCAAACGGTCAGAAAGAGGGAGCGCCACTTGATTGGTATGTTGAGGGGCCGGGCCGGAGAGTTGGGTATGAGGATCTTACAGCTATTGATTGGATTTTCGAATACACAAAAGAGCGACAACGTCTAAGGGTGCTATACTCAAGTGCGACGGGAATAGTTGGATACATACAACAGCTTCTAGACTCTAGCCAGACATGGATTATCCTCGTTCTGACGGGACTTGCTGTCGGTGGATTGGCAGCAGGCATAGACGTAGCCTCGGACTGGCTAGGTGATATAAAGACTGGTTATTGCACTTCAGGGCCCGAAGGTGGCGCATTCTATCTAAACAAGCAATTTTGCTGTTATGGCTACGATCAAGGCGCTAAATGCCTTGGATGGAAGCCCTGGGCCGCGGCATTAGGCATAGGGTCTACTGGTGGAAAGTGGTTTATAGAGTACTTCTTTTTCCTAATATTCTCCGTGAGTTCATCGTTAAGTATTCCTAAGCATAAGTAACTAATGTATTGATAGGTGACATTTGCCTTATGTGCTGGATTCCTAGTTAAGGAGTACGCGATTTATGCTAAGCACAGTGGTATACCTGAGATAAAGACAGTACTAGGTGGTTTCGTTATTCGACGCTTCTTGGGGACTTGGACACTCATCACCAAGTCTCTAGGATTAGTACGTCTCAAAATATCACACATCGAATAAATAAGCTAACTGAGGATAGTGTCTTGCCGTCGCTTCGGGTATGTGGTTAGGCAAGGAGGGTCCTCTAGTACATGTTGCTTGTTGTTGCGCAAATCTATTCATCAAATTATTCCCCAATATCAATACCAATGAAGGTGTGTATCACGAATGGTGATGGCTTTACAAGAGCATGCTAACCCGAAGCAGCACGGAAACGAGAGGTTCTCTCTGCCGCTGCGGCATCGGGAATCTCTGTTGCGTTCGGGTCTCCTATTGGGGGTGTGTTGTTCAGTCTCGAACAATTGTCCTACTACTTCCCCGACAAGACGATGTGGCAGAGTTTCGTGTGCGCCATGACAGCAGCCGTCGTGCTACAGGCCTTCGATCCCTTCCGGTCTGGTAAGCTTGTGTTGTACCAAGTCAAGTTTAGCACGGGTTGGCACGGCTTCGAGGTCATACCCTTTGCCCTTCTCGGCATTTTTGGTGGTCTCTACGGCGGACTCTTCATCAAGGCTAATATGCGTGTGGCACAATGGAAGAAGTCGACACCATGGCTTCCTGGTCCCCTAATACAAGTTGTCATCGTCGCTCTCTTGACGGCCCTGATTAATTACCCTAATTTCTACATGCGAGCCCAATCCTCAGAGCTCGTGTCTTCACTCTTCACTGATTGCGCGTTGGTACTCGATGACCAATTTGGTCTTTGTAAGACGGGCGCTGCGACGGCCGGCACTATCATCTTGTTACTATTTGCCGCCGTCCTCGGCTTTTTCCTCGCATCTATTACCTTCGGACTACAGATCCCCGCTGGTATCATTCTGCCTTCTATGGCTATTGGGGCTCTTTCAGGCCGGGCAGTCGGCATCGTCATGGAGATTTGGCAGCGCAACCATCCCGACTTCTTCGCCTTTAGTAATTGTGATCCTGGTAGACCCTGCGTGACGCCGGGCGTATATGCCATGATCGGCGCAGCTGCTACGCTCGCGGGCGTCACACGCATGACCGTCTCCATCGTTGTCATCATGTTCGAGCTGACAGGTGCGCTGACATACGTGCTCCCGATTATGGTGGCCGTGATGCTATCTAAGTGGGTGGGCGACGCATTCTCGCGGCGTGGCATCTACGAGAGCTGGATTCACTTCAACGAATACCCTTTCCTGGACTCGGGCGACGACGGTAGTGGCGCACAGCACGTGCCAGATATTCCGGCGTCGCAAATCATGACGCGCATTGAGGACTTAGTCGTGCTAACCGCGACGGGCCACACCATCGCCAGCCTACGCGGAGTACTCGAGTCATGCGACTACCGAGGGTTCCCCGTGGTAAGTGATCCGCGCGACGCCGTCCTGCTCGGCTATATCAGTCGCGCCGAGCTCGCGTACAACCTGGCAGCTAGCACGCAACCTCCGCGCAGCCTACCCCCCGAGACAGAGGCATTCTTCTCACACCAGCCGCTCGCAGACCCACACACTACGCTAGACTTGCGCCCCTGGATGGACCAGACGCCCCTGACGCTGCCCAGCCGCAGCACCCTACACCTCGCCGTCGCGTACTTCCAGAAGCTGGGAGTGCGCTATGTGCTATTCAGCGACCGCGGCATCCTGCAAGGCCTGCTCACCAAGAAGGACTGCTGGTATGTACTAAACGGCGCCGAGGAGGGGCGGAGCACCGGGAGGGTTGGCCAGGGAGGGCGCGGAAGCGGAGATGATGATGACGGGGTGCCTGGCGCGGCGGGGGAACGGGGCGGTTTATTGGATCCTGATGATGGCTTGCTAGATTCGCCTGCGGATGATGATAGAAGTGGGATCCTATAGATTTGTTACTGAGCTTGGTGTTATGTTTACCTTAGGTACCTAGGTATAGGACGATACGGGAAGGCGCGTGATATAATAGGCGGGTTAATATTATGAAATATCTTGATTCTACTAGAAATTTCCTTGCAAGGCCGAGGGTGTGTTGATATGTATGAAATATAATAATATCAGCATCCGCACGCTCTCCTAAACTCACACCCGCTCCGTTCGCCGGTCATACGGGCCAATCAGACGAAAGGGGAAAACATACAGATGAGTACAGAAACGGCACGATTGGTGGCCCACCCTTACGGGATGCTTGCTTGTTTGTTGTTTTCTTCCCCTTTCCCCAAGAAAGAAAAAGAAAAAAAAAGCAATGAGGCTCTAGGGTTATTTTAGTGGTGTGATACGTACCGAATACATATAACTAGTAAAATGATATAAGATACGATAAGATACTTTGTTTTATTATAGGACTGGCTGCTATACCTATACCGTAAGAGAAGCGAGATAAACCTCGGCTCGTGATAGGCCGCCTTGTAGCGAGGGTATGAAAATGCGAAGTAGCACGCGGCGGGTATAGTTAATATAATATGTAGGTATGTGTTGGAAGGGCTTACGTGCTGGGTAACCTGTATGCCGATGTGTTAGGTCAGGTACGTGGAGGGAGTGTGGCTATTGGAAATATTCACGGGATTACCTATCGAGTAATTAGGTACTATCAAAATTCAAGCGTGAACTGAGGGCATATGCTTTCTATTATACCACCCTTATAATTACGAGATGCTACCACTTGCATGTAGGTATATCGTAATAGGTAACAATGATAATAATCCATTCGTATTAGAGCTGGACCATGCTGAAAAAAAAAAAACATCGGTCTCTTATCGATCCTATGTGATATGCTTGCTTGCTCTCTATCGTAATATTATTGCTATTCCTGTTACCAGGATCTCAGCTAGATGCAAAAGAAGGCAAGTCATATCCCAGCCCGGTTTGAGACGAGAAAATGATGGGGTATCATGCCGTGGATGTATGAATCCCAACTCCCCTACCATGCAGAAATTCACGCCCGCCTTGTACCCGCCGCGTACCTGTCCGTATGTGCCATGTCCGTTCCCGCTTGGGCCGGCAAAAAAACAAAAAGAAACCCCTCCTCTTAGGAAGCTGCTCAATAATATACTAGAACACCTCTCTCAAAATCGTGCGCGAGGCTGAAATCTCAAGATGTGCTGTCGTCCCATAGAAGACTACCCTGCCTAGCTCTGATTCGTCCCACTTCTTGTCTGAGCTGCGTCTGCACCACGTCAGTCGGACGGTAAAATAACATCTTCCTGTCATACGCTCAACTACGTCATGAAGAAACAGCTGGTCGCTTTCCCTTCTTGTTGGCGGTCATGATCTTTAGTTCGAGATGATAGTATGATTTTTGGTTTTTACCCTTCTTTTCCTTCGGGTCGACTTTCGTTCGGCAGACGGGGCAGGTCTTCTTCATGTTATCGATATGAAGTGCAGAATGCAGACATTCGGAACAGAATAGGTGACCTAATAATATATATGTTAGTAACAAAATTGTAGCAATAATTAAGTAAAGGGTCTAGTTCCAACATACCGCAGTGCGTGACAGTCAAGAAAGAAGTGTCATCCATGCAAATGACACACTGAAATTTACCAATCTTAATGCGGTTGTCAGCCTTGGGAGCCATGAACTCCGGTGGGACTTCAGCAGCATTAGATAGATCAATAGTTTCATGACCGTCGTCGTTGGCGGGTCCACTGCAGCCATCATCGACAAACGGATTTTGGTCATTTGGCTTCCATTTTAATCTTGTTGATCGGCCGGAATTCTGGAGAGAAGATTGAGATGTTCGCCGTCTCTTGGAAGCCGAATCGCTATTTGCGCCGACGGCGGCTCGCTTTCTGGAAGGCATGGCAGGTGTTGTAGGGTCGACTCCCGAGATAGAATCGAAATCCGGCTCCTCCTTAGTCAGATCGACAAGGTGTCCTTTGTTACTTCGGCAACGAGGACCAGTTGTTGGCATTGCTTCTCCGACCTCAAGAGGTTTAGGTAGGTGGGAAAAGTGTGATCGAGTAGGCGCGAGAGGGCTACTGTTGATGGGAGGAAGCGATGGCGATGAAAAACCGCCGTCGGCTAAAGCAGCAAGGTAGTAGTCGTCACCGTATGGGCGAGGAAGTTGCGTGTGAACGTCGTGAGTGTTAGACGATGGGGATCTCTGTCCCTGGGCTCGTGGTGGGGCAACACCGGGGTGGGTTTCGGGGTGGAAATTAAATGCTGAACGAGGCAACCGCCGTAGACTCGAATCGACTCCGGGAAATGCAAATTCTGGCCTAGTAGAAGTCCGACAATGTCTTCCTTGACCCTGACTGTAATGGTTGGTGGGCGACGACGTGTTGTGGTCGTGAGATGAAAGACGAGGTACGTAAGAATCGACTTGCTGGAAGGAATCAAAACCGCCGGAGAATTGGTGCTGGTTCAGTAAAGAGGGCAGAGAGGGTAACTGGTAACTCGAATAGCCCTGCTGATTCGAGTTAAAAGAGGTTGAATTCGCTGGAGTGGGTGGTTGTCCGAAAGGAACTGGACGATTAAAGATACCGTAGTCGGAGAAGTCGTCAGCGTTGGCAAATGCGGTTTGCGCGGGATCTAGATCGGGTTGTGGTACTATTAGGTCGCACGTAACCAAGTTTTAGCCTCCTTTTTCTTAACAGTGCGAGATTTGATTATGAATTATGTGAAGTTCAGTTTGAAGGGGGGGTAGGGGGGGTGAAGTACTTGCAGGTGTGAGGTTTAAAAGTACAATACGTGAGAAGTTTAAAAGACACTGTTTTAAGAAGAAGAAAAAAGATGCTAATAAAGTGGGATAATACCTCTGTATGCCATTATTTCCCTTTTCTTTTTCTTTTTTGCGGCTGAGGAATGTTGAAGGGAAAATGCGAAGTGACTAAAAAAAAGGTTGGACGGTTGATTTCCGTCTAGGTCTGTGGGTTGAGGAGCGCAACAACAATAATAGCAAACTTGAGCTTAAGTGCCTTTTTTTTTCGCGTGATTGTCCTTTGGTACAGCCGGTGGCAATTTGTTATCGGCGATAAAAACGTCGTTCTTCCCGGTTGCACTTGAGGCCTGCGCCAAAGTAGGTACGGCTGGTACGGGTATTCAAGGTATTCACGGACCTGGTGGTAGCCGCTTCCCGGGATGCGCAATCGTCAGGCTGCCAGGTGATTACAATAACAGCAAATTACCTGGCTATCTCGGTAAATTGGTAGAAGACAAATCTCAATGCTTCTTTCCTCGACTAAGTTATTCCCACACCTCGCTGCTCGAACATGCTATATTCGATTCGTTGATAGATGCGAATGGAGTTGCCGGGTAGAAGATTCGTGATTTTTCTGCTGACCTTTCTTTTTTCTTTTTCTTTCTTCGCTCAGTTTGGAGTTTGGTAGAAGAAGAAGAAGAAGAAAAGAATGTAAGCATTCGTAGGAAAACTCGGTACGAAGATGAGGTGAGGTGAGGTTTTTGCACAGGTGGCTACGTGACTACTTAAACTATTTAACTGATTCCCGGCCGGGTACGATCATGCATCCACAACTGCATATCCATACTCCGTGTGGTGGTAACAACCTGTCGGACAATCAATTGGGGCCACCTGGGACACCGTTCGTTCCTCCCCCAAATGAATCTACACTTGTAGAGTTTAAATAACATTACTAATGTAAATGTATGTAGTTCTATAAGATGGAAAGAGCGGGTAGCATGCACGGTTTAAAATACGTAGGTACGTAGGTACCTTAACCAACTTAATGTATGTATATGTGTACATCCTTACAACCCGTGCGCTTACAGCTCAGGTACGGCTGAATCCTACCTACAGGTAATCTGCACATCCATGAAGCTACCCCTGTCATGCCTATCAGATATTTACGACATCCGTTTTTTTCCCTTTTCTCCTTTCGAAACTGTAGTATACAAGAAATACTAGGTTGGCTCTATAGTAAGTAGTTTCGCATTACATAATTAGATTCTGTGTTAAGAGTTTGGCTGGCGGCATTTCAACGCTTCGGAAAAGGATTGACTACACTCTCTTTACTTTCAATGGTATTTTCAACGTTACCATTTAGGGATTTCTGTGAGAGGATCAATATATGACGAGCATAGTTGGTACTATCTAAACGCCTCATCGTAGGGATGTGTCTAAATCTGCCATGAGACATGGTACGGCATAGCTGACTACATCTAGACTGACTGACCTTCGCTTATCATAAGCTTATTTGAGTTTTGCAGCTCATTAAAATTTGTCTATGCACGGAGGTATTGCTGGCCACAGTGGTTAAATATGTGATATATATCTACATCTGCGCGTTGGTCACGCTACACCCGTTCTCGACATCCGTACCTCAGGAGCTAATAGCAAATAGCACGGCTTCCCGAGACAGCGGACAGCAGACATCGGCTTTTACTATGCTCGGGCGGAGGACGGCCCACACCGAGGTACGAAGTAGATGTGAGTGAATACTTTTTAATTGTACAATAGTAGAAAACTTCGTGATCATTCAGATGAATGTCCTGCCATCGTCTTGGTCACCGAGTAGGTAGATACATGCTGGGTCATTCTACTTACTCTTCCGCACCGTCCCGTATGTGCCACTTCCCTCGCTTGAAATGCGAACAGCATCCATTAGCGGTTGGAAGACAAACTATTCGTACTAATACTAATAGGTTTTATTTCCGATTACCTTGAATCGTCAGGATGTCCCTCACGCCATTAAATTACTAATGAAATATAAGTAATTTAACGAGTGAATGCCCTCAGGTCAGTCGGAGCATATTTCGAGAAATAGCATCCCCATCTTATAAACCGATTCCCAAAGTAATGGTGGCGCTTCTCATTAACTTCGAGTCGTCTTCTTCTGGCGGTTCGAGAATTTCCAAGCAAAGATCAAGCACAGGACAAGGCCAACTACACCCAATCCAATGGCCACGCTGTTATTTAATGAGAATTAGTAACTGCTTGAAGTAGGTATAGTAGTTCAAACTATATCTCAAAAACAATAGTTTCGAATCAGACTGATCAAGGAGTCTCAATCTCTCAAAACTGAAAAGGGGGGAACGAAACGACTCCGAGTTACTCACTACCAAGCTCCCCTATATCCCTTCAGAATGTCCTCGGCAGTCACTCCGCCATTATTCACGTGAAGCTCAACGGTTCCAGCAACGCCCAATGCAAGCGCACCACTATAGTTCACCACTGTAGTAACTAAGCTGGCTGCAATGCCTTGGTGCTCGCTGGATACCAAATCCGAAAGCATAAGTGTCGCCGCTGGAAAGCTCAAATCCATTCCCCAGGTGATAATCACATTGCAGAGGAAAGTTTGTGTCCAATACGTCTGGTTAATAGGGGCTGTTGCGATGAGGGTAGTACCAATGGTAAAAGCTAATAGTGCGAGGGCCATCACGACCGCTGGTCCTACACGGTGGATGATCATACCCGTAGTAATAGCTGCTGCAATACCACTGACCAAAATCGGACTGTGCATTGCCGTGGCCAGGAGAGGCGGCGCGCCTCGCAACACCTCGTAAAACCCCCAAATATAATAGATATAAATCCCAAAGCAACCCCAGCCACAAAAGACAGCGCCAAGGACAAAAAATACTCCCGAGTTGACAGCCTCGAGTGGTATCAAAGGTTTACTGGCGTACTTCTCGACAAAGATAAAACCCACGCATAGCAGAGCTCCTGCTATCAGAAGCCCGGGAACACATGGGTTCTGCCAGCCCTTGACGGATGCTTGGTTCCAAGAAACGCTGATGAGAATAAGACCACTAACCCCCGTCAGAGCACCGGGGACATCCAGCTCAGCACATAATGCCTTTAACCCCCCTGGCGATATTCTACTCTTTTCCGGGGACAACTCACTTGGTATCAAAAGTGCACCGGCGATAGTAGTGAATATTAATAGAAGGGATAAGCCAAAAAATGCATATGGCCACCACGCTAGTGCTAGCAGGCTTGTAAATGCCGGTGAGATGATAGCAGAAGCTGGAGCCATGGCCCCAAAGATAGCGAATAACATAGCCTTTCGTTGCCCAGGTACATAAGTGACGCCTAATAGTGCCACGGCGTTTGGGACTATTAGTGCCGGGCCGAGACCTTGCATGATACGCGCAAAAAGAAAAGCAGCATAAGGTCGAGGTGCGTAGATGGATAAGCCGGCGACAAGCGAGAACAGCGCAAACCACATATTGCCGACAAGAAATATGAGCTTATGACCATAGACGTCCCCAAGGCGGCCCGCTAGGAGAATGAACGTCCCCGTTAAGCCATATCCAGCAATAAGCCACACGAGTTGCCCTGGGCTCGTGGCGCCTAGATCAGAACCTATAAGGCGAAGGATGCAGAGAGCTTGATGAAATCCGGAATCTATTTAGTTTCAGTCAGATGGTTCACGAATAACTTAGAGAACGCAATTCGGAGAGCCCTTACGAGGTGTGAAATTGGCCGTTGACACAACGACGAAGAAGGCCAGTTCATGAATAACGGACATAGGTTTGCCAAGGAAGATATGTGCCCTTGGATGCCCTTTGCTCCCCTTCTTCTCTAAGTCGCTGTCAAGGCTTGACTGGTTTTGGCAATCATCCTTTCCCAGACCGGGCGATAAACTTTTGCCATCTGCGTCGTGGATCGGTGATGCTGGTACACTGTCCCTCCGGACTGTGTCTTCGAAATTGTCCGTCCTGTTGTATCCTAAGGATGCGTGCTCGTCCGTATAACACCCAGGAGCTTCCGGTAACACATTCGAATCCATGAGGCCTTTCTACCCTAGATATCGGCGATGGCTGACTGTGATAATGGGGCTTGCCGTCTGATTATCGGATACTAGGCTAGCAAGGACGAGTCCAAAGGTTCATACTTATATACACACGATCCATGGAAGACCTACACCCGGTCCTGAATATACGTCCCTATGTTTAGACACTGGTGAGGGCTATCAAGTCGATTCGTATGGTAAGGTCTTGTCGGACTCCGCCCACGCATTAAGTCTTGACAGACGGTCTCGGAAAGAGCTGAGACTTATGTGAAAGCGTGGTCGAGAGATCTCTGTAGCACGCGACTATCTAACTCTCTCAACTGCCGATACTACGCAATATTCCCTTTTTTGCCTCTTGCTCCTCTGTACTAGGCCATACGGCGGGAATGATGTACACTTCTCCCTCTCTCCCCTTTCCTCTCTTGAGTTTACTCCACCACTTGGTGCAACCATATCGTGCTAGTATCACGAACTGGGCGAGTACCTGGCATACAGGGGATCCTCTGCACAGGAGCTACCTTATCCGCCTTTCTGGATTCCCGTTCGTCTTAGAAATCTAAGCACCTAGTAATATCGTAAGTGTTTAAATGACATCCTCTATACATTTCTTGGCAAAGAAGGCAGAGTGAACGAAACGTTGTCTCGTCTCCCATGGTGCTACGCATGTGCGCACGTACCGTACCTCCTCCCATGCGGATGAAACTATATGAGAGGGGAATTTGGGGGAGAGAAAAGGGAGATTCAAGAGTAGACACTCGAGAAACGAAGTTTGCTACCGCATTTCGCCTCCCCCTTTCCCGTAAGATAAAGTTTCGGGAACGGAAGGCATGTAATCAGCGATGTCTCGAGTTAAGACCCGAATATCACGGTCACCTTCGGCCAGCGAGGAAATTGGTCCGAGACCTTTCGGCAAAGCGTTCGCGGACAAGCTACCTACCCTACCTACCTATCCCATGTGTCTGTGGCGCATAGATCTAATACGCGAGCTCGTGGGATTTGTCTTATTATGATGCGTGGCCGCACGTTGTATATCGTTGCTGTGGGCGGTACCAGCGGTGATTCATTCACCTTGCTTCAGCGAGGCCATGGTCTAGGGCATGGTGTCTGTATGATATTATCGTGATTTCGTCGTGCGAGACCGGATTCGTAATCTGCTACGAGGTAATGTCTCTAGATACCAACTACCAGCTACCAGCTACCGAACTGTTGGAAGTCTGTCCTTCCACTACCGAGTTGGTTTACCGCAGCACGCGCCTGTCTATATGTCTCAGTGCGAGACGTTTAATTAGTCTACCGTAGTATTATAAGAGAGGCCTACCTTACCAGAAGTAAAGCTCGAGACTGAAGACTGCTATGTTCCTCGAATTAACACGCATCTCATATCTTCAACCAAAATCACAAAGTTCCTACTACAGCTACCAGAGTGGTCCACGAATATGCTATCGTTTCACCACTAAACGATTCATAGACAAATCCGGCCCTAGGTTCGCATAATAGCAACTTCTTAAGACCACAAATTTCTAGTAGGTTGATTATCCCGTGACCAGAAGCTCCAATTACGACACTCGCGACACTGAGTCACTTATAAGTCTCCATCGCCTTCCGTGAGGTTTTGAACTTTTCCGACATGCTAATTTAAAGGCACCGGGCGAAACCTCAGTATTCGCTAGCATCGACTTACCTTATTTTTATTTTCTCGGATTAGATACTGATATTTTTTCAACTCTATCTGGCGGTCTGTATTTATCTTACCGAACAACTTCGTCGTTAGTTATCGCCCCGTGTAGCACACGTCTCTTATTAGCTAGCCTTGCTCTCATGCATAGATGCAGCTATCCTATGTCGTGGCCCCTCGATGCGTAATAGGGCGTCTGTGGTTTTTCTTTTCTTGCTAGAGCCTAGAATCTTGTGGTTTTGATTATAAGCCAGATGCATCTAATTTTTAGGTCATGTGGTTGTTAATACCAGCCGCTTTCCGTAGCCGTCTCGGGGCACAGCATAGGTTATTCTTATCAAAACGCATTCATTCACTGACTTTAAATATGAAGAGATTATCAAGGCACAGTAAAGCAATCCCCATCATTTCCTACAAGCTGATAGCACTGGCTATGGGAGACACGAGTTGACATCCGTACGTGATGATTTATGCTGTACATCGATCAATCGTCTAGATTGGTTGCGGTGTTACAAAGATACAGTAGAGCAAGATCTCCATGGGTGCAAATACATATGATGTGCTTTTTATTAATATATTCGCTAAAGCATTTAGATACGGCAATAAGAAGGGTACCTTAGATTGGAAATCAGATCGGGGAGGGGCACGGCGTTTGTGCATTATCACCAATAGACGCCTTCCCTTAATTGGTATAGACGATAAGTGTTGGGGTCCACACAAGGTCACTAAATTTTGGCCGCTAAAAATTGTGGCGGCTTATCAAATCTTCAGCGCTAGGTATCAGAATTATCTTCGTCATGATTCGCACGCAGTCTTGAAACTCAGACAAGAACCTACCAATTCGAAATGATCTTCGATAGACGGAAGTGATGCTTCATCCTGCAAAGGGCCGCATAAGAAGCGCATCGACTTCAAGCTTCGTGCGGTTTGCCAATAGGGTGCATAATCACCCTTGTCGGTCATGGCTTTCCCCATTGCCGTTCCATTTGAGGCGGCAGACCACCGCAACCGCCGCCGCCGCAGCCCAAGCTTCTAAAGCTTCCCAAGCTCCCCATGATCCTCTTTTACAAACACAAACACACATACCAGATCTCGCCAGTTAGTTATAGATCTTTTCGTTTTTAAAATCATGTATAATAGATCTCTAAACAAACCTATAGATCCTTCTGGTGCTCGAATCAACGAAATAGGTGTACAACAAGTCAGTACCCGTATCTATGAACAGATTTTCAAAAATGGTAGCGACCCACCACCACAAGAGCTCATTGATCTATCCATAGATCACTTACGCCGTCATGATCTTTATGGGAAGAATACCGACAATACTAAGCCCATTGCCTTTGATGTACCTGAACTTCAGGGCACAACTCTGGACGAGCACTTCTACAAACTTGGTATGGACTGTGCCCATCCGTTCCTTGGGATGGCGAAGGCGTTTGCAGAAAAATATGCACCCTCGCGACCGAGAGAATGGGTGAGGCAAAGCGGCTGGACGAAATATTATGACGACGATACGCCGCCAGAGAAGGTCGAGTTTCCAGACTCTGATATGCTCTGCTTTGATGTCGAGGTCATGTGGAAGGAGAGCTCATTTGCTGTCATGGCGTGCGCGATGAGCCCGACAAATTGGTATGCTTGGTTATCACCTTGGCTACTTGGTGAATCCGAGTCAGACCGGCATCTGATTCCATTAGGCGATCCAAATATGGACCGCATCATCGTCGGCCATAATATTGGGTATGACCGAGCAAGAATCCTTGAAGAATACGATTTGACACAGTCAAGAAACTCGTTTCTCGATACTATGTCATTACATGTTGCAGTCAATGGCATGTGTTCACGGCAACGGCCAACATGGATGAAGCACCAAAAAAGTAAGGAGCTACGCGATAAAATCTCCAAAGAGACAAATAACATGGAGCTAATAAACCTATTGGCCAACAACCATGAGGACGAAGAAGAACTCTGGGTTGAGAGAAGCTCGATCAATTCCCTTCGCGATGTTGCTAAGTTCCATCTAAATATCGCAATCGACAAAGCAGCTCGAGATCAATTTGGGGAGCTAGACCGGGAAGGCGTTGTTGGGAAGCTGGACGAGCTACTGGATTACTGTGCGGCAGATGTAGTCGTCACCCACAAAGTCTACAAGATCATATTCCCCAACTTCCTCAAAGTCTGCCCCCATCCGGTTAGTTTCGCTGCATTACGACATCTCTCCTCGGTCATCCTCCCTGTAAACAAGTCCTGGGATGCATATGTTCAAAACGCGGAAGCCACCTACCATAAGCTATCCGATAGTGTCCAGGACCGTCTGATCTCCCTTGCGGAGAAGGCAGTAGAAATTAAAGACGATGCAGAGAAATGGGGCAACGACCCATGGCTGAGGCAGTTGGACTGGTCTGGTCAAGAAATTAAGATGGTCAAGGGAAAGAAAAAAGGAGACCCCCCAAGACCTGCTGCTCGCCAGAAGAAACCTGGAATGCCTAAATGGTATAAAGACTTGTTCAAGAAAATCGATGCGGAAATTAGTCTTACGGTTAGGACTCGAATTGCGCCGCTCCTGCTTCGACTTGCGTGGGATAGCTATCCTCTGGTCTGGTCCGACAAATATGGCTGGACATTTAAAGTGCCACTTTCAGACATGTCGAAATATGGTTCAACGCAGCTTGCTAAGTGTGACTTCTCGGACGAGCCTATAGAAGCTTTAAAGAACGACAGGACTGGAATATATTTTAAGCTCCCTCATAAAGATGGTCTAACTACGCGATGCGTGAATCCGTTAGCCAAGGGGTATCTCCCATACTTCGAAAATGGTACTTTATCGTCGGAATATCCGTTAGCGAAAGAGGCGCTCGACATGAACGCATCGTGTTCTTATTGGATTAGCGCTAGGAGTAGAATCATGTCTCAGATGGTGGTTTACGAAAAGAATAAAGTTGAAAATAACGAAGAGGACTGCGCTAAAAAGGATGACTATGACCTTGGATATATACTCCCTCAAATTATCCCTATGGGTACTATTACACGAAGAGCAGTCGAAAATACATGGTTGACCGCAAGCAATGCAAAGAAGAATAGGGTCGGTTCTGAGCTGAAAGCAATGGTCAAAGCACCACCAGGCTATTGCTTTGTCGGTGCTGATGTCGACTCGGAAGAACTCTGGATCGCCAGCGTCGTAGGAGATGCCACCTTTAAACTCCACGGTGGTAACGCTATTGGTTTCATGACCCTGGAAGGCACCAAAGCTGCAGGGACTGATCTTCACTCCCGTACCGCTTCTATCTTAGGGATCACACGTAATAATGCCAAAGTTTTCAACTACGGCCGGATATACGGAGCAGGACTTAAGTTCGCTGCTAGCTTACTCAGACAGTTTAACCCTAGCCTCTCGGAGAAAGAAACGTTGGATATCGCTGGAAAACTGTATACCACGACGAAGGGTACCAAGACAACAAGGAAAACGCTCTCCAAGCGGCCTTTCTGGAGGGGCGGGACGGAGTCGTTCGTCTTCAACAAGCTTGAAGAGTTCGCAGAACAAGATCGCCCACGTACCCCGGTTCTCGGAGCTGGAATCACCGAAGCTCTGTTGAGTAGATATATTAGCAAGGGGGGCTACCTCACGTCTCGTATCAACTGGGCAATCCAGTCGTCGGGTGTGGATTATCTGCATCTTCTAATCGTTTCAATGGACTATCTGACTCGGCGTTTTAACATTGCGGCTCGCCTCGCCATTAGTGTACACGACGAGATACGCTATCTCGTCAAGGATGAAGACAAATATCGAGCAGCCATGGCTCTTCAAGTCGCTAACCTCTGGACCCGAGCGATGTTTGCCCAGCAGGTTGGCATAAATGACCTTCCACAAGCATGCGCTTATTTCTCTGCGATCGATATTGACCACATACTTCGTAAAGAGGTTGACATGAACTGCGTGACACCAAGCCATTTGACGCCTATTCCACCTGGGGAAAGCCTCGATATTATGCAACTACTCGAGAAAGGAGATGAAGCGAAACTCGACCCCGCTACTATCCCGGCAAAGCCTGTTCCAAAGCCAGAGAACATTTCGTATGAGCATAGGGTACCTGTGATGGAGGAGCTGAATGCTTCCCAAGATCCTACAGACCTCAGTTTCCTAAAAGCACAGATCACAGACGACGACCAGGAGCTTCGCCAGATCATCAAAGACCAAAAGAAGAATTCCGGGGCTGGATCGGCCAGTGTAATAGTGAACAAGCCCAGGCAGAAGAAGCTAGTCCCGTATAGCTCGCAGCCGCAACTTATCCCTCACATGTACAAACCGTTCGGGGCAAAGTTCACCTCGAAGCAAGATTATGGTAGCGGGGGGCAGTGGACTTTCGAGCCCATGCCTTCTGCATCGCTGCCTATCCGGAGGGCCTAGAGTCTGAAGTGGTGTGCCATATTATATATTTCCCGATGGACACGGTTTTTTTTTCTTTACATAGTAGGTAGTTACGACATTATTAAAAAGGGGATTATGACTCGGATCTAGCATAGTCTCAAAAGGGTGGCGGCAATGTATTAAAAGGGGCGTTATTGGAGGGAGTACTGTACCGTAGCAAGAGTAGATATACCTACCGTCCGCATTGGATTGTTGATATTCGAATGTTACTGCGACCTAATAGATGGTATTGGATGAATATTTTTGTGATTTTATTGGGCTGATATTTCTTATTCCTTGGGCTTCTACTATTTACTGTTCTGAGTTGTAGGTGCGTGTTATACAGTCTACGAGTAGTTGTCTACATCCTTAGCAGGTAGGTAGGTAAGTAATCGAATAGATAAAAGTTTACTATGTAGTCTTATCAAGATTCTGATATCTTTCACTAAAAGAGAGGTCAAAGAGGCACGGCTCCTAATTCGGCAAATTAGGCATAGTTACCCGCTTCAATCCCGCTTCGTCCCGCTCAGCCCGCTCAGCCCGCTACATGTCGTGCTACTAGGCGCAGCTAAATGCGGAGGTGGCAGACGCAGGGGCCACTACGTACGAGTAAATTTTGAATTGTCACACCTTTGCTACTACTGGCACCCCGAGACCTGAGTGTGTGAGTGATACAAACAGGGAGAGGAATTTGTGCTGTTTGTATTAGTGGCTACGAATACGATTAATTATATGATCTATTTATTTGGTCATTAGTTTGTAAGTATATCTGTTAACTAATTAAAATTTAAACTTTAAAGTATTTGTTCCGGGGGAAAAGGAAAGAATGGAAGTCTTTGGCTTATAATGGTTATAAGCTTACTAACATTTATTTACCTACCTCAATATTAAGGTCCGTAACCATTATACAAAGGTACGTTCGTACCCCTGAGTGCTACCCAACTGCCTTGGTATGTTACAGCGTATGTAGGTACTAATTAACGGTGTCACCAATCGTCCCAGCCATGCCGGATCTCTATTTTTAGCTGTCCTATACTACCTAAGATAGGTACCTAACCTAATATCAAAAAATAATTATTCGCATATGTTTTGTCCAATGTTTTTGGTCTAGGTAATTCGATGCCACGCCACGCGGACTTGTTCAACCTAAGATCGCCATATCTTTCAGCGATCAATATTATAACCTAACACTACCTAGGCACTTTTTGCTATAATATGTATGAAGTACAGAACCCCTTCAAGACACTCTGATAGGCTATGTCGACGTTCCAGCCCTAGCAGAAAATGTAAGCACTAATGACATCACACGCAGTAGCCAGTGTAGCATCTTCAAGGGCTTACATTCCTTTTGCCCTGCCGTTCGATGGTCCAACGCTGCTGTACCCCTTGCCATGGGGAGAGGGGGGGGAACCGAACCCCGGAGACGTCGCATTTATAACTAGATGATAAGCAAGCAACCCTCCTTTTTCACCTAGGGTCTAGGCTTCTACATAAGGTAAAGGATGAGTTAAGTTAGTAAGCCTGCATCCCGATTCCCGATGTCTGGAGTTGTCAGAAAATAGGTATACGCCTGCGAGTCCTTGCCGGTGAGAACTTTACCGGAAATAATTTCGAATCCATCCCATCCATCCATCTTTTCCACATCTTTACTTATCGAATCTATCACACCGCGCCATCTACCCACCGTCTTGGCATCGTAGAAGCAGGCTGGGTTGGGTAGGGCTGAGAACTTACCTTGGGTCTCTCTTATGTCCGTATAAGCTCGCCTCGATATGCCTTTCCTCTCGTCGCTGTTCGAGCGCGCGTCGCCCACGGGATCTTTCAATGGAAACCCGCCCGACCATCTGCCGGCTGAAAATGGGTTGCATATATGGCGTGCTGCGGTCATCATGCCGTTTTTCACATTTGGCTTTGTTGCTTTGAGGTTTTATACCCGGACTTATTTGCTGAGGGCTAGGAAGTATACCATTGACGACTGTACGTTGTTTCTCTGCTGGGAAGGTGGTTGGTGGTAATGTTGTAGTGCTGATTTACTGTAGATATCGTGGCGCTGAGCATGCTCGTCTGCATCGCGCACGCCGTATTGATGGCCATTGCGACGTATAACGGCATGGGCTTGCACGTGTGGCAGTACAACAAGGAGCTCAACGCGCGGTATTATCTCTGGATCGGGATCACGTCCGAATTCTACGTCTTGGGCTTGATGGGCTTCAAGAGCGCGCTCATCCTGCTGTACCTCCAGCTGTTCGGCGTGTACGCCAGGTTCAGGTGGGCGTGCTACAGCACCCTGTTCTTCTGCATGGGATATCTGCTCTGCAACCTCACGACCGAGTTTTTTGGCTGTCATCCCATCAGGAAGAAGTGGGAGCCCGGTTTGCCGGGGCATTGCATTAATAGTATCGCGACGGCTACGTTTTATGGCGCTTGCAATATGGCGAGTGATTTGGTTATCGCTATCTTGCCCCTTACGATGATATGGAAGTTACAAGTAGCGTCGAAGCTGCAGAAGGTCGGGCTGAGTCTTGTCCTGAGTAGCGGGTTTGCGTGAGTACCTATACATACCATCTATCGCATTGTGAATTGTGCTGATGTATGGAATTTCAGTGCTTGGGCAGTAGCTGTCGCTCGATGGGGTATTGCTACGTATGACTGTATGTCCTTGTATTTCAAATTTCCATGCCATATCGCTAGAGACACTTTTGGTAAACAAACGTTGGCTAACTCTCTTCTTTTCGTAGTGGTCGGAACCGATGATAGAACGTGGTGGGCCGGCGTCAGCTTCACCTTGAGTATACTCGAGATCAACACGGGCCTCATCTGCGCTTGCGTTGCTACACTAGGGCCTCTTTGGAAACTGGCATATGCGCAAGTTAAGGGCTGGACTGGCTGGTCTAAGCCCTGCAGCAGCAAAGAAGAAACTTGGCCGTCCTTCGTGCGGAAACCTGCCCACAGCCAATTCTCCGAAGAAACTAGGAGGCCGAGCGAGGCTACAATCGGCGGACACGGACTCCCTGCTGGCCGGGCGAGTCGTTTGGTAACGTACAATGGGTCGACGCTGACCTCTACTTACGAAGACGAGTATGGCCTGTTGGACGCTTCGGGCTGGCATCCCCATGGTATAAGAGAGGACAGGTCTTATAGGAGTAGGGAGGATGTATGAGATACATGTGTATTGAATTGTTCGTGTCATCACGTCTTTGTTTTGATTATGGTTGGCGCATATTATACCCCAAGTAGCGAATGAAAAAACTGATTTAGCATCCACTTCGATCATTGCTTTTCTTTATTCATTCATCGTTTATTACCGAGTAGAATATGACACAAACTACTTGTCGTTATATATTAGTTACATCTCTGTAAAAGTTAAGAGGCTCGGTGACCTATACTGCGATTGCCGGACCGACTTCTACTTTCGATTCAGCCTAAGAATACGACTGCGACTTGAACAGTCGACTCTAGGCTTGTTTAGGACGTTGGGGTGCATAATTCCCACGCGATATCCACATCCACGTTCCCCATCCTACCTCAACTAGTTCTCTTTAGGCCTATACCTGGGATAATATGCTTGCGCAATGAATCGCTGTTGGTAGAGACATACGAAGGGCCGAGGAGACGGTACGTGATGACTCCGGATTCCGGTGGAAACTGCAATATTTACTGCTAATTTGCGCCGTAATGAATAAACATTGGGTTTTCACCTAGGTAGCTCCTCCTAGAGACGTAATTATTTTCATGATGCTGTTGGGATTGCCATTTGCGGTCTTTGCCGTTGGAGCTGTAGCGGTTCCGTCTCCGCAGACCCTAGACTCGAGTCTCACGTTGCTGATCGACAATGATCTACAAGGTAAATCATATCCTACAGGCCAATTATTTGTTATATCTCTCATCCAACTTTAACCCTAGGGGCGAGTAGCCCTGTAGCCAACTCCGGGGTTTTACTACTAGAAGCTCGGTCGTTAGAGGACGCTAGCAAGACATGCGAGGCGGTGGGCGAACAGCTCTGGTCGCTTGAGTCGGGAACGAAAAGCATTCAAGCCAACTTGAATTATCTCAAATATGCAGATTCGGATTTGGGTCTTTCGCAATTCTGGGTTGCGTCTGGGAATCAGTCGGCTCGAGCTATAGACATAGATGGACGCATAGTTCATGCAGAACCAGAGGCCAAGCTCCCGGTTTTATGCTCCCAGTCAGCACCATTTTCCAACGTGACGGCTCAGGATACGGGCGAGAGATGGCAAGTCACTGTGAAATCCAACAATGAATCTCTTACGGGGTAATTATTGTCACCATTATCCAATTACCCCTGAAGGCTTTTATACTGATACGTGTCTACTTAGGTACCGTGACCGCTTGAGTTTTCGCTTCTTAGGCGTTCGATATGCACCGCAACCAAAGCGGTTCACATATTCTGAGCCTTACATCGGCAATGGGAGCGAGGTTTCTGCATTGGAGTATGACTCTCAGTGCGTTCAGGCAGGGAACATCGGGTCTGAAGATTGCTTGTTTCTGAATATTTGGACCACTCACATTCCGGCCAAGCCTACTACTAAAAGTCTGAAGCCAGTCATGGTAAGTGTTGACTTCAGTGCTTAAAGAAGACCGTCTAAAGACTTGATTAACAATTCGGGCAGTTTTGGATACACGGAGGTGCGTTCATAAACGGGGCAGCAAGCGATCCTACGTTCGACGGAGGCAATCTAGCGTCAAGGGGCGATGTCGTCGTGGTTACTGTCAACTATCGGTTGACTACCCTCGGATTCCTAGCCTTGAATGACGGTGTCACTAATGGTAACTTCGGCCTTGCTGACCAGATTAACGCCCTTGAGTGGGTAAGGAGGAATATCAAGGACTTCGGTGGTGACCCTGATAGGATCACCATATTTGGACAGTCCGCCGGCGCGGGGAGTGTCCACGCCCTGATAGCCTCCCCGAAGTCGATCGGCAAGTTTGCAGGGGCTATACCCGTCAGCAATCTTGCTAGTAAAGATCCCAGCACGGGTTATACGAAATATTATACGATCGAGGAGGAAGTCAAGGCACTAGGAAATACCATCTTAGAAGAAACTAGTTGTGCGAATGTTACGTCTCAAGTAGACTGCCTGCGATCTATATCCCCTCATACTCTTGCGGGGGGCCTAAGCACTTATGCTAGGTTCCCGGTTGTTGACGGGACATATCTCACGTCCGACAAACTTCAACTCGAAGGGCCCACGCTCCCGGTTCGTATCATGATGGGAACCACTCGCGACGACGGCGGTCCATTTATCAGTTACCCTACGACGACGAACCAGACAGAGTATCTAACATCACAAGGCTACGACGTGCCACCACCAGACCTCTTCCCAATTCCTAATATAGAGAACAAGACTTTAGCTCTGTTCAACATGGCAACCCGTCTTGTTACAGACAGTATTTTCCGATGCGGTGACCAAGCTACAGTGTTTAACGGTCTCCGGAATAACCGGTTCCACCCCGTCTATTTCTACGAGTTCAACAGGACCTACCAGCTTTCCGACTGGCCAAAGCTCGACGCCTGCGAGCCGCCCAAGACAGCCTCCCACCCCCATGGCGATCCTCACAGCGAGTATCTCAAATGCCATTCAGGCGAGCTATACTACATCTTCGGCAACCTAGCCCGACAAGGCCTACCCATGCGGGACGAATTCGACCTGTCATTTGAGCAATTCGTCCTAGACTCTTTCAGTTCGTTCGCAAGATCGTTCGACCCCAACCCCGACGTCGAGTTTCTCAAGGCCAGGGGCTTCCGCAGCACATTAGCGGAAATCGAACGCTCGGGGAGGTGGCAGCCCTCCACCTCGGAAGGGCAAATGACAAGACGGATCTTGCAATGGCCCGGCGTTCAGGGGCCGTTTACGGAGGCGGAGCAATGCGAGTATATAGGTTTGGCTTGGAACCAGTTAGGTTAGGTACCTAAGGTAGATAGATAGCTCTATCGTACGCGTCACCACATGGAATACACGAATATTATGCCAAAGCGCCCGATATTCTCCAACCTAGAATCTAGAATGAAGACTTATAAGTCTGATTAATAGTAGAGGTCTTTAACAAATGCCAAAAGGTCGTGTTGGTACGGCCTAGCGTATACTTCCACGCCCCTCCTAAGAACTACTTTCTCTATATCCTTAAGGTACTATCCTTATAATATCCTTATGAAGTATTGCTAGGTCCTGAGGTTCGATTCCTTCGACGACCATTCTTTTTTTTTTTCCCTTTTCTTTTTTTCTTTTTTTGAATTTCTAATTTCTAATCTCGGTATCATGTAAGCTAATAGATTATTACTTTAAAAATTACTTGGATTGATTTTAGGTATGTGTAACGTGTTAATAAAAGTTCCTCTGCTATGCATCCCCCCTTGGGACAGTTTATCACTCACAGGGAAATATGTCGTGTTGCGCGAAGCGATTTGCATCGCCAACGTAGGGCATCTACATAACAAAGAGCTTTTAATAGGCGTATTGCACGGGAACTTCGTCGCATCTCGTCCTGATTTATAATACTGAGCTATTTGGGATTATATCCTATCTTTAGAGATTCTCATAATTTTCCGTGGTTCTTTACGTGTTAGGTTTGACACTTCCCATTTTATACCCCTAATCGGTGCATACTAAAGAATAAGAGTGATTTATAAACCCCCTTGAGAAAGGGGGGCTTCATGGCAAGGGGCGCTATGCACCTAGAGATTCTGTCTTCTATGTCTGCTTCCTCTAATACATACACCGAAATAGGGGTAACTATAAATGAACGTGATAGCGATAGAGCGTTACACGAGCGAAGGGAGTTATTAGTATACTGTAAGCTAGGAGACAATCCCATTTTTTGTTACTAACGTGAAAGCAGAAGCAGGCTGGGGCGGCTTACGAACGCTGTTGGTTCATTAAGCATATAAATATATCTTAGCAAGGCTACATTGAACCATGCAAATGCCCCATGCCCCCGCTGTCCCGTCAGCTGGTTCGAAATTTGGGGGCTGCCTCTGAACACTTACTAACTACCCTTTTGCATGTCATATCGACGCTATTCGGAGACAATGGAATCAGAACAGAGGCAGATAAATGTATTCAAACCCATCCATTAACGCATACAATGTTTGTTTCTTCATATAATATGGTCAACATACTGACTTAGTCATACAAGGACGAGACATTGGCCATAGCTTCGACTCAGACTTGGAATACCTTCTTGTCAAGGACGTCGGTATCTAGCCTCAGCTCTGCAGCGTTCTCAAATCCTAGCCAAGCTGGTCAGGTTAATGGCTTTGATGACATCCTTGACACTGTTAAAACGCTTTCTCTACGCCGTATTCCATATGAGGAGATTGAACGCCAGGATGTCGTTGGCGAAGGAGAAACCTTCGTCGTTGAGCGCTGTGTCGTGCGGAATCAGATTCAAGCGATAAAGCATTTAAGAACTAACCTGTCACCCGATGATAGCATATTTCGGCGCCGTATTCGATCGCTCATCCTTGAGCTTCGTATTATGCGACACAAGCCTCTCCGAGGCCATCCTAATATCCTCACAGTGCTTGGTTACGGTTGGAACGTGAGCGTATCCAGGGTTGCGCCGTATCTACTTGTTCAATATGCGCCTTACGGTACGCTTCGTCAATACTTACAACATACCAAGTCCGAAACATCACTGGCACAAAAGGAGATCCTGATAGGCGATGTTGCAGCAGCGACAAGCGCTCTCCACCTCTGCGGTATTATTCACGGGGATATAAAGCTGGATAACGTACTCGTGTTTCACTCGTGGGACCGCCCAGCTAAATCCATAGCTAAGATTTCAGACTTTGGCCATTCCTTAGTTGTCACTGGGAACGAAGATCCCGAACGATACCTGAAGTATGGGGGCACGTTCATGTTAGTACTCCTTTCTCTCCTAGGAGTTTCATCTACCACTGACTTCTCTTCAGATATAATGCTCCTGAAGTTCATAATCAAAAGAGTTGTCCAATAGATCGAGCCGCGCTTATCAAGTGTGACATTTGGGCATTTGGAATTCTAGCATGGGAAGTATTCCTCGACGGCGATGAATATACGAACTACATCGCGAAGGTCGAATTGCCAGCTGTCGAGGATGGGAATGAACCTATTATAACGATTCCGCATCGATTCCTAGATCTAGCGAAGGCATCGATACCTTTTTCAAAATTAAACTTACAAGGCAGCGTCATCCGCTCAGCGTTTAATATGACCCTTCAAGTAGATCCAACGAAACGCATTTCTAATCTTACGAAACTCCCGTTTTTGTCGAAGTGGCAGTAAGTAAATCTCTGGGGTCCGTATCAAGTATATCTAACAACTAGGTAGTTCTGTTGGTGTTCAGGGGCTGCAAGCTGATTTGGCGCTTCATTTTGGCAGTTCTGAATGGTCCTATGAAGTAAAAAGCCAATGCTGCTAACCGAAGTTAATGTATACTAATTTTTTTTTACAGATGTTCCGTCCTGAGAATGGTAGAGAGATCCTATGGGAACATGAGGTGCATATATATCAAGGATTACGTCGAACCTACAACAGCTCGCATAGTCAGAACGGTGATGCTGCCTGGCAACTTGCATTATGCCAGTATCTTGGCTTTGGAGACTCTCCTAATCTCGAAGCAGCTCATCAATTAGCTTTGGCTGCCGAGAGACTTGGACATGCAGTTGCGACAACCTTCGCACCTCTTCTAGCACCACATGGCCCTCCTGAATCTTACCTTACCGAAAAGACTTATGCTGAACGGATAGTAGATTTGCTTCAGCAGAACAATGCTACAACTCCATATTCGCAATTAGTCGAAGCGTGTTGTAAAGGAGATACCGAAACTATCCTTTACTGGCTAGAGGTAATAGTGGCATCCGACGAGACTACTGATGGTAAATGCGATATTCTACGATTCCTATTTGCGCTCGAAAATAATCCCCAACAATTAGAGATCCTAGAACGCCTGAGCTGGGATGGAGAAGAGTTACCGCTAGACCAGCCGACCAAGTCGGTATATATCGTCCATAACCAATATCCGCTACGATTATTCGGAAGTCCGCTGGTATTTGCAATATCAGTCGGCAGTATTGAGACTGTTCGTCGGTTGATCTCACTTGGCGCAAATCCTTGCTCGAGAGCATTCGCTCCGGATCAATTCCCCGAAGCAGACCATCGCTCAAAATGGACGCCTATACACGTAGCCGTACAATACCACTGCCCTGAAATTCTATCGGACCTCCTTAAAATTGCGTCAGCCGCCGGTTATAAGAGCGAAGTACCGTATAGCTGTGCACTGAGCTACTCGTCTTCCCTTGAACGTACCGCAATGCATGGTAATAATCGTTATAAATCGTTAGAAACAACAATTTCAATTCTAAAGGAGTCTGATGATCTGCTCGGCACGACACCGAACGGAATGACAGCTCTAATGCAGGCGATAGATTTCCAGGATGTAGATGTGATTTATGCCCTTTGTATGGCTGAGAAAAGAATAGCTACCTCACCCTTTCGTGACCCTCGAAATTCGATCAACTTCACTTACCCAATTCACTTCGCAGCTCAGCTAGGATCTCGGCGTGACGTTCCTGAGGTATTGCGAATTATAGAGATCATCGCAAAAGACATGGACTTCAACAAACCCCTATACGATAACTTCGGGCGCACACCTCTTCATTTGGCAGTGACCGGTCCCTCCAAACTAGTAGCCTCGTGGTTCTTGGATAAGAATGTTGGTTTACTAAATATGGAGGATAACTTTGGCATGACTGCTCTTCATTACTGTGGTTCAGCCGCTAATGCCAACCTACTCCTCTCTAAAGGAGCAGACGTTAACTACACCAATAAATATGGAATGGCACCCTTACACTGGGCTTGCTATCACGGTAATCTGGATATTGTCCAGTGTCTTCTCGAAAATAACCCGTTACTCAACCTAAAGAATAACTCCTACGGCACCCCTTTACATTGTGCTATCATTCGGGGTTCATTAGACGTTACAATTGTACTGCTCGAAGCCGGAGCCCCTGTCAACGAGGTGGATAAGTTTGGAGTGGCGCCGCTACATCTAGCTTCGTCCTTATGTCGCTACAATATCATTCGAAGCCTCATGCAGCACGGGGCAGATATTAATTTGCTAGATCCAAAAGGTCGCACAGCAGGTACAATAGCCAAGGAATTAGGGACAATGGCGGGTATCATCGCGTCTGATATTCTAGATGATGACAGTACTGTACCGATTGAAGCCTTGTATGCCCGACGTCTAGATACCGGCTTCGAAGACACCATCCTCACCGAATCCCAGGCTACGACAACAAACCCGACGCTTGGGAATAATACTAATGAACTAGAGGCAGCAGTTGGTGGATTCGAACCCCCCGACTATGCCAGACTCTTCGAGATCAACGCCAAGCAGAGCACTTTCAACGAAGAGGATGAAGATGAGCCTGAACTCCAAGAACCGGAAAGGAAGCCCGCAGAACTCATCTACCATCTTGTTGCAGAATATTCCTGTCCCGCTAGCGATGCTAGACATATCGTACATAAGATCATACCAGTTCTAGAAATTACTACGCATATCAACTTTAAGGAGATAAGCAAGTATATCAACGTCGAAACACCTTGGTTAACTATATCAGAAGAGGGAAGTTCCTTTGAAAAGATAGTTGGAGACAAAAGATCAAAGGTGCTGGTGTCTTTAAAAGGGGCTGTAGATGTTGCACGGGCTCTATGTCATGTCCAGGAACCCGCAGATGCTTTTACGAAACTATACAATACCGTTGAGGAAAGGCACAAGTTCGACGACTCCGTAACCTGGTATACATACGACCGATCCATGGCGATTAGTTTAGAGCTAGCGAGACCTATCTGGGACGTATGGAAGTTAGACGGCCCCAAAGTGGACTCACTAATAGCCATCGCCAGAATGGCTAATAAAATCGACCTTGAAGAAACTTGGGTTCACAGCCCTTATTGTCCCTATTACGCACCTCCGGATTACGTATCACGGGAAGGGACACCGTTGCCGCAAAATGAGGATGAAGAGGGGATACTGTTATTATTACCACGGCGAGAAGAAGGCGAAGAGGAGACCTCGTTATCGGATAACCAGGATGAAGAAGGGGATGAAGAGATATTACTGCGAGAAGAGGAGACGGGGAGTGGAAAAGTAATTGTAAAAGTATAAGCGTTAGTTATATGATCTTCTCATACCCTTCTAGCTTCCTAGAAAACCCCAATATACGTATATACGAGGTACTTAGAAGATCGCACGCAAGTGAGGGACGGCGGCGTAGCTTTCATATGAAGTTCATACCGAATAAATTCCTCTGTTGGTTGATTATGTGTAGTATCATCATCAAAACATAACAATTATCTTTAACTTAATCCACGATAATTTATTCTATATTAGTCTATATGTAATCCCAAAATAGCATTAAGCCGTCATGTATACCTAAGGTAATTATTCCGATCTTCAAAATACAATACTCTATTATCTTCAACACGTAATTCATTGCGACGCTATGCGAACCGCCACGCCACATTGTAAACTCCCTAATCCCTCCTCCGCAAGTTAAAGTTATATCCCAGGCAACCCAACGAGCGCCCTCAACCCCGGTATCCACCGCGGGAGTATGTATACAGGGTAGATGCCCATGGCAGCAACCAACAATCCAGTCAACTATCGTAAAGAGTCAGCAAGCACATCCCATAGAACTAGCGTCTGCAAAACAAAACAAAACAAGACAAGACAAAGCAAAACAAAAAAGAACCAGGGCAAAACTGACCTTCTCAAACCACGTATGGAAGTAAATAGCAGTCATAAGCAACATCCACAAACAAGCCACCACAATCCCCAGCGCAAACCTCCCCCCCAACCCCAACACCCCCTCATCCACAACCGGCTCCGCGCTCTCCGCCTCGACGCTCGCGCCCTTCACCGCCCCGTCCGACATAACAACACACCTCTCCTCGCGGCCCCCCGCGCGCCCCGCGCGATACACCACCCAGCCCACCTCCTGCAGCAGGAAGAAGCTGCCCAGCACGAGCAAGAACACATGGCCGCTAATATCGTGGCCGCCGCTCCACCGGCCCCCCGCGGCCTTACACGCCACCGCCGTGAACACGTCCGCCTTATCAGCCGCGCCCTCGGCCACCGCCTCCCGCGCGATCTCGCACCTGCCGCCCGTGAAGCGGAACCCGCGATCGATGATAGCCGGGCCGAAGCACCACTGCGTGACGAGCACCCACCACGCCGTGACGAGCGCCCACCTGCCCGCGGCGTGTATACGTCTTCTCTGCGCCCCGAGCGCCGGGTGCGTTAGCACGAAAGTCGCGAACGCGACGCTGAGCCACGCCCACCCGCGCTTGACGAAAAGCGTGTTGAACACGTTGTCCTTGCGCGCGAAGTAACTCGGTGCCGCGCTGGGCACGTGCGAGTGGCCCGTCGGGTCGTACGGCGAGGCCCTGGTCTGCGGGCTGATGATTGAGAACAGGGTGCCGAACGTGAGGAGCGTCGGGTACACGAGGAGCACCAGGGTTTCGAGAGGCGTCGGTAGGAAAGGCGAGTTACGCTTCGAAGAAGGGGGAGGATATGTCGGTCTACCCGCGGTCTCGTCTGGTAACGATGAAAACCCTGTTGCTTTGCTACCGGCGGCCATGTTGGCTTGTTGTCGTGATCTTAGCAAAGAGGTGATGTTGTTATCGGTCATGATAGTTGGGAGGGTAGCATTGGCCTAAAGCAAAGCTTTGTTGGTACGTGTCAACTATTGAGAAAATGAATGGAAGTAGGTGAAGGGCATGCGCTACTGAGTACAATGAAAGTAAACACAATGAACTTCACAAATTGAAGAGTTCTTTTATGCGATACGTAGGTAATTCGAGGAAATTCTATATTTCCTTGAAGAGTGAAAGAAAGTTACATCCGATGACGTTTACAGGTATTATTCTAACAGGTATGTCGATTAAGAAGTACCCAAGTACCTTAGGTACCTAGGCATAATTCCAAATTCTTACTAGCGTCCTAAGCTCCACAATTAGGTACCGCCATTTGTTTAAGGGGCTCTACATCACTTGCGAGACTGTTATAAAAGTACGTGAACAATAAAATCAATATTTGGTATTCATGAATACAGAGCGATTAGCAACTCAGGGTCCTATTGACCTTCACTTTCCCTCCCCGAGATACTAATAATCTCCCGGGCACCAAGTGCTAAGTGGTATCTCGAAATGGATCCTATCAGTCATCAGAACTCCGGCCAGCCTCATGGACTGGCTACCTTGATATCCTTTCCTGCCTCCGAATCAAGTAAAAAATGTAACTATTTAAATGCCACTAGGGCCACAAGAGAAGCGAACATATAGAACTAGGGACGTTGAATGTAGGTCTTCGTCAAAGAAATTACGCGAATAGACATCCCTGCTCATCTCAAGAATTTTTCACATGCGCCGTCTTGGACGCGCAACCACTTGAAGTTACGGTTGTCGTCCTGGTGGCGGTGCTCGTTGAATAGCTCCGAGTAGTAATACTCCTAGTAACCGCACTTCACGGTGCCTGGGAGCATACTCCCGGCGCTGTCACTGTTTGAGTGACAGTAATCGTGACAGCAGAGTCATCGCCACCAGCACCGCCACTTGGGGTCTCCGACGGGATTGGTAGAGCAGTCGTGGATTCCACTGCTGTTGTCTCGGTACTTGCATCCACACCAGGCTGAACGTAGCTACCTGCAGGTGTGGATACTGGAGTAGCCGTAACCTGGGTCTCGGTGGCGATAGCAGATGAACTGCTACCTGAAGGAACGGAGCCAGTGCTCGGGCCGGAACCAGAGCCTGACGTTGGGAAAAGTGTTTCGGTGCCGGATGGGACTGTTCCTGCGGCTGATGTCGAAGTTTCGGCGGGAGCCGTGGTTGAGCTCTCGCCGGAATCGCTCGGTTCCGGCTGGCTTCCTACGGCATTGACTTCGAACTTGGCGACAGCGGCACAGAAGTTGTTTCTATTGTCCTTGTCAAGAGCAACTGATTTACCGTCGACGGTAATCATGTTTACCGAGGCCTTGGTGCTGATACCAAGGAGATGGACTCCAGTAGAGTCCTCGATACTAATCATGTTATCCTGGCAGTTTTGTTTGTCTACACATTTTTGGTCATAGTTGTCGAAGAAGCTGTACAGACCAGCACCATAGATATATACCGACGACGAGTTTGTGACGCGAAGACCCCAAGTACGAGCACATTTTTTCGAGGAGCCGTCACAGGACTTCGAAAAGTCCGGATCGAAGAAGCCTTCGAGAACTGTGGCGCCGTCCGGAGCCTGGGGGTTACCCTGAAAGTAGGCCGTTTCGGATTGAGCCACTCCAATGAAAACGTTCTGAGCGTTGGAGACCTGATAGTTGTATAGGATGCTGTGTTCCGAAGCGGTACCCCAAAGCCATACAGGCTTTTGTGACTCGATGAGCACACCACGACCATTGAAGATATTGATCTGGTTGTGGTCCTCCAGATCAAGCTCGTGGTCGGCAACCCAAAACCAGCAGTTTTCGATGTAGGCCGAGGCTGTTTGTGTAACATGGAGCATCATAAAAGCGCCCATACATTCAGGGTTGGCAGTCGTCGTGACATTCTCGTTCTTGGTACACTTATCGGACTGCAACTCAGTCCCAGCAGTCCCACCAACACGGAAATGCACATCCCACATGCCGGCAGCGCCGTTTTCGGAACCAGCCAGGTTCCACTGCATGAGAATAGCACCAGGAAGAGATCCCTTTGTTTCTATGATGAGGTCGGACATCTCAACATCACCAATGTCACCAGCCTCGCCAACCTGGAAGACGGGTACCGGCTTGCTCTGGTCGGCGAATTTGGTACCTGTAGCCATCAGAAGGGGCCACATCTCTCCGGTAATCTTGATGTTCTTGGGGATCTTGACCGTGTCTGAAATTAGGTATGCGCCGTGGTCGAAATAGATGATATCTCCTTCCTTAGCACCATCGAAAACCTTTTGAATTACAGCAGTGTCATCGGCTGTGCCATCACCCTTGGCCCCAGCTGACTTTACACTAACGAATTTGCTAGACGAGACAGTCTCATACTGAGGTTTAACACGCGTGAAGATTTTTCCATCCTTATTTAGAAGAGCCTCAGGCTTGCGAACATTTTGTTTGTTGGTCTGAACAGCTTTTCCAGTCGCACCGGTGTACTGGCGACCCTGGGCAAATCCAACAATCTTCTGGTTTCCTTCAAGCACGGTAGTGTTATCTTTTGCGTACTTGATAGCAGTAGGGACAGACTCGGTCATGTCTACGTTGTCTAGGATGAGGGTGTTATTGGTATCCGGAAGATCAGTTTTGTAGAGGGTACTGATACCGACTTCGACGTTCGAGATCTTGCTATCAACAAGGAGCAGTGATCCAACTTTGATGGAGTCAAGACTGTCGCTAGTCATATCAATACCAAGCTTTCCACCGTTGATCGTCACGTCTTGCATTAACCAAAGCCAATTCCAGATCATGTGGATGGCTGTGTTGCAGTTGTTGAACGTCATGTTTCGAGAGGTGTACTGTTGACTGCCGATGTCAGCTCCAATGCCTCCGCCGTTGAATGTAAGATCGGCCATGAAGCCACCAGATCCGTTCTCAATATACAGTCCCTTCTGCGCGTTCTGTTCACTGGTATCAGGGTTCATCTCAAAGACGATATTCTGCAAACTAGTGGCCTGGGCAACTTGCCAATGAATACCAGCACCCTTGTTGAGCGGCATATCCTTGATGTCGATGATGAAGTTGCGGACTTGGCGGAAGAAGTTGTTCTGGTTGATGTACCAATTTGCGGCCGGGTCGACGTTGTAATCGTAAGGGTTGGCGTCGATAACAGCCATGCCGTCAAAGTTCGCAGTTGCCTTAAGTGTTGGGATATCGAGCGCATCGCCGACGAACTGGGTGTAATAAGACTGAATGATTGGTTTGCTCACTGAGTAGACACCAGGGGGGAAGTACAGAAGGGCCGGAGCAGTGGTTCGGGAATCACAGTGCATGATGCATCGATTCTGTCCATCCTGGACAGCCTTGTTGATGGCATCGGTGTCATCAGTTGTGCCATCTCCCTTAGCACCATAATCCTTGACGTTGCGGAAAACCTTGTAGTCGGGTTGCCCGAATGCTGCCACGCCTTGACGTTTGATGTCGGCAACCCAGTAGTTGGAGGCGGCATTGCCTACCTGTAGTTCGGTTGTTGCCGACGGGCCAGCCACCGCAACACCAGAAAATAGGCGAGCAGCCAAGAAAGAAACCGTAAGGAACTTTGAAAGTCCCATGTTGATGGTAGTACCAGCGATACCTATATGGAATTATAGACTCTTTCCACGCTGCTTAAAGGCCAATATCGACAGTTCTATCCAAGATTAGTGATTGCTCCTCTGGGAAGGTTGCTTGCGCGATAGAATAAATAGAAATAAATAAAAGTAATGAAGTTATGAATTTACACGAAGGAAAATCAAGATGATGGTTATGGATATGTACGTAATAGGATAAAATTTGAAGGTCAAAAAAGTGATAGGAAAGTAGGGAGTAAAAGAACGACAGGTTAAGTAGGCAGCCTTGTATCTGCAAACCTAACCTTTGACTCCCGACTTGATTCCTCGGATGGCAAGTAGCTAATGACTGTGTTCTCGTAAATCGAGGGTTGGTGAACAATAGCGATTGTTCATGAATGGGCTGGGGTTGGACAAACAAGAGGACGTGATAGGGTACTCTTTGTGCAGGATAACGAAGAAGTGAATTAAAAGCAATGTGTTTGTGTACCGAACAAAAGGGTACAAAGATGATACTAAATCAAAGACTTACCAGTAATGATAGTTCTTGTTGGTGTTTGTTGATGAGCTCCCTCTGTCTGGTCAATGGGATCAATGACCTGCCTTTGACCTATCCAAGGTCGGGATACTTAGGGTCTTGGACTTATTTAAGAATGAAGGACTGAATGAGTGACTTTGGCGAAAAGGATCCTAGGAAAAAGAAGAAAGGAGTGCCGAAAAAAAGAATCGAGAAATGAAGAATAGAATATGACTGAGATGACTGAGAAGAAAAAAGGGTGATAGGAAATGAAGGGTTGTTGAGAGGGGATTACAAAAGTCACTGACAGACAAGGCACAGGTACTGAGCAACCAAAAAGGGCAAATATTTGACGCACGCATGCATTTATACGTACCTACCTTACCTAGGTGACTAGGTGACTAGGTGACTACCAATGGAGTTGCCATCTGTGTTGTCATGAGGTATGTACCTACCTACAACGTACCTGCCTGCTTGCTTGCCTCTTAAACCTCCTAGCCTCAATCAATCCAAGACCCCCCATGTCGAGGACCCCGGGATGTAGTTACCTCTATGCGCATAATTCTCTTTGAGCTGTGATATTCGATCCAATTGCCGCATGGTCATGATACAACTGGTGTGACCTTGTGGTCCAATGAAATCCAATTTACATTCCCGATTTAGCAAGCACTGGCTAGCAGCTTCTGCATCTCGCATTTTCTTTTTCTACCTTTGTTTTTAGGGACTTTTTTATGTACCTAAACTAGGTACCTAGGCTAGTACCTATTTCTGTGGGTTCCTATAATGGCTTTCAGTTATTCTCATCCAGGTATCCTACAGTGCTTCAATCAAGATCATCATAGGGAAGATAGACCCTTGTCATAGCAATCATGTCGCTTACCAGTGCCCACATCAGACGTTGTTGACCCATTCTATGCCAAGCCAAGGAACACTTCCAAGCATAGGTCCTCAAATTAGACAGTAGAGACCTAGACTAGACTTTGGGATCTTGACAGGGCCTCAGCAACCATAGAAACTGTTGGTGAACCTTGTCCAGTATGACGCCGCGATTGGATAATATAGATCAGTGCCCCAAACGAATTTATGTTGGAATTTAAAAACAACTGGAATCGCTTACGTTGTGGTGAAGGAAACACAAGCTCGGGGAAAGGGATAACTAGTAAATCTAATAGGAGGCTAGATACAGAAGACCCCAATGCTATTGACCTCCGACACGTTAGATCTAGATATTACATATTTTAAGTATCATCTATAGTAGGTAAATCGATATGTAGAATGTTACAGCAGCTAATCTTCAACGTCAGACATCTACAAATCAGATTATCATAATGTCCGCATCACGTCATAGGTAGTAGGTTACGGCTGTTCCTGCATATCAATCCCCTTGGCGATCCGCCCTAGGATTGCTTTGTAGCCTATCATAACTCAATTAAGATATCCAGTTCTTCGGTTAGGTAGACCGGTACGTACCTTTTATAACAATATGGGATTTCCCTATATCCATGTATTTTCCAGTCATAAGGGCCACAGATTTCTTGTTTGTATTTCTATCAGATTCTTTTATCGAATGAAAACATAAAATAATAAAAGCAAGCGATTCGGTTAGCGTAAATAGGTTAGGTACCGTGGCAGATGGAGTACAAAGCCCTTGGCCGTTTCAGACGCGAACCACGGCGGCTATTGCTATCGATAGGACCTTAAAAGCTCTAAAAACTGCAAACCTCCGGCAAACGGGAAGATCGACTGGTCCATAATGTTCTAACTTCAATGTTCTTCCTCCCTTGTCCCTGTACTTACACTACGTCTTATCCATGTCAGCGTACACAACGGCGGTCCTCGAAAACATACATACACAGGACCGTTGGATGAGATCGTTCCTCGAGTCTAAATCTTGGTGGAACGACACGATAACAGCTGTTACTAGATCTACCAGGGATATATCTCATAACTATGTATAAAATTCTTACTTGATTCCATGTTTGTACGTTTGTTAACTAGTGTGTATGTGCATGTACGGCAAGGATCGAACCACTCATTCTAAGCATAGTGCTTACGTATGCCGTGGATGTGTTAAGATTAGGGTCACATAACTCTGTATGTAATATGCTTGACACGCTGAGCTGCTACACATGTTCAACATCGCTTTTATAAATTCATCGTTGAGCAATCTCTATACTACGTTATACACCGTCTAAGCCTATATGTATCTTGCAATAAGATATGTATATACATACATAATAGATTTATACGCATAACTAGTCTATCGTCGGCATCCCTGATGAGATAGGATATCATCCCAGTCCTCAATGTTTGTTCGAGTTAGGGGAGTTAGGGGAAGGGGACGACAAAGAAACTTTCTGATCTGAGCAGCATACCTAACGAATCAATATCATCGTACCAGTGCGGCGTGAAACAACGCCATTGCACAATCAAAATTACAGACCTCATTCGATCAATCGGTTCAGCATATCCGCCTTTCGCTTTTTCTTCTCCACTTGTCCACATGCGGCATTACTTACCTGTCAGCCTAAATTCATCATTCAGCCATTCATGACCAACCATAGGCCAGAATGTTTCGAAACATGTCGATAATGGATCTTTTTAGCAAGCCCCTGAGCCAGGGTTACAAAAAGAATTAGGGGTCTGTGTTTCATCGCCCCTGGGAAGTTCGGATCGCGGGGTCGCCTTTACCTATGAAGTTCGGGCCCCCACCTGCTGCTATTTTAGAGCTCCATCGGAGCCAGAGCGGTTAGACAGATTAAGCTCTTTTCTTCAGCGCCTGAGCGCTTACCTTAAAGTAGGTACCTTAGGTAGGTACTACGTTATTCGGAAAATTCATTATATTTCTACTTTAGGGGCTCAAGTTGACTTGATATAAGCCACAGTTTCATATAACTATACCGACACATTGAAATAGCGACTAGTTAGTTATAAATTCACAAGCTTTTTAGTTTGCTACTCTTTGTTTCGAACAAAGTGAACGATATATACATTACATGAAAAGTGAGTGGTCATCTAGGTAATCAACTTTTAATATATGATACAGTTCCATATATAAATTCCAATATTCCTATAGTTACTATAAAGTATGTTGCGAGTAAAGCAGAGAAGTTTAAGGCAGAGTGTTATATATGAATGCTATATTTATAGTCATTAATATACTGCTTCTTAGCCTCAGATATCAGATGAATGAGCGGTAACTGTTCAACGCCACATAGTTACAGGTCAATAAGCCATCCCTTTCCCACCATATGTGGTACACCTTTGTCTTCAGAGTACAAACTATGAAAAAAGGAGAATATTAAAAACGACATAGTAACATACAGAGCTATTAACCCCTTAGATACTTCATACCTTAGCATCATAATACCATACTTACGCCCTACCCTGTCGGCTCTTCATTAGCGGCTGTATCTTCTGACCGAACGTCTCTATACCTAGCAAAAAGTCGTCGAATGTAAGCATAATCCCCTTCGTTCCCGGGACAGATGCGACTTCATCTAACATGCTCGCAATGTTCTCATAAGAGCCTACCAAGGTGCCCATATTGATATTCACAGCGCCTTCCGGGAGCCTCAAGCTCCTAGCCGTGGAGTGAGCGTCTGCGTTGACATCTTTCGACGACTGCGACCTCATCCATGCCAGCGCATCTGCGTCAGCACCGTCGTTATACAATTTCCACTTGGCCTGGGCCGCCTCGTCGGTTTCGTCGGTAATAACCATGAAGAGAACATATGAGCTGACGTCACGGCCCGTCTTAGCAGCTGCTTCGACGAGACGAGATGTCGCCTGGCCGTATGCCGTTGGGGTGTTGATTCCGGCGCCTATCACGAAGTTGTAATCCGCGTACTTCGAAGCGAACTCGATTCCCCTGCCTGATTGACCGGCGGCGACAATATCCACACCAAGATCCTTTGGTCGAGGTGACAGCTTGCAGTCGTCCATTTGGAAATATTTCCCCTTGAAGTTTGATACGCCTTCTTTCCAGAGCTCTTTCATAATTTGGACGTACTCTGTAGCATAGTCGTATCTATACCCGAAGTACTCGTCGCCGGGCCAAAGACCCATTTGAGTATACTCGGCGGATTGCCAACCAGTAACCATATTGATTCCAAATCTCCCAGGCGCTACAGAGTCAATCGTCGTAGCCATTCGAGCTGTTATGGCTGGAGGCAGGGTAAGTACGGCTACTGACGCAAATAATTTGATCTTTGATGTGACGGCAGCTAGGGCGGACATGAGGGTGAAGCTTTCTAGATTATGATCCCAAAACTCGCTTTTACCTCCGAACCCACGTAGCTTGATCATGGAAAGCGCAAAGTCAAAGCCATAGGCCTCGGCTTTCTGGACAACCTGCTTGTTCAGCTCAAAGGTAGGCATGTACTGAGGCGAGGTCGTCGATATCAACCAGCCATTGTTGCCAATGGGGATAAAGACGCCAATGTCTACAGTCGTCATTCTTGCTTAAATATCTTTTAATCGTAAGGAGCTATATTCAAACGAAGGCAAATCTAAGGTGTGCCCTTCGACAGATATTATCTAAGACGTTTATTTCTTGGAGACTTAGCTAGTGGATACATAGGAAGTCCAGATATTTAAGCTATATGCCCTCACGGCCTTCGGCTTACTCCCCTTTCGACCCCGCTGTTGACTGTAGTATTAGAGATAAGCACTTGGTAAACCGTTACACGCATGAATACACCCTAGGCAAACAAGATATGGACAACCGTCGATGATCACTTGCTCGATTTGTACGGTAGATAAGTACGTAAAAGATACAGGTCTATGATTTATATAAAGGTATATATACACCGTATCATTAGGTTAGAAGAGTACGCGGATAAGGTGCTTAACCAGACTATTATGGCCATCAAAATCATCAGAGTTATTTGACCAAGAGAGGCTACCTAGTACTCAATGTTCCTATATAGTAATATATTAAGGGAAGAGAGAGATGAATAATAGGTAAATGGCATTATTAAAGGCTTCTAGAACGCACGCCGATCCATATCAGCTGGCATACAGCTGGCAAATAATAATGTGCTAATGTTTTTAATGCGATGATGTAACTAACAACTTAAGACTCAAATCTTGAGACCGCCTCATATTCATTCTATCAGATTGCGCTGTCCAGTCGCTGCAATGGCGGAAATGACTCGCCTAGTTGCGCCACAGAATCTCCCAGGACTTGTGAAAGCAGCCTTCGACGCGGCTCGCGTCAATGGCGACTTGACCTACTATCCGACTCAAGTCGCTATCTTGACACCTAATTCCATTCCCGTGAGCATATCCGTACCTTACCTACATTTATATCTTCGCGCATAATACGGCAATAGCTTATCATCCACCTCAGTTCCAACTTCGCTTTTCGCCAGCTTTGGCATTGAAACCCAAAGCCCCAAAGCCCAAAGAGCCTCACGGCAAGCCATTCAATCCCTTCGAAAACCCCTCCCCCGCTATGCTCATTGCCGACCTGCCACCGTCCCATCGACTTGTGCTGAATAAATTCGCAGTCGTACCGGAACACTTCATCCTGATCACTAGGGATTTCAAGCCGCAGACGCATGTCCTAGAGAGTGCAGATATAGCAGCTACATACGCTTGCATCCAAGCCTACCGCACGCACGAACAAGAGTTATTCGCATTCTTCAATTCGGGTCCTCACTCCGGCGCTAGCCAGCCGCATCGCCATCTACAGCTTCTCCCTGTCGAGCGGATGAAAGACGGGCTGGAGAACGTAGATCGGGGTAGCGAGTGGAGCGTACTAGCAGAGAAAACTGCTGGATTTGAAAAGGTACTACCGTTTAATATCTTTACTGCAAGCATCCGTCCGGACATGACTGCCGAAGAGAGACACAGTGCGTATTTGGAACTGTATAGAAGTGCCGTCAAGGCCACATTCCCAGACAAGGAGGTCGCTGATGGCGAAGGTGAGGCTGTAATAAGCTATAATTTCGCAATGACAAGTAATTCCATGGCCCTCTGTCCGAGGACGGCAGAAGGTGCGGTAATCAAAGATAAGTCGGGTCAAGATGTTGGTGTAGTATCACTCAATGGGACGGTTTTGGCTGGCACTACTCTTGTTAAAAACCAGGCCGAATGGGATGTTATAAGAGAAGATCCCGGCCAGTTGCTCAATGTCCTTAAAGGAATTGGTTTACCCCCTTAGAAAATATCAACGGCTAGCCAGCTGAAGAGGGAAAGGGAGGATACTGAATAGAAGCCATATATTTTATTTTCTTGGTGATAGGACCTCCTTTGAAGCCCCGTCGTTGTAAGTACCTACATACATACATACTACCTAACCATCCGGTTTCTACATTACATTAACTACCAGAACTCTAATACACACCTTGAAGGTTCCTATCATACACACTTAAGACCAACACACATAGTTCAGCCAGCATAGACACATGTCCATACCCGTAATACAGGAACCCAAGCCAAACCAAACCAAACCAAGCCAAGCAACCAGCTGAATTCATTTCCATCCCGCCTTACCCTCATCCACCAATTCCTTCCACTTCCTATGGCAAGTAGCGCCGCCGAACTGATACGAGCCGCCATGATCCATAATGTATTCAGCCACCTGGCCCCAGGGGGCCTTGGACGGTATCATATCGTTGCCCTTACCTAGCTTGCGGACGGCTTTCTTCAGTAGACGTATCTGTACCATTCACCACCATTCGTCAGTTTAAACAACTCTTTTATAAAAAAATAATAAATTTTCTGGAATCTAGGAAAAAACTCACATCGTTGTCTTGCCACTCCGGCTTTCTCACACGCGCCTCCTTGTCCTTCGTCAGCGTCCGGAACCGTCCTCGCAGCGTCGACTCCGCCTCGGTGAAGTTCCCCTCGAGCCGGATCTCGCGGTACGTCTTGCCTGCCAGCTTTGACCGGACTAGGAAGTCGTCCTTAGCTGTCCGTACTCTCTCGACGACTCTGGTGGTGCGCCCACGAGCTAGCGAGCCTTCGCTTCCTTGGGCTGCGGCGTCCTGGTGCTCCTGTTTTAGTTGGGTAGTCCGTATTTTGGATGGCGATTGCTCGGGATCGGCAGAGAGTTGGGGCAAAGCTGGCCTCTTGCCTTTTGAAGACGACGGCGACCCGGATGATGATGCTATTGGTCCCAGCCGTGATCTCGCTGGTTTACTTGGAAGTTCTTTCCGTGGCTTCTGGCTCTGCCGCTGCGACTGGAACGGGCTGCGGGGGTGCTGGTGTTCATATGTGGAGGTGCTGAGATCCAAGTCACCGCCAGCAAGCATACTATTGTGGACTGACTCTGATGAGGACGCTGGTGTTGGTGATGGGTTGATTCGCAGCATCTTGGGGGAGATAGTCGAAGGATAGCTCGACGATGTCCAAGCATTTACATGATTTTCCGGGCCGGCAACAGGACTGTTGGCTTGTAGATGTCCAGCTGTGCTGCTATGTACCGCCATGGGATCGAGGGTCATCGCAGCCATAGCTTCAGAAGTTGCCGAGGATGGAGCCGAAGAGGAGAAGCTGCTAGAGCTGACTTGTGTGCCTTCTAAAGGTTCCCCAAAGACGGGGATGTTAGAGGGCCAGTCGGTACTGGGTAGGCCATCTGGGTAGTCGAGATAGTTTGCCGTTTGATGACGGCCAGTCATGTCGCACGTCTGCGCGGAAAATTGCCGCCCGTCGTAGTTGGCCCCGAAGTCTCGAGGGTAAGCGTTTGTCGTGCGGAGGCTTGGTAGATGCATTGGTTCGTTTCCAACGGGTCCTTTGTTGCGTTGGGGATGACTCGGGTCGAACTCTCTTCCGGCATTTACGCCTGAGACACCAGCGGCTGTCGTTTGAGTTCCAGTATATGGAGTACTCGTATCAATGGGTGGAAAATCGCTATAAAGGACCTCGGGCTGAGAACACAAGCATGAGTATATACTCCGATGCCACTCTAATGGGCTGCATGATGATCTTACCATGTAAGAAGCTTCATCCCCACTATCCACGCCCATATTTGGGAACCAGCTTTGTTCATCCATTGCCTGCTTCAATAGTCGTTGGCACACCAGGCGGTTCCAGAGCTTGCCTATCTCGTGGGGACAATTAATAAATTCTAGACGAAGGAACGCTTCCAGGGGTTTCTCTTCACATTGGCAGCGAAAGTGAGACCTAGACGTAAAGACGTCGTCACTCGGTAGAGGATTCCAGACAAGCTGGGGCATCTTCGGGTTGATAACCATCTTGGATATCTGCCTGATATTGACGTAGGCCTCTGTCATGTCTCCTTTTCGCTTCGTCCACCAGCTACGCCCCCTCTTTCTCCCAACTTTCACCGCCGCTTCTATCGGCCTTCTGCGCGAGTCTTAGGCAAAGAGAATACCCTTCGATGTTCCTCTTGATTCTGCTGGTAGGCCGATGTTGGGTATGCTTGCAGCGGACCTTAGCGGTCAAGAACTTGTGTTCTTGGTAGCGATGCAGGTTTTGTGCGGCCTCCCGAATATGAGTCAGGAACCGTTCCCGCAGCTGTCCTTCTAGTTAGAACATATGGGGTAAATTCTGACAGGGAAAGTTGAATAGTAAGTGCTGTATGGAGATATGTTTGGATGTAAGAAGAGGACTCTACGCACTGCAGAAAGGTATTTACCGTACTGGAAAGGTAAGGATACGCAAAGTCAAAAGGTATTAGCCTTGCAAATGAGATACCTAGGTGACGGTAGTTGTTCAGTCTCTAGTTTGTCATTTACTGAGGGTGACAGATTCAACTAATATGCTTAGAACTGCCTGACTTATCCTGCAGGTATAGGCGGAGGATGTCGGGACTAATACTATTCATACGGCGCTCACTTTTTCCAGAAGCTCACCCATTGTTTTCTGGATACTGTCTACGATATGCGTGAGGATATTCTAAAACTTTCCGAGCATTGATGAGGAGCGGATAACAAGGATCGGAAGTGGAGGAGCGGGAAGCAAGTCTCTCAAAAGGATCACTAGATTACCCAAAACGATTATGATGCCGTCTGCTCATTATCATGGGTGACAATGTTCCCCTACCATAAACTCATAACTATGGCCCTGGATGGCGTCGATGAAGGTTGCTAAAGCTGTACAAGGGGTATCCCTGTGTTGTTATAGTTCTGGCTGCGGCTCTACCTGCAGATGTACGTGCTGGAGATTTCGGCACAGGAGAGTATGAGACTATTCTGCAGGGGTGAGTTGTATATGAAAGTCTCTCTACAGAATATACCTGTACTACATGGCAAACTACCTACCTAACTACATTAGAGCCGGTATATACTACTTCTGGTACCAAACGGCACAGGCACTAGCTAACTTCTATATGCAAAACTACGGGCATCTGCGGATAAGTTAAGCTAGTATCTTGTACACCACAACTCCTCATCACGTCTGCATATGAGGGGGGTTATCTCTCAGTTAACTGGAGCCGAGCAATCCCGACGATCAGCCCCTGACTTCATTCGCCTGTTTGGTTCCTCCGTTGGGACCTGACCCTGCGTAGATGTTGACACCTGCGAGCGGGAACGCGGGATCATGCTTCTACCGGTTTTGTAAGTTTGTTCTGGGCCCATCATCCTTTGGTTCTAACGGGTTTTCTTGCGAGACGCTAGGCATCTATTGCTATTCGCTCCCCACCTCGGCTTACGAGGTCCAGGTTCGGGGTAAGCAATGGGCTGCCATATAGGCTAGCAACCGAGACACGATGAGCGAAGTCTGTCTGGGGAAGAGACATAACTGACGAGGTCCCTCATTCCGTATCCCCGCGCTCTACTCGGTCATTCTGTAATTGTAACTGCGATAGTGTTATTAAAGTTATGAGGTTTCTAGCCTATCCTAGCGGTCATCATAAAAAGAAACTGATATGTCATTGCGATCTAAGACCCTTGACCCCGGGATCTTAGTACAAGATCCCGGTAAGGTTGTTAGGTTGTTACCCCCTGAAGACTCACGCATGCAAGCCAGTACGGAATGGATTAGCTCTACATCATTTCTAGCACTAGCAATAACCGGGGAAGAAGCCTGAGAGCGGGGGTTGCAGAGGTTTTGCAGCTTCACCTCAGGACGGCCTATCATCAGCGTGGGGGGATGATCAGCAGAGGGCCATAATCTGCAAACATTACCCACAGGACTAAACAGTTGGGCCGATATCAATCACGGTATCGGATGACTCCGAAATGAGTAACCAATGGGATTCCCAACCAATATATTATCTGCCCCCGCGAGCCATCTTACCAGCTTGTTGGATGAGTGTTTGCCAGATGAGGTGGTGGGTGGTGGGTGGTGGGTGGTGACCAAGCTCCTATATTCCGATTTCCCGGTACTCGGTCTCCCCAACGCCTCTTAGCTTTAGAAAGGCAAAGCCTCCACGATTTTGCTTTAAGTTTTGAGGCCCAAATCTTGACATACCGTTCACCGCGGATCTAGGTACATGCAGATTTTCATGCAATGCAGCCCAAGAACTCACTGACCGTCAGTTCAATATAAGTCCGCAAATATGCATGGCTACGATAGATGTATATGTATATGCGTTGGTATCAACGGGTAATGCTTTGCTCCGTTTGAGACATTTCTGCCAACATTGACAGAAAACGACGGTTTGTGTTTCTGTGCAACCAACCATTCTCTTCTAGGCAATACTTTCCGCATGAATCGATGACCCTCCCGCAGGCCAGCCTCGCAGACTTCGACTTCATCAGATATGATAATCTCAAAGCACAAGTGTACTGCCACTTGTGCCACAAGCCCAACTATCCCCATTGGCTAAAGCTATAGTAACGTATGGTACGTATATCTTTAACGATAATGTACTAAAGAAGTAACTGGCTAGGTAACTATGTGCTGTATGGTGAGGTGGCATAATGTACTCACTCATGGCAAGCGATGATCATTATGATGAGTTGACCGGAGTGGCTGACCCGGTGAGTCGTATACCGGCGGAATAAATATATTTCGTGGCATTCGTATATGTCTTTCTTTGGATTTAATATTTTCATCTCGACGTTCACGCACTGCTTAACTAATGAAGATAGGTACACAACATTTCAAGCGCATATAACTTCGCATTTGCATGATCTAATATGACATGGCATACTGAGGAGTCTAAGCTATTGGTAAATATTTAACGCCCTCGGTAGATTCGGTATGAACCCGGGCATTTGAGATCTGAGATGAAATAGGGAGGTTGGTATATTAGATTGTAGAGGGAAGTAGATTGGTCTGTGTGTTTATGAAGAAGTTGTTTTAAGCCGGTCTACATAGGTAGCTATGACATTTATTAGTTATTTGTTCACTTATTATTGTTACATATTCTTTCGATAAGAAAATGTATAACTACTTCTTTAACAAAAATGATAATTAATATTAACCAACTTGAATAATTTATATATATATTACCTAGACTTAGCCACTTGATATAAGAAACAGACATTAGTTTCAATATTTCCTCATCTTCGTCTAGTAACTTGACGATGGATTAGCTAGATGGTTGTTAGAGAAGCTGCCGAGGCTCTGCGCGTTGTAACGCTCAAAATCCCGTAGGTGGCGTCATGGGCCCCTTGTTCTGAATCTAGCGTCCAAACGGGAACCCCGGCAGCCCGGAAGCTAAGTGCCTAGGTTACCCTGCTTTGCCATGCTTAAGTTACACTAGAAGAAAGTGAATATATGTATGGTATGTACACTAAGAAGTACGCGGCTAAGCTTCCTTGCTGCCCCAGGATTTTGACGTTACACATTGTGCACAGAGCTCCGGTCGGTTTGACCAATCGGCAGCTTTCAAAGATCCACCGAATTTCCTGAAATGGAAAGGCACAGGCAATCGGCCAAGCCTCAATCTCATGCCACGCCGTATTCACTCATTTCCTAGGGCGTGAAATAAATAAAAAACTACAATCCATCTATTTTCTGTTGTTTTTTGTCACTTTGTAACATTGTCATTGCTGAGTAACTCAGAGTCTTCAACGACCCCGAGCATTTAATCGGCATCCACCAAGTCTTCAACAGACATGCCCGAGCCGAGTATTTACTTGTATGACGAATTCTATCCACTTATACCCGCCCTTCTTCTTTTTTCTTCTTCTTCTTATGTCCAGTTAGTGCAGCGCCATGTCCTCCGTGACGACATTTGGCGCTGAATCGCAACCGATCCGCATCGCCATCTTGCTCAACTCATATCGTTCCCGTCTACTTCCCGCCATCAGGGCCTCCTACGAACGAACCATCAGTGCCGTCGCCCCAGATGCTAGGTTGGCCTTCTACGAGCCCGCCAACAAGAGCGGCCAATTTCCCGACCCAGCCTTCTTTGATCTAATAGTATTCGGCGGGTCCAACGTCGACCCGCGCAAATCCCATCAATGGATCCTTGACGTGCATGAATACCTTCGCCGTCTTGTAACCCAGTACCCCGAGAAGAAAGTCTTGGGTATCTGCTGGGGCCACCAGACCATCTCGCGTGTCTTCGGCGGCAAGGTTGTCGATGCCGCGCACCCGGAAGTATATAAATATCCATCTCCTTTCTATACCAAAACCTCATTAACCAGAACTCGCAGATGGGTGTAGCCACCATAAACCTCACGGAGGCGGGAAGACAGTTCTTCCCCGAAGCGGCCTCCCTAGGTTCCTTCAAGCTGCAGCAGCACCACCGGCGCGAGGTCGCCGTGGCGCCGCCAGACTTTGTACAGTTAGCTCACGGTAACCAGTGCCTGCTAAGCGAGAACAACATGATATTAACATTCCAGGGTCATCCTGAAAAGGATGCCGAAACGGCTCGCCTGCGTCTACACGACTCGATGCGGTGGTTCGGATTTGATGCCTCGCTAGATGAGAAGGCTTGGACCAAGCTCCAGGAAATGGTGAATATGGAACATGACGGCCCCGCCGTCTGGAAACGTATTTTCGAATGGCTCAAGGAGCCGCCGGTCCCAGGGACCGGAGTTTCAGATAAAGTAAGCAAGATATAACATTATTCACTAACCTCGCAATCTTTAAGCGGAGCCTCATGTTAATATATTTTCCGTAATCTAAAGTGAAGGGACTTATCTGGTATGCTACTTTTGAAGAGCTTTTGATAATACTAGCAAGGCAGGAGTGAGATTTAATGAAGTCGTACGTGAAGAATAGCATTGTCGTTATATCCTAGAGTGCTAGACGGTGGCGATAGATTTGGGGGTATGGCCAATTAGAAAGGGTGATAGGATAGCACATACTTAATAGGGAAATAGATGCATGTCTTAAGGAAGCCCCTTTGTTAATTGAACCAATCAGGCTTTTTTAGATAAAGATCGTGAGTTATATAATCGACGTAGCTACTCCGCCAACTACTACCTACGAGATATTAGATATATCCCCGTTCTCGAGGAAATGAAATACCGGTTGTTTCTTCACCTTTAGAGTAAAGTAAATACAAAATAGCCACTCGTAAAGTTTGATCGTATTAGTAATACTCCCATGTATAGGTTTAGCAAGTAATACAGGCGAATATGCCAACTTTATCAAACTATATCAGTTAGACCTAGAGGGCTAAGTAAAAATATTTGCTTTACTGGATCTTACCCATTTTATCCCTAAGCGGAACCAGCGCTTACTTAACTCTATAGCATTGACATATTACAAGGCAGTATTTCATTTAACAGTTTTATCAAGAATATGTCTATGCCTTGAGGAATTTGGTCTATGCTTAATATCAACCACAAAAAACGAGCCACTTCCGCCATTTTTCTGGATAAATCAACATGGCTTGTAGCCACGGACTTTAAGACATAACAGCATACCCACGCATGAGCAATATATATTCGGATGAGATGTGGATCTGGCCCAATTCTAGTAAGCTAAAAGTAAACGAGACAGCCTAGATAATCATGAAGTGAAATCTAAGTAATATCGAGATTGACAGGTGCCTACCTTGGTATATGAGGTAGGTACTAAAGATTGAATATGAATCGACTCGTACCTACAACCCTCTTAACTGCGCTGTGTTTATTCTACGTACTTCTGTTACTTGTTAATACCTAATCAAGGACACAATGGAGGCTAATTAAATGGAATCTAATATTTGATTATGTACTCAGCAGACAACGATGCAAACTATATACAATGCAATACATTACGTGTGTGAGTAAGGAAGTAGGACTGCCACAAAATACACCAACAAGAAGCAAAAAACAACTGCTTCTGACATGGGAATGAACACGGGCAAATCCGAACTCCTATTCTAGGTTTTGCTTTTCTCTTTTCCATCCCTTATATTTGAGGGATCTAATATGGTTTAATTGATGATTGGGGAAAAAGAACTGATAAGTCTCCTTTCCCGTGAGGGACTTTAGACGCCGGGCTATGCTTTGCAATGCACAAAAAAAAAGTTAAGAAATAAACACCGCTTCTCTCTGTACCTCTTCCATACCCCCGCAAATAGATCCTGTAGAAACCCCTCGACATAGTAAAACGGTATCGTAACAAGGAAATTCGTGAAGGCCAAAGTCGTCGACTATTGCTTGTTGTAACTGTGAGACATCCGGAGACTAGTAGTTCGCACGTTGATCGTAATTACATATTATCTCCACCAAGTATGCATAGTCTCCGTTGGTCTTACATCTTATATGAAACCGGCATCGCAAATATCGCACGCAACTTCGTGCTTGCGAGCGCTTTCGAGCATCCTAATATCTGATACATCAGCGCCGAAGTCCATAATCAGGATCTTGGCATCCTGTCCAGTGCTGACAATACGTCTATAGTCCGACTTTGCGCTCAGCACCCAACTAGCGTGCCATCCTGGAAAGTCTAACTGTTGTTGGCCCGTTTCCATGTCGAAGACCTTGATATCGGTATCGTAACTACCGCTAATAAGACGCCCGCTAATGCTGTCAATATGCAAGCTGCGCACGAGACTTTGGTGGGCTTGTATTTCTTGAAGACATTCACCCGTGTTGGCGTCCCAGATACGTATAACCTTATCGCTTCCAGCAGACGCAACAAAGCGGCCATCCTCAGAGAACTGACTACAGGCAAGACCCTTAGTATGACCGGCAAGTTCGCGGATCACCTTGCCGCTGTCGATATTCCAAAGCTTCACCGTGAAGTCTCCAGAGCAAGATACTAAGGTGTTCCCACGCAGTTGTACCGCATTGACAGGTCCAGTATGACCATTCAATTGTTTGATTAGAGATCCCGTAGCCCGGTCCCAAACACAGATGCTACAGTCCTTAGAGCATGTTACGATGTACTTATCATCGAATGCCAGGTCAAGAACAGCTGCGGTATGAAATTTAAGGCGTCGAACCGGTCGATATCCTGAGCGCACATTGTAAATGATACAACTTGAATCCGAAGAGCCGGTTACCAATATTTCGTCATCATATTGGAGACAGAGAATAGAAGCACTGTGGTGAATTGGGAATGAAACGGTGACAGGAACCGAAGGGCTAACCGAAGGGCTCACTGATGCTTCATTTGGGAAAAGGGCATAGTGTGTGGGGTGGCCCGTCGGGTCGAATAGAAGTGAAGAATCGTTTACGACTTCCGGCGGTCCAATGATAAGACGGCATTGGAGGGTATGCATATCCCAAATTCGAATTGTCTTGTCTCGAGAACCAGTGATGATCTTGTTTCTATACGACGCGTTAGCAAACGTTTAATTGAATAAATCATTAATATCGGGGGCCGAATTCATACTCATCGAATTGTTGGCAATAAACACTGTCTGTATGACCGTTCAAAAAGACCGCACGTGCTTGTTTTCCCAACTTCCATCGTCCATCTAGTTCTTCTCGCGCTTTGTATATCTTCTGCCAGTCTCTCTGGGAGCGAAGCGAGGGTACGCCAAAGCCGGTTCCAGGTTGAACAGGGCGGCCGGTAGCGTATGTACCCGTCTTTTCCCTAAGGAAGGATTGTCGCCAGATGTGCTGATCATGTGCTATATTATGCCAAAGCTTGGAGACTCTGCTTGCAACCGCCAGCTGGGTAGCATCTAAATGAGCCAAAATTTGCACAGCTAACTCAGGGGGTAGCTCTGCTACGAAATCCTTTCTGATTATCGGCGCGCTCTCTTCCAAATGTATATTAAGTTGAGACATAGACGCAGTGAAAGTAATTCCAATGCCGCTCTCGCGGTCATTTTGCGACTCGGCGAGCGAGACCAATTCTTGGTAGTATCGAGCGTGACCGAGAGACTCGTTCTGCAAAGCTGCTGCCGCCTTAGCTGCTGCACCTGTGTGCCAGGGAATAATAGGGGGCTCAAGGCCGTTGCCAGGCACGGGACGGTTGGGAAACTCGGTTTCGAGAGGGGAGTATATGGTCTCTAGGGTACCGGGGCCGCCATAGGAAGTACGCGAATGTCGAAAACTAGCAGCTTGTCTCAATTTGTGCCAAGTCGAGTGTGAGGTGGTAGGGCGCGTTTCGTTGCTTTCTGCAGCCGACTCAGAGACTCTGCGCTCACGACGGACAATACCTTTAATAGATAGTGATGCACGTCTGATTTTGCCCTTGATTTCTCCGGAAACGCTTCCATTGCGACTTTTACGAAACGGGTTTGCACTTGTCGGAGTGGTTGGTTCTTCCTCAATGCCTGGTTCTATACCAGTATCATGAGAGAATGATCTCGCGTTCAACGGCGTGGGATCGTGGAACATGGCGGCTAAGGGCCCAGGTTGGGCAGGGACTTTAGAAGGAGACATGACCATAGCGACAGTCGGAAGGACTTCGATGCTCGAATTTGAGGAAAACGCGGATAGGTCGTCCCGGTCTAAAGGATGAGGTGGATCAAATATCGGCTCCAGTAAAAGGGATAGTAAAATAACAGCGACAAATAATGCGAAAACGACAGAAAAAGAAAAATTAATATATTTTCAGCTGTCAGTTGAAAAGGAAAAGAGACTGCAGTAGAGAAAGAATGGATGATATGTAAAGTAAACAATGCGCCGGTGAGGCGAAAAGAATGTAAGCCGTATAAAATAGCTGTAAGTAATAAGTAGTAAAGTATTGTTAAGGAAGTTTTAATGTTTTTTGTGGCTGGTCAGCAACAACAACAAAAAAAAAAAAAAAGGTCCAAATGCCAGCACCCGCTTTACGTTATTTAAAAGTACTCCAAAGTTACGCTAATGTAGGTTGTATGTACCTTCCCGATATCCTGGACCGCAGGGTTTTTTTCTCCTTACTACCCCACGCCCCCTTTTTATTGTTTTTCTTTCTTCTTTGTTCGCCTTCCCCTAAGACTCTTGAGTCAGGTGTAGTTTAATAGAAAGACGCAAAAAGGAAAGAACTACTAAAGTCTAGTCACGCTGAATAGCTGCATGGTCTTTCCAGTCTACACGTACCTATGTACCTAACACATGAGTGCATAAGGTTCCATTTGTACCTGGTAGCCAGGAGATAACGTTACGGAGTGGAGGTACCGCATTGGGCATTGGTCTAGGTATTCGGTAAAAGACTGTGGAGTGCGGGAAAAGATTAACCAGAACTGTACCTGACTTGGTACAGTACCTTGAACGATTCCACATATATTTCTTATTCCTGCCTTTTGCAGCATTCGTTATCCTATTTCAAGTTAGGATCGACTTGCATCCATTTGTCTAGAAGCGGTGCAGCATTCGGTACATAGTTCCGTACATTAAAAAAATAGTCACTAGGTACTGTAGGTCCAAGTCACTATCAGCGGAAGGATGATGACGAAGGGAGAAGAAAAAAAAACGATAGGTGGATGCAGCTAGTCAGAGGTATGTAGGCATGTATGTACAGCTGAAGCAAAGGTCGGGGATCCCCGTAATACGCGAACAGGGGGCCTCTAATGGTCAGTATTCACATCTTTCATCTTTAGCTTATCTGACTTGCAGTATAAGAACAACCTATAAAATAGTTAGCTCATAGCCCTAATATCTCTTCGTAATATAATAGGACAGTATAGTTGAATGGGATTTTGGGGTTTAAATGGAAAAGCTGCTGAAGATATACCACCCTTAATGAGTACATAAGGTACATAAGGTACATAACGATCAAAGGGAAAGTGCGACATGTACCTGTACGTAAGAATTAAATTCAGATCAAGTACATATCCGTACCTACGGTTTCAGGTTTCAGGGCAGAACTTTGTCTCTACACGTGGAGGACCCTTTCACTTTGGCCGTTGTACGGTTGACCAGACAGGGTACTGTGCCAAAATGAAAAAAATATGAAAATTAAGCCTAAACGGGTAGTTAAGCACGGGTTTATCCAATTAGCTTGGTACTTTACACCTTAAAGTGGGAAAAGGGCTTATTTTACTTAAGTACATATCTTATTACTTTATACGTAATATATAATTGTATTCAAAAATCCCATACCTATACCTATACCTATATGAATTCAAGGATAGCTTCATAAATACTGGTTTTAGAATGACATGATGTATATCGTTTGATAGCCCAAATTAATGCGAAAATAATAATATCAATTGCAGTATTGTATGATACGAATCAGGTATTATATGACTTATCCAATCAATAATAATATTGTATTAAAAATTGTCTTGTCAAAGGGTATCACGTGCTTGCTTGCGAAACAATACAATTCAATTATATCTTACCTTTGTAAAAGCCTAAATAACATACAACTTAAATTACTAAACAACATGCACCTTAGATTATTATTTTCGCATTAATTATGGCTATCTATTGATAGTAATTATATCATTTAAAATTAGGTAGTGGTAAAGTTATTTAAATTTGTATATGCCTACCTCTTAATAAAGTTGGAAAGATTACGTGTGGTATGTAAAAAGTTGATCTTTTCATTAGTGTTTTGTACTTTGTATATATATTTATATGTAAAGATACTTACTAGCTATACCTAGCTAAACAGCCCCACCTAGCGCTGCGCTACATAATCATCCCTAAGGTAGTCACGTGATACCCTTTGCTGGGACAATTTTCAACATAATATTACTAGGTAAGTCATATACTACCTAATTCGTATCACACAATACTGTAATTGATATCATCACTTTCGCATCAATTCGGGCTATTCAATGATATATATTATGTCATTATAAGACCAGTATTCATGAAGCTATCCTTGAATTCATATAGGTATCGGTATATATACCTAGGTATGGGTATGTGTGGATACGGTTGTTTTTGATTAATTGAATATTGATATTATAAAAATAACCGTATGAGGCTTAAAAGTATATATTAAATTGTAGTCCGTGACCTTTTACCCATCTTAGTCTAGTGCGCGATCTTTTTTTTCATTTTGGCACAGTACCCTGTCTGGTCAACCGTACGTTGCATTACACCCTTGCTTTAAATAACCAAATAAACTTTTTTTTAAATGGCAGGTGCGCTTAGATGGGCTTAGATGGAAATGCCATATTCAATAATTGCATTGTTCCATACGTACCTAGGTAATGTACAAGATGCCATCCTCAACTCATAAACCGCCACATTATTTTTTATGACGTAGTCAACCATTGTAGTACGACATTGTACACTGACTCTATTTTAATCTTCACCGTGGATATATTTTCGCCTTGCTGAGCCCCGTGATAGGATCCCGTCAGATTCCCGTCGAATCCTAAATTTTTGTACGGATTCTCGGTGCCAACTTACGACAGTTAACCTAGATGCTTCCATTTGTATAGTAATGGATTTCTAGCTAGGAATGATTGGAAGTGTATCTATCTAATAACCTATTGGTTGATCACTACCTACCCAAGGTACCACCTAGCAATAATATGAACCCTTTCGAAATACCATCCTATCCATGATTAAAGAAACGGGATGAACACCAAGGTCCTTGTCTCAACTTTAGAACGGTCATAGCAAAAAGTTTCATATCCCTCCTCCAAGCACATCCCTAATCCCCCTAACCCTAACACCGGAAATCATAAAACAGTAAACCAGTAACCCCGTCGTATCGTTCCATAACCCGTATAACTGACTCATACATCTCATAACATCATTCGTGTGTATCGTCGCATCATTTGAAAATGAAGAAACGGGACAGTGGCATCACTCGACCCAGCTCCAAACATCTAACCTAAATTCTCGGCCTGTTTCCCATGTTGAGAACGATAGGATCACGGTTTCCACCGAGCGCCTGGTCGACTCTCTTTACGTGATCGCGATGACTTCTTCGCGCCTCAGAGGTCTCCTGCCCATCAACCCGCCACCAGGGGTTAGAGTGAGGGTTGAACGTCCGCCAGCCGTCCCTCTCTTTCGCCGACTTGACCTCCTCGCCCCGAAGGACGATGAAATATTTAAGTACGGCCGGTTTCTCTTGGCGACGACGGAATAGGCCCTTCTTCTTGCGCTCCGGGAGTAGCTCCGTCATCTGGAACTCGCCCTCCTCGAGAAATACGACTTGCCAGTCACGCCGGCGGAACGGAGTCTTGTTTGTTGACCTGAGCTTGTTGTCTATGACAAACTGGATTTGGTTATACACTCCCGCATTGAGACGGAAGACCCGGTTGGCGAGGTCTTGGGCGTACGATTTTCCTTTCTTAGAGCTTTTGGCACTGTATTCTTGAATAGCGTTCTCGTGCAATTCGGCCAACTCTTCTTGAGCGTAAGATGTCAGGGGTTCGATAGTCAGGAACCCGTCGTTGTAGCTCTTCCATTTGCTACCGAACTTGATACCACAGAACGTCTTCCAGGCAACTCGGTCAATGGTACCTCCGCTATCGAGAACCATCCATGCTTCGTACACCGTCTTCGCTGGCTCGTCGATCGGGACGGTGCTACCCTTGGTCAGAAATTTACTTATCATGGTGTTGCAGGTATCTATAAACGTACAATGTCTTACGCCCGGCGTGGTCTGGACAAGATTCTTTAGATAGGATAGAAAGAGCGTCTTCGTCGAGCTCCCGTCGAGTTCCCGTCATGGTTTCTGCGTCTTCGCTCAATGAGGATATAGTTGGGCTTAGAGGTGGCATTCCCTCCGGATCCACCGCCTGCTTAGCCTCACACTCCAACGACGAAGCCATGACTTATCTATCAGAGGCCGGGATATTTACTTAAAGTAGGTAGAAGGCAGGAAAGCTGTGGACAGGCTGAAGTATACAGAGCAGAAATAGTCGAAATATCAGAAGCTCACAATAACCCTTTATATATCATTAGGTCTTACTTGCTTCTGTATTTGGGTGCTATAGCCCCGGATTTTCTAATGTTACACATGTCCCTCTCACCAAACGTAAATCGGTGTAGGTAGATGCTCTTGGCGACAGAAGCTGCCTGGAATCACGTTCCATCTAGTATATCTCGGCGCCGTGATTGGACGCCATTTGCTGCGAGCTGCCGTCCTAGCATGACTAGATGGGCGACCACCGGGGTTCTGCCTGCATATATTATCACAAATTTTGCGATTGGAGCAGACTAAGGCCGAACACTGCTTTTCTTGTTGACCGGTGGATGAGGTGGGTCAAATTGGTGTTTCTAGACCGATCAGTCGATTTAGGTACTATTGGACTACAGCCGACTTTAGTTGTAACCACTTCATTATGACGATTATTCTATCAAATACTTCCTAGACGGGCACGGCTACACGAGGAACAGTTCTATTTCACCCGGGGTGTGTCATGATGTATTAGTGTCGCAGGGCATAGATATATTTACTACTGCAGGGGAACAATCTTGAAGTCGTAACCTCGTGTTAACCTATCCAACTCATCTCCTAATGTGAAGCCCCAGTATCTCGCCATACTACTAGATTATCGTATAGCTAGAAGCTACATGGAAATATCATAGCTCCGGCAAGAACGTCGATATATCAGTGTCGGCTTCTTCATCTAGGCGCTGTTGGTCGTACTTTTCAAACAGGCCACAAGCTTCCCGTGAAACCTTGAGCTTATTGAGCAATCCCTGGAGGGTCGAAGTTTCGCTAGAAAGATAGATTGCAATATCATTCAACAAGTCTCTGAATTGATCCGGCGACAAGTCGATGCATGGCTGCATGATAGCAGCAGTGACATCGATCCAAGCGGTGACCAATGTCGGGTGAAGCGAGCCCTGCATGTGTCGGAACTCGATCGTGTTCAGTTGGCTCCGGCGAACTTTCCCCGGGAAGTTCGAGGTTGCTGGCAGCAACTCCATGAGACCGATTGATGCTCGACGGGATTTCTTCGGTTCGCCGACTAACATCGCAAGATCTTCTACCGTCTCAGCACGCCATAGCCACTGGACCTTTGGCTTGTTCTGGTGGAGGGATTCTCGAATGCTTGGTGGGACGTTCTGCTCCATCTCATAAACCCAAACCCCCTTTCCAAGGTCATCGATCCAACTCGGGAGCTTTGGAGCATTGTCCATTGCCATGTTCGTCCCCGTCTGTAGTAGTGCGGCATACTTATTGGCAAGCTGTCGCCAGGACGCGTGTAGTCCCATCAGCTTCTCCTCTACAATCCACATCAGGGTGAGGATCCTCTTGATAGTTATCAGATCGTATTCTGCGCCACTGAGACCCCAATGGATATGAGTACCGCAACGGCTCGAAGCAGACCCCGAATCTTTGCCAGCATTCACGCTAATCAGGTAATTTGTGCGTAGGGTTCGACAGATACTATCGAAGTCTGACTTCATGGTGTCGAAATCGCGGTATCGATATGCTTTACTAACGAATTCGAAGCCGAGCCAGAAATGGCCTGGCGGCGTCTGGGGCCTTACAGCCATGCGCTTCCCCTTGGCTGTTGGGTCGGTCCACTGTAAAGGTTATAGTCAGCATTTGCCTCCTTTCAAGTAAAGAGCCTGAAGGCCGTGTTGCGGGCCCTTGAAACAAATAGGTGTAAGTTAATGTAGTTAGGATGAATTCAAGCATACTATCATAGTCTCCTCGGGAACGATACTATTTTCCTTGTAGGAATTATACCGGAAATCATCGAAGTCCCCTAGTCGGGCGTGTGTGTCGTCCGGATCCAATGCCTTGTCGTCTTTTGGATGCCCCTTTTCTCGATAGACTGTCGGTATCCCAATGCTAGCTAGCTTTTTCGCAATCTCGTTTCCAAAGTAGTGGATCCTTTCCATATGAACTTCATGATCATCGGAATTGTTTCCAGTCAAGCCAGATGGCTCCTCTAGTACCTGTTGAGTGGGCGGGCTATGCTTGCCATTCTCAAGTTCCAGGGGGGTTACACCAGCCTCTCTAAAAAGAACTATAAACTCCAGCTCAACGCCAAAGGTTGCTGCGTCAGAAAATATGTCTGTGGCCGAGGGGTTCATGATGAGTGTTTGAATCTAATTCTGGTTGATGCTTCTCTCTTAGAAATATGAGCTCTCTGGCTTCTTACAACTTCCATTTCTAAGGAGTAAACCCTCGTCCTTAAATACAGAACTCAGGGGCTATGCTTACACACGACTCCTAAGAGAGATTTCTACAAAGTACACACGAAATGAATGACAGTCGATCACCTTTCATCTCCTCTCGTCAATATTAAGCTACTATCGGTAGTCGAGCAAGGCCAATAGATGGAATGTATGGGCAACCTCAGTTTTGACAGAAAACTTGGCGAAAACTGACGAGCAATCGCCACGCAGGACGCCAGCGGGCAATCGTACTGTCGTGTATCGACCTATGTAACAAGTACGGAACAGGCTAGACTTCCCCTCAACTGATAATAATGATATGATAGACCAAACATGTTTCCTCTCTGACATGTACGCACACCAAAAAGTCGTATTCCGTAAGCCGAAGAACCAACATCACCATCGACGTCGCCAACAATAGCCTCGTCGACGCTTTACAACGAGTATCTATCACATTTCAGTCTCTATATATCACTTCATGTCGCTTGTGACCAGAACTGATGCCTTCCTAACCGTGCCCAACGCCTATAGAATCTTTTGCAGTCTAAATGTATAGGTTTTAGGATCTAAATCATGTCATATAGTCGTAATATATGTAATATATGGATGGGCTTCGTAATCGCAAAATGAAGTGTCCTACCACCGGTGTCACCATCATCTACTAGCTGGAACTCCGGGTATGCAGTGCGGACCGAACCTCTTATTCAGAAGCCAACGTCGTTGTTCAATGGGCTAAGATCACGACTATGTTGCCGGTGGCTCATAGCGGGCCGTAGTCATAATCCGGGCCTGACTTGATGTAAATCATACGGTACCGACTTATGTCACTGTTAGAGACTTTTGTGTCGTGCATGCATATGCGACATCCCGCATTACTTAGCATATCCGTCTCTACCCTCTAAACTAGCCGGGAATACCGCTGTCTTTTGCGCTCTTGGCATAGGTTACCCTCTGGGAAGTCCACTCCCGGTGTAGACCTATTTCCAACATACGGTTACGCACGCTACCTTCATGACTACTATGACCACTAGCTCACCTAGAGGTGAAGGTGACCTATCTGCACGAATCAGGAGGTGGCATATGTACATCTGACGCGTTTTCTTAGCAAGGTAGGAGGTCTTACCGCCATTCTGGTGGTAGATAGATGCGAGGTGGGATAGAATTGGATATATTACTTTAACAGACTTCCAATCACGATTGTGGTTACTAACTATGATTAATTACAAGTTCCAACATGCATAAAGAAGAAATGAAACCGGGATGAATCCCCAAAACGGGAAGAAACGCCATGTAATAGCGTCGGTACCTGTGTATCGGTAGACTGTAATGGCACATTGGATCCTTAGGAATGAAGCTCAAGACGGGGGACCCGTACATAGATGGGACTGACTGGGACCTGATTGAAGATCCAAAGGGAATAAGGTTGTTCCAAACCGATGGTTTTTTAATGAAATAGGAAAAATAAAAAACAAAGTCAAACTGGGACTTGGGAAAATCCAATTGGTCAATTACAATTAGATTCTCCTCCCCTTTACATGCTGCCCTTGTTTGCCATCAAGGTTCTATGGGGTATTAACATTAACGGAACACGTAGTTATTATTTTCTTAACTCCTCCCTTGCTGATTAGCATTGCTCTTTACATAGCACCCATTACCAATATATAATTTTAAACATTACCAACACCAAGGCGAGCAGATGGCCCCGCGTCAATCCGTCCTCCCGCTCGCCTACCGAGCCTTCTTCCTTATTATCGAACCTATATCCGCCCTCGTAGGTGCCTTCTTTGCGCACTTCCGGCAAGATGAATATCTCTCAATGACAATACATACCGAGGCGTCGGTTTCTCTCGGGACGTCCGTCGTTCTCTCGCAGCTCGCCAACCTTTACTTGCTATTCGCACTTAATGAGGCCCTGGTATTACGGTCTACGGGCGATCTCCGGGTATGGCGAACGGTGTTGTTCGTCTTATTAGTCGCCGACTTCGGTCACCTCTACTCCGTGAGCGGGTTGGGATCCTGGGTCTACTGGGACGTGACGCGTTGGAACGCTATCGATTACGGCAACGTCATGTTCGTATATCTGGGCGCGTCGATGAGGATCGCGTTTCTCACCGGAGTTGGGCTAGCGGTATCATCACCCCCGAAGACGAAAAAGACGGCTTGAAGAATCTCACGGGAATGACCCACGAACTTCAAAGTTGTACTTTTTACTACTATAATCCCAACAGTATCAATCATAAGCCCTATATCTCGGTTCTATGCCCCAACAATCAAGGCCGAATATTTTTCCTCTTCAAAGAGATCTTACAAAACATTTGAAACCCACAATAATATTTTCAAATCACATCACTCGGTACGATGAAATACCGCACTGACGGTTTTTAGGTCGTGGGGTTTAGCTCTATCTCCGATCCATTGTTAATACCATATTCGGTTGGCTCCAATCAGATTGACTAACCAAAGATATTTGAAGTGATACAACTTCTATGACTAGGTTCGGTCCCTGTTTAGCGAAGAAGACATTCATGTTTTTAGCATTACTCCGAAACTGGAGCAAACATACCGCTAACAGTCCCGGTTCTATGCCTATTGTGGATAAAAGGGTGTTTGATTTTGGGGGGGTATACTGGGTATATACTCTCTAGACCGGGGGAATGGAGGGGAATTCATGGAATAGATCATAGGTGGGGGCTGCTTTCATTGCTTCAAATATCAACTTACAAACCCCTCCATCAACCCCTCGTCTATAGTAGGTATTCCTATAATTTTTTTGTATCTACCTACCTACCAACCATATATCCCCTTATTATATCTCAAAATGTCTAAATACGACCAATACGAGGGTTTCCAAGTCGAGTCCCCCGAGACCTGGACCCAGTTTCACTTGAACAAGTTCGACACCAAACCCTTCGGTGATAACGATGTAGAAGTCAAGATCGAATGCTGTGGTGTATGCGCTAGCGATATTCACACCATCACCGGCGGCTGGGGTGCTCAGCGTTTCCCGTTGGCCGTCGGCCACGAGATCGTCGGTAAGGCTTTGAGGGTTGGCCCAAAGGTGACTCTTGTCAAACCCGGCCAGCGTGTTGGTGTTGGCGCCCAATCGTGGTCTTGCTTGAGCTGTCGCCAATGCAAAAACGACAATGAGACATACTGCTCCCAATGGGTAGACACTTATGGTGCTGTTTGGCCGGATACTGGTATCGTGACCCAGGGTGGCTTTTCATCCCACGTGAGGACGCATGAATACTGGTGCGTATTTAAATAGTCAAACGAGCGAATGTCTCTAGTAGATCGAGTGTTCCTAACTGCTATTACTAGGGTATACCCACTTCCAGAATCGATACCAAGCCACCTTGCCGCGCCGATGCTATGTGCCGGTATCACCAGTTATAGCCCGTTAGTGCGAAACGGTGCTGGACCCGGCAAGAAGGTCGGTGTCGTTGGCTTGGGAGGTTTAGGACACTTCGCCGTTCTCTTCAGCAAAGCACTAGGCGCCGAGACGTGGGTCATCTCACGTACACATAGCAAGGAGGCGGACGCGAAGGCGATGGGTGCCGACGGATTCCTGGCCACGCAAGATAAGGACTGGAACAAGGACCACCTATTGTCGTTCGACCTTATCATCAGCACCGCAAATAGCACCGGCGCAGGCTTCGACCTAAGCGGTTATCTTGCCCTTCTTGACGTCCACGCGAAGTGGATCTCGGTTGGCTTACCCGAAGGAGAAGGACTAAACGTAAAGGCTATGGACCTCGTCGCCAATGGCTGCTTAATCGGCTCGTCGCACCTAGGAAGCCGACGTGAGATGCTAGAGATGTTTCAGTTGGCCGCAGACAAGGGGATCAAGTCCTGGGTCGAGTCAGTGCCCCTCAGCGCGGAAAACCTATCCACGACGGTGCAGAAGCTGAAGAAATCCGACGTTCGGTACCGGTTTACCATGACCGACTACGACAAGGTCTTCGGCGCGTAGAGAAATTAGAACCTAGAGGGATGGATTGCCTTGCGTTAGATCATCGACCTTGTGCATCTACGTTGAGTCCTGGGGACTTTGTAATAGAAAGAACTCATCGCATCTCATGAGACGCTTGTAAGCCAGGCGGAGTTGAGTGAAGATGGTACTATACATAGAATAAAATATAGAGACATGAATTAGCACAAACTCGGCATCGATTGATGTAAGCATGGTATTTAAGTGAACAGATCCAGCTTAACCCACCCGAAGATCGTTGTTCTTCGCCTTGACTTAATAGTAAGTTCAAATATTAGGTATTGGAGTGATTGTAGATGAAAGAATTTATGAGTTGACAACCGGATTGGTTCGTACCTATAATCACATAAACTACGGCAATAACTGGGTAGTATGTTAAACTAACTACGAGTCGGACGGAATATGTGTTGTGAAGTGATGTTTAGCCGTACTCGCTACCCCGATATGATATAAGTTTACCTATACAAGAAAGAGAAAAGAGCAGGTTAGAGATCCCAGGACTAACCCATTCACGAAACCCCCTAGAACGGTTTATCAAGCCCTTAGTCAGGGTAACTGAGCTATAGCTATCTCAGCCGCACGCCTTCGGGGCTTCATTCATGAGACATATGACATGAATGTGATCTATATTTCGTATTTGACTTGACGACGTCATCATGTATAGCCTACAATATTAGCGTCGTGTCGTCGTATGACACCCGCGGATATGGTTGGGGATTGTTGGTATGGAAGATGATCCTTCAGTCTCAAGAGAATGAGGTAGTTTATATGCCTTGGGCAATGTATGGCCATAAATGCTTTTACTAGCCTGCCTACCTAGGTAGATAATGGTTGAATAGGTAGAGCATAGCAACGTTATAGCCCTTAGAAAACTGAGAAGCTAAGTAGTTCGTATGTATGAACCACGTGCATGTATAATGTGGACTTCTCCATGTTCTAGGATGAAGTCCTGGGATAACATGCCATGATATTGGGGGCGGGGTGCTCCTGCTCGAGTAATACCGTCCAAGTTTACCCTTGTGATCTTCACTCCTGGTGTCCTTGTACGACTTAGTACTCTCAGTTTATTTTACCAACAACAATAACCAATATAAACACTTCAATAAATGTCGTCCAGAGTCCTAGGATTAAGTAAGCAGACGAGTCGGGGATAGCGAGATAAACGTCAAATGCTGTGTCACGACCCAGATAACCGAACGATGAGGCTCGGCTGGAGATTCTCCAAATCCTAAGCGGCTGGGCTGTATATTAGTGGATTCCTGACGGAAACCCACGCTTAAGGATTCGTCTACCTAACCTATAACGATGGAGATTTACACCGCCGATTTTGGGGTAAACAATATTACGTCGTTCTCTGACCGAGTATTGACATGTGGCGTCGCCTCAACCGGTGCCACTATCTTATATACACTAATTTTAGAATCCATGCCGGAAGTCCCCATACCTAACTCCAATCCAAATACCATTACGATCCATCTATATCGTTCCCATGCCAAGAAAATCATCACCGGTAATTTGCGGGTGGAGGTGTAGGGAGTTCAGCTACTACGGGGCGTTCCGTGTCGCGACCCTCGAGTTCCGTCGGTGGCGGGCCTAGTAACGGGGAGTAAGATTGATGCTTGTGATCCGTCATCGAGTTCCATCCGCTCATTCCAGACATCTGAGATACATGTCTATTGTCTCCGTGCCAGGATTCCGTCGATTGGGGCGAGTGAGGTACATATGGATTTTGGTGGTACTGGTTGGAAGAATAGGCTGAGAAGCCAGGACTTGGGTATCCTGGGCTTGGAGCGCCAGAGTGATTTCCATTCTGCCATTGGGACATACCGGGAGAGTTGGCTGCTTCTTGATTAGTATTGAGTGGGCATATACGTGTGATGGTAATAGACCTACGTCCTTGAGCGCCGTAATGATTTATCGCTTCATCGGCGCCTTTGTTATGCTTCTTATGTCTTGCCAGCCAGCCGCATCTGTATGCTAATATCGCGAGAAGAATTGCGACTACCGCCGCGCCCCCCAGAGATATGCCGAGTATTGCACCCAGAGGTAACTGGTAGCCGGAATTCGAGTTCGAACTGGAAGTAGACGACGAGGAAGCGAGGAAGACCTCAGCGTTACTTTCATCATCACTCAGTGTCGCTGGAAGTAGGTTTGCTGTTGGGCACCCATCATTTTCACACGGGTTTATACTGCAACATCCCATAAAAGGTTGCGAACTCTTGCAAGTAAACCAACTGCTGGCGTTGCTGGGCGGAGCGCAGCCTTGTCCCGGTATACTGTCGTAGTGATCTGATGAAAAGCTTGCCGCTGCTAAATCATTCTGGGGGCACCGTCCGCTGCCGTCGGCACAAGGGTCAACGGTGCAACAGCCGATGAAGCGGATGCTTGCATTTTCGCATACGTAGAACTTTCCCTTGGATGGGCATGACAACCCAAGGTCACTGCGAGTTGTTGACATTGCGAGAACGAGCGAGCTACCAAGGGGTAGATTAGAAATTATGAAATGGCTTTCACCGCGGATAGAAAAAGTTGAAAGGGAGTGAAAACACTCTTCCGTGGGGTCGTCGCAAAAGCAACAAACGGTATATGATACGGTATATGATGTGGCTTGTCACTTCTGGCTCGGCCAAGGGATATATGGATGCATTGCTGCCAACATTATCAGAAGGAATTGGACCAAACGTCAGTCGACCATATGAAGATTGGATGATCGGGGCTTAATACGAAGACCGACAGATACAAAGCCCCATCGGGTGCCGTGGCAGTATTACCTAGGTCCTGATCAAAAGAGGTAAATGTTGGTTCCTTCGGGTTGGTTGTGCAGTTCAGCGGATGCAGAGGATATCCCAAATTAGGAACATCACATTCGTCTAATTGGTCAAAGGCCGGGCGCGATATGGAGGCGCAGTAGATATGTCCATAGTAGATATCCAATATTTCGTGTCATAGTTGGAAATTTTACCAGCAGGCTGGGTCTGACTTAATAAACAGTAAATCAGAAAGCTACCTTTCTTTTATGAGCCGCGATCTCCGCATTAACTTAGATCGTATTGTAGTAGTAGACGACCTAATTACCTATACTCCCTTACTTCTACATGTAGGTACGCGGTATTTGATGGTTACATACCCAGCCCTTCGGCCCGTTAGTAGTACAAAATTAGAAGTTAGAAGTTAGAAGTCTTACAAAAGACCATAGCCTACCTACCCTACCTACCTACCTACCTACATATCATCAGCTCCGTAACCACTCACTGATATATAGTAACTGAAGTTCGACGTTCAGGATCGAAATAGGCTTTATCGGCAAGGCTCTCTTACTTCTAGGTTGGTAGTTTTAATCTCGCAGGTCGCTCATCTCGGCAATTCGTCTCTATCACACTATGGTGATATTCTACGATGTAACTCATCAGATGGGCCGAGAGGTATTCGAAACGCGCGAAAGGCTTGAAAGCAACTTGATATCAAAGCACAAAGTTCAAAGCTCAGAACCATCACTTCTCGTGAAGTACAAAAATTTAAAAGGGCAACTCTAATACATGTAAATTACATACAAATGTTACGTTTGACAGGGCAAATGATTTTAGAGATGTGATAGGCAAGGGGTGAGTAATTCAAATTAATTATGAGTTAGAATTATACAGTCGAGACAGAAGAAGCTTAAATCTGGGTTAAGTTCAAGTAACTCTAGCTAGCCACAGAGAAGCCACATTTCCATAGTGGGTCTATTGATAAGATATCCTTCCATCGAAAATCGCTTCTGTCTATAAAACCCTGAGTGGCCCAAGCGTCATTACCCACAACTGCCCACAACTTAGCTTGATTTCCCAAATTCCCACCGCGAATTGAATTTTGTGTGAATTTTCGAGCAAAGCCCCAAAGTCGAAAAACTTTCAACATTCCTCGCGACTTCAATTCCCATCCCACCAACCAAACCGCCATCCGCTCCTTTGCGACTTCGTTCCCCTTTCTAGCAGCGAAGATAAATAAACCGCAATCATGAGTGCCTCTCTTAACAAGATCGCGCCTAACAGCCCGTCGCGCCAGAACCCTTCTGAGCTAGAGACCAACATCGCTGGCGCTCTCTACGACCTCGAGACCAACACCACCGATCTCAAGACTGCCCTCCGACCCCTGCAGTTCGTCTCTGCCCGAGAGGTATGAATAGTCCCCCTGCTTTACCGGTTATCCTGGGACCGCTTTGGACCGGTTCTATTCCTCGTCTACGAATCTACGAATCGTGACGAGTTCGATATGAATGGCATAGGAAAATATCCAGCAATATCAGTGGAATAGGACGGGAAGCGGTCCAAGGAACACAAAATATTATCGTGTATCCTGGAGCTCGCCTGCTGACTTTTGGGTCTTGATTAGATCGAAGTCGGCCACGGCAAGAAGGCTATCGTCATCTTTGTCCCCGTCCCATCCCTCCAGGGCTTCCACCGAGTCCAGCAGCGGTAAGTTCCAAGACATAGCTATTAATCCCTACCTGATTATCGAAAGGCCGTTGCTAATGAATGCATTACCATAACAGCTTGACTCGTGAGCTCGAGAAGAAGTTCTCCGACCGCCATGTCCTGATCCTCGCCTCGCGCCGCATCCTTCCCCGACCCAAGCGCTCTGCCCGCTCGCGCAACACCCTCAAGCAGAAGCGACCCCGCTCGCGAACTCTGACTGCTGTCCACGATGCCATCCTTACTGACCTCGTCTACCCCGTCGAGATCGTCGGCAAGCGTCTGCGCACCAAGGAGGACAACAGCAAGCTCCTCAAGGTCATCCTTGACGAGAAGGAGCGTGGTGGTGTCGACTACAGACTCGACACCTACTCCGAGGTCTACCGCCGCCTGACGGGCCGAACCGTCACTTTCGAGTTCCCCCAGTCTGGTGCCACCGAGTACTAGGGATGAGCGGATGTTATCTGGGCTGGTATGGGAAGAGAGTTTGGCATTGTCTTTCATGGAATGATAGCATGGCAAATCTGGTGGGCCAAAAACTACATTACTGGCACGGCGTCTAGATAGCTTGTGGACTAAAATGACAAGCTGGTTTTATGATGACATATCACACTTAATGAATTGCTTTTGATATCTTTACTCGTGACTCCTTTCATATTTGCTTGTGTCTTCGGGGTATCGTAGATTATCTAGCTATTCCTGACTGATCCGACCAATGCCGATGGCGCACCAGTACGCCAGTTCTTTCTTCTCCCTTGTATCCTTTTCCTTGCCGGCCGCAGCGCCTACCTGATCCTGTGATACGTCGCCTTCCCACTCCAACCGTATAAACATGGGTATCTCCAATATATCCTCGTCTTCCTTCAGCGGGCTCCGATCTGACCCAGGGTCGTCGCCTTCACTTTTGGAAAAGCTCGAGCGCTCCTCTACACGGAGCGATGCGGGCACCACCTCTACCACGATACTAACCCAGTTTCGGCCCCTCTCCCATATCTTGCCTGCTTCCGCCTGTTGCGACGTGCTCTCGTCGCCCCGCTTTCGCCCCACACCCTTTTCGCCATCCTTCAGGACATCGTCTAGATACATGTCCGTATCGGTATTGGCATCGATATGGAACTGGGGGCATAGCACCGTCACCCTAGACGCGAAGCGTCCGGGCGTAGTTGCCGGCGTCGCAAGTGTAACCTTGATCTCCTCGAACATGGGGTTCTTGAAGGTTAAGAGAAATTGCGCAGGCTGGAGGGGCACCAGAGGGTCTGAGGTTCCCGGTGTTAAGGGGGTGGGGTTAAGCGGCTTGATGGAGATGGAGGGGATGCTGTTGTTGGCGACGAGGCGGATGCGCCATCGCGTATTGCCGACTTTGGACTCGGGCTTGCTAATGATGTGCCGGCATACAGGACACCGCTTTGAGCGCTTCGTGCGTAGTAGGTACGGGATCGGCCAGAGTTCGTTGGCAAAGCGGGCGCCTTCCTCGACTTGTAATCGCGACTGATCGCCTGTAACGGTACCGTCCCATCCGTCGCGGCGCAGCTTTGAGATAGCTGCACTGTCGTCAAGATCGACGGCACGGAAACCCTCGCTTGCGGAATCTGCTTCCCGCATTATGCTCGACTTGGCCTTGGGTTTGCCGAGGCCGGGATTGTTGCCCGAGTATAAGTTCATGATTCGCGTAAGAGCGCCGGGAGAGCTGAGCCCGTAGTCCATCAAGTTGGATAAGCTACTTGAATTGGGCGAATTCGTGTTGTTCTGAGCGTTATAGAATGACTTCATGGCCGAGAATCTCGCCGAGGTCGTATCGGGCACCGCGTCGCTTTTCTTGGGCGAAACGTCCCCGGTCGAAGAAGAGTGCTTGGAATGGTCATCGCCGTGGCGGAGTTTAGAAAGTTGGGAGAATATACCCTGCGGTTTGTCGAATTTGACACCTATCTCGGCCGAGTTCCAGTTGCAGTACGAGCAGGCTAGAATCCATGGTCCAGATGGAGGTGCGGCACTTGCGCTCTCGGCGGTTAAGAGTGATGGTTCGGGTGCTGACTCGAGGGACTGGACGGCTAGTGGTCCTATACATATTGGGCATTGGAAACAACTACGAGTACATCTAGGTAAATATATATTAGTATTATTTATAAGGCTATGATAAGTCGAGACTGGTTCTAGAGTATATAAATAGAATATATAAATACGCACCTGTTCCCTTCCGTCTTTATACTACTGCTACCAACCTCGAAAAGACAGTTTGGGCAGTATATGGTCACAAGCTCCTCGGCGACACATCGCGGACAACGGATCTGATGGCACACATCGCAGTATAGCAGATATTCCAGTGGATATAAGCTGTAATTGGAGCGGGGCGAACGTGGATCGAAGGTGCGCTCGTCATCGTCGTCGGGCGAATCTCTAGAAGAGGGAGAGGAAGTACCATCTGCAGAACGGGTCTGGATGGCAGTATCGTTACAAGGACATTGTATGTAGGTATAAGGAACAAACGATGCCATCTAGACGTCTTAAGGCGGCATATTTCAGCCGCAAGATGCACCCAAGCTCTGCGGACCAAAAAATAAGACAGCAATCGAAGTCCAATTATTGAAATAATAGAATCCTGTGACACTGCTTCCAAGCGGTTGCGCGTCAAAAAGGCGTTGGAACTTTTGTATGTTTTATGTAACTACAACAACTTGAGCAAACGAGCTGAGCTCGTGAATATTAATCTTGAGTATGTACATATTGAGTTATGTAATATTCGGTGTTGTATGCTCTTAAGGCGAATGTCTCTTTTATCGATAAAATCTGTCGCATTTCATCAAATGCAATGTTAGACTTTGAACTTCTAGGAGCTTATAATTCTTCCTTACATGAACCTGGTTAGCAATAGTCTTATGTATTCGTCCTCTAGATACGAAAAGAAAGACAGGTTACTTCACACATATAATAAGACAAGATTCTGCAATATATATCATATCACTTACTCATGGTATAATTCTTACAATTACTAAATCCGATTGTAAGTCGATTTATTCAGCCTTGAATTCAATGGCTGCAGATGCATAATATTGTCATGATTCATCTTAGACGGCTAGGATAACTACCATCCATATGCCGTAATGATATATGCAGACCAAACTTATTCATCGATCAAGGATAATTCAAATCTGACCTGGGCACCGAGAACTGCATGCATTATCGTGCATTTGTCTTGGTTGCCTATACTTCAAGAACAAGATTCACAGATTTATCGTTAGGTCTAGGCCTTCGTCATATTATTAGCAGCACTTCGTATAAATTACCAGAAGCCATCCTGCATGCTCAACGATGCCTCGTTGATTCGAGAGGGATATATACCTAGCTTCAGTTACACGGAGCTCGGTATTTTATCCGACTCTTTGGTAAAGACGGTGGCTTACAATAGATCGTCAATAGACCACATCATGGTTTACACTAGCCCAACACGCAGGAGTTTAGGGTCCCCGAAATGGAACATGTTACGAAATAGGGAGTCGAAACCGCCGAGCTTACGTGGAAGATCTCACTTATATTTCCAAGGAGTAACCTTTAGTTCGGGCAAAGTTTATCGAGTAAAAAATGCCTGACGCTTTCACATACGCGTGCACTCTATTGTGCCTCCTGATTGAATCTTTGACACTACGACGAGACCCAGTGACTTGTAACCATAACATCCCTAGTAAACCGTGAGAGAATCTAACGATGTGTTAAGCCTCGATCTATCAGGTTCGTAGGATATACCTCTTTAGGACGTTAGAGATATCGTTCATAGTTGGGCCATGTCCTAAGCGTTAGATGTCGACCTTGATAGGAAAACATACGACACACACAATGGTCGACGCAAGCGATCCTCACCCCGCATTTAACCCTTCTAGACCTTCTAGATACCAACCAGGCCAACCGCTGTTGCGAGAACTGTCTCTTTACAATGGGGTTTCGAATAGATCGCGAGGCTGGAAAACAAAGAAGCCGGAGAAGTTTGCAGAAATGCAGACGCCTCAAAAGCCTGGTACCGTGAGATGGGACGGCGCTTCAATGTCGAGTAATGGTTGGGATAACCTGAAAAGGGTATACTTGCGAGTCATCCCCTGTTCCGCCTTGACATATATTTACAAGACCGGTGTAGGATCCCGAGTTGTGGTATCGTGATGGAAATTGCTATATTCACCTATACGACCAAGGGCAAAGCCGTAGAGGTCCCGCATTCAAGGTGCCTTTTTCTGGGTTCCTAAAAGCAGCCTGTTATCCCTTCATCGATAGATTCATGGCTCGAGATGTCATAATACCAACGGGGTGTACTCAAGAGAACGGCGACCCGGCAAGACAGAGTCGTATTGAACTTTTCATTCCGGCACCTCCTCGATCAGATAAACATCAATCATATAAATACCACCTAGCAACTCGGAACTTCGTTGCTTACGTCTTCCGCAGGTCTATGGTTGGAGAAAATCTAGGGGCTGCTCTAATTACTCTCATGCATAGCATGCATCAGTTTCGTTTAAGGGACGTGGATAATGTCCAAGATCTTATGAGTTACCTAGACGAGGAAGGTTATCTCAATCTTAGAAGCAACCCGGCTCATGCTATAGCTATATTACATCTTTCAGAAGTTTTCCGGTTGAGAGGACCCTATATAAACGCTTTTGCGCACTGCTGTGGCATGAGCGACCAATTGCCTACAGTTCCCGAGTATCAGGTTCGTTGATATATTATGTTGTCCCTGGAAGTTTGTTGACATAAATAGCTACTATCTCCTGTAACTCGAAAGCTCATCCGTTGTGCACGAGTTGAAATGAATCTTAGACTAGGTCAGAGTGCAAATTTGGTAGGAAATTTTCTCCAATATGAGCTGGCCGAGGCACATCTGTCTTTGTATCCTGGAGCTCGATCACATCTCGAAAAATTCCGGTCTCTATTACACAATTTCTACGCCGCTAAATTTGGATCATACCCGCCACCATCAGTTGACTCCCGAACGACAGTATTCGAAGCAGACATCTTCCGGATTATGAGGACAGATTTCGATGCTCTTTTCCAGTATCTGGTTGACGAGAGTGTTGACAACACCCAGAATAGTCCATTCTTGGCGGAAGGAGGTGTCTGTACATGGCAAAGTATTCAATCATTTGACTTAAGACATGAATTCAAGACTTTATTTCACCCTCTTCCCCTCCTCCCAAGGGTATCATTTGAAAATATGGAAAAGGTCGCATGGTTAGAAAAAAGGGTCAGAACAAATCAAAGACAACAAGAAATCACACGCTCGGCATTGTTAAAGGCCACAAACCAGAAGCCCGAACTCCTTAAAAATGGGCTGGTGAGAGTATATCGCCAATTCGAGGAGAAATTGGTCCATCCTCCCACTAAAACGGGCAAGTTGGAAAATCTAGGTCCTATAGACAGTCGCAAAGTCCGCTGGATCTTGATTTATGCGGTTTACCAGGCCCTCCGCCAAGCAACAGAGATTCCGCCCGAGGTTCGGGACGCTGCTGAAGCTCCATATCATCTCTGTATCTCTACAGTTGATCTACCACCATGGGATGAGGAACGGCCGGTGCACGACCTAGTTCGAAGGCAAACAGTTCATATTGCTCATAGTACATCACCCTCAGCAACAGGTTGGGACTCTGCAAGATCATCCCCCTGCCCGTGTAACTTCGAAATCAAGCCGGATATTGACTATTTCGCCATTACCCATCGCGATAGAACCGCAGATGAAGCCAGAGATAAAGGCCCGCGCAGAGCGGCGAGTTGGAAGGGAAACCTTTCTAGGAGCCTGTCTCGGAGCTTGACGACCCGACGTTCACCAACCAAACTTACTAAACCTCAGAATAGGACTACCCAGTCACCTTGGAACAGGCACTATCGCGAGATTGTGGTTCAAGGCTATGGCAACGGAACAATCGATATTAAAGACGCGCTATCAGGCGCACCGCCGCCAAATGCGCGTGCTACAATTGCTGAAGAGGACCCGGGATCAACGTCGCCTTCTCATTATTCTAGTATTTCCGACCTAAGGGAATCCGAGGATGAAAGTATCGCGAAGACATCGGAAACATCTGTATCCGAAAGCCAGGCGGAAACTTCCCCGTTCCTACAAAGTAGTCACTATGGCAGCAGAAAGAGCACACAGAATAGACATAGTAATGACAAACGCGAGACGCCGCCGCATCGTCCCGGGTCTTCATTCGCCGCATTTCGACGAAAGCGCCAAGGAGAACTCACGCCCAAGTCCTCCTGCGGGCTGCTCAGACGGCGACCGAAGAGTATCGACGGCACCTCGCGGAAATTTATGGAACCCGCACCGCGTGATATCCACAAGGTGAATAGCGTCACGCCTCACATCGAGATGCCAGCTCCCAAAGTCCCCACGTGGAGCCACATAAAGGTCATGGAAGATAAGGCTACTAACTGGATGGCGAATGATATTCAGCCCGCATGGGAGCAATACACCGATCTCGGTGGCCTGACCGAGTTGAGACCCCGGGGACCTCACAGACCGCCGCCGAGGTGTAGGCCGACACCGATGGTACGCCTATAGAGTAGGCGGGATGGCATTATGAGGTATATGAAGGACTGTTAAAGGGACTATAGATTACGCCTTTTATGGTTAATGGTGATACCCATTGGGGAGAACTCGGCTCCCTCGTTAGGCGTTTTAGTTTGGTTGGTGCGTAATAATTAGTAGGTGAGAGTCCTAGAATAAGATGTGTTAGGGGTGCAAGATTTGTGCCATCGAAAACATTCAAGGCAGGTTAGGATACGGGACACTCGCAACTAGACCGAATACAGCTTCAAATGTTAGTTTGTCAGTTTGTAATATACATACACGTCTAGCTTTTGCAATCTACGACAGGACTTGGGTATATTCCATCACTAAACCCCTTACGCCCACTTATGGTTCCCACACACCCGACTTATATTTTCGCTGAACTCAAATAGGTATCTCTCGCTCATAACTAAACTAATCGTTTACTCGGACTTGACAGCAACTCCGGTCGAAGCAGCTGTCAGGCCATCTATGATTTCACTTCCCATGATGTAAATGATGTAAGAAGGGAAAATAAGCCACAAGCCGCTGTACCATGTCAGTCAAGTCGACGCTAGACGTCACGGTAAAGGGGGATTACTTACTTGGGGATAATCCACAAGAGGACCAAGTCCTGCAGGCTATTATGCCCAATGTTATCAAAACCGGAGAAGTACTCCTGAAGCCCTATTAAACGACAACCAGCACGTCAGCAAACCGCACCAAATAACCAACCAACAGACAAACAACCGCATATATAAGGTATATATATATATGAGATCCAAGACTAAAGACCAAGCTATCAAACTCACAATACAGCACCGTCTTACTCAACGTCATAACGGCCGCACTAAACGCCAACACGACGGCCAGCGCCGCCGGCCGGCCGCTCAGCACGCGGGTAGCGCGCCCCGCGACCGCCGCGCCAGACCCGAGGTAGATGTACACGTAGACGAGGTACATGGCGGTCTCGACGACGTTGAGGGCGCCCTGGGCGGACGTGAACCCGTTGCGCGCGTGGAACGCCTTCCACCCGTACACGTGGTCCACCTCGCCGTAGAGCTTGTACGGCGCGTATACCGGCCAGTGCAGCGGCCCGCCTTCCATCGTTAGGGGCCGGAGCAATACGTATCCCGAGTCCCAGATCACTAGGGGTAGGGATATGGCGAACCAGAGTAGGGTTAGTTGTGAGGGGGCGTGTGCCCAGAGCTTGGACGGTGCGCCGCCGGCGGTGGTGGTGCCGGTGGTGCCAGTGGTGGTGGCAGCTTTGCTGGCGGAGCGAGTGGTCACCATTTTCAGGTTTCGATTTCTTTTTTTCTCCTTCTGTATTTAAGCTATTTTGCTTTTGTTCCGCGGGGTTCGAGTATCCTACCGATCGTCGTTGGGTGGGGGTATATTCGGGCGGGCAAGTATATATATATCGACGTAGGAAGTTCCTAAATACTTCTCGATGTTTACGTTTCGCTTCGCGTGTAAGCAGTTGAAGGCAAAGAACCCTAAATAAAGCAAAGGAGCTTAGCTTGCATATATTGCCTTAGGTACCTAGGGTAGGTACACTGGCAAGGCAAGGCAAAGCAAGGCCAATTCCGTATCCGTATTCCTGTTGGAGGTGGTAAACAGATGCGGGGAACCGACGAAACAGCTCGGATAGAAATCGTTCCACGACCTCGCGACCCACAGATGTGATAGGGTTCCCTTTTTAGAAGGTACCAAGACTGGGGTATACTAGTATATATGTCTTAAAGTAAAGTATTCGTTATATGTAGGCGTCTAAGTTAAGCAATAGATGTCAAGGGAAAGTATGTATTATAATATAGAGATAGAAAAGAGCTACTATTATTTGAATTAGTAGCAGGGAAGTCTCTAATAAAAACAATACTAGAGGGAGTTAGTCCCTAAGATAGGAAATGTATAATACCAGATGTCGTAGTATATGTAATTGTTGTGTAGAAAGTACCCAGCTAATGGCATCTTACTGGATACTTATAAGAGGAACTAGTTTAGCCATTGAGTTAATCTAGGGGTTCTAAGGATGTATTCAAGTTAGATAAAGGACAGAGTATAACATATCAAATCTATATTCCTAATACCTCTACAGGACGTGACCTTTTAGTGGAATAGTATATTGAATTGAGGCTGACCTCGGCCTACTATACTTAGTAGTTAATTCCATCTAGTGCTTCGCAAGATGAAAATCCATGGTTGAGGGCACCGTTACGGTTCGCTATGAGTCTCAAATCAAGCCGCTACTAGCCTTATGCTCTACAGTTTATTGCTTCGACTCGCTAAGCGTATTACTTCCCATCAAAGCAGCGAAGATGATCCAGTCCACCGGATACGTTAACACGACTACGCAAGAAAATGCGAACTGATATACGTGTGCCGCCAAAGCGTGATACACCGGAGGGTAAGCACCACAAAAAAAAAGGATTGGCGACAAGCACAAGTCATTCTAGCACGCAAATATGACCGATAGCAAGTGAGCGAATGTAAATCGGTTGATTAAATCGTGCGATGTGTGTGTAATAAGAAAAAGGGAAGAAATCGTCAAAGTCGGAAAAGCGGGCGCCGTAAAGAAAAGGGCGATGGATTGAATGTTAGGTCATGTGATTAAACAGGGCCCGCTAACTTAGTCAATTTCCTTCAAATTGGATCCTCTTTATAAAATTTTCCTTCTTAAACAACATTCATCAACAAAGTCGCATTTTCAGACTCTGAAGATCATATACAACCAAAAGATATGATAATTGAAATCTCCCTAGAATATGGATCAGTAAGAGCTACTATCGAATCAATTCATTCATTATGAGCTCTATCTCGTCGCATCTCCGGGAATTGGTAGACAAGTGTCCCGTATCGATTATATCTCGACATTCAAGCACAGTTGATTTTGTTATTTATATATAACCCACAAATTGCCTACCTCTCGCGACTCTCAATGCGCGGGAGCGTCAACTTCTTTTTTATCGTTCAATGTGGGAGAATAATCCAAGGCCTAGACAGCCGGTCCAATCCACCCTGCTGCCGTAGAATGAGTGCGGTAGCGGGACTAACAAGGACAAACACGCCATTTACTTGGAAATTATTTAATTTGATTTGACGAGTAGATATAATTAGTATATTTTTACACTGGAATAATTTTATATAACTTTATTGTACAATGCGAATGAATATTAGCCGTCTATGGATTTCCAGGAGATCCATCGTCTATATTGCTATCAAATCCCGATACTAGATCGCCCCGAGCCTTTTCTAGTTGGCCCGGGAAACTCGAGTCCTTGAATGCAATGTTAGCGCTACCGAAATCGAACGCTACAAGCTTGTCTCGAAGCGCGGTACTCGGAAACCCATTGTATGAGATCAATGCGCCGTAGAACCATTTTCCGGTGTCGTTTTCGATGTTCTCGTCGCCCTCATTCGCGAATCGGAAGTCATGCGTGCCGATTCCGTCCTTGTTGTACACAACTTTAGGATGTGTGCCGTCCCATCGGACATCACTGGCGCTCTTGACTTGGTAGTCGCCATGTTGCGACACTGCTACTACTTTGGCCTCGTCGTTCTGGACGAAGACGACGACGTGCTCCCAGTCGTTGCGGTGTCCGGGGTCGAGGGGGAAGTTGGCGAGAGCAACATCCTTCTCGAAGTAATAGTCGTATAAGTATGCGCACCATCCATTATTACACCGCGCTCGAGAGTACACATTGTTGTTGGCGAGGTCTGAGGGGTCATGACAGCCCGAGGATAAACCAGTATTTTTATGGTCGAGGCCTGGATTTATGTTGCCGTTCGCATCGATGGCTGGCGTGTTATAGCATCCATCGGTATCGAAGTCCATTGCAGGTTGCCATCTAAATATGGTTCAGCGTCTATGATCATGTATAGTACTTAGGTAACCATAGAAATCATCCGGGACTCACTTCTTGTCGTTGGCCGTAGCCTTCTCCGGTAGCGCCTGTGGAGGATCTCGAGCCACAAGGTGTAAAAGATGCTCGATAGGACTACCACTTACTACTGGAGTGGTAGTTGCCATCAGCAAAGCCAACCCTGTGGTGGCGAGGCTCTTCCGGATAGACATTCTGATGGACAATTTTCTCTCTACTTCGGACAAGAGTCGAAATGGCTGACCTGGTCCATCAAACTAGGACTCCAAATGGGAATTTCTATCTTCTATATACCCCTTGCCAAGTTACTCTCCTGTCCGATGCTACACTCAGTTTCTCCATTCCCTCACGACATGGTACTGGAGCAGATGGTAGACGACAAGCTAGGGCTTGGCCAACTTGAACAAGGGTCTCCCCCAGGGGCCGACACGAGCCGCCTTCCTTGTTTGGAAATGCATGAATATTCACGTCACCCTACTGGACCTTGCTCAGGGTGCACTCTTATGCCGCGTTCACTTAAATCTAGCAGCAGAGAATCGTCTAAGTTTAAATTCTCTCTCATATGTCTCCTATCAATTATACAACGTGCTACTGTTTAAACTGCAGTACAGCCATTCACAAGATACACCAATCGTTTCTTAGTATAACATCTTAAGATCTAGTTAGTTATAAGCAGTACTTTAACTCTTCTGCCAAACTCCATACTACCTCGTATGCTGTATAAGGAGCTCGAGTCCCTTGTTCACTTCAATCATGCAATCCGTCGCATCAGCTATGTATGGCGGTATTGCCGATCTTGAGGCTGAGTTAAGCCCCGAGTATCTGACCGATCTCAAGTTTTAAATCCAAAAAGCCCTACCGGCACCAGAGCTACCCAGAGTTTAGAAATAGGATCAGCTCGGCTCCACTTTGGCCTCCTTCTACTTATGTCCATGGCTGGACCCTGCAGTTGATACTGCATACGGACGCGAGCGCGGGTTTTGTCTAGATTCGTATGCCGGATCCGTCTCCCCACACGACATCACAACATGATATCTACCATAGTATGGGAGGTAGATTTCTAGGTTAGACGAGTACCTGCAGTTGTAACATTGGCTTTTCCATTTCTTCATTGGCCATTAAGTTCCACGTGTAGCGATCTACCATAGCTAATCGTAGTCCAATTCCACCCTAAAGCTTTGTAACTCCACTGAATGGCGCATGTGTTCGGTAGACGGATTGGTATCTCCAAAAGTCCCTAACTACCCCATCCTGTCGGTGTTGCCATTGGATAGAACTCCACACGTGTAGTGACCTAGCGATATAAACAGTTGCTTCGCATGGCGCTATGTCTGACGCGTAGGCATATTGCATAGTTTTAAGCAACCAAGCCGAGGCTAGCAATGTAGCATTATAATGAATTAAAATACTTACAATATCAACGTACTAACTACCTAAGATAGCTAAGACGAAGATGATAACTTGGCACTATCAGTGTTATAGCAATACTAAATACCTACGCGCAAGTAATTGCTGTGTATCTGCAAAAGGAGACATGTAGAGGTTCAAACTTACTTGTCTTACGACTAACATGGTATTGCAATTGTCAACGCTTAGAAGAGAGATAAAAGCAAACTCAACGCTTGTAATTCCAGAGAAACATGCGCCTATAATAAAGATAAATACTAATAACAATACTACCGAGGCTTCATAACATATCATGTCTTTATTGCTCACAAACAGACATAAATCTATCTTTTCTCATACATAAGCGTCGTCGTCATCCCAGGGTATACTACACACACGATTTCCCCCAACCGTCCCGTTGCTCCGGTTCCAAATCGTACAATAGCTAAGTAAGGTAAGCAACCCGCTAGCGAATATATATATATACATAGAAGCATAGAGGGCAGAGCAGTTAGTTGATAGCGACCTTAGTATTGGCCGTCGAAGAGGTACTTCTCGTCCGTAAAAGACAGCAGAAACCGCGCTACCAGGCGGCCCGTGTAGTTCAGCGACACGTCGCGCGGGAACGGGTGGCCCTCCTGGTTAGGCAGGATGGGGTCCGCGACGAGGAAGTCGAGCTCGGCCCCTGTTGCAGCACGGATCCGTTAGCAATGCGTTCGGTTTTACTTGGAATTATGTATGTATGTATGTAGCTAAGGGGTAATGAATAAATAAATAAAATAAAATAAAATAATAAACTTACATCCGTCGCCCTGGAGCAGCTCCTTTAGCGAGGCCACCATCTCGGCGGCCGGGCCGTCGAGTTCGTCCATCTGCGCAAAGTTGGCGTCGGCGAGGGGATTGAAGGCCTTGGCGCCGGTGTCCCGGGTATGGGTCTGGTAGACCTGGTGGAACTGGTACGCGAACTGCTTGAAGGGGAGGTTATCAATGTCGCGGCAAAGCGTGAGCGCGAAGTCCCGGCGGTACTCGGGTTTGGAGCGGTTGCGGATTGAGATTTCGTTCTGCGAGATGACGAACGTGTCGGCGGCCGTCTCTACCGTCTCCATGAACAGACACAGCACCAGGAACGCGGCCAGACACGGCGCCCACTCGCGCCGGAGCTTCGGCTTCAGCGACTTGGAGAACCCGTCGAAGAGCGCCTGCATCTCCTTCAGCAGCATCTCGTCGAGAACCGCCTTCACCTGCCGGTTCAGCACTCGCGACGTCAGCCACGGGTTGCCTCGCGGCACCATGTTCGTGTCCTGCAAGCTGACGATCGTAGCTTCGGTGAGGCAGAGCTGTCGCGTGAGCACGTAGTGTGTGACGTAGATACTCAGTGCGCGTTTCACCATCGCCACCTGCGAAGACTAATGTAGAGTCTCGTTAGCCTAGGCTCGCCATTTTCGGGATTGGCTAAAAGTAAGAGATGTTAGAATTTACCTCGGAACGTTGCGCGAAGCGCTGTACAATCGACAAGACTTTCCGCGGTACTTGGGTCGATCGGATGGCATCCGTTACCTGCTGGGCGTACATGGGCTCAGATGTGAGGTTATGGATGTACTCGCGAGCCCGTCTCTTCAACTCCTCTCTCTGTGTCGAGTTTTCCGGGTCGATACCAATCGGGGCGGCGCCTCTCGACTGTAGATCCATCTGGTTTATGCCCATGTTCACGTGCCAATGCTGAAGGATCTCGGCGGACTTAGGGGTGAAGAAGCTGGCGGGAATGGTGAGGGTCGAACCAAAATTAGAGCCGGAAAAGAGCTCGACGGAGCAAGTGACTTCGGCGTTGTTGGGCTTGAAGTTTTCCACGTTCTCGTGGATGAAATTCGTTATTTGATCTTTTTTGAAGTGCGTTCGCATAAACTCTGGGAATAGCACCGGGAGGAAGTCCCCAAACTGCCAGCACATTATCTGTGGAACTTGTGCGGTGAGCTTCTTGCAGTTCTTACACGGCCGCTCTTTGTCGCACTTCACTTTGCGGCTATAAGCACATAGGTGAGTGGTCGTTCACTAATACAAAATAGAAGATAGGTGTAAGGGAAGAAGATACACACCTGTGGCAGCAAAAGCAAGCCCCTAATCTCCGAACTTGCAAGGCGCTCTCCTTGGTCTCATGCGCCAATGGCCCCTTTCTACCTCTCTGAGTAGTTCGCATAGCCTCGAAGCATTCGAATGGATTCGGCTTCCCTGACTGTTGGTGGATGAGGTTCGGCGTCATGATGACGAATTTGCTCGACGCCTCCGCCTTCCTCTTCTCAACCTTGTAGCCGCCGCTCCTTACTTTGCGTATAGGGCTTGCGCCCTTGCTGGGTTCCGCTTTGACGTACGGAGATCTCGGGCTCGACTGAAGAGAGCTATGCGTTGGAGATCGCTGCTCTGGGGACTGGGACGTTATGCTGATGACCTCGTCACCTGCTACCGGCGAGAACCCTTCATTCTTCAGGTTCGTAGGCGCCCACGGAGGAACGTTGTTGTCGTTCTGGAACTGGGGTGGGATGTTGAGCTCAGCCGTCTGAGTCGGCATCTCGAAACCACCTATCCCTGCCATGTTGGCGGTCATGTTACCCTGAAATGTAGAGTAATATTGGGTCATATCTATATCTACAGCATTGGAGTTAAAAATGACGTTCGAATTGCGACGTGCCAACTCCTCGCGCTGGGACTCACTCGTAAACGGCTCGTTAAACATCAAATCCTGCTCACTAGCCATGAACGGCTGCGAGTCACCAAAGTTGGACAGCAATTGGCTTTGCATGCCTGCGGTCGCCATTACAGAGGCATCCGTCGCGTGATCGGGAAAGGAACTAGAAGGCACCACGTGGGAGTGGTCGTGTTCTAGTTGGAGAGGAGACATGGCAACGGGTGAAGCTTGGATCTGGTTGGGATTCATCCCAATGACCCCCCAGCTTTGCATACTCGAGCTAGAAGGACTGGGCATAAAACCAACAGAGGCCGAGTAAGACTCTACACGTTGCCACGAGCCGTCGGATTCATCGCCAGATTCCATGTGGGGGAAGCTATGCTTAGAAGACGGGGAGGCGGATGCGACTGAAGCCATGGTGGTGAAGTCTCTCGTCTAGAGCGATTGTAATTCGAGAAGCGCATGAACCTAATCACTCATATACTTATTAATAATAGGTGTTCCCGACACGCTGAATCCTCCTCAGTCGTGCGGTTGGGGGGTTCGGGAAGTACGATAATTGCTGAGACTTTTGTTTGCCGTGGGGTTTTTTCGTACTACGATGATGCAAAGTTGGTAGCCGAGCAAACAGTTTTAACTAAGACAATAGAGCTATAGAAGAGTTACATAGGTAGACAAGGGGTAGACAAGGTAGGTATGTAAGATATGTAAGATATGTTAGGTAGAGAGAGCTTAGAATATGGAGCCTAGTATTAAGATAAATAAATAAAATCGGGGGTCGCCGGTATAAGTTATTCGACGACTTGTACTAGAAGAAATCCCGACGAAACCGCTCGGTAACAGATAGGCGTTGACGGATAAGTTTTTGATTCTAGTTTTGATTTGATTCTAGGATTCCACCCTTAAAGAACACAACGTCGAAACAGCCTTGAGGGGCTGAGGATAACAGCATATATGAATATCAAGCTCCGCCACGTTGGCTGATTGGGTACTACATATACTGAACTATGCTCAATTGGATGACCGACGGCAACTTGATGTGATAAGTATATAAAGCGCTAAACCTATTTTGGTTTTCGGTGTTGATCCTACGGCTGGGATCCCATAATGCGCGGTTATGTACCACATACATGCAATATTTGAAGGGTGGTAAAAATGCGCTTTATGGTACGGATATGTTCATACCAGTATGCCTACTTGCCTACTATTACACAAGTCTTTATACATTATATAAGAAAGAGTCCAGTCGGAATGAGCGTTTAACGTAGTGGTGTGTGTGGTGTAGTATCGTAGGGAAGGCTTTGTATTCTTGCGTATTCTTCCATGAGACGAAGTATGTGTATATACGAAGATATACATAACATAAGCTGTGGCTGGCTGGCTTACAATGTTGAACCAAAAAGGGAAAGAAAAAAGGGTTGGATACACAAGAGCGAGAACGCCCACTACCTAAAGAACAATGGTAAGGGGCGAGCGATTATGGATTCTAGAAATCTAGATAAAAGGACTTAAAGTCGGAGGGTTCATAATATGTTTATTCTTCGCAGGGACTTAACAAGTTTATATATTCAAGTCTTTCGGGTTTTATAAGATCGAACCCCATCGCTATACTCATTCACAAGACTTAAGTACCCAAACTATAATCTCACAGTGACCTGAGAGTCTGCCTGAGGCAGAATTGTTTAGTATAACTGCAGGGATATACGCCCGAATTATATTGAAGCCACCGCATATTTGCACAGTTGGGCGAAAGATCTGACGCATACTATGTGCGACTCTTCGACCCAAGTTTTTCCATACTTTGTGCCCAACAATACAATAAAATGCCCATTCGTCCAATCCCAGCTATGGCATTTATAATTTGGCCGCCCAAAACCACCACCCAAAAGTATTGTGAAAGACAAGAATCCCATCTAGCTTACTCGCTTTAGGAAGAAAAATAAAAAATAGCAATAATAAGCAGATAGCAATACATCACCATGCTTTGCTTGTTCGTTCGCTGCCTTGAAAATGAGACGAGTCTATCCCACTTAGTAAAAAAAAAAAAAAACACTCTTGAGATTGCCGCTCCAAGAACTGAATCAGACACTACCGTATCGCCTCGAAACGCAGGACAATGCCTCCCCTCCGCATACAGCCCTATGCTGTCGACGAAGACAGTAAATCATAAGAAATCATGAGTCATTTCATCCCACGTACCAGTGGTCTCGTACATATCTTTGTGAACATATCATTCGGGGGCAAACCCAGGCATTGCCCAAATGGCCCTGAGGGCAAGTCTCGCTAGCTGAAAAGCTTCGAGAGTAAAACGTTGTTATCATCGGTTTATAATTCCAATGGTGTATATGAGTGAGTGAGTGTGTCCTTCAGCGGAAACGTGCTGACGCCGCAGCGCTTCGCTCCTGAATCTGTTGCTCGGTTGAAACGTATAGTCTGTCCAGGTAATCCATCGCGGCTGCGTCCTTAAGAATCTTCGCAACCTGGATACCGGCACTGATTAGTTGGAGGATATTCCGGTCATCCTTTAGCGGGCGGGACTGATGCTTCGCAGCATGCCGCATCTCCAACGAATTTTCCAGGATTGTCACAAACTGCTTAATCTGTCCGTTATAAAGGACCCGGGCCGGGATTCGCCTCTTAGTCGCGAGGCGCTTGAGTAAGTAAACCCATTCGGTCCATTCTCTATCATGTGGTCTCTCGACTGGCCTCATATCCTGGGTCAAAGGAATTGGAAACTGGTATTTTGCAACAAAGTCGAACGCGCACTGCGAGAGTCGATCGTTGACTTGCGTCAGGACACTATCCTGTTCTTGCACCAAAAGATTTGTAGGGAGATGAGGAAGCTCCCTTTCCTGCATAGCCACATAATCTGCCGGGGGCCTCGCTAGGTATTGATGAGGTCCATCAAACTCGTCTCTATTAGAGGGTCGTCTCTGAGGACGACCCTTACCACTGCTCTTAGACTTTGCTGCTGGCGCAGAACTTCCGCCATTATTATCCAGGGCATAATCCGATAAACTGGGAGACGCAATAATATCATCAACAGAATCCGTTGGGGAGTATCTGCTCGGTCCGTCCCAACCTTGCGAGCCTGTGCTATTGTACGATCCATACGCTCCTCCGGAAGAAGTTCCATACGGCCCGGACTGCGCTCTCGAGATGTAAACCGGCGAGGAAGAGTATGCAGACTGGTGCCGGCCGACTGGACCACTGGTCCCCATCATCGACACATTGGCTGACGGACTGTATGCTGAACCGCACCCGGACGAGTATATCACACTTCGGAAGCCAGTGTTATTCCTATAGTCTACAAAATAGGGGGGATTTCTCATTCGCCCTTACCTTGAGCTTGAGTACCCGTTCTCACGGGTGCTACCTGGATATATGCTGTCATTATAAATGACGCTTGAGGAAGTCAGCTTGACCGCAATAACAGAGACCGATAACATGATTCAATGATCGCACCTGCGGGAGGGATTCCAGGATCCGTTCGACATGGCAGAAGTTCGGTAGGCTACTTCCTGATGGGCCATGATCCTCACAACTTCTTTGGGGGGGGGACAAAGAAAAAAAAAACGTGGCCGACGGGGCGGAGAGATTGTGAGATAAAATAAGAACTGCACTAGCTCCGGTAGAAGCTAAAATACCGGCGATATACGCCTGGCTCTCTATAAGAAGGGCCCCAGAAATACCCTTTTTTTTTAACACAGATTCTAAGTCTGGGTCCCCAGGATCCACGGCGGATGTCCTTTGCAGATTAGGCTGGTTCGGTTCTGGAGCGGTGAATAGCGGATGCGCTGCTGGCCGGGAAAGGAAATGGGAGTCAAGTGGCTCGGCGGATTCGGTAGCAACCTCGGGAGGACAACATAGACACAGATGCGAAGGGAATATCGCATGCTCCAGTATAGATGAAACCTCAAGGGAGTATGGAATATCTTCACCTTATTCCAGAGAAGGTAAACCCTCGGTAGAATTGTGCCTTTAAGCTTGAGGACCGAGACGTGGACACTTTATGCTATAACGAGGTCTGTCGAATTTCGCCACCGCGAACGGATCAAGATGTGATATTTGGGTGACGAGGCGCGCCGAGCAGGGCAGTCCCCAGAACCGAATATCAAGGGGCTCGCCCCAGCTCTAACTCAAACAATGGGGCTGCAACGTAGGTTCAAGGCGGACCTCACGCGCTGCGAAGTTAGTTAGGGATGGAGGTATAGGTGCCGTCTCGGGCGTCGACCACCGATTCGATACGGGGCTGGACGAATCGACCAATCCTTAATTAGTCAAGATCGACCAACGAAGCAGTTTTAATAGAATTGTAAGCCAGATGACGGGGTTCGAAAAAAGTAGCTATGAATGTCCAGGAACACCCTGCCTATAGTGCGAGCGTGCGAGCGTTCAACAAAAAAACGCCGTCTCCAAACCATGATAATAACACATAATAGACCGACCACTCAGACGGAGGGATGGAAGAAAAGCCGTAATTGGCTGTTGCAGCCCAATCACGGTAGGGCAGCATTGGGCAGCTGAGAACTAAAAAAGAAGTGTCCAAAGTGTCCAAAGTGTCTAGAGTGTCCCTCTCGTTCCTGCTTGTCCGTCTTGTTGCCCAAAGGACTGCATTCTTTCTGCAGTATCTGCAGTATCTGAAGGGGTATTAGCCTAGACTATTGCAGGGAAATTCCTGGTGAACGAATAGCGGTGACCCTCCGAGGCGGGCTATTTGACTAGATTGGGCAGAAAAGCGTTGCACGAGCGTAAAAGCCCAACCCCAACCTAGGTATGTATGGTGCAGTGCAGGTACGTTGCTGCCCGGAGCATTCCTATCCAGAGTTTACTGATGTATTGTACTATGGTAATTGTATTGTAGCCCGTCGAAAGGAGGAGGTCCGGAGCGCGAATATGCATCCATAGGTACGAAAAGCAAGCATGTGGGAAGGGGGGAAGGGGGGAAAAGGGCGACGTGTGCTTCTCTGCGAGCATGTGAGTTGGCTCGCCGACTACTTACCACGTATTCGGATCCCACACCTTGGTATCGTCATTTCATAGTAGTGCCTAGACTCTACAATTATTGGGGTTACTGGGACTATAGATTATTGGGGATTATGGGGTATGTATGTATGTAGGGGGAGGGTCGGATCGCAACGAGATCAATTACTGTGATATTTTTTTACCACTTAGATGTTGCGGTTGGTTTAAGAAGTTGATGGAGATAAGATCATATCGAGATGAAGAATTGGAACTTATAGAACGCATTGACCATATATCCTAGTCGGATAGGTACCCCATGGGCCTCCGTAGTCCGCTATCGTAGTCCGCTATTTTATTTCCTTAGAAGGCACCTAAGGGATTAATTCGGTTGATCTTCTCAGCTATAAAAATGCGCTAGATACGGCTAAGTAACAGAGCTTTAGTTGTCAATTATAGGCATATGATATGGGTGGCTTGGGAGAGAGGTAACTAAAAACCTGTTAAGATTTGCTTTTCGCCCGTCTTACACCACCTTTACAACTAACACGAACCCACTGCGGATGCGAGGAGTCTCATTTCTCAATGTAAATAAAAATTGTACCTCTCAGGAAATTATACAGAACTACACTCCAAGATACCTAGGTAAACGAAACTTGGGTCTGAAGAAATGGGCTCGATCTTATGCTCTCCCATATCGCCTATAACTCTGGGAACGTATAGTAACCTCTTGATCTATCTCTCTGCCCTTGTATCATGACAGGTCAATTAGATGGATTATGTCGTACGTTGATATGTGCTCCACTGGAGTACCTATGTATATGGATCCCGACATACATCGCTCTCGGATGTGTTCCAGAGAATAGAAATTTTAGGTGCGTGAGATTGTAGGGTATGATGAATGACCCTGCCATGCTTGGACGAGCGGTATCTTCCGAATATAATTGGCCAGCCACGGTATGTCAGCCCTATATAGGATCTGGAAAGACTCGAGAATGTAGGAAGGCTGACTGCTTATCCATTGGAAACTAGTGTTGTCCATTGCCGTCTCTAGAGCCGTCTCCCACTGCCCACAACTTCTCGGCTAAGGGGAAGACATTGGCTTGGCATTATGCGAAGATTCTCAGCTATAGACCTATATCTTCGACTCTTGTAGTCCTAGCTGGTTCTAAACTTGGCTAATGTATCTGCTACTATTATTTCATAAATGGCGGCTTATATTTACGTGAAGCAGTAAGACGGCCAATGTGCCAAGGTAGCAATGAAGAAGTAGAGAGGTGTGTAACAATGACGAGCAGTCGGGAAGTATAAAATGTCGCAAGCGGCCATCCGGCATATAAAATGCAGAAGAATACCTGCTCACACGTGGTAACAATTCCTTTGGGTCGGATAAGATGGCGAGCCTCTTCGTCCACGACTTACGCGACATATCAGCTGAAGGGATTTTGTTTCTTCTATGACAGTCGCAATATGACCTATAACCAGACCCTGGCAATAGTTACATTATCCAACCCTTAGATATGAGATGATTGGCAAAGAGAGGCTTTCGGTCGGAAGAAAAGCCGGATAGCGGAATGTGACATTTTGCCATCTTACTAAAGTATCGACTACCTACATCAAAAGACCCCTTCCCCAGCTACGCTAGCCTTGTTATAGGAGGTAGGTTAGATAGGACTTGACGCACGTAGCGACATGTTAATCAGTATAATAATGCTCTTCCGAGTTGAGTATTCAACTAGGTAATACTGGCTTCTTAGCTCAAACACCGTTCATAGGATCACACGATACTTCTTTAACATCTTACAAGGAGTACCAGCCTTACATTAGGTAAGTTACCAATCGAGATATGGGGAATCCCTGGTTCCATAAATTTAGAAAACGTCTGCCTATCCGCAGGCCCCGGGAGTATTATAGATGTCAAAATCTATTAATAAACCTGAGTCCGGTTTTATATCAATTAACTTCTTCAGCTAAAAGCATTTACATTCGTACAGAAACTAACCTGTAAAACGAGACCGGGAATTATCTGAGCAAGATACTTTGAATCGATATCACCGTCTCCTTAATCGAGTATTGCGTGATGGTGTTATGTAACCTGTAAGCTGAGCTTTGTACCTAATGTATGTAATCTTACACCATCGTTATTAATAAGAATCTGGGCTGAGCACTGACCAGCGGGATCTAGCCATAGTTGAGCTCTGACAGTGGGTCTTTTTGGAAATACAATGCTACATGAGGGTAGGATTCGACGAGAGATGGGGAATGGTTCAATGAAATCATCGCCCGCAGCCAGGGGTTCATTCGCTCTGGATCGAGGAAATTCGTCTGCCTGACGAGGTTATTAATCATATATTGACATGAGAAAGGGTCACACAAAGGTATGTTTTATGACCGCGCGTATTCCCCTTTTCTCGTGATACTCCCTTTATATTTACGAACTTTGCATGAATACGATGGCTGAATCAGCTCCCACAATACAGCGCCAACGTCAACGCAAGTTTCATCGCAGGTCAAGAAACGGCTGTTCCACATGCAAGACAAAGCACATCCGGTGCGACGAGAGAAAACCACTATGGTAAGTTCCTGATATGGTGCTCCGTTTGCCGGCGCGGCATTGTATAGGTAATAAAAGGTATACGAAATACGTCGCCGCAAATTGTGCAGGTGATTGGTGCCCAACACCAACCAGGAAGCGTTACTTCGCGTCTATTACCCGCAGATTCTTCACGTATGCCTAGCCCAATTTATTATGTTGCCTACCTATACGCAGCCTCATCTCCGTCACACTATACTGGTAAAATCTATCGTGAGGCGCTTTCCAGTAAGGCTGACTGTACTGTAGCACATACTGTCTTCGACATGGTGGAGAATGTGGCTACCCGGACGGAGATGCTGAGTCCAGCACCCCGGAGCCCGGGCGTGGGTCCGGATCCAGGGCTGGATCGAGGGAGCCTCACGAATCTGCCGAACCTCGCCTGCCTTTGGTAGACGCTTCTCTAAAAGACCCATTCCTAGGAACCTCGTATGATATGCCCCACAAGTCACGGTCGTTATTCCAACTCTGTAAGTGATATATCTTGATTATGTCCGGCGAGGCGAGGCGAGGCGTGATAGCGGGGACTAACCAGTTGCCGATATCCAGTCGCAAATACAAGGGTACTATACACGACCCGGGTTGAAAGAAGTGCGGATTCATTCATGTGAGTAGATGACCACGAATATGCCTGTGGGGCGGAGCTTGATGCTTGAGAGATTCGGCCTGACTCGTATATGCCTAGTGTACACAAGGCCTTGTCACATCCCGGGTTCCTCCATGCTGCATTGTTAATGACTGCCCTGCATTGGGCATGGTGCACCGGCGATGTCGAGCACTTCCGAGTCCCTTACCTCTATCACAAGCTGCAGGCGATACGATTCGTCACAGACCAGCTAAGGAATCCAGACGCCGCTATCCATGATGGCACAATAGCAGCCGTCTCAAGCCTCGCCCTAGTCGAGGTACGTGCCATTCCAAGAAGAGGGATGGCTTCACTCAGCTTACTAATAACTTTCAGAATGCCTTGGGGTCTGTCGACGCCGTATCATCTCATCTACGCGGGCTCGCGAAAATTAAAGAATTACAAGGCGAGGACAGACGTCCTAGGAAGATGGGCTTGCTTCAACGAATGATCCTAATGTGCGTATAATCAGCCTTGTCCTTGCCAGTGATTAAGGCTGACATACCCTCATAGGGCAGCCAGAAGCGTTTCCAGCCGCCCCGTTTGGGATATCCTGGACATTAGTCGAACAGACCTAGTACACCAGTCCGTGATAATATCACTGCTCCGAGTTGCACTCCGGCCAATCTATAGCCTGCGAATGTTAGGTAGCTCGTACGATTCGAAGGAGCCGCTCTCGGAAATCCTAGCGAGAAAGGCACCTCACTCTCGAGTAAGCGATAGCAACGCCTTATCACCTCTCAGATCAGTCGATAGTAGTAGATCTGGGTTCATAGCGTGCTACTTCTATCTCTACGTAATCATACGTGAAGGCATGGTTGATTCATTCATACTTAATTGGTTCATCGAGCAGTTACTTGCGGACGTCTGCCGCACCGAGATGCCCATGCAGACGGGCCAATATAGTCAGTCGCTCTGGTTTTGGTCTGTTATGTTTGGTGCGTGCGTCACAATGGCGGCTAAGATCAGTGACGATCTCGAGAGGAAACAAATGAAGGTATACCGGGATGTATATTTGGACAAGATCAACCTCGTGAGCCGCGTGCTAAAGATTAAGAATTGGGAAGCGGCCAAGTCGACACTAAGGCTCTTCGCCTGGGAAGACGACTTTGACGGAGAGACGGAACTAGAGGCAGTATGGGAAGAGGCTGTCTGGGAAAGCGAAAAAGTATCCTGTAAATGGTACAGCGGGAAAAACGTCGAATATCAAAAGGCTAGAAATTGCTGGTGAAAAAAAGGTGAAGCTCTGGCTTGCTTGTATAAATGTGTCTGGCATAATAAGATACCGGAATGGTACTGTATATAGCATCGTGCCTGAATCGGGTCAAAGATATATGTTAATACCCTTTTTTACAAACCTGTAGGACACGATAACGATAACGCCGGATAGGCAAAGCCATATCGAGCAAAGATTGAAGCCGTCACGACCGGACCTGTCGGGGAATTGAGAAATATCTCGTCAACCCGAAAGCCGGCCTAGCTGTCCCCAAAACTGCACCCCACACCTACGCAACAAACACACGACCAAACCATCTTTTTTTCTCCTTATGCTTCCGATAATAACCGTCGATGCAGTAGAGGATGAGAAATCCAGGTAGTCTTGATACTACATGGTGAGTATGGGGATTGCAGCTGAAAGAAAATATTGCCCTTTTTTTTTTTCAGTCGGATGGTGCGGATAGCGATTTGTCAGTGGAAATCGAATAGCGGATCGAATAAGACCAGCAAAGCAGACCGCAGCAAACAGCAGCAAATCAACTATCCAAGGGTCCAAGGGTCCAGCTTGAAAATCGTCAATTTTTAATTGTCAATTGTCATACATGACAAGTCAGGGCTTAAGGAAGACTAATGTTGTCCATTTAGCGCCAATTAATCCAATTAATTCATTCGATACCATTGGTTTTTAGTCGATGCTAGATGAGACGAAACAACCACTCGTAAAATTTTTCTTTGTTTTTCTTCCTTTTATTTTTTTTTTATCTTTGCTCACCGACTATTCATCGTCGATAATTTTCAATGCGAAGAAAAAAAAAAACAGGCGCAATTGCACCTACATCTAAATTCTGTCGCTTTTTTTTTTTCTTTCTCTCTTTTGCTCGCCGAGAATCCGAACGAAAGCCAGCTGATGATGCACAATACATATCGATGGTGCAGTGCTGGCAATGAGGGTTTTAAGAAGACGGCTGAATATTACACAAATTTCCGCGACTGGCGCATGACTCTTGCCAGTAGAGACGCAAAACTATGCAGTTCTATGCAATGATGTGCTGGCCTACTTCAGAGACAAGACAACCCCTCGTCAAATGTCGTCATAGCGCATAAGATACGCTCAATAGACTGTCGCCAACATTCAGGGTCCCCACATGGTTACGGACCGAGCACTGCGAACCTATTACGAATGCAGTATCAAAAGGGCTATCAAGGCCATTGCGGCCATTACGGCCATTACGGCCATCACGGACAGCGCAGTTTCTCAGTGGACATGGGAAAAAAAAAGGACATTGAAGGAAGGTGGAGGGAAATTATCAAGTAGCAGTTGCAGAAGTGATCAGCCAGTAGTCTGTTAGAAGCAGGTTACTATCCAGGTCAGTGGCCCACAATTAACCAATTATCTTCAGGTTCGTGGACCTTATCCTGCAAGTTTTGGAGCGGGGTCGATAACAATCTGCACACCCATGAAACTTTTTCCTCTTTTTCCTTGATTTTCTCTACTTTTTGATGGATTTTGCTGGCTTCGCTGATTTCTAACCCGGCGCCAATGTCTAGAATTGTCAAGGGTGGTAGGTCAACGACGGCCAACGGCGTCGATGAAGCACGACACCCTGGCATCGTGTCATCCTATCACTTCTTGTGCGTTGGCCAACCCCATTCATCAGTCTTACCTATGGCACAACAATAAAACCCGAATGTCCCCTCTCTCTGCCCAACATCCATTCTTCACTCCTATTTTCCAGCCCAAGAACCTAACATTTCTGCCCAACCCGAGACCCATTATCACAACTCTCATCATCCCGTGGCTTATTTTTTGTTGCTATACCCAAGACATTTTCCACAGTCCCCCCCACAGGACAACCCATCAGTACCCCATCAGGCCGTGGTTATTAACCCCTTAGGATCGACTGTTGCAACACCTCTCCGTCGACAGAGAAAAAAAACTGTATCCAGTTCAGTTCAATTCAGTTCAGTTGAGAAACCAGTCTCACTGCTGCTCCGTGTCCCCCAGTGTTTTGCCACAGGATTCATAGGGATCATCCGGAGAGCCTGTTACTCGTTTCCATCCCACAAAGGATTCAATGTCAGCCATGGTTGCTTCCCGCCAGGACAACATGTCAGGCTTCAACTCATCTTTAGACATGGATGACGTCCACACTCCTGCGAGGTATATTGCATTGTTTTTTTTTCTTTTCTATTGCCGGAGTATTGGGGTTTGCTTTCTTTTGTCTGAATAACCATGTTGCTCGAAAGTCATGTACCGCGTTGCTTTTCATTTTCTTACTCGCAAGTGCTTCGATTCGTGCTCTGCCAGGATATGACCCAGGACATTCCGTTTCCAGGACAGGACAGGACAGGACAATTCCGGGACAGGATCTTCAAGGGAATGGAGCCAGATGGATGCCGGAGGACAATCTTCCTAGGATTCAAACCGAGGACAATTTCTGAGGCTCCTTGCGAGTAGCCTAGACGATACTTGTATTGTCTAAGCTTGACCACTCCACGTCTCTCAGATGGAAACAGATATTATCAGAGATCAGCTCTCATTAAACATACGGTGAGTATCGCCCGCGAAGAACATTTGTGACAACAGACAACAACCCCAGGATAGATTTCCAAGGACGCCAGTGAAAAGTATTGCATTAATTACCAGACGCGGATAAGGACCCCATCCCATGGACCAGTTGTGAATTGATCTTCGAGCTTTACGGACTTTGCCCAGGGAATTTTAAGTGCGGATCAATGGATTTTCTAGTCATACTTCACCTTCGGATACTTCAACGACAACTCTGGTTCTTCACGAGTGGACGCTCTCGTTTCTGCCGCGTTGCTTCGCACATTCAGTGGTAGTATCGGGCAACGCTTGACTTGTACTCTGGATCTCGGATTTGATCATAGGATAAACGACATTTCGACTTGAGCCAAGGTTTATTTCTCTTCTGGGATCCCCTTCAGGAGCACTATCGCGATGTCGCTTTTACCAGGACCCTAGGGTACACCTAGCCTCTTCGCCAAAGGAACTGCCAACAATCTGGGTTTGCACATCTTGTTGCCTTCTCGACTACAGTACGTATGCCATTGCATGCCGACTTGATCGGCTCATATATCTGATTGACCGCGTGTATGTAACTAACATCAAATTCTTCGTGCTCTAATAGGCACTTCGATCTGGAATTCCCTGGTTTTTATCTAGCCGGATTTCCTTTCTTTTCTACATATGCTTTTTCAGTTTACTGTTTAGGCCAATGCGTTTTCACAACTTGGATCATCCATTTCGGGATTGCATTTTTCTTCTCTGTCGTTTTCTCTGGATCCTATTTTGGATTCTTAGTTTGCACGCGACACTTCAGTCTGGTTTGTACACATTGCCCCTTACTCAAGCCAAAGGTATTGAAAAACTAACCAATATCGCGACAACAGGAACAAAGTTGTGCCATGCTGAAAGTATTTCATTTGTACTTGATTTTGGGGCATATCTTCGTGATTTTCACCACCGGCTAGTGGAAAACAGAACACTAACCTCAACCTCAGTGACTACAGCTCTTTTTCCCAAGGAAATATGCTTGCCAATTCCAGCGGATCTTTTCTTTATTCTCAGACGGGACATGCAGACCACCTCCATAGTTCAGTATGGGACACAACAGCTGAAGGAACACAGAACTTCAATGGAGAAGAGGATTTCCATTTTTCATATGGACAAGTTACTCCCAGACAGGACCCGAATGAAGCCGTGGAAGACATGACCAGCAAATGGATTGCCGCGGAGCAGGCCCAAGCTTCCGCCACAGAGCCCATGCGGAGGATTAGCTCGCGAGGCTCCTCTGGAAGCCACAAGAACAGAACAATTAAGCCCTCTGCTCACAAGAGCCGGCCGAGACTACCTCAAGTCTCGCACATGTCGAATTTTGACATGACAGGTAATCCACAGATGGATGCATATCTCCTCCAGGATTCAGATACCCATTCAGTATCTTCTCAGATGTTCTACCCAACACTTCCCATGAGTGTAAGCCTGTCCGCGGATGGACTTCCCTACTCTCCTGCTGTGCTCTCCTCGGGAATGGCGCAACAGCACATCGACCCAACCCAGATGCAGCTCAACTTCGAGGCTAACCTTACGGGGAACTCGCCTGCTGCTACTACGTGGAGCTCTCTCAGCCCCGTTGATTCTCGGATTTCTACCCCCGGTCCCGGTGAGGACGCGTGGTCTGTTCCCATGGATGCTTCGCCCTCGCGAACTAATGACTCTTCACCTATTATGGAAGGCATTTCGCCAAGGTATGTTAAACAATGTGCTATGACATTTGGAAACACTCTGACGTAGAGAACGTCATTAGCCTCGATCGCCAGATGGGCTTGATGACCACAGAGGACCCCAATGGAGTTGTTTTGCCAGACGATATGTTTGCATTGCCTCCTGCTTTCTCCCGCCGCTCCAGCGGTGACGGTGAGTCTTCTGCTCGGGACCACCCCTTGTACAAGAACGCCTACCCGCAAACCGACGGACTGTTTCATTGCCCATTTGAGGGACAGTCCAGTTGCAACCACAAGCCCGAGAAGCTTAAGTGCAACTATGAGTCAGTCCCCAATTAATTGCCTTAGCCGCGTCTGCAAATCTAACTAAAGTATAGCAAATTTGTCGACTCGCACTTGAAGCCATACCGATGCAAGATCGAATCTTGCGAGAACGCCCGTTTCTCCTCTACCGCATGTCTCCTCCGACATGAGCGCGAAGCTCATGCTATGCATGGCCATGGTGACAAGCCTTACCTCTGCACATACGATGGATGTGATCGTGCTGTTCCTGGAAATGGATTCCCGCGCCAGTGGAACCTTAAGGACCATATGAGACGCGTCCACAATGATAATGGAAATTCCCTCAATGCCGTTAGTGGATCTCCTCCGTCCGGACACGGTTCTTCCGCACATTCGGCCAAGGGTCGGAAGCGCAAGAGCAAGGATTCCGTAGACAGCACCAGCAGCCGCAAGCATGCTTCCAGATATGCTCAGGCAGCAGAGGCAGCTATGAGAGCCGCCGAGCAACCCATGGTAGATGAATGGTACCAGCACCATAAGGCTCTACAGACATACCTCCAGGAATTTAGCGTCCCGGATGCTTTTGACTACTTACAAAACATGTCTGAGGCCAGGGATCATTTGGCAGCCATGGGAAAGATCTCCCAGAAGTTGCTTTCTTCCAACAAAGGGTCCAACACCCAGGACTCGTACAGGCGATCTCACGGACACCACTCTCGCTAAGTGAAGAAAGTATGTGATGATAACTCCTACGATATTTTCTGTTCAATATAGCTAACCTGATATCTCGCAGCCACTAGTGAAACTTGCGGACCATGGATATTTTTTACAAGCCAAGGAATTTGCAAGTGCAGACTTCTAATTTTACTTTAACTTCCGCTGGTCAGGAGACCGCGACGGAGCCTAACCAGGCTCCATGAGGAATATATGGAAAACCACGCTCCAAGCCAAATCCGGCATTGGGACCCCAGGATTCCGGTACTTTCTCTCATTGATTGTAGAGTTCCCGGATTGAAAACTGGAACCAAGGACATGCCAAAGGATGGCGAGAGTTGATCCAGGATGTATATGCCTGAGAAGAAGAGGATATGCCACGAGAGGGCATGATGACCATCGCGGCTACGGTGAAGATCAAAGTAACCGTTGCCCCGATGGTCGATTGTTGAAGATTTGTAACCACAAAATGGTGATAGAGGAGGTCATTATCGGTACAGGCGACCTGAATAGATGGCACTTTGATACTGTGTCGTGGGGTGTTCAATCTAGAATAGCAGAGCTATATTTAGAAGTTTGATATTTTGAAGTGTTTTAGTTAGCAGTCGAAGAACGACTAACCGTCCATAGCCTTGATAAAAGTGTTCCCTTTGTAGCCTTCCGTCTCATAGATATTCTGAAAATCGTGGTTGTCACTGGAGAAAGTGTGAAATATAGACTGCTATGCCCTTGAGAAGTGCCTGCTTTGCACAGGCCCTGGCTCTACCCATCATAACGCTAGAGTATCTGTATATGTTCTCATCGCAAGATCCCGAGCAGGTAACGGCTTTATGTCTTAACTTTATACGAGAATGCAGTACTTGGCAGTATAGCCATGTGTATAAGTACCTACAATTCCTAGTAATCATCGCATAGCGAAGTATAATGTCACCTATACCTCTTACGATACTACATATATATACTATGTAGGGTCAATACTCAACCTACCCAACAGGCATCTATACAAACTTAAGGCTTACTCTCGATATTTTGATAACGAAAGTGGCGTTTTAGGCAGCGGAGATCCGGAAATGGTCTTTGATAATATGGATGGATAGCCCGTACGAGGTCTATTAATAGACCTCGATATCAGGTCCGTTGGTGAAAATGGAGGGTGCGGAAGGGGAAGCGAGCAGAAGCGGGAAGCCGTACGTGCGGTCTCGCAGGTGTAACGTAATACATGGTATGGTGGTAGGCAGAACTTGGAGACTGGGTAACCTTGGCTTGATGCGTTTAGCGATTCGAGATGTATCAGGCGGGGAGTAAGTGTGCTGTGAGGGTTTTGTGCTTGTGCGCTGGTTTGAAGATGGGTAGGTTAGATCTTTGGGCGTTTTGGTCTCTTGCTGGTGAGATCAAGTATAGGTAAGTAGTTACGGGCAATCTACGAGTGATATAGGTCTATGAGATGTCGGCCGTACAGTAGGTAGTGAGTGGGCTTTACTCCTTAAGCTACTCGTTGCGTCTGTTTACACTAAGATCGTTCCTGCGGCCTATATCTGTAACTCACCAGGTCTCAATATGAGCCTCAACTATGATGTTAACTCATACGTTTAAACCATGTGGAATCGAGACACGGAGCTCATCTATTGGAACCGGGGGTGTATCTGAGGTCTCTTCGATTAGATATATTGCTTCTTTCAACAAATCGACCATAGGAGCAAGTAGACCAACTTTAGAAAGACCTCGGATTATAGATAAGACGTCCGGAATAAAGAATCATCTTAGTGTATTTGATTACTGGTCTCTGTGACTTGAGTCTAGAGTTCCTTTCGGAACAGCGAAGTTGTTTCCATGTCTTCTGGGCCCACCTCGTGATAAGGTAGAAAGGGGTACATAGCATCGATGACACCAGATACTTATATTTGGAGGATGGACGCTCCATCTATAATGAATAAGGATCCATAGAAGGCCTAGTGATTTACCGGTGTAATAGGTATGTGATACCAATGTGGTTTTGCTATTAACTCGTGCAACTTAATTACGCATCGGATAACGCCTGAAAATGCCAATATCTAAAGGTGATAATGCCGATATGACCCTACTTACCAATTCACTCAAGAGGCATACCCTATGACGTAGGCTTGTCGTAGCTGTCCATGTCTCCATAGCATTATCTAAGTCGTAGATATGGAGGATTTCACCGAACTCTGATCCTGCGGCCGTTGATCGCCGAGGTAAGGTGTAAGTATGATGACCGCGGAGATATATCGACCACCAGAGAGCCATGCAAAGCACGTTCTGGAAAACCTGCTCCCGTCAATAGCCGCAAGAGAAGAGAGTGGTGGAAGGACTCCTACCAGATCGAACGTCTGTTTCACGCACCGAATCCTTCTGGAGCGGAGCGAGTTGTTTACAGATCCGAGTACATAACCCCTAGACTACGACTACACATGCCTTGAAACCACAATATGCACTACCTTACGCTGTAATGCATACCACCTGGGTTACATACTCCTAGCCCCCCTATGAATATACATAGACATATATGCGTACCTAGGTACATACCAACATAGGTCATTTGACATATGAGGTTTCTTTAAGGTTGCACATCGCTAGATCCCACGCAAAGAGGATGATCGAAGCATAAACCATGTTTATCATTTATTTCTGTTTTTTTAAAGATATCATCCTTGCCGCCTAAACACCCTCGGTACCAAAGTAAGTGAGCACTATGGCCATCATGTAGTGAACCCCTTCCCCTCCTGAAGCGCCCAGTAGGTGAGAGTGATAAGCTGTAGGAAACAAGTGTACCCCCCTAAATAAACGAATCAAAACCTATGCAATGCCCTGATGCCTATTAAACGCCGTTGCTAATGACACTAGAAATATTCCGCATACCGCATAACTATAAGTATAGATTAAGCCAGTTCGGCGCGGTTAGGTATCTGCTGGATAAGCCTTAGGTCATTACCCTCTTGATACATGATGAAGATCCAATCTCTCGGTTGTAAGTTTCCCGGTGATATATCGGCCCCGTAATAGCTTCGAGGGGGTATCTGTGGTGAGCGGTAAGATGTACCTAACTCCACTTCAGGTTCCGATTGCATATCGAGATCGACATACTGGGGAGGTATAATAGGCGGTAATGGTTTATTGAGGTTGAGACGCGGATGACTGGCAGGTAACGTCGCTGAGTGCCGTAGAAGAAAAGACGATGACGACGGTGACTGATCAATAAAGGTCGTAAAAGACGGTGAATTTGTCAGTGGTATTCCATCCCTGACCGTCGTAGAACTACCTTGTCGTAAAGACTTGAAAATCCTCGGGAGATAGGTTGCGAAAAAAGGCTTCATAGCCGGAATAGAAGCACATATCTTGTTATCGTATTAGCGGGAGCGTAAATATATAGAGGATACCATTGGCATACTATACCGAGATTCAGTTCAACAACACTAGTAAGCCAGACATCTCTGCGATTATTGATATCATCGGAATAAAAAATCAAACTCCACGCATAGTAGCTCCTCACAACTCCCGCGGAACTTGCGAGAATACCGAGCCCGAATAGGAAGATAACTATACCGGCTTGCCTAATGGGCAAGTTTAACCCAAGGGCCACCCAGATAGGTAGGAGTACGACGACCCAGTCGGTGATGGTATTGATGATACTAGCTGCGAGCATGTGAGCAGCCCAATCGATACAATGTTGTGGTCGGATCGAATGATCCCAATAGGCTGATAGAGGTCTAATAGATCAGGTAGTTAGATATAAATATAAGTTTATTCCTTGTGTACTGGTAAACGTACATGCATTGGAGAAAGCTGACAAGGATGAAGACGAAGCAATTGATGCCAATAATTCCCATTAATATTAACACGGTAATAGTCACATTACGATCCCTCGCCGCAGTTGTGAGCCGATAGAGCAGGATGAGTATCGATAATTTGGTTAAGCTGGTTGCTAAGTCGAACAGGATTTGGTTGGCGAAACTAGTATGTATTCAGCTTACACTCATGTATATTAGACTGGAAACGAGAGTGGGGTTACATTATTTGTAGGCCGCCGGTAGAGATATCTGGTTCACCGTTCCTATTGCGTTGGTTCCCTTGAATCTTCTCCTCAGTGATAATGCCCATTAAAGTAAATGCGGTAGAGGGGAACTATCGAATACTGGTGAGTGCAATGGACTATAGTGTTATTAAAGCTCCGACATACATATGCCAGTATGATGAAGACATCATCAAGCCCGAATCCTCGAGTTAACCACTTGCGAGTATATAAACGAATGATTAAAGTAATCGTGACCATACTAGCAAGTATGATGCCAATGATCATTCCAAGGTGTCCTTTCGCCTCTGATTTAATATGGTATTGCGTCGAACGGCTAGTGAGAACCGTGATAGGAGGCAGTCGCATATTGTATTTGCACTCTAGCGTCTAGGCCGCGGGACGCTTCGAGAGATGTATTCGTAAAAAGCTTCCAAGGTGACATACACCACCCTCGTGGGGATAGGTAGCCTTGACCAACAAAGGCTTGAGCCACCTTTAGTCGACCGACTTCAGGCTCTTATGATGTCCAACTTATCAACGCAGGAAATCCAAGCCCAATATGTTGCATTATGTGGGTAAATATCGTCTGGGCCAATCCCAGGACTAAGAAGATGTTAGGACAGCATATATGATCCGTTATTTCGAATAGTATTGGACATCCCACGACCTAGACATAAGAGAAGGTGTCAATATGAACTTACTCAATGTAAATAAATAGTTGCTATTGTTAAGTTTTAATCTTACCACGCACCTACGGATGAGATCCTCGATGGCGATAAGGGTCGTCGGAACATCTCAGACATTTTTTTTCACTTGGAAACGGTCCGAGGCAGTTGTGAGTATTCATACGTTTCCTATATTGATCGATAGATGGCTTCTGCCCCCACCACCCGGGGGGCCGAAAATACCATCTGGGGAGAGAGATAACGTAAAGAGCCTGCATATGGGTAGATGGATGCAGGTCACTTATGGCTTGCATACCGAGACCCATGTCAGCCAAAGGGGCGCTTATCAGGTATCAAGATCAGTAATCCGGCGATGGAATATAACAAATCTTTATTTTAATAGTCGAAATTGTAACTCATAGGTGATGTTAGTTTCACATACTTTCGTCCATGTGCTTGTAGATTAGATCGAGATCAACTATACATCTCACGGAACTCGAGAATATGTTAAAAGGAGTGTAGAATCCACATGTAATAACATATAGGGATACCGTCGACAGAGAGCCGCGCGGATGCGTCGAGACTCGGCTCTCCTGTTTAGGTTGCGAGATGGTATCACACCTTTACTTACATAATCTTAATAGGATTGGCCCGTTCGGGGTCTCATACGATCCAACTGTAGACCCGAGCTGTGTGGCGTTTGGTAAGGCACTCAGCATGGAAAGTAACCACCTCCATAGTTCCTAAAAGCGCGTATATCGTACGGGAGGGAACTCGCTTGTAGGATGGATGTTACACCGCAGGAGTAAGTGCTGCGGAATTTCGTGTTACCATTAGCCCATCCCCTTAAATTGATAACTGTTAACCAACAGATCTTCAGCGGATAGGATATCTGTAAGTGATAGAGCTTAAACTTTTACCAGTTCAGTATTTTATATCAGAGACCTGTCGGATAATGGATTTTCAAGTCGTACAAGAAGCAACACGGACTTCTAATATCTGTATCTGCGCAGTATCATATTGATAGATATATACCTGGACTGTCCTTGAACGGTTGAGCCATAGTAAAGCAAGAAATCTGAAAGCGGTTGGTCGAACTGGCTCTAATAGGTGCGAGCTACAGTTAGGATATGAGGCCGGTCGAGTTCACGGGTCCTCGGCGAATAGTCATAAAGCTAGTCGTAAGGCCAGCCATAAGGCTTAGATGACGATTATGATAGACCCAGATCAAGCACTACTGTCGATCCGAAAACGCATTGAAACGAAATCGTACAGACTCCGTACCAACACAAGACCGGCATTGTACCACCCAGCAATACGCCGTAAATAAAGTTGGCGCATACATATTCATGTTTCATAAGAGGTAACAATGGCGTTCTCGTGATTGTCTAAGCCCAAAGCCTTCATGGCGTAGGGGTACAAATCCTAAAACTCGATTGGCTTCTCAAACAGCGCCTCTCGGCTACAGAATTCAGTATTGCGTAAGGCTTGATGAAGATAGAGTTGACTCCTTGGGCTGAAAAATGTAGGGTTGCTGTTGTATTACCGTATGTACGATATTATGTAGCAGGTGACTTGGAAATCATTTCGCAAGCTCTTCCCAAGAATGAGGTTGAGAAGCGAAATACAATATGTAAGTGGATAATAATTGCATTACTTCTACGTATTTGACTCAATTAATCATGTTTAAAGTTAAGATATGCACGAAATGCGATTATGTACCGATTGGATACGATTGGAGGGGTACGTACTATGTAGTGCTTTGGACTTAGCACTCCCCGCTTTTATTCTATGGGTAGCCCACAAAAGTTCGCAAAATCACAAAATTTAAATCCTCCCACTTTCGAAGTTTCGTAGCAGCGTCGCTTTTCCAATTTTCAAAACACCATCCTACGCAGTAATCCTCACCATTAGAGCCCCATCTATTGGAAGACTGTCATCATGTCGAAAATCACAGTCGGTACGTAAATTATAAATTATTTCAACGGAAATAGAGATAATATACTGACATTTCTACCCCGCTACAGCCGGAGTGCGTAACAACGTCAGCGAACTGCTTGACTACTCTCTCAACACCAAGAAGAGGAACTTCCTCGAGACCGTCGAACTCCAGATCGGCCTCAAGAACTATGATCCTCAGCGTGACAAGCGTTTCTCTGGCACCATCAAGCTGCCTGCCATCCCTCGCCCTAACATGAGCATCTGGTATTACATTCCCTGTCTATCATCAAATCAACATTAGCTTACATATGGGATATAGCATCTTGGGTGACCAGCACGATCTTGATCGTGCTAAGCACGGTGGTGTCGACGCTATGTCTGCTGACGACTTGAAGAAGCTCAACAAGAACAAGAAGCTTATCAAGAAGCTCGCTCGCAAGTACGATGCTTTCGTTGCTTCTGAGGCTTTGATCAAGCAGATTCCTCGTCTCTTGGGTCCTGGTCTGTCCAAGGGTAAGTGAAAATCTATACATCACTCGATAGAGATAAATGCTAACGATTCGATTTCAGCTGGTAAATTCCCTACCCCTGTCTCCCACGCCGATGATCTCACTGGCAAGATCAACGAAGTCAAGTCTACGATCAAGTTCCAGCTCAAGAAGGTTCTCTGCATGGGTGTCGCCGTCGGAAACGTTGGCATGACCCAGGATGAGCTAGTCGGCAACATCATGTTGGCTATCAACTACCTTGTTTCGTTGCTGAAGAAGGGCTGGCAGAACGTCGGTAGCTTGACCATCAAGGCTACCATGTCTCCCCCTAAGCGCCTTTACTAGACGCTGTTTCGGCACAATAAGTCACTGGAGGACGTAGTACTGGTAGCACTAGCACTTAGGATTGTAGTCACAGCGCTCAGATAGGGCAAATAAACCAAACCTCCCAGACTAAAACTATGTTCCACGATCGTAATAAATCTCCCATGCGTCTCGTGATCCTGTACGTAGTTCTAGAATAAATAAGTCACGATTGCAGGAATAGTCTCAACACAACCCATTTTCGCAGAAATCTTTTCTCGAGAGCCAGTCTTAATTCCCGGGTCTGGATATCCACTGGAGCTTGATAAGCTGCTAATATGCAAATTTTACGGTAGCCCTCTTTTTAAGGCTATTCCTACAGCAAATTCATAATCAATTACGATGGTTTATTTTCAAATCTCTCAGAAGCCATGAATTGCGTAAAATCGGAAATCAAACACGTAACTAAATATCTCGACAGAAAATGTAGGAAACACCCCACAGTCACGAACCAGGAAGAGCTGGCGTCGGCGGCTGATTAGGAAGAGCGTTTTCAAGTTGATAAAGGAGGCCGGGAACGGAAGGAAACCCATAGAGAATAATATGATAACCCTCAGCAAGCCACCGTAGTGGAGCCTCCTCTGAATTAAATAAACATTTGACGATGTAGATTTAACCCATACTGATGATGAAGAAAAGGAAAAGAAGAAAATTTCGAAAGGCGAGGCGCGCAGAGAAAATATTTAAAGGCCTTTTTCGAGGTGGGGCATACCGTCGGTGCCCACCCAACCACTGGATGGATCCACTAAGTTTGAAATATTGCACGTGATATGATACACTACTAGAGGCTATGTACCTAAGTACCATTTTGTTACTTACATAGACGCGAAGCTCAAGTGTGATCAACTCTTATATTTCATTAGTACTGCTAGTTTTAATTACGGGAAAAAGCCGTCGAAACCATACAAAGCATTATGTGACTTATGATATATGACTTATAATATATCTATATATCTAAATTCCGTTAATGTGGTTGTGTTGGTGGCAAAATACGTCTAAAAATTTTTGATATTGTGTTTATAAACTTTTACAATCGCCGTTTGAAAGAGGCTAGATTTGCTAGGTAGATGTAGCTATTTGTTAGTTTATTGAGATATAGGTTTTCGAATTAGAGCAAACGGGCTATCTTATAGCCGTTGGAGTTTGTAGTAATATAATTTTAACTTAATTTTTCGATATATAGGTAGCTATTTCCTTGCCTTTTTACCCTTTTCTCTTCCTCTCTTCTTCTCTACCTCATCAGCTATTAGTAGCACTTTGCCCTATACTTCATTTCTTTTCAACTTTTATACCACTATTCTCATCTCGAGAGTCAATTCAGGATGGCATCACTGCAATCTCCCCCCCCCCCCTATTGAAATGTCCCCTTTGCCTAACTGATAGGAACCCTAATCATTTTAAAAATTTAAACTTCCTGAGCCTAGCTACCAATATTTCCTTGAACTGAAGCACCGCAAGAAGCTTTTATGTTACTGGTGTATGGCCTTCCTTCGCGTTTGGGCTCTAGCTTCTCGGGATCCGAACCGTCCTTTACACCGGAATTTGTTTACTCCGGAGAACGCTAGAATCTGTCAAACGTGCAAGGAGATGAAACCTGCTGAAGAGTTTCATGTCCTTGATGATGACATGTTTATCTGCTGCTGGGACTGCTGGACCAAAGATGGCGATGACGGCGCGGACCCTAAGGAGTGGCGGGGAATAGAAGCCACGCGCCGACTTCAAGCGTCCGAAGGGCTAGAGCTGTGCCTTCGCGGCTTTGTTCCTGGGTTATACGAACCACTTCCCCATGAATACCCAGCGAGGATACCGTCGACAACTTGGCTCCTAGACGAAGACTTTGATGAATACGCGCTTGATGAGGTAAGTAATCGCTATATTATACCACAAGTTCTGAAGCTCAATAAATGTCACCAATCCTGGACCCGAGCAATGTTGGAAGTTAACGATCCTTGGAGTGATCTTCCTGACGAACCTCCTTCTAAGCGGTTCGCTCAATCACCGCCGTCGTCAAGTTCTGACGGTCGAGACAGACCGATCGCCATACCTGTCGAGGTTGAACGCCCTTCTCCTCCGTTTGAGGAGAAGGAAATGCCTGTCTCTGAGGGAGTCCCCGCCTTTGAAGAGGGGGAGCCAGTCGACGCGGTTCAGATAGATGGTGAAATTGTGCATTCTTCTCCTAAACTGCCTGAGCTACCTACATGCTCTGAAGGGGGGGGAGGGATGCCGCCAGCCAAGCTAAAACTTAAAGTCGGTATCCCTATTATAATATTATGTAATCTAGACCCTGATTCCGGTCTTTGCAATAAGACCTGAATGGTAGTAACTTGGCTAGGTAGGTAGGTATAGTATAAAAGCAAAAATCCTCGGGAGATCTTTTGACGGTACTGAACACATCCTCCCTGGGATTAAGTTAATCCAAGACGATAAGCAACAGCCATTTGCATGGTCTAGACGACAGTTCCTAGTAACGGTGTGTTTTACCATGACTATAAATAAGTTTCAAGGATAGTCTTTTGACGTGATCGGTGTTGACCAGAGAATTTCGGTATTTACTCACGGACAATTTTACGTGGCTATGTCAAGGGTGAGGTCCGTTCAGGGGTTAGGGGTTCTCAAAGCACCAGGAACGAAGTCTGATAGGTTTTTGAATATCGTATATCCTGAAGTCCTTCAGGAATTAGCAAACGACTACGTGTTAACACTATAAAGTTACCTAATCTCCCAATTGCCTATCCGTATACGCCTTGCCGGGTATCATATCCAATCCAAAAAAACCCATCAATCCCAATCGCTAATAATATATCTACAGAAACCTGATCCTTTAATGAACATGATTATCAGAATCATGCTCAAAACCAACTTTGTCATTAATGGGGACTGCGATAGGGCTGCCCAAAACATGGTCTCCGTTGCTACTTGAATTACAATCACTACTACCCAAGCTTGCGACAGACGAAGATAAGTCTGGAACAGGACCAGGATTGGCAGGCGGAAAAGATAAATCAGGCTTCATCCTAATTTCCAAAGCTGTATGGTCAAGCTCGGCGTCGCCATCCCCGAAAGATTTAGAAGTGCTATTGTTGTCGCTGAAGAATGGAGAATAGCTGCTAAGAGAGCCGCCATCGTCAGACCTAGCCCCGTTGCTGTCATCGTCGCCGTTATCGTCGCTATCGCTATTGCCGTCACTGTCGCTATTAGGTTCCAGTTGCCCGGTGCGCGTTGAGAAAATCAAGTTTCTGCGGCGTTTACGAGCAATAGGATACTCAGTATCACTATCGCTGTTTGGCTCCATCTGCCCAGTACGCGTCGAAAAGATCCAGTTTTTACCTAAGTATTCGACGTTATCCTGTTCAATGTAGTCATGGCTTTTAGACATCTGGCCATGGTTGCGTTTCTCGCCAGCAGTTTTCCGATTACCAGTTGCCTTAGATAATAGAGAGGGCAGTTTATTTATAGATAACATCTCCTGCGTCTGCTTTGTGGTACCATCTTTATCCTTTTGGAGGACCAGGACGGAATATAATTCGTCATCAGCATTATCAGCAAACGTTTTAATCACGCCACTGGTAAAAATAGCCCAAGCAAATCGAGCAAATAGTAATTCGATAGGGACGTGAGGAATAGGCTTGCAAGGGCGATTGTGGAACAAAGTATGTGCTTCTGTGTTGGCGTTATAATGCTTTTTTGGTAAAGTAAGGAGATGTGATGTCAAACGGTATCGACTTTCGATTGCAGCGTCAGGTTTCGGTACAAGGGTAAGGAAATTATCATCGAATAGCGTATGAACATCGCGGCGGAGTTGGATTTTGTTACTTACGGCACTATGAGTAGCATTTGGTATCTCCGCGGTAATAAATTGGTGCATCTTATTGGCTTTTAGCCAGCTTTGGGTAGTGGCAGGCATAACGTGGGCTCCCTCAAGTCCTATTAACTGTGCCGTGACAGTGCAAGAAGCGCGTTCTAGGTCGTCGGCAGAATCGGTGCGGGTTGGTTTATCGGCTTCCAGATCTTTCCACGGCTTAGGTACAGGTTTGTTGGGAAAAACCCAGTGGTCAAAAATAGGAACAATAGGGTACGGCTGAGTATCTATAATATGAATTAAAATTAGAAATAAATAAGATAACTATTTAAGGCAAGAAAAACTTACGATTAGAATCGACACGGTGAGAGTTAGGGACGTGGAAATAATAGATTCCGGCAGGTATAACATGATTTACAGGTATATATCGTTCAGCAGTAGATAGGTTTGAACACGTAGATAAAAACGGCCCGGTGGAACCCTCGCTTTCGTCCCAAATATTCCCAGCAATGATGCAACAGGCATAGTAAACAAGGATATAGCAAAGAGAGCCGTCGTCGGTAGCGCGTAAATTGAGAAATATATATGGTGGGTTATAGCCGGGATGGAAGACTTGCACAACCTTTCGAATGCGGTCGAGCTTACCGTCAATAGGAAGTTGTATAGGTTGGTATTGAGGCTCCAAATTCATGTTGAATATAAAAAATACAGAAGGTTAAAGGTTAAAAATAAGGCTGGGAGGATGGCGTTACGATATTGAATAAGCTAGGTACCTAAGTATTATCGGCGGATTATTAATGTTCCTTGAAGTAATAAAAGATAAATCACGTGAATTTGATTAAAAACCAAAAAGACACACCCGCAGAATGGCGTCAAAAAAGGTGGCGCATCCTACTAATACTGAAAGCACATTAACTTTTAACAGCTATATTTTAATGGATTCAAGACCGAATAAAAAGTTTAAAAAATGATATAATCTTTATTTAAGAATTCAATTTCATTCTTTTAATTTTTCATTCTTGTAGAGGTACGTTGGGGTGTTGAACAACTTTTTAAAATGTATCACCTCTGTATGTGTTGGTGGGGTGCGCCAGCTTTTTTGACGTTATTCTGACCCGTCCGCGCTTGCAGCTAGTAAAAAAAGATTTCGCAAAACATATCCTCAGTTTAACTACTCTTAATACATCAAATGAAACATCAATAGGAAATTATTAGTTTAAATGTCTTTATTTTTACCAATATCTATATATACCCCATATGTTCGTTATATAGCTAGCTCGCTGTACCTAGTCTCTAACTGCATATGTCTATTGCCCTTCTGCTCTGCTGCAAGTTTAGATGGTCTATGTCTAGTTCTCCATACTACTTATGAATCACTTTACGTGCTCTATCAAAGACGCAGAGTCCAAATCAACACCCCGTGTCTTAAGAGAGGACAACGCTATCCCTTGTAACCGCTATGAGATCACTTATATCTTGGGTACTGCGCCTAGGTAGCCGTTTAGAACCGCTTGGATCAGCTGGTTAGCAATAGCTGTCTGTGGAGGCAATCTTAAAGCTCCCTCCCTGTATCCAGCTGGGGCTGGGTCTCCTAGACCACTAACACCGGTCGCTATGGCTTCTCTTACTTCATCGAAGGGGAACCATCTAGCGTCGGTCAATTCTTCGTCGTGGCCAAGATGTATCGTCTCGCCGCCAGGAGTGGCCTGGCCGATTGCACCGATCATTAAGTTGGCGGGATAAGGCCACGGCTGCGAACTATGAAGCACAACACGTCCTACCGTCACGCCGCTCTCCTCCCAAGTCTCACGGCGGACCGCCTCCTCGATGGACTCGCCCGGCTCGAGGAACCCTGCAAGTGTACTGAACCAAAACGGAGGAAACCGCTTGTTTCGACCAAGAAGGATTTTGGTACCATCAGCCGAAACCACAGCCATAATGACGGTAGGATCTGTCCGCGGGAAACAGAGGTTGCTTATGCCATGTCGAGTGGGGCAATCAGCTCTCTCCTTTGGTGCACCGCCTTCAGAAACGCCTGCTAGATCTGTCGGTGGACAGGACCGTTTCCAGCCGGCATTGATAGACGTAGTTGGCTGACCACAGCCACCACAGAACGGGTTCCGGCTATTCCAGTCAAGCAAAGCACGAGCTTCTGCGAATATCGCCGCTACTTCATTGTCAGCACATTATCTTCGCAGAATACAATTACGTTAGTACGCACCTTCTGGGGCATTTAAAGTTAGAAGCCTCCTCCCATCGATAAAAGAAACACCGTTGGCCTTAACAATATCCACGATACTCTTAGCTTTGGCTTCGATGGTACCTTTAGGCGTGACATCGACAGCAAAGTATGGTTTGCCTTTGTAATCACGATACTGGAAGTCGGGCTTCTTTTCATCGATACCGAGGAAGAGGACAACAGGTTGTGTAATAGCCGAGTTGAAGTCTTTAAGCTGTTCCTGCTCAGACTCTTTGAAAGGCTCCTCTCCCGTTAATGGTACTACTATATCTCTAGTAACATAGGATAAGTTTGCGTAGTCTTTAGCAAGCGGTGACAAGTTATCTAGTAGTAAAAATGCCGCGCTGGGATGAGCGAAGGCAGCGCGCAAAAAGCCATAATCGGTCCTGAGAAATGAGATTCGGTTCAATGGGCTACCGCTAAAGTAATTGGCGACCTCGCGGCCAAATTTCCTCGACAACATCGAGTCGTCTTCAGCAAGGACCGGGAGATCCGGAGTCGGGTGCCCCATTACGCTTTGATGTTTCTTATTGTTAGGAGAGTTGCTAGTTTTCAGGTTGGAGGCTTGCTGATGTGGGGTTGGTTGGGCTCTTTAACGAAGCCTGCCGGATATACTTCAAGACTACCTGAAGAAAAGAAATAATACGAGGAAGACTCTAACCTTTTAAGATATAACTAAATAATAACGGGTCGGCCCGGATTTTGGGGAGTTAGTAACTATTAAATATTACATGTTATTTTCTACGCGGGATGTATGTCCTTCGTCATCTGTTGATTGGTAATACAGAGTTATTCTTTCTGATATGTACCATAAAAGACTCTCGATTACATAGTATAGTGGGGTTCTTTCACGATGGCTCAATTTATGGATGAGTAATTTGATAGCTGTTGGTCTGATTCGCCGATACCGAATGGCCGGCGTTTTGCGGGAAAAGTATGTTACCCCTTTCTACCATTGGCTCCGAGTTTTCAGCTTAGGTACATACAAGGTCGGTATCTCCTAAGCTGCAGGAACACGTAGGTACCGATGTTGCAAGTAAAGTGGTTTTCAAAAGCCTAAAAGTCAATATATCGTCAGCTTGTATATTTCCTAATTATTTGTTGATCATGAGATGAATGCTTTGAGCTCAGAGGTATTAACTATTAGTTAACTAGTTAAGCAAATATATATATATTATAGTACGTGAAGACTATCGGGCGGGTTTCCAATCTCGAGGATCTTAAAATCTTGTTTACGGGGAAGTTCTTGTTTGAGATCCGGGACAACATTAGGTGTGTAACAGTAGCCCTATCGGCGTTGAAATTTCAAAAGGGTTCAAGCATCCTCCGCAGGGTGCATGCATGTGGGGTAAAGTTTGTGCGTCATCAGAGCAGCAGCTAACTTCCATAGGTAGAAAACAGAAACTTTTTCTTGTTCCGGGGGGCCGCTATGGCGCTATGGGCCTATGGCGCAACATCCCATTTCCGTCAATCTTGAAAATTCCTTTCGCGAACAACAACTTCTTTCTGGCCGTAACTTGTAATTGTATTCACAATTTAATATCATATTTTACTTTTTAAGCTTACATATGCTAATCTAGTATAACTATTATCTTCATTGACACCTTTTCTATGTGCTATTGGAGCTTTGGTTACCCCTGACATCGGTCTTATTACACAGCTATTGTCCTCCCCGAAACTTGCGCTACAGATGGCTCCTCCTACGGGGCCTCTGAACCTCGATGTCGAGGCGATATCAGGTATCTGCGGGTGAGCAGAGTATTTCATATTAAATTATACAAACTAGCTTTTTTCTCCATTCTAACATCTCGTGGCTTTTCGTAGCTCCATCTCGATTGCGGCATGGGTCGTAGTCTTCTCTCCCCAGATCATAGAAAATTTCCGACGAGGTTCCGCTGATGGATTGTCCGTTCCTTTTATCATCCTCTGGCTGCTTGGCGATGTCTTCAATATACTCGGTGCCATACTTCAAGGTGTACTGCCGACGATGCTCATCCTAGCAATTTACTATACGATAGCCGATTTCGTTCTTTTGGCGCAATGCTTCTACTACAAGGGTTTTACATGGAAGGACGAAATCCCCTCATCCCAACCGAAACCGCCGAACGTCGTAGTTGTCGGCGAGCCTACTGAGAGAACAGGGTTGTTAAATGGCCACTTGGACGAGAGGGAAAGAAGAGGAAGTGGGTGGTCTCATCTGAATCCGACTGTGCCAATGGTGTCGGAGGCTCCGGTCACGCCCCCGCCTACGCCAACGAGACTACAGTCAGTAATATGGAATTTGGTGGCTGTACTCATGGTCTGTATAGCGGGTGTGGCTGGGTGGTTATTGAGCAGACAGTATTCAAACGGCCAGCCCGATTCACCTGCGGACGAGGGTCTCCCTTCATTCGATCTTTGGGGTCAGATCTTCGGTTGGTTATGCGCTCTTCTCTACCTTGGGTCGAGACTCCCTCAATTGCTGCTTAATTGGCGTCGCAAATCAACCGAAGGTGTAAGCATCCTATTCTTCCTCTTTGCTTGCCTGGGAAATTTGACATATGTCCTTTCGATCTTCGCCTACGAGCCTTACTGTGCCAAATCACAATGCCAGCCTGGCGAGGCAGAGCGGATATATGGGAGATACATACTTGTCAACTCCAGTTGGTTAGCTGGTAGCTTAGGGACGTTGTTCTTAGACCTAGGCATATTCGCTCAATTTTTCATCTATAGTAAGGATGAGCTGGCGGATGAAGAAGAGGCAATCGAAGATGAAGAAACCATTGCTGATGAGCAGCAACTCGACGATCGGCCGCTCCTGCAGCGGGCTGGCTCCGGTCTTCCATATGTTCCATAAACTGGAGCAACAACAACACTCCATACTAATTATTGCATTCACCGGCTTAGAAAATGAACTTGGTACTGGAACGGAAAAGGGTAATGGAGTTCGGGTTTGCATTCATTCTCCATCTAAAACAAAACTTATAAGTGCGTAGCTAGGCTACTGACAAGATGTTGCATTCTTAATACCAAATAGGGATATTTAGGACGGTCTATTATATTATTTTTTGAGATACAGTTAGGATACGCAGCAATGCTTCAAGGAATATGGAACCAAAAGCTACCTTTCTATTATTGAATCCTTTATTTCAAACAATTATATATTCTTGTGACTCTCAAGTAGACAGTTGAAGCCCTTAGTAAGGCTATATACTATTGTGACTATCGTCTTATTATGCTACCTGAGCTCTGCTTCCTGTCTGCAAGTTATATAATACTAGGTACTCTACCTATATTCAAATCTGTTGTCGTTGGGACGATTTAACCTTTATATCTTGGAGAACCTTTTATATACAAACTATCAAATCTGTTTCGCAACACCTCGGAATAGATGTATCCTATGGAGCCGTTCGCTTTTAGTGTTATCAGAAGTATGTTTGGTTAAAAAACCCTAACGTATTATTTCGGAGAAAAGTTGATAATAGCGCCCCTTTGGTTACCTTATTGCTAATCACTGATATGATGCAGAGATTGATGCTATTGAAGCGAATACTTTCGGATATTATTATTAGCTTGTCAAAATCTGTACCAAGTCAAACGTTGCCGGAGTTTCGTGTCTTGTAGACTACGGAGAAACCTTACACGCACGCCCGTTTCACGACCTCTCACCATATGTGAGTCTACCCGTATACCAAACCGTCGCCCAAGTACTCATAGCTGTAACTACGATGCGTTTGTTGTATCGCTGTTGTTCAACGAAGGTGATGCGTTGGACATTAGTCAAAGATTAGGTAGTCAGAGATAGGAAACGGGATAGAGCAATTAGGGGAGGGTCAGGGGGGATTTTACTAGGTTCAGCCGCTTATCGACTCAAGTGTCGAATGTCGACGACGCTAAGTGGGCTTCGCTGATCTGATCGACAATCCAGAACTGCCAGAACTGCTAGATTACTACCTAAGCTGACTCGGCTCAAGATTGCGACGCGCCGCCGTTTTCGGCATGTCCTTCAAAAGTCCGTTTAGTATTTTTTTCTTTTCTTTCTTGGTTATCATGTATTTTATCCCTATTTTCCTAATTATTTTCGCCTCTTCCTCTTCCGAAAAATCCCCAAAGAGCCGTCGATATCACGCCACATACTCTGATGTGGAATTCTAGCCCAGCAATGGACTTTAAGACCTAAGTCGATCATTGACAATCTTTATTTTTTGAAACGTCCAGCACATCTGTACATACTTAGACGTAGACGGCCCAGAACTTAAAGGGGGTCGCAGTTTAGTTGAACTGGCTAAAACTATTAGACAGGACCACTATGTACGCACAACTACCGGCCCTGGTCTTAGTGGCATCCACCAATATTGCAGCCGACGTAACCAAGCATCGGACATGAGAATAATACTACCTACATACCCAGACATATGTACCTAACCTCACGAGCCTCCTATCCAGTGGAAACGTGCGTGAGTAGGTCGCCTTGTTACTTCTCATTACCTTCTACGTTATTATACGCTGTTGGATTTATTGGCTTGCATGAGCCAGCATTGTAATACAATAGCTTGTCGGGGATTCGTCAGAGATGATCTGATTGATAAAAGAATACAAGAAGAATTAAAAAAAAAAAAAAGGATTGTACCGTTAAATGGATTGGGTACCATGTAGGCACCCTTGTTCCCGACAGCACGGAAGTCCCGCCATCGTTCAAGATTGAACAAAGTCTGGGGACGGGGGACGGGGGACGGGGTCCACGCTCTGCGCTACCTTGGGTACTGCACTTGCGCTACTGGAAGCGCAGATGTTGTGCTGGGGCCACAACTTGAGCTGTATCACTTATCGACATCATTTTCTGGAGTTGACGACGAATTGAAAATAGGTTAGAGAAATAGTTGTTTAACGCTCACTTCCACTTGTGGTGCCATGGCATTGCTTCGCTCATATGTGTTCCCGTCTAGATGCAGACATTAACTTACATGGCTGTAGGTGATTGGTTTGCCATGCCGTCTTTATACACTACAGATACCTATATACAGATAGATGCGCTAACGGGGTCAAAGATATCCCCACGGTTCGATTCGCAAGCCTCACGACAGATCGGCAACGCGAGGAAGAAAAAAAAAAAGGAAGTAAGTACCTCATGACATGTTAGGTATGTAAAGAATTATACGGGCATACGGGCATACGGATTATATACCTGGTTAGGTAGGCTTGGACAATGTTACTTTTTTACATACTGAGAACCCGGATTCCCGTCTTTTGACTACCTAACACGGCAGAACCTGCAACGAGGTACATACATATATACCTACCTACATAGTACCATGTGGTAGCTTCGAAGTTGAGGCTTAGGCAGGCTGCCGGTGGGACTCGCAAGCGAACGGTGTTGAGATAATGCAAAGACGAGATCACCCGACCCCCTTTCGCTGACGAATGAAGATCTGTGGGGGGGGGGGGGGGGGGGAGGGTTAGGAAACAAGAGGTTACCTAGCACAGACTTCCTGCGAGTAATACATAATAATACTTACCAAGCAAAGGTTTCTTCCTTCGAGTCATCGCTTATTACTTTATTACTGTATTGCGTTCTATGTGTCGAAATTTCTATGTAATACGAAAGTCTCCGAACCAGGCCTTTCTCTTTCTCTCTTTTTTTTTTTTTTTTGCCTTTTTTTCTTTTTTCTTCTATTGTTGCGTGCTTGGATCACATCACCCCGGACTTTATGCATTAATATTTTCTTTTGCACGGACAAGTTACGGAGCGTACTTCTGCACATCTACTCATCCACCACCGGATCTGTGTTACCGGGGCTTCGGTACACCGTATCGCATCGTATCACAATCTAGAAGTCTATCAACTAATATTTAACTAATATGGCTTGTTTTGCGCTAGTCATCTAATTATGCGGTCTAGGATTGTTTGCTCTACATAGTAGAAATTCCAAAATCCCCCCTTTTTTTTATAATGGAAACTAGCGTATGTTAGGTACACTGTAAAAGACTTGGAGGGGACCCTGGCGATCCCGGATCTGCCTGTCTGCTCGTCTGCCATTTAGTTGGCAACACTATCCCCGCCGGTGATCGCTCCGCCGGTCTCCACCAGGGGTCCAAATCCCCCAACGAGAAACCACTGTGGTCTGCAGGCTGATAGTCAGGTAGTCAGGTAGTCAGGTATTAAGGGACTTAGGTTAGTTCCTAGTGCCGCTAAAAATTTAATACTGTTCAAACTTCATGGGTACGGAATACATACCGCGCCCGTTACGGCTTCGTGCGAGTGCGGTGAGCCGTCCTGTGTTTCCTCGGCAAGCCGGATCTGAATCCTTGTTCAGCTACCTTTCAAAGAATCCTTGTCGAGCCTCGCCTTGCAAACCCGGCCAGCCTCTCAAGGGGTCCCTTGGCTGCTTGGTCCCTTAGGTTGCTTTCCTATCGTGCATTACCTATTTACCTACTCACCTGATAGGTTAATATAGGTAATCGTACCTATGTACGGGAATATGTACCTTATATACGTACCTTATAATGTACAGTATTCACAACAGTATCTACATAGTGTAGTAGTCGTATCTACCTAAGTCATCGGGGAATGCTTCCCCACGTCTCTCAGGAGAATTGCGCCAGATGCGCCTTGTTCGTCTGGTACCATCTGGTACAGGGGAGTCATACCCAATCATGGTAAACAGGCGATTCCGGCGGCTGGGTCTTGTCCTTTTCGAGCCTCTATTATGTAGGTAACAGTCTGCCTCATTGTCGGTGAGTGGTTCTGCGTGATTCATTCTTCTGCATGTCCTCCTCCCGTTCATGCTTACGCCCCATCGTCGCTCCCAAAGGTGGTAACTACTTGACTGTACGAGTTACGAGTCATAGACTCCATTGTCAGCTGTCCATTGTAAACTAGAAAGCCCTTTGTAAACAGGTAGAAAGCCCTTGTGTTTTCTATTTTTATTTTTATTTTTATTTTTGCTTCAAACACCTTCCTGGCGTTGGGCGTTTTTAAAGTCTTACTGTCCATAACTACATAAATTCCCAGTTTACTGTGATCGTTGTAAGTCTAAAGCGCATAACCGATTCAAGCACGCCTCCGGTCCTAGTTGATTGACCATTGAATACCCTATACTCTATACTTCTTATTGCATAGTTACCAAGATCTGATTCTTACTTACATCTTCAACTTGAGCTAATCGCGTATCAAAAATAGATCCGACATTTTTACCAAGGCTTATGAAGCTATTATACACCTAAGGTTGACTGGATATTTTTCGTAGGACAACTTAAAATTCAACAGACTCCATCATGTCTCGGCTGCCGGACCAGCGAGACCTCACCAGATTCGGATATAGTTCTTCGAGCGAATCCGACGAGGCCCCGCGCAAAGCGAACACGACCAGTTCCAATAATCAAAATCAAAAGAAGAAAAAGAAGCGCAAGCCCCCGCCTCAGCAGAGCATCAATAAGATATGGAGACGATTCACCACGAAGCAGTTTACCAAGGCGCTCGCGGTTCTGCCCTTCGACCCCGTACCACTTCCAAGCACTCCAGAACGTCCGAACGAGCTTTTAATCACGGGATATGAGCGTGCGAGAGAAGAATGTTCGCGCAAAGTGAAGAAGATTATTGCAGAATGCAAGCGCGTTAACACCCGTTATAGAGATCCAGGATTTGACCTAGTACGTTCCAATACTGTCGTTCTTCTGAGTCAAGGAAAATCAAAACTAACAATTATCCCCCGCTATTAGGATTGGGACCTTAAGTGGCTCAAGGGCAATTGTCTGAATTACTTAGGATCGCGCAAATTTGACATCTCGAACTCTAGACTTGGTACTAATACCTCTGTCCCCAAAGCTGTCAAGCGAGTGCACGAGATCTTCGAGAAACCGACATTTATGAAGAATATAAGTGCTGGGGATGTGAAGCAAGGCTCACTCGGTGATTGTTGGCTCATTGCGAGTTTGAGCGCACTGGCCAACGTTGAGGATGGGATTAAGCGCATGTGCGTTGAATACGATACTCGTAAGTTATAAACATGACGCATCATATTATCAAATTCTCTACTATTTTTCTGACACAAGACACAAAATACTAGGGATCGGAATCTATGGCTTCGTATTCTACCGAGATGGCGAATGGATTTACTCTATTGTCGACGATAAACTATATCTTACTTCGCCATGCTGGGATTCGCCAAGTATGCAGCGCGAGATGCTCCAACAGATCGACCGTGAAGAGCCCGAGAAAGTATACCGAAAGACCTACCAGACCGGGTCCAAGGCTTTGTTCTTCGGCCAATGTAAAGACCAACATGAAACCTGGGTCGCATTAGTTGAAAAGGCATATGCCAAAGCTCATGGTGATTATGGTTCGTTATCTGGCGGTTGGATCGGCGAGGGATTGGAAGACCTCTCTGGCGGTGTTACTACTGAGCTTCTGGCATCCGATATCCTTGATGTCGATGCCTTTTGGGAGGATGAACTTTGCAAAGTGAATCAAGAGTTCCTCTTTGGTTGTTCTACCGGCCTACTCGATGGTGGTTATGGCGACCGTAATGGGATCCGCGAGGGGCACGCCTACGTTGTGATGGATGCTAGAACACTCAAAAACGGTCAGCGCCTAGTAAAGCTCCGGTAAGTCTTTTTGAAACCTCTAACATATTTGGGCAAGCCTAACTAGAGAACCAGCAACCCTTGGGGTAAGACCCGTAAAGGTATTTGGGAGGGGCCGTGGTCAGACGGCTCTAAAGAATGGAACAATGATGTCAAGGAGGAGCTGGGCCACCAATTTGGAAACGACTCCGTCTTTTGGATTACCTATGACGATATGCTCGAGAAATATCAGCACTTTGATAGGACTCGTCTTTTCCGGGATCCAGACTGGAGGTGCTGCCAACGATGGATTGGTGTTGAAGTCCCGTGGAAGGCCCAGTGGAACGAAAAATTCCATATAAAGCTAACGAAAGAATCTCCCTTGGTACTAGTTCTCCAGCAGCTCGACGACAGATACTACAAGGGATTGCACGGGCAGTATACCTTCAGAATGCACTTCCGAGTGCATGAACAAGGGCGCCCGGATAGTGAGGATTATATCGTCAGGTCCCATGGCAACTATCTTATGGAACGCTCCGTCTCGATCGAAATACCATGCATGGAAGCCGGTAACTATTCGGTATTCATCAGTGTTGTGGCCGAGCGCGATACCGACATATCCTCTATTGAAGACGTTGTCAAGCGTGAATGCCGCAAGCGCGTGGAAAACGAGAAGCTGGCCCAAGTGGGTTATGCATATGACTTAGCTCACAGCAAGGGCGTGGCGCATCTTGAGCAGGTCGCAAAGCTCCGTAAGAAGTCAGACCAGAAGAAGGCGAGCTCCTCGCGTATGCAGGAACGTCGCAAGATGTGGGAAAAGCGACATCTAAACCGCGATATCACCAAGAAGCAGACGAAGAAGAACCAAGAGAAGCGCGATAAGTGGCGCGCAGCGGAGGACGAGAAGAGAAAAGTCAAGGCAGAGGCTGAAAAGGCCAAAGCTGAAGCTGAAGCTGCTGAAAAGAAAAAACAGGAGGAGGCAGAGGCAGCCGAGAAGAAGAAAAAGGAGGAAGTCGAGGAAGCCGAGCGCAAGAAGAAGGAGGAAGAGAAGCCTAAAGATGTAGCCGTCCAGACAGACGATCATAAACAGAGCGAGGATAAAAGCAGCCAGACTGAGGAGGCTGTAGATACTAAAAAGGAGGATGCTACTTCCGACTCTGCTGAGAAGCCAAAGGAGGAGTCAGATGATACTCCAAAAGAAGCCGCAGCGGACGGCCAAACAGACGAACCAAAGGTTAAGGAAGAGGCCGACGACACTAAGAAGGATGAGGATAAACCCGCCAAAGAGACACCTACAGAGGAAAAGCCTACCGAGGAAAAAGCTGCTGAAACGAAAGTTTCTGAAGAGAAAGCTGCTCAAGAGAAAGCCAACTCTGCTAGCGACGCCACCGCTGCTGATACCAGTAGACAAAAACAACAACCCCCTCCGTCCCCTCAAGCCTACTCATCAGAATGCGATTCATCCGACAGTCCGGTCGAAGACTGGGAGCTACTCTACTCATCGGACGACATGTCCAAGAAGCCACGGATGGCTACAGCACCGCCTGCGACCACTAATAATGACAATGTCGTAGAGAGTGACGGCGAGTCAGGGATGCCAGACCCATGGAACGCGATCTGCATCGTGGGGTTCCGGGTGTACTCGAAAGACGAGGACTTGGACCTGCGCGTCGTGCTCGAGGGCGGCGACATGGCCGAGAACGGCATGGGCGAAAAGGGCCCCGCGGACATCGACAACGCGCAGATGAACGCCGGCGGCGAGCGCGCGAAGCAGAACAAGGATACTACGGATGAAGTCGAGATCGTCGACGGCGAACTCGTTCACAAGAAGAAGATTGTGCCGGATAATGACGACGAGCAGAAGAAGAGTGATGAAGATGAAGAGAAGAAGAAAGATGAGGAGGAGAAGGAGAAAGATCATCAAGAGGTGAAAGATGATAACGAGGCTAAAAAGGAGGAGCAGGAGAAACATGAGGATGAAGAAGGCGAAGCAGACGTAGATGCTCACAAGTCAGACGATAAAGACGACTGTGCCAAATCAGACACCTCCGAGTCCTCCGTCGAATCGACGCCCATCCCAACACCTGATTCCGACTCGGGAGACTGCAGTCCGCAGTACTCGGCAGCCGAAAAGACAGCCGGCGACTCATCATCAGCAGCCCAGCCCTCGACTTAAGAGAGATATTATTTTCCAATTCCATTCCATCATACGTTTCCCGACGGAACGAAACTCCCCCCAGCATTGCGTATTCCTTTCAACAATTAATTACATAGGTACCTACATACCTATTTCATCGCGTTCGGAGCATGGATACCTTTTCTTTTTCTTTCCTTTCTCTCTCATTATCCGCGGGCATCGATGACGATTTTACGATTTTCGGCTATACAAGTCGTTACGAATAGGACGGGCCCGGTTGGTTGGTTGGTTGGTTTTACGAATCGGACAGGGGTTGTTGGGGACGGATGGCCTGGCTATTATGCATCGGTGTGGTGGTTGGCGGTGGTGGTGGTGGTGGTGGTGACGGCGGGCTAGATGAAGCTATAGAGTCACGAAATTGTCACCTTACTTAGGTAGTCTCTCTGAATATCTCTTTCCACTCCATAGGATCGACGACTCGACTCAAATAAAAATGAAAAATTTAACATCATGTCACATTTGCAGAGGTTTACTAGTAAGATATTACTTATGCTTGTTCGATAAAGGCTACCCCTGCCTGGGTAGGTTAGGTGGGTATTATTATCGACGTATACGCTTCCTCTAAGGTGCCCAATATGGGTGTTATCTCTATAGACTCTAACAGCGTCATACGGTGTGGTTTCAGCTGCACAAGTCATGACCGTTCAACGGTAATGAATACCTCCCACTAATCTATATTCCAGCGAATCAACCCTCCACATCGTGGAATGCACCATCAGCATCATCCGACGGTAACCGTTGCGCCTCGCTAGCAATGCGACGCCTCCTCTCGACCCTACGCCTCCAGGGTCTGTAGGCCAGAACGGAGCCAAGTCCGACAACGAGAAATAGTCCGCAAATGGAACCGCCAATGATGTCGAAGTGATCTCCAATCTCTCCGAGGCCGTCCCAGAAGGAGCCCTCGGGTTCGGCGACATTCTGCACGAGCGAAAGGACCTGGATGATGCCAATGAATGCTGAAACGACGACCGTGATGCCCGTCAGTACGATTGAGTAGTACAGGATGGCGACTGTATCACGCGCGAATGCCTTGGATGAGTATAGCGCCATCATGAGGGCTCCGTCCGTCGTGTCCAACATACACATTCCCGCTAGAAGTTTCGGCGGATGTTAGCGAATGTGAATCTAACCCAAACAATTTTTTTATCATTCCCCCCGATCTACTCATGAAAAGTGGCAAGAATAAAAGCATACCTGTGAACAAGAGCGGGAATATGAGAATAACCCAAAGACTCGTCCCCTGCGCTCCTTGAATGCTTGCGATACCCAAGATGGCGATCTCAGAGCTTGTGTCGAATCCGAGTCCAAACAAAACACCAAGAGGATACATCTAGCCGTACCAGGTCAGTAAATTTAGTTCAAGAAGCATATATAATGCGGTAGTTGAGTTACGAATACATGGTGGAACATGTTGCTCTTAAGGGGTCAATAAATCACGGGCTATATCCGAACCCAATGAAGAAAAAAGGGGGGAGTGCAAAGATAGCGAACAAAAATATCTGCGCATACTTTCCACGGCCGATCGACGATGCGAAATAACTTCCGGAACACAGTAGCAAGGAACCCAGCGCCCTCGAGCTGCAAGTTAGTCGCAGCCTGATCCTCGTCCGCCCCGTCTTCCTCCGAGTGATGCGGGTCGGCCTCGCGCAGGACAACACGGAGACGGCGCACGAGGCGATACAGGACCCAGCCGTTTCCCAGACACAGCAGGATGAGGAACGCCGCGCTGACGCTGGTGCCTATAATGCCGCCGATGTACTGGAAGTTGTCGAAGCGGTCGCGCAGGGCGCCGCTAGTGGCCGCCACAACGATGCAGGTGATGATGACGATGGTAGAGTGGCCCAGACTGAAGAAGGTGCCTACGGTCACGGGACGCTGTCCCGACGCGATCAGGCGCCGGGTCATCAGGTCGATGGCGCTGATGTGGTCGGCGTCGAGCGCGTGGCGTAGCCCTAGCGTGTATGATAGGACTGCCGGACTGATCATCGTTGGGTAGTAGTGCAGTACTACGCCGACCGCCGCCCAGATGATCATGTTGGCGAATATCAGCGTCCCGATGATTTGTACCACGGGTAGTGGGAGAGCCTTCAGCCGGCCCGGAAGCGGAAGGGCGCATTGTGAGGATAGTCGTGGCATCTCTACTCTTTTTTTTCTCTCTCTCTCTCTATCTAGACAGGGTGGTTGTCTATTGGAGATTTTAGTGCCGTAGAGACTTGATACCAAGTAGAAGAGATAACTTAGAAACTCTCCTAGAGCGCATTGATGTCCCAACAACTATATTTCGATATTTCGATATCAAAAATTTCAACTCCTTACCGGTTATAGTATCATATTGCAAAGAGTATAATACCATGACAAAAAAACAGCAAAAGAGGTAATTATCACAAGCTCGCCCCCGCACCCGCCGACAAAACGGGAATATGAAATTGAATAATAGACGTGTGCCCCGCGCGTACGGTATAAGATAGACGCTTGATCCAGGATGCCGGTGCTAGCCCTAACCATCCCGGGCCCGATCTGGCAAAGGCCCGCTTGGTATTGTACTATATAGTGTACTATAATATGCAACCTTCTATTCCGGCGCTGGCCGAGGCCGATAAGATAAAAGTTTAAATTGATTACTATCATCTTTTATAATTATTACAATTATTTTCTTTTTTTCTTCCTTTTTTTCGCTACTAGATTGCTTGGCGTTTTCACTTGGAGTTATTGATGCTATGCCGATTTTTATTATTCCTAAGGGCGATAAATGGTTTTGTTATACGGAAAGCGTCATTTAAGGAATAATTCATTAATAAGACATATCGAAAGAGATGCCATTCGTATTTCAATAAAGTATTGCTTATAGTCCAAGTTCAACTCTATCATCTATCATTCGCATTTTGCTCATATTAAAAACTTCATATGATAAAAGCATTGTTAACGGTGAGGCTGTTATGTCTATCTACTACAGGATATATAATCAGGTTTATAGTAGTCAAATGAGATTGACTAAGTATTTAAACGTTTATAAAAAGCTCTCCTAGTATAGATCAGGTGGCTTTCCTTCTTTTTCTTCAACCTCCAATCGATAATAATCAGGCACACACTTAAACCTTTCAAAGACATACACAAGCCCAATATTCAGTAGCAGAGAGGTGCTGGACAGGTTGTTGCAGCTCTACGTAAAACGGTACCTAGGTAAACATGGGTCATATCCATAGAGAACTTGTACTTGTGCGAAGAGGAAAGTAACACATAAAGCACAACTCTACTTGATCCCCCTTTAGGTACTGCCTAATCTCTGTCTGTAATTAACAAGTGCACGAGGTAGCTTCTACTTACATCAACGTCCGCTTATACATATCCTGCCCATATGAGTCCCGCACACAACTCCTATACCCCATAACATCCTTAGAAATGTAACTGATACCACCCGCGCTTCCTATTGGGCCAAGTGGTCCGTCCCAATGTAAGATCTCACGGTTTCTAGAGATCTACCATATGAAGCCCATATGAGCGTCTGTGTAACAGTCGGTTTCTCGGCATCTCTCTTCAAAATGCTATAGAAGACCTATGTATGGTACACATATTCTTACCAGTTGCCCACCAGACTCAGCACGACGAAGAGACAATCCACCACAAGCGCCGACACTCGCCAAGCCAAGTATTTTCATCAAATTCCCATTTAACGTCGCACCTATGATACTATCCTTAAATCACCCTACTCTCAGTGCCTTCCACGATTCAAAAGGGGCACAGGGGACTGAACACTCATAGTTATCTGACTGGGTTAGCGGTATACTGTCGTATTGAGAGTATAAAATTAACGTTCGTTGTCTTTTATCCTGTCGTCGATAGTCACTTTTAAAGGTAGACTCAAGACGACATGCTATACCTATATAAAAAGCAATGCAGGGTTCTTCCGCGTGGCCAATCTTACGCCTACCAAGCAAGCCACAAGTACCTACTAGTACCACTATCACCATTGCATGCATGCATACGAAATGCGGCGTACGCAGTCTAGTCACCAAGTATATAGTGTTCAGATCGAACAGTGCAGTCAGTATTGGGAAAACATCGAGAAGTTGCGCCTTTTTCAGTCGTAACTCGAACTTTTTGCGTAGTATCTGGTCCTATATAGTTTCCCTCTTAGGCATGAATAGAAAAAAAGTCATATACAGCTTGAGCGTTTTGGTAGTTTGAAGCGTAATGCTCTAACTCGATCTAATTCGTTATCATGATCTCATTCCGGTATTTAAGGATGAATGCCCCGTGTAAATTCGAATAGCGCCATCTATGAAAGCCCCCCGTGTTATGATGATGATATGGTAAGAGGAAATAATTTGTAATCGCCCTCGTCGAGACTATAGCTGATCTTTGAAGTCGGCTGGTGGGCGTAGTTGTACGTAAGAGGTAGGCAGGTAGGAAATTGCGTGTTTATGACTATATGAACTCGAGCCGCGTATATGATTGGGTTGTCGTATATTTCTATCGTTACTGTCGTAGTGCTTCTGCTGGATTTATGCTAAAAAAAATCCAAAATATTCCGGATTCGAGAATTGAACCGGGGTGTTGGGGTGTTCCACGAAATAATTGCTTTGCTACGTGATGTAGCATTTGAAAAACACGACCACGCCTTCGGATGATATCCAAAATCTTTCTCTTGGCCAGCCCAACTGATAAACACACCATGTTACTCTTCTGCCTCGTACCCGTCTCCTCCAAAATTATTCTTCTGTTAAGTAATGCGTTGATAGCTGCTAACGACCCTATTTGTGTAGTATTGGACCTTGGGGAATTCCTTCTATCTTAACTGGGTATCGTGGTAGTATAACGTGGCCGACTTGATATTTTCTGGTTGGGAAGGAGAAAGGTCGGGATGAAGTCGTCGGGTCTCGATGTATATTTATAGCCTTGATAGTGTGTAGTGGTACGAGCACTCAGCCCATGCTCGGGAAACCCTCTTACAAGTTAGTGACCCTGTTAGCATAATAAGGAGTGAGGGCTCATAGGATAGTTACTGAAGTTTAGTGTTAAAGATACCACGCCTCGAGAACTGGTAGGTTACCCTTTCAGGGCATTTCAATACCCGTGAGCCATACGGAAGTTTTAAACGTAAATAATTACCCGGGATGCAGATTTTATAGCCCTTCCCATAATCTGTCCGAATAGCACGGTTCTGGTTAGGTTTAGCGATGGCTATGTCCTTATCTTTGTGGGGTACCTTTATGATTCATCACTATTTATAACTTCGTCTTCCTTGGCTTTTAGCAACACGAAATATCTTGGGATGCTGGGTTATTTGTTAGCTGAGCTAGCTATCCTCACCAGTTTGGCTATACTACACAAACAATTTAAACAGAGGCCGGGCGCTCGTCGGTCTGGGGTAATTAAGGAGGGCGACGTGGACCTTTTACTTCCTCCGATTGAAGCGAAGTCTCGTCCTATGAGGGTAAATCCTGCTGGGACAACGTCCCTGGAAGCTGTTGACGGTTCCTAACCCTTTATATTAGAGGGCTTTGTGCTTTGGGGGGGTAATTCCTTGCTCATGCTACAGGTATCGAGCTCTTGCTTACCTGAGCTCGCCAGTTGTGAACTCCCGAAATATTGCCAACTCATGAAAAGCGCTCGCTAGGGTCTGTACTTGTGCCTCCCTTGGGTTTGTCATCGCTAGCTCAAGGTCGACCATGAAGCTTGCTCGGACTGTAAATTGGGAATCATATCGTTGTCCTATTTTTCTCATATCGTTTAGGACAGTGTTTGCCTCGGGTGCAGATAAAAATCCATTACGCAAGGCCATGCTTAAGAGCCCAAGCATAGTCACCTCAGCTACCTGAAAAGAGCCGTCTACTCTGAAATTAGCATTCCACCTAGAAACATGGGGGCGTTCGTCATTTCTGAGAAATACAATCCATAAATATGAATTGGTGTGATACATATGTGTTCACAAATACATAATCAAGTATTGTGAAGGAGCGGGCATAAGGAGACAGCATCACATACTGAGGAGAAGTTAGTATCTGCATGAACAATTCGAGACACAAGCTCCATAGGGGACGTTAGATTCCCGAGGTACAAGAGAGCCTGCGTTACGTACCACATATTCTCGTAGCCCGTCATGCAAAGCATGAAGTAGAACCAACACTCCGGGTTTCGCAGCTTACCAGAACGCATGGTTTCGCAGAGCATTGCGTTTGATAAATATAAGAGAGCGATATGCCACAACGTTGACGAGCACGCATTGGTGAAATTAATGCAATAAATGAGAGCAAGTCGTTTCAGCTGATTTACTGAGGATTCATGTATATCTTTTATAGCAGCCGTAGTTGTGAGGTGCTTCATCTTTAATTCTTTGTTGGCGGACTGCTGTAGGAATGGCCAAAACAATTCCATCACGGTACAATGGTAGTAAAGACTACGCCGAATTTATGTTAGAATGATGAGGCGAACTGAAGCGAGCAATTAAGAAGCCGAAATAAATCACGTCTGGCCTGGAATGGCCATATTCGGAAAAAGGGACCTTACTGTAACATCAAGTTGGAATGGCGGTTGCGTCTTCCACGCGATAGTCCAAGGGGAAGCGATGCTGCCCATTCGAACATCCTTCGATATATCTGTTCTGCAAATTCAACTGTCGCTCGGGCAGCAGGAACGGTATTACTTGTCCCAAAATAGGCCCAGATTATTTCATGAACGATCAAATTGAACTTACAAATCGCTTTAAAGGCCTCGCTGACTTGAGTCGACACAAGAGTCCGCTGGGGTGGATATGTATAGTTTGTGTGTTCATGGGTCTCATGGTACTGCCCTGGCATGGGAAGCAAGGGTGGGGTTTCGATCTCGGCTCGATGGAGATGCAAGGAACGTATGCTAGGATATGTGGCTATGAGTATTTGCTAGAAAAATAATATATGTCGGAAGCAGATTATAGATCTGGGCGGTAAGGGACAACTCACCAAGCGCATGAGAATATACCCCACGAGGTATGACTTGCAGCTCTGAGCCAATCTTGGTGGTGATCCAACCAGGTTAGGGCCGATGCGTTTTCGGAACCCACCCCGAAGACTGCCGCGCTCGGGGTTAGCATAGCCAATGATTTGCTTTGTCCAGTGCATAAAACCACAGGGACACGGGCATCTTAGTGACGTCGCCGCCGCCGCACCAAGTACGTTCCGGAAGTTTTGACTTACGGCCCATACGTTTCCCCATTTGGATACCTTCATCAAGGCATTGGTTCGCAAAATCATCACGACCTCTAGAGGCTGATGTACTATTTAGAAATTGAGCAGCCGCCGCTGCAGTCAGCGTGTTAGTGAACTTTTCCACTTGCCATAATCTTTCAGCTTCTGACTCGAAAGCAATGCTATAGGCCGCTGCCTCTGGCTGTAAACTCGAATACGATTGCTAGGTCGCGTCAGCAACCGATCGTAATAATAGCTCACCGTACTTCTTGGACGGCCCCGTATCTAGATCAAGACTTACACAGGCCCACCCCAGTAGGGCATTCATAAGTAGGGTAGAGCAGAAATGAGTCTTCCCCTGCATACAGTCATTTAAGAACAAATCGGCATCAAATAAGGGGCACCATGGATGATCAATCTCCAAGTACAACGAGATCAAGTTTGCAGCTAGCTCGTTTGTAATAGGTACGGTGGTCCAGCTCTGGAAGTTCACACTCTTCAGTCGGTCGTCAACAACCGTGTGCATCGATTGCAATGGTTCAAAGTTTCCTATCTCACGGTCACTCGCGTTTAATACAGTTGGTGACGCCCCACTTCTAATGCTGCCCTCACTCGGGCCAGCAGGGACGATTGATGATGATGATGATGGTATGTCTCCTTGTCCGGTGCTGCGAACGCACGTTAGCATCGTGGTGGCGAGGTTATAAGGCCTATAAGGTATGGTATCCACAAACCCAACCATAAGGGAAGCATACAAGCTAGACACTCTTGGCGGTTCAAGAATAATTGGGCGTAATAGATCGGCTAGGTTAATAAATGCAATCTCAACCGGAATCAACATCGGGTAGGCGGTTGGACATCGTATCATGAGTTCGTATTCGGGCGTCTTTTGGGTCTCGGGTATAAGGCCTGCCATTAGCTGCCGATTGGATAGCTTCACAGGTAAAAGAGGATCGTCCTCGAGGTCTTTTTTTACAGATGTTAAGATATCGGAAGTGTCGCTCGCTCCCTCAGCTAGATTCCTGGTAGATTTTAGTCGTCTTAAAATGTCTAGAGACACGGCGTCAGGGGCTGATTCAAGCAGATCGAATATCTCTAGCATGTCTTCCGTGGATCTCCTGAGGGATTCGACCTCCCGCTTCAGAGCCATGAAAGGAGTCTCGTCGCTACTGGCGGTGACGAAGTTGCATTCCACGCCAGCCTTGCTGCAGGCCGTGCAGGCAGGTCTTTTTCCATCACACTAACGGGCATGGGTCAACGATTCGAAGGTATCAAAACGACAGCCTTAGGGGGGGGAGCAGAAGGCAGGCAGAAAGTATGGTACTTACACGTATCTTCTTGAGACGGCAGTTATTGCAGGCAGCCTTGGAAACTGTACGTTTCTTGACGGGCGGACCGGTCTCCTTCTGAAAAGCAGATTCCGGTGCCTTGGCCTGAGAGCCGGGAGGCATGGGCGCCGGAAGTAGGCGTTTGTAATTTTCGGACATTGGATTCCTACAAGTCGTTTTCGACTTACAGACTCCATAACAAACCTCATGCCTACCTCACGTCGAAATCGGACATTTTGGCCCGGATGTTCTGCAACGTTAAGAATTGGATCTATTAAGAGAGGAGTCCTGGAAGCCTCCCTCGACATCGGAAACGATAGATCGAGTGTAGCCAATCATACCTGTGGGATGGTTCGGGCCTCACTCCGCGAAGCTTGGGGATCTAATCTCTCTCAAACTCGTTGCGCCTGGCGTGGTCCGGCCTCGATTAAGCGTAATTGATAACTTGAGAAAGCAAGTTAGGTATGAACTATCCTAAGGGAATTGTAGCCAGTGCCAACATCCGTCAGTCATCTGGCGGAGGCTTTAGATTGGAACGCAGCGTAGTCCCGGTTATACCACGTAACACGCAGCGCATCATTGGTGATGCAAAAGGATGTGTAAATTGTATCGAGTACTATCGACCTTCCTAAGCTAAAAGAAAAAAAGGCGCCTAAGCCTACCTTAGTTACTTATCCCGGACAGAAAGGTACAAGTACAGACTTTTTTTTTTTTTTTTTTTTTGCTTACAGGCAGTCAAAGACAATAAAAAAAGAGAGCATGTGAGTGATCCAAGAGAGGGAAACTTAGATCGGGGTCCCATTTTCTCATGTCGAACAGTAGCTAACTAAACTACTATTAGTTAGACCTACACTGCCAAGAGTTGTACAAGCTCTCCCAATGGTCAGGTTGACTAGACTTGCAGGGAAAATCTAACCAATCAAATGAAGCTGGAGTGCGCTCCGGACCAATCAACTTTCTTTCTCAGCAAATATTATCCCATTTTGGGATTTATAAGATGTACCATAGACTTCATGGGACTTCATAGGACTTGAATTTTTTTTAGGATTGCTTCATTCATCTTAAAGCAACTTAACTATACTTTAAGTCTACTTGAAGCTCTTTATACTTACATACGTCTAGGCAACTATCTAACAATAGTACATTGTCAGTAGATTTGTCATTAGCAACAACGTATGTAACTCTCGTTTATAAAAGCATTTCCTGATACAGACCTATAACAGCAAAAAAAAAAAAAAAAAAGATATGCGTCCTTTGCCAAACTTCGCTTAGAACTGACCTTATCCAGGCAACTATTTGTTTTCCTTGTTAGTGTTTGTTTCGAAAGTAAAGTAGCATAACTGTGCTTGTTTGTTACATACCTAACCTATGTATCGGCTACAGTTAAGCCTTTGCCGAGACTTGATCTCTGTTTTGGGGATTGAGCGCATACTAACCTAAGTAGAGACATGTTTCTGATTTCTTGCCTCTAGAAAATAACGTGAGGTAGCTCTGCGGTACCTAGAAGAAAAACTGCGTCTTATATGGTTTAATGTTGTTGAGTGGATTATCTCGTTGATGACTTTGTTGATGTTTAGGGATAAATTAAAAACTAAAAACTCTGGTCCGAGGTGTCATCGACTCTTAAAGGTGTTATGCTCAGCGCTACCTAATTCAAATACCTACACACATGTATTAAAGTTACATACATGACTGTAAACGACCTACATATATGTACCAAAGTTGCATGTAATCTGTAATCTCAGTAACTCATTATAATATAATTCTGTATACATTAATATCTCGCATAAATGCATATAAAATGGTGGCAAAAGCTTATGAAGGCTTTTGTCGCATGACGCCCGACGAGATTCTAAAATCAAGAGATCGAGTTTGACCTTGCGCAATGCAAAATTATATATACGGGTACATAGTAGTTAATGATATTTTAAGTATATAGTAGCATGTATATATTTGCCATATGTTTGTCACAACAAGTATAATAGAACATCTCACTGGTAGCACTTACAAGTAAGTTGCTATGAGGTAGTTCAGGGGGGTAAAACGGGACCCCCTGGTATTTGCGGGCAAACGTTGCCGGGTTCTATCTATTACATATATAGGTACATACTACTATTCCCACCTTTAGACATATATATTACTTCTTTTGTACCTTAGGCAGATACGTTGGCTCCCGCCACTTAGCGCCGTCTTATGGTTGCGGAGATCAACCCGCATCCAAGAAGACATATCATTGCGTCGAAGGTTCCAGGGGAAGGAAAGGTGGAAGGGGGGGTTACTCTACCTACCGTTAGCTTAGGGGGGCTACATGCCGCCCAGACGCGGTCCTCTTTCACTAGAGGGTCCTAAAAGTAGATGAAGCCGCCACTGATAAGTATCTTGTTTACACCTCGCAGGCCTCTCCGCCACCACTCACAGCTTGCCGTGGCCTTCCGCATCCGTACCCCTATCGAGATCCGACACGACAATCAAAAGTCATCTCGGAACCTCCTCCGATCCAGGATTTTCGTCTAATATTTACGTCGACCAGCGCCCCCCTCCAAAGAGCGAACCTCGTGTCCTGTACAACTAAGACGACCCATCCCAATACCAACCGAGTCCGCCGCATGCAACACCTGTCTGCCCGAGAAAGAACCAGAACGCAATGACTCATAGCATAGTCTGGGCCACGAAGCTTTTTTGTATTGAGAAGTATGACTTACGTATCAACTCGATAAAGCCGCGACGAGTCGTGGAGCTGCCGAATCGAGCTCCTTGCGTCGTCCAACACTGTCGAACCCAAATACCGATAGGTATTGCCGAGCCCTTTTTACGCAGGAATAAGACGTAGATAATCGAATAGCAACACAGGGACGAAATTCATAGATAAGTACTGGTGGGGGGTAGGTCGGTTTCGTAACCGTCACTAACAACAACAGGAGGGAAAAAAAAAAAAGGAAAAAAGAAATAGAAGTTATAGATGTGCACAGCAGCTCGTTCCGACTCCGATCCCTTCTTCGAATCATGAATAACGCGCCTCGATCGAGATCTCTCAAATATAAACGAGATATCTTCATTCGTTTACGATCGAAAAAATTTGCCCCTTTGTTTAGGCTTGAGGGCCGCTAAGCGGCAGATTAGAAAGCGAACACGCGCAGATACACCGAAAGACCATCATACGTTATACCCTCTATTATTCCTCCGCTGCAACTGTCGTGTTTTCCTAATTTAGTATATATCGATATCTCTACCGAATCATAAGCAACCCTAATACGCCGGCGCTAGTAAGAAATATATTCATTTTATACTAGATGGTCTATGTTACTTTCATGTATCATGCACATCTGTGCCGGATAAAATATAAAAGAGGCATATTTCGGGCCATTTTCCGAAGTAAGGTAGGTATTAGGCTTACAACATCATCTTGGATCAAGTTCTCACTGGTGGTAGAAGAGGAACCTAAATACCGCGTTTGCCGGAGGGCCTTGTGTCACATACGAAGCCAGGCTCAACAACGATAGCATACTCCGTTAGGCACTATACAACCCAAAGGTAAAGTATCAGGATATGAAGTGCTTAGGAGGTCTTTAGGTCGAGACATAAGAAAGCCACACTACTTACCAACGAGTCATCGGGTTGTGTAGTCGAGACCGATCTATCCTCGAGATAATCAATCATCGCCAATTCGAATATTTGTGGCCGTATCAATACCATGACCATATGCTCAAGAAATAATAAAAACTACCTAGGTCTGTCTTCGAGGTTTGTCAGACCAACTGTCACTTCTTTGACTAAGGCATTAATAATGGGCTATCACCCTATCATGTCTTCGGTTTCCTAAATCGTGGTTCCAGTATGAATGGTTTCTTAATCCTGAGCGCTAATCGTAGTGGTAATAGTAACACTCCATTCTATTATTATTATTAAGTACTGGACCTCTCGAAATGCCATCGGCCGTAAGTATCATGCATATTCGGTAACACTCTTGTGCCCACCGGCACTAGATTGCTCGAATTCCGCTTTCCGTATCCTTTCATGTTTGGCAGTCGTGTACGACAGTCCGGCAGTCCAGAGTGCCAACAAGATAGAGACGGCAATCATAGCCCACATTCCCCTCTATAGGATAGTTAGTGTGACAAGTCTTCAGCAACAGTTTCGAGATGTTGTAAGTAGTGTAAGGACTTACAGTGAACCACGGTGCCATCGACGCCCCATAGAAGACAATACTCCACCAAGCGTTCACAGCGTTACTTCCTAGGTTCATACCCGCTAGAACAACAGCTCGAAACATCTGTTCCTCGTAGCGAAGAGCATCGTTAGCCCATGCGAAGAAGGTAGCTTGGCAGGCATACACGGCGCCTGCCCAGTAATAAGCGCCAAACACCACAGAGGTCGATGCCGAACTCGTCGGGTCTTTGGAAGCGGCTAGGATCATTGCAGAAGTAGCTACGCCTGTGATGCCGATGAAATAACCGACAAGATAACGCTTCCCATTAAGATAGTCTGTGAGCGTCGCCCAGAACAAAGTCGATATAATGCCAACAGCAGGCACACCACTAGGGTAGTTGTTCAGCTGAGGAACAGTATATTTGTTCGTCGGATGACTCTTCATGTACAAGGCCAGCAGGGAGTTTGAACTAAAAGATTCGGTCTCGCCGGCAATGATCCAGAGCACAACGAACCCCCAGAAGAACCAGGATGAGAATGATTTCTTGAAGAAGGTCCAAGATATTGGCGATCGATCTTCTACAGGTGGCACGCGAGATACGGCTAAGGCCTTCTCGGATTCGGTAAGATAGAAAGCCTCAGTTGTTGATGGCGTATCTGGGAAGAAGATGAAACCGTAGAGTGCGACTGGCAATGTGATCTAGAAGTACGCATCAACACCTTGCATGCTCGCTTTCCTATCCCCCTTTTATACCAAACACGAATAAGGGGTCCCAGAAATAAGACAAACAGCATTTAATAAATCAAAAAAGGTAGAAAAAAAAGCTAATAAAAGAATGAAACATAGATAAAAGCTAAGACTTACGATGCCATCCATAATGAACAACCAACGCCATCCACGGAGACCATTTCTACCGTCCAAACTGGAGTGAATACCCGTCTGGATAAAGCCTCCAATCATAGTCCCAGCCAAGCCGGAAGCAGTGAATATGCCAGAGCGCTTCCCCAACTCGCGCTCCGTATACCAGGACCCGAGGATGTAATGGGTGCCGACGAAGGTAGTGGCCTCGACTATGCCCTGGAAGAAGCGGATAGCCATGATGCTCTGCGGGTTATGCACCGAGGCCGTGACCATAGTCAAGCAAGCCCAGATGAACATGCAGGCCGGGAAGAAATATCGCGGTTTGATATAGTGCAGCGATAGATTGGCAGGGATCTGGCCGATTACGTAGCCGACCGTGAAGCAGGTGTTGATCTGGTTCAGCTGGTCGCCTACGAAGCCCAGATCCTCTTTCATACCCGAGACGTAGGCATTGCTGAGATTGGACCGATCTAGCTGCATTTATATATATGTTTTATTAACCAAACTGATATAATCAAGCAAGACCGGGCCTCTCTATCCAACATCAAGGAAGATGGAAATACATAGTGCTGGGCGAGGGAAAGGGATTATTGCGAAAATACATACATAATTGGTAAAGTAACTCAGACAGCAAAAGGTCAAGATGAAGAAATCTATCTTTTGCACGAGTTTCTGCTCTCCAGGTTGATACTCGGTATGGAAATACTCCCGCAGCTTAGACCTCGTCGCTATCGTCGCCGCCATATTTTTTTTTCGGATTTTGAATCTTTCCTGTCCAATCAAAAGGGGAATTGAACAAAATCGCGAAGTTTGCGGTTCCACACTTTTTTTTTCTTCCTTTTTTAAGTTACGTCGCGGTAATAAGCAGCGACCGCCATGTTATATATATAGGTAGGTATATATGTAAGATATATGTCAGATATGTAAGATGTATATATATTTGCGTACCAAGCCTGATCAAGCCCAAAGAGAACGCGCTACGATGATAAGTTATCTGAGATTCAGGGCCTCTCTGCTTTGTGTTTGCTGAAATGCTTGTTCCTGGAGAGATAATCCGTACAGATACTAGGTTAGATACTAGATATTACGTATCAGGCAAGCTAGGGGGGTAAAGATCCATGATGCTGGAATTTGCGGGGAAGCTCAAGATAAGAGATAGGTCACAGGAACCTAAAAGGGGATCCACAGGGGGGATCCACAGGGGGGTTTAAAGGTCCAAAGCTCAGATTTGAAAGCAAGATAGCGTCTTAGAATCTTGGCCTGGTGTTTTTTTTTTCTCTCCTCGCCTCGGCTTACTGGTTTTGGGGAAGATAGGATAAGATTCCCTCGGGTATGATAGACGTCGGATGTTATATTCCCTTTTTTGTTGTCATCGAAAGGAAAAAAAGGTAAACCTCACAAGCGGAGAAGACAGATTCCAGTTCAGGTCGTATTAGCGCAGACGGAGTTAAGTAACAATACCAACGATATCGGATGCGTTCGAGGGGGTATCGAGTTAAAACAGCACCCCTATCTTTCCAACTTTTACCATATAATGTTAAAGATATAAGTGTATCTCGTACATAATATAAACTACATTATGTTATAATATAGTTAATAAGAAGTAAATCACCATCGAACAGTCGCTTTTAGACAGTTCACTCAATGGATGCTAGATTTCGCATTTTCCATAATAAGGTAGGTTACGTACCCCCATGAAGTTCTAAATCAGGGATCACTTACACAGATCCAGGATATAGCACAGCCTGCCATTATTTCTGCGTCGAAATTGTAAGTCATCTAAAATCCAACCGTTGTTCTTTAGTAATTGGTAAGGGAAGAGGCCTCCTAGTACGAGTAGTCGTCTCCAAGTCCGGGGCTGTATAAAATGAACAAGACTTCCGTTGCTGGTTTATAATTAACTTTATGTACAGTTTCATATTATTATAGTTACTAGACATTCGTTCTATAAAAGGCTAGAAGGGGAACATCATAGAGTCCACAAGATTATAACAGCAAAGATGTCGAAAAGAAACTGGGAAGAACTCGCCGCCAAGAAGCGACAGGAGCTGGCGAACTCCATACCCCAAGAGTGGCGCATCCCGAGCCATCTCCTCCCGCCCGCCGACCAGGACGACGTCACCGGCTTCCCCGAGGCCTCGGGATGGTTCACAGCCGACGAGCTAGCTATCACAAACCAGACAGCTTTGCAATTACTACCGAAGCTCGCATCCGGGGAGCTAACATCCGAAGCCGTCACGCGTGCCTTCTGCAAGCGCGCCACCGCGGCGCACCAGCTGATAAACTGTCTTTCCGAAACGTGTTTCGACCGTGCTCTCGAGACGGCCAAAAAGCTAGACGAGCACCTCGCGCAGACGGGCAAGCCAATCGGACCTCTACACGGCCTGCCCGTCTCGCTCAAGGATAACTTCAACCTAGCCGGCCTAGACGCGACCGTCGGCTTCGCATCGCACGTCGGCGACCCGGCGAAATACGACGCCGTGCTAGCGGACCTCCTGCGCGCGGCCGGCGCCGTCTTCTACGTCAAGACGAACGTGCCCACAGCCATGATGATCGCCGAGTCCGTCAACAACGTCGTCGGCCGCACCGTCAACCCGCGGAACCGCCAGCTGACCAGCGGCGGCAGCTCCGGCGGCGAGAGCGCGCTCATCGCGTTCAAGGGGAGCCCGCTGGGCGTCGGAACCGACATAGGCGGGTCTCTGCGCATCCCCGCCGCCTGCGCGGGCATCTACACGCTGCGGCCCAGTTTCGGCCGGTTCCCGACGCTGCGCTGCCGATCCGGCATGCCGGGGCAAGAGGCCGTGCAGTCCGTCAACGGGCCGCTGACGCGCACCCTCGCCGACCTCGAGTTCTACTCCAAGACCGTCGTCGACGCCGAGCCCTGGCGCCTCGACCCGCGATGTCTGCCCATCCCCTGGCGAGCCGTGTCGCTGCCGCAGAAGCTGAAGATCGGCGTCATGTGGCACGACGGCATGGTGCTGCCCACGCCGCCCGTGACGCGAGCGCTGCGACACGCGGTAGCGAAGCTCGAGGCGGCTGGTCACGAGGTGGTGGAGTGGTCGCCGGAGGACCAGACGCAAGGCGCGAAATTGCTAGGCCGCATGTTTTTGGCAGACGGTGGTAGAGCGATCATGCGAGAATTGGAGAGGACGGGGGAGCCGATACGGCCTGAAATGACGATGTACGCCACTGCGCGGGAGCTAAGCGGGCTCGAGTACTGGGATCTGCACCTCGAGCGTCAGCAGTTCCAGAAGCAGTATCTTGATCGGTGGTTAAGCGCGGGTATCGATGCGATCCTATGTCCTACGACGCCGTATAGCACTGTTGAAAACGGCAAATTCAGACATGGTAAGTCCTCTAAATCTCCTTAACACGGAATAGGTGGCTCCTTGTTTCTATCAGAGCAGCGATGGAGAGCTTACTACCTATTTAGTTGGCTATACCGGCGTCTACAACGTGCTAGACTATTCCTGCATCTCCTTCCCTACGGGCGTCACTGTCGACAAGTCTGTGGATGTTGCGTTAGGCGATACATATAAACCCCTTTCGGATCTAGACAAAGCCACCCAAGCCGAATGTAAGTACTGATACTCATATCTCCGACTATTTATTAAATGGATCACATTATTGACTGTCGAGTAGACAATCCCGAAGCAGTACATGGAATGCCTGTGAGCTTGCAGCTGGTAGCGCAGAGATTAGAGGAAGAAAAGTGTGTAGAGATGTGCAAAGTTGTACTAGACGTATTATCATAGACATTAGATCTGGCCCAAAGGCACCTCTATCTAGATCAAAACCGACATGGAAAAGAATAGACTAATATCGTTTGTCCAAGCGGCAATTAACAAATTTGTGCCTGTTGATAGATTCCAAAATGGCAAGATATATATGCCTAGGTACCTAACAAGGATATCTGAGGCCATAGTATGAACATGTTTACAGATAAAATAGACCAGTAAATATCCGTTGGTTCCAGTTATGATACCCCACAAACTCCGATAGACACCAATGGAGTTTCCTCGCTAAGCCATGATCAAGACAAATTTTTGTGAACCAGAATCCCAGGTTCGAAAGCTAACGTCATCGACATGAAAGAATATAAATAGGATAGTATAACATATAAATCGTCCGATCGTTCGATTGCTGGTCGCCGTGACTCACCATATAGACCTAAAAGTAGAATTGTTGTTGCGATTGCCCGGGGGGAGCTTGTGGGAGGAAGTCGAAATTCATATCAGCTCCGGTATAAAAGGGATCTGGTGATTCTGTAGAGGGTAATTAGGTAACCTATGAAGGAGGGGAAAATAGACTCGACTACTTACCCCAAAAGATTGAATCATAAAGGTCCATGGGCGCCAGGGACGTAGGATCTAGTTGGTTCATGTCTGGCATCCCAACCTGTTGTTGGATTGACGGTTGATACGGCATCGTCCTACTAATCAGTCAGTAGCTTGCTTAGTGAAAGCAATAAATAACTCACGTTGAAAAATCCGGCATATTATTTCCATTCTGCAGCTCCGCCATAGCAAGAGCAGCGTCCTGGTGTCTATCGAATCCGGGCTGTAAGCGGAATTGTTGATTCATATTTTGAAGCCCTTGGGGAATTGCTGCTCCAGTCGGCGTGCGAGCCCCAGACGCGCTCTCGCTCTTGATTCCAGATGCTCCGTGTAGAGATCCATAGTCGTATATGTTCTTCAGCGCTGTTAACGCTCGAGAGAGAGGGCCTGATAATTCAATATCTCTGTCGATCTTAGGAATATGCTCCGGGGTAGGGCTTGTCTGTTCCTTTGCCGCTGCAGCTGATAGAGCAGAGATCAGATCTCCTTGGAGCCGACGAACTTCGGGATCCTGCTTCGTCTCACATAATATACCAAGGAGAACTGCGGAAGAAAGTCCGTGATAGGTGAATGCCCAACTTCGAGTCGGGATGAACGATAATTGGTGCATCGATAGAAACATTCGTACAGTCTCGGTTAGATTATCCTTGCATTTATCGGCCAAAGCCTTTTTCTCGACAGCCTCTAGCCTAGTACAATCTCGACGGAGAGCTGGGCGACAACAAACGGATACCACGAAGGCGGTGTGCAAACGTATGGCGTAGTGCTGTAATTTATCAACCACACTCTTGCAAGCTTCTTTGCTGCGCAATTGGGGGAAAACTCTTTCCCGGATGGATTCGATAGCTCGGCAGTTCTCGAGTATCGTTTCGTACGAGTAGTCGGCGGTAGCGTCTGGGTTGAGTTGTTGCGAGATTAATTGGCACAAGGTGTACATCGCTTCAAGATACGACAACCCCTCTATATTAGAGCTAGGCGACAACGGAATCGGACAGCATTGAATGTTGGTCATATTAGGGCTGTAACAAATATAAGCGACGCGGTTTGGACTATAGCGGATTGGGATTCATTACCGGTCGAAAGACAACGATGTCAACGTATCATGCCATACACAGGTCCACCTAGGCTATATTAGTAGATAGACTCAATGAGCCCTTGGATTATTCTTACCATAACTTTCTTCGCGCGTATGTCTTCAACGATAACTCGACCGAACTAGACTCGTCTTGTGCAACAGCCCGGTGAAGACCAAGTGATTGTGCTAATCGGCATGTCATCCCGATCAAGGCCCATGAAGCCTCAGCTTTCATGTCGTTGAGAAGACAGAACCCCGTCAGCAGGAGCGCTTGGATAGAATCTAGGTTGGGTCTATTATAAAAAAGGTCAGAACGAATAAGAATACCTATGTTCAACTGACTTATGGCATACCGTAATAAAAAGTTCCCGAGCCTAAGGAAGTGGAACGATATCTGAACGTATCTCTGGGCATCTCGCGTCCGAATATGGTATGGCGAATCGCGGTATTGCGAGCCGACGGCCATTACAGAAAAGAGGATGGCTAACCATGATGCGGAAACACGCCGGCTTGATTTGCTATGTTCCCTAGCATTTTTAGCTCGTTCCTCGAGATAGATCATAATACGAGATTCTAAATCATCGATATCAATAACAAATCCCCAGAATGGGTGCGCAATCTCTTTATAAGCTCTGAAAAGACTATATTATCGGTGTATTAGTATGCTATTTCGAAAGCCGGTAACAATCCAGCTAGTGATTTTCCTTCACTACTTACATCATTACTTCTCGATCTGAAGGAAGCTCAGAGAATATGTCTTGTGTTAGTCGATCAAGGTGCTTCAAGGACATTAGCGGGAACGGCGCGGAGTTGTCGAGCCCGAGGATTGGACGCATATCACGACGAATATCAACCCCATCTTTAGTATCTATTGGGGACGGCTGATCTCGTAATAACGCAGGAATACTATTTTGGCCAACGTAGCGTGTCATCTCTACAGGCTCGGGTTCATCTTCCAATATATACCAGTCAGCGCATTTAGATGCCTTAGATATTTGATAGAGCACACCTATTGCTTGAGCCCAACCCTCTGGCTGATGATCACTACCCTGGTCATTGTTGATACTATCGACGGGAGAATGAGGTCTTTTTCTCCCCTGGCTACCCTCGACCGACATGGAGGCCTGCTTGGAGGCGCTCGAGCGATTTGGTTTATAAGAGCATAGCTGTGGATGTTCCCTCTTGACACAGTTTTCACAGGGTTGCTTGTTGTCGCATTTCACCTTCCGCTGCCTAGATAGATGGATAATATTTAGTTTAGATGTTCACCTATAATATAACGAGGATAGATCGAGTATATTTAATCGCGACACACCTGCATGGCCAACATGCCGTACCTAGAAAGTGCTCGTAAGCTAACGTGAAAGTATAGATTCTACAATTATAGACTGCAGATATATAGCCCTATGCAGAGAAGCAATAAGTGTGGAATGGTTTAACATACCATATCGTACTTTGCGATGAGAGTGGATAATATGACTAGCTTGTTCTGGGGTCAGGTCCTGAATAGGGACCTGATTAATGTCTTGTTGTTCTGATGACATGAGCGATGATTCCGATTGTCTACCTATGAGACAAGACCCCCGCCACGTAAAGGCTCAAGCTACCTAAGGCTTGAACTTGGACTTGGAACTTGGAACTTCTTCGGGCTTTGGTTTGGAACTGGGAGCTTTCCGCCTCGCCCCAGAAAAAAGCCGAGGCTACCAATAAACGAATAGAAAATATAATTCGGTTATAGTAGCCGATCAGGGATGCGTAGTTAGCGCAAAATGATTGAAAGGTAATGTTAAACAAGCAAGCAGGTTGGCAGGGTCGGCCAGCCTTACGCGATGCGATGGTGATCGTAAATCGAAGGAACAATAAGACAAGAAAAATACCGAAGACCGAAGATCCTCTGGACCGCTGTTTTGAACGGAGCGGGGCAAAAGTCGTTAGAATAATCTTTGCGATTTGTGAATTTTAGAACCAGAAGTGCCTTAGCTTGCCAAGCTTTTCAAACACTCCGAACTTTCCGAACCTGCCATAATAGCTGTTACAGCTCATTTACTGCCCGTTGCAGCTGTCATTACATGGGAGAACCCCGCAGTTCCCCGCCTTTTAGGCCCGGACAAGACAAACAAATTGGGTACCCACATGAAAGAGCTCGGGCCATCCCGCAACCTTCAAGATCTAGCAGTTTGGCAGTTTACCTCCAAATCCACTTTCTCTTTTGGCAAGGGATTACATATCCAAACACCAAAAACGGGCATCCCTAAACCTTTTCTAAGCTTCCCTAAACCTTTTTGGCTCGATTTTGCGTCACTAGTATATCCTTACTAACACCTTTATTATTACGATCGCTTTATTGCCAATCGATTTGATGTGTCTTACTCTCTTTTATCCTTAGCTGCCCCCGCACCTAACGGTCGTATACTCGACATCCAATCGAACTGAGTCAAAGTTGGTTACTATACATGAAACTATCCTCCGCAGTGGAGATTCGGGATTTGAGATTTGAGATTTGGTAAGGATCACTGATAGATTTCCTGCTGCCTGTCCTGTGCCTCTTCGTTACCGTCTAACTTAGCGTGTTGTACGCACGTAAGTTGTGTGATGGTGAATAACACTGATTGGCCTAAAAGCTAATATGTCTTACTAGTCCTTCACTTTAGCCTCTCAGTTACATCCGTGGAACCCATCCCATCCTGTCAGCTTGTCTTGTCCCGTCCGTTTGGTTTGCCGAATCGTAAGGCGGTATATGCAGTAATATGGCTCCGCATCCACGGCTTGAACCAAACTCTACATACCCAGTTACACCATCTAAAAAACGGCTTAACGCTGCTGAGTTTGACATTTGGTTTCTCGAATTTTCTAATACCTATAACCTCAATTTGAGGCGAACTCCTCCAGACTTGTCTCCGCAGAAGAAACGATCTTTACCGTACTATCCAGAATTGCGATATTATGAGCACCTTAAAGTTCAATACTTCAAGGGAAAGCATGTGTTAATACAGGACTTGTTTGCCCAAGGGGCGAAAGAGATTCATAGCAAGTGGATAAAAAAGCCACATGCGGAACCTGGAGTTATCCCTTTCCCTAGCCAACTCCCTCGGGCAACTACTGAGCCTGAGCGTTGTCAATTGCTGGAGCTGCTTGGGGCAATTTTGGATGACATTAGCTCGCTAAATGTGTCACGACGTTCTTCCGTCGCACTTTCAATCTCGTATCAATTTTATGATGAGCCTTCGTCTCCCACGAGGGACCAACGCTCCAAGCGTTATTCCGATGAATGGCGGGGAAGCCCTACTCCTAAAAGGAATAGGAGCGCACCCTCAGAAATTGACACAGAATGTGATCCTGATGATGAACGGCCACCTAGTGTGCTTGATGCTCTTGATAGGGGTCGCGTACTCACGGCTAGTCCCGTACCCAGCCAAATATCGTCGATTCAAGGGCCGAGTAATTCAAAATTAGGTCGAAGTAGAGACTCTTACCGGGTAGACGTTACTGCGGATACAAGTAGGTCAACTTTTGCGTCTCGAGTGTTCTCAGATCATGACGAACATCAACCCATTCCGGTCTCTCAGGAGACCCAAACCACTGTAATTGCGAGCAACATGGGGAGCATGAAGTTTCCGTCCTCGCGAGTAATCGGGTCTGATTCGGATTCCCTGGCACCGTCTTCTAGCACCGAACGTGCCCTCCACATCTCATTCGATCACCACCATCAACTACTTCAGCAGAACGTGAGTGAGCTCCTTAGAGACAGATCGTCAATGTATTCCGACTTCAGCTATTCAGAGCAAGAGACCACACGTTCTGTTACCCCTTCTCAACTTTCTCCCTCTTTGCGTCCAGCTTCTCCACCTACAACTATTCAACATCCGGTGCCTCCCAGAGTTCCTTCTCCGCTCTCTCTTGACAATGGAAAAATAAGGAATATACCGCCACCTGTAGTATATGGAGGTAGCCAGGAATTTGAGCATCGGCTTCATGATGTTTGGGGTAAGAATTGCCCCTTTTTAAAATAGAATTGCAGTTAACTCTTGCTAGCTCATCTTCCCGATCACTATGATCGTGCCCCATTTGTGGTTCGCTGGGAAATTCTACGGATTGCTCTTCACTGTGACGTGCAAGTGCAGGACCTGCGCATTGAATACGATCCATCGTGGACCGACCAAAGGACGCTATGGGCGAGGCTTCAAGCTTTACCTATATTCCGTGGCAAGTCCTTTCCTGAAAGGTCCCGACCTGAAGCCTGGACTGCCGCCCTAAATGATAAGTTTGGTACCAGGGATCAGGTAGTTGTGCTTACTGCCTCGCTCACAGCGAATACGTCAAGGAATGGGCCTTCATTTCTTCTTAGGCTTAATCCTCTAAAGTTGGATCTCCCTCATCGTCTAAGTCGTAGATTTGGATCAGACCGTTTCCTTGAACTTGTGATACCATCTTTAGCTTCCCAGGATGTAAAAAACTTCGGTGAATCCGCTATAGAGAGTATCCAGCAGTGGCTAGTCAATGGATCGCACGTGCTGCTTGGCCGTGTATGGGCTTCGTTCTATCTCAAATCAGCCTTGCCCAAAAAGATTACTAACGAGAACGCCCTGGGGCCCCAGTCTAAAACGATACATCAAGAGCGGATATACCTCTTCGCTGAAGACGGTAACGATTTTCGCCGTCTAGGAACAAATGAGCGTTTTTCACCAAAGGGTGAGCCAACGGGAATGCATAGCAAGATGAGACGAGGAGATCTTATCGAATGGCTCTTACAAACCCCCAACAATCAGACCCAGCCAGTGCTGAAGCTCTTTTCGCGTATCGCGCTAGGTATGATCAGCCAATATCTATAATCCCCCATCAAAACATTACTAAGGGCATTTAGGTCTAAGTCGTACGCATCCGACTATTATTCTCCAACCTGAACAGATTCGACACCGACCCAGTGACATCTTATCACCCACCGACAAGGTTATGAATGACGGCATTGCCCTCATGTCTTATGGCCTTGCGCGAGCTGTACGTGACATGATGGGTTTGCAAGACGTACCGGCAGCTTTTCAAGGCCGATTCGGTAGTGCAAAAGGTGTTTGGCTCCGAGATGCCAATGATACCAGTGATGCGATATGGATAGAAACAACTCCGTCTCAACGCAAGTGGAATTGCGATTACATCGAGGACGACCACCGGACATTCGAGGTTCGTAACGAATCCAGAGAGCTTAAATCTGCCAATCTCAATTTACAGCTTCTGCCGATTCTTGAAGACCGGGCCATCAATGCAGCTCAAATGAAGATCCAGGTTGGAAACTTCATGAGAGACAGCCTCATGAGAGATCTCGATGCCCAAAAGGCTGCTATGCAGAGCCCTACCCAGTTTAGACTCTGGGTTTACGAAAACTCACCGTCAAGCCGTCGGGCGGAGCGTACAAAGCATTGCCAGGTGCCGTTCACAGCTGGTCTCCCAAGTAGCCGGGAGGACATTATGGCCTTTCTTCTAGATAGCGGTTTTGACCCCGCTAAACTGAAATTTCTGAGCGACATTGCTTGGAAGCTACGGAAGGAAAAATGCCAGGAACTCCAAGAGCGGCTCAATGTAAGAGTTGGCCGTTCTACTTACGCATATATGGTTGTTGATTTCCTCGGGATTTTAGAGGAAGATGAAGTTCACCTTGGATTCTCCTCCAAATTTACCGATGAACAATCCGGGTTTTCCGAAACCTTCCTCCACGGATTTGACCTCCTAGTTGCTCGTACACCTGCGCATTATCCCAGCGATATCCAAAGAGTAAAAGCAGTTTTCAAACCCGAGCTAGGCTCGTTGAAAGACGTCATCATTTTCTCAACAAAAGGCGATATACCCCTTGCTGAAAAGCTCTCTGGTGGTGATTATGATGGCGATATCGCCTGGGTATGCTGGGAGCCGACGATTGTGAACAACTTTCATAACGCAGACATGCCTGACGCTCCAGACCTGTTCAAGCAAGGCATCATACGCAAGGAGGCTCTGAAGTATAACGAACTTGCGACAACTGATGACATTACCTCAGAGTTCCTTCTAAGAGCATTTAAGTTTAACTTGGAGCAGAACCTACTTGGTGTATGCACAAATTATAAGGAAAAGTTATGCTATGCCCGAAATTCAGTGCAAGATGGGCCTGCGATCCTATTAAGCACGCTTATCAGCAACTTAGTTGACCGGGCCAAGCAAGGCATCGTTTTTACGGACCAGGATTGGGCTCGGCTGCGCAGAAACCTGAGCAAAGCTGACCCGCCAGATCCTCAGTACAAGAAGAATAGTTGGAGTGCTCAAGGCAGGCCTACACATATAATCGACTATGTGAAATTTGGCGTTGGTCAGCCTATAGTCGAAAGAGAGCTGAAGACATTCCATGAGTCTCTTAACCAAGCCGAGAATTTTGATAAGGACCTCGTAAGGTATTATCAATATTATGAAAAACTCCAGAGACCATTCACCGAGCGGAGGGAGGCCATAAAAAAGCAGACTTGGGAAAGGATTCTAGAAAAGCTCAGGAAGGATATTGATGCTGTTGCCCAAGATTGGCCGAAGTCTCGCGGCGAATGGGACGCCAGGCTTGCCGGTATTTACGACAAATGGCAAGAAATTGAACCGACGGACAAAGTAAAGTCGGATACAGTCAAATCTCTGCTACTACAAGAAGACCAAGCTAGAATTGGCCTTTCAAGCTGGGATCTATTGAAGGCATCATTTGCCTTTAAGATGTACTACAGCAAATTCCCGAAATTTGTCTGGTATATCGCGGGCAAGCAATTGGCGTATTTAAAGGCTACATATACCAGTCAAGAGTCGAGTGCTCCGCCAGTGCTCATGACTCCCAGCATGTACGCCGGTTCAAAACCTGACAATAAATATGCCCGGGTCCTGGCGGCTAAAAACGACGGTCGTAACCTAATCGAAGGCGAAGCAATCAACGAAGAGGCGGCCACGACCTTATCAGACGAGGAGGTTTAGGAGAGTTCACCGACTAAGGACGACACGTCTCGTTTATGGATTGTTATCATCCCGGTCATTTTTGGCCGTTGGTTACGTTACGTTTTATGAATGAATGATGATACCCTTTGATTGATTTGTTTCTTGGATCCGATGCGAGCAATTCACTAATATTTAGCCCTGCGCCACTGACACTGAGCTTTATAGCATATGATATTAGAGAAATTATTGGTAAGTGAGCGTGTTCTCGTCAATAGCGGCTCCGTGCGCTGCGGCGCATGCTCGTATAGGTATTACCTACCTAGGTACCTAAAACATATCCATCGATAATAATCATTTCGGCGTGGCTATAAGCGAGATGCGTTCGCCGAAGACGTAGTTGTGACTTATCCGAGAACCATCTTAACCCGTCGTCAGGTAGATCTGATATGTAAAGTTTCTAAGCATATACAGTACCATATTCTCCAGCTATTAGAGTTATTTTTGGCATATTCTTTCTAGTTCGAGATGGAGCCTTATGTGAAAGCCATTCCTATTGGTTGGCATTACGTGACAACCGTGAACAACGCAACGTGAACCGTGCCATGATACTTTCTCATGATTCGGTAGATATGTCGATACGGTAGCCAAAGCCAGGCTACTATGTATGTAGATGGGATGTTCGGTTCGGTAACCACGCTGCCATGGCAAATCATGGCCCAACCATCCGGCTCGGTAGCTTACTGTCAGCATCGGAGGAGTGGATCATAAGACAACCTCATCTCGATGCTAATTGGATCGTCGTACTCTTCACGACTTCGCTCTTCAGCTTGAACCTCGTATCAAGTATACCTAGGTACCTCACCGCCCATCGGCTGTGGGGATTCCAAGGCCGTCCTCCCTGTGACATAGGGTAAGCGAACTGCGCCCGTAGGGACGGGAAGCAATAACACCCGTTGCGGTGGCGTTGCTCAGGTCTATTGACTATCGATGGCGACTATAAGTATAAGCTATATTTCTCTTTGAAGATGTTATTTGGATATCAACCACATAATTCAGTCATCAGTCAACTCTGCATTTACATAATATTTAATAACAATCTTTAATAATAACTAATAACTTAGAATTTCGAGTCTAAGAGCAATACCACAAACATGTATTTCAAGTCCGGAACAACATTACTCGCCACCGCACTCTTCTCTCACTTAGCGGCGTCACAAGGAATCTTCAGTTGCCATACTCGAGAGGAGTGGGGATATTACCCAAAGTGCTGCATGAACATTGACGGCCAAGTTGGAACAAACTGTGAGTTTCGCAATAGGCGACACTATTTTATATCCTACGAAGAAAGATAAGAGCACGTGCTAATATATTCTTCAGGCGTCACGGCGCATCAAATGGGTGCAACGGATCCGATTTGGGAATGCAACTTATTCGTATACAACATCACGGGATGTTGTCAGTCGATTGTAAGTTCATAGACAGCCCATATACATATACATATACATGTCTAGGTTATAACTATATGTATAAAAATGTATTCGAAAGTGTTCTAGTGCTGACCGGCATACAGGGATACAAGAACCCGTACAATAATATCACGATCGATCTCTGCGCAACTTCAGTAGATCCACGATAAATAGGAGGTGGTACCTATTAATACGGGGCCGGAGTTAAACAACAACTAATTGGGAAGTGTAGTGGGTTAAATGGAAGCAAGACGGAGATAAACGTATATACGTGATGTGATTTTAGCTAATAAGATGGGCTAGTAAAGATTAGTACATAATGTCCGTGGTTTGTAACAAGATACAAGTGTTGATATATGGGGGTGTGGAGGATGTTACTTTTTTATCATCCTGGAGATCCATAGGAAATACGACTCATACTTTGCTATCTTGCATATTTTCATGCCGGTAGACTTGGCGGTGATGTGATTAAATTACTTTATATCCGATCTACAGGGTATGAAAATTCAGCTAGTGTGTTGTAAATGTCAATGTCATAGACCTTTTAGGTACTTCACCTTAAACCCTAATGGAGATTGGTGATAACTTCACCTTATTGGCGTTAACCCCGCCACCATGTTACAGTTATGCCGTACAAAGGACCGGTTAGTGCGGGGGGGTATTTTGGAGATCAGCCAGAATGGGGGGGTAACTTGAGTATATCAAAGTAACCTACCTTTATATCATATAACTAAGAAGTATATATAATACCTGAGATCGACTAGAAAAGAGCATCGACTACTTCTCAACATCAATTAACACCTACTCAAACATCCTATCCTATTAGACTAGTTACTCGAGTTTTGATCGTATTCACTATGTCTACTACTACACTTCCCCTATCTTTAAAGGAGTCTCTAGACAACACTAAAGTCGAGTACCGTCGACTTGGCACCAGCGGTCTAAAGATATCAGTCCCTATATTCGGATGCATGAGTTTTGGTGATACCAAAGCGCAATCATGGGCTGTCGATGAAGAAAATGTAAGTTGAATTAGACCAATAACCACTTACTACTCATCTATATAGCTCCGCTAATACCATCCTACAGGCTCTGCCTCTACTCAAGGCCGCCTACGACAAGGGCTTAAATACCTGGGACACAGCTAACGTCTACTCCCAAGGCGCCAGCGAGGTTATCGTAGGGAAAGCCATCAAGAAATACAACATCCCGCGAGAGAAGGTCATCATCGCGACCAAGTGCTTCTGGGCCGTGGGCGAAACCCCCGACGTCCGCCATTACTACACCGGGGAAGCGGTCAACCGGTCCAAGGACTACGTCAACCAGTACGGGCTATCGCGGGCCGCCATCTTCAACGCGGTGAACGCGTCCCTGAAGCGCCTGGACACCGACTACATCGACCTGCTGCAGATCCACCGGTTCGACCCCAACACGCCCATCGAGGAGACCATGAAGGCGCTCGACGACCTCGTGCAGTCGGGCAAGGTGCGGTATATAGGGGCCAGCTCGATGTGGGCGGTCAACTTCGCGCGGATGCAGTTCGTCGCGGAGAAGAACGGGTGGACCAAGTTCGTCTCGATGCAGAACCACTACAACCTGCTGTACCGCGAGGAGGAGCGGGAGATGAACCGGTTCTGCAACGACACGGGCGTCGGCCTGATCCCCTGGTCGCCGCTGTGCCGCGGCCACCTCGCGCGCCCGTCCGCCGCCTTCGGCTCCACCGAGCGCAGCAAGCTCGAGAAGGACACCGCCCCCGGCTCCCACGGCACCGTCGAGCCCGACCTCACCATCATCAAGCGCGTCCAGGAGATCGCCGACAAGCGCGGCTGGAAGATGGCCCATGTCGCTCTCGCCTGGATCAACAAGCGAGTCGCCAGCCCCATCGTCGGCTTCTCGAGCATAGCCCGCATCGACGAGGCCCTGGGTGCGAAAGACAAGGTCTTGACGGACGAGGAGGAGAAGTACTTGGAAGAGCTGTACCAGCCGAAGCAGATTTCTGGCCATGCTTAGACGTGGTGTGCATATATGTATGTATGTACCTAATGTATGGGAGCTTGTATATGCGCCGGTATTGGTGGTGCTTTGGAGAGCTTGCATGGTATGAGCGCGAGCTGAACGCACGCGGTTCGAAATATGAAAAGTGTTGAGGATGAAATTAGTGTTATATAAACCTACCTCCTAAGTATGGTCTAGTTTTGACCATCAATTTATATTTATGTAAAACTACATTATATCTTGTGTATAGTTATTATATAACTATGTCTATCACAGTTGTCAGAACTACATCCCTACGTCTTAACCCCTTTTGGTTCAAATTTTGATAATAATATTATTTACTCTAGATTATTTAAACATAGCTTATTAGTCTATTTACATGTCAGCAGTAGTGCTTTCTGTTTCACGAAATACCAAACATGAATTACTTCTCTCTGCTAGAAGATGGGATTCCACACTACCCCTATCCTATGTAAGTCGTAAATAGGAGTTTACTTACATAAGTCATATGCATGTCCTAAAACTAGCAGTTTAATAGTATCAATGATATTACTCGAGTGGGTTTTTAGAAAAAGCCCCTTTTCGGTTTGTTATGTGATGTTGAATATCCTCATGATATGCAGTATCAAGAACATAGAACAGAAAAATTGATTGTCAACAAAGACATATTGATGTTCGCCGTCTAGCTGCTTCCTTTTCCCTGCAGCTTTTCAGGAATAAGGCTATACGACTCATATACAAAAGGCTCAGTATGTTTATACACGAGAACGAACACTTTGCTTCTTTCTCTTTGTGTCAAACAAGCTTATTTTTAAGGATACTTCCTTTCTTAAGTATAGTTTTCCTCTGACGTCTATATAAACCATTGGATATCCCGAACAGAATGTCTATGCAAGCGCTGCATACTCAGCAACTTAATAGACTACGAAAACCCCTTTCTACACTACATTCATACTGAGCCCCCTATTTCCCACAACGCTCACAGCAAAAAAATCAAAATACAGCAAACTTGCGCCATGGCTTGCACGAAACCGACAACTGACGAGACTACAGTCTCCGAAGTTAATAACACGGACGCCAAAAACCGAGAGTTCGTACAGCTCTGCGGCTTCCGTACCGAAGCAACTGGCCCTGTCCTCGCGGACCTAGCACAGAAGCTCACCCGGGCGTATCCAGTCAGCGACGACGTTATAAACCACCCCTCGGTGACATTTGAGCCGTTCTACTTTTTCTTCTACGGCTCGCTCCAGGCCAAGAGAACTCTAGTGCGCGTATGCGGCCTAGACGACGAGAACCCAACCCTAATCCCCGCGTCCATCAAAGATTGGAGAAGTAAGTAAAAAAAAAAAAAAAAACCCACCCCGCCCCTATTCGTACACGAGAACAACTGCTAACTTGAGACGCTCCAGTCATGATGTGGGGTGAGTTTCCCGCGTTAGTTCCCGCGGAAGGCAACGAAGTCAAAGGCATGTGCTGGAAGTGCGAATCCCCGGACCACGTAGGCTCGCTCCGGAGCTACGAGACCGACGCCTACCGCATGGAGCTCTGCAAGATCACCACAGACGAGGGCGAAGTGATCGAGAACGGACGGATATTCGTGTCGACGGAACTGGAGGAGGATCTAAGCGAGGGCGGCTTTGATCTCAAGTCGTATATTCGTCGCCACGCGCACTTTTAAGGGCCATTTAAGATCCCTGAGATGAAGAACTCGGCGAAGGAATTAGCCACGCTGTAGAGTTTGCTTATGAGGTCGGCTCCTAATGCAGTTGTGGAGAGTATGCACTTATTCTCAAGATTATCATTATTTATGTATTATTTAGAAATTAATTGCACGTATTGATTAAAACTAATTAAAAAGTAAGAAGAGAGTTTCTAATACTAAAGAACAAGGGTATTGTTAACTTAGGTATGTAAAGTTGAAAGAGTTAGACAAAACGATGCCTGTGGTACCCCTGAATTGCTCAAATAAATGTTGATTAACTATACGATATGTATCCGGTACTTAGGCACCTAATTATCCCTAATTATTCGTATTTTGGGTGTTTTACAGGGGTAGTGTATAATTCGCGTGTTTTATTATAAAACACGTGTAATAGAATAGAACATAGAAACCTCACCTTACCTAATGTTTCCGAGAAGCGCTGAGATGACTAACCGGGTTACTTCGCCGATTTACGGCATTGATGACTCTGTCTAGGACCCTGATATTGAACACCAACTAACATACCTTACATAGGTACTTTATCTACATTATCTAATTCCATGAGCTAGTCCAAGTAACACTACTATAATAGATCAGTACAATTAGCAAAAGCATTTTCATAAACATATCTACACATCAGAAATGATTTCTCCTTCTAGTAGACACTATGTCTGGATATCCAACAGTAAATAGTAACACTTAAGCGCAACGTAGTAATAAACGCATTAGAACACAAGACATTTACAACATAGCTATACAGTCACTTAGAAAGTCAACAATTTGTGAAGCTATATACGTATCATCTATTACTATTACAAGATATATACTAGTTAACACTAACACTAATCGTACAAACCTTCCAGCGTCCTCAGGTATCCAAGGACGAAGTATCACACCAAGTCATCAAGACAAATCACCAATACCAAGCGAGCCAAATATTTGAGTGGGTAACTTCTGGTATTCTTCAATAATCTGGAGATATCTAATACCTAGAGAGCGAGTTGACGCTAGATCAATCCACCGGGAAGCTCTGCTGCCTGAATAAGGGAGTGCGTGTGTCTAAGTCGTTGCTTGCTTGCTGCTGCCGAACATGAATTTTGTTTTGCCAAACTGCGAAAAAAAAAATAATCATGATTGATTCCATGATCCCAACCAAGAACCAAAAGAAGAAGAAAGCCAACATATTTTTTCTCGTCCTTCCCCTTCCCGCACCTTGTCTGTTGGGGAAGGGGAAAAGCAAAAGTCGCCATCCTTTTCAACCTCCTCTTCTCCCTCTGTTCCGAGCTGACCACCAAACTTAAATATTAAGAACAACATGTGGCGGGTAGAGAATACAACGAAAGAAAGCAGCAAGCAGGGCGACATCCCAAATCAGACAAAAAAAGCATCCCATGTGGTGGTGGTGGAAAGATGAGCACAACTACAAGTGGCGACACCGGCTAGGAGTTTAAAAAGAAGAAAAATGCTCTAATGAGCCTCCTGCCAGTGGCCAACCCACTCGACGTCACCGAAATCGTGGCGTCTCTCCTTACGCCAGTTCCAGTCTCGACCCTTGTTCCATGGGCATTCGCGTGATGCCGAGCGATGATCACGATTCCATTTGTGGTTTTGCTGATTGACTTGGTCCCAAATTCCTATTCCTCCTCCTGGTAAAGTATTAAATCCGATACCGAACTGGCGTCGGGATTTCGTTGAAAAATCCGGCGACTTAGGCTCCGGTGCTCCTGCGTATGCCCGGCGACGTTCCCCTAGGACCGCCCACTTGTCGACGCCGCTACGCTTCGACGGAGGCGAGTACCGACCAGGAAAATGCTCAGGCTGTACAACAGCAACAGGCTCGTGAAAGAAAAATCCATCCGCAACTAGGTCCCCATCAATGTCATTTGAAATGGTATCGTTCACAGGCGAAGCCTCTGGCTTCTCATTATCAGACGCTGGCGCCTGGTGCAAGGATACCTGATCCTGCCGTGGAGTCCTAGTAGCCTCCTTGCTCTCCTGACTCCAGGTCCTAGAGTTAAGCTCCTTGAGCGCTTGTAGTTGACGGGCGCGCTCCTCTTCGTCCTCCTCTACATCCTCGTCCCACATGTCGCTCCAGCTCTTAGACACGGCATCCTTCTGGCGACCAAACACCATCGACATGGCACTAAGAGTAGGCCTAGGCCTCGACATGGTAATGGGCAATGAGCCAGTCATCGGGGACGCCCTAGCAACAGTGCGGGCGGGCATATCCATAGGTCGCGATGCGTTGAGCGAGTTCATGGATACCGCGAGATTGGAAGTCAGGACAGACGAGATCGAAGGCGTTAGAGCAGAACCAGACATCCAGTCCGTAGTATCCGCAGACTTGGAGAACAGATCCTCCGTGTAGCTCTCGTCGTCGGGGATAGCACTGAGTTGACGGATATTCTGAGGCTGGGTTGCGTGTAGGGCCTTGGCCCACGGGAAGGCGCCTTGGTCCAGCTGGGGGCTCTGGATCGATGGCGTCCGGAGCGGCTCGCGGTTGGCAGTGGCGACAGTCGAACGCTCAGTGGTGCAGAAGTCATCCAGGGCCTCCTCGAGGGTAGTGAAGCTGACAACGCGGCGGAGGGCGCTCTTAGCACCCACCAGGGACCGCTTCTTAGGATCTAGATTCATGCACTGGACGATGACTTCGTACGTATCCTGGGACATGGTAGGGAAGACATCAAAAAGAGATTGCTTGTCACGCGAGAAATCCAGAAACAAGGGATCAGCCTCGGTTGGAGTAGTGAAGGGGTTTCGAGAAAAGAGAATGTTTAGGAGGCAGATACCGATCGCCCAGATGTCAGCCTGGGCCGGCGAGTATCCAGCCCCGGCCGAATCGTATTGCTCAGGCGACATGTATCTGTCACTCCCGACCGTATTCTCGTAGCTCCATCGGTCCGTGGTAGCCAAGCCAAAATCGCCAAGCTTCATCGAACCCGACTCGGTAAGAAAGATGTTCTCGGGTTTGATGTCTCGGTGGTAAATCCCTTTCGAGTGCATGTACGCAACGGCGTCCACCAGTTCGATCATGAACTGGCGGACGTGTTCCGTCTCCAGGGGGCCAAGTCCAGTGCGAATGGCTTCGTAGAGATCACCACGCGAGCAGTATTCGAGGACAAGGTACACGTGGGAGTCGGTCTCGAACGAGTGGATTAAGTTAACGATGTTGGGATGGGCACCTAGTAAGCGATGAGAAAGTAGCTCCTCGGAGTTCTCATCGACCGCAAATTCGATCCCGGCTCCGTCGGCAGCTGCCTTCTTAGTTAAGCACTTGATCGCAACGAGCTCATTGGTTTGCAAGTCCCTTGCCATGAAGACCATGCCAAAAGATCCATGATTAAGAGGAGAGATGGTTTGAAATCTCCCGTCGAGCAAAACGCCATTGTGAAACTTGTTTCTCAGGCATTCCATGACCGTTGTCTCGACGTGAGACAAATAAATCGAGGTAAGATGAAGTAAACTAGATGTAACCACGAATGATCGTACAAGCTGTATAATTGTTTTCCCCCCTTACCTAATGTCTATTTGGAAGGGAGAAAAGGGGTATCGGAATGCTTCTTGAAGAAATTGATGAAACTTTTTTGAGTGCTTGTACAGAGAGCTAGAGCTAGAGCTAGAGCTGCCAGGAGCGAGGAAGGTAGTAGTAGTAGATAAAGTAAATGTTGCCAATCCAAGAAGAGTTGGGTAAGTCGAGATAGTAGGAAGCGATATACAAGATGCCGGTTATGGGAAAAAGAAAGCAAAGAACTCCAGGTCGTCAACAGGTCAGAGGCTCATCCAGGGTATGTGAAAATTTGTCGGACAAATGAAAGCAATCGAAATAATCGTGAATAGTAGTTGGACCTTTGGTCCTGAAAGAGTGAAAAGGAAAAGTTCGTTATAAGGACATCGATACGATGGTCTCAATCTGAAAGAGTGTGGTTTAAATTTGTTGTCACAAGCCTCAAGTTAGAGGAGCTTGAGAAAGATTTATTTATATTGCGCTGCTGTTGGTTACTGTTGATGTTGATGTTCTCGTTGTTGTAAATGGTAGAGCGATGAGTCAACAATCGATCGATGCAACTTGTGTCCAAAGGCGGCGTACGTCCTAGGGATTTATTGAGCAGCTGAACTACTCCTCGGCTCTAAATATCATCTAAGCTGGATGGTAATTCGAGATGAGAAGACTCGTGAGAAGGATACGGCGGGATGATAGATATTTTACGAAAGTGGCTCTTGATGACCAAGCCTTTCGATGACTGGTCGGCCACGAGATCGGAGCTGGCAGAACGGGATGTTGGTGGTTATATAGGGCGTACCAAAATATGAGCTTCACGGCAGTCGACTCCCGCTAACTCGGCTCGATAGTTTGCTAATTAGGGAGCGAAGTTATGACTCCTCGTGACCTTGTTTAACAAGTGTGGATTGATAATAGTCGTTGTTCCAAGGTGGACCTGGTTCGGTGCGGATCCAGGCAATCAAATTACGAGTCAAGACGGGTGTGACGTGGTGAAGGCGCTATGAAGTCTAGTATCCGGACTTGATGGTTGGGAAAGTAGTTGAGAAGAGTACGGCGCTGGGTTATTGTTCGTCGGTTTTCTTTTGTCAGTGGTTGTTTTTTATTAACTGGTTCGACTGGACAAAGACCGCTGGCCGGGTTTGAATGGATCAGATCAGGTATGCGGAGAGAGATGTCGTGACCGATTTAGGGGGGATCGAGTGGAAAGGAGGAGCAAGAGTTGTTAAAAAGAGACCAATGGTCACCCTCAAAGGAAGGAGAGCTTTCTATTAATTAGGATAATGGGGATAGGAAGCTAAGATCCAGATCCCTTTCTCTCGTTACGTTGGTTGGCACTTTTTTTGGGAAAACGGAAGCAGGGAATCAACAGCTAGGTGGATAAGAGAGAAGGGGACAGAGAGTGACGGAACGAAGATTAAGATAGAGAGATGAGTAAGTAAGATGTTGAGGACGATCGGTAAAAGAAGAAGCGGTAGGAAATGGATGGATGAATTGGGAGAGAATAGTGAGAAAGAGAATAATAGCAAAAAGGCTAGTATGACCCGAAGGGGGAGATTGAACAACGAACTTGGCTGTGTGGAGGTGGATTTGGCTCGACCTCACTGGGTCCACTAGAACCAATTGTGGCTACTAAGCTACTGGGCTGGACACTTTTGGGTGGTGGGACGACCATGGAGCGATGCAGGCAGGCAGTCAATGGATGGCGTGAATGGATAGTGGAAGGAGAGAACTTGGTACTGCGCCTAAGTGGAGCATCATGTACGTATGTACGTAGTTCGTGACCGGGGGGAGAAGAAGGAATAAGGAAAGGACAAGGGGACTAAAAGGGACCTAAGGGGAACACAAGGACAGAAACAGCAGCAAGGAACAACAACAACTGCTGCTTCTTTGTTCTAGTACCTAGTTACATACCGTTGTGAACCTTGGTACTTAGGTAGTGTATACAGATATATGTAATAGGTTAAGTATATGTATAAGTATTTACCAGGTAACCTGAGTAACAGTATTTATACAGTAGATAGAGTAATCAATAGAAGGCGATGACGATAGAAGGACTAGATTAATTTTAACAAAATGCCACGCCATCAGATAACAAGGTACGTTCCTGAACAAGACCTGAATGGTGGAACTCCCGTGTAAACGCTTGGGGTGCATAAGGTACCGATATAGCTGTTTCGTCAGACGCGACGTTGAAATTCGGCTCGGCCGTAAACTTATTCATAGTATAAATAATATAAAATAAACACTGTATAGGAACTGAAGAGATTCGATCGGGATTGTCATGTAATCTCCCAATGTCCCTGCTCCCCAATCAATCTCCCAAGCTTTGTATGTACATATGTACCTAATGGTAGGCCGATTGGAAGCTTATCGAATCATGTACCACGCGGACAAGCATGAATTTTAGTAGGAATGTTACTAGCAGATGCACCGTATACAATAGTTCTAATAAGACTACTACCTTTAAGCACAAGCTAGTCTAGGATCGCCACACCGCCATCTACCTAATAAGAGAGTACCCCGATAACAAATTCTCACTGCAGAAAAGCTGACAACAGGGGTTTGAGAGACTAAAGACTCATGTATTCCTCCTTCCTAGTTGAAGGGATCTACATGTACACTCTATATCCTCGACAAGGTATTGCATTAACAAGCCATTGAATAGCATTGAAGGTCTGCTGGAGATTTACAAAAGTACACTAGAAAAGGGAGACTTGGACACGTTGCTACATACAAGACCCCACGATCATCTCTTGATGACAACCAATAATTAGCGTCTCGATTCTTCCAGCATATTCGGTTTCACATAGAAGACAGGATGCTTACTTATTGGTTTAAAGGTTATGCACTCCTTTTTACCTGCATCAGTACATTTATCAATACATCTTTACATAACATTTTAACTTCCAAGCCTTGCCTAGTTGGACTAGTAGCTTGACTTATACACAATAGTTGGATGCCTTTTTTTTGCTCCAAGTTGACCGCCTTTGTGTATAATTTCAATTTCTGCAGGATACCGGACACCATATTCATACACAATACCTAAGTTAGGTCTGCAGTAAACATTTAGGAAGGCCAACAAGGTTAAACATATATTTAAACATGTACCCGATACCTACTCGTCAACTTCCAAGTCGGCCGTAGCGTCGTACGTAGGAGATTATTAAAAGATCGATTCATATTAAAAAAGGGTGAATCACAGCCAGCTTGAGGTTTGACAAGCGCGAACACTCGAGCATCTGTAAACAATAGAACAACATTGAACGATAGAGAATTACGAATTGAAAGTTACCCGACATTGGATGGCACCTTACGGCGTCAGAAAGCGTATCGCAACCCCTGAATTGTTGGGTTCTCTTGGTTCTCTTAGTCCTCTTGGTATTTACCGGCTGAGTCTGGGGCAATCCTAGTCGGACTTTAATTGATACATCTGATGCGAGTTGGCATCATCTTTCCTCAAAAGGCGACAATGTAGGTAGTGTATGTAAATTCAATCCTACAGTACACTACACTACGCGAAGCAGATCTCACGATGGAGAAGACTACCGAGTTACATACAAGCTTCAATTGAGCATGATGCAATAACGAGGACAAGATGACTGATCGTCTCGCCCCCTTTCGGCAAGCATGGAAGAAGACATTCCACAGTACCTAGTGTACCTAATGCTCCGTAAAACAGTAGAACAGTAGAACAAATGGACACAGTCGTGTCCCAAGACTTGGGACGGATCTCTGTCGTGTGACCTAAAAACGGCAGTGTCTTAGTATTCCCCCACTACATTCCAGTAGGAGCAATACCTTTTCTCGTACACGTTCGTACACTTTAGTGTAAATCCCATATGGAAACTCATAATAGACCGGAAACAGTAGCGTCTTCCTACCCTTTCCGACACGGCCGAGATGCCGTCGTCATGCATGACTGACAACGCAAAGAAACGCGTTCGACGGTTTCAAGCCCCAAAATATTTTGGATCTCGTCCGAAAAACCATCCCCCCAAACAACACGCGAGCGAGTCAGACTTTTGCCGCAAACGGCCTCAAAGATAATGCGTTACGGAATCCACTTATTAGATCGAACGCTTTTATGTAGAGATCGCTGGATTGCGTGAGGGGGACGACCCCACGGCGGGATCGGGCAACGTCGAAATAACTAACGACACGCTGCCCGAAACACATTGATCTGTTACAGCAAGCGAAACGTGGTTCATTAACAGAACACAGATATAGAGCCGATCCGGCGGTGAAGGCGGAGATGGACAGACGATGGGCAGATTCGCAGCGCTATATCACTAGGCCGAAGACTTATCAAGTTTCCCTATCATTTTATGATTACGCTAAGTTGACGGAACTTGGCGTTGAATGACACGATCTCATCATATTTAGATATCATATCAGATAACATATGTATTAACTAGACTGACCTGATAGACTTGTCGTCCATACATACGCGTAGTGTAGTATAGTATACATAGTCTAGTTATTTGCCGTTAGTTAGAGGTGGACCGTAACTACAAACGCCGTGGCTGATAGCTGAGGATGGCTGAGATGCATCGTGCAGCTAGCCTCTCGGCGTTGTCTTGAAGTAAGTGCCCTTCGTGCATGAGGTTTGCTGCAAGCATGAATAATAAGGTGTCAATACTACATGTAGTAAGTTAACATATATGTAGGTACTAATCGGATAATACTAAATCGGCCATGGACTTTCCTAGCTAGACCATAATCATCCCGTTAACGAAGACACATGATAACTAAAAAAGAATCGAGTCGACTTACTGTCTTAGACTTGTTTATTGATATTACTACACTACGACACCATACATTGCCGTGGAACCAACCGTACCAGTTATCCAGTTGGATGGACACACGTCGTACCACCACAGCCTTCCTATAATACCAATCAAGTGATTTGTTTACTTGGTTTATTTGGAGGTTAGCAAGTTGAAAAGGTGGGTTGGCTGGGACTCCAATGTTTTCCGGCTAAGTAGCCGATATGCAGAAACGATGTAAAGAGGATGCAAGAAGACGCAACCACGCAAACCCACGATGTACAAAGATGCACAAGATGCAGTAGTCTCTTCGATCTTAAGTGGTCTATTCTGTTTTTAGCCTTATCGATTTAGTCTACTGATCCACTAAGTCCGTTTAAGACCCGCTAAGTACGTATCTGTACCCGCTTAGCACGTTGTCCTTTCCGGTTTCTTAAGATTTTAAGATTTGTTATCGAAGTTTATCGTTATCTGCCCTGTCAGCCTGGCCCCCCTCACCCCTCCATCTTGATATTTCCCTTGTCTCTACTTTTCCCATCTTGGAGTTCGTCAATTATCTATCCTCCGCTTGGAACACTTGGGAACTGCTACTACTTAACTTTGGTGCATCAAACTTTACCAAGACCTTGTTGGTGCAGTAGCGCGATACAGAGTGCGTTCCTGGGGGACAAGGCTAGGGATCCATTTGATTTTACTACCTTACCATTCGAGCATTTTTTTTTATTTCTTGACCGCCTTCTCGACGACACGCATCAAGACGCGGTGTGCCGTACGGGCTGTTTTTTCTTCCCTTAAACATTACTATCCTATTCGGTGTTATCCTCGGTCGGAACTGAACCGCAGAAGCAAGAAGGAATAGAGAAAAATTTTCCTCCTGCACGTCAAATTATTATTTCATGCTCTTATTACCACGTTTTTTTTTTTTATATCTTCGTCTTCACCGCTCTGCACCGACGGGTAGACTAGTGTTGGTTTCCGCCCCCAGCCCGATAGAATTTTTCGCTGAGATCTTAAGATCTTGAAATCTTGAAGACGCGATATTCCAAGAGAACGGAAGACCCACGGTTCCAGTTGCCGTCATGACCCCATCCAGCCCTGTGAAAGTGGTGCTTTTAGACATCGGTAAGGACAGCTTCTGAGCCTGACCTTGCTTGCCCTTGCTTCATATCATTATCATCGTCTAGTAGTTTAGACCTCTGGACGCATTAGCCTGGGCGTGCTGGCTAATACGTATCCTTCTAGAGGGCACAGTTTGTCCAATCTCCTTTGTCAAAGATGTCCTGGTAAGACATTCCGTTGGAAACCTCGTGTCTCCAATTCTCAAATCCCCCAACCCTACCACCCTTGTAGTATAACCCTGTATACCAGTACGTATGGCGATCGACCGCTCAGATAGTGGATGTGTAATGCGCCGTCCGTCTACAGCAGTTTCGGACCACTAAACTGTTATGTAACCTGGGGTTAAGTTGTCCTAGGATAGTTATATTCCGGCTATGACGAATTACGTCGCTTGGTATCTCAGCATCTAGCAACGCTGAAATGCTGGATTACTTTCGTTGGCTTACCGGAATGTCGATAAGGAGTCCACGTTGACTAATACGTGGTTCTAGTTCCCCTACGCACTAAATGTTCTACCGGAGACATTGAGAAACCAATGGGATAGTCCAGACTTTGCAAAGTATAGAGACGCGTTTCCATCGGAATATTCCTCGTCTAAGGATGCGCTAGAAGCACATGCCAGAGACCTTATGGAAAAGGATGTAAAAATCTCCTATCTCAAAAGCCTCCAGGGCTACCTATGGGCGGAGGGCTACGATTCAGGTGACTTGAAAGCCCCCCTATTCCCGGATGTTGCCGCGAAGTTATCAGAATGGCAACGCAAGGGCCTAAAGATAATGATCTATTCGTCTGGGTCTGTGGCGGCACAGAAGCTGTTCTTCGGACATACAGACGCCTCCCCGTCCGATCTGACACCGCAGATCTCAGACTGGTTTGACACCGTCAACGCCGGGCTCAAGACGGAGACTGGTAGCTACAAGAAAATCGCCAATCAACACCCCGAGTTTTCGTTTGGGGAATGGCTATTCCTAAGTGATAACGTTAAGGAAGTGGAGGCTGCTATCCAAGCTGGCATGCAGAGCGTAGTTGTTCAGCGTCCTGGAAATGCACCTTTATCGCCCGAGGTACCACAGCGGTTACGAGTCATAGAGACCTTTAGTTCCCTCGACGATGATCTCAACGTGCACACGAAGTAACTGGCCGCTCGGAAAGGGCCAGCAAGGCTAGCCAACGAGCAGAATACCGCCCCCGTATCGGGGGCGCTTACTATAAATCGAGAGGAGGACAGGCAAATAGGACTAAAAGGAAATAGTTGGAGTGCAACTTGGCTAGCCCGGCGGGCCAATCCGAGCTGGTCTCTCCGGTTGATAGTATCTAAAGAACTTGCAAATCGGCCGGCACTCAACTTGACGTGGGGGAGCTCACGATTTGTAGGCTAGTTAGCAGACTGATCGTTTCCTAGAGGATCCAAGTGTTCCCTATATCTCAAGCTTGATGATTAAAGGCTAGCCACCCGTAGCTTCGCGCGGAGCGGGCCTGTATAGTCAAGCGACTATTGCTCTAGTAGGCAGAGAAACTATACCCTTTCAGAATCATCCGTTGTTCCAGTATGAAAGCCGAAACGCAGGAATTGGTGTCTCTTCGAATCGATCGGAGACAGGTACACTTGCGTAGCATATAGTTTCACCGGTTGTTGATGTCTCGGAATCGTAGACGGGTTTCTCCAACGACAGATATCGCTGGTGACCCCTTACAGCTGGCATTATCATGAACCCTCCAAGCAAATTTCCGCATCGCTCGGGAGACGAGTAACGCTCGACGTAAACTAGCATATAGCCCATCAAAAGGTCCCGGCAATAACGCACGATTACACTACACGCATTGATTCCGTGAAGCTGAGGTAGCTAGCCCGTCTCTAACGGGTCTATCCTGTCTCCGACCCCGCAGCGCCCCCCAGGGATCTCCAACGCAGACGCACGCGTGATGATAAACTAGTGGATAATTTCACGACGCCCCCCCGGCTAGGTCTATGTAATTAAAAAAAAAAAAAAAAAAAAGGTCGGCGATCGTGGCTGGGACGTCGTTTCCGTGCTACAGGGTGGAATCCGGGGTAAACGAACTACGTACATATGGACATAGTGTACACTACATGACTCGTAACGCCAAGGGTGTCGTCTATCATTCTATACATGCACATTATGTTAGGTAACGAACGGCGTAGTTGATTTGATTGCTTGATCGTCTGTCTGTCATCTGACCGAAGCGGGGTCTGGGCTTCATCAACTGGAGCCAAGCCCCATCTCCATATGTACTGTGTGTATGTATGTACGTCTGTATATGCATAGGCAGGTAAAGAAAGACATCCGCTTTCGCCGTTGCCGCTGGCAACTCTCGTTCTTGAATCGTAATATCGTGGTATTGTGACTAGATTCCCGGTTGGAGTGACGCCGCCTCAACGTACGCAGGGCCTACTCCCTCCCACGAGGACTTGTCGCCAACCTACGGGTCTAGAACACATTCCAGGAACGCCATCTTGACAAATAAGAAGCCCGACTAACCAATTGAGCGTCTAGCAGATGTCGATATTATGTAACTAAGGAAGTAATGGCACTCAGACGCCCTTGAATTCATAATCGTTTCGAATCGCATTGGTCCATTGCTGGTTTAACAACCTGCCTCTGGTTGGAGTTGACCTGACTAAGGCGAGTCGGGAGATAGCCTTATCTATGCCCAAGGAATAGACACGCGCTCGTCTGGCCTAATATCGTCGTCGCTATGACATTCCCATAAACAATAGTCCCAGTAACGAAGCGTGGTTGCAACGAAGACCCCGGGTAAAGTTGCCGCGTAGAACGCTAGCGACTAGAGGAGAAACGGTGGTATACGTTTCAAGTAGGATCGCCAATATATTCCCTGATATCACACTAGCTCAGGTAATCACATACGACCGAACGAATTGCTGCATATTGTGAACTATAGCAATTGATCCTTGCCGGGAGTGAGATATGCGTTTCCATCACCAATCATCAGACAAATATATCGTCAGATATTCGACTGTTCCCCTTAGACGGGAGCCCGGAGTGCCCCAAAAGCCGTTTAGTCGGTTCCCATACAAATGGCTCGGACGTCGCCTGACCTGAATTTCGATCCAAGCCTATCGGGTAGATAGACGATTGACTGCGGGGTAGACCTAGCACCACACAAGCCCACTGACTGGCGATCTCGATAGATAGATAGAAAGGTGCCCTCCCTACTAACCCAGCTGTCAGAAGCGCACCCAGTGGGATACGCATCGGGCAGATTGAGGGACAATAAAGTAAGGGGTAGGGCAGAAAGACGGCTGACTGACACTAACCTGAGGTGGTAGCGCACGCAGACTGCAACCCTTTCCCAAGAATAAGCGACGAGAGCGTTATCAGATTAACGCGGCGACGGTACCCACCATCGCAAGTTTTGTCGACATGTTCGGATCGATTAGGTGGCTATGCGTTTCATTTGCGAGCCTTGTGGGTGTGAGCGGCACTTAGAGTTAATTGAAAAAACCGGCTGTCACCCTGACGAGCCACGAATCACGATGGCAAAGTTGTTTCTCGAGTGGCCAGATCGAAGTTCCAATTTCTTGAACGTCGTAAGAGGCGATTGGAGCGGCGACTTCCTGACCCAAAGGTAGTAGACAAGTTTCTGAGTGGTCTTGCTCTGAGCTTTTACGTATCCTAATGTTCTCATGATAGACTCTATATGAGCCTCGTTCATATACCTTGAGTTGGTGACGCACTGTCGTATGCATTGGTTAGCAATGTCCGTACATAGTATCAGCAAGTAAACCTAAAGGAAATTGCTTGCATGTATCACATGCAGATACTAATAACCACGCACCTAGAAGTCGGCGAGACCCGAAAAGATAGGAGACAGCTTTGATACTGAGATGCAACTTACTGGTGCTGGTAGAACCATAAACAGACTTGGAAAGATATCACGTAGCTGAGATGAGCTGTCTGTATTAGGTTCTTTTAGAAATTCCAAAGTTCTGAGAAGCATTTCACCTCGTCCTATAGCATCAGGGACAAAATTCAAGACTAAAGAAAGACTAATGATATCGAAACGTTCCGAGTTATCCTTAGGTAGCGGCTTTTTCATGAAGTCTTGCTGTGTGATGCCATCGCTTTGACTGTTCAAGTCTATCCTTTCCATATCGAAGACACCGCTCCTCGAGCATACATTCGTAGTGCTTAAAGCACCGACCTCAAGCATTTTCAGCCGAGTCTCTGCAGGGGAAGCGAGACTGGAGTCCATCGACTTAAGCCAATCCATAAGCACACGGGAGCTGTCTCCCCCACGGTCAAGGCGTTGGCCCTGAAGGCTGGCTTGTTGGTACTTCTCAAGGCCACCCAGGGCAGCAATCTCTGCTTCAATCGTAGTCTGCGTAGCTATATCGCCTTTAGCGATAGCTTGAACTTTCTTCTTCTCTAGAACATGGTGAGAATTAATTAATGTCCTAGTAGCCTTTCTTGATATCGACTTCGGTTTTAAGACGGTTGGAGGCCGCCCTGCAGTCAAGTTCTTCACTCGACCTCTCTTATTTACCCCCATCACACCGGCCAATATCAAGTTAGTGGCCTAGTTTCTGTTGTGTCGTATAAATCGTAGTAAGTCTAATGGTTGTGTTAAAGAAGAGTCCGGTTGTCTGGTATTGGAAAAGTACAAAGACAGTGTCGAGTTGTTACAAAGCACTGTATTGTAGAGTATAAATCAATAGACAGACACAGTGTATAAAGTTTTAGGAAGTCCGTATATGTCACGTGCCAGCGCATGAATTTTTGGCACTGGCTAACTAATTGAAATCCCCCGAAGTTTTACAGAAGTTTACCCAGAAACTTCTCAGTGGGTCCACAACGCAAAATTACCCTAAGCGAATTTTGCAAAATCTACCTTCAGCCAATTTTCGACCACTCGAACTTCGCTCGATCTTTTTCAACCTCCTCGAGACGACAATCGCGAAGTCATACTAACAGCCAACATCCGCCAGCACAATCATAATGGGTCCCAAGGCTCCTGTGAAGAAAGGTACATCATCATCACCACTATTACCACCATAAAATATAAAGTCTCCAGTCGTCTTCGACAAAATTTCCCACACGATGATTATTCGTCGGAATTGGCGCTGCTTCCGCGCGCCTCTTCCCGGCCGATGCGTCGAGCAGAGCAGATTTTGCGAGTTCTGATTCAAGAGCGATTGCTGATGCGTTTTTTCTCTACACAGGCGGTGCCTCCAAGGCGCCGAAGGGTCTGAAGCAAGCCAATGCTGCTGCTAAGGCTGCCCTCCGAGGCGTAAGTTAACAATAACAATGTCGATATTAATATGATTGATGATCGACTCCCAATGAAAATTTCTAGCTCTCGTAATGCTAATGGTCGGCGCAGGATAACTCGCACAAGAAGCGCAAGGTTCGCACCTCGACGACTTTCCACCGCCCTAAGACCCTCCAGCTCTCGCGCTCGCCCAAGTACCACCGCAAGTCGGTTCCCCATGAGCCCCGTCTGGATGAGCACAAGATCATCATCCACCCGCTCAACACCGAGAGCGCCATGAAGAAGATTGAGGAGAACAATACCCTCGTCTTCATCGTCGATCCTAAGTCCAACAAGGCCCAGATCAAGCAGTCCCTCAAGAAGCTCTACGATATCGATACCGTCAAGATCAACACTCTTATCCGGTAGGTTTCCGACCACTATCAAAATTTGGTCTTCATGGTATTTTGGGTTGGTACGATTTTACTAACTACGTGATACAGACCTAATGGCTCCAAGAAGGCTTACTGCCGTCTGACCGCTGACGTGGACGCCCTCGACATTGCGGCTACCAAGCTCGCCCTTGTTTAAATTAGCGGGTTCGAGAGGGGGATACCTGATTCGCGCGGTGGTTCGGCAATGATTTGGCAAGTGATGACATGGCAGATTGTGCTGATTAGATGCACATTCTCGAGTCCGGGTGGACTATATGCATAAAGGCCGGCGTTGCGTTGCCTATGGATGGCTAGGCTTATGAGATCAACGGAAAAGAATTGATTTCTCAGACACGAATTATTGAACTTGTTTAAAGTGATTTGATTGTTTAGTTATGTGTTTTTGCTTCTCAAATGATCTATTAGTGGTGGTGATTTTATGGCTACACGTTTTATACGTCCATCTGGCGCCTTTAACCCGGTCCCCGGATACCGCATTGGAGATAGTTCGTTCCACGCAATGCGCTTCTAGCCCTCCAACTCTTGATTCCCGTAGCTATTCGTACAATTCCTCATCATACCTAACGTATTCTCTCATGGCCGGTGCATGTCGATCGTAAAATCCCATATCATCGATTTTCCGCAATATCTAACCTTGGCGCAAGTTCTGCAGATGTTTGACAGTCAACTGGCTCACGTCGATGAAGCGGTTCGCGCAGTTGACCATGCAGCCCTCCTCGCCCTTGTCCAGTTTTCCGCTGCGGACCGTGCCCGTCATGCACTTCCGGAAGCACATGTCGGTTAGGGAGTGAACGGCTGCGGAGGGGGGGGGAGGGAAGATATGTGTTAGCTAGGTGGTTTAACCGATAATTCCGGATTTCTGGGTTTTTTGCGCGGAGGCGGGGGTGAGATGAGGTGAGTGGGTGGATAGGTTAGGTAGGTAGGTAGGTAGGTAGATAATTTGTACAGCAAGGTTGAAGGGTTAGGGTTCTGGAGGGAGAGAGAGAGAGAGAGAGAAACTAGGTACGTAACGTACTGGTCTGGATACGAGCCTTTTGGCCCTCGTTCGCGAAAAACTGGCGCAGCTCGGCCTTGTCGTTCTCGTTCAGCTTGCTGAGGTCGAAGTCGTTGAGATTGATGTTGCCGTCGGCCATTTTTGCGGTGTGCGTATGTGCTTTGAGAAGGTAAGGTAAGGTAAGGTAAGGGATCGCGGCGGTTATGTAAGGGCGAGTGAGTCTGACGCGGGGGGTAGTTTTGTACTGCGAGGTTGGTGAGGGCGATAATGATATCTATTTACTCGAGGACGAAGTAAATTTCCTGGAGGAGCTCTTTTTTTCGTCTTATCAAATTCAATGTGTATTGCTTATCGATAAGACTTATACCCACTCATATATACCCATACTTTGAATATTGAGATTTCATGAAGATTCTGAGCTTTTCACAAGGGATACGCCGAAGGAAGTAGGTGTATGTACTTGTGAATTTATATATTTTTTATATGGTAGTATAAGTTTCCATGTAGAGCCAGCGTTTTCTCTACCTATAGAAAAATTTCAGTTAGTTTACCTTACAAGTTGCTCACGGGATATCCTTTTCATTTCCAACCTCCTTTTGAATCCATATATACAATGACCTAGCCTTGGAGTAACCTGAATTCATCTGTTGAAGAAGCTATAACGTTTTATAAGAGTATAATCCATCTCTAAATGTACTTGTAAGGGTTCATAATGCCATTCTAGAGATTATGTTAGTATAGCCTAAATATTAAATAATCCTAGTGAGGGGATACTGACCGGATCGTAGAGGTTCTTAATTTGCTTCATCAATCCTATCGTGGTGTCATTGCGGCTATACCCGATGTACTTCTTCTTGGCAATACCTAAGCCGTGCTCGGCACTGATACTGCCATTCCTCTTGCTGATCCACTCGTAAACAAACGGCTCGAGAGCCTCCTCTACCTTCTTGTCATATCTTCGCACTGCAATATTTAGGTGTAAGTTGCAATCTCCCATATGACCGTAACCAACAACGTCGACGACAGGGGACTCATCGGTGCCATCCTTTAGCCCTGCGTCTTCTAGCCTCTTCCTAGTATCTTCCACAAGCTGGTACATTTCTTTTATGGGAATAGACACGTCGTATTTGTATACACCACCCCAATGCCCTAAGGTCTCCGTAATACCTTCTCTTTGGCTCCATAGCGACCTGAACTGGGTCTCATCTTGTGCCATGACACCATCGCTGACAATCTCCTTGGTCATGAGATCTTCGAGGAAGCTTTCCAACTTCTCGCTATCATGTTCCGAGTTTGAACCGCTTGTCTCTATTAGACAGTAGAAAGGGTGTTCGCCATCGAGCGGTCGCTTGTTTCCCTTGACCTTGTGAAAAATATCCTGACTCTGGGAATCCATCAATTCGAAGGCAGATAAGATTTCACCAAGCTGCGTCTTAGCTTCTCTGAAAGCCTGCAGGAGCTTATCGTAAGATTCAACACCAAGGAACGCAACATTAACAGCTTTGGATCGTTGGGGGCAGTGTATCGATACTGCAGTAATCATTCCAATGGTTCCTTCTGCGCCAATGAAGAGCTGCTTCAGGTCGTAGCCGGTGTTGTTCTTCCGTAACCTGCTCAAGTCATTCAAGATTGTCCCGTCAGGAAGAACAGCTTCGACGCCTAAGACGGTCCCGTGTAAACTTCCGTACCGCAACAACCGCAGTCCGCCAGCGTTGGTCGAGACATTGCCGCCGATGTGGCAGGAGCCCTTAGCACCAAGGTCTAAGGGGAAGATATAACCCTTCTCGGCAAGGAACTGGTCGGCTACTTCTAGTACGACGCCTGCATCCGCAACTAGGACGCCGATCACTTCATCAAAGAATCGGATCTGGTTCATTCGGCTAGTGCTGACGACGATCTCATCGAATACAGGTACAGAGCCGCCGACAAGACCGGTATTACCTCCTTGAGGGACAACAGCCAACATGTTTTCATTACAATACTTCAGGATCTTACTGACTTCCTCGGTAGATCCCGGTTTCAGCACCAACTTGCAATGACCCTTGTACTTCCGCATCCAGTCCATATTGAATGGTTCTATTTCATCTTCCCCAGCATTTCCGGTTACACCGTCGACGATAGCCGAATCCTTGCCGAGAAGGTTCTTAAAATAGTCCACGTGCTCATTTGTTATCTGAGCAAAACGGCCATCCCGCTTGATTTCGGGGTAGGAATCGGTTGTGAATCCGGCGCATCTTACACTAGATTCTCGGAACCTCCTCGGGGCCGTGCTTGATATACATCGCACAGCAGATGTGACCGGGTTGATAACCGCTATGGATCTTCTTAAACTCGGTATTGCTACCCGGTTCAAAGCGGGAGCGAGTCTTGACCTGCAAGCCATGTCTAAGATGATCAAACCGCTATCACGGACGACGATTATAAAAGTAAAAACATTCAATTGAGTTTTAAGCTTGAACTACTGGGATGATGCAGCAAAAAATAATTAATTCTATGGAATTAGCCGATTCTATAATGGCGGCGAAACTCTATTCCCGGGCAACCGCTTTTTGTAATACCTACTACCTACCTATACGTAGATACATCCGATGTACATAATGCAACAGGCGATAGGTACATTATGAGGTACATAGATCTTACGAGGGACCTCAGCCCATAGATCCACTTCCAACTTAGGAGTCACTCTAAGGCCGAGACCTTGTATTTATCTCCTTATCGATAATTATTAAGACCCCGTAGCGGGGCTGGGAGAATAAGGGGGAGGATCCCCTTAGCAACCAATTATGGACGTTGAAAGAGACAAGAAGAAGTAGACAAAAGTAGACAATGTACACAATCACCAAAGCATTCCCAACTCGGCAGTTCAATGCAACGTTAGCAACACCACGAGAAGAGAAGAGAAACAATGATTATGCAGAATTAATCTGTATTTACTATTATTTGTCCAGCCTCTTAATTGTTGCACGACTTTTAAGCCACCAGTATTTCAACATTTCAACCCGATTCCGCGCTGCGCCGCGCCTGTATCCCGTTACAACATTTCTACAAAGCCGAGATTCCGCAATAAAGGAGACCTTTTCGAATAATAATTCTACCCAACCGATCGGAGCCCGAATTTAAGTATTCGCGATTCACGCCCGCCGTATTCCAGTATCTAAGTCTTCGACTTCTTCCGAAAGCGATAAATAGTCGAAGGCAAAAAAGATCGCAGAAATACGACTTCGAATTGTATCGCGCCCGCTCGTTCTACTTAAGCTGCCCCTGAGCGGCCGGGGGGCCTCGCCTCATCCAAGATGGCTCATCAATGGATTAACGTCCAACAGAAGACGTTTACAAAATGGTTAGCTAGCAAATCTCGATACTTCTTTTATTTATGATGAGAGACATTGTGTCTCGATTGTTAGTAGTAGTAACTAACATGACTGGAATGTTAGGATGAATAACAAGATTTTGCCGAGGGGTTTAGTGGTTAAGGATCTCGTTACTGACCTCAGCGATGCTGTAGGTATACCCGCTGCCAGACTGATATATATGTATTTTAACTGACGATTTTGATTCGTAGGTACTTCTAATACACTTGCTCGAATGCTTATCTAGTGAATCGTTGGGACGATATGCGGCGAAACCGAAATTGCGAGTACAAAAGTTCGAGAATGCGAACACGGCGCTCAACTTTATTAAGTCGAGGGGGATTCAGATGACCAATATTGGTGCAGAAGATGTAGTCGACGGAAATCGCAAAATTATTTTAGGTCTTATTTGGACTCTCATTCTGCGATTTACCATTAGCGATATTAACGAGGAGGGTATGACAGCCAAGGAGGGTCTTCTCTTGTGGTGTCAACGTAAAACAGCCTGTTATGACGAAGTCGACGTTCGGGATTTCAGTACCAGTTGGAACGATGGACTCGCCTTTTGCGCGCTGTTAGATATTCATCGACCCGATCTTATCGACTACGACGCTTTAGACAAATCCGACCACCGAGGGAATATGCAACTAGCATTCGATATCGCTAGTAAGGAGATCGGTATCCCCGATTTGCTAGATGTTGAAGATGTTTGCGATGTTGCTAAGCCTGATGAGAGGAGTTTGATGACGTATATCGCCTACTGGTTCCACGCGTTTTCGCAGATGGAGAAGGTTGAGAATGCTGGCCGACGAGTAGAGAAGTTTGTTAACAACATGCAAGGAGCATGGGAGATGCAGAGCGCCTACGAGAAGCGGATGGCAGAGTTGTTGCGACAGATCAGGGAGCAAGTAGAACAATGGCAACAAGCAACTTTCGAAGGAACGTACGTCGACGCAAAGAGGCAAGCAACCGAGTTCGCATCTTATAAGAGGGGCAAGAAGAGAGAATGGGTTGCCGAGAAGAGTGACCTGGCTACGTTATTAGGAAACATTAAGACTAAGCTTGGTACTTACCGACTTAGAGCCTATGAGCCTCCTCCGGAGCTGTCATTAGAGACTACGGATAGGGAATGGGCTAAACTAACCGAGGCCGAGATGATGCGCGCCCAACTAATTAACGAGACTATTCGAGAGTAAGTTATTCAAGCATAGTTAGTTACCATTCGCTGACCATTACCGCAGTATCAAGAACGCTCTACGTAAATCGTTTGCCGACAAGGCCAACGACTTTGCGCTAGCTCTTAATACAATGCAAATCGCTATCTCGGGTCTCGAAGGAGATGTGGAAGATCAACTTCTGCACGTGCGAAAATTAAGCGATAACCTGCCGCCGTTAGACGCTTACTTGGAAAAGATCGCAGCCGTCGACGCCAAATGTCAGGAAGCTAACATCGAAGAAAACGACTTCACAACTTACACGTACGACGAGCTACTATACGAACTAGGTCTCATCAAATCGTCTGTGCAGAAGAAGCTCGCCTTCCTAGAGAACCAGATGGTGGCGCGCAGCATGACGAACCTAACACCAATCCAGCTAGAGGAGTTCGAGTCCGTGTTCCGATACTTCGACCGAGACGACACGAACTCGTTGGCGGAGCTAGAGTTCTCAGCGGCACTGGCGTCCTTAGGTCTGGTGTTTAGCGAGGACGAGATGCACGACTACTTCGCGGAGACGTCGCGGGGTCGCGACAGAGTCACATTTGAGCAGTTTATCCGATTCATGGTAGACGTGACAGAAGACCAGAACACCGCCGAGCAGGTGTTCCAGAGCTTCCGCGAGGTAGCCGATGGTAAACCGTACGTCACCGAGATGGACCTGCGTCACTCCCTCGTCCCTGACGACGTTATCGAGAAGCTCTGCGAGATTGTGCCTCACCACAATGGCCCTGATATGGCGCAGGACCGCGGCGTCGCCCAATTCGATTATATCAGCTTCATGGAGAAGCTGATTTCTAGACCTGAGCGCCGCGGTAGCGATAGCGCCGGTGCTGCTCCTGGTTCTGCGGGGTCGGGGGCGCCGCTCCAGGATATTACGAATGGCAGGGCTAGTCCGACGAAGAAGGCTAACGGGTATCACTAAATCCCCCAGTCGAGTCGAGTCGAGGCAAGTCGAGCGTGGCCTGACTTATACAAGAGCGCCAGGGCTATTACAAACACACACATACAAACATACATACGTATTTAATAATAAGCAAGGCGAGCAGAGGGAAAGCTCTGGGTTCGAAACCGATCAGCTGCGTTAGACTGCATTTATACTTTTTTCAATGTTGCGGACTACCCCCCTGGGAGGAGAAAGGAGATAATGGAATTGTGGTCGGATTACAAAAAAAAGAACCTTCGCAGGGACGACAATGGCTATCTATGTCGCTACGAAAGCAAATTAATACAGAGAAGGGGAGACGAGAGACATGCATGGAAAGGGGGAAATATGAGGAGGAGGATAAAAAAGCTGACTCGCTAGCTGCGGCTATGAGAGCTTACCTGTGCTATGCTATGCTACGCTATGCTGGGAGGTCTAAGCTTAAAGAGAGAGAGAGAGATTAGGTTAGGCTAGGCTAGGCTACCTTTTTAGGGAACTGCACCACATCGATTGGGCTTCGATGTGTGTGTATGTGTATGTGTGTATGTGTGGTATATTGTGCTGTGAGCCAGCCAGCCAGCCAGCCAGCCCGTTTCACTACTACTAACTTAACTACCTAAGTGTTTCCGTTTCTCGAAAGTCGGCGTTTTGCTTTGCTTTACGAGTTCGAGTTCGAGCCAAGTCAAGTTGAACAAGTCAGGGTCCTGTTGATAGTTTATATATCCCATCCCCCCCTTGATTAATACAATACGAAGATAATAGTTGCACATTGCCATCATTGTTTTATTTTGATGTACCTGTCTGTGTATTATTTGATTTCATTTTATTTTGATGATTTGTAGCTGAGACGTGAGGTATAGTGTAGTGTAAGTGTGTGTGGATTGCCATCAGCGTCTCACTTAGATTCTCTCTCGGACAACTCCCATTGCCTTCCTCTATATAAGACCAAACCCATCCTTCCATCTTAGTTGCGACGTTCCGTCGAAAGAAAAAAAAAACTCCAAAGCCATGCAAAATGCGCTATAGATAGGATCTCACAAACCGTACACGTATGTACGTTTCTAGTAGTCGTAGTCAGTAAAGTCTATATAAAGAACGAACCGGTCGCCTATTCCTTGAAAGCATCCATATCCTTAAGAGCACCAGCTAGCCGACGGTAGTCTCGCAGTAGCTCTAAGACATCGCCAATCCTTAGGTCAGTAGGATTCTGGAGTTCCATAAACTTCTTCTTGGGCGGATCTATTTTTGGTATATCTTTCGGCGGCAGCGCCGTGGCGATATCTGGAAATGCCTAGGCGAGTATGTCAGTATAATAACTCCGTGTGAATATTCGTAAGATTCTCACCGTGGCCAAGTCTCCTCCGTCTGTCGTCTTAGTAGTACTATCCTTCGTAGGTGTCACGGGAATCGTTGCCGCGCGTCCAAACCCGCGCATCATGCTTATTCCTGAGAAACGGTTCATGGGATTCAGAGAATTGCCTAGATTCCGCATCGATTCGACCAAAGCCGGGTTGGTAGATGCAGGCGACGATGTTGCGGTTGGAGTAGGAGTTCTCTCCTTATTGTCCTCCGCGAACAGTACCTTTTTAGAGCTGCTTGCACTCTGAGCACTCCTTGTACTGTCCGTGCTTCGATCCCTTGCCGGCTTTTTACCACCAACAAGGGATAATAATTTATCATCCTTTCCAGGCGTTGGCCTCTCGGGATCCTCGGGTCCCTGTGCGGAATTCCCATCGACAGAAGTATCATCTTCTGGAGGCGGTGTGCCTATGAGCTTCCGTGCCTCGTCTAGGGTTCGCGGGACAACTAGTTCTCGTCCGCTGGCGGAACTATCTCGAAGTTTACCAAGTAAGAACTTATAGCTATCGCCTAGACTGGTTCCGATGTTCTTGAAACCTTGGTCGGCTGTGTTAAACAACGAGTCACTTGCATTCCCAAAAGCCTGGGCTGGACTTTGAATAAGGTCGCTCAACCTGCGGCGTTGGATAGCAGCTCGCAAGCTGTCGGATGACGGCGAAGGTTTTGCACTTTTAGTATTGTCAGGAGTTGATGTTGTTGCGGATAAGCCTGCCGTGTAAGCAGGCGGGAAGGTCTCCGTCCTTTGCATCTCAGGCCGGCTCTCTGATTTTAAGGGGCCCGACGACGCCTCATCTGCTCTAAGACTAGCAAGATCTACTGTTTGTAGGAAAGTGATTGCGGCCTCGAGGTTTGTTAAGCAATATGCGGCTTCTCCCTCCAGTTTCTCTTCCCATCGGAATCTTTGTATGAAATTGGAGTCGCTAATTACACCGAGTTTCTCAGGCGGCATCGTTATTAGCGTATAGATGAGCATCGGCATAATCTCGTCGGCTGACGAGGAAGGGTGGAAGTGAGACAACGTGTCAACGATGCTCTTATGAGCAGCCTTGAGGTGATTGAGCTTGCCTAAGGGGTACCTCTTCTCATGCATCAACATCAAGTCTTTCCGGGCTTGGTCTAAGTATTCTCGAATTTGCTCTTGCTTCTTCATGCGGGCTTCAGGAGTGTCCTCGGAAACTTCTCCGAGGTCAACGCCTAAATCTGCAGGCCCAATACCAACAAGAGCTAAAGCAGCCGTCTTAGATCTAAGCTTGTCGTCCTGCGCCTCATCTTGGGTAGTCCGATGCCGGTATATGCGGTCATAAATCCCTTCGCAAAGCCGTCTTTCAACCGCCTCTTCCAGTAGGATCCTCTTCTGCTCCAGCGCTTTCTTAGCTCGCTTTCTATCAGCAAACTCCTCAGCCGTGAGCATCTGTTGCTCTCCCTTGACTACAGTTTCTTTAGCTTTCTCCTTATTGGCAAAGGATGCCGCTTTGGCTCTTAATAAACTGGCTGCTGAACTTTTAGAATAACTCGACGGGGTTGGCGAAGTTTCTCGCATTTGTCGGGTAGCAAGGCTGTCTATATGGGTTCGGATATGCGAAGCAGCAACGTGATAGAAATCTTGAAATAGCCTAGACAGATGATCGATATTCGGTGGTGAGGGGTGAACCTTAGCGGAAAGCGAGTCGATAAAGCTGAGGTAAAGGTATTAGTCGTGTCCAGGCAAGACCAAGATTCGTCTGAACTCAACTTGTCCGCCTTGCTAATCAACTCAATCGGTATATCGTCCATGTCCACCGAAGCGCGGGGTGCTTCAACTACATCATCAGTAGTTTCTGACTCAAATGTATCCATCTTCTCTTTCTGCCTTTCTGGTGGAGTTTCCTGGGTAATTGTAACGGGCGGGATAGCACCATTCTCTGTGGTATTTGCGCGTTGAGGAGTGGGTCGAGGTTCTTTCGCTTGCGAAGGAGATTGACGAGGGAAAGTGCTCGAGGTTGTAAGCGACCCGGGTTTCGGCTCGGAGCCTTTGGAAGGGGTAGTGGGCGCCATGAAGAAGTATGAGAAGCTAGATGTAATGTTAGTTAAAGAGCTAATAAGGCAATGCAGAAGAACATGAAGTATTTAACAAAGGTATGAAACATGTTGCAGGGACACCATACCTCTCCACTATAGATACGGAAGACACGAGTTGGCTCAGGGTATATCAGATTATGGTAGATAAAAGGAGAGCCATTAGGGCTAAGTAGGGCAAAACATGGATACAGTATGTATCAAGGCCAGATATAATAAGTAATAGCAAAGATTATGAGAGACGGGAACGAATGTGTTATGTTTAGCAGTTGTGTAGGTGTGTAAGTGTGTAAGTGTGTAAATGTGTAGGTGTGCAGATGTGTAAGAGGGAGTTTGGCTATTCCGGGAAGCTCTCTGCATTTGCATGTACAAGTTACTGCCTACTTAGAAACTACACTTAGATACATCTTGTAGCACCTTAGCTAAGTGTAAGGTGGTAGAAACTACGCTCCACATCGATAGGAAGTACATGGCCTAGGTTAAGTTAGTCTAGTTACAAGTACATACATACACTAGCGTAGCCTTGCGTCAGGGGTATAATTCATACATACTTAAATACTCCTATAACAAATATATATATATATAACTATATATATTCTACGTACCTAATGTACCTACCTAATTTAGACATGTTATGTGTTTATATTTTGGACTATTTTGTATTATATCAGCCTACTATATATTGGTTTCGGACACCTCGCTTTAAACGTAGACCTTCCACTTACTGTTCTCAATTAGCACATGATAGGGAGTTACCAACTTATCCTTGTAAGCCTCGCATGTAAGCTGGTAGGTACCTGCTTATTGTACATAGGACCAACGTTCATGCAAGTTGATTGAGATACGGTTACAATAGATTGTGTAGGATAGATATGTATATATGTGCAGCCTGCGAGGTAGATCAGTAAAGTAGATGATAATACCTTTAGATGACACCTATGTGAAATCTCCATATTTGGAATGGATAGAAACTAATATAAATGTTGACAGATCTGCTAGAATGTCTTATTCTTATTCTTATACGTAAACCTAATCCGTATAAGCCAGCATTAATACATACCTTATGTATCCGTATCTTAGGTACCTACGCATGCGGTAATCGAACTTTACTTATGATAGATACTTCGTACCTTGTACTCTTAATCGAGGGCTAGGTACCAAGTACATGTCCAACCTAAATGGTAAGGTAAATGGTAAGGTTAGAGTAAGGCTCGGTGGTCGGAACTTTCATAGCCAACAGCCTAGGTTATGCAACTATATACGCTAGGCTGTCCAGGCTGGACCAATGTTGTCATAGGGAGATAACCCGATAGGCAGCACCACTGTCCACGCGATAACGGCCCCAGGTTCATGTGGGGACTCCAGGTGCCGTGACCACTGGACATACACCTAACCTTACCTTTATCCCATCATTCAACGTTTTGATCTTCACCTCCTATCGAGACTTCTTTTCTTTTTTTTTTTCATCTACATGTTATCTAATCTCTATCCATCAATAACCTTCCAAAACTTTACTACACATTCCTTTTTCCTATTGCCCTGACTCCGATATAAAAGCAGACATGGGTTCGAGGCGGAAACGCCAGGCTTCAACATGTCACTCCGCTGGCAGAGTGACAGCTCAACTGCTCTTGTCGTTCCTCGCAATATCCGCCTCCCCAACAGCTGCTAGCCTTCAGAACCAAGGGGCGACATTCCCAGACACGCCATTACTTACACCTTTAATACCAGAACCGCCGCAACCAGCCGAACATACCTTTACACTACGTCACATATACCATCACGGGACGTACCGCCATCCTGGGCTTCATCGAAGGAAAGACATTCTTGAGCCAGAAGCTGAGGTATGGTTGGCTGGCGAAGATGGACATGCTGCGGAGCGGATAATGCCTTTGAAGGCAAAGAGTCAACCTCGGAAGATTGAGCGTCTAGTCGATCGACGGCCGAGTACTATAGATCCGTTAGTCGCCGAGGCTCGCCAACGAGGTTATGTCATCGCAAGCAGCCCATCCGCATGGGCTGTCGACGATGTCTTAGGCCCCGATGTCACCGATAAAGAGACCGTCTTGACCATGGCGTTGGTCGCGTCCGATGCATATGTGGAGAAACCCGGTATGCCGGATTGGGAAGAGGTTGGAGAGCCGTTCAACAGGAGTGCTGATTTCGGCTGGGAGACCGATGGACTCAGGGGGCATATCTGGGGCGACGAAAATAATTCCACAATCATTATTGGCCTCAAGGGAACGTCGCCGGCTGTTTTCGATGGAGAGGGTACAACCACCAATGACAAGATCAACGATAACCTCTTCTTCAGTTGCTGCTGTGCCCAGCAAGGCCAATGGTCGTGGCACCAAGTCTGCGACTGTGCAACTAGCACTTACAGCTGCAACAACACATGCGTAAAGACCGCTCTACGTGATGAAAATCGATACTATCAGGCAGTAAGGGAATTATACGCAAATGTTACCGAGATTTATCCAGAATCAGATATCTGGGTTGCCGGACATTCACTAGGTGGAGCAGTTAGCTCTCTACTTGGTTTGACATATGGGCTTCCTGTTGTGACCTTTGAGGCCGTCCCCGAGGCGTTGGCAGCCGGAAGATTGGGTCTTCCTGTTCCACCACACGCAGACCCCAACTTTCCTCAGACGCGACAGTACACTGGAACGTATCACTTTGGACATACGGCCGATCCTATTTACATAGGAACATGCAATGGCGCAACCGCCTCGTGTTCTTTCGCAGGATACGCGATGGAGTCGGCATGTCATACCGGCTACGAGTGCACTTACGACACGGTTGCCGACCATGGCTGGCGAGTAGGTATCGGAACTCACAAGATACGATCTGTGATCAACGATGTCATTCGAAAGTACGATGACGTTCCGGAGTGCAAGTTTACACCAGACTGTAGAGACTGCGCGAACTGGAAAATGTACGAGAGCAATAGTACGGATGGGACAACAACCTCGAGTAGCTCTACCACGACTAAGACGCGCACTCGAACAGCTACCTGCCAGACGCCCGGATGGTAAGTAGATTAACGACCCTTTCTAAAACTAGTATAACTAATGACTTATAGGTGGGGTTGTCTTGACGAAACTACAACGACGGGAACTCCTAGCATTACTACTACAAGCAGCTCGACTTCGACCTGCAAAACCCCAGGATGGTTCGGCTGTAAAGACGAGGTTACTACTACTACCACCACGAGTACTACGTCCGTCTCTACCCCCGTCACCACAACCTCGTCTACCACCTGCATATCACCAGGCTGGTGGGGATGTAAAGATAAGACGACTTCAACCGTCAGTACCACCACCACAACCTCCCCGCCCCATGTAATCACCTCGCCCCCGCCAGCACCAACTCCTACTTCCGCCGCCCCCAAACCAGAACCTACGACATCCCACTGCATCAAGAAGAATTGGGTCGGTATGTGCAAGGAATGGGAGAAATGCGCAAAAGACGCCACCGGGGCCGTCGTATGCGAGGAGTGGGTTAATGACGAGATATAGGTGTAGGGTATGCATATGTAAGTTTAGGCATTCGCAGCCATAGATCGAATTGCTTCATTGTTTTGTTTATTCAGTTGGACTAGATTGGGATTCATCGGCTCACGAGCTTGTTGGCGCTTACTTGTTTGCTAACTTTGGATCGCATTGTTCGAGTTTTCTTTCTTTTTTCTCAAATTTTAATAACTCGAACTACGACTACGGTTGAGGCGCAGATGTGGATTTTGTTTATTATCATCGTTGTTATTATTATTGTCGTCATGGTTAATATGACCGACCGACTGATACGAGCATGAGCATATCATATCATATCATCATATCATAACGCATCGTTTTTATACATATACACAAATATACAAATATACATATACCTCATATATATATCGTCTTATTGGTTTTGTTGTCACCGACGTGGTATATAAAGTAGCTAGCTAGCTAGCTACAAGGCTATGCTATAACTATGTCTTTTCTATAAGTGTGTATGAAGTCCAGTCAATCGGCGAGATACAACTGAATCAAAAACATTTGTGAATTTTAGTATAAATCCCCGCCTCCCTACCGACCATATCCTATCAGCTCAACTTCTTCGAGCCAGACTTTACCCCTTTTTTTCTTTTTTTAGTTACCCCAGCCTAACCTAACTCCAAGAATCCAGATTCTTCAACACACAACCCGGCGCTCCCTCTGCTCTAGCCGTTAACTTGCCAATAGTATACACTGTTTCTCCGTTCTCCTGAAATTTCTGCGTAACAGCCTCCGCGTCGGCGGGACTAACAACAGCGACCATACCCACGCCAGTATTAAACGTTCGCGCCATTTCCGTAGGCGCAACGTTACCCGCGGCGCGCAGCCAGCGGAATACAGGAGGAAGTTGCCACGTGCTTACGTCGATCTCGGCAGCAAGGCGAGAGGGTAGCATGCGCGGCACGTTTTCGGTGAGGCCGCCGCCGGTGATGTGTGCAAGACCCTTGAGTTGTGGTAGCGAGGCCAGGACAGAGCGGACGTAGATGCGGGTTGGTGTTAGGAGGGCCTCGCCTACATTCTTGGCAGAAGAGTCCCAGGGGGCGGGGCTTGCGTAGTCTAGCTTCTCGCGCGCAAGGATGCGGCGGACGAGGGAAAATCCGTTGGAGTGAACACCGGAGGAGGCAAGACCTAGAAGTACGTCGCCGTCGGCCATGGCGTCGAGACGTGGAAGCCGGCTGCTTGCGCGCATGACGCCAATGGCAGCACCAGCAGCATCGTAGTCCTCCTCCTTGTACATACCCGGCATCTCAGCAGTCTCACCACCGACTAGAGCACATCCAGCATCACGGCACCCAGCGGCAACGCTCTCAACGAATACGGCAGCAACTTCGGGGTCGAGGCGGCTGCAGCCGAAGTAGTCGAGAAACATGACTGGTTCAGCGCCTTGGACGACGAGATCGTTGACATTCATGGCAACCAGATCGATTCCTACGGTGCTATGGTTCTTAGTGGCTTGCGCGATCATGAGTTTAGTACCAACACCGTCGATAGCACCAACCATTATGGGCGCATCGCTCGAAAAGCCAGCCTTGGACAAGTCAACTTCACCTCCGAAGCCACCGATTTCAGCGTCGGCGCCAGCACGCCTAGTTGATCGGACGGCGGTTCGTATTCGCTCAACGAGCTGGTTTCCGGCGTCAATGCTAACACCTGCTTCTGCGTATGTCAGGGCTTCTTTAGTATCGGCCGTCGGCTTGAAGGCACGGTGTGCAATATCCCTCCGGTAGTACATCTTGTTGAACTGGATGAGCTTTACTCCTTCATAAGCCTTGTCTACGGCAGCCCGGAGGCTTTCTGCAGCAGTAGCGCTAGCGGCTATCACTCGGCCACCCGCTGTTTGCAACTTGTCATTTGCTAGTTTCGTGCCAGCGTGGAAGATGTTGATGTCTTTAGGAGGGGTTTGGACGGTTATCTCGTCACCCTTTGCGTAAGACTCGGGATAACCACCAGCAGCAACGACGACGGTTGCGCTGAATCTAGGTTCGATGTTGATAAGGACGCTGTCTAGGTAGTGCTCTGAACAGGCCACCATAATCTTAGCTAGATCTGTGTCTTGCGATAATAGAGGCAGGACAGTCTGAGTCTCTGGGTCACCAAATCTGACGTTGTACTCAAGAACCTTGGGACCAGTCGAAGTGATCATGAGCCCGGTGAAAAGGATACCGACAAAAGGCATCTCATCCTTGCGCATGCCATCGATAGTTGGCTGGATAATATCACGATCGATTTGGGCCACAAGGTCCGGTGTAGCAATGTTAGTCGGCGCATAGCATCCCATACCACCTGTGTTCAAACCTGTGTCTCCCTCCCCTATTCTCTTGTGGTCTTGCGCAGGGGGTAGAGATTTTATTGTGTAACCATCGCTGAAAGTCAGGATGCTTAGCTCGTCACCAGTTAAGAATTCTTCGATAACGACTTCATCTCCCGCAGACCCGAATTCCTTATTTTGCATAATATCCTTGAGAGCTTGGTGTGCCTCCCCTTTCGATGTGGGTATAATAACACCCTTTCCAGCAGCTAGTCCGCTTGCCTTGATCACTACGTCGTGTTGCACGCGGTCGAGGTATTCCCGGGCCTTGTCGTAGTCGGAGAAGTTTTCGTATGCGGCCGTTGGTATATTATGCTTCTTCATGAAGTCCTTAGAGAAGGTTTTACTACCCTCCATCTGTGCAGCCTTTTTTGAGGGACCGAAACTCTTAATGCCCGCATTTTCGAAGAAGTCAACAGCTCCTGCGACAAGAGGAGCCTCGGGACCAGGGATCACATAATTGAGGTTATTTGATTTTGCTAGTTCGAGTAAAGCTGGGAAGTCTTCGGCAGATACTGAAGTATTGTTGGTGACTTTAGGGCATGTCGCTGTGCCTCCATTTCCTGGAACAGCTATAATTGACTCTACTAGAGGCGACTGGCTGAGCTTCCACGCAATTGCGTGTTCTCTCCCACCATTGCCAATGAGAAGAACACGGAGTGGATATTCGATCCCCATGGCTAAAACGTATAATTCGTTAAGATGAGATTAATTGTTAATTATAGGGACTATAACCTAGCCCGGCCCTGGGTTTTAAGGGAAGTGACAATTATGTGTGTACATGTTGTAACTTTCTTCTAAATTTTTCTGGCTGTAAAAATGAAAAATGAAAAATGCCCCTCACCTGAAAAGTTACCCCTCCCCCGCAATCTAGCGGGGCCACTAACCTGCATCATAGCCTGCTTAATGCACTTACATACCTCCTAGAGGCTAGACATGTATAATACAGTGCCTATTGATTGATATGCAAGTAATTGCCGGAAGAACAGTTTCATACATGTAGATAACTTGGAAACGTAACCTTCCATTGAAACGGGTTGTCTACATATTTGAGTCACTAGCAAGTTTAAACATAACTACATGTAACTAAATACCAGGCAGTTATATATATGACATAAGTATAATAACTAGGTACCTAAGGTACTAGCTTAAGAGAATATTAATAAGGTTAGGCTAAATAGGGGTTATTAAGATCTATACCGGAGTTTAGATCGTCTATCACATAGTCTTATTTAAAAAGCATTGACATTTTATAGAATCTGCAGCATACGAAACATGCATACATTCTTTAATAGAACACCTCCTGACACATATTATATGCAGTACTCCAATGAAGTATGTACTCCCAAACAAGCAACCGAGTGATCAAACACTAGCGTAGATTAGATAAGGCACGCTTAGCCTAGATGAGACAAGGAGTATGCGGCTCATCGGCTCATCTACCTCGAGGGTAGGAGGGGTGACATGATCACTTGATCCAACTGATCCAACTGATCCAACTATATCGAGACAACTTCTCTCGATGCAGTTTCTATGTTTTAATTGACTAACTACCTATTATACAAGATATACAAGATAATCCACGCAATAACTATTAACGACTAGTTAACCATCGTCGCTATGCTCTTCATTGGTTTGACAGGTTCGATTGCTACTGGCAAATCAACCGTGTCTTCCATCCTTTCCTCGCCGCCTCACTCACTACCAATCATCGATGCAGATATACTAGCGCGCAAAGTTGTAGAGCCTGGAACCAGCGGCTATAAAGCCATCGTGAAGCACTTCGGCCCTACAACCCCGGACTTGCTGGTTCCCGTCTCCGAATCTATGCCTGTCGACGGTCTAGATGGCAAAGGCAGACCACTGAACAGGCCGGCGTTAGGTAGACGTGTCTTCGGCAACAGCGAAGAGCGCAAGAAAGATCGAGATGTTCTAAATCACATTGTGCACCCAGCTGTGAGAAAGGAGGTGTACAGATCCATCTTTCGAAATTACGTGAAAGGCCACTGGGCCGTCGTCTTAGACGTTCCGCTGCTTTTCGAAAGCGGCTGGGATAGGTTATCCGGCGTGGTGATGGTAGTAGCTGTCAGAGACCCCGAGGTGCAAATGAAAAGGCTTAGACAGCGTGACCGTCATCTAAGCCGAGAAGACGCGCAGAATCGCGTTCTAAGTCAGACAGACGTGAGGTTGAAAGCGAAGAGATGTGAGGCAAGAGGGAAGGGAAAGGGAATAGTTATATGGAACGACGGTTCGAAGGAAGAGCTAAAGACAAATATAGATGCCGCTCTCGCAGAAATCAGAAAGAGTAGCCCTCCATGGTGGAATTGGATATGTCTCCTTATTCCTCCGGTAGGCGTTGCTGCAGGCACGTGGGTATACTGGCAAAATATTCGCGCCAACAAAAAGTGGAAAGAGATGGAGTTGGATGAGAAGTCAAAGTTATAATTATGAGTCTTACATGGCGATTTTTAAGCTAAGTATACGCGAATTTTATTAGGTACTTTATTGAAATGCATTGTATGCAACGTCATATCGAATAACTATACCTAGATACATAATGTGTGTATGTCGTTGTTGCCGTCGATAATCGAATGGAAAGAGCGACGAGGGCGACGCGACGTAGGGAAACATTATTGACTCACTACCAAAAATAGTCACTTACCCAAATCATTCGTGATTCCCTTTTTTATTTTAGGTAGTCTACGTACCCGGATATAACTAACTTTCAAAATCCCACTTCAATTTCTAGACAATTATATTCGTCCATTGATAAGCAAACCCAGCTTCATCACACAGTTTCAACCATATTCAACAACGACCTCCTGACTCACACACAACTTTGGAAGTTTTCTAACTCTCCCGCACAATCCTGTCAATCCTAATACTATCCTTCTTTTTTATAATTTACTACGATATCGAATATTTATCGTACGATTAATTATACTTATTCAGTGCTCGATACCGCCTTCAAGTCCCCTCCTTTATTTTAAGGAGTTACTCGACACAATTGAGGATTTGATAGGTCTAGCCTGAAAAATTAATTCGACTTGGTAATATGCCGCCCAATTCATTTTATGAGTGGGTGGCCGGCCAAAATGCACCTCATAGTTCGACGCCCAAGACACCTCGTCCAGTTTTTGCGCTCCAACTCGAGACTGACGATGAATATGAATCCGACATTTTGAAGCTTACATATCCTAGGACGGGACGAACTAGACTCCCCTATGGAAAGAAAGTTCGATTCACAGATAACGCCCATAATGTTAAAGCCAAGGAACCACATTTCCAGTCTTCACTTGACCTGGACACAGATGCTAGCAGTACAGCGGTTGAAGTTAATAGCGGCGATGATGAAGCTGCTACAGACGAAGATATAATCCTGGATTGTCCCTGTGCAAACTGCATTGTAACACGGAAGATATTGAAGAAGACAAATCGGACTAAAGGAAAGAGTAGGAAGCAGCAAAACGTCTCGACCGCGTATGAAAGCAATAATGCAGCTGTTGTACACGCCAGACACAAGGCGAAGAAGGCTAAGGAAGCAGAAGCACTGAAGTCCAAAGGAGGGAGTAGCAAACGAAGAGCTAAACAAAAGTCTAAGCATGCCAATAAGAAGTCAGATAGTGAAGTGGAGACGACTGAAACTGAGACTGATACCGATACTGGGACTGGCGAAGAGACTGGAAGTGAAAGCGAATCCGAAAGCGAGTCCGAGTCCGAGAAAGAGCATCACAAGGAAAGGGGGAAGAATAAGAACAGACAGAAGAAGCGGGATACCCAAAATAAGAAAACGAAGCAGGGCAAGCAGAACAAGAAAAATAATAAGCAAGACAGCCAGAAGACCAAGGAGGGAAGATGGGACAGGGAGGATAATAATGAAAAGCAAGACGAGCAAAAGGACAGTCATAAGCAGGGTACCAAGGAGGAAGAAGGAGTATCTGAGCAAGGCAACTTGGCTGAGGATATGATTCTTCAAGAGGCCGACGCAATCAAAAAGAAGCGAGCGGAGGCGAGTCAATACCCACCCCAGAATCCCCCATATGCACCCCAGCAAGCAAACTTCCTTATGCCACCTCATGCTCGTATGTTGCAGGTTGAGCACGCTGTCGAATTGCCCAATGACCCTCGACCCAATGCTTTCTTTGACGGGGTACACGGAATCATGCGAGTATATCATGGGCCGCACTACGGCAATGCCTATGGACAACTCTACCCCAATGCGCCATATGTAAACCAGAACCCAACCGTCAACGTGTCATACCCAGTACATAATCCATGGCAGGCTGCGGGGTTCCAGCCCTTCCATGGAGGACAGCCTCCGCCACCCGCACCACCGCAACCACCGCAACCATCGCCTTATCCTCATCCACAAGAGCACCCTCAACATCCTCCAGCCGCAACTCGGAGAGCTCCTGCAGATAATTCCTGGTTCCAAGGATATGGTAGCGTGACGATTGGTAAGCCTCCTGAAGAGGCCCAGGAAGCCAAAGACTCTAATTCTACACCAGACCCCAACCGAAAGAACAACGAAGCTTGGTCTGAACAACATAGTACACCTGCGAAGAAGTCAAATTCAAGAAGTGATCGCGGCGGAAAATCGAATGTCATTCCAAGCATCGAGATTACCGACCCCGAGAAACCTCAGGGGAGCGAAGGGGCCAGAGGCAAGTCATGGGGCACTCAGAGTGATCATGGCTCGCAAAAGGTCTCGGAATTCAAAGAGGAGGGGAAGAATGATAGCAACGATTCTGACAAGGCTCAGCAGTCTGGAGGAGGCGGGTTCTTCGAGGATGTGATTGCAAAGGCAGAAGAAGTATATAAGACTAATTCGGAACGCTTCAGTCCTGCACCCCTAAATGACGATAACCAAGCCGGTAACGGAAGCTTTGGTGATAACAACGGTGGGGGTTGGGGAGGTGGCGTCAGTTGGGGCGACGGCAATAATGACACTGCCGCTGGTGATAATTCATGGGGCGAGAAGGATGCGCAAGAAACCACTACAGGGGTCACAGATCCATTTAAACCGGCCGAAAATAATAGCAATGGCAATTCTTCCGACCCGGCTGGAGGCAATGCTAGTATTGATAATGTGGCGGTACATGGGGATCTGAGCGACAAGAAGGATGGCGACAATGGCAGTAATAGTGGTAGGAATAATGGCGGCAAGAGATCTAAAGCTAGTTCTAAGCGCAGTACTCCGCCTAAGGGACCGCCTGGGTGCTGGGTCAGTAATCCACCATCAGAGAACGAGGAATCGAAACCTCGCGCCAGTCCGGACAACGTTGGACCCCCTGCTAGTGGAAACGGCAATGGCAAGAAAGGGAAGGGAAAGGGGAAGGGGAAGCAAAAGGAAAATGGTAAATCTGAGAACAATCAAGCTTCCGGGAGTGGTAACGGTAACGGCGGCTGGGGCGTCAGCACGGGCTGGGGAGATCCAGACGTGGCTCAGAGCTCCGGCGGCGCCTTCGACGACGACGATAAGAACAAGGATGGCAAGGAGCAGCATAGCGTCGAATGGTAGAGCTTATACGATTACGCCCGCTCTTCTTTCAAACTGTGGAAATAGTCGTTCCATGGTCGTCCTTCATCCCTTTTCACACCGAATCAGTTTCCTAAGCGAGATCCCGGGGAAATTCATGGTCTAATACTATTCTCGTTTGGGGGTAGAGCTGTTATAAACTCGCTTGTATTACTTATTTTTCCTTGCTGTTACTGCGTACTCGGACAGGCGTTTTGGTCGGCTAGGGAAGGGAGATATCAAAGCCGTTATATGGAATCAGGGGTTAGGGGTTAGGGAGTTCAGGGGTTCAGGAATCAGGAATCAAGGAGAAACCAGCTAGCTACGTAGGTAGTAGCTGGTTATGGGTATAAGTAGAGTAATACGATACAATTAAACCCCCCACGCATGAGTATACGTGATTATACCTAAGTAAACATAAGGCTAAAGTATAGAAATGCGAGTTGTCTCCTTGGTATATCTCACTCTGCCCGCCGTAACGAGACTTATTATCCCTCTGAAGTGCTAACTTAGGTACCTACAGAGTACCTAAATCATTTAGCTAATAGAGATTTAGCTGAGGATTAATACATATTCTGTGAGAATAGCTTTTTTATATTTGAGCTAATTAGAAAATTTTTTTTATAGTAATTATAGGAAGGATCATCTATAAGTCAGTACTTGGTACTCTAGTAGATAGTAAGCTAACTTGTATACATCATAAACCGGTCCAAAATAAACACCTGATACAACGATGTTATTGTAATTACTTGAAATATATTATTATTATGCTTGGGATGGGAGATGCCGATATACCCGTCCGATATAAAAAAAATATCTTGACGTATCGGAACCCAAGATATTTCGTACCAATGAAGTCTCCCCCCTGACGTTACACCAAGCCCTAATCGAATTCACATATCACAAGATGCCTACAATAAATATAGCAAAAATCATTTTTAGAGTGGAATAGTTGTTATTAATTCGGCTTGGCAGACTAAAAAACAACTCGCATCTGCGTATAAGCAGAGTAGAAAGATATACTATCTGTTTTGCTGGTCGAAACCACTGTAGTTTTCTCTACGCAGAAAAAAAGTGAATTACTTCACCAGCGCAAAACTTTTTTTTGGAGCCAATGACGAAAGGAGAACCTCAGAAGCACACAAGCAGAGAATAATTATGCATGGAAATCAAATCGACAATCTACCAATGATATCCACCAAAACACAGCTAACACGTGCAATTTTAAGTCCACTACTTACTCCTCATCGGAATCCTCTTCGGCCTCGTCCAGCCACTTGATGAAGGGCTCGGCAGCGCGGCGGATCTTCTTGGAAGTAGAAAGATCCACGTATTTCTTGCTCGCCTTGGATCCCCACTTCTTGATTATGTCCTCACTGACGATGAGGTCCTTGTCGTAGAACTGGTGAAGGATCTTGACAATCTTATCACTGGTTAGCAGCTCGGGGTGTTCCTTGCTCTGAGCGGCAATGAAACGTTCGAGGCCGCCTAGCAGGGCCTTCTCATGACGCTCCGACGTTATAATCTAAGAAATGTTAGTATATAATTTACATAACTAGTATAGCGTTATTATAAGACATACCTGTTTGAGCATTGCAGCGCGCTTGGGAATCTGAGTGAGGATGTTCTCATCAAACAGAGTCTGGATCAAAACCAAGACAGTCTTGTGCTTGGTCTCGATTCCAAGTTCCTTGGCTTTCACATAAATTTGAATATCATCAACCTTGTTAATACTACCAGCCTTGGCGGCTTCCTCCTGGATCCAGTCACCCAGGGTGTCGTAGACGGTGTGACCACCGCTCTCTCCTTCATCGTCATCATCCTCGGCACCACCGAGGACGAGTTTCTGACGGAACTCGCTGGGGAGCTGGCTCTGACGGGCCTTGACGGCCTTCTCGGACATATCGACAGCCCAGTCGTCATCTCTGACGACAGCAGGGGCGTCAATAACTTGGGCGTCAGCATTAATCTTGCGAGTGAACTCATCGTCGCTACCAGCATCGTCCTCGTCTTCAATCTTGTCACCACTCCCGTTGGAACCGTTCTCGGAATTCTCACCGCCGCTTCCCTGACCGTTCTCTTTGTTGCCGTTCTGCAGAGCTTGCTGCTTGGCCTTGCGAGCGGCCTTGCGTTCAGCTTTGTCTTTCTTGCCGCCTTTCCTAGGCTGGTTCTTCAGAATGAAGCCACTAAGTTTTAGACGAAGATCAACGTCGGTGCGTTGGCCACAGGCCTTGCAGTCAAGCACGATGTGGCCATCCTTGATGACAACGTCTGTCTCAGGGTTCTTGCACTTCTTGCAGAGGACAAACTTGTTGATAAAGCCGTCAAGATGGTCCTGAAGCTTAGAAGCCTCGTGAGCACCGTTGATGATCCAGCGGTCATCCGGAGGGTCAATATTGGTTTGAGCGCCAAGCTCAAATCCGAAGTACTTGATGACATATGACCCAGGGCGGGCAAGAGACTGAGCAACGCTGCTCAGATTGACGACGACAGTCTTGATACCATTGCCTTTGCCTTCAATCTTTGTCTGAATTCTTTCCATCTTGTAACGATAGAAGGCATCGGTGACATCACGACGAACGTTGACGAGCGCCATTTTTGCGGTATTGAGTTAGATAGACTGTCGAGGTAGAGACACGGTAGTAATTTTTTTATCGGTCGGGAGGATCGAATTCCTTGAATATAGGGAGGAAGGGGACTAGATAGTCATTCGCAAGTGACGATGACGAGTGAAGCAGGAGGGGATTTGAGTGAGCCAGGATCTCAGTAGAGAGGACTGTTCCTAGTGGACATAGGGAAGACTGGATTATAGTTGCCAGCGTTGGAAGGCATTAACTCGGGCGATTCGTAGTCGATTCGTTTTCAACCAACGGAACTGATATTGGGGCTACAAGGTTTTCGCGGTATGCGAAACGACTGCAGCGTAAGAGGGGGAAGGTGTCTAAACACAGCGGGCTTGTCGTGCTGATACATAAACAACAGTGTATCCTGTTACCCTTTTATGTGTAGGGTGTATTTGGTCGAGGTATTGAGATAACAAGCAGAAGCAGACCTTGAATGCCGAAAGGTTGTTCACAAGGCCTCTTGTATCGGTGCGCCTGAAGCGTAGATGTTCAAAGCGTAGGTAGTTTATTAGGGATAGAGTAAGTTTGGTTTATGTGAAAGCCGGCGTAAGATGCCTAAATGCAGAACAGGAGATGGCAGCGATTGCCGCAGTTTTTAAATCCTGTTGTAAAAGTACCTAATGAGCAGAGCTGAAAACACAGCCGTGGTCTGGCGCGAGTTGTGCTAATTTGGTTGCTGTGATGGGCGGTTGTGGTTGTAAGTTGGAAGGATTAAAAAGAAAAAAAGAGGGAAGTTTGTTGGGAAATGTGGAAGAAATGGAAGTGGGAGACTAGAAAAAGAGGAGGGCAGTCAAAGAAATGGCCCTTAAGGAAATCGCGGCGGTGGTGGATGAATAATGAAAACTGTGCAAAGCACCGCCTGGCGCCTGCAGGTAGGTACATAGGAACACATCCCACCTAAGCCACCTAAAACTGCAAACTCTAGCACAAAAAAGCTTTCCCGCAGGTGGGGCTTAAGGCGCCTAGAATTGCATCTTTGTCCATTAGCGTTGCCTATGTCGGTACCTAGCCTTTTGGCCCGTGCTTTAGCACTTAGCGGGTACATTTAAACATTACTCGTAAAAGCCTTTACATCAAGTACCTCCCTCTTTACATACCTAAGGCACGGATTGCATGCAGTGGCGATTGGAAGACATAAGAAACATCTAGGGGCAGCTACCTATGGGAAAAGAAGTCCGAGGGAAGGAAAAACCGAGAGGTTCTCGGAGCTAAACTAAACCATTGTACATAATGCTAATGTTAATGCCAATGTTAATGTAGCATAATGACTTTATTGGCTACGTCCGTAAGAGCAAGGCGAACAATTCTGGTATTTAAGGCTTCAGCCGGTAGAAAATACCCAAGGTTGCTAAATACATAATACCTACATATAGGTACCTCTGATGTAGGTAGGTGCATAAGTACATCCAAGTCAAACGCCGAAGTCAAACGCAATGGTATCCAAGACTTTTTACATCCGAGAGGATTTATGAGAAGGAATAATTATTGCGTGCATGTATTACTTGACTAATCATTTCCTAGCGTCTGTTTCTAGTAATATAGTAATATAGTAACACATGTGACCATCACTACTTTTTACATAGATGATATATTAAGTACCAGGTAGGTAGCATACTTGGGAAGGACTAAAGAAACACTTCGTACAAATATGGATATATCGATTTTCTAAGGACGTCACTATGACTTCTAAATAGTACCATCCCACTACAAATATTGATATCTCATTTTTTTAAGTTGCGAGCAGTGCAGCGCCGGATGCATACCAACTCCTTTTCCGGACTTTATCTAATAACCGGAAGCTGACGTTATAGAGGTATGGTCCTGTAATGCCCAAGGTATATGTAGGTACCTTAATTATTTACGCAACACCCGTCTTCTTGACGTACCTTGCCGAGGCATCTATCTGTAAAGCCTTACTCATATCGGGCATGTATTCCCCGAGTAATACATAGCGTATGGCAATCTGCGCCTTACATACAGTCTGCAGCGTTTGCAGCTGTCTTGCATTATATTTGTACATCTGGCACCAATCATTCACACCGTGGTCTGCTAAGTCCGTTTGATTAGTTTATTCTGTCTGGGTTTCCCTTGGTCGACCGGGATGCACGATCCCAGATTTTCTATCCGCATTTCTCTTGGCAACCTGGGGGGGATGCATCTACAGTATTTGAGATAGCCTAGTAGTATTAATCTCAAGCTGAGCAACAAGAAACTTATGGGATGTACAGGCATTAAAAGTAGGCATCCGTTATGGTCCTCTTATTCATAGGCCATAGGACGTCTTTCCCGAGATTCCGTCCCCTTGCTCTAGCTCCTGTGTTCCTTAATCCTATTATCGTCAAGGTCTTAGAGACCGGCTTCTTTCGCCTTGCAAGAACCCGCGGCAGCTCGCATATGCACAATGCAACATGTAGATGCATGGTACTCCTTGCCAAGACGTCAGTGTTCGAATTCCTGTACAAATAAATATAATTCACAATTGGCCCAAGGCTTGTATTCTTGGGGGAAACCCTTTAGTTTGGTATCCGTACCAGGGGGCGAAGTAAACAAGTTTTCCACCAACGCCTATGCCTCAAGACTCATTCCGACCAGTTGCCAACCAAAATTCCTGAGCCCGATATCCAGCACTACTTGACACTGCAAATGAGGCGACTTAAACATGAACAGTGCTGACTTGTGTGTTGGCTATAGCCAATCCTGCGCGGAGCACTAATATCCTCGCAAATGATTGCTGGTATAGCAATCGGAGAAGTATTAATGTCGCGATAGAATAAAAGTCGTCGGGGGTATAGAAGTGATAACGCCAAGTAATAAAAGACTATCGAGTCTGCCCATAGCCAAATCAACATCATGAAGAACCTTCATCCTTAGACTGGGAGGGCTGAAGTCCTGCGTTCTGTGCCACTTGTTTCCACATGGCCAGTTCTCGGTAAGCTCTCTCACACTCCTGCTTGAGCTTATCGTTTGAGGCACTGAGCTCCTGGATCGCCTGCTCGGTTAATAGCTTTTCTAAAGTCCACTTTTCTAAGTTTTGTGCCTCATTCTCTTTAAGCTGAGTGATGAACATGACTGCGCGTTGCAAGATTGAGCCTTTGTTTTTCTCGCATCCAGGAACGATCTTAGCAAGCTCATTGATGCCCTCATTAATGGTTTCGCGGCGTCGGCGTTCAACTAAAGCCGAAATTAGTATGCCACTTCTAGTATCGCGCGAGAGATGTGTAACTCACCCTCTTTGTGGTTATCTTTTCGCAACTTGTGCCACTCTTCTGAACCTACAGCCGGTTTAGAGGCAGATGAGGACGAAGTATAGGACGGCTGTGTGGATCTGATGCCATTCTGCGACTGTGAGAGGCCGTTAGTAGACGTGTCGGGAAGGCCGTCTGCATGGAGCATGTCGTTATGACCGAACGACGAATCTTGGTGATGTTCTGCCTCTGCCGCTGCCTGCGCGGCAAATGTCTCTTCTGTAGATTGAGGAACATGGATGGTAGGATATAAAGTTCCTAAAGCGGCAGCAGCGGTGCTGGATGCGTTGGCGTGGTCCGAAGTGTCGTGATCGGCTGTAGCCTGTTGTAGAGCCGTGAAATCTGCATTAGTTGCTGCTTGTGCGGCTGCCTGCGCAGCTTCGACAGCACTCTCAACATATGCTGCGTCAGGAGTACTTGAAATGTTCGGAGGTACACGCTTAGCGCGTCGCAATTCGGGAGAGGAGTCTGGCGCGCCACGCTTTCTCTTCTGACTAGGACTAGACGGAGATGACGCGTTAAAGTCGTTCTGGTCTGCAACAGCCGCGTCCGCCATGGCAGCTAGATGTTCTCGATTGATATGAGTTAGAGGCTCGAGGAGTGCCTCTGTATGAGCGTAACCGTTTGACTCCATAGTTGCTTAGCTGAAGGAAGTGTTGTGGTCGATTGACGACACCTACAGTAGGCCCTAGCACCTATGCGATCCGTATGATACACGTAAAGGTGCGTACCGGATATTAGGGTTATCACGAGAGGTCTGCCGATGTCAGTATATGCGTGGTACTATAAGTATGAAATATGAATAACTAAATTGCATTGCTGCCATCACTTGTGCATTTCGTATATAATAATAGTTTAATGAGCTTTTGTCACGTTTTCATGAAATTGCCCGATAGAAGCAGTGACACGGGAGACGGCAGGTGTGCCTCGATAAAGCAGTGACTAAATAGAAAATACCGCCATGGAAGGTCTACGAGGTCGATTTGACATAGGTAGATGATAAGATATGATCAGATGATCAGATGAAGATAACGCTTCTGAAACTTGGAGACTTCTCCTTAGAACAACAGGCTCGATTGTGATTGTCCATGAACGAGGTGACCTTGAAAGCTGCGATAATAAAGATAGATCTCGGGTCATTCATAGAATGGTATCTGCAAGCAATACCCTTCTTCGTATTCAGATATACGATAGAATAGATCGCGAAGAGACGATAGACGCGAAAATTTTCGCATTAATGAGGGTGAGGCTATTGATGCGCGCGCAGAGAAATTATCCATCGCGTTCGGGAATGATGACGAGGATCACGATGGCGGCGATGCGAAAGTAACGGGAAATGAATGACATACCGTAAATCATGTGCCAGGTCTCGTGCAGTGCTATGCTGGGAACTGGCGCAAGTGCTTGGATCTTTCAGCGTCAAGTGACTTAACTTCACGTGCTTTCGACTCGAATAGTGGGAATTATATCAATTCAATGAACTTGGACCAGGCAGAGCCGCCGAATCAACACCTGCTAACCTCAACGAGGCAAAAAAAAAAAAAGTTAAGGGCTTTCGAACTTGAAAAATCCGGCGTGGTGTAGATAGATTTCTTCGATAGAAGAAGTTAAAACTTTCGCTTCAGTAGAAATTAATAATTGGAAGGAAAGATTTGAAGAGGGAAGAAGGAGCATTGAAGGTGCTTGAAGGTGCATGAGACCATTTGACCCGCACGGGCCACTTAATTGCGTCCTCGTTGCTTCCCTCTTCTTGTGTCCCTCCCCCCTCCCAATTTTCCCTTTGCTCTTTCGGCAAGGTTCTTAAACTACACTACACTACATATACTCGCTCCAGCTTGTTGGTTGGTACTTTTTTAAATGTTATTTTACCTACCCGATCCGTTAGTTTTTGATGATAATGCTTCCCATTTATTTGAGGGCAAATATATAATTGAAATCAACTACCTAAGTTATTTTACACAACTTAACTCTATTATATTTAAAACTCAACAAAGTCAAATACAACACAGGAATTACTATTACTGAGTTACAATACCTTTAATAGGTGTTGGAGGTATTAAACCCCTTAGCGATTTAATTGTCCAATACCTGCAGATGGATAGTCTGATTTCGGGGGCTCGGCAAATGATTTCGTTTTGCGTATCTCCTATCTCTCGTAGGTACCTGGCAGGTCTAGATTATAGCGAAGGAGACGGTATAAAGTCTCAGACCAACAAGTCAAGTGACCTCCTTAAGCTCGACCTACCTTCTCCTTCTGTTAGATGCAGTTCTACCAACCCCTACGATGATGATTTTGGTGTTAGCTTCCGAGTCCCGTGAGCCCCCGGCCGACTGCTACTTGTTCCTGTGACCAACGGCGGATGTGTGTGACTGCATATAAGTCGCACTAGGCAATTTGCGAGCATCAAGGAGACCACTCGGGAGTACCCGCCTCCACAGAAGCACGGAGGAGGATAGGCGCCACAGCGATGTGGTATTAATATATATATTAGCATAAACAGGAACAGGGTGACAATTTACATTACATACGCGCTTAGATGATGCATGGTATCTATATCACTAGGACGTATTTATAGAATTGATTAGGTACGTATGAAGTAAGCAGGGAAAAAGGGAGAAAATGGTTGTCTCTTCATTGCTACACGATGAGTCGATCACTTATGACAATGGTTCGTCACAATGCAATGTTAATAATATAAACAAGTATATCCTAATTATAGGACAAAGTGTAAATATACCTTGGTACTTACGATATGACCTGTAAGAATTTCAATTTCATGCCAACTAATAAAATTAAGAAAACGAGAGGCACTTTTACCAAGGTACCAAAGAAGCGTTGGTAAGAAAATATCTACGGTTATATATCTATAATTTGACTTTTACCTAATATTGGTGTAATCGACAGATCGATCGAAGTTATAGGTGAAAAAGGGAGGTAAGCATCGTATAAAAACAACTCACAACAACGCCGCAGCGGCATTAATAGGCTTGGGTCACCCACCGAGCCACTAGAAGGGAAGGAAAGAGAGCACTCTTATTGGCGAACCAATAAGAAACCAAGCTAGGAGGGGTTATGTTTCTTTTGAACTCTGGGGAAGCCGGGCCGTTGTGGGGTTTCCCACCGCGGTCTAAAGTTCGCTTTGTCCTCAGGTGCCAACCTTGCGCCAAAGCTTCGACCCTCAAAACCCAAAAAAAAGTAGAAGAACCATTCCAATACACCACCACCCCTTACATCGAAAATCGAGATTTTATCTGGAAAGATGGGCGACATTGCAGCAACTAAGTTAGATCACGAGAATCACCTTCTCCTCGTGAGTAATTCCACCCCTTTTTCTTTTTCTTTTTCTTTTTTTATCTCATAATGTTAGGGAAAAGATGATCAAGATGCTACGTATGCCGGGCGTTAATTGGGTTACATCATAGCTCATGGCTGTCCTTACGCCCCGAGTCAACCCAACCAAACAGCCAACCAACCAACCAACCAGGCAAGAAAGAAAACAAGCACGCGAGCTAACACATAACCTTTCTACCTTGTAGGACCAACCTCTCCTCCGCCTTCCTATCGAGCTTCTGCGGAAGAACTTCCGGTCCGCCCACTTCGAAGTCGAAAAAGATGGCACATATATCAAGAACACGCTAAAGGAGACGGCGACAGCATGCGTGAACGGGGGCGCTTCGCAGGCCGACGTGCTCAAGAACCTCGACACGATGATCGCCCGGATGCGCGGCGTCAAGCGGAAACTAACCGCCTTTGCCGACGAAGAGCAGCGGCTTCACCGCCACGAGGAGGCCCGCGTCCGCCACCTCAATGAGCTGTACGCCATGTACGGCGTCGACGATGTCAAGTACGAAGCCTGGAGCCGCACCCGGCTCGACCGCCTTCTGGTCGATTACCTCCTGCGCCACGGCTATAACCAGAGCGCGAGGGCTCTCGCTCAGGAGAAGGGCATCGAGCCGCTCGTAGACCTCGATACTTTTGAGCAGATGAGCCGGATCCGGAAGTGCATCCTGAATCGGAGCGTCACGGAGGCGTTGGCGTGGTGTACGGCGGGAGATACGAAGAAGGAACTTCGAAAGATGGACGTGAGTTGCCCTGTACTATTACATCCTAACCATTGCCACTCATTCCTTAGATATTATGATCGATCTATGTAGTCGCTAACCTTCACCACCAGAGTAACCTAGAATTCATGCTCCGCTTCCAGCAATACATCGAGCTAGTCCGGGACCACTCCACCAAACCCACCGACATCCTCTCCTACGCGCGCAAGTTCCTTCTCCCCTACCAGCACACCTACAAGAAAGAAGTCATGCAAGCCTGCGGCATGCTAGCCGTGCGTCCCAGCGCCGAAACCAACGTCTACGCGGAGCTATACTCGCCGGATCGATGGGAAATGCTCGCCAACCTATTTACATCGACGCACAACGCACTACTCTCGCTCCCGTCCGTCCCGCTCCTACACGTCGCGCTAAGCTCCGGGCTCTCCGCTCTGAAGACACCAGCCTGCCACTCCTCGCACCCATCCTCCGCCGCCGGCCCCCCCTCCCACTCGACCTCTCTATCCCTAGCCTCCAGTGTCTGCCCCATCTGCAGCACTGAGCTAAACGAGCTAGCCCGCGGTGTGCCGTACGCCTTCCATAGTAAGAGCCACGTCGAGCCCGATCTGCTCCTGCTGCCCAACGGCCGCGCCTACGGCAAAGCCCGCCTCGACGAGTACGCCCGCAAGGCCGGGTTGCTCGACGACCAGGTGAAAGACCTGCGCACCGGAGAGGTGTTCGGAAACGACCGCTTGAAGAAGGTGTATATTACATAATTGGTGGTTTTACCAGTTAGTTGGCTGGCTGGCTGGGCTAGCCGGTTACCTAAAGGGGAATGCTTTACGTACGACGTTTAAGATATGATATAGAATGGTTATAATGGTTAATGACGTGGTGGACCGTGTATTCTTACCTTCCCCCTACCCCCTTCCCACCTACCTACCTTTACCCCGGCACTTGTCCCGGCGGTAGAGGTTTTACTTCTACGTATTTACCTATATAGGTTAGGTACGTAGGCAGTTTTTATAGTCTACGAGACGGTGCCCGGTGGCAGGTACCCGTCATCGTCGTTATCATCATCGGCATCGTCACTCGGGGAAAACGGCGTAATGCATACATGCGTGGAGCTTGGGAATTTTATTTTATGATCAAACTGCTTTTTTATTTTTGGATATGAGTACCTACTGATGAAATTGTTGCTATATATATATATATACGGTGATATGATATGTATTATTTGTTTATCGTGCCAAGGTTAGATTTTACCCGAATCTGACGGTTTCCTAAATGCAAGATGAAATATCAATTACGAACTGGAATATAGTTTTTGAAAATGCGAGACTTACCTTAGGTAGATCTAAAGGGGTCCATAACATGAACGGATTCTAAATCTCAATCCTTTGCTAATATTTTGAGGAAAGGGGCATTTAGCAGGTCCCAGTCCCTACATAATATCTTACAGAACAACTTTTAGATGGCAACTCAAATCACCCATAGCAAAATGTAAAAAGTAAAAAGACCTCGAAAATACAGAGTAACCTCAGCGGGATCAACTAACGTGTGATCCTCACCGAGTATATGTATTGGCAGCAATGATTCCGTATCCGACCAGCCAAGCTAACCCCTAAAGATTCGCCTCCCCCCGACCACTAGTAGTACATTCATATGCAGAGATCAAACGCCTCGCGATAAAAAGAAAAGAAATCCATTCGCATGCTCCTTATTTCAGATAGTTGCCTCCGGCTCACATCTTCGGCTAGGGGAAAATCGTCCATGCCGATAGGAGATAATGCTGACCAGATACACTTGGTCATTAGAAGGTACAAAGAACCGTCCGTGATTGCATGATCGCAAGACGTGAAAACTGGAACACAAACGCAAAGGAGAAAAAGAACCGCATAGTACCATGATCGTCGTGAAAAAATTAATGCCACTATCCATTGTGAATTGGACGCATGAAATTTTTGTTGCCATTTTCGCCTAGTAATGGTGCTTGCATCATATTGGGAACAGTAAATTGTTGGAGCCCCAAATACTATTCCGGTGACTGGATTATATAGACTATTTTCGTGGAGATGTGAAAATTCGTGCGTGCCCTCGACACTCAAATGGTAAGAAAACCGGTAGCTTTCCTTAACAATCCCAGATCTCTTGATGTTGGAGAGGGGTCAGGAGAAGGATCACGTTGTCCAGGTGGTGTTTTGGGGACTTCTTGAACTATGGGTGTTTGAAAAGTCGTAATTGTTGGAGTCTTAGGGGGAGATCCTTCAGAGGCATCCGGTGTTGGTGGTCTATTTGATGGCCGCTGAGGAACCAAACGAGTCGACCGTGATCTTGACCGTGAACTTGAACGCCCTCGGACAGGTCTAGTTCGGGATTGGTTAGCTATCCTAGCGGCATGGCTTCGAGAATGATTGCCACGTCCACGTCCACGGATATGTCCTTGGGTCAGCAAAGGTTGTGGCATAGGAGGCTGTGGTAGCATAGCAAAAGGTACCGGAAGTGGATAGTTCGGTAGATGCATCATCGGTCCAAACGGTCCAAACGGCATCATCGGTCCAATAGGTAGATGTGGTCCCACTGCCGATGGTGTTTCAATTGCCGATTGTTGTTGGATTGCCGACTGCTGCTGGGTTACCGACCGAGATCCGGGGGGCAAAAGCGGCCTAGGTACCGGGAAGCTCCAAGGATGAGGAATTAATTGCGGGAAGAACGGCGGAATAGAGACAGGTAGGTTTGGGTTAGGGTTAGGTAAAAGACCAAAGGGAGCGGGTAAGGCGTAATCTAATTCTATCGGCATACCAAAGCAATTTCCGAAATTCGGATTCTATCTAGGATTCCCTGGAAAGTTGAAGGCTCCAAAGACACCTCCTCCGCCACCTGGGGTCATGGGTCCCATTCCTATTCCGTTCGCGTTGTGCGCCTGCGCAGCCGGGGTGCTAGCGAGTCCAGCGCTCACCGTGCTAGGTGTAGTGGGACCACCGTTAACGTTTCCATTTCCATTACCGTTGCCAGGCGAAGCATTGCCTGCATTGTTAGCCTGACTCTGTGTCATGGTAGGCATCTCCATTCCTGAGAATCCAAGACCCCAGACTTTGCCGATGTGGTCGTCCGAAATCTCACCGTTGTAGATTCTCTCGCGTAGCTGGAAGAATACTCTTCCTGTCAGGAGACTGTCCGAACCAGCTTGATGAGCGGCGCCGACTCTCTTTATCTTCAGTGCATCTGCGATGCTCTCTAAGCCTGACTTCTGCTCAAACTTCTGCATGATCTCGGCAGTAGCGGGATCTGAGGGGGTGAGATGACCAGTGCTATGGAGCTTCACAGCGTACTTCATGAGGTGCTTAACATCATAGGTTGTCGGGAACCACTTCTTCATGATCTTGTCGAACTCACTCTCGTCATTGGCTAGCTTTTCGTTGGAGAGAAGCTTGGTAAGGTAACCGAAGTCATAGCCACCGTGGAACGAGATCCACTTCACGTTGTCGAAGCAAACGAAGCCGGAAGGTATGAAGAGGGCTGCAAACTTCTGCGGGTCGATTCCGTCACGTTCCAGTTGGTTGAAGTCAATGCCAGCTTGCTGCAGGGACTCGATGGAGGTTTGGTTGTACATGTCCTCCTTGAGAGAGAAGTTGAAGTTGAACTGCCACGCGAGAGGCATTTGCGCCTGATTTCCTCGGCCTCGGGCGTTCGGGCCAACCTCATTCGACGCATTAGCACGGTCGGCCGGTGTTTCCCCCTTCTCGTTGAATAAGCTGAGTCCTATCTGGATCACCTTAAGTAGGTCGACATTAACTCGTAGGCATTGGTAATGATAGTCACTCTTTCCTCGAAAGTTACCCATAGGGCGGCCCACAATACCGGGGAATTCGGTATCCTATTTCCAACAGGTTAGTAGGTGCGATGTTTTCACAGTGAATACCCTTAGCAAGTAGAGAACAAACCATAGCTACGTAAGGGTAGTCATCCACTAGATCCATTAGGATAGTCATCTCCTCGTTGAAGTTGTGCTTCCAGACCTCGCGTACACGAGGTCTACCCGCGCCGCCAGATCGCGCCTGTCGATCACCTCCCATAGCGTGGGCTTGGTGTGAGTGTTGCTGCTGCTGCTGTAGTTGCGCAGCGTGCTGAAAGCCCGATCGGGCTGCGTGACTAGCGAAACCTGTCTGATCTCCGACGCCAAAGCCGGCGGCAGCGTTGATACCGCCACCGAGTCCTAATCCACTAGCCGCAAAAGGGCCAATTTGTGTGTTGCCTAGGTAAGCAGAGTTTCCCAGCGCGGGGGGTTGGTGGCCGGTCGCATGGCCTTGAGACGGGTGAGAGGGGAACTGGTGTTGATAAGGCGGCATGTTTGGAGGGCCACCCCCGAATCTTGAGGGGGGAGCCATTGGATGAATGTTCGCGTGTCGCGGAGGTATTCAGTTACGTTTTCTGGTTGTTGGTATGAAGGGAGGAGTAGAATCGGTCGGCATTAGGGAGCTTTGACACTGGATGACCCTGGCCAAAGGTAGCTGTTGACGCGTACAGAAGCGTGGTGCTCTGTTCGTGTCAATTTGTCAACTACTGAATTAATTACGTAGGACCTTGTTGCCAAATATCCGGTATAAGTAGGAGGAACTTTTAGATTCACTGGCGGAGGAGAAGATTGAGTGAAGATAGGATGAGGTTGTGGATTTGGTCGAGCCTTCCGAAAACCCTAAAGTGAATCGTCACTGAAAAGCGGCAGGTGCAAACGTTAGGTAGATCGGCGCGGAGTAGGTACCTTACGGTAAGGTACGAAGTACTCCGGGTGTTATTGAATTACAAGGGATAAAAGTGGTTTAAACGCAAAGATATGAAGTTACCCCTTTTGGGGAACCCTGTTCTTTCCCTAAGGATTCAATTACCAGATAGCGGCATACCTCAGGCTGCTCAGGCTAAGAAGGTACCTTGCAAAGTACCTTAGGTAATGTAAGGAACCACCTGAACGACGACTGGTAATTGAGCTTTCGTTGTTTTGCTACGAGAGCTCTTACAAGCTTTCCTCCTACACTAGCATATACACATTTATTCACAATGTATCCCTCAAGGTAAGGCCCTCTATCCACCGTATTTTAAAAGTGCATCACAAGACGAGCAATTGCTAACTAGGCCTGCTGCAAATAGGATACTCCGAGCGCAGCACGGCGAGAAGCCGAACATCACCGGCTTCGACATTAGGAAGTTTGCGCACTCGGCCGGGCAGCCGAGATACGATCCCTGGGAGCGAGCGTCAGTCTCCCCTTTTCCCATTCTCCCTCTAGCCCAACTACCAACAATCCAGGACAAGCTAGGATAGACCCCTAGAATAAGTCTGCTGACATAGGTCTTCGCACCCACAGGGAAGCATGGCGATACACGGGCCAATTCACGCGCTGGAACCGCTTCAAGAACGCCTTCCCCGGCCTAGGAATCGCTACCGTAGCCTTTGTCGCATACCTCGGCTTCGAGAAGCTATTCCTCAAGGACGAGCACCACGGGGACGAACACGGCGAAGGTCATCATTGAGCGGATGCAAAATTAAACTAGATGGAATTAAATGCTATAGAGGTTTCGAACACGGCATTGTACATATATGCGCATCCGACCCGTCCGCAGCGAAGATCGGATGGGACTAGCTCTCAATAAATGAATGTACTTGGTCACGATCAAGAGACTCTGATAAATATACATATCATGACGTATTTAGTTGCTAGATGATGATGAATTCGTCAGTGTCTAGTAGGCGTGCTGAAACTATATACCTGAAGGCCTCTATCTTTTTACGCTTAAACCTGTCTGGTGTATAGGGCGTCTAGAGTACTGTAACTGAGCCAGCGTATCGTCTGACAAGAGAATTTTGCATATATACCTTATATATCCGATACTGATATTGACCATAGAGAAGATCTCATTTAACTTTCTAAATATTTACATTGAAAATAGAAATGCCAAGTTTCTTCCAAGCTATAGTGGCTTAGATGCGTTATGCCTAATATCTGCAAATGCTAATTGATATATCTTTCCACCATACCATACCATAATTCGACGATGTTGATGTTGATGTTGATGAGCACGAACATGATATGTGCCTAAGGTAGGTATATGTACCCAAATGCATGCACGCAAGTATGCAAACTCCCAACCGACATAGCCATGTCAGATAATGCCACCATACCGTATCCCCCTAGCCTAACCTACCTACATACCTTTAGGTAGTATCTTCCACTTCCATAATACAAACGTGTACACACACACACCCACCTACAAACCGAGGTAGACATCCCTATCTCATCTCATCCATTTCATCAATCTCTTCCCCTAAAGCCTTATCTTATAGCAAGCAAGTACACCTCCCTCCCTCCCTACATCCCAATCCCATTAACAGCATCCAACGCGCCCTCGACCACGACCTCGAGCTGCGCAACGCGGTGCTTCAAGCTCTTATTCTCGTCGCGCAGAAGACTAACCGTATCCCACGCCACGCTCGCGTCCCGCCCCCTACAATTCCCACACCCATCCACCATCTCCCCTCCTCCACCTCCTCCCGAGATCCCCTTGACCAGCTTCTGGAACGTAGATAACTGCTGCTTAGGCTTAGGAGATAGGTTAGGCGTGTGTGGAGACCGGATGGCGAGGAGCTCGTGCTGCGGCGTGGGCGGGACCTCGTTTTCGGTCATGGTAGTAGTCACCGTGGCCGTTGGGCTGCGGCTCCGACTAAATATGCTCTCGGCCTCGACGCTTTCGCCGTCTGTCACGCTGGTCCCCGCAGACGTGTCGATGCTGAGATCCGAGCGCACCGTGCCGTCGCTGTTGCGCCAGCGCTTGCGCTTGTCATCTGCACCATCATCATCGTCGTCGTCGTCGTCCACGCAGAGATCCTCCGTAATCAGCGGTGACTCGACTAACGCCCTCCCGCGACTAGCCCGGTCCTCGGCCTCGCGCCGCGCCCCCCTTTCCGCCTGCAGTTCTGCGACGAGCTGCTGCATGGCTTGTTCCTGCTCGGCGGCCTTCGCCGCCATGCTCTCGAGCTGGCTCTTGAAACTGCGGATGCGCAGCTCCGTCTCCGCCATCTCTTCGCCGTGGGCCTCGCGCTCGGCGCGCATCTCTCGGATCGTGGCGGCGCGCTGCCGGTACGCGTCTTGCATCTTGTGCAGCAGCCCCGCCGCGTTGGTCTGCAGGTTTTTGTAGGCCGCGGGCGAGAAGGTGTCGCGGTCGATCGCGGACGGGTACAGCGCTGCTTCGATGTCCATGTTGATCATCTCGTCGTCGACTTCCTGTGGCGACTGCGCTGCTGGGCTGGATAGCCGCGTGGTGAGCGACGCGAAGAAGCCGAAGCGGGATTGCGTCGCGCTCTTCGGTGTGGTGTCGGATGTTATGATGCTGCGTTTGGATTTGGGTGTGGTGTTTGGAGAGACAGCCTCGTCTGCGGATGAGGATGACGGTGTAGCGCTCAGCCAGGTGCCGTATCTTCCTGGGGAGTTATCCGAGCGTCGGCCGGCTCGCCCGTCACCGGTAAGTGGCATGTCTTGAGACTGATGCCTGAAGTGACCTGGTTTAGGGGATGGAGACCGCGAATCCGCGTTGGAATAATAAAGATTCGGAGCCGACTGCTGCCGTTGGTGCCGTATATTCGATAGTAAGGTATTACTTCTATCGGCGAGCGGTGTAATAAGACCAGGTGGTTTTAATGAGGTGGAAGAGTACTCCAGAGGTTCGAAGGTCATGGTTGGTTCGTTATACTCTATTATTCTCCCCAGTTCGTCAGTTGCCGCGTACGCCTCAGTATCCATGTTTGTTTCTTAAACGGGTGGTCTTGGAGCGGCGGTACTCCTTAGCATAATGGGATATTGTTTCGGGGTGTGGGACGACACAGGGAATCGTCGGGGAGGAAAGGACCCTTTTCTGGTTCAGGAAGCGGAACCCTGGGTTTTTTTGTGCTGGGGTCTCAGTAGTGTATATGTTGTGTAAATTCGACCTTTTGGAGTTTTAGTCTTTATTCGAGTTGGTTCGAACCTTTCCTAATATGCTCTATTAAAAATAAAGATAAGATCTAAGAAACATATTCTCGTCTTTATTTCTTAAAACCCGTTAAGCAAGTAAAAAAAAAGGAAAAGATGACATATGTCGTCTATCTTACCAGCCTGCCAGCCACGAGCCTGATGATCAGCAAAACAACAATACTGGAGACAACCACTGGAGACAGCAAAACAGGTCTACCAACTACGTACTTCTGCAACAATACATACACTATGGTACATAGGTCGTACGTAGTTGGTGGGTCGTCCGGTACGCCGGGATTCCAGATTTATGTGTAAGACGGGTGGTTGGCAAGGGTGATTAAACAGGATCAGAACCAATCATTTCGACATCTCTGCTCAATACGGTATGTAGTACTGTAGAGAGGCACAGTGTTTAAAGCACACTCCCTCGCCCACTTCCTTGAAGATCCACCAAGCCAAGCTTTGAACTTCAAGTCTTTTTCTTTTAGGACCAGGGGAGCACATGGGAGATCGTCTAGATGGGTGAATAGATAAATAACGGCAGAATACTTGTAGTCTCGTTTCGAGTTTATTAGCTCTTCAGCCTTATGTATGACGGACAAGTTTTAGGTATCTTATTAATTCAAGACTTTCAAAGTAAAAAATTGGAGAGAATACACAGCTTTGTACATAGAAGATGGTTTAGGATGAGCATAACTACCTACTACATATGTACATACACACACATAGCTCCATTACCAGCCATCGACCAGCATGTGAGCGTGGGTCTTGTATCCTCGAATCTCTGGCTTGTGATAGGTAAAATGTCCAACAGACTTGCATTAACTGGAACTCTTCAACGAGACTTACGTACATAATTGTTTCTACATAACGCTAAGCCATCAGCTCTAGACCTTCGAACAGGAACATAGCCACTGATATTCATCCAACTGGAACGCTGTACTGTACGTAGTACGTAGCTTGCGTAACGTCTCTACGTCCTGTCTTGAACCAGTTCAATTTCCCACTGATCCTAAGTTTCTGGCTCTCTCTATCAGATATTTATGGATTTCTATGTACATATATACATTTTCTTACGATCCCAATACGATCCCAATACCATGTTAAAGGTTTCGATATGTGGATACGATGCTTCCAAAGTTAAGCGGTTACCCATCGCATCAAGTCGACGCACAGTCGATGCACGTGGCACATCTAACCGTATACCTGCCTACCGCATACCGCTACATTTTGGTTAGGTATTTGGATAGATATGTATGATTTTAAATACGAGAAGATTTATTCGTGCAGAGACCAATGCTTTACTAAAACAGAGCGGACTAAGTACCTAAAGTTAAAGGAGTAACATATATAATAGCCATTGACTTTAGTAGTATATCCATAAACTTCAACGAATACGGACGACTGTAGCACGTAAGTTTTGCTATTATTGTTGTTTTAGTGGCCTTACTACTTTAACCAGAGGTTTCCTTATAAACATCATAGCACGTTAAGATCAGTTTCACCAATACGTATCCAGCTAATACTAAAGAGAATCAATGTTTTACTTAATAGGTCACCTCGACGTATACACTATTGTCTTAATGTTTTAACTCGCTTCTTACATTACACACGATGCAAAGTTCCATTGACATTAACACCCAACTATGTATATCTTGGAATACTCCTCAGTTACAGGTAGTCGGAATGCTTCATTGAATAACTAATTGCCATGCCCTCGTCCCGGCATAACAACCATAAAGCTGATATTCAGCTGTCCGTTATACTAGTTGGGCGGCTGGTATATTCATCCGCAATAAGACAGTAAGCTGTTTCCATCTGAGGAAACTCGCATTCATCAAGGTAGGCTTCGGGATTTTATAAACCCTGATACCAATTTGAACCCAAGTCCTGGCCAACTACACAAAATTGGCTCTTCAGTAGAAACTCTCCACCATGGTGTCCTTCAGTTTGCCACCGACATTGCCCGGCGCAGCGCCCTCGCCTAGTCTGAAGACACTCTCGATGACACTAAGCTCCGTCGCCGTCGTATCTAATCCCGTCACCGCCAACCAGTCGTTAACCACCATACCAGCGCCGACCACGTTGCTGCCTCGGTTCACGCTGCCCGCAACGAGCGGTACTTGCAGAAGACTGCTCAGCTCGTCCTGATCTTGGATACTGGTCTTAGGGTGCACTAAACCGCCCTGATTACTCAAGCTCATGTAGCTTCCGACAAGCACGTTGTCCGCAATCGTCTGCCGGAAAACCTCCACACCTAGAACATCTGAAATAATCTCCTCCGTCTCGCGCTCCAGATCCGGATGGACTAGAGCTATGTGATCGTTCGAGACGATAACATTGCCTAAGGCGGATAGACGTTCCTCTATTCTTTGGATATTGATCTCGTCAGGTAAGGAATTGCGCAGATGTTGCAGTTCTTGATCGGTAGTAGAAGTGGGCACGAGAAGACCCTTACGATTCCTAAGGACAAGAAACTGATTAGTCTCACACCAACATATAAAACACGTACGATAGCTTTAGGCCATCGTATCAAGAAACACAGTTATTTCTTACCCCGCTGTTAACCGGCCGATGATGCGCGTGCCGGCGATTGTAGTTCGGCAGATAGGAATGACATCTTGAAGTTCAGCCTCGAAGACGCTGTAAAAGTTTTCGCTCGCGCCGACGGCAGTCAGAGCATAAGAATTGGTGAGTGTCGCGAAGACGCCGACCCTAAATTATAAAATTGCATCATTAGCACCTATCCTCTATCACACAAATTTGCTTTCGCGGGGTCCTTTAAAACTAGGATGGCGGGGCTTACTCGTTGGAGTTCTCGAATTGTGCGCGCACAGACATGATTTGTCCACTGCAAGTTATATTGCTAGACACTATATCGGCCGTAATTGTAACGGAGAGGTTATTCAAGTTTTTAAAGAGGTAAAGTAATGTAGATGTTAAAAGAAGAAGAAATCGATTGTTCTGCTATGTAAGAATATGTAAGTAAAGACACTAAGGCATGGGATAATGCTGAGTATTAATCTAAAATATTCATGTGGGGCTATACAAGTAATACTTCTTATTTCGTACTACCAAGAGGCTCTGGAACTAAGAGACTGTAGTCAAGTTTCCCGGATGTGACTCAATCTGGATGACTCTAAACAAGGGTATTTGTATCAAGTACTTATCATACACGCTTAATTGCACCTAATATAAAGTGCCAAATACATTTATAGTGCATACTTAGCCACGATGATTCATACTGAACTCAACTCAATTCAATCCAATCCAATCTGATCTAATGCCCATTTCATTCTAAGCACATCGTAGACCTCTACTTTATTCTGCATTCTATTTCGCATTGGGTAACAACCTAGTCTCAAGTAAGCCTATTAGCTCAACGAAGTGCCTTATAAACCTATAGTAATTTTATAATCATAACTAGGCTTATAATAAGAGCACTCACTACCTGACAACTAACATAAAAGATCACAACTAAAATAACAAGTAGCATCATATTGGGTATGAAGGAGTCAATTCCATGCACGCGCAGTTTAGCGGGAGCCAATGAAGCTAGGTACTTCATAACTAAATCTGCTTCTATAACGGATTATTCCTCCTCCAGGAATGCCGCCATTAAACACCCCTAAACTTGTCATCTCAACTCCACTGATGGGAAATATCTCGGTCCCGCAAACCCTTTGGCGATGACCGCCTGTATGTCGATATTTTCACTCGGATCCCGATGCGGACTCCACATCTTCAACAATATAAACCGTCCAGAAACCGGAGGATCAAACTTAATAGTACACTTGCTTTTGTTCCTCTCAATAAAGAACCGCGCGTAAGGAACCATCATCTCCCCGCCCACGGCACGGACAGCCTCCTGCGTAGCCACCTGTGCAGCCTCCACCGCCTCTTCCAGTGCAGTACTCGGTCGATTACGATGCCGCCGGAATCTTTGATATGCTTCGCTGAATGAATTATCATTCGTATTGCCCTCATCGTCGCTTGTTTCACTCTCGAATGGCAAGGACCCAATCCTATTGGGCGGCCGCCAATCTCCCCTCGGAGTCGGGTCATCCGTCTCGTCGTCACTACATTCCGTAGTGACTCTAAATGGGGGTGGTGCTACATTAAATTCAGAGGGAATCTGAGCAACTCGTACGTTGTTGTCTTCATCGTCCATGCCGATATTATATAGTCGCCTCGCTCTAATTTGTGCGTGCGTCATGGTGCTTCCATCTTCATTATGCCTAACGGACAAAATAGGTGTCAGGGGTTGGCTATCCCGCTCCCCGCGCCTAGGTGAATTTCTAGAAGCCGAGTACTGAATTTGGTACTGGGCCGTCCGTGTCAGGAGATGGTCAGACGTCATCGAAACGAAGACCATACCTTCCTGTACACTATGAAATTAATTAGTAAGAGTGTAGACAAGGGAGAATGTTACTCACGGGGAAGTAAAATTAGACCTGGGGGCTTTTATAATTAACTCCTTTAGCGTAAAGACAGTAGCACCTTGGTGTCTCAGTATGATATTGCATCTTGGTCCTTCGGTGCAGTAGACGGTTTGATCATTTTTGAGAATATTCTCAGCTGCGTATCTCTGGCCATCGTCGGAAAAGATGCCCCCATCGCAGCTCACCAACTCCATAGTCAGTTGACCCGGTTCCACTTGTCCATATTTCCCATATCGAAAACCTTGGAAACTGCTAGACAGACGATCAGAGTCTAATTTGCGCCTCTTGACTCGACGATTATCCTCTGCTGGATCCTGTGGCGGTGGCGCTGGCGGTAACGTTGAAAATGTAAGATCAGAATAAGGGTGGCCGGGAGGATGAGTAAAATCCAAAAGCGCTCGTAGCTCAGAATTTGTATCTTCCCGTAAACGTTCCTCGTCTAAGGAAGATTGTTGCGAATCGGCAATCTGGCCGGTGGCGGAGCGTCGGGTACCACGCGAACCCCTGTCAAAGGGTTCTAATCGCTCCCAGAACTCGCCCGCTTCGTCATTGGTCTCGCCCCGATTCCTCTGCGCAGTCCGCAACCTTGCCGCGTACATGCGGTCCGCCGCGCGTGCTCGTGATAGACCGGACGGAGGCATTGCCGAAGGTCGTCGGGTACTTGTTAGAGATCGCAGCGGCGGCAGGTAAGGAATAGAGGGGGGTAAGTTATAGCGGGGTGATGCGTCAGAACTTTGCGGCTCTCTCGAGAATCTTCGTTGCGCTTCCGAGCTGAGCTCGAACGGCATACTGTTCCGCGACGACGAGCGCTGACCCAAACGGGTTAAATGGTTCCGAACGAGGTCTGGTCGCGGGCGATTAGGCGGCCGGGAATAAGGGTAATACCTCTCTATAGCCCGGTATAACTCTCCAGAAGGGCTGATATCAGAAGGCGAAGCATCACCATCGAGTATGGAACGTACTATCTCGTCGGCAGTGCGAAAAGGTCCTGGGTTTGGCGGAGGCTGTCCGGAAGGATCGTCCGACTATTGGATAACGGTATTGTTAGTATAATAATAGGAGAGCACCCAAAAAGCATATGGGCGGGGACGCAAGTTGATATTTCGGTATAGACTGGAGGTAGAAGCCGACTCCGGAGGAAATGTGGTAGTATATGCTGGATGAAGCTGAGACTTACCATTAAGAGACTAGGGACCTGTAGGTATTCGTTGAGATGTGCGTCAGCGGATCAGACCGCAGCTGATGTGTACCTGATTAAGCCAAGAACAGTCAAGTAGTGATATAGTGATGAATTGGTATTATCAGGGATTTCGACAGGTATATGTTAAGATGATCGAGTTGATGGGTTTAACAGGTTGGCAGACAGGGAGGGAGATGAATGGAGTAATCAATGGAGTGTAGTTGGAAGTTGAAATGGGAAATCCCTTGGGAATAAGGAATGGACATGCAGGCGTGGGATGTTGTGTGAAAGGGCATTGGTGAGATGGAGTAGGTAGGCTGGTTGGTTGGGTTTTAGGCGGGGGTTTTTTTTTACTTATAAAGTTGTACATATGTATGTAACGATCTATTGGGTAAAATTGATAAAATGTACAACTACACTACATAATGATTACCATATAATTAGGGTACCTCTTAAACATGCACTAGTCATGCTCACGCAACCCCCCCTTCCGCCCAATTATTTAAATCTTATCCTAGTGGAAGGTACATACACATACATAAGGTTCCATAAACACATGCATGTGGACAGCAGGGTTATCTACACATATATGTAGGTATCTACCTTTTGTTTTGTACCTCAGCTTTATTCGGACCTTGTCACACTCTTTGTGTAGCCTTTCAATTTCTTTCAGGCAGCGATACCAATCATAATTGAGTAAGAAAATCAATTTTTGATGCCATTTGCTTGTTACCTTCTCCTTTCTTGTAAGCCTCCTTGTAAGCCACGAGTTAGAGATTATTGAGCCTGGTGCACCTATATATTAGGCACTTATAGCATGTTGTATTACCTATTCGTACTTTGGTAGGTACAATTGGCTACTTCTGTAACTTCACCTCAAGCTGTGACTTCAACATACATCCATGCACTATGTACTATGCTTATATCAGGTTGTTATGATCTTCAATTTAGTCTTGGCTTTCCAAATAACGAGACTTATTCTTTTATCCTGACGTATCTGCGTATCCACATTGATTTACCTAATGCAAGTTACACCTATTATAGTGTTACCTAAAAGGGTGACCTAAAAAGGCGAGGCTAGCTCATCGCATCTTGCCTTGATAAAGGTATAAACTATACGTGATTTACATACATGATTATATTTCGTCACATCTTTAGCAAACAACTAAATACAACATTCAATACCAAAACTACCTAAGGGTTAGACTATCCTATCGTTAAACCCCCGAAACAACTTTTTACATTAATATTTACGGAATAGGAAAGAGAGACTTGTTAGTCAGCATCCAAGTACATGTCCAAGTACATGGAAGCAAGTCGCGCCGCGCTTCTGCTCTCGTCTCATCTTCACGCATGATCTTCACGCATACTACTTTGAACCGTTCATCTCAGTCGCAGACTTGACGAGTTAATATCATTTTATGCCTTTAGCTCTTATTAAGATACCCCTTCCTGTATCATCCTGTAATTAATTCTCATACTTCTTATACTTCTCATACACATTTACAACCCGGCGTTTACGACTCATCAGAAATGGAGACTCAAGACCAAACCGCTCCCCCGAATCAGCAAATAATCTCGGGTGAAGCTCATGTTCCCGATCCGAACCAGCCAGTCAGGGATGGTGGGATATCCGGACGAGATCCACTACCGTTACCAACCTCCGGCATATCTTTACCACCTGAGAACTCGATTCCAGGAAATGGCGTCCCTGTGTTTCCTAATACAAATGATAGCTTCGCCACCCTCCAACAAACAGTCTTCAACAATGGCAACTTCACTAATCCGGGCATGATAATACATCCTCCAGCTCAATCACATATTGTACCTAATTTCAACAACCCCATCATACCTCAGCCGACCAACGGGAATGTCTTAAGTGCAGGTAAGATAGCATTTCACTTCATTGCTTAAGTTCTCATCTAATACAGCTATCAGATGACATTGCCCTATATGACCGCCAACTGCGGTTATGGGGCATGGAGGCGCAACAAAAGATACAGAACACCAACGTTGTTCTTATCACTATGAAGGCTCTCGCGAATGAGATTGCCAAGAACCTAGTGTTAGCTGGTATTGGTTCCTTAACCGTTGTTGATGACCAAATAGTCACGGAAGCCGATCTGGGGGCACAATTCTTTCTCACCGAGGAGAATGTTGGCCAAGGCCGTGCTGAAGCAGCTGTTGGTAGGATTCAAAAGCTGAATCCTAGAGTCAAGGTCATTGCCGATTCCGGAAGCATAATGACCAAAGGCGCGTCGTTTTTCGGCAACTTTGATATCGTCATCGCCACTGATCTTAGCCCCACTGTCTTCGCCTTCATTAACACCGCTACTCGCCTTCACAACCGCCAATTCTATGCTGCTGGTACCTACGGCTTTTATGGTTACATATTCTGTGACCTGATCGAGCACGATTACGTTCTGCAGCGAGACAAGCCCAACGTGCCAACAACCGTGGGCCCAGAGACCCGGACTCGTAGCATTATTAAGGTGGAAAGCGAGAAGGAAGGCGGTAAGACCATTGAGAAAGTACAAAAGCGCGAACTATACTCTACCTGGGACCTCGCTTCTGAAACAAGTCTCCTACCTCCTGAGTACCTCAAGTCTAAGCGCCGTCTCAAAGCCGTCTCCCCTGCTCTCTCCTGCCTGCGCGCTCTCTGGGCCTTCCAACAAACGCACAACGACCGGTTCCCCGAGCACAACAAGCAGGACCTAGAGGCGTTCACCCGTTCTGCCACGCACAACCACCAATTGCTGTCTCTCCCCGCCGAGACCCTACGCTCCGAGTTCTTACGCAGCTTCCTACAGAACGTGGGAAGCGAAATTGCGCCGGTTACCGCGATCCTCGGTGGTCAGCTCGCGCAAGACGTCATCAACGTTCGCGGCCAACGCCAGCAGCCCATCCAGAATATGGTCGTGTTCGACGGTGATAAGATGGAGGCCGAGATGTATCCGCTGCACCCGGAAGGAAAGCTTGGTAGGGCGCAGCTAGAGCTATCGACGGCGCCGGGCATGATACCGCTTGGTGGGGTTGATGCCTCGCAGATGCTGCCTATGGACCATGCTGCTATGATGATGGCGCCTGTTTCCGGTGTGTGATAGGAGAGGTGGTACGCGTGGGCAGTTTATGCAGGAGAGACGATGTTTCCTTGCGTTTGGACACGGTGGGTGGGGCCAAGTCTCGGGCGTTTTTCAGAATTGGCATAGCAAAGTCCAGATTACTCAGATTCCAGTGATATTCCTGATCGGTTATTTCCATCTTTCCAGGGATTAGCAGGCGGATTCCAGATAAGAGATTTTTTCTTTTTATTTGCGAGAGTTCTAAAAAAAAGAAGAGGGATGGATACGTTCGATCATCGCTCAGAGTTTCTTTCTTCGGTTGGGTGGCAAAAGAAAACTACCTGGCTAGGTAGACTAGGAGATAGTAAGAGAGTACTTAGGGGGGAAATGAAAAGAAAGAAGCATGAAATGCAGACGGTGCTGCCCTGTATAATAGGTAGCCGGATGCTTTATTAATCTTCAAGTCGGTGTCTTTTGAATATCTAAGCCAAAATACTGTGAATGTTAGTACTCGGACATATACCCAAGTATAGTTATACCCATCTCGCCTATAGCAACTTGGGGTACTCAAGCCTACGAGTTTACTAGACCTTAATATAGAGAATGTGCTAATATGCGATGTTATGACTTAGATATAGAAAGCTTAGGTAGGTACTTTTGAAGAAAATAGATTTGTACACATACATAGGTACGCAGTGAAAGAAAGGTTGGCAAAGTAACGCTACGCCGAACATAGGAAATAAGAGACAAAAATTACTCTTTATTCCGGTTGGGATTTATACCGCATAATTAGGTAAGGTACCTACAGTCCGGTTTGTTAGAAAAGGACATGGGTGTTTTCACTCAACTCAAGTCTTCGCTGGTATACTACTATTGCTTAGCCTACGCAAAGAACAGAGATCCTTAAAGTCTACCGACAAGTATCATTGTCATTCATTTACGAGAATCACTAGACAAGTCACGTTACTAAGGAAAAACACCAAGAGGTCTTAGGTGTATTATATGTTTGTGCAAACGGCGTTCATTGATCGCTCTATACAAGGTCGGTAGCTTAGACACGACCGGCCACAACCCGTGGCTCTATTTTTCGGCGCTCCCACCTCCCTCCCGCGCGCCCTCCCTGCCTCCCTGCCTGCCTCCCTCCCTCTCTATATTCCATCCGCTGTCCTCCTCCCTTCTCCTCCAAGGGCAAATCGTGCCAATGACCAACTGATTATAATGCAAACCCTCTCTCCCCTCTTCTATCGCGGCCTGTGTCAGATACACAAGATGCTTGCTCCAATAGAGCAGGAGGGGAAAAAAGACAAGACGTTGAAAAAATTTCCCTTAGTTATTCCTAAACTCCGAGTGTTTATGCAATGATGATGACGATGATGATGAATTTTTTGGGGCGCGCCTAAAATAGGGAAGACCCCGATATGCGAATCCCCTGTCCAATGCAGCCAGCCTGCCCGGCGCCATGCTGTGGGATACCAAGTGTGTCATGATATGATGATGACGAGAAAATACAAGTTTGTAGTAATGGCAAAAAAACGAGGCTGAACGCCGAATGTGTGCGAGAAAAAAGTAAGAATGTTGGGTTGGTATCCACGGGGCGGTAGTAGTCGTAAAAGAAAAAAGAAGTCGTGCAGTAATCAATAAAGTATTCAATTATTTTCTCGTATCCGATGTTGTATCATGGTATCATGCGGATTTTCATTTCCTAGCTTTGTAGGAATCGATTCGTGAATCAGTTTCGGTCGGTATATATGGTATGGACCGAGAATTCAAAACTCTAGTTTCGCTCGGAGGAGTTCCATTTGCTGATGTATGGTTGTATCATGCTGTGAAACGGCAATGGTCAACACGATAGATAGTCTTAGGGTAGTTGTCTTCTGTTGAGACCTACTTTGGAGATTCCTTCTCCTCGGAGTCCTCCTTCTTCACATTCTTGTTTCGACTCTTGGAAACGTTGTTTACATTCCATCCCCTGATAGTTGTGGGCCCGGTTCGCGGGGGCGGCTCGTTGGCTCGGTAGTCTTTGATCGCTTCCTTGTGATCATAATGAGCGAGTCTCAACTCGGTGCCACCGTTGGAAGGCCAAGGGCGGTTGTGGGGAATAGGTGCGGCAGCAATCTTGCGGTATTTTCCAGCGTTGTTGCCGTTCGATGATGTAGATCCCCTACCGCGGGGTGTATGAGCGGGTGACGAAGGTGATGTCAAAGGTGGGCCAGTCGGTGATGTAGACGGCACAGGAACTTCCATCTGTGTCGATAGAGGGGCTAGGTGTGGCTGGCTCTGTAGAGGGGGAGACATTTCAAGAGGATAAGCAGACATATGAGGAGGTATGTGAGGTTGGTTTAGCAACATGCCGGATCCGGACATGGGCGGGCCTTGCTGCATAGACATAGGCATTAAAGTCGACTCATGTTGAAAACTAAGACCCTGGTGAAAGGGTCGTGACGGTGCAGGTGCAAAGAAAGTCCCCGAATTCGAGCGAACTAGTCCGCGGGGAGAATCGAACTCCTGCTGCCTGTGAGAGGGCTGGGTCAGAGGAGGTGGGGCTATATTCAAACTCTTTCCTAGACCATCCGCTCTATTAGGCCGTAGGGGAGGTAGAATCGGACTCTCCTTCACGCCGCTCTGGCTTGAGAATGGGATCCTAGGGGGCAAAGGCTGCTGCGGTGCTTCCATCATTGCGGTAGGAGCTGGTGCAATATGCGCGAAAGTCGAGGCAGGGTTCAACGCGGTCTGCAAGAATGCGTTGGGGAGAACCGGAGGCTGAGAAGGTAGACCGAGAAGACGAGGATCGATCATAGAAGAATCGTTCATAAGTGCAATGTCTGCTTGTTGCTGTTGCTGCCGCTGCTGTAATTGCTGCTGCTGCTGTTGGTGTTGCTGCTGCTGTAGCTGTTGGTGTTGGGACAGCTCTAAGGCAGCGTCCGCAAACATAGAAAGTGCATTAGCACCTCCTTCCGAATAGCGTTCTGTGCGGCTGGGAGCCGGCTCCGCGCTCGTAAAGACGTCTCTCACCGCATCATAAGGGCGAGATGGCCGTGTAGTAGGAGACGGTTGAGTAGGTTTGTCAGCGTCTGAGATCTCGGCAGCCTGGAGAAGAAGAGACACATTGTCTCCGTGGATAGAGCCATCAGTTTCTGCTGGCTTGGTATGGGCTGCTCCCTCCAAAGAAAAGGTGTCATCGGAGGACCTGGTTAGTCTCTCACGAACTCTGCGCTCGCGATCTCGCATTTCATCGGTGATGATTTCTTCAGGGTCGACGTCTTCCTCTTGGCAAAACTTCTGAAGCATTCCTGCCATAGAGCACTTGATTCCATCCTCCTTCAGCATCATGTCCATCTTCATAGGTCGAGTAGATCGAGATGCATGCATAGTAGTATTCTTGTTGGGTACGACAACAACAGATCGGGTTCCATCGACACGTTCATGGTCATATTCCGACTCGTTAGTAGAGTTGGGGAGGAACATGCCGTATTTTGGATGTAATCCGTGCTTCTTTACAACCTCTGGGTCTAGGGTATCGTCCTTATAGTCTCGGGCGTCGTAGTCCTTGACTGTGTGGTCCCAATGCCAGGTATTAGAGTTAGGCGTGTCGAGGAACATGCCTCTGACCGCGCGTGTGGCCTTCCGGGTTGAGTCGTTGGTGGAATCTCGGAATCCTATTTCATTATCGTCAAATTGAAATAAGGGCGGAACAATAAACCTGTTGCGTGGGCTCTTTGCTCGTTTATTGACGACGCGAACGCCATACTCGTCGGGATCGCCAGCACCGGCGGGAAGGTCTGGGAAGTTTTTGCCGGAAACAACAAATTCCTGCTCATCAGGTGGCGTCGGTGTTGCGACATTAGATTCTGGTACACCATCGGGCTGTTGCTCTGAGGCAAGCAGGCCACCGGTATGTCGAGGCTTCTTGGAATGGGCTTGGCCATCAAGTTGGTCGTCTGCCTTTCGCTTACCACTGGCCTTCCCTTTACGGCCTTTGCCTGATGTGACAGCATCATCTGATTGACCGGTAAATGAGACGTAAGGTACGTGGTCAACGTAATGGTAACTCATATCAAGTGTCTGGGTAGGCTTGTTAATTCAGTTAGGATTGGAATAGAGATGTGGGCGAAGATAGAATGACAAATTTACTTACATCAACAGCTTGGCCTTCACGGTGGAGCTCTGCTAGAATGCTGGCGCGGTTCTCAGCGCCATCGTAAAGTTCTTCGGTTTGGTATTCGAATGAGTCCTAATACGATTGTAAGTAAGATAAATTTAATAAGGGAGCGAGATTGAGGTTGAGAAGTGCATATTGAAGGGAATAGTACATACCATAAATCTCTTCTGGGTAAATGTGCGATCAAGCTCGTAAGTGCGCTGCGAAATCATGTCTCGCGTGTGTCGTTCTCGGTCAGCAGTCTCTATAACATGCTGGAGCTGTTGGTCTAGCTGTTCTTGAACGGTATAGTACTCTTCTACGTCCTTATGGCCATCCATAGATTCCGTCAGCTTCTTGAGAGTCTGATCGGCAATCTCTTCGAGAGCCGGCCTAACAGCTAAAGCAACTTGTGAGTAGAGGTCTCTCAGTTCCCTCTGGCGTTCATAAGCAGCTTGAACGCGTGTATCGCTGTAAACTTTCTTCTGACCTCGTCCCTTACCACGACCAGCGCCTTTCTTGGCGGCGGGCTTGCGTCCGAGTCGCTTGGTAACACCATTTGCGGGAGCTTTTTTAATTGTAGTAGTGGTGGCGGCGACGGCAGCAGCTTTACCCTTTGCAGGGCTCGCCGCTACAGACGAGGTGGTTTTGGGAGTACTACCCATTGTGATAGAAAGTGTAGAAAGTGTAGAAATTGTAAAAAGCGTAAAAAGCGTAAAAAGTGTATGGCGAGAGTTGGATTAGAGAGGGATTGTGGATTAGAAAAGGTGTGAGACGTGTAAGAGTTGAAAAGGATGCGTGAAATTCGTTAGGGGTTGAATTACACAGAAATTTAGAAGTAAAAAGTAGGCTGCTTCGCAGATAGAAAAGAAGTTAAAAAAGAGTGTAAAGATAAGAGAAAAAACCTGTTTCCTATGTTCTGAGGTACAGTTGTAGAGGCTGCAGGTGAATGAATTTTTGGCTTTTGGTTTGAGAAAGTAATGTTGTAATATGTTTGCGTGTCAGTGAAATGTGTCGTGTGTGTTGATGGTAGAAAAAAAAAAAGAAGGCAGAAAGGTTTTAGTCTTCAAGTTGCATTGACCAAAAACAATTAACTAAGTTGCGGGTGGTAGGAAAAAAAAAGAAGTAGAGTTAAAGAATTGAGAATTGAATTTTTTGAACCAGCCCATCCGGTATCCGAGTTATTCTCCAAGGTGATGAAGTCGTGGCAATAGGAACAAATTCGAAATGCTCACTTTCATATCACCATGAGATTTTCTTTCCAAGCACAATTAAACAGCAAGACACACACCCTTGGACTTCCCGATGCAGTCAAGTCCCTGCGCTGTCTATTGCGCTTGGCCCTCTGCGGCGAGCTAAATCAATTTTAATTGGTTCGGAGAAACCCCTGACCCGCTTCCGTTTCCGGCTCAGACGAGTTAGGTACCTACAAATTTACCTACAAATTTACAAAACCAGCCACTTCTATCAGTCTTTTATTTGTTGGGAATATTAATTTTTCATAGCATTTACTGATTACTATGTTTAAACAGACTTATCTCGAAGCGTAGTGTATTTTAGTTAATATAATAGCGATGCGGCGAATCGCTAGCCGGTTATCTGTAGGTACTTAGGTACTTCTAAAATGCCAGCTCGTTTTATCTGCCACTTATATTCACCAACCGTACCCTGTCTTCCTCACCGCCAACCAACATAGAAATATACATATATATGATTAATCTATGGGAAGACATCTATAGTGACTAAGCTAGGAAATTCTTCGAGTCACATTAGGACCTATCTAACGGTTTCTAGAGACTAGATGAGGGTTTATACGCGTAGTCATTAAGTTACCATAACCCTCTTTGAATGAGTAATATGGTAGAAGGTTTGACAAGCTTTAGTTAACTACCTAGTCTACTTTCTTGTATATCTACAAGTTAGGACGGCCTCTGTATAAACGTAAAGTAAAATACTGAGGTTATACGCCAACAACTTAGATCGGAGTACTCTTAGACACGTTCGCTATGATGCTTCTGATTGTCTTGAATCTAAAGACAGCTGTGTTGGTCTTTCGTATATGTACATTACATAGTACACACAGGGCACAGCTAACTTAAATACTCTCAGGTTCGTTTACTAAATTATCAACTTCGTAGCATCACACAGCATACTCACCTTAGATACCTAGTTACATTAACAATGTATACATTGATATGCATTTATCCTAGGTGCAATATCTGAGTCATCATATTATCTCTGAGGTAATCTAATCAGTTAGTTTTCTATTACAGTCATATATTGTAGTTATCTAATCTAATCTAAGGTACTATGATTATTTTGTTATCCAAACATACCTCCTAAGGTACGTCTTCTTGTAAGACGGGAATGGCCAAAATCTGCAGCTACCTAAATTAGGTAGAATTAGGTACATATGTATGTGTAGCCGTAGTGACGTACCTTATGTACCTAGATATGCCAATAATATGACGTCTCATTGGCCAAAAATAACCCCCATCCACCTTAAATCCCCGGAATTACTATATTAAGACTAGTAAGTTCCATGCTTCGTCCCGCAACCGCAATCTAGCCGCAGAAAGTGGGATGCGGTTTTACGAGCCACTAATTTTTCTTCCCTTCCTCGGAGCTTCACCACTACCGACATCACCTCACCTTAACCTCACCTTACTTTACCTTACCCTTACCTCTTCCACCCGGCATCCCCCAATTCCATTACACGACGAAGGCCGTTTAATCCCCGACCTCGGCACCTCGCATACAACCATTGCGGCAAGTCCCGCGTCTGTTGTCCGTAACACGCGACACTATGCGCTACTAGCAGCTCACCAGCAGGAGAACATGGGGAAGCGGCGGAAAGTCACGCATAATGCTCGACCGTCGCAGAAGTCAAATACCGGCGGTCAAAAGCCGCAGGGGGTAACAAGACCGACACCTCAAAAGCAGAAGCAGAAGCAACCACAGTCGCAACACGACGAGCCCACGATACCCTTCGCACCCGAAGACAAAATCCTATTAGTTGGCGATGGCGACCTCAGCTTCGCGGCCTCTTTGGTCGAGCACCATTACTGTGCCGACGTGACAGCCACGGTTCTTGAAAGGAATCTTGAGGAGTTGGTAGAAAAGTATCCCCACGTACCGGAGAACATCGCCAAAATCGAGGCCGAAGATAGCAAGGTGCTCTACGGCGTGGACGCCACCAAAATGGTACCCTTCGTAGACAAGAAAGGAAAGGATAGCACGGGAGTCATGGACCGGATTATCTTCAACTTCCCGCATGTCGGCGGGAAGAGCACCGACGTCAATCGACAAGTCCGGTATAACCAGGAGCTACTAGTAGAATTCTTCAAGCACGCGATGCCGTCCCTAGCACCCGGGGGCTCGATCATCGTCACGTTATTCGAGGGCGAGCCGTATACGCTGTGGAACATTCGAGACCTCGCTAGACACACCGGTCTCCAAGTTGAGCGCAGCTTCAAGTTCCAAGCAAGTGCGTATCCGGGTTATCACCACGCAAGAACGCTTGGCGTGGTGAAGAGCAAAAGCGGAGAAGCGGGCGGCGGTTGGAAGGGTGAGGATAGGCCTGCGAGAAGCTATATATTCGTTCGGAAAGACGACGAAGCTCGACCGCGTCCGGGAAGTAGTAAGAAGCGCTCGAGGGCTCGGGATGATGAGTCTTCGGACGATGATTGATGTGCAAATTGCATATATATATATATAGGTACCTAATATATAATACCCCTATGAATTTTCTTCGATATTTATGAAAAAAAGGCATGGCGTTTATACATAAGGTTTTAAGCATTTAATCCTTAGGGTTATATCATTTCCAATTGTACGTCACTTGCGAGCTGATGTATTCTTAGATTACTACAGCTATGTTTTAGGATAATATAGGTATGTCGAGAATTCGATTTTGAATAATATTACAAGTAATTATAATATTTAATAAGAGCATCCTAGTATAAGGTAACACCGGTCAGGTGCTATATGTGTTTCGGGATATAATTTATCTAGATGTTACCCCAATGGATGTCTCGGATTTAAGCATTATCTCGCAGCCCGGCATAGTAGCCGGTTTAGAAGCTTAACTGGCCCAATATTCTTAAAAAAAATATCAAGGTAGAGTTTACTAGTATCGATAGATGGTATTGTATAATATCTCAGATGCCTCTATTCTAGCTATTACACTGTTAATGTATCGAGCGTATATACAATTACTGGTTTCCCTGGATAGCCTCCTCGTACATTTATGTTAAGACTTCTAGTAATTTTAATATTGACTTATTAGCACCTTGATATCAGTGTTAGCAAGATTGTAATCAACCTCTAAGGACCTCCTACTTAATAATATTTCAACGATAGATAGGTGAGGCTTTGTTTAGGTCCTTTGCGCAATGGTAATTTTAAGATAGCTCTCGGTTTGCTACTGAGAGTCAACAACATACTATTTAAATAGTCTATTTCTTATCGAATAATTGGTATTCATTAAGGGTTCAATAAGGGTTATCTACGCTCTACTTATACCGTCCGGATGTTTATTCTAATTAGTGTAACTTTGAGTATGTCCTATAATAACTAGTTTTAGTCTAGATCTTAAGTTCATATTCGACGACGTATTCCAGGAATGATGCAATAAATCTCCCTCCACCCTAAACAGACGTGGCTAATTAAACATCTTCATGTAGCACTTCGCATTTGACATATCTATACCTATATATATGTTCGTACACACGAACGACCCTGAAAGTCCATGATCACGGCAACTAGCCATCTCGTACCATCCAAGATTTATAATACTAAGCGATAGCACCGAATGTTTCTCAATAATCCCATTCCACAATCATAGTTGTAAAGCCCATGTCAAATAACCAGCAGCGCCAAAGTAAAAAAAAATTAAATTACTCTACGCCCCAAAGCCAAGCTCCGCCAGACGTATATTAATCCCCGTAGCTCTTATCCAATACAAGCGGCTGCTAATTCTGACCTATCACGGCGTCCGGGTTATGTCTTGCAGGTTGACGTTTGATATTATCCTATTGGCTAGTTTCCTATTCCGCCCTACTACATGCTATATAGGACTTGTGAAACCAACCCTCATCGCCCGTCCGTGTAGCTAGCATTCATTACCCGCGCTGCAATATTCTAGGCCAAGGCTGTCCAGATAGCTGTTAGCGTAATGTCTTAATAATGATGGAAGACTTCAAAGTTACATTGCACGATGTATGATATATGAACGTCCAAGTTATACGGTGTTTTATACGAATACGCTTTTGGAATGGTCCGCGGAGAATTGGTAGGAATACATGGACTGGCTAGACTCAGAGTTTACTGTCTTATGAATGTGCTGGGAATATCTATTCGTATAACTAGTACAATCCACATTTTTCGAATAGTCGTATCTTCAATATTCTTTTTGATAGTGTAGTTTTCGCTACTTTTTGTATTTGCCCGTAAACCTACACTCAGCCATATGTACATACATGTCGTATGTATCACTACCCTCCACCACACCCCCCCTACATAACCAAGAACGCCCCGGAGAATCGTACACGAATAAAACAGCATTTGCCAACCACCAGGAGTAGAATTCTGAATCCTATACCTCCGGCAACGGAACTGCGCCAGTAAATGCTATAAAAAAAGGCCCAACCAAATCCCAGTTGTCCGCCTGGCCAGGTATCGTTAGAATGAAGTATCGAGCAGGGTTAGTTAGTATTGGCGAAACCTATTCTCTCGCTAGAAGTGGAGAAGGAGAGAAAATACAATGTAGATAGCCGCCGTCCAGCAGTAGAACAGAAACAAGAAGCCGTATGGGTATATCATGAAGCAGTATCCGATCCTTCCCGAAGACGTGAAGTGCCTAGAACATGCAGGGAAGTTTGTTGATCCCTCGAAGCTTTGAAAAAAAAAAAAAAGAGCAAATATGCCTCCCAACCAGAAACCTTCGTCTATAAATCCAAACCACCCGAAAGGGATTGTGACACCGTATGACCCTATTGGTCGTCTAATATACTACACTCTTCTTTAACTCCGATTCGATACCGTGGTTACCGGGGGGTGGGCGTCTTTTAGTGGCTCTGGGATGTTTCTCGACCTGTCTCTATCCGGGAATATGGGATCAATGCCCCGGTGCGATTCATAGGTGTGCGAAGTTCGCGGAGATGGCGGAAAAAGAGGCGGGTGTAGGGACTGAGTTCGAGGTTGTAGGGGAGGCAGTCCTTGTGACGAATCCTGTAGTTGCATATTTGGAGGGTGTGGTGGTGATCGTGAATCCAACGCAAGTGGTCCTCGATCCCGAGGTGATAAGTTAGTTCTTTCTACTTTTCTTTCTACTTGGTCGATAGATTCCGGGAGAGCACGGGGCGTATCTGTAGTCGAAGCTGGCGATGCTAATGGGAAGGAGAGATTTGCTTGCTGAGGGCTGTCGACTGCACCGAAGCCTCGTTTCCTCGCCCTCTGATCGATCGGATTGCTTGAGATCTCGTATCCAGGAGAAGAAGCGTATTCACGTTGGGGCTGAACTGCGATTGGGGCCAGAGGGGCGGGTGTGATTGGCGCGTACTCTGTCAGCCGCGAATAGACTGCACGAGCTTGAGCTTCCTTGTCGGCCTTAGAAGGACGGCCGCGCTTTTTGCCCGTCGAGGTTACAGGTGGACTGATGCTGACCGGTACGGCGGGTGGGTAGCCATTTGGAGGGGGCCGCGGCTGGATGATGCGCGCTGAAGCCATAGGAGGCTCGATAGGGCCCATCATCGCTTGTCTCTTCGCGGGGTGTTCGACCAGATCGCTTAGGGACTTGCGCTTGAAGTTTGTTAAGTTCGGTGGCGGATATTTAGTCTGGAACATATTCTCGACTGCACCAAAGCACTGGTTCATATTACGACCTGCTGTCATTAGGGAGAGGTCTCATGGAGGCGGGCCTAGAATACATACCGCCGGGGAGTTGCATCGACATCCAGTTCGGCTCGACCTGGTGAGCCTTGATAAAGTCGACAAGGGTAGAGACATCTATGGTGCTGACTTTAATTATTTCACCTAAGACGAACCGCTATAACATGCGGAAATTAGTTAAGTAGCATCAGAGTGGCCAGATGATATTATTACCTTCTCGTCGTCCGAAAACGTAGTATCCATGGCGAGCGACTAAGTCTGACACGGGCAAAGACGATTTATGGGGGGGAGGGGAAGGGGAAAAGAAGACAAGGGATATGCCAGCAGAGCTGCGAGTAAGTCATTTGAAAATAAAAAATATTCGAAGATATCACACTTAGGAGGCAACTGATCGTAAGGCAGATGCTGAGGCGGCGTAGTGTAGTGTATGAATTGCGATAGACGCCTATTGTGCCCGAAGTTCTAGGCCATCAGGTGGCAGTGATGGGCTGGGTAAACTTCAGATAGCAGGGAGGGTGGTGTATGGCGCCGGGGATCCTAGGAGGGTAAAGGAGGGCGCGGGAGTATCGCAAGAGGGTAGAGAGACGCGCGCAAAAAATGAGTACGACGCAAGCGCGCGTCTTAGTCGAAGAATAGAACCTAGGAATAAAGCGAGCGTGTCTCGGTTGAGTAAGTTGACTAACCGTTAAGTTGTACAAACGAGGGAGTATGTAGGTATGAGCCGTGGTCGTTAAGAATGCGCGGCGATCTCCTAGGTTGCGTTGCGTCTACAAGGGTAGCGTGGTGGAACAGGGTGGTCTTCTGTTAACCAGGGCTCTCCTTGGTACTCTGTGTACATCTGAGGGCAAAAAGGTAAGGTAATAATAAATTGTTAAGATGGACTTGGATTTCCCCTAGTCTGCCTTTGTCCCAAAAAAAAAAAAAGAGTCCCGAGCTTTTTCACGCCATCAAGCGAGCCGCCCTCTTGCAGAAACCTAATAAGTAATAAAACCAAACCGGGAAAAATCCTTAACGATGAGGCGTTGGTACCGAATTTCTTTTTTCCTTCTCTAATGTCCTTCTCTATCTCTCTGCGTCTGACATCGGCATATAATTTCAGTCAAGTCCACCGGCTTCGCATGAGTCGCGAACTGTAGCGTTAGATCGAGATAGACAAGTGATCGGTATAATTGCTGGCTCTAGAGCTGGCCGTCCCGTTCCCACCCCCCAGATCTGGTATCGGAGGCTATCCTGGTTCACCTTAGCCCATGCAAGAGTACGAGCAGAGATATGTGAGCTTGCGAGACGCGCAGATTTGGTGTAGTGCTGCCGCTACTAGCCAGCAGGTCATATGCTGAAATTATATGCCATTAGGGAAGTATCGTGCATAACCACTGCAACCATCACGATTTTGGCTCGATAGTTGACTGGACTGTCGATATGCAGCTCTCTCCTTCTTGCAGATGGGCAAATACATCCATGTCGTTGGCTGTAAGCCAATCCCGCTGACCACTTAGACAAATCGGGTCGCCTGACTAGGCTCTTCTTGCATTGGGCTGGTAAGAATCGAGAAACATTTTTGAATCTCGTCCTCCCTCATAGAGGCTAATTCCCACACCACCATTATTTAGAGATCTTCTGCTAGCAGTGTAGTGTTTTTCTACACCGCCAAAGTGCAAATAGCAAAGAGACCAACAGATTAATGGCGAGAGATGTAATGTGATCGAAAAGGCAACGAAATAGCATAAGCCATAAGCACGGAACTGAGAATCCCATTAGCTCCCGTGCAACTAAGAGCGTTTCCTAGGTGGATTTGAATCTCATTGGCCATCCTTCCTTGCCTCCGCTCGCTCGTTTTTGTAGTAGCTCTCGAAATCATCTCCGCTCTCGGTAGCGAACATCGTTGGGGGTCGCTTGACTGGCCAAGAGTCACTGAAATCTCTCCAATCGCAACGTTGGGGAAGTACTCCTAGAGCATTCGCACGTTTAGCGACAAGCACAGATCAAGAGTTCGTTACCTACATATGACGAGCTGCCAGCCGCCAGTCGCGAAGCCGCATAGGGTTTGGGTTGATCCATCCTGGACTATAAAAGATGCCAGATGCCCATGAGCATAGACATTTCTCGATCTGAAGAATTAAAATGCATCGTTTTGCGGAGCTCCACGTTTTTACGACCTGGGATTGCGTAGTTCCGGACGCCAGCCCTTTATATATATATATGTATGCTGCTCCGACACCCATACCGCCTTTTTCCTACCTCAACTTCAGGCTCTGTTCTATGCATAATGAGTTGGCAATTCCTCATAGGGGACCCACCCACTCAGGTATAACCCGTCATTGTTCGCATAGCAAAGATCCTAGACGTTGATCTTGACACGATGCAAGACAGATCGATAAGAACGATGATATTTTCCTAGCGTCCTGCCCGGATCCATGATATACTATGTAAGTGTTGAACCCTATTACGTATGTCAAGGTCGAGGGACACGACAGTTGTCCCTTCAAATCCCCTTGTTGCAACCATCACCGCGGCTTCGCGGGCCTCGATAGTGCTTGTACAACGTTCCATGTTGATTGATCCGGTTCTAAAGATTTGAATCTAAACAGACCGGACTTGCTGAATTTGAGAATGGTGTGGTTCCATGATTCACATATTGTGCTGTCTCTGGATCCCCGTAGGTGTCCAGACCTTTGTTACTCACGATTCTTAGACGTGGGGGTAGTGGTGACAACTAGTGGTGACAACTGATGGTGTTCTTGGTATTAGAGTATACAACTAATAAGTAACAAGAGCAGCACAGCACATTCTGCTTCTTTTTGATATATGGAACGTTGTTGAAGTCTTAGATGCCTTGGAACGCCGTTTCTTTTTACTAGGTACCACATATGCCTTCAAAGAGCATTTTGCAATACTGCATATGGTAAGCATCTACATGCATTGTACGTAGGTATCTCATATACCTAGGTATGGTTAGATCTAAAGTAATGATAAGAGCCTTGAAGAAAGAAAGGAAATGAGATTCACTTGGAATATTGTTAAGGTTCTTGGAAGGTTTGTAGATACATAATTAAAGAATCACGTACCTAAACTTAAGTTTATTCTACATCGTGCTACTGCAACGCCAACCCACATAACTGCATAGCTCCAAACTGGTACAGGGTAATGTATGGGATATGTACGGGGCAGTGTCATACAAAATACCATGTTAAATAGGTAGCGCTAAAGGACCAATGATTAGTGGGATTAGTGCGAAATAGTGGGACGAAGTCATAAACCGTAGGCGTCGGATAATTGAATTCTGCCCCCGAATTTACAAAGGCTGGCGCGCCACGCTTTCACGCTTTCACGTACAGTGCAGCGCTTTTGCAGGTCAGAGTGGGTGTATCGAGTACTTCCAGCACCTCCAGCACCTCCAGCACCTCTCATTTGGCATAGGTTGGGGGAAAGACGCAACCTGCAAGCAACTCTTTTTTTTCGGCCATGACAGCGCCGTCACGATATTTTCATCTTCACAACAAAATTTAACAAACTAACTAACCTTGCACATTAAGACTTATTACTTTTACTTGTTTGGCGCATGTTCACGACCTTCTTGATAAGAACATAAATTGGCGAATTATCCGCTTGCAATGTCACAGACGCAGTACACGAGATAGCACCGACTTTCCGCCCTCTCACCTAAGTTCCGCTCTCATCTTTCGCCCTAATCTACTTCTCTCCCTCCTACCTTCTCGCCTTTCTCTACATGTTCGCAAACGAGACATTGGAGTCGCGTAACCTTGATAGCCTCGACAGCCTATCAAATCCGATCTATCTCTTCCAACCGCGTCTCCAGCTAGCCAATTGCACCATCATTCAACATAATTCTATTCATCCGCTACTTGGTGCATTGTGACAATAGAACAGGAGAGCCTCGATTGGCTTTTTCGCCATCATGGAAGATGAGGAACATATCAAGGATGGCTTAGAAAGTCTCGATGTCAACACTGCGCCCTCCTCGCAGCAAATTATCGTGAAGAAGGAGAGCGATAGTACTGCTTCGTCGCCAAATGTTAGCAAAGATTCCCAATCAGGGAGTTTATCCCCCGACGATTTGAAAGATCGCAGTGATAGTGCATCTACTCCTGACGGACACCCCCCTAAACTTGCTCGCAAAGCATCTCGCAAAATGGCGGCTCCACCTGCTCAACTTTTCAACGACCTACCAGACGTTACGTCGGAGTCCTGTAGCCATTTCCAGTTGATCCCGGATTGTCTTTACGGCTCTAAATCTCTTGGGTCGACAGATCACGACGCGCTAGATTGTGACTGCAGCGAAGAATGGCGTACGTACATACATACATACATACCTATCTTAATTCATTGGTAATATAATGTCTACAGAGCACTGACAGGGGTTCTTTAGGGGATGGCATAAACCATGCTTGCGGTGACGATTCAGATTGCATCAATCGAGCCACCAAAATGGAGTGTGTTGATGGTGATTGCAACTGTGGCGAAGGGTGCCAGAACCAACGTTTCCAGCGCAAGCAGTATGCTGACGTCTCAGTGATTCGAACCGACAAGAAAGGTTTTGGTCTCCGAGCAAACGCATCTCTTGAAGCTAACGATTTTATTTTCGAGTATATCGGAGAAGTCATCAATGAACCGACCTTCCGAAGGCGAATGCTTCAATACGACAAGGAAGGCATTCGCCATTTTTACTTTATGTCACTAACCAAAAATGAATTTGTAGACGCGACAAAAAAGGGAAATCTAGGTCGCTTTTGCAACCACTCGTGCAATCCCAACTGCTATGTAGATAAATGGGTTGTTGGTAGCAAGCTTCGCATGGGTATATTTGCCTCAAGGAGGATTCAGCCCGGCGAAGAACTCGTTTTCAACTATAATGTGGACAGGTACGGAGCCGACCCTCAACCCTGCTACTGCGGGGAACCCAATTGTATTGGTTTCATCGGTGGCAAGACACAAACCGAGCGGGCAACCAAATTGTCCGACGCGACCATCGAAGCTCTCGGGATTGATGATGCCGATGGCTGGGATACTACGGTCGCGAAGAAGCCCCGCAAGAAGAAGATTACGGAGGACGATGAGGAGTACGTTAATAGCGTACAAGCTCGCGGATTGGATGAAAAGGATGTCACTAAGGTCATGGCTACGCTCATGCAGTGCAAGGAGAAGTGGATTGCAGTCAAATTGCTCGAGCGCATTCAACGTTCTGATGACGACCGGGTGCGCAATCGAGTTGTGCAGATGCACGGATATCAGATTCTCAAGACCGCGCTAAACACGTTTATGGACGACAACAACGTAGTCCTTCAGATCCTTGATATCCTCTACAAGTTCCCTCGTCTGACTAAAAATAAGATATCCGACTCTAAGATCGAATCGACTATTCAACCTCTAACAAACTCGGAGCATGAAGATGTTTCTGCAGAAGCTATGCGACTACTAGACGAATGGAGCAAGTTGGAGGTCGCGTACCGGATTCCTCGAAAAAAGCTAGACCCTAATGCTCAATCAACAGCTAACGCACAGTCTGTCAACTCTTTCGAGGAACGTCGCGCAAATCGCCCCGAAGAGCCGCTTATCAAGACTGTTTTTACCCTTCCTGAGAATATTCCCAAGGGTCCACGGAGTAATGTTCCTCAACGAAATCCTAATTTTTTTAATAACCAGCGCTTTCGGCGTCCTCAGGCTCAGAATCTCCCTCCCGGTTGGTTTACCGCCACCGATAAGCGTGGCAACTTGTACTACTACACTCGGACTGGCATTACAACATGGCAAAAGCCGACTGCGCCACCCGAGTCAGGCCCCTCGCAGCCCAAGGGACCTTCTAAAGCGGCACAAGAGCAGAAGACGTTGCAAGACATCATCGATTCTGTTACCAAACTGGAAAATGTGCCCAGGCGGTCAGCGTCGCAAACTCCACAGACCAGCACTCCAACCCAAGAGCCCAAGAAGGAGAAGTGGCGTTCTCTACCAATTGAGAAGCAGATGAAGATCTATGAGAATACGGTAAGCATTGTGTTGCACAACAGTATTGCGCTACTAGATTGCTAACTATAATCAGCTTTTTCCTCATGTGAAATCCGTCGTAGACAGATTCCATAAGAAGCTTCCCAAGGATGACCTGAAGAAGTTCAGCAAAGAAATCAATAAGAAACTCGTTGCATCAGATTATAAGAATAACCGCGTGGATGATCCGACCTCAATTTCCGAAAAACAACAGAGGAAGGTCAAAGAATATGTCAAAGATTTTTTCAACCGTGCAGTCGCGAAGTATAGAGCTCGCGAGCAAAAGAAGGCTGAGCGAACTAATGAGCACCATGACTCGCAAGCAAGTCAGGATGCCGATTCTACCGCGACGCCGATAGCCAAGGATGAAGATATCGTGATGACGGATGATGAAGGAATGGGCTCGACCCCCGGCAGTCTCGATCGTAAACGAAAACGCGAGGATGATGCGTGCGGCTCACCTAGCTTAACCCCTTCCGAGACGCCTTCGATGAAGCGAGTTAAAGAGGACGAGAGCGATGTGCCAAGTCCACCCCCTCCGCCTCCTCCGCCACTGGACGATGAAGCTGTGTTGGATGTAGTGAGTGAGCCAGATAAAATGTTTGGAGAACAGGACACCGGCTTGCTAGAGGAGAAGGAGGAAGTACAACGTGTAGCCGCCGAGGCGGAACGACAGAAGCTTCGAGAAGAAGAAGCGGCACTTGAACGAGAAAATGAGTTTAATATGCTCGCTTTCGAAAGGGAGCAACACGATAAGTTGGTAAATGGTAATAGTCATACCACTCCGGAAGGTCTTCCCCAAACCCACGAAAACGCAAACGGTGGATTAGACTCAGCCGGCGAAGACGGAGCTGCAATACAGCACAGCGCCAGGAAGCATGAGGTTATGAGCCATTAATGCACCTACAACTGCATCTAGATGCATGTCTTACATTGATGATCCAGCATGCCTAAGTCGTCCATTGTCAACTTCTAGTCAGCCCTATCAATCAGGGTGTTTGGCGGAGTGGCTACCATCTTCAGGAAATCCCTCACCCCTTAATATAACCTACCTACCTATATAAACCTCAACGATCGCCCTAAGCGCGATATGTATCACCGACTATTCATGTTCATTACCTCGCACACTGGTATTCAAATCCAATTCGATTCTAAGGAAGGGCGTCATATGTTTCCTTCAAGTTTTTATTTATTATGCTGTACAGCGGTGTTTATGATTGCATTTTCCTGGTAAAAAGTACGCGGTTTTAGGGGTTCAGGTTTCATCGGTGGCGTTTGGTAAAGGACCAGCTGTATTTGATTGCATTCAACCATCCACCATCGTCAGGTCGCGGAGCAACGCACAAATAAAGGAGTGTTTTTTAAACTTCGGAGAGGCAGCATATCACGCAGTCGACTAATAGGGGCACAGCCCCGGAGAACAAAGGAAGGATGAGGCTCGGTCCTCGAAGAGACATCATGTCACGGCTGCTTAGGATAACAAGTAAAGGGGGATATCGCACTAATATGCGGACTTCTCAGAGTCTTCATTCAGCATGGCCGAGTTGGGAGCGACGAGTAACAGCGAAGGGCGATAGTCGGGCCAGGTCTTTGTGCCATAATAGAGAAGGGAGGCGAAGGCCGGATTTCGTGGTCCAGTATATACCTCCGGTGATCCATACCAATCATCCATCCTGTCAATAAAAAAGGGGACAAAAGGGTTTTCTTCGCGAGAAAGCCTCAGTTCGCAATTTCTTGTGCAAGCCAGTCTTCGCGATGTATGGATGAGACCAGTGATTTTGTTACGCGTTTATTTAATATGGCAGGTCTCTATGTACTTCGCTAGGGACCTACGAATACAAGTTAGGTTGTGCTTTATATCTAGCGTAGCTTCGATAAGTAAAGCATATTGCCGGTCTCGTAAGAGGTCCAGGTTTCTTGACTGCCTAATATCGCCTTAGAATTCGATTACCAGCGAAGTCAGAGCCAGAACATAAGTGGTAGTCTTCAAGTTTGTACTATAATAACCGTTATTACCTCCCCCTCTCTCTCTCTACCTGCCATGATGGGACGAGCTGACAACCGAACTCAGTATCGATCCAATTCAAAGTGCATTCACATTTCATTCTCCCACACAATGCTCTCTCATGTAACAACATTCGTCTCGAATACCTGTTAATTAATAGCAAATCTAACGAGCACCTACGTAACGTGTAGGTATACCAAACCAAATCAGATATAAGCGAAATAGGTAAGGTAAGGTAAGGTAAGGTAAGGTGAATAGGCATAGTAGTACCCGAATCAATGTAACCACATTTTCCCGGGAGACGGGATGACCTCCGTTCATCCATCCATTTCACGGTTCCTTTCCCCTCTCCTGCATTTTCTTCGTAAATTCATACGCATCCGAATTACACAAGTAATCCATATTCCATGTCCCAGGCAGCCAGCCTTATTATTCCCCCTTCTGATATATCATATAGTCAGTCCAAAGACCGTCCAAGGAAACCAACCCATCGCATCGCATCGCATCAGTTTAACAAGCAAGCAAACAACCCACCGGCCCAATCAGCTCGAAACAACCTTCTCTAGCGCCTCGACCAGGATATCAGCATGCTGCTGTTCAAAAATCAGCATGGGCCGCAGACGGACCGCAGTAGCGCCACTGCCGCCGATATTGACGCCGAATTTCTTGGCCTTGGCGAGGAACGCGTCGCGGTTCGGGTTGTCGAAGGCGATGAAGGTGCCCTGGCCCTTGCCGCGTAGGTTGTCGAACTGGCCCGGGTACTTCTTGGCTAGCCCTTCCAACTTGCCGAAGAGGTAGTCGCCGACGCGCGCCGTGTTGCCGACCAAGTCGTGCTGCTGGATCTCCTCGATGATGGCGCGGAAGAGCAGCGCACGCGCCGGGTCGCCCATCCACGTGTTGAATTGCCGGTACGGCTTGTTGGGGCGCAAGGTCGGGTCTCCGTAGTAGAAGCCGGCTGTCTGGGCTTTCTTGCTGAAGGTCACCATGTCCGGCGGGTCGGGGAGGTCCCAGTGATCGTGAGCCCAAAACTTGCCGGTGGCGCCGACGCCTGTCTGGACTTCGTCCACGATTAGTAGGATTCCGTGCTTCTTGGTTAGCGCACGTAGGCCTCGGAAGAAAGCCGGCGAGGCGTGGTTGTCACCGCCCTCGGATTGGATAGGCTCTACGATTACGGCAGCAGGTGGTACGTGGTAGTTCTTAATGAGATGTTCGACTTCGGCGAGGGAGTCAGCTTCGGCCTTGGCGTTCTCTTCGGCGTGTTCCTCAAGAGGGTACTTGAGTTGAGGGAAGGTAGCGTGGGGCCAGTCGAAGGCGGGGATGTCGAGTTTGTGGATAGGCTTTGACCTGGTTGTCGAGAGGGTGCCGAACAGACGGCCGTGGAAGGCAGTCTTAAAGGACAGGATAGAAAGCTCAGACGCGCCGGGAGATTTGTTCAGCATAGACGACTCCAACTCCTCTTCGGTGAACTCGACGGCAGGGCCACCCCGCTCGCGTTGACGACGCCACATGAAAGCTGCTTTGAACGCCGTTTCATTCGCATCGGATCCAGCCATACCCGTGAAGACCTGGTTAAGTCCCTTAGGTGCTACCTTCAGAATACCGGTCTCCAGAACATCAGCCCAGTCATGCGAGGGGAAGTTACCCAGAGCCGGTCGGTTAATTAGTGCGCTAACCATCTCCGGGCTCTCGGCGGCTTTCCTCAAAACCGGGTTGTTGTAGCCGACAGGTATCGAGGCAATTTGAGCGTAGCTTTAATAACCAATGATAAGCTTCTACCGAGTGAGAAAATGATGATTTCTTTATGAAAACTTACACATCGAGAAGAGCGTTTCCATCCGGATCGACAATGTAGTTACCAACGCTCTTGGTGTAGTCGGCGAGCATGTTCAAACTCCGGGTATCAAAGACCTGAGTCAATTTGGTAATGTATTCTTTGGATACCGGACCGGGAATCTCCGTCTTTAAGACGGGACGCTCTGGCTCTCCGGGAAGATAACTCGAAGCCATCCTAGTGCTAGACACGGAGAATTGACTGCTTAGAGTCCGAGAGAAAGATTGTCTCGATATCGACGCGGCGGACACAGATCTCGAAACTGTAGTGAGGGGTCGCAAAGCAACTCCATGATGAAGAACACCCATCTTTTTTTTTATCTATATCCGAACTGGGCTCTCACTAAGCCCGGATTATAAGACAGATAAGCAAAAAAAGGGGTTATAATTGGTCTTCTATTCCACTTCTACAGGAAATTTCTCTACCCTCAACAACAAAGAAAGAGAAGCTCGAGGGATTAACGGGATTCCAAAAAGAAAGGGACCCGATGGCATAATAAAGCTTCCAGCTATCAAGCTTTCTTATCGTTCGCAGCGGCCGAATCCCAGCAAATCAAGCTTTGCGGGGTCCTCTATAACGCGTTATTACTGGACAATGAGTCGTTGGTGAATTACGTCAGCGATATCCGGTCTATACTTATTTACGTAATAATGTGTTTCTCGTCCTATCGTTGGTTCCTGCCCCGCAACGCGACGAACAGATCCGGGTCCGTGCCGAGCGGCCAAGCCAGCGTCCCGGCTCCTGGAGAAGCTCGAATTAGCAATTGCAGAATCCGGAAGGTCCATGCGATATCAATTCAGTGCCCTTAAGCGCGTATCCACTAATCAGCTTCCCGACATCGCTGCTAGAAGCCGATATTTTAATGTTATGATGAGGGAATGGGAATGCTATCTTTTACGAATTGAAGTAAATATTTGTAAGTATTTTTGTCTCTGGAGAGGGGTTACAATTTTTTTCATTTTTTTTTGGAGAAGTGGTAGCAAGATAAAGGTGCATACATATGACTCGTGCCAACGCGCGTTATCTCTATCACTAACAGCAAGCACGATATATAAGTACCTAAAGCTACATTTCCGGGTTATCGGTGGCATTGTGCTTATGCGGCTGTTATATGCATGCAACGTACTCAGCGAATTGATTGCATTCAGTATGCAGTTGAGACTGGGTGAGTTATGTTATAGATGAGAGGTTAATATAACTTGCTCCTATTATATTCGTTTTAGCAACACCCCTTTCAAGCGTGCTTAATAAATCTTTTTGACTAATACGAGAGAACTTATGAGTTATTTTAAATAAGGAATTTACTATTTCTCGGATTATGTTTATTGAAGATTGTTAGTTATAGCAAGTAGTTGTTAGTACTTTTCTCTCTTATCATAAAGTGACCATCAAAATAGAAATAACTAAGGTAGGTAGCTACTTTATGTTAACACTATTTATATTTATTGGAGATTGTAAATGTGTTTTTAGAAAAAAGAAACGTTATTTAACTGCTATAGTATTCGCTTAAGTATTAGCTACTAAAGTCATGTAGTTGGTCTAGTTAGTTAATACTAACTAATATATAAGTGCAACCAACAATTGGGAAGATGACTGTTGGGAAAATGTGGTTACTTTGAAAAGCTGTGCAATTTACAGATTACCTTGACAGTCCCTCCAGACAGTTTACTTTTTAGAATATTAGCATGTTACCTGCTACTAATCTTACTAACAACGAATCAATAAGTTATAACACCCAAGGTAGACCTTAAACATCCTAACATGTGCTTCATTAAGTCACTCGGCAAGCCTTTAAGCTTTATCATACAAGCTAGAGCTTATATAAAGGACAGTTCCCTGTATTACTAAGTAGCTCATTGTTAGAGATCACCCTCGATATATTATACTACCAACAGGGTGGTAGGTGGCTGGTTGGTATATAGCCCATGCATGTCTTACGTCAAAATATATCTTAACACCAGCCTCTCTATAAGTAAATAGGACACCTCAGTGCCCTATATATATCCTCCTATCCTGTAGCTGAACAGCAAGTAGTAAGGTTTAGTAACCTCTTACTAGGTTACCTAACTATCCTTCACCCCTATAACCTAACACTCACTTTTATAGCTAAGCTATAACAACTTTGAAACACCATATAACGAACTAACACGTCTTTGATGCGATCTGATGACTTGAGTGTGTTTTGATAATAGGTTCGACAGTATTTTGCAGATTATAGTAACCTCAGGCGTCGCGTAGCTTATGAAATCATATAGTTACATATGAGTCTACCTACAAGGAGCCCTCCGAGACGCAAACTAGTATGCCGATGGATATGTCATTTACTCATAATAGAGAGGGAAGGGGAAAGAGGAAGGAGGGAAAGACAACTGAGTCTAAATATTATACTCAATACTTACAAGGATGCCATAATAAACGTTTGAATAATCATTAAGACACAAATTAAGGTGAAGAGGCAGTAGGTGGTTTGGTATAACAGATATAGTCAAGCAACTAATAACTACCTAAGGTGGAAATACTAATACGTAGGAGCTGCAAGCACATATGATATTTGAGATACATCTAATCACCACGCGCTTGCATTGTTCGAGCATTAGGTAGTTAAAACCTAAGATTTACACCGCACCATACCTAGTATTTATCAGGTATTGTATCCTTGGTAAATATTAGGATATATTGAACTATAAATGCCTACCTAACCTTTCACCCCTCTCACGAAAATGCTGCACGCACCTTATATACCCATTCCTAATAGATCTACCCCTGAATTTACCCCTGAGTCATTTATACCCTGATAAGATTCTATCTCCTTTATCATTTGTTTTTCATCTATTTCTTACTACTTCTTATAAGACAGGAAAAAATCGCATAAAGTAATAAGGCATGTGTCCTGAATAGGAAACCTTTACTCGCATTTGACACAGTATCCTATATCCTAATGTAAACCTTAGGCATAGGCACTGTAGATATATACCTCACATGGAAAGGTGAAAGTCATAAGTCGTTATAAGATATAAATATTCATATTTTAAGTAGTAGCTAGGTAGTTTAGGTAGTAAATTTTGAGATTACTTTCGTGATCCTTTCGGGGTTATTTGCCCAGTATGACATATATTATTCAACAACACGCAGTCTCATGAACTAAGTAGTCAACCAGCAAAAGTAAGAGACGATGAGGTCACTTCTGAGCCTTTCATTAAAAACCTCTTGAAAATCCCTAATTATGTTTTCTTAACTTATCCCTGGCATGTGAGACGAAGGCTATATATTTTATTCTTAAGGAACTAAAAACTGATATGAACTGGGTCAAGTGGTGAAAGCAGAGTTCATCTCTGCCGAAATTACTTGTCAGCCCGGTTCTGTTCTTTCTTTTCGTCTTGCTATTGTCCTCCCTAATGTGCAGTAAACATAACTTTTATTTCGACGACACCTAAGCTGTAGTAAAAGCCGTAGCACCATCGGCGCTCTTCGTTACTACTGGAATTACTTATTCGTTCCAGCCCATTCCATTCTTCTGCTTCCCCTTGTACATTCTCCTAGTGCATTTATATGAGTGATATCATTTTCCTCTCATTTTGCTATATATCCTAGCTTTCCTCTTCTCTATCTCTTGTCATATGGGGATGATAATAGCTTGTAAAATTCCAAAGCAAAGTGGCTTTATCCCATTGAATGTAGCAAGGAATCCTGATTATGTGCGAATAAATTTAAATGCCCTGGTATTTAGAATATATTGAACCGTCCGGGGTTCCTCCCTAAATATTTAAACTGATTATGACATGCTTCTTGATGATATATGATATCACTTTATTAAAGGCGACTACTAAAAGAACTAAATATATCACATGCCAGGGGAAAAAAGGGACCAACCGATGCAAGAGACGTACAATATATCCTCAGCTGCCCTAGTCTAAGAATCGTGCTGTTGGCTGAGCAGAAACAAACACTCGGTACCGAAATGAGATATCTCAGCTCCAGCCTCACAGCCTAACCCCGCCATCTTCTTTGCATATGAGCATGTATGTATTTCGTACAGCGTCCAGTACACAGTGAGTAGGTAATGCCCTACGAAGCACGACATCGCCCGCATGAAATAGCCCTCGCGAACGCACTCGATTCCTACCGCTGCAAGGTCCGTGTACCACCGCAGCGCATTTTGATCTATCAGATTTTCGGCCGTTGCACAGCAGTAGTAGCGCATTGCGGGATTCCTCCCGCAGTAGCAGAAAAAGTCCTACCTAGCTGATATATACCTACCTACCTACATGCCTACACTTTATCTCATAGTAAGTAAATTACAACCATCTACCTATCCCATGTGAAGCCAATCAAAGCGCACCTGTGCCTTTTTTTCTTCTTTATTTCTTCAACGGCACAGTAATATATACATACATATATCGGGTACATAGTGTACATAGAAGGAATCCCGCCGGAAGGATCGTATGCTAAGCTAGAATCTGATTAGCACCGACGGAGCGTTCGGAAATTTGACTCGACGCGATGACACAGCGACGATGGGGAAAAAAAGGGCGAAACGTGGCCGCGTAGAACATCCCGCGGTCCCGGGGTATGTATTTTGTCCTGGGTTGGTGAGATTTCGAATTGGGCGGGCATTGACTGCTAAATTACACTCTTTAGAAAGCTTACGCCGAATTGGTCTGTTTTCCTGGCTTATATGAAACCGCTGTTATGAGTAGGTATTTGTTTACTTTCCCACTCTGTTGGGAAGACTGTTTACACAATACGCATACCTATATACAACATGGATATGGATATACACTAACTACCTTGGCTACCTAACACTAGGGAGAATATTTTTGAATATTTATGACAATTACATACCTGCCATACAATCATCTAGCGCACATAGCATTTTTTGCACTGCCGCGGCCCTAACGCACGACGTCGGTGAAAAAGAAAAAGGAAAAAAAAAAAGAAAAAAGACTCGACCTTAGCAGAAGCGTACCCTAATGCAGGTACATTAGTCCAGACCGACGAAACCCTTAGCGCTGCGGAGGACATGGCAAAGCGAAATTGCGGTGGGCCTAGGTAGGGCTGCTAGCCTGAGCGGCTTGGGGGAGGACTGGGGGGGCTCGTGTTCGAAGTCTTTGACGTAGGTATGTCCATGCCTAACATACATATGTATATTAGGTACCTAATGTATATATGTATGTAGGTATGTGTGTTCCTGGGTTGAGGCTCAGATCGTCTTGCGATCTTGGATCAAGAAGCGAAACCCGGAGCGTCGGGTACGACTGAGCGTAGCAAGAAACCACACCCACGCTGCAGATAATATATGTCTTAGAAAGTTGTCACCAAGGGCGGCGGGTTTAAGAGACATGGTGGTGTATAGGGCATGCAAACCCCACGAGGTATCGCACCGATAGAAACATACATACATACATACATACATACATACATACATACATACATACATACATATATCGACTTGTGGCGCCGAGATCCTGCATGGCGTTGACCGTCTGTCGGCGGTGGACCTACTACGGCCTTTAACCCCTCCGGCTAGAGTTGTTGAGAGTGAAAATCACGGGATATTCCTTGATAGAATGGAAGAACCAGACCGTAGTATGTCGTCATTCGGGATTTACTTGGTAATAGGAATTACCGTACGGGGTTTTCACCGACATCGAGATTTGAATGCTCCCAGGTTATAGATACATCTTTCTCCTCATGTTTTGTAATTTCCTAAAATCTTGAATAAACGGCTAGACTACCTTAGATGTCACATATATGTGAGATGGTATGTGTCCCTAATCGATGTTTGGTAGATGCTCTCGTCGGCATACCTTGGTATAATACTACTATGTATGTAAAAAAAAATATGCCGTGTTAGTTTAGCATCCCGAGACGATGCTACCGGCATGCCGACGAGTGAATGGCTCTATAAGAGGGGACGCCGGGTCCCACATGGATGATCCTTGGCCCCGTAGCACCGAGTTAGCTATCACCAATTGTCCAATGAAGATATACAGAAAGAGAGTTATGGGCTAAGACCTCGGAATGTGACTACATATATACATAGGCAGCCAGGTTAACGACGGTATCTTGTTCAGGAAGTTATTAAGTCAAGAATAATAGTTAGGGCAGATTCGGCGGTCAGAAATCTGGGTCGACCAAAACAAGCCAAGCTAGGCGGACCTTGCCAGCCGTGGCTCTGGGCTCGAATAGTCTAGAAGTTCATTGGCGTAATTTGTTCGCATCGGAGATTATTCTTTTGTTTTTCCTTGTCGGGCTAAGATAGCGACGCTGATCGTCAGGATCCTCAGTTAAACCCCCCAGTTCTTCTTCTCTCCCTTGCATCTTGCATATGCAAAATATTTTCGTGTGCTCTATTAATAAGTCGAATTTATCAGCGCCATCATTCTGGTGTAGCTATGTCGTGGTACCAATGAAATATTTCATGTCTATCTATATTCAGTCCGTTCATGATTTTGTTGAGGATTATCTATGTTGTCTTTTCTTCGTTTCACGAACTGTCTTCTATTATTATTGTCATGATAAGTTATGTTAGGTAGTCATCACGAACCCAGTATCCCGCCGGTACATGTGAAACAGCCATGGGGCGGGGAACTGTATATTTCTTACCGGGGAGACGGGAATACTGCTAGGGAGACGCCGGTATTTTTACTACTGTTTTGTATGAGCTCGTAATAGCCTGAGGAATTATCCAGGCGTCATATCACCCGTCTGATATGATAACCCCAATTTGTTGGGCTTGTCCCTGTTACGAGTTCCTTAGGAATGGATATGAACCTTGGAAGTCGGGAAAAAAGTTATGTCTGGTATGAGAATACGTAGTAGACAGTTAATGGACGAAGCCAAAGCAAACAACCATGTCCCTGGCATGAAAACCACAATCCATCGTGATCAGTAACTAGATCACGATTGGAATACCAAACTAAATGCGCAAGAAGGTGGAGAAGCACGACTTTAGGGCTTGCCGCCAGTTTTCAAAGAGGCTCAGTCAATCAGTACCGTTAAGATGGAAAGGGCCGCAAGGCCACGCCAGCATGTGGATTTCTCACGGACCCATGTCATAAAACTGATGCTACCGGGGGCTTTTCCTAGCGAAGTCGAAGAAAACCACGAACTTTTCTATAGGTAGTCATTAGTCACTGAGCAATAGTAATAACAATAACAATAACAACAATATTAATAAGACGAAGTTATATCCGCTTGATGTGGTTTGCCTTGAAAACTTTTTTTCCATTCTTTTACTCCTTTTTTTCTCACCTTTTTTTTTCTTGGCTTCAGGTCGAAGGTCAGACAAGCTTACTTTTTCATATTCCTTCGCTGCCATTCTTACGATCCTTCCGTATTGGGTAAGCAGGCTGAGTAGATCAAGACACAAGCTCCATTCCATTCGTCTTTGAATACGGCGGTACCTGCATTCTTTTTTTCCCACTGCCGAGGCGATTGACGAAAGTCCGGAACCTACCTACCTAACTCAACTATCATATCCGGAACATGGACTAAGGTCTCTAAGAGGCTTGTTAGGAAAGACGTGGCTTCTAAATTGAAACGACCATAGTGACATCGATATTTGAAGGGGGAATTGAGGCTTGAGATTCAAACGGTCGAAGGCGGAAAGAAGCCAAAAGAAGCAACATTTACGAGAGAAGGAAAAAAAATAAAGGGTGAAATTGGGGGCTGAATAACAAAAAAAAAACAGGGACTAAGATCGATCCACGCCAGGGAAACTCTTTCTCTCCCAGTACCCATCCATAGAGGCTCGGAGCTGCAAATCATATTGGTTAATTCAGCCCAACGGAGCGAGCCAGGCACGAATCCTGTCAGCCTATCCGTGGTCTTGTCCAACGGTAGATTCCTACCTGTTGAGTGGCATTAACCATCTTTAAGGAGGGGCAGATACGGGGTCACCTCCCGGTTGTCTCGCGTTCGTGATAGGTTGCTATATACCTGCATACCTGCATACCCCTGCCAACAACTCCAAGACGAGAAAAAAAAAAGAAGAAGAAGAAGGGTTCCCAAAACGACGGGAATACAAGGGTCGTATCTACCCTATGTCCATATGTGTTGTGTGCATCCATTCAATACTACCTACACCAACATACGCGACAATTCCTCAGGACGCGTCCAACCGGCTCTCTTCTTTTATTCTGACTGGTCCGTCGTATAGCAAACAAGCCCCTCTCGACTCCGGCCCATTTTCTCGACCCTCTACTTTTTTTTTATCCTCTCGTCTTGTCCTATCCTTAAACATAGACCTGAGGAACCTACAACTAATATTTTATTTTCTTCTTTTTCCTCGCCAGATCCTGGACTAGGTCTCCGGTATTACCGGCCTCCATCTGGGTCCCGTCATCTTTATTCCTTCCCGTTTATTCCCTCGCTTATACATACATACATACACACATACACTACATATCAACGGCTCTAGGCCCGTCATTCGTTTGCCCTAAACTCGCCTAGGTCTTTGCTTTGCTTTTACTAGCCCGGCGAATAGACCCTCTCTTTTTCCCATTAAAGAGGTTCTGCACTTTTCCGGGACATATCGCCTCATGTATATCCCGGTTGGCCTGCTGCATCTACTATATACTAACGACGTGCGGACACGGCTATCGACTGCTCTGACCGCTAATTCTTTTGTCTTGGATCATCCTGCTCCTACTTACGCAGCGGCCCGGTCCCTTTACCGTCATATCGGTATTCAACCTGGGGAGTCATCATCCGGGGTATTCTGCTAGCCTCTAATTCGAACCTCATCGACGAGAGGATCAATCTACTGAGGCCTTAACTTTGCGTTTCTGGCTCAACCTTAGCCAGGGGGATTAAAGACAAGCCTAGCTTGTGCTGATTTCGCTGTTGACCTTTTAGACGGTAGTGGGCCTCGCTGCCCCTAACCGATACACCGACGTTTAGTGCGTCTACGCGCATAATTCGATTTGTCTTAGACTATCGGGAGGTGTTGGACCATTAAACCATTTCGATACAACAGGCTTGAACTTCCATGTGTTAGCCTACGCTTAATTCTATCCACGACACTCGCTTCAAAATGGCAAGGGCTCTTGTCAGTGCTTCTCTGGGTGCCGTTGCTTTGTTGGCAACGGCATCTATCCTGACTCTTGAAGTCGTCGTAGCTCAAGGGCTTTGGGGATCACCCTCCCCAGCTAAATTCGCTGCAATTGTCGCCTCAGCGTTCGAAATAATAATATTGATATTGCTAATTATCCTTTTTACTAAATGTGTTGGACGGGGAATGGAGTTTGGTAGAAGAAAGTCTAATGGGATCTGGTTCGCGTTGGGACTTATTGGAAGTGTATTGGCATCGGCTGCATCGGTTGTGATGCTGGTTACGTTGGGAAGACCGGAGGGATTACCTAAAACGATATTACAAACGCCATTGACGAATTGGCGTATCGGAACTTCAATCACACTTGTTATTGCTTTCGTGGGACAGCTCGCTTTTATCGTCGTCTATTTTGTCGTCCACAGGTTGCCCGACTCGGAACAGGCGCTGTCACTTCACACTAATGAGGATAGCTCTCGACAGCTGCCGAGGCATGTGAAATCTATTCCTTACAGTCGAACGGTGCCTGCTACGAGCCAGACTACGATCGGGAAGCGGACACCGACGGATTATCCAACGCCACCGGGCTCGAGCGCTGGCAAGTCGATGGCTGAGACTATGAGTTCAATCCGTACCTCTGTTTCTCAGGCCGTACGCCCGATTGGAGCTCATACTAGATTACTTTCCTCGGGTTCAAGAACTGGGCGCCGTCCAGCTTCTATTGACTCAAATGGTTATCGAGAGCGAGCGAGCGTGACCGTATCGGAGGATGGCTTTGATTCTTGGGATACTTCCTCAGTCGATACTCAGAACCGGCAATTAATCGTGGAGACAAGCCCGCCCATCCGATCAGGTAGATTTTTGGAAACTATTCCCGCGAGCCCGACAACTAGTAGAAGCCCGAGTCCTGGAAACGCTTTGGACTTCGAACCTCCAAACCCAAACCGTAATCGTAGAAGCCGGAGTTACAGCCCGCTCCCTAGGCCACCACAACACGAGCGTAGCATGACGCCTCAATCTATATCAGGCGAGCTACATATTCATCCGCTCTTCCGATCTGATTCTCCAGCACCACCAGCGGTCACTCCTGGAACGGTGGTTATTGCAGCGCCCAATGCAGGACAGACAATATCAGAGAAGTCTCTCACTCGAATGCGTAGTAGCAGTTTAATAGCGGGCTCCGGGCCCCTTAGCCGGCAAGGCAGTTATGACAGCTTCCGGAAGACACCGAGCCCTAATACAGATCGCCTTCGTGTAGAGGAGCTAGCTGTAGAGAGAAAAATGACGCCCCCGATTCCTGACTGGATTCTGAATGCCGGATCAACGACAAGCTTGTCCGATTATCAGGTCAAGAAATAGCGGGAGCGTGAGGCCTTAGAAGAGACCTCAAGTGCTCACTGATGGCATCCATGACTACTACTACTGATGATGATGAATATGACTTAGGGCTCTTTATTCGAGAGACCTCGGAACGTGGAATTGGGTTTGGGGGACTTAGAAGATACCATTGTCTTTTTTTTTTATTAGCGCGGCGTTGAACCAACTATGTTCCCAACCTTGGAAAGGGCTCTGTTAGTCCCTCCTTATGAATGCGAGGAGAAGGGAAGATAGATATTGAAGTGAGAAATTAGTAAAAAATAATAAATAAATAAACTAAACCAAACTAGTGTAAAACTATCCGATACGAGTAGAACAGCTGTGAATATGCTTTATATGGTTTTATTGAAATGATATATGATATACCTTATTGAGTTCATTGAGAACTTGGAGAAGACTTAAGACAATATAAACAGGTAGAGTTGTATAAGCAAGCTAGAGTTGATAATAAAGATGTGTGTTCATAACTCAACTTGACATGTAATCAAATAAAAGTCAATATGAATAAACTATGTCTTGTATTGTTTCGGTTTCGGTAGGGTTCTGCTTTTCCAATAAGAAACTTGGTGATTCTTTGCACTGGGTTGACAGGTTAAGAACTGAGGATTGAGGATTGAGGATTGCTTAGGTAGCATCAGGCCTAGTATTTTAAGCTTGCCCCACCAATTGGACCCCGCATGTGTAGCGGGTAACACGTCCATGGTAGGTACATTTAGGTTAGGTACGTTTATGTACGTAAGCAGGCATTACCTAAAATTCCAGTGTGCACATGTGGTAAGCATGACCAGCCGGCGACCCAGCAGCGCTAGCCGCCCGCCACTGTCCGCCGCGACACATCATAAACTGCTACCTGAAATTCAAGACTCAAATCAGACTTTCTACTCCCGTTACTTTCCACCAAAAACCAGTTTCTATTTTTTTTCTCTGGTTAAACCACAAAACTTCCGAAACTTTCCTGGTTTCTAGCCACATTTCGCACAATACTAGAGGATCGCCCAGGATATTTTTTCTTCGGCCAACTCAGCCTTTCTACCCCTCTTTATCTCCCACTATTGTTATCATAAACCCTAGTCGCAGCTATTTTGAAGCTGCCCGCCGCCGCCACCATGAAGGTCACCTTCAAGGTAAGCATCGCATATTAATGTCAGGAAGCATTCATGCCTGACTTAAAGCTGCTATCTATCCTAAACCTTATTTATAATTGAAGATGCTAACGCTTTTTTTTTCTGTCTATAGGAGCTCTCGAACCAAAAGTTCACCCTTGACATCGAGCCTACTGATCTTGTATGTCGTCATGTTATCGCCGACCATTACTATCCCCAACCTAAACTCCGTGATTCACCACGACATATCGTATTCTAACTGGGATCAAGATTTCTACCCTGAAGCAAAGAGTTGCCGAAGAGAAAGGATGGGATGCCAAGGCTCTGAAGCTCATCTATTCCGGTACGTTCTCGCTTTCTTGTTGCATCTGTGCTACAATCGGATATATGCCTTAGCTACCTGAATGCTAACCTAGGCACAGGCAAGATCCTCAAGGATGAAGATACGGTCGCGGCCCACAAGATTGAGGAGAAGGGCTATGTTGTTTGCATGGTGAGCAAGGTATGTTGTCGCATCCGTACTAACTTGGGAAGTCTATAAAGTTTTGCTAATAATCAATAGCCCAAGGCCGCCCCCGCAGCCTCTGCCGCAGCCTCTTCATCTAGCGCTCCGCCCGAGACGCCCGCCCGATCCGTCGCTGCAACTCCTGCTGCCCCGGCCGCACCTACCCACTCATCTACCGCCGCCGCCGCGGTGCCGGCCACGCCGTCGCCTGCACCTGCAACTGCAGCAGCTGGTGGTAACGATGACAACTCCATGGCTATGGGCGAGGCCCGAGCTGGCGTGATCGCTAATATGGAGGCCATGGGATTCGAGCGCTCTCAAATTGAGGCTGCTTTGCGTGCCGCTTTCTACAACCCAGACCGCGCCGTCGAATACCTCTTGAACGTAAGTATAGCGACCGATTATGGGTTTCCCATCTGACGTGATATAGGGTATTCCGGAAACTGCTCGTCAACCAGAGCCCCAGCATGAAGCAGCTCCCGCTCAAGCCGCAACAGGCGCTGCCGCCGCCGCCGCCGCCGCCAGTCAGCCTGCCCAAGGTGAGGGCGAGGGAGGTGATGTCAACCTTTTTGATCTAGCTGCGCAACAGGGTCGAGGAGTTAGCCGTGGAGGAGCCAGTGGTTCTTCCCAAACTGCAGCTGCAGCAGCCGCCGCAGCCGCCGCCGGTGGCCAGACTCTAGGTAACCTGGACTGGCTGCGTAACAACGCTCAGTTCCAGCAGCTTAGACAGGTGGTTCAACAACAACCCCAGATGCTCGAGCCTATCCTGCAGCAACTCGGTGCCGGAAACCCTCAGCTTGCGCAGCTGATCTCTTCGAACCCCGAACAGTTCCTGAACCTGTTGGGCGAAGCTGGTGATGATGATGCACCTCTGCCCCCTGGTGCCCAGACAATTTCCGTCACGGAGGAAGAGCGCGATGCCATTGAGAGAGTATGTAGTTACCCTACGAGTGTACATGCCATGTGGAAAACTAATTTAAGTCTAGCTATGCCGATTGGGTTTCGACCGAGACGCAGCGATCCAGGCTTATTTCGCCTGTGATAAGAACGAGGAGCTGGCCGCAAATTTCTTGTTCGACCAGCCGGAAGACGATGAACCTCCTCAGAATTGATCGACATACTCGCCTTACTATGTCATCTTCGTCTTACGCTCTTACGCCCCTTCACGATATCCGGTGTGGCGCCTCACCTCTGCGCCATCACACCATCCCCTCTGTTAATGGCTATTATTCACTCTCCATAATGCTTTGTTTCGTCGGGAGGAGGCACTCTGAAAGACTCTATTAACGTACACGGCCATGGGTCTCAGGAATTTTCCCACCCCCGAACTACCCAATCCTGAAATGCGTACTTTCGGGCCGAGGCATCCCAGTTTAGTGGACGGCGAGTTCTCCGTTCCGCGAGGAAGATGAAGAGGAAAACAATGGTTAGATGAACCAAGTTAAGTTTTTAGCTTAGTTCTGAATTCTACATACTGATTTCCCAGAACCTGCCTCTTTGCGTTTGTGCTGTATGGCTAGTTTTTCTCCTTTGACGAAGTGATACGACACATTGCATTTGCGACGTAACTAAGATGTAATATGAATTCCTCATTGTGCAACTAATCGCAACGGATGCTTTAGGCTAGCGACCGCTGCCTTCAAATCTGCTATGTGATCATAAACATACCTAAAATAGCCCTAAAGAGGCTAGTTATAGTAAATACAAGTGTAGAAGTAAAAGAGAAAAACACAAGCCAAGCCAAGCCAAAGCCGTAGAGCATGTCTTCGTCAATGCTACCAATACCATTGGAGACCGCCTTGCCCCTCCCCCCCCTTTTTTTCGTAGTCCGTTACGCCGATATTCCCTAAATCACCTTTGACCTTTGACCTTTTGACCTTCAACAAGATCATGTGTCTGCCTAGCTCGTATAAGCAAGCAACCAAGCAAGCTAAGGAAATGGGGTATCAAAAACAAGCTTGCGGGTGTTGCTGCTCGGGCCAGTTACTCACTCATCCACACACATACATACACCCACCCCCTTTAACCCTCAACCACCACCTCTTCTGTGACTGCATAGGGGTTATCCCCCCCTGCGTTCCCCTGACCCCCCTGACCGTTGTTTTGCTGCTTCTCTCCATTCTGCTGCTGTTCCTGTCCCTGCCCTTCAACCTCATCATCGTCATCAATCAACCCTGCCGCACGCCTCTCTTCTCTCAGGCGTCTAATATCCTCATCGTGCTCGCGGACGAGTTCGGCGTGCTCGGCAAGAATAGCGTCGCTCTCGCGCCACTCGGGTTGATGGGCCTTGTATTCCTCTAGGTCGATGCCGACGCGCTTCTCGCCGCGGACCATGACCGCGGCGTTGATGCGGCGCGGGCGTTGGGTCTCTTCGCGGTTGAACTTGAGCTTGACAGCGCGTCTGGTTTTGCCCGGGAACATGCTTGCGATTGTCTCGAAGTCGGTGCCGAACATGCTGAGGAGGCGGTAGAAGCGTTCCTGGGAAAGCGTTAGTGTCAATTTTTCTTTTCTTTTTTTACACATAGGGGAAAAGAGGAAGTGGCTTACGGTATCCTCGTCAGTCCAATGATTCGCGCCTGTTCTGCGGCTCTCACGTCGAAACGAGGCCGAAGTAGTCAAGTGGGAGAATTCATCTTCTTCGACGGTTTCGAGGGATGACATGTCTCGGTGCGCTGCATGTCGGTCTACCACGAGCGACTCTTGATTAATTATGATCTGACCATCCACAACTTCGTAACCGACAGACTGTGCGCCTGCATCGACTGAAGCTCCCAAATTCCTAGCTCGCGCAATTGCTGACTCTCTTCCGTTTTCTTCGCCTTCCGCGGGAGTGCTGGCACGAGAAGCCTCTTCCCCGTCGAGAGGAATTCCCATAAGCTGTCTTTGCTTCGCCAGTCTCTTTTGGCGGAATTTTTCACGTGCTTGTCGTGCGCGTTCCTCTATAGCCTCTGCATGCTTGAATTTTTTGCCAATTCCCAGATCCTTAGTCAAATCTGCCATTTTCATCATACTGTGATTAACTACTTGACTTTCGGGGTCCTCGGGAGTAGATGAACGTCTGCGACGTCTATATGTCCTTTTGACTGGGGGTGCCCCTTCCGCTCCTTCTGTTGTCGTTGCTCCATTGCCCTCGGCGGGGGGGTTCTTGCGAGGACGTTTCTTCTTTGGCGCAGAGCCCTCTACGGCAGTATCATCACCAGTAGCAGTCTTGCGCTTGCGATACACCCTTTTCTGCTTCAGGGCGGTAGTGACGGGTTCATCAGTCGGAGCAGAGACGGCAATCGTGTCGGAAACGGGGGCAGGAGATGGAGGCGCAGTGGGCGGTGCGAGTCGACTCTGTACGGAAGCGGACGGGTGTGATATTGGCGTATGTGTCGTAACAACGGGTTGCGAGCTAACAGAAACTGATGTATTAGGCGTAGGTTTGTCTAGACCAGTAGTCGCTAGAATTCCTGACGCTGAGGTTTCTGGTGCTGGCGTCGGCTGTGTTGGTCGATCGGTAGGAGGCGAGATAGAAATCGAAGGCGACTGTTGTAGAGGTTCATCCGCGGCCGGGGCTGGCGTCGGTGCCGTTGCCCTGGTAGTAACTCTCTCAGTAGGTGCTGGTGTTGGTGCTGATGATACTTCGACATCTGCGGAAGAAGCTGTCGAGGGGGGAGTTGGTCTAGACGTAGCGGATACTGCAGGATTCTGCTGAGTTGGAGGGGTTGGCTGCTCCGATTCAACATGCGTTGTCTCTTTGGGAGTTTCTTTCGGATTTTCCTTTGGTGGTTCTGTTTGACTAGATGACTCAACTGAGGGAGTGGGAGGAACGGTAGGCGCGGGTGTTGATGCTTGAGAGGGAATCTCGGTAGTAGGAGCTCTCGTAGTGCTAGCCGATGAGGGTGCAGGATGTGCTTGCGATGACGAGGGAGCACCGGCTGGTCGACGAGGAGCGATCTTTGGCTTGAAGGACAAGCCTCCGGTCTTTTTCAGCATAGAACTCATGGCTGCTGATGCCTACGGTTACTATGCCTGATATATTATCTTGCGCATTGCCTTGTCGATAGTTTTTCAAACTTTCCTCCTTGATGACAGAATTGGCAATTCTAATTGGTGACTCGGATATGTGTATGCCTTGTCGAAGTTGTTCAGATGTAAAAGGAATCGAGTTGTATTTAGTTGAAGTGATTTGAGAAAGAGAAATACTTGGGTGGGGTTGGTGGGATAATATTGGAACTGTAAGCTGGGATTGGATAACTGATTGTACCTTATTAATTTTTTAGTGGATTAGGTACCTAGCGTTCAACTGGGCTGACTGAAAGGAACCTATATAGAGACCCGCATGCACACGGGCCACTGCTTTACCGATAGGCGGTACATACCTTAGGTACCTCTAAGGCGGTAGGCATTCTGAATCTGTAGGCTGTAGGCCTGTAGGCTTGTTTGACTTGTTATCAAAACCTTGCAACAACTATTGACTTGTGTTGACTGGGAAGGCACGCTTCTTGCCTGTCCTAATTTAGATTAGTGGCCTTTCTGTGGCTTTTCTCGATTTCGACTTCGATTTTTCGTTCTACAACTCCTGGAGCCCAGGCTCATTCTTCTCCCATTACTTTTCCAACCCATTTCCTTAACGACAGTTTGCATCTATCGGCGCGAAAGGTACGCTTTTCTTTAGCTACCTCTGGGTCAGCATACAAATTTTCACCCGGGGAGGCACTTGTACTATTTATTATTTTGAGCCCTCTTCTTAAGCCTACTTCGCCATCCATTTTATTGCAACTCCTCCTTTTCGCCGATCCGTTCGCTTTCCTATTTCCCGCCTCTCGTTTGTTCCTAGGCCTTCTACAACTATATTTTTCTATCCCATTCAATTTATTCATTCTGATGCCTCTGTCCACTTCACCTACAACTGCGCCTCTATCGACTCGCATCAAGATGGAGGACCGTAAGCGTCCTGCTATGAGCAGCGCTGATGACATGGCCCCTCCTAGTAAACGACAAGCCGTCAACGGCGGTAGTAAATCTAAAGATGATACCGACGCGAAGGATGAAGCCTGGATCGAGGTAAGTCTCGCAGTCGCGACTTATTCCCCTTGAAACAATACCGCCTACCGAAACACGGCTTCCAACTTCTTATCGTCGCTGTTATCAGACGATTTCACCCTAGCACGAGACCTTCGTAGCCTTTGTTTCAAGTCGTCATCAGAATATTCTACTCACCATTTCAGTACTGATGCGCGGCTCTGCTGTCATCAGCATTCAATCATACTACCATCCCATGCTCTAATATCCTCTCGCTCTTTATTATGCAACCTGATCCGAGTTGCCTCGTCATCACGTATACTCGCGCCACCCAACATGATACATATAAGGGAAATGGAGTCGCTGACAGATATGGATTGGCTAGGACTATCAAAAAGATGCTATCTACCGACAAATGCTCGAGTATAAGCGCGAGAAGAATACCCTTGAGACTCAACTGGGCGAGGTCAAGAAGCGATCAACACACCATGACGACCACATCCGAATTGTCGACAACTGGTGGATACAGGTATGTCTGATTCATCGAAGGCAAGTTTGATAATAAAATACTAAGCCCAATGATAGTTACTTCAGGAGATAGAGTTACTAGTTGAAGGAAATGTGCCTTTCCAACAAGGATCTGATAGTGAGAAAGCCCTCCTTTACCTTGATGTTTTGAACCCGCGATGCTAAGACCATGTGTAGGCCAACCGTTTCCTACACAAACCCAATTCAAAGACCTGGAGGAATTCGAGTCACACTTAAGCGAGAAGACTTCAACTATCAAGAAGATGGTTGAGGCGATACTCAGCCGTCTTAATGGGACTCGTAGTAAGGTAGCTCCTGACATCACAGACTTAGAGAAGAAGGTCAATGCGCTCCTATCCCAGCAGAAAGAGTTTCTCGTCAAACTCGACCGTCTCTCTACCGACAAAGAAAGCCTTTCCGAGCAACTGAACATCGCGACACTTCGCTATATGAAGGCAGAAAGAAGGCTCGACCGGGCTAAAAGTGCTCAAGTACAGAAGCTTGAGCAACAGGCATTAAATCATGTATCTACTCGACCTGTGGGTATGGACCAAGAGAATGGCTTGTCTCCCGATGAGAGTAATACGAACAGCGAGGCATTGCAGTTAGCCCTCCGCGAAGCCAAGGCTGTTGCAGAGCGGCAAAAGGAACAGCTAGAATCCGCGTTGGCTCAAAATAAGAGCCTACAAGAAGAGCTTACTTCTGTGCAGACCCGGCTAACGAACTTAACCGATGAGGACTACTCCCGCACCGAAGTCTTCAAGGTGTTCAAGAGCCAAATGGAAGATCTTCTCCGCAAGGTTAACAGTCTGGAAGCAGATAACAAGAGTCTCAGAGCGGCGGCCGAAAAATTGGAAGCCGAACGCGAGTCTAGCCGCCGAAAGGTCGAGAGTGAAGCGCAGGCACTAATTGCAGAACTCGAGGACCAGCTTCAACAAGCAGATACCACCCTCGCACGAGTGAGATCCGCACGAGACGAGCTTCACGCGGACGTTACGATGCTCAGGGCGAGCAAAGAGCAAGATAAAACGGCCTTGGAACACATGAAGGAGCTTGTTAGTGCTGAAGAGGACCGAATCGCCACACTCGAATCAGAATTGCAAAGACTACAACCCAGCGAGGATGTAGACATGACACAGCGGCCGGAAATAGACGCGCTCTCACCCGAGGAACTACGAGAGAAGTACAAGAAGCTATTAAAGGACTACAATTCGATCGAGAGCGAGTTACCAGGCATGACGCACGCAGTTAAAAAGTTCCAGGCTCTTGCTCATAAAAAGGTCATGGATCAAGCGGCTATGGAAGAACGGGTAGCTCTAGCTATTGCAGAGAAGAGCAAAGCGGATCAAAAGTACTTCACGGCGCGAAAGGATGGCGACCTGAAGTTCGAAGCGATCCAGAAGCTGCGCACCCAGAACGGCAAAAGTACAGAAATCATCTCGCAACTGAAAGAAGTCGAGGCCCATAACCGAACACTCGTAACGAACTTGGATAAACAGCTTGCCGATCTAAAGCAGACGAATGCTTCGGTCATGGCCGAAAATAGGAAGCTTGAGACGTCGAGCACCGAGATGTCGCGACGCTTCGACGCACTCAAGCAACAAGTTACCGAGCTGGCGAATTTGGCAAAGTCGAAAGATTCAACTACTGCGGTCGCTAAAGAGCGAGCTGCCACTTTGGAATCCGACGTAGAGAAGCTGAAGGTGCGCCTCGAGTCCGTATCGAAGGATCGCGACAAGTGGAAGGTCAAGTGCTTGAGTAACTCTTCAGAAGAAGAGGAAATGTTAAGAGTGAGTACAATGTCCTATGATCAAAGGTATATCCGGTTTCTAACGATTTTACCAGAGCATGGCAACGTGTTCAATCTGCAAAAAGGATTTCAAGAACACAGTTTTACGAACTTGCGGACATATTTTTTGCAGAGGATGCATTGACGATAGAATCTCTAACCGAATGCGAAAGTGCCCCGCATGTAGTAAAGCTTTCGACAAGTCGGACGCGATGACCGTCCACCTATAGTAGAGGCTAATGGAAGCTCCGGGACCATGAACAGAGGCGCATTGTAAAGTATCATTAAGAGGAAACGGCGTTGTTACGTGTAAGAGTTGATGTACATACTACTATTATTTGCAGACGTGAGTTCTGCCTTGAGAGATCTGAAGAGAGCAGTCTCGGTTTCAGTTCTGCAGAAGTTTATTAGGTGTTTCGAGGATTCGAACCCAACTTGTTTTGCCGGTGAAAGATGAGGCTTTAGTTTGCGTCTGCACAAGGGGTTGGTGGCTCATCGAGTGAATAGCTTCACAACTCACGTTTCGCGACGAGCTATAGCACTGGATAGCAAGTGCAAACAAATAGAAAACTTAATAAGTTACTTGATAATGAGTAAAGCCTTTATTTGATATATGATCTCGTGACTAGTCGTGTCCTTCGTCTATTATCTTCGGCTTGTTGAACCAAATCCTGTACCTTCATATCTAGCAGAGGATGTCGACTGTGATGAACTAGACGGACCTGCTCTTGACTCATAACTAGAACTTCGCCTATCCTGTCCGGACCCTCGACTGCCAGCCACATATCCTGCTGCAGCCCCAGTTGCAGCCCCAGTCCAGAATCCAGGCCGCCAACTTTGGTTCCCTGCCGTAGACGAATACTTAGGTCCCGGATAAGGTGGTGGCGGGTCATTCCAGTCGTCACCACCTCCGCCAGGCCCGAAACCAGGATCAAACCCACCTCCGCCTCCTCCTCCTCCTCCCCAACGATTATCCCTCGGTCTCCGCGGCGCATTCGGAGCATTCCTAGCGTTTACGCAAGCGGAATAAATCATAATCATACAGACAAGGGCGAAGACGACGCCAAACAGGGCAGCACCGATCTTCTCCGACATGGTCTTCTTCTCATCGGTCCCTCCGGTCTTGGCGATGTCGGGAAACTTGGCCTCGCCGGACTCGGTCAGGAGCAGGCGGTACTCGACGCCGCAGCTGCCCTTGAGCACGTAGGGGTCGTCGGGAGACGAGTAGCCCTCGCAGACGACGTCGGTGCTGCCGAGCTTGAGCTCGGGCGGCAGCGAGGCCGTGCACGACCACTGGATGTCCTGGGCGTCGTAGCCCGAGCCCTGGTTCGCGCACCGCATCACGTCGATCTCGTGCAGACGGCATGTCGCCGCGGGCGAGACGCAGCGTAGCTGCGGGACGGCGGATACGCGCCTGTGCTTGGTCTGGGCGCCGCCGCCGCGGAGCGTTAGGGATTGCACGTCTGAGAGGAGGATGGCGTTTTGGGGCTTGGCTGCTGCGGCGGCGGCGGGGTGGGGAGATAGAGAGGTCCAGAGGAGGAGGAGGAGGGATGGGGTGAGATGCATTGTGGCTAGCTGGTCGATATGTATTGTGTACCTATGAATATGTGGATTTAATTCATATATTTAATATTAAATTTTGACCGAAGCAGCTAGCTGGAGATAACGACTCGGTGATGAGGTTGCATGGGGTGGGATTAGGTACCCGTTCGAACTCAGACCATGGGTTTATTTCGATCAACGATATAAAGTAATAGAAGTCGTATGTTTCACCGCCAAACTTGGAAAAATCAAGAGGTGTTGATTATTGATCGTTGACTTTTGACTTTTTGCTTACACCAGAGACGTAGAGGTTTTGTGTATATTCGTCAATCAACTTGAAAGGACACCTGGCCGCTCAATATCAAACTCATTTTTAGTCCTATTCGATGTTGGTGTTGGTTTGCGGCCTTGTGCAAGGCTGAAATGACGGAAGCGGGGCGCTTGGGGGGCAATATTAGGCTTTCATAATGTTATACTTGTGCATAGGTACCTAGGTATAATATTTACCTAATGTACCAAGTATATGTAGTTACCGGGAATTAGTTCCATGTCGCCTCGTGCTACTTGCCTTGAGATGTTGTCTGAGAACTAATCTTCAGCCGCAACTCTATATTCGAGTAACATAACCTTTTTGTTTATTTTAAAATGTATCGAACGGCCCGTCGCCCGCTCAAAGTCAATTGGTTCCAGTCTCTTGTCTCGTTTTCGGGTTGCTTTGTCGCCTCAACAGAATCATGCATACATAAAGAAAGTCCAGTTTATCATGTTATTAATTACATGACGCGTTATGTATTTGTCTCATGGAGGAATATCGTTGGTAAGTCTCGAATCATGAAAATCTCTAACAATGGAAACCGGACTTTGGGGCGTGCCCGACGCCGATGGCATAAAGCGTCCCAGGCTTGCTTACGACACATGGCTATGGGTCCAAGCAATACAAGCTTCTATCCCCTGTGTTATATATTCGGCGCATCTCGGCGACGATCCCGAAGGGGAATACGATCGGATACGGGTTGGTTGATTGATATTTATGTATGAGATGGGAAGACTAACGAGATCAAGAAAGTGAGAGCCCCTCCTTCTTATCTCGGTGTATATATACTAGCTGCGGACCCGAGTAGCGGTCTTTAATAACAAATAAGCTTCTAGATCGCTAAAGCGAATCTAGAGCGCACCCAACCGTCCACTAGTTGCATGCGTAAAATGCTTCCAGACTAGGTATTGAAGTCAGCAATTACTACATACGTAATCGGGTACGGGGATTCCCTTTTAAATCCGAGCTCCAAGTGTTTGCTAAAACAGAGAGATCATAGGTCTTGGCCATCTGATAATCTTATAGGTTATCGATCCCGCTACTACATACGCTCGTTTTCGCTTCGTAAAGGAAAAAAGCGGGCTCGTTAGTTAGTTAGTTAGTTAGTGGCGTATCTTATTCTTGCTCATGCGGGTAAGCAGTCGTAATAGTCATATCACCATGGTATGTATTGCAAGAGATTGTAGGCACTATTAGCGAACGGTGTGACTCTTCGGTATGACTCTGCCGGCAATGCAATTGATATCTACAGCCGATAATACAGCTGTTTTAGGTAGGTATAATAACTTTTCGTGTAAGATAATAAGATGCACATCTTATATGTCATTCCAGATTCAATTAGATCTATGTAATTAGTTAGCCGACCCTTCAGCTTGAAAGTTTAGTTTCGAACGAAGCCATGTCAAGTCACTGGGATGTGGGGGAACCCTGCTGTTTGTAGTGCTGCTAATAGCTAGTGTATAATTAGCGGCTATCCTGTAATATGTACGGAATGGAAGAGCCTAACATAAGATGGAAATCTCATGTAACGATGGACCGGAGTCTTTATATTCGAACCGGGATTTCTAACATGATAGGTAAGACGTTTTTCGTTGGCCCCATCCAAATTTCAACGTAGTTTCATATTCGAATCCCGTTATGAGATCAAATATTAATATTAGCAAAAAGTCGAATAGTCAGTTACTACCCCTTTAGCTTAGGTACGTGACGAAGCTTCGTGTCACTAGGTAGCCTTTTATATTATATATTATCTCCTTAGTCCGGTATACGAATTTTCGCATACATCATAGATGTAAGTACCTAGGTATGTTAGTTGTTTGTATGCGGGGAAATAGGACAATGAATCAATCAAAAGCTTAAAAAAGGACGGATCGAAGAGAGAAACACATGGTATAAAATTTGCAGATGTAGTATGTATTTCATTTCGTATCTTTCGTATATTAGTTTCCAGAACCCACGTTGGCACCGTAACACGCACCCAACTCCGAATTGACTCCATGCAGTATCCCACCCCACTCGGTACATAGGTACCTTATATACTGCTTGACTGCGTAACAGTTACCGGTTGCGAGTCTAGCGTTAACGTTGTGCTCGGAATTCTAGTATTCCGCGCCCGGCCTGTATAATTCCCATCGATTAGAATCTTCTACACCTACCCAAGTTAGCACTGCATGCACCATCGGACCATCCGTACCATATCTTTTTTTTTTTTTGCCATTCGAAATTTATGTAGAAAAAGGATAGGTTCGGCCCCGGAATTCGCAGGTCAATCCCGTGCGTTGAATCATTAAGAGTCATAAAGAGGGAAATTATAATACACCCCCGTCATGTTTTATATGTACAGCATCTAGATAAGAAGCGAACATCGCTTTTTTTTTTATAACTAGAATGCGCTAAAAACCCAACTAAGCAAACGACAACTTTAAAAAAGAACAAGGTTTGGGCACACCGCAGCAACGATTTATCGGTCGAGAACCGCCCCTTTTGTTTTCTCCACGTAAATATATCTCGTCTGGCGCGCGAGAACCTTTAAACTTTACCGGTTCTCTAATCTCAACCAAAGCGCAGCCATGGCCAACGAGATCTCGGAAAAACCTCAGATGGCCGCCGCGGAAGGTCCCTCAAGTCGCAACTCTAGTCAACGAGACTCGGAGAAGGGACGAAATTCTACTGGTTCTGGAACGGCATTGGAGAAGGCAGATTCGAAAGTTATAAAGGCAGCTAAGGATTCTAATGATGATCCTTTTCGTCATCTTCCCACCGACGAGGCGGAGATTCTCAAGAGGCAAGTCATAACGCCCGAAGTAAGGACCGGCGTTCTTACTATATACCGGTACTCTTCTCGGAATGATCTTATAATCATGGCCATCAGCGCTATATGCGCTATCGCGGGTGGTGCCGCGTTGCCACTAATGACGGTCATCTTCGGTAACCTCCAAAACACGTTCCAGGGATTCTTTCTCGGTACTGTTGGGTACGATGCTTTCATGGACAAGATGACTACTCTCGTCTTATACTTCGTGTACTTGGCCATCGGCGAGTTCGTAACCATCTATATCGCAACCGTCGGCTTTATTTATACTGGAGAACATATAAGTGCCAAGATTCGCGAACACTACCTGGAGAGCTGCATGCGCCAAAACATCGGTTTTTTCGACAAGCTCGGTGCTGGCGAGGTTACTACTCGTATTACCGCCGACACAAATCTGATCCAGGAAGGTATTTCTGAGAAGATTGGGTTGACGTTGACAGCAGCGGCAACATTCGTTTCCGCTTTCGTCATCGGCTTCGTCTTCTACTGGAAATTAACCCTGATTCTATGTTCTTCGCTCTTTGCTTTGATTATGGTCATGGGAACTGGATCTCGCTTCGTCGTCAAGTATACCAAAGACTCCATCCAGGCGTATGCGGCAGGAGGCAGCGTTGCCGAGGAGGTTATTAGCTCAATTCGCAATGCGATTGCTTTTGGTACCCAGGGCACCCTATCGAAGCAATACGACGCCCATCTCATCCGAGCCGAATACTTTGGGTTCAGAAAGTCGGCCTCGGTCGCGTGCATGGTTGCCGGCATGTTCTGGATTATATACTTGAACTATGGTCTGAGTTTCTGGATGGGCAGCAAATACCTTGTCGATGGTGTTATCCCGCTATCGAGTGTCCTTATTATCATGATGTCGATTATCATTGGTGCTTTTAATCTGGGTAATGTCGCCCCCAATCTCCAGGCTTTTGGTACCGGACTTGCGGCTGCAGCCAAGATCTTCAACACCATTGATCGTGCGTCCCCGTTGGACCCCACTTCCGAGAATGGCGAGAAGCTGGAGAAGGTTGTTGGTACGATCCGTCTGGAGAACATCAAGCACATATATCCCTCGAGGCCTGAGGTTGTTGTCATGAAGGATGTAACGCTGGAGATCCCGGCGGGTAAGACGACAGCATTGGTCGGAACTTCTGGGTCCGGAAAGAGTACTATCGTTGGACTTGTGGAACGATTTTACGACCCTGTGGCGGGCAGAGTATTGCTAGATGGACATGATATTAGCACCTTGAATCTTCGATGGTTACGCCAACAGATGTCCCTAGTCAGCCAGGAACCTACCCTATTTGGTACTACGATTTATCAAAACATCAAGCATGGTCTTATCGGCACTAAACACGAAAACGACAGCGAAGAAAAACAGAAAGAGATGGTTTTTGAAGCAGCTAAGAAGGCTAATGCTCACGATTTTATCACGGCTTTACCAGAAGGATACGAAACAAATGTTGGCGAGCGTGGGTTCTTATTGTCCGGCGGTCAGAAGCAACGTATTGCTATCGCTAGAGCCGTCGTTTCGGACCCTAAGAGTAAGTCATAGCGCGCTAGGATATACGTAAATTTATCTAACTTTAATATTAGTTCTTCTACTCGACGAGGCGACAAGCGCATTAGATACCAAGTCAGAAGGCGTCGTGCAGGCTGCGTTAGAGGCCGCTGCGGCGGGTCGAACCACCATTACCATTGCTCACCGTCTTTCTACCATCAGGGATGCCCACAACATCGTATGCATGTCGCATGGAACTATTGTCGAGCAGGGAACACATGACGAGCTCTTGGAACTTAACGGCGCATATGCAAAGCTTGTCAACGCACAGAATATCGCTGTTGTAAATGATCTAACCGCGGAAGAGCAAGAGGCAATTGACGCTAAGGAGGAGAGCCTCATTCGTACGGCTTCCAAGGCGGGCGATGCTGGCTACGTTGAGGACCCCGATGACAACATCCGCGATAAACTGAACCGATCGACAACACAGGGATCCGCATCCAGCAAGGCTCTTCAAGGTCGCAAGCCCGAGGAAAGGAAACAGTACTCATTATGGACTCTGATTAAGCTAATTGCGTCGTTTAATAAGGAGGAATGGAAACTAATGCTCTACGGCTTGTTCTGGTCTATCATCTGTGGAGGTGGTAACCCAACTCAAGCCTTTTTCTTTGCCAAGCAGATCCTCGTAAGTTTCCTGGATATTAGTTAAACCTTCATCATGTTATTGTCGCTAACTAACTCGACATAGACATTGGCTGTACCTATTACTCCCGCGAACAGTCACCAGATCAAGAGGGACAGCGACTTCTGGAGCGCCATGTTTCTCATGCTGGCATTTGTCATGCTCATCGCTCAAATATCCCAGGGTGTTGCCTTTGCCAAATGCTCCGAGCGCTTAATCCACCGTGTCAGAGATAGGGCTTTCCGAACCATGTTACGCCAGGACGTTGCCTTCTTTGATCGAGATGAGAATACTGCCGGTGCCCTCACATCATTCCTATCCACCGAGACCACCCACGTGGCTGGTCTCAGTGGTGTTACTCTTGGCACTTTGCTCATGGTTACTACGACGCTTATATCAGCAATGATTGTTGCCCTCGCCTTCAACTGGAAATTGTCTCTTGTCTGTATCGCCACGGTGCCACTCTTACTGGGTTGCGGTTTCTTCCGCTTTTACATGCTGGCGCACTTTCAACGTCGCTCTAGAAAGGCTTACGAGCAGAGTGCTACATATGCATCTGAAGCCATTTCAGCCATCCGCACCGTCGCATCTCTGACTAGGGAGGAAGATGTTATGTCCCAATACAGGAAGTCTCTTGCTATTCAGCAGAGAGCTAGTCTGATTTCTGTCTTGAAGTCTTCGACACTCTACGCTACTTCTCAGTCCCTCACTTTCCTGATATTTGCCCTCGGTTTCTGGTACGGTGGTACCTTGATCGCTAAGGGCGAGATCGATCTCTTTCAGTTTTTCGTTTCTTTTATGTCAGTAATCTTTGGGGCTCAGTCTGCGGGTACTATCTTCTCTTTCGCTCCCGATATGGGCAAGGCGCACGGCGCCGCTGAGGAGCTCAAGACACTATTTGATCGAAAGCCGAATATCGACACCTGGTCCGGGGACGGTACCCCTGTTGAAGTCGTTGAAGGTAACATCGAATTCCGAGATGTCCACTTCCGATACCCGACGCGACCTGAGCAGCCCGTGCTTCGTGGTTTGAATTTGACGATTCGTCCCGGTCAATATGTTGCTTTGGTCGGTGCTTCGGGTTGCGGAAAGAGTACTACGATTGCTTTATTGGAACGATTCTATGACCCTCTTGTCGGTGGCGTATTTGTTGATGGAAAGGAGATAAGTACCCTGAACGTCAACGAATACCGATCCTTCATCGCTCTCGTTTCCCAGGAGCCGACGCTATACCAAGGCACAATTAAGGAGAACATTCTCCTTGGTTCCTCTTCCGAGACCGTTACAGACGAAATCGTCGAGTTCGCCTGCAGAGAAGCTAACATCTACGAGTTCATCCTGTCCTTACCGGATGGCTTCAACACAGTTGTCGGTAGCAAGGGTACCCTGCTGTCTGGTGGACAGAAGCAGCGTATTGCTATCGCGCGTGCGCTTATCCGCGACCCGAAGATTCTACTCTTGGACGAAGCTACCAGTGCGTTGGATTCGGAATCAGAGCATGTTGTCCAAGCAGCTCTCGACAAGGCTGCCAAGGGCCGAACCACGATTGCCGTGGCGCACCGTCTTAGCACCATCCAGAAAGCTGATGTTATCTACGTGTTTGACCAAGGTCGCATCGTTGAGGAAGGTACGCATGTCGAGCTCATGCGGAAGAACGGCCGGTATGCCGAGTTAGTCAACCTGCAGAGTCTGGAGAAGACCCGGTAGGGGAGTTAAGTTGGATTTAAACGCATATGTGGCCGCGATATTTTGATGATTTTTTCCCTCTCATTTTGATGCATAAAGATTCCCCCCCACTGCTCAGCGCAGTTGGCAGACGAGTTAGAGAAAGAGGCAGCGCCGTCGTATGAGTGGGCGACGGAGGCGCGGGCCGATTTATAGCATCGTATTGGCGTTTTAGGGTCTAGAGATGTCTATATAACTTATGAGGCAGATAGCTGGACGTAGGTACGATATGGATAGCAAAGCATATGGGCTAAAGGGAGGAAAGAAAAACTCTTGTCACTTAATTATAAAATGTAATGAACCATTCAAACATATTTGAGTATAAAGGGCCGGGTTTTGGTGATTGTGTACCTACTGATGTGATTTGGTTTGATATACTTGATAGTTGGGTTTAATATGGAGAATATGTAAGTGTTTATTTTATAAGGTATTTTAACTATACTATTACTAACCTTGGTCAATATTTATAGTAAATGTCTATTTACCTAAGTTATAGAGGATTTGTAGGCAGTTTACCTTCGTCTCATATGAATAGGTATCCTTAAGTTATGTATATCGTAATGACTACCTAAGTTAAATATGTCAATATTCATTATTCTGGGCCGGGGCCGATACTTTACATATTAGTAGTACCTAACCTAATATATGTGATAATCTACGAAAAGTGTCAGATAGGGCAATAAACAAGGTAGGTCAGGTATCCAGGTAGGTATATCGCCTACTACTTCCACTTACGGCCTCTAAGCAGCTACAACATCTGACTTTACTTACCTACGTACCCAAGGTTGTGACGTACGGAGATATACGAGGTTAGCCCGCCCTGAAACCGAAACAGAAGCAGGCGAGACGATATATTGGTGGCTGAGACCCGGTGTCGTCGTTAGGAGCTCGTAGCTGCTGAGAATCGTGTGACTACCTAGGTACTGTCTAGGTAGGTAGGTAGGTGCACGGGCACGGACGGAATAGGCGTGTCTTGGATTAGGTAGGTAGGTGGGTGGGTAGTAAGTAAGCTAGAGCGGATAGATACGTCGTTTGTCTCACGGCTGCCACGAGGAGGGGAGGCCGCGTGGATGGTATATGCGTCTTGCCTATGTACATACCTACATACATATATATGCGGATGGGAGGTTAGAGGTTGATGGATATTGTTTGTCTGTTTGTTTGTCGGTCGGAAGGAGATGGGAGAGTTGATGTTAGACTTTTGGTATGTTCGGATATCGGTTTATGCTGACGAGATGAGGAGCCACAAGGCGTGTTCATACATATATATGTATGTATAACTACCGTGTAAGTGGTCTAAGCGGTGATGTGATGTGATGTGATGTGATGTTGGCTTAAGTATGGAGCAGAATCGCAGATATAGATCACGATGTAGGGCTACCTAGATCGTTTCAACTTTAAGTGACGATCTCTGTCGATCACTAACTAGATACTAAAGGGGTATGAGAGATTGACGATCGATCTGCCTAGAGCTATTTCACGTTTTATATGCTTCGTAATGGCCTTACCTTTTTTCTTTCTCGTTTTCAATGTCCTCGGTTGTGAAAACATGAGACTGCTGCATTGATCTTGGGTATATTATTGCGAATGAGCAGCCGCAATAAGGTGTGGGTCGGTGAAGATATAAATGAAATGTACAGCGGTGCCTCGGAAAGCCGCGTGCTTGCATCAGTCACGCGTATGACTTATATTAAACTTGCATAAAATTGTTCATCTCAACACTTTGGAGGGTCTAATCTGCGCGTCATGATATATTCCGAGGCCTTTCTGTGCTACAAGGCTTCAGCCAGTCGATCTGTAGGTAGACAGGTAGGCAGTCAGTCCGCTTCTTTGAGTGTTTCTAAGGGACGGCCAAGTTAATAAGACCTCGTTAATCTAGAGCGAGGGAGGCATAAGTCTTAGAATCTCATTAGTAAGAAGGAACCCGGGATCCTGGGTTCTAATATGTACGAAATGAAGAGAAATCTTGGGTAAGCGAAACCAATCAACGGAGCGTCTTGGCTCGAGGCAAGGAAGGAATGCTTCTACCTACATACATACATGTAGTAGGTATATATGCACCTGGGTATGTACGTACGCGTCTGGCCTTGCAATTAGGTACATACACTATTGCGACTTGATGTTACCTTACACTACCGATCGTGATGATCCGGGCGGATGAACCGGAGCTGAAGAAGAAAGCTATGGTCTGTAGCACATTATTGTCTCTAAAGATATATTTGACGTTTATTACCTAGGTCAAGCTGAATTGGTCATCTAAAGAATTGAAAATGATAATAACCAATAATGACAATTAGTCGACTTGTTATTTATTTATTGCGTGTAAGTGATAAGAACTAGGTTAGACTTGGTATCTTAGGCACATAAGGTACTACATGGCGCGCTGTACATACCCAAGTAGGTACGAGGGTTAACAAGAACAGGGGCAGGTATCCGCTGCGCTAGAGAAAAATAACCCTAATGGCTGTTAGCGGTCCAGGTAGACACGAGGAGCTAGGAGCTAAGAACTAAGAGCTGCAGAGTTGCGGCTGTGCCTGACATTAGTGTTGAATAATGCAGTACTAGCACGTTTAAAGTATAATTTATCTAATGAACATAATTTTATGTATATATTTAAGCTTTTATGATTCGTTCAGCCGTGTCTAACAACTACATAGGAGCGAAGTTGCCGAATTTGCAATACGTAGATAATAAAATTTCGCTTATGCAACTCCCATCCAATCGTCCAATCGTTCCAATCGTTCAATCCCCTTAATCAACTTCCTAACTCCATCCTCCCATCAACAACACCCCCCCCATGCATCCTCAATCGGGATCGAGTCGAATCGGAGAAAAAAGACTTGGTTCTAGACTACTTGCGTACTAACCCTTCTCGAAAACTCCTAAGTAAAGCCAAGCTCTCCTAATCCTCTGCTTACAATCTTACTGGTCAGCTACTTGGGTACCTAAGGTAAACATTTCATGAAGCAAGGAAAGTCCTTGTCCTTGCTCTTATCCAATTGCTGGCTTCACCTCCTGAGATGTGCCGATGTGATAGATTTCAGCACTTCTCCAAAGAAATGAAGAAATGACATGTCGTCTGTGTTATGTTACTCATGGCTATGTGGTCATATTGGCTATGACCCTCGAGGCAGGCTAAGCGGCACACAAGAACATAACACCACGACGGCAGGACTTATTATGGCTTATTTGGGGTCGGTTCTTTTACTATGTACTAAGGGCGGCCAAGGGCTATAGGCCACGTCTTATTACGCTACCGACCCCAATTGCGATATCTTCTCCGCTGCATTTTGACAGGCGCCCGGTCTAGATTAGCGTTTTGTCCTCTTGGATCTTGGGAAACACCGGATAGGCCAACCGGCCTGAAGACCCAAAATGGGAACGCTTAGGACCGCTCGTACATACGCCGTCGCCCCATGGCCAGTATCATTTCGAACATAATTTCATTGAAAAAGACCGGCCGTGCTGCTTATGCTTAGGAACGGGATCCTCCTGCTCTTTTTGTCGTTGGGTCTCCATAGTCATTATCTATCCCCAATACTCTGATAGTGAACAACACACATCACGGGGTGGATTTTCAAGCTTCAATATTTATCCCCGCACGCTGCTTTGGATTTGCTACGGCATTTTCGTTGCATAGAAGCGCATTATCTCATTGGTATTCTGCTCTTCGCTACGGGACGCATTCATTTACCCGTCAGTTTTTTATATTGGCCAACTCGTCCCCGCAACGGAGTCATTCGTTTTCACCGTCCGCAGCATCATACCGGGTTCGGGTGGCCAAGGATCTGTTGAGTATAATAAGGACAAACGGTAGAAACGGCCAGAGTTTTCCTACCACAACTTCACTTGAAGCTTCGAGCCGCAATTAGCTATCGTAATATTCGCCGGGCCACTACCGGCTGGAGGCTCTAGCATCACCAAGTAATGTACGAACAAGCCGCTGATCGGTTACCTGCTTCGGGAACATAATAATGCATTCAAATCGTTCCTTCAGGTCCCAGTGGTCACTGCGCCGCGGGGGCCCGCCCTACCCTGCTGTCGTTTCACCATACCACAAACAATGGATATATATGGCAGTGATCATCCTAATCATTTCCTCTTGGATCCCCCTAGCTGCTGCTGCTATTTCACTGGAGGACACTCCACGATCGACTGAGACAAATCTACTAATTGATACGCGGATACCGGTTTTCGTCAACGGTCACTGGCAGATCATGTCCGAAGACGAGCATCGCCAACTCGTCCGTCGGCAGCCAGAGACGTTTACAGTCGACGTCTCGACAGCTACAGCCACTGGAGACGTATCTACTCAAACAACCGTCGCGACAGGCCCTCTTCCCGCGCCCTTCGATGGCGCACTCGCTGCGAACTTCTCAGGCGAAGATGGGGAAGGATCTTGCCTCGATTTTATCAACGCATTTCTAGAGGACCCGACATTCCAAGCCTGTTATCCTCTTTCGCTACTTTTGAAGGCGAGTCTTAAACGTCGCTCATCTCGTGGGATTATAATTAACAAGATTTCTAGAACTCCAATTCATTCTTCCAGGCTATGAAATCCGTGGTCAAAATTACGCAGGTCATCGAAACATCATGCAAAGCTGACAAGCAATCTTGCACGACCTATCTCGATGATCTCGCCGAGAAGCTCAAATCCGATGAGAATTGCGGACAGGATTACAACAAGCGAAATGATCTAGTGATCCAGGCCTACAAGGGAATGAAGTCGTACGAAGAGATATACGGCGCGACGTGTTTATATAATGCAGACACTTCGACGTATTGCTTTGTCAATGCGGTTACAAACCAAACGACTGCTTCTAACGTCTACCTATACACATTACCTTTCAATTCATCCCTCCCCGAAACAGCTGTACCCGCATGCGATACTTGCACAAGCGAAACGATGAAGATATATCAAGCGGCGGCGGCTGACCGGACGAAATGGATATCGAGCACGTACGTCAAAGCAGCCGAGCAAATAGATGCAAACTGCGGTGGGAATTTTGTCAGCGCAGCACTCCCCGAACCACTTCCGGACAACGCTGCGACATCTATAGCGCAAGCACCGTCTCTGCTGGTACTATCATTTTTATGCGTATTCGTTTCACGCTTGCTTCGGTAGCATTCTATAGGCCTATGGTCGATACTATGACCCGGCAGTAATTCACTTCTTGGGCGTCTTTGGAACGGGGTCAGGCATACAATATGCTTGTTTTGGATATAGGCTTCGGGTACTGGATTGGGACGACTGCTTTTATGAATCGGTAGCACTACATACCGGCGCTTTTTGATACCCAAGTCGATATTTTCGGCCTTCTTTTCTTGCAACATAAAATTATTTTCTATTTCTATTTATAACTATTCATAATTAACGCCAACTTCCTTATTACTATTACGGAATAATAGATGGAGGATCAAATCGGCGGACAACACACGAACACATACGAGATACATATTGAGGCTTGATCTAGGTGGATAGGTGTGTTAAACTCATGGTGGCGGTTGTCGTCGATTTGGATGTGTGTCTGAGACATGGGGCGAAGCATGCTCACCCAACGCCATCCTACGACGAAAATAGGATTCTTGTACATAATTGCAGCCTACATATATAAGTACTTGGTACTCGACATGTGGATAGGTTACCTTGGGTAGCTAAACAGTAAAAATCCAATTGGATATCTGTATATACTTCATCATAACCTAACACTGTATACTATATGGCCGTATATTCGATCACCAATTATACATATATATGTACATACATGTGTGAGAGATGGCTAGGTTCGAATACTGAAAGAAACAACTAAACTATAGTATGTTAGAACATTCCCTCGCTTAACTTCTAGGTCGACATATACGGTATATTAAATTAACTTGGGAATTAAAAGTCTCGTGTAGGTACATAGATGACGGATATTCGCGGATTAGTCGGGAGGATTCATTCGCGTTTTCTCATCAATCCGCCTGGCTCACTAATACCTATCGTACTTTCAATCGATTGATACATGATCTATTCGCGACATGGCTAGGCAGTGGAGTTGGAAGGATTGTGGATGCGTGAATGGAAATAAGTTCAGTACATGTAAATAGATAGATGGATGGATTGTATATCGTCAATATATTTACAGCATTACGGGTACTTGCATTAGGCACCTACCTAGACACCTTAGATACCTAGGTAGCAAGCATATCTATACACCTCGCCTTGAGGTCTTGTCGAGGCTCTACGTGTATGCAGGGTATCTACATACTGATGTGACATCTAATAACGGAGACGAAATATCATTCATTCATCTACTTCCTTCCTTATTTACTTAGGCACCTAGGTAAGTAGGTATTTCCTGCATTTCCTTTCCATATATACCTTAAGCAACCCTACCTATGCTTCATACGCTCCATCAACCACCCCGCTTGACGTATATATATATAAGCGTTCTCTCCTCATCTATCCCTGTGAACGTTATCCGCTCAAACTCCAGGGGTCCTATAATCTGCAGCCCGTCCGCCCGCGAGAACGCGAACCCCTAATCCGCGAACCCGAAGACCTCGCTGATGGCGAGGACGTTCGTCCTAACGCCCAACAGCGCGACCCCGATAGCAACCAGATCCACCACCAACAACACCGTAGCCGCCATCATGAACCGCGGGTTGAACACGCGGTACAGCATGAGATGTCTGCGGAGGTGGCCCGCCCACGCCATGGTCGCAAGGCTTTGCACGGCGTAATACGCGACTAGCGCGGCGAGCGCGCGGCTGGCGGTTTCTAGGACACCGCGACGCTTGGGCGAGGTTTTCCACAGGGCTAGGAGCGGGGCGGAGGTCACAGCTAGGATCTGCCCGGCGAAGGTGTTGAGGGCGACGGCGAGGGGGCTCCAGGGATAGCGCAAGGTGAGTAGGGGGATGAATGCGCTGTCCCATTGGATGGATGCTAGGACGGCTTGGTGGCCCGTCTTGAAGTAGTGGAAGTTGCCGAGTAGTGCTAATGTTACGGGTCCGATGGTTTCGGCGGAGAGGTCGTTTAGGTCGACGATCTCGGCTAAAGAGAGGATTTGCCAGAGCATGATGGCGAGGGCGCCGCCGCCCATGGGTTTCGAGAGGAGGATGCAGGCGGCGGCGATGTTGATCGGGAGGAAGAGATACCGCGCGCCGTTAGCATTGCCGAAACCGAGGACAGTGATTTGCGCTCTACTGCTATTAGGTGCGGTTGTGAAGATTTTAACACAGGGAGGAGCCCAAATGAAGGCTGTAGTGCCGGCTGCGACGGCTACGGCTAGAACTAGTTGAGCGATGAAGACGTGGATAGTCTTTAGCATCTTCTCCGGGATCGAAGTGAGCCAGTCTGCATTATCCGCCGCATCTAAGGTCCAGTATACGGCGGTGAGAAAAAGGCCGGTTCGGAAGACGGTGCCGATCCACATGGGTGCGAGACCCTCGTATGACCGCGAGCTTTCTAGATATGACTTGATAATAGACGGGAGGATGAGGAACACTAGGAATGGAATAGCCAATTGCCAAGGAGCCGAGGTTGATGAGTTGGCAGATGCGTAGTACGTCGACGTGCAGTATGGCATCTGCTCGTCCCTACATAGTTTCGAGAAAGACGCCACCCGTCCAAGGATAACAAATAAGATGGAGTGATAAACGCCTAGAGTTCGATCGCGTACTGATAGTAGTTGAAGCGAGGCGACTGCGCTTGCGAAACCAAATGTCGAGAGGAAAAATAGTGAGATTGAATCTTCCCAGATAGTGTACGAGTTAGATGCAAAGCCGATAGATTGGCTTAATGTGAAGACAACGGATAACCATCCCCAGGGTGTATTCGGTAGTAGGTTGAGTATGCGTATCCCACGAATCTGTAACAGAACACCAGTCACGGCGAGCATGCTTCCAATAGCTGTTGCGCCGGCTGCTAATATCCATTCCTCAGATCCGGTGATCTGAATAAACCCTAAGCTTAGAACTCCTATTATGCTACCGCTTAGAAGTCCAGTCTTAGCGAGAGACTTGCTAAAACTTTTGTAAGATGCACCCTCTGGCTCTGCCAACGAACTCTGTAATTCCAGGCTCCTCTCGGCAAAGTCCAGCTCGGCGTTATCCAGGACTGCAAAATCTTCGTCTTCATCCCTCGAAACGTAGAGTAATAATACGACCACTCCGAATGCCATGGTCACGATGCCCAGTATCATCTTCGGGACATCGAAGCTAGCCCATAGCTCTTTGCAGATTCTTAGCGTCTCCTGCTGATACGTAGTATAAGCATTGTATAGAGCTTGCCACGATCTAGATTTAGTGCTTGCTTGGACGAGGGCCTCGGCATCCTTCCAGAGTGATGCAGGGGACCCAGGCTTCGTGCTCTGCTCGATACCACGGGCCTTGAAGTATGATGCTTGATACCTCCTGATTCCGGCCGACGTTATACTAGAGGCGGCTGCGAGAACATCCCAGGCACTTCCTTTGAGACCAATGAATGCTTCTTCGATCGGTCGGCCAAGATTATTATATGGTATAGGAATACCCAAGAGTAGAGCCAAGGTTGGAACCAGATCGATCTGGTTTACAGGCCGGATCTTAGCCGTTGCTGGTGGAGTTTTGAACTCGGGTTGTGTACGACCGAATACTGGCTTCTTTGAATACATCCACAGCGCAGCCTCAACCTCATCATCGCTTTCACCACCGTGGTCGCCCTTGCTATCCATTCCATGATCACCCATAACTACCAATAACGTATTATCATCGATTTCCTTCGTAAGGTTTTGAATGAAACCATTCATCTGTTGAAGCTTGGCAGTCATCGCAGCATGATTGGGTCCATACCGATGGCCAGCATGGTCCACGCCAAGAAGATGCCCTATGAGAACGTCCCATTTTTGTGTCTGATCGGGCTTTAACAACGGGAATATGTGGTCCAAGACTCCATTGTCAACAGTGTGTAAATCCCAAACATTAAAGCTGTCGTAGGCCCTGCTGATGTTAGGTTGGAAATAATCGGGGAATAATGCGGTCCAAGTATCGTCTCCTAAATGAGCTATTCGCTTTCCTTGAGCCCTCCACTGTATTAATAGATTATCCTCCTCTATAGCCGTCCCCGCAAAACTGGAACCTATGTCCATGAACGTAGGCAAAGTGCCCGTGGTTAGACCTTTCAGTCTTTGAAGAGTAGAAGTCGGGGGGTCCGCGATAAATGGTCGTAGAAAAGCATTTCCTGGCGATTTAACGGAAGTTTCGTAGAGGAAAGGAAGCGCATTGTGGTAAACTTCAGCATGGTCGTCCTCTTCAACCGGGACCGTGAAATCGTATCGCAAAGCATCCACCAATACAATAACAGCTTTGTCGAAGGTCTTGGGGTGCCAACAGCCACCATCCACGGTACCCTTCCCTTTCCATTCCAATAACGGCTCTATAGGCGGGTTGTCGCATTCTGACTGTTCATCCAAGACCAATCTGGTCAAAAGGAAACCGCTGGTAAAGAGTAATATGCCAATGATGTGGATACAGAGCAGCCAGCCCCAAAAACCTATAGTCCAAAAACAACGGCGCTCAAAAGCTTTCTTTCGATGAGCTTCGAGAGTTAGATGCCGCGCATCATCAGAGGTAGATGATTCTGGCTTCTTCTGTACAGCATCTTCAAGCTCTTTCAATTGCTTTGCGCGGGCCCATTCTGCCGCAATGGCCTTGAATTCGTTCGCGGGGGTTTTTGATTTTGGGCGGACATTGCGGGAGGGCATCGTGGGTCGGAGGGTAAGGTAGGTTAAAGTAATTAACGCGTCGTACAATAATCAATCGCGGCCATTGGCTTCCCTATAAAACATATATGGTGAAAATATGAACAAAAGGAAGACTAGAAGAAAGTTGCAATTAGCTCAGCTTCAGTTGCAAGAACAATTAGGTATCATAGTTAATGTAAAAACACCGCAAGTTTTAAAAAACACATATTCTGAAGCTGTCAATGAGGAAAAGAGCTTACGGGTACTTGTGGGGACCCTTAAAGTTTAGTGATACCTAAGTCTGCAGCTACGTACATACTGTATAGCAAGCAGGGTACATGTACACGCAACTTTCCACTATATGACGAACCCTAGCAGCGACAGGTGGATAACCTGGGTACCTGCCTTAAATTACATGTAGTTACACAAGCACTCCATTAACCAATATATAACAAAGACTTCCATGTTACAAACTTTATAGCTTTCAGTTACTTTTCTATATTGACAAAGACGATAACTACCAACTTAGCAACAATATAGGTTAAGATGTAAAGAAATCAAGCCGAAGTCGTCAACCTAAACGTCAACAAATCTTTCTCAACTATCTCGTCTTTTCTAGCCTCGAGCTCTTTCATATCCCACTTGACATTAATAAACCTCCCATTCATCCAAGGTCGCCTCTCAGCTCCCAGCCATGCAAGCGTATCTGCCGGAAGCGCTACTTCGTCAGTCAGAACCTTATCTTGCACTTCCTTAGGCATGTTAGTCGCCAGCTCCGTCTTGATGCCACCGGGATGGAGAGAGTAGCAGACTAGGCCTTGGTCCGCGTACTCGGCTGCTACGTATTCCGCAAGTCGGCTGACAGCGAACTTGCTGGATTGGTAGGCCGAAGCGGAGGGATAAACCGCAATGGCGCCCACGCTCGATGTGAGGATATTGGTCTTGATCTCGCTTGCGAGGAGCAACGGGATGAAATACTTGCTACATAGGAAAACTCCCTTCACGTTGACTTCGTACGTCTGCCACCAGTGGTACGTGCTCGCCTCGGCAATGGGTGCCCAGTCATCGAGGTAGCCAGCGTTGTTAATCAATATATCCAGCTTGCCTCCGAATTTAGTTGAGATGGCGTCTGCGGCGGCCTTGACGCTGTCTTCCGATGTGACATCGAGCTTCAGGGAGAGGACCGTCGGTTCGGTCTTGCGACCGGCTGTTTTTGCTGCTTCTTTGATTTCGGTCACTAAACTTGACAAATCCGACCGGGCTCCGACAATGATTCCGGAAGCGCCGGCTTTAGCATAGCTAAGAGCTGTCTCCCTCCCAACGCCCTTAGAGGCTCCAGTGATGAAGACCGATTTTCCACTGAGGTCTAATTTCTTTGGAGAGATATACTCGTACGTATCAGTATATGTTGTGCTAATGAATGTGGAGACTGCCGCTGTATTCGCTGCCGATGTCGTCATGGTGATGGATTTAATAATATAGCTCGGGTTTCGGATAGTTATACAGGATGGCAAAGTCTGTCTGGAGCATATTGAAACAGAATGGTTCGTACTAGGCTTTATAGTAAATGCTAGATTCCATATCGTTACAGTGGAACGGCACAATACATAGCCATTGCTACATAACTACTCCACCATTCGCTCAACGGCAGAAAGAATACGCTACATCCTAGAAACTATAGCCGTGCCACACGGGATATATCGGTATTTGTCGGATTCTACAAAAGCTAAGATTTCCTGTCTAGATGCCCTCCGAAGAGGAAACCCGGGTATAAGAAATCGGTTTTAGGTCCAACTAATGTTACCTTGGTACTAGTCCAGTTAGAGATATTCATACATCCGCTAACACCTATATCCGCAGGAACATTAAGCCAAGATAGAAGCCAAACTTATTACAGCTGATTTACTGCGCCGTATCTACGTATAAATGGTATGAAGTTCGGCTTGGAACTACCTTAGTGAATGATGTCCCACCCGGACCTTCTACCGGTTGGGCTTAACTATGCGTCGGCTATACGGACTGTGTCGCTATGTCCGTTGCTATCCCTCTTCGGATCTGGAATATCGATTCGGTAGAACATATTGTGGGTAAAGGCAGATCCTTTTCGCGAGCTGTTGCATTGATCTGGAACTTGGACCGACACATGGCATCCATTAGCTCTCTTCGCAACTACTCGATGGCCGAGTGGCTTATCGCAATATTAAACACTGTGTGGTTGCTGAAGACGTAGTTCTGTTTCTAAGCGCCCTTGTTTCATGTTCCATTGCATTTTCTATAAGGTCGCTCGCTGCCACAGTTGGCAACTCGTGTATCATAACTAGTCTTATGATACCTTGCGGAGATTCGCTTCTATTTCTCTCATTAGATATCTGAGCTGAGCACTTGGTTAACGTATTGGCACCGGGCCGAGGCTTGAATTCACCATACTATATATATAATTCCCTCCATACTCACTTTTCATACACTGACATTTCCCCTTTTTTTCTTTTTATCAGATAGACCCCGAATATCGGTGAGGTTAGGATATTACATCAGCATCGAAATAGAAAGAAATGCCGTTCGGGTCTCACAACATTAACGCTTCGGTTGTACTACAACTAGTTCCATGTTCCTACGGAGATTCCTGGATGCCGAGAAAAGTGGCTGAGATATTATAAGCGACTTGCATAGATATTGTGCGTACATATCAGATAACTATCTAATATTTAGGTAATAAAAATACGTCATGACGATATGGTTCGAGGTTGAATGTCATTCAAATCCTTCAGATACCTATCTCGACGGTTCGGACATACAGTTTTGCCGTCAATGAGGGAGGATGGCCTGCGATAGTTCCGCAAATATTTTGTGTGGCTTTTTACCCCAGGTATTCTATTTTAATACTGACCTCAAAGGTGAGTTGACCGGTATATCGGACGTCATTTGAAGTTCTAAAGTAGTTCGTATATAAATAGCTACAGGGTTAATGAAGCATTGTGAGCTAGGTACTCTCACACTTAGATAATGATATGGGAGTATTTTTAGCAGCATACCATTATTCTTATCTACGAAGTAAATGAAGTGAGATTATACAAATATGAAGCAGTATACAGGTCGTACCAACCTTCAAAGGTCACGACTCTAAACGCTCTTGTCTTAAATGCATCCAACGACGCCTAACAGAAGATGTAAAATATGTCTCAAGGAGCAGTCTACAGACGCATGTTTCAGATACCTTCTCCACGAGAATGTCATAATATGTCACCGGCCGACAGCGGCGACCGGGAAACCGGCCAACAAGCCACATACATGTATGCACGACAAAAAGCCTCGTCGATGTGCATGTATATCATCTGTTTCTGGACTGTCTAAGAATGACATATGCAGAGAGACGGTGGGTGCTTTTCCTGGGGGATAATGGTTCTTCGTCTTAATATTTCCGAACTTTATTACTTTACATGCCGCACCTTCAGTGGCTGACTGGTTGGCTCCGCAGACATTAGTGCTATGGCCTTAGATAGTATGGATATAATCGTTACGTATGGGCGTTGTGTGGCTGTCGTCTCTTACTGGTCGCAGCAGTCTGAAATTGAGTCTTGGTGAGCCACCCAAAGAAGGGAGATACGTCTCGATTCTGTAGGCACTGTCTCGTTTCGGCTTATATGTCCGATGACCTCGTGAAGCTGTATGTCCTAAACAGCTATGTATAAGCTTAAAATCCGAGTTGCTAGGTGCTTAAGATACCAACACTAGTAAACGCGGACGTGCCCGAGTAGAAATTGGTATTTTCAGTAGAAATAAGTATTTTTGAGTTGGATGACGGAATTAATTTAGCTATACAACAGAGAATATATCTCGTGAGTGATGATCTCGTCTATATTACTCGAACTGGAAGGCTTAATTGTCCGTGGTGGCCCCGGAAAAGTGAAGACAAAAAAGCAAAGGGGTATCGTTATATACAGGACCGAATGTACCTAGAGCGCCGGATGGTAAACATGTGGCCATCCAGACTCGCCTTCCACCGCGGTCCGTCCTTCCGCATCCCTGCCTCCTCCTAGAGGTACTTATAGAAGGGTAATATAGACATTTGCTTTGTAATAGGTACACCATTATTCATGCATATGTATATATATCGTTCAAACTCCCCCATCATGTTAAATTAAGTCGGTTTAGTGGTGATTAAGTAGCGTTTCTGAACTTAGAGAGATTTTGACAGGAAGGCCAGGCTAATCGTAGCTCAGGAGAACTGGCTTCGATCCTTCTCCTTCAGTCCACCGATTTGATCCATGTCGATCGAGTAGAAACCGGCGCTGTTCTCTTTGGAATATGCTGGCAGTTGCTCCTCCTTTACAGGCTCAAGGCCAACAGTGGTCTCGCCGACTCGGACAACCACGACACGGCCGCCCTTATTGCGACCTTGCTCATCCTGCTCGTCGGGGAAGGTGATGTGAATCTCGGGAATATTGTTGGGCGAGTAGGGTGGCGAGCTCGGGTCATTGAGCATTGGACGACCGTTAAGAACCAGAATACTTGATCGGCCGTCAGCGGTCTGGATGGTGAGACGACGAGTGGTACCATCATCATGTTTGATATCGTTATACTGCGGTAGGGTACCATTCTGGAGCTGTCGCTCGCGCTTCGCACGCCGCATCATGAATAATAACACCACCAGAACAAGAGCGAAGAAAGCGATGCCAAGAAAGGCGATCATAAGATCAATGACCCCATCCGGCTCGCCTCCCATATCAAGGTCCCGCCTGGAAAGTACAGCATTGCCACGGGCAATAAGGTTGCTGAAAGTAGACATATTGACGATAATTGCTAATTTGACGATAGGAGTATTGTCGTTGTTTAAGGCCGGGTGTCAAGGGGTTATGTCGGTTCAGTTGAATAATCAATGAATGGCTCGGCTATATTGAGACATGAGTTAGATATTTGACTCAATACGGTATAGAATTATAGAAACCCAGATAGCAGACAGATGGATATGACCATATTGCCTCCTAGATTGGTTCAAGACATCGATGAACGTACGTAAGGGAGAGAGTGTGAAGGTCTCGATACTTCGGAAGGCTTCGGAAAACTCCAGAAGAAAAAAAAGACCGGACGGAATCAACCCAAAAAAGAGTGAAGCTGAAACCAAATAATGAGTGAATGAGAGGGAGGGGCTCAAAGCCAAAGGAATGGACTCTCTGAACCGACAGAGCAACAACAAGACGGCAACGACAACGACGACGAAGATCGTGAAGAGAAAGGAAAGAAAGGGAGGGGGGGAGATGGGGAGTTGAAGAGGATGAGCAAGATCAACAGATTGTGGAGCTCATCTTAGGGAGAGCCGTGAAAAATGATTGGCCATAGTTGAATCTTATTAACAAGGGGGTAGGGATCCGTAGTTGCTATCATTCACACGTTGCGGGAAGGGGCTCGACAGGCACAGGCTTCTGATTCGATGCATTCATCGAGAAGTTCCAAACTAAACGCTGCTTAATTTCAAGATCGACCAATGATATTTAAAGCGGCTCCGGTAAAAGCGGGTAACAGAACACAAAAACGGTTAAGATCCAATGACGCTACGAATTGTACATGGACAAACTACCTAAAACAGAACAAAATCATATCTCATAGTGAGCTTCTAGACTTCTTTAGGAATCTAGCCAATCAAGAATACCTGCACTTTCTTCTAAGCTTCCCAGTAGCAAGTAAATGGGTTAAATGGGTTCCCACATACTATTTAAACATTTCAATGCAACACCCACAACTCACCCACAGTTGAAAGATATTTAAGAACGTTTAATGGTTGGGATCAGTTCCGTCCCCCATCTGACGAACATTGCAGGATAATTCTACGAGATCGAGAACTTGGCACTAATTACAGAAATATTTATGCAGATCTAATGTACCTAAACTCTAAGAAACAAAGCTAACTATCGATAAGCAAGCTTAAGTCCTAAAATATGTAGATGTGGGTTAACAAACTACAGCGAATCAGCTTGCCTCATTCTATTCTTAGTTTCAAGTTAGAGATATATGAAGAGGAGCTATCCTGCGTGGCACAAGCCTCTATGTCGGATAACCACCTACCTACATAGTATCTGCCTACCTATCACTCAATACCTATTAAATAATATTTACTCACAAATAGCAACTCGGCCCGTTCAAAAGTACGAAAGGATCAAGTAACGTAGGAGGAGAATACTCATGGGACCACCTCTTAGTCTTAATCAAGTAAATCAAGTTCAACCGCACATACAAAATGGGTTGCGTATACACTAATGGAGAAGACACTAAGAGTATCACAGTTAGAACTTGTGATCATGGAATGTCAGTTTGAATTCCCTAGCTCGATTCAGAATACTCCGCTGTCTGTTATACACAAGCTTACCGTATCTAGGATAATTTCGACGGAGAATGACGCTCTCAAGATGACAAGGCTGACATCAACTACGAATCCTCTTACATAGCTTCACCGATGAAGAACATCCACTAATCTGTACATCGGCGATGTCAATATGCGCATCTGCTTGTATAAGTCAGAATGCTCTTAATATTCCCCGCAATGGCGTTGCTACTTGAGTGCAGCTACCTAAGACATGGCAGAGGTCGTGCCGAACGATGTACCCGGTGCCATATTTTGTGTTGGGCCGCTATTTCCCCGTCTGTGGCAATCTCCCAGCCTGGAAATCTAAGCATGCAATCTATGGGCTGCTGGATCGTCCCTATTCATTACCACGAACGAAGCCTTTCTGTGTTACTAGGGGACCTGCTCGATAATCAGGTTTGCTAGTCAACAGGTAGTCAACTAATCAATCTTTTCCGTCAAGTGCTTCGTCGGTCCGGAGAGCAGCTCGGTGCATAAACCAGGCCACCCCACGTCAAATGTCTCACAGAGATCGGCTGGAGACGCCTTCTCTATGGCTCGAAAGCCTGCAACTATCCGTAGAAGGGGTCCTGCGGTCTGCGCTTGTGCAATACGTTTCATTGCTAGGCGCGCGTCGGATACACGAAAATGGTAAGCAACAAACAAGAGCCTAAGGCTGCCGGTATGAAAGGACTCACGCCTCGGATCTTCGATCGGGAAGCCACATTCAAATCAACCACAATTATATCTTGCTACAAGTGGCTACATCCTACCCCACACCTACTTACTGTGATATATGTTGTGAATAAACGAAGCAAGGCGGTTATAGACGCTGTCGCTATGGTGTAGCGTCAAATAATTCGATGAGTAGTTTTAGGGGCGCGTATATTATTACTCATCTTAGCATACTGGTATACTTGAGACAGCCTTACTCCTATTGCTCCTATCACTAGGACATCACTACTCTAAGTCCTAACTACTTATCAAAGAGGGATGGAGTAGACACGTATGACTTTGAAGCGTGCGACTTGTGTTACACTAAAAGGGAACGTAAGGCAAAATCGTGCAAAATCGTCAGGCTCTTACTATTGTCAATAATCGACACTACGACTCCAGCAGACTTACTCCCTCCTCTAATAGGGGACGGTGAGCCAACGAATTTGTTCATCGAGGCGAGTGTTCGCTGCGGTGTGACTGTTTAAGGGTGACAATAAAGTCGACAAGAGCTCGTCATGCCGAAACTAACGGGGGACACGGTGTCACGGGGAGGCGGACGAAGGGTTACTTAGGTGAGGTAAGACCGCGACACGTCGTTCCATAACGGGAGATTGGCATCGGGCTACATTCCCCAAGATAGTCATCTTCATTCCTGGGACATATGATGAAGATTACGACATTCCTAAGTCACCGGCGGCCGGCTAAGTGGGGTCTGAAACTGGCATCCCTTTGCTCTGCCTCTACGGCTGCGTGGAGGGAAGATATCACACGTCTTAGGGCGAAACTACAAGGTAGAGCGACTAGTGCACATACCAAAAATTGTCATCATATTAGTTTTGCATCGTATACGCATAGATATCTCGAAAATGTAAATGCGCGTAGAGAAGAGGAGCTTAGGTAGGCTTTGTCAATGAGCCTCCCAATGAGTCAGGCTGTAAGTTACCTATTACGTGATATATCTCTAGCAAATTCTTAACCTTGCCGCGAGGAGAGTGCGGTAGGGCACCAGTCAATGCTACTACGACGCATGATTTGAAGAGAATGCCGTTCTCCCAGACTGTTGGGCTCGTGAAGTTGGTCCAATTGGGCGAACAACAAGCAAGCGGTTGTCTCCAAGACATGTAGGAGAGCCACATAAGTGATCTGCCCCGTACATCCGTAGTCGCCCCTGTACCACCAGCTTTTATTATACATGCTTTGCTAGTAACTACGGCAATAGTGTATCTTGGCCATAGCAACTAGGACCTGATAGGACTTGATAGATAGAATATTAGTATCGCGGGCCGTCTGCCCAACTTCCCTCCTCCCAATCCTCCCTTCAAGTTGAATATATCACTTTTTGTTTCCTTCGCCCTTGGCCAGTTGAAGTCATTAATTCGCAAAAGGGAGCGCGGCTCGAGGACGGTAACGCTCAAGTGTCGATAAAAGGATATTTCACATCGTATAAAACAATCATCCGTTCCTTTATAGTTTTTTTTTGGTCTTTTTTTGCCCCTGTTGAATTGTGCCTTTCCTCCTGCACGACCATTTTCTATTGTATCAAATTCGAGGCGATGTCAATGTAAAACAAGTTGAGGACATATACCAAAAACATCGATAGCCCCCAAACGCACATATCGGACGGCGCAGCAACAAAATTTCTGCATGTTACTATTCGCATATATATATAAACGATACCTCTTATATATTAACACTACGACACCACGGAGTTTGAGATTATTTCGATAGCCAGTAGCAGGTTAACGCCACCACCAACGGCCCCCGATTTTTTATTTAAGAGGTTGCAGTCATTATTCGCAACCCAGCAACTAATATATTACGAATTGGTATTTTCACCTCCAAACACGATATAGAGGTATGGAAATGGAAAGCTTACTCATTTAATATACTCGTTGCAGAGCTTGGAAGTTGACTTTGTTAGCTCCAAAAATATCACAATACCACAATACCACAATACCACAGTTCGGTCGAGACGGAGCAACAATTAGCTAGCCGGCACAGAAGGCTTGGCTGCAGTAAGACGTCGCCTATCATATTCAACCTAGAATCTCGTCGAGAAAGGAACATCCCGCCATCAACTTGAACGAATCAAACGCTAGTTTTTCAACAAAGTATACCGCGCAACACTTAATATATTCCGACTCGGTGGACAAGCACCCGCCCGTACCTTGTCAAAAAATACCCTAGTATTTAAAACGGGGAAAAGCTATTATTTCGACCAGTTTGCAGCTCTCGTCGAATAATATAAGAGTGCTAAGTTGATTTAAGTACCTAGGTAGTTTTAAGTGGTGGGTGTTGCGCTACCATCGGGACCGCTATCTTGGAAACCACGCCACTAAAAGAAGATACTTAGTGTACCTATCTTGGAAGTAACTACTACCTAAAGGAGGACACGGCAAGACGACGGGAACGGGAGTCCCATTCAAGGACCCATCGCCCCATATCCACCATCTGCACCCGCGCCTCACAGATTCGCACCTGCATTTTGGTTTTGGCCCTTTGCAAACCGAAAAAAAAAACCCTCCCCAAGAAAAAAAAAAAAGAAACTTAACCCTTTAGATCCAAGCTTTTTTACTCTATTGGGGAAAAGGGAAAAGACTCAAGCTTAGGTACCAAAGCAGGCAAGGCAAAGCAAAGCAAAGCAAAACCATTACAGATCTTAAGACATTTGCACTTACACCAACTCCGCGGAGCTCCCTCAGTTTGTCTTACAAGTTCAACAAGTTTAGCTTCTTTATCGATCTGACCCGTCTTCCCCTAAGCTGGCGCCAGCTCTCTTCCTCCTTGTAACAGGTTAGGTATTACAAGAGAGAAGCTGGGTTAACTGCCCACTCATTAGGTACCTGCAGCCTGCAAACGCTAAAAGTTTAGTCACGGTAGAAGATTTGACCCAGATTCGAGTCTGTGTTTCTGCGTCTCTGCGTCTCTACATCCTCTGCATCTCTACATATTTGCACTTCTATACATTATTCTCCTATCTGCTTTGCGTAACTCGCACTCCGTCAAAGTTCAGATTTCTCACTCAACATATTACTATTTCCAATAACCTGGGGGGTTTACTGTGTGAAGTATCCACAGAGAAGCTTGGATGGTACTAAGTTGTCCAGTTGCAGGTACTAATCAATCGAGGTACATTAGGTACAATACAATTTCACCCACAAGCCATATTGAGGGGAAGTTGCACTTGAAAAGTGCTTGCCTTTCGCTGAACTACATATTTACATACATAGGAGGTACACATGTACTGCCGCTGTACACTGGAGCCAGGTCGTCGCACAAAGCACGAGCACGAGCAAGAGCAAGAGCAAGAGCGCATTAGGACCCGTAACTGATAACACCTTACAGCCCAACCTGAAATCGCTGCAGCATTTACATTTGCATTGCCCGCGTCGCCTAAAAAAAAAAATAACAACATACATATAATCCACGGGCAATACGCAATACACAATACGCAATACTTACCTACACTATACTCGACAAGTACCTACCTTCACTTTGGTACTTCTCGTTTTAACACCTTCAATACCTAGCCTCTCTACCTCTCTACCTCTCTACCCTGCCCTACCCTACCCTGCCTTACCATTACCATTACCGTCAAGTTGGCTGCAACCCTCCCCCCCCGAATATCTTTTCCCCCAGATCTATCAGATTCACACACTGCCAAACTCTGTGAATCGTCTCTTTTGGGGGCCCACCCCCCTACCAATTCTAGCATCTTACCGTATTCTAAGTTTGGCCCTAGACCAGACTCGAGACCTTCTACTACCTCTGGGCACTGTTGGTTTGGGACTGATTTCTTTTTTGGGGCTTGATACATCCCTGTCTAGCTCTTAGACCGGTCAGAACTGGGCAAGACTCGCAATACTGTGACTCGAAGCCGTTTTTTAACTTTTACGAAAGAGTCCAACTCCATTTCGTAAGCCAATAAACCAGCCAATCCAAAGCACAAAATCCGTCCTCCGGCTTTGCGCAAAACACGCCCCAAAAAAAGAGCGTGGGGCTCATTGCTCGTTCAAATAAGGCGCTTTCACGTTCTTATTGAAACTTGACACTTTTAGTACAACAGCCTGACCTACTTGTCTACGCTCAGTTGAGGCCAGCCCTCACGGGGTAACCTAACGATCCTTAGGCTGTACAGCTAGCTATATTCTTAAAACATTTCAGGCCTTTGCGAGAGAGACGCCGTGCCACATCTGCATATAATAACTTTCGGTACTTGCCCCGTCAACTTTTACATATTACTTTCTGCGCTCGCAACCCAGAAAGTATCCTGTCATATCTCTTGACCAATCCACGCCTACCTGCGCACAACCTACACACGTACATTAACGTACATCAGCCCTTCCTTCGACTGCCTACCTACAGTCTCGACTATTCATTTACTCCGGTTCCCTCTCTCCTCTTCGATCCTCTTCCCTCTCGACCTGGCCTATTACCTTGCTATCTTGCCAACAGATAACGACAGTCGACTTACATGATCCATTTTATCCTTGGGATACATGTATACAGAGACGTCGTTATATCAGAACTACAAGTCGAGCTTCAGCTATCAGCTAATTACATAGACTTCTGGCGATATAGAAAGATAACATAAGAGCAATCTGGGTAGGCACACCTCTCCATCATAGCCTCGTCTGATTTATACCTTATCTTGCCCGGTGTTGGAACTTCCCTCGTAGCATTCCGTCAGCCTTAGTATACTACTCGACCCTCCCCTCTCTTCAAATCCCGAACCTATAGGCTGGCAATCTAATCCGTTCTTTGTCTCATAGTTACATATAAGAAGAATATTCTCGCATACATTTAGCATATATAATAGAATTCGTCAAACGACCGGACATCACGATCGTTCTGCCACGAGTAACACATTTCGAGCGTTATAGAGCCCGACAGAGACGGCGCGGCACGCCGCTTCCAGCATACAGAATCCTTCTGTAGGATACAAACAGATACCTCCGAGCGACGTAAAGCTATGAGCACAGCAGTGAGTGCTCATTTTCTTTACTGTTCCCTAAAGAGATGCACCTTGGCACAAGTGCCGTCTGGCGTCATATAAACGAAAGTGTAGACGGTGGATTCTCTAAAGCTGTTCTGGCTGCATGAGTGGTCGATTAACTTCCAGATCATGCATGGCCACTTCTCCCACCCCGTTTGAACTGTCACGAACCTCCGTTGCCAAGCTGACATGTGGCTGCATATAGACACGACCTAACGGCTTTCCTAATCTAACCATGGTAAATCACTCGAACGACAAGGCTTCGCAGCCTATTGGATCATCTTTCACCCACTCAACCTGGCAATCGCAATCAAATGACATATGGGGAAATGGCATTGGCGGTTCGTTGAATTCACGCCGGGATGTGACAGGCGCAAGAGGTATGTAGTGTGATACAGGAAGCAAGTAGAGGTATACCTCAAGGTTAGACCTAATAAGTGTTATAGAATCAGATGAATTTTCGCCCGGCGCCGCCTCTGGTTCTGGACAACTAAACCCACACTCTGAAACCGTCCGCTGGAAAGTTCATCCCAGCATATGGAACCAGGCAAGTGGCACACATCAGGGTCAATCGTCTTCTGGAAGTATTTCTCCAACACGCACGAGAGACAGTCTTCAACACAGCTTCTCCGAAGCTCCAAGCAACCCCCTTCTCTATCCGCTCCGAGCGCCGGGAGGCCAGAACGGGTCGGCTCCGACCAGAACATTACCACCTGGCCCTACAGATCACTCAGCGCGATCTTTGAAGTACGCCACGAGCTTTGGAGACTCGGTTGGCGATGAGAGGGCGAAATGTAACAGATATGCGTCAAACACCAACGGACAACTAGATTTTGAAACTACTAGGGCATATCGGCATAATTCGAATGATCCGTCATTCCTCAACCTTGGGCATAATCGAACGCTCAGCTCACGGCAGCCCGAATCCGATGTACAGACCTCCCATCGTTACAGTGATAGCTCCCACTACTTTTCAAAGGCCCCTGGCCATTCTAAAAACCAACCCCAGCGACCTTCTATTTCTGGACCTTCAGTCGCATTGCCATCGGAAACAAGTCGACCTATCCCTTTTCCTTACGGGACAGTGGGAGGAGTAGATACTCCTAATCATGACCTTGAAGAGACTCTCAACCGAGTTACCTTGGAGGATAGCTCCGACGCCGTCACGGGCAATTATAGCGGGCAATACAATCCCGCAAGCCAGCATTTCCAATTGAACCCGGGATCTCAGGCCTGGCAGCACGATCTGGGGAATAATTCGAGGCCATTCGGCCAGAATTTACAGGAGTCTTGGGCGGACCCCCTTACTACTTCATTCTATACCGCCAGGAGGGGCCCAGGCGAAAGAGGATCATCTACCGAAAGACCAACCTATCGTCCTAGCGTCAATAGTCCGAGGGTTCTATCAGGCACCCCAAACCCGGGGGCTGTCACATGGAACAGACCAGCTTCGCGGGACTCGAGGGCTCTTCAAGATCTCGAGCGAACATCCCAGGGCTCCCAATACGTACACCAGCAACCCTCATTTCAACCACCTTATTACGGTAACAACATCTCTCAGTTCTCACCCCCTTTCGACCAATATGGAGAGCACCTAGGTTTCCGTCCTCACATGCAGGTTGCGCCATATAGCTTACAATTGAACTTCTCCAACGTTTCAGTTCCAGTGAGACCCAGCAGGGACCACCAGGATCTTGGCAAAGGTGTTCGTAGCATACTGCTTGAAGAATTTCGGGCCAACTCTAAGGCTAACAAGCGCTACGAACTGAAGGTATGTTGCAGTATACCTAAACGATAGCAGATTAAAGGATTAACCAAGATGTAGGATATCTATAACCATATCGTCGAGTTTAGCGGCGACCAGCATGGCTCGCGGTTTATACAGGAAAAACTTCAGACTGCAAACAGCGATGAGAAAGAGCGAGTATTTCAAGAAATCGAGCCCAATACACTTCAACTCATGAAGGACGTCTTCGGCAACTACGTCATACAGAAATTTTTCGAGCACGGAAACCAAGTCCAGAAGAAGATAATTGCAGGACATATGAAGGGGAAGGTCGCAGAGCTTTCGACTCAGATGTATGCATGCCGTGTTGTACAGAAGGTAAGGCTAAGGTGAACAATACTACATTTGGAGCAAGCTGCTAACTAGTTATCAGGCGCTTGAACACGTGCTTGTCGAACAGCAGCGCGAGATCGTGGAAGAACTTAAACCTGACATTATGCGGATCGTCAAAGACCAGAATGGGAATCATGTGATTCAAAAAATCATCCAGATGGCCCCGCTCCAATGCATTCCTTTCATTATGGATGCTTTCCAAAACCAAATTGAATCCTTAGCATCCCACAACTACGGGTGCAGGGTCATCCAGCGAATCCTCGAGTGGGGGACCGAAGCGGAGAAGACAAGTCTCATGACAGATCTCCATGCTTGCGCGGCTAAGCTCATAACGGACCAGTACGGAAATTATGTTACCCAACATATCATCGCCCGGGGCGAACCGGAAGATCGGCAGAAGATAATTCAATTGGTGCTTCAAAGGTTGATAACATTCTCGAAGCACAAATTCGCATCGAATGTGGTTGAGAAGTCGATTGAGTACGGGACGACGGAGGATCGAAGGGCGATCAGGGACCAAATTACAGCTCCGCACAGTGACGGTACTAGCCCGCTCCAGCCCATGATGAAGGACCAGTTTGGGAACTACGTGATCCGTAAGTTCAAAGTCATACTCTATGCAGTAGCACGTCATAACTAACCGATAGACAGAGAAACTCATGTCTCACTTGGAAGGTCCGGACCTCGAGTCGTTTAAAGAGGAGATGCGGCCCCACTTTACGAACTTGAAGAAGTACAGCACCGGGCGACAAAATACTGCTCTTGATAGGCTGATGTCGGCAAGCTCGGCCGTTACCAGCCCCACTACGCCGAATCTATTAGTCGATGTCAATTCAGCTGCGCCTACTCCGTCGCTCACCATGGAGCAGAATAGTCCGCAGAGTAGCAGCCCGCCTAGTACCAATGCGAGCGTAGAGGAGTCTATGGATGAGAAGAATAGCAAGACCTCGACCCTCAAAAAAGATTGCGGGCCAGTTGAGGTTAACGAACCGTAAGGCGCCAGATGCATTTTCACCACGCATTAGCAGAATATTACAATCTTTCAACTCTTCGGACAAGGTCATCTAGTTATCTTATACGTCACACATGAACCTATCACCCACAAAAACTCCGTTTCGCCTGTCATTTTTTCTTTTCTTTAGCGAGTCGAGATTAGCACTGGTTCATGAAAATTATCATAGCACTGCAAATAACGCGAGAGATGGGAAGATCTCGGGTCTGTCGATACGAGACTCTACGACATACAACATAGTAGCACATAATATCTGGTTTTAATGGTCTCTTTCCGCATCAACGGATTCCCTTCTTACGTGTCTTTTTTTTTTCCCTCGCAAATTGGTTTATTGGTACTTGCGGCTGGCTTGGGAGACGGCCATCGGCTCCCATTTATGCGGGTTTAGGCGTACGGTGTTTGGGGGTGTAGGTTGGGAAATGCGGGTAAATCATAAGGCATTTTGGAGCGAGGTCTCGGAAGGAAATAAAGAGTGGCTAGCCGCGCTAGGAACAAGCCGACGGCCAGACGAGCACACAAAAAGCGAGAATTTACAGAGCAGCGTTTGTATTTTTCTATCTACTCGACAGCATGTGTTTCCCGTTCACGGGTGTTGAAACGTAGATGTGCCTAGATATGACACATAGAATCAAATGCTTTATTCAATAGGTTAAAAAGTTGGGGTAGCTATTCTGTTTGCTTTGGTGAAGTGGTTGTTTTGTGACTTGAAAAGAGGCGGTGGCTTTTGGGTAATAAATTGAAAAGTATAGCGCTGTGCCGTCGGTAGCCAGACGCTAAGGTGATAGGTAGGGCAAGATAGGGGGGGGGGCTGGTACATTATTTCTATTAATGTTGGGCTCTAGGCTGGGGGAAACCGTATGAGGATCTGAAGGATCCAGGTGAAACAGAGGCGTACGGCCACAAACGTCACTACCTGTTATTGTATCTGTTATTGATGGAGAAATGATGTACTCGGCTGGCTAGACTGGCTAAGGCTGGCGAGTTGGGTAGGCTGGCCTGGGTACCACGATAGATATTGAGGAGGTATCGTATTGGGGGTTTGTGCTACTTAGTATTACATAGCGCAACGGTACACAGATAGATAAAGAAGTATATGTGTATATGTATGTCTAAGCCTGAGATAACCCATCTATGTAATACCTATACACGTATACCTACTATTTTTTTTTTCTTCAGCCCTACGTTGGAGATTGATTCACTAGACTTGGTAAAACAAGACTAGATTAAGCTAGACTTATACTATTTACCTACGAATGTACGTATATACGTATCTTGGTTGATGCCGGGCATACATACATACGTACATAGTACATATGCTATGCATGTACAGTCCGAGACCCGGAAATAGAATCGGGAGGTTTTACTTTACATGCCTTGGCCTACCTAGGACCTAGGTAGGTAGGTAGCCTACATAAGGGCACTGTACAATGTACGTTGATCAAAGTCTTCTATATGGATGGACCTACATAGGTACCTACCTTTATCTAATGCAATGTAGGTGAGTGGATGGGGCAGTATACATTATACATGCATGTAACCCTACCGAGCCCTCGTCTCGGATCCTTCCTCCAATTCCTCGTCTTCCGGCTTCCGACGGACAGCCAGCCCTACCGGTACTGCGAATTGTACCTGGTATGTCTATACTAAGCAAGCAGTGGATGTTGGCTGGTTGGTTGGTTACATGGAGGTTCCAGGCGGGTCGTTAAAACGCCTATAAACTTAGGTACGGGGTGTTAAATGTTTTTTTAGTAGATGCGCCGGTGGAAGACCTACATATGTAGGTTAGGCGCCTCTTAATATTCTCGTATTCTAGGTAGACTTTATGACGATGGGGGAAATTACATACCTAGATCTAGCGAATACTCTCCTGGGATGGGTAGTCGGTGACTAGCTTGATATGTACTTATTCTTCGACATCCGTGGAAACAAGTACTAGATAAGGAATCGGCCTGGCTAGGCATATCCGTGGCGAATAGTGGCGATGGAGAGAGGAGATAACTAACTTGTTCTAGTCGGATATCTCGAGTTTATGAATACCTAGGTAGTCTAGGCTTTCTTCCAACCGGTCTCGTTACCGTGCTGCTTGCTTACGATCTATCGCGTTTAACATACTAACTACCTGTTAGGTTAAGTCGTGGAAGAGTCATCGCTGCCTGGCATACCTCTGCATATTGCATATTGCATCACCTGATATATGAGATATCACGGCGCACGGCGGGACGTTGGTGAGCGATGCAGCGAGGTGATATACGTCGGATGCGGTGCTGCCTTCGACGGCTACATGGTATGTCGTGTTACCATTCTTGAGGTCGTGTAACATAGGTAGTAGTCATCATATCTGCCTAAGGTATATACCGTGCCGTCAAGGTAATGTGTCTATATTTAGTTTCTTCAGCACCTAGGTAGTTATACGTTATTGTTGCCTTCGGGGACTGATCCGCTCCAGAGCGTGCCGAGCCGCGGATGTGGAGTTGGGTATAAGATGCGTATACGCAGGCAGCAACGTTATCGATATTAGATATGTCTTTCGGGGCTATGGGTTAGTATATAGGATAGAATACGGAGATCTCGGGGTTAGGGTAGGAAATATTCGATATATGGTAAAGATAAAGCGGGCAATACCTGCAAGCTAATATCTAATTACCTCTAGTTACCTGCATTTCAACTCACTTAGATTATAGTCTAGTTATAAGTCAAACGCTATATACTTCTATAGACGCAGACTTTGCTGAGTCTTAAACTCAATAGTTAACCCGCTTCGATTTATTAATATTAAATACTTGTGTGCCTTCTAGTTGTTAGAAAGACTAAAGGGGTCAAATCTTCCGAGTGGTTAAGGGGTTGGTTGCCTTATACCACGAATGGCAGTCTCAATAATTTTTTTAATAAGTCATGGTAATGTTTAGACTTATGTCAATACCTGTAATGCTCTAAGATGATATAATATATATCAGTTCTTATCAATCGTCGTTGTTACCCGCGTGTCTAGACTATTCTCTAAGCCGGCTCTATTGTTCTGGCTTTCAGACAAGTTAAGCCCCTAACTAATTCCTAGGCTCTCTTTAAGATAACATAATAGTAATTTATGTTATTTAAACCCGAGTCTTTTATCTTTATATTTGCCTCTAAAGATTGTCTAGTTAGTAATTGGTTCTTAGCTGTTATTGTTATGATCCAAAAAGGTTAAAGCCTAACTAGTCGTTTTTCTTACTGGGTATATCTCTACTAGATGACCCTTTGAATATAATAGAAGTGATGCCATAGACGAATAAGACCTGTTTATATAATTACCGATGATAGAGTTGCTTAGCAGAGCGGGGAAGGAAACGTCAGGCTTGCATGTGTCCAAACGATACGGATTGGGTCTTCTAGGCGTATGGCTTTATAGCAGAGACCGTGAATCTGGAAGTAGAGGACGACGATGACGACGATTTGTTGATGGTTATGTGTGAATGCCAAGGTGCTTTAGAGACTGCTATAGACCCTAATCCTCAAGGCAATCCTAACTTTAGTCCAAGAAGCCCCCTAGTCGAGCAGATAGGGAGTATAGTTGAAAAGAATAACATGATTCCTGACCTCCCTCCCTATGATCATTTCGATGAGATAAAACTAGTTGTTGAATGGTTAACTTAGCTACATTAGAAGTTCAAACAAGTAGGTCATCGGGAGGTTGATCTCCCTCCTTTAGATGCTATCTCAGCAATTAATAGGCTCTGCACGAAGGAAGTTATTCCTCCTCTAGATTCGGATCCTCAACCTCAACCTCAAGATGCTAGCGAGAAAGTCTTCTTGGAGACTGCTGAGCGTGTAAACCTGGTTGTCCAACTCGCCTTCGTCTATGTACCCAAGCCTAGAAGACATTTAGTGTTATGTGATATCTGACTCTATCCAAAAACATCTTCGTAGACTAGACTTCCACTGTAAATCACCTACATATGAAGGATGTGTTAGTACCCCGCGACACAGCCGTTAACATAGCAAAGAGAAACACTAGTGAGTGAGTTTTCGCAAGTGAAGACCGTATCTCGTCAGCTTTTTATCGTTTATACATAACTCCACGGTGATCAAGTACTCTGCATATCGCAATCCAGACTAACAAGTCCTACACAACAGCGGTCGAACCGTAGAAGATGAAGTTGTATGTTAAATGTCGCTTGTCCGAGAAGTAAGACAGAAGTGGGCTTCCGTTGTCCGTAGCCAATCATACGACAGCTACCCCGGACTCGGATGGTCTTCAAGAGCGAGCGTTCCATACGAAAGCCCAGACCAACGACATAATTGTCGTAGTACTGGCACTTCCTATTCGGGATTCGGACTCGTCGTCAAACCGCTCCGACGGATTCTAATGCTTCTTTTTGAAACCATGAGCAACTGGCAGGTCACACCGCCGTACGTAGAGAGTGTCGAGGTCATGTATCTTTCGTCGCTAACTAGCGAGGAATGATACATGCAATCCCGCCTTGAGCACGACTCCTGAGCGTGGATATGGCGAGCTCGGGGTGGGTGCAGTGCGGTGTTGCATCCAGCCTCGTTGCTACCAAGGTCAACGTAAGACAATAGAATAGGGATTCATATGTATGTATGTATATCCATATAAACACAGATAGACGTAGAAAGCATATATAAATCTTAGACTGCTGCTATTCTCTACCATCAATATTACCATCATCATCATCATCTCTCAACTCATCCTCAGAAGCACTTAGACCCATAACTCAACAAATAGGGGCATATACAAGTCCCATCACAACACCACAACCCCCGCCAAAATGGTCAAAGTCCTCGTCCTCGCCGCAACAGGCAAACAAGGCGGCGCCACCGTCCGCGCGCTCCTCGCCTCCAAAGGCCAACACTCAGTGCGCGTGCTAGTCCGGGACGCCTCGTCCGCCAAAGCCCAGGCCCTCGCCGCTCTAGGCGCCGAAGTCGTCGTCGGCGGCGACTGGGCGACGGACGTGGCCGCGCTAGACAAGGCGCTCTCGGGAGGCATCGAGGCGGTTTTCTTCGTGTCGGTCCCGTCGTTTACGGACCTGGAAGTCGAGCTCAAGGGCGCGACCAACGTCGTCGAGGCGGCGAAGCGCGCGGGCTCCGTGCGCCACGTGCTGTATAGCAGCGTGGGGAGCCTGGATAAGTACCAGACGCTTAAGGGGTGGGATCGTACGCCTTTCTTTGCGAATTATTGGATCGCCAAGGGTATGCATATCCCCCTTTTTCTTATACTTCTTGGGCTACTATTCTGGGTTTACGGGATGGGTAACAATGCTAATGCAAATAACGAATATAGCCAAGACCGAAGACCTCGTCAAGAACGGCGGCTTCGAGCACTATACCATTCTGCGCCCGACCGAGTTCATGTCCAACTACACCGGTGATCTGGCGCACTTCCAGGTCCCTGATCGTAAGTCATCCATCTCATCTACATACATACATACATACCTACCTACCTATCTTCCTATCCCCACCTAGCTCAAACAGCAGCCGACAACATCATATACATACATACCTAGGTACATACGTATACTTACATCCCCTCCCCAGTAATCAAAGAAGGCGTCCTACACACCGCGCTCCCCGCCAGCTACCTCCTCAGCGAGATCGACGTAGACGACATCGGGCGCGTAGCCAGCGCCGCCATCGCCGCGCCCAGCACCTTCGCCTCGGGCCGGCGGGAGCTGCACCTGACGGGGGAGGTGCTCTCGCTGGGCGAGATCGTGGCGCAGCTGAGCGCCGTCCTGGGCAAGCAGCTCCGCGTCAGCACGTGGACGCGGGAGGAGGCCCTCGAGGCCCTCAAGACCCGCGAGATCGTCGCCGGACAGCTCATGCGTCTCGATTCCGACTGGCCTAACCCGCCGGCCGACGATTTCGGCCTTGGGTTTAAGACGTTTAGGCAGCATTTGGAGGAGCATAAGGATGAGATTAGGGAGTTGTATAAGGCGGTGCCTTAGGTTGTTGTTGTTGTTGCTGGCGGTGCGGTGGTGGTGCTTGGGGAGATGTGGGGAGAGTGAGATTGGTGGTTGTTCAGGGGGTATGAAAGGAAGAGCCCCGACGTAGAATAGTGCTATCTATAGATTGGACTTTTGATACTATTATTATATTAGTTTCCTTTCGAGGCTGGAATATATATTGGGTTAAGTAACTAAGTACCCTTTTCTTTCTTTCGGTGATATCGTGTAGTTAACGCATTACGAGAATATACATCTTTCCTAGCATCCATGGAAGGATCTCTCTGAATGATAGGAGTAGTTAAGAGAATAGTACCTTGGTTCCTCAAATTAAACTCTAGGTAATAACATATACGCGAGCCACAACATATCAAAACCCACAAGACACGGCATAATACTGGAGAGTAGCCTAAGATTTCATACCCGTCATTCATGACTATTCTAATACATCATACCATCTACCGCATGCAAGAAATCAACAAACGCCAGTGGGTATACAACGCCCGCTATGAGCATGCACTGTATCATCACCAACTCCCCCCACACCCGTCCCCCTTTACTTCCCCCCCTTCCCCGTGGCAGGAGCAAAAAAGACAACCTGAACGGTAATATCATCCCTGATATCCCTCGAGTTCGGGTACCTAAACGTCAGCGCGCCCTGCACCATATTCTCATCGCCACCTCCTAGGCCATTGCGCACGAGATGCACAGCCGCGTTGCTATCCTGCAGCGTAAGCTTTTGCTCCTCGAACCGGCACTGCTGCTTGCGTCCAAGAACCACCTCGCCAAAACCGTCCGACCTGGGCTTCACCGGCTTTCCTTGTCCCTGGGCCTGCCACTCGATCCACTTCCCCACCAAGTCGACAGCCTGCTCGCTTGTCATCGCGTCCCATAGGCCATCCGTCGCCAAGATTACAAACGAGGGTCCAGATTCCGGGATCTTGGTCGTGGTGACCAGCGGCTCGGCAGTCAGGTACGGCCCTTCCTTGTAAGCGCCGTACCGCACTGCAGACGGCAAGCTTAGCCCGTTGTAGTAATCGCGAAGGGTCTCCTTCAGCGCCGCGGGCCACTTCCACATGCCGTCGCCGAAAGTCCGGGACGGCTGCATGCCCCACACCCGGCCACCCTTGACTATCTCGGGCTCGTCGGGGAACTGCGCCTGGATGCGGGCGATTTCGCTCGGCGTAGCCCCCGTGCAGTCCGTCGTAAGTTCCGTAGCAGCCCACTTGCCGTCCGCGGTTTTCTGGCCGAGCACCGCTCGACAGTCTCCCGTCGACGCTACCGTGAGTTTTCTGCTCTGCGGATCGAGGAGCGCTAGGAGGGCGCATGAGCCTGCGTACGCGGCCTCTAATCTTCTAACTTTCTCTGCAAAGGAAAGATTGCCGTTGATAGTTGCTACGGCGGACTTGACCAGGGTGTCATCGAGGGTTGTAAAAGCCGATTTTATGGCTTCTTGGATGTCCTCATCGCTGAGCTGGTTTCCGTCCTTGGGTTTGATATTACCGAGAGCATTCCGAACGTATGGGATTAGTTGCTTGGTCAAGAGATTTGATAACTGCCAGCCGCAGTGCCCATCGAAAACACCCCATGTGAGCCAGTCCTCGTTGCCTTTATCAAGGGGATTAGAGAAGCTGCCGTGTATAAAAGCATCTTCGCAAGGACTATTAGAAGCCAATTGAGCACCGTCGTATCTCCTCACCGGCTTCCCTCCCCCAGGTACGGAGAAAGCATGCTCGTTTAACTGGCGCGTGACGTCCTCCGAAGTGGGAGTGGGGCTATAGGCAATCTGATCGGACAAGCCCAGCTTATTTAGGTCTGGAATACCGTTGCCCTTGTCATTTAAAGCACTAGATGCTTCTGCGGGACCTGGGGTCTGGGTCTGGGTCTGGCTGCTACGAGAGGTAAACCAGTACACAGTTGTAGCTGATGCTAGTCCTGCAGCGAAGGACACAGCTACGGTACCGGTTGAGAAGGGTTTAGCTTGTGCTCCGGTACTTGCAAAGCGTGCTAGGGGTCTCGATGTGAGATGAGCCAGGCGTGTTATCGTAGTGAGACGAGGCCGTTGACGAAGTAGCTGGGAGAAGAACATGTTTGCAGATAATGCATGTAGCTGAGATTAATATGACGTAGGGATTAACTTGTAAGAATAGAACACCTTTCTACCTTTAGTTCTATTGTCTCAAACTAAATCTTGGAGTTGGTTAACACAAGAGAAGAGGATATTGGTGAAGCTGCTTTGAATATCGGTGAGAGAATGCATGTACTATGCCTCCTCGATACGATTTATTCTCCGATGTAATTCCTTAGACATATGTCTTTTATAAGTTATAATATGTCAGCTTATCAATCTATGATATAATAAATTGAAATTGAAATTTAATATAACTTTTCAGAGAGAAGTATTATTATATGAATTGAAAAATACTTATAACAAACACGCCGTTTGCTGAGGTCAAAATACAAGTACTTAACCTGGAATACATGTACACACCTAAGCTAAGCTTTAGCTTGATGTTGTGTATCCTTCAAAGGTACCTAAAGCAAATAGGAAATCTTAATGGTAACATACCTTAGTCATTAGTCACCCAAGTAGCCAAGATCCAAGATAGTAACCCTCTAACCGACAATCCCGATTCTGGAGTAAATCATGGGGAAGCTGGGAAGTTGAGACACGGGACGGCATTACCTACAAACAACCGAGGTACCCACTTAATATAGTTGGACAATAGGCGGGGACCTTAGCTGCTTAGGAACCTCTCTCTTACCTCTCTTACAAGGAATGTAACCCGCTTTTACCTATCAACCTATCAAAAGAAAGCCATTCTACTAAGCCAAGGTAATAGTAACCGTCTACCGTCTTAGTATTTATACGTAGGAGTTCCAATTCTCTGGGTTGATATAGATAGACTTTAATATTTTATATAACTAGTATATATATATATATACTAATAGACTAATAACAACGTAAAAGGCGGGAGAAAGAAAGAAAGAAAGATTACAGCAATGGCTGACACAATCAAACTCCAATATGCCGGCCGCATCGCCACTATCACCATCGACAACGAAAAGAAGCTCAACGCTCTCGGCTTCCAAGGCTACTATGCAATAGCCAAAGCATTACGCGAGATCGCCGCGCGCGATGACATATACATCACAGTACTAACAGGCAAAGGCCGATACTTCTCCGCGTAAGTCTACCTCGTCCATATACCAATCTACCCGATACACGGCCACACGACTTACAGCTACTCCAGCGGCGCAGACGTCTCCATCATCACCAAAAAGCCCGACGCCAAGTTAGACCCTTCCGAGGCCGACGCCTACATGCGCTGGCTGCGGGACTTCGCAGCCAACAACCTGAACCTAACACGGGCGCTATACACGCACCCCAAGATCCTAATCGCCGCGCTGAACGGGCCGGCACTCGGGCTCTCAGCAGCCATGACCGCGCACGCCGACTTCGTGTACTGCGTGCCGCACACGTTTCTGCTAATGCCCTTCTCGTCTCTAGGCCTCGTCGCTGAAGGAGGCGCTTCGCATGCCGTGGTGCAGCGGTTAGGCATAAGCAAAGCCAACGAGGCGCTTATCCAATCCAAAAAGATCCCGTGTGAGGACCTCGTGCGCACTGGGTTTGTAAACAAGGTGTTTGATTGCGCCAAGGGGGATAGCGACGGATTTTTGAAGCAGGTTATGAAGGAGATCGACGACACGATGGGCGATCATTTGAATGGCGATAGTTTGCTGGGTATCAAGGCGTTGATACAGAAGCCGTATAGAGATACCCATGAGAAGCAAAATGTGGCTGAGGTTTTCGCCGGCCTGGACAGGTTCATCAGTGGAGTTCCGGAGCAGGAGTTTGAGAAAATCGCGTCGGGAAAGAAGAGACATAAGTTATAAATAACCATTAGGTATATTAGATGTTTCCATTTTCTGTATAGCTGCTCAGTTCTTTTTATGGGTATCATGCAAGCAGTCCGAATAGCAAGCTTGTCCTCTTCCAATATTCTTGAGATGCCTTTTCTAGTCTGTCTTTAGCAGTACTCTCTAATCCAGTTCTATTAAACACCTCCTCTGTGAATTCCTTAAACGAGTCTTCCGAGTAGACGTCGGTGCCAAGACATTGTTGGAGAAGGTGAATATCATATAGCCATTGAATGAGAACCTCCTTGCTCTTTTCAGGCTTCACCTCGGTTGACTCTTCCTTCGCTGATGGACCCTCATTGGTTTCTGTAGTCGTTTCTGTAGGGTTCTCCTCTGTCCCCTCTGTCTCTTCTGTTTCTTCCGCTGATTGCTTTTCCTCGCTTGCCTCATCTAATTCTTGGCTGTTTGCTGTTTCCGAATTGCTAAGTTCCTTGCGCCATACTTCGACAAGTTGTCTACCGAAGATTCGCTTCAGAACATTCACAGCAGTTGGCGTCCAGAGGTCCAAGCCGGCGTCTCCCATGGCCATGATGAGATTTCGTAAGAGTTTAAACGTGCCGGGGGACGGTTGAGTCGGCAAGGCAGGTTCCCCTTCCCATAGAGCTCGTCCAGCCACCCGTTTGCGTGTCAGAGCTGTTGAGGCGAACTCTTCAAGGGGTGATATTGAAACATAAGCTGCGAGCTTCTCATGTAGGGATGGAACGCTTTCTAAGCCAAAAGACTTGACACCTTCAAGCTTAGGCAATCCGCCACGAATATCCCTAAGAATCCTTAAAATGTACATTGAAATAGGGCCATTGTCTGTGCTCTCTAGTTTGGACTTCCAGGCGGTTGCCAGGTGCTCATTGAGATCTTGAAACGCGGCAGTGATGGCTCCATTAAGCTTATTTTGTAACAACTCGGGATCGTCTTTGCTTAATAGTTTTTGGCGCTCTGTAATAACATCTTCGTCCTCTATCTCATCTACATCGTTATCCCAGCGTTGACGTTTAAGCTGTTCGATCGAATCACCAACATTGTCTATAAGATGGTGCCACGATTCGTAGCTTGTGACTACTCGGGCCACCGCATCGTTTCGTCCGTACAGGCGAGATGTAACTTCGTGAGTGATCTGGTTAGCACTGCTCGAGACGTCCATTTCCAACGTCTCTTCATCCCATAAGCTGCGACGCTGGTCGGTAGTACCAGGCTGCCATGCGTCGAGCGTCGCAGTGACCTCGGATCCGACAAGCTTGAGCTTAGCCACTTTGTTCTCAAGAATTTGTAACAGTCGATCGTCAATAGCCTCTCGTAGTCCGTTGAGTAAAACAGATGGATCGAAACCCCTGGCTTTTCCACCATCCTTGATCCAGTGCTGAAGAACGCTTGTTCGCAGATCCACAATGGTCTTGAACTCGGAAACGTGTTCGAGGGTACTCTTCAGACCCCGGAGGAGAGTCTCTCCACCTTTAGTCGCCCAGTTCGTGAGCATTTCTCTGGCCTGTTTACCCTCCAAGTCGTCATGCCGGATGAATGGGGTGAAAAATTGTATTTCATCTCCGCACCATTTCTCGAATATATCCAGCCGGAGACCCTCTAGCCCCTGAAGCGACTCATCTGCCAACAAGTGCTGCTTTTTAAGTTGGAGTAATGCGTCCGAGAGCTTATTTGGTATCAAGGCTTGGACGTCTAGTAAAGTCCTCGTATACAAGTCGAGACCTTTTAAGACGCTATTAGCGTCTCTTTCCTTCTCGTGGTCCCCGAGGTCGAATTCGCATGTTATAGCTTCTGCTCTAACACTTAGAAAATGACGCAGGATGTCTCTCGCACCAGAGCTGGAGGCCAAGCTATATGCAGTCAAAGCCTTTAAAATATCACCTCGATCGACCTCATCACTAATCTTCTCCAATACCTTCTCGACTGCCCTGAGCAGTCTCCTCCGCAAGCTACTCAGGCTCTTCTTCGCTCCGTCAAATATGGCCTGAATATCCTCGCCAACATCGTTATCGGACCCGAAGCTCGAGACTAGCAATCGCTTCAAGACGAGGACCTTAGCTGCTAGAACCAACCGATCTCCTCTGCCCTCTCCACTCTGCTTCAATAGGCGCCCGATAGTAAGTCCGCACGCATTCAACAACTTAACCCTCGCGATCTGACTTAATTGCGCCTCGGTATCCTCCCTGCCGCGAAACTTACTCAGCCCCGAGACCTTTGCGCCGACAATGGTGCGCCCACACATACCACCCATATGGTTTAGGATATCCTGGGCAGCTAGCATGTCCCCCCGCATCTGCACGATAGTGTCTGCTGTTCCTAGCAACTCTCTATAACTGTTTCCGACCTGAGTGCGCAGACGCGCGGATTTCTCGTCGATCTGGACATGGAGGCTTTTGTGAATGGCGCGGATCTGGGGTAAGGTGTGCGCGGCGAAGACCTGGGCCGAGTCGGTAAACGAAGAAGTGTCTGGGGCCGCCATTGTACGTCCGTAGGAGAGGTCGCAGGGTAGCGGGGGTTTAGAGAGTTGTTTATCGCATCAGATTCCCGGGGTTTACCAGGTTGGATTTTCTGGGTCGATGTTGTCTTCGTTTCGCATTTAGGTTTAAACTTTGCGGTGTTGGCTTTTTTTGACAGCTTGACAGCTTTGTGCTTGCTCAGGATGGATAAGTACATAGGTACCTAATGTACTTTTCTTAGGTACATACGTAGGTACTCTTAGGAGCTAACAGGATTCCATTACGTCGGCTGCTCACTCTACCATTTCTACCAATTCTATCTTACACTATCAGCACATTTAATGGCTACAAAACATAAAGAAAATGAGAGGAATTTTGTATAATTTCATAAGTATAGTCTCAGATGCTAAGAATAATCTCACTATATACTATCGTTACTCCTGATACCAATACCAATTGTCACAACACGACGAAGTATAATACGGAGAGTGAACTAATATAGATTAAACACTTCATTTTTATAAATATTTATTACTATCATAAAAGTTGCATTTCTTATGGAGTCTTCTCTTAGATTAACTTTCTTGATGAAACACTCTAATGACAGCCAAATCAAGAAACAAGTGTCACGAGCGCGAGCAACATCTTACTTAGCCATGGCAATTAATGCCCAATGTACGTTACTTTCACATGTCTTCTATCTACTTAAATCTCCGTATACTGTGTATCTGCATCGGTGACTGTACCTGGTTTATAAAGACTTTGGAAGCAGCTCTGATAGGATCAACGAGGCTATCGCATTATAAACCCACGGCGCCACAATAGCTGCAATACTACGGACCCAGTATTGATAGAGGTTTAAACCCGAAAACCTGAATACATATGAGTATTAGATGTTAAATTCTGTCAACTTTTATAAGTGAAAGTGTTATCTATGTCATGTTCCACGCGACTTCAAAACGATCTTGGCAGTCTGGGCGATATATAGAAAGAGCTTGCTCAGAGGTCTAACAAACAGAAACGTTGCAATTTGTGATAGTGGCGCTCGAAATGGCTTGCTTGATCTTGACGCATGCTCCTCCAGTTATATAGTATATCCAGCCATTTGGAAATACCGCGCGTGGAATTAAATGTCCTACCTTTATGCTGTACTACCGCCCTCATCCGATAAATAGAATCGTGGCATAGATAAGCTAAAACCTGAAGGCGCCGTCGTGCCGCATTTGCGTTTTAGACTAATTTTCCTTTGGCGATCGATGTATGATCTACAGGGCAGAGTCTACGGATCCGTACACCGACGTCAGAATATAAGATATAAGCATCTGGTCTCAAGAGTCCGGATACTGGTCCGATGTCTGGAGTACCTAACATAGACTCTGGGTACATGTATTTAGCGTCCCGCGGAGAAGCACCCTTACTAGCTTAGACTAACAACGTCATCTCGCGCTATAGGGCCTCCTGATTTGGTAACGGGACCTTGCTAATGCGTTAGTCGTCGAGTCTATCATTAAAGACTCGTGATATTTAAAGGCATCGTGAACAATAGCGTCTTACAGTAGCGAGAGGGATCAGCTCGACGAATTCCGGGGTCCCCAGATCGGTAAGCTATTTAGAGTTATTCTTTATGTTCATCAGCTCATTCGCAATCCCCCCGCACTATTAGTAAAACCTCAGACAAGACAATCACAAGTCTCCAATATCTAAGACGTGGGCGCTGATTAATGTTAAATTCTGCAATGAAGGCCCACCTACGCTACTATGGCGTATGGATGTTGCATATGAAGGTTGGTTTGCTAGTATGCGGGGGAACGAATCAAGATGTCTTGATAAGAATACGGCTGAAAGGGTTGTTGAATTGTACTATGCAATATGGAGTTTGAGATGCATTAGGCCAATTTCTGTTTGACCAGTTAGTCTTTATAAAGACCCTTTGTTCGCGCGTATGATGTAAAATCATGTCTAGAATCCTGCAGCTAGTCTTATACATACATCAAAGTGTTAATATTGGGTAGGTAGGGTTGCGGGTATGCAAGATACAGTTGGAGCAACAAGCTTTGGATTTCCCAAGATGAAGTAAAGATAGCGCGCCGTGTCGAACCGCTACAAATTGGTACGCTCAGGGACGCGGTAGTTCGGCATGTTTGCGTACCTAGGTAATTATATTAGATTGATGAGATGGATGAGTTGGCGGGATGCGACTCGCGACACTTTGGCACCAATCGCACTATATAGCTCAAAGTCTTCGGCGAGAAGGTAGAATAAAAGTAAGCTCTTATTCATAGAATCGCAATCTGCCTTGCCGGAAGATGAGTTTGATACGTAGATATAACATCCCGGTATCTACCGCAGACATGACTCATGATGCTCTTCAAAGCCCGACACCCTTCGACGATGATTTCTATGAGAATGCTCAGGGTTCCCCACAGAATCTTGCAATAAATTGACTTACAAGTAATGGTTGCATGGAGTATCCGTACAATGCTACCCAAACGTAGCATGGGCTAGAACTGACTTACTATTACGGTAACTTGATAGCTAACGTAGCTTCGAGTAGCTTGAAGGCATTTGTTTTACAGCCTGATTTCCGCATTCCCGTCAATGGGAAATTTGATGTATATTGAACCTACAAAGTAGGAATGGCGTTTTCGGGCTTTGGCTCCGAATACGACTTGGCCTTTTCTCAATTTGACAAATCGTAGTCTCCATGGTTGGAAATAGCCTCACTAATGATGATCTGTGAGCAAGCCTGGTATATAGTCAATATTTCAGGGTCCTACCCCCAACAAACCCCCAAGCCCACCGTTCTGCAAGGGCGGAAAGTGGCGATGGCAAGACATGCTGTGGTTCCCCGTAGGAGACAGGAAGGGCGGCTTGAAATACGGTGAAGTTGATTTGTGGGGGGTACTTGGGTGTTTAGGTGCCTTGATGCCTTGGGTACCACGCCTGGGCATCCGGTATCCCACGAGGCAAAGATGTAAATAAGTTAAGGGGTATCAGATCAGCCGATCAGCTACCACACACCACACACCACACACCCGTACTCTTTTAACAACGTAAGTCCATTGACAACGCATACATAAAGACAAACCCTGGCTTGGTATTTGTATTTGGGATATACAATATAGCCTAGATCATCAGAAATAATCTAAAAAGGAGTTTCTTTCCTTTTTGGGTATATTAATCGGAGTTGAGGGGTTTCAACGACTTTGGTGCTTAAGCGCATATAAAAATGTAAAAGGTGACGAAGTGACAAAATGTGCGTCGATTCAATATCGAAGAAGCTGGAAGTTCTGGATCTGAGCCACTTCTAGTCGATTTTAGGTACGTATTAAGGTACTTCGGTAGCATTGCCTTATCAGCAAGCATCTACATACATTCCAGTGGTTACAGCGCTTCAGCTCCAGCATGTTGGATGTTAACGGACCCCACCTTTAAAAGATACATGATACTTGTACTTATACGAAATACATGGTACGAGGTGTCCCTGAGTTGGCGTGAGTCTAAGAATTGTCTAGGGGAAGGAACTACGAAATACCTGACTCAAGCTAGAACAAGTGACTTATCTTGATTCTTACTTGTTCCCTTTTATCTTTTCCCCCGAATCAGGCAGGCCACATTTTGCTCTATTACAAGACCCTAAGTCACTAAATCAAGATGAGAGGGTCAGTCGGAATCCTGTTCGACAAGTCAGAACGATAGATATGTCACCCCCCGTGTTATCTGCTTGGCTCGCTTGCAAGGTAGTCCGTTCTAGTCTTGGCTGTCATCAATATCCGTTGTTCCCGTCCTCTTAGATTATTATTATTACCTACGTACTCATTCAGATAGCTGTATAATAATATATTATCCCTACCTCGTCTCTCTCATCATCGTAATCTTCTATTACGTTCCCTTTGATAATACCTACATACCGCAGTACCTGTTTGATCCCGAGATATTCAAAGAGAGAAGACGTATACATCATATACATCGTCTAGAATTACGAGTTAATCAGTCGTCACAATACGAGTTGTCGTCATCATCATCCATCCATGTCCTCGTCGTACTTCCTGTAATGCCTCGTTATTCTCACCAGATTCAGCTACTCGAAGAGCTGATGCGCTTAAGAGAGGACGGATGGTAACAGTTGAAAACCCGAGAGCTGCAAAGATCTGCAAAAGCGACATCATTACTTTATATTCAGTTTCCACGTCTCTGGGTTCCTGCCGTGCATCTGGCCTGCATCTTCCGTTCGACGAGAGACTTCGCTATTACGTACGAGAATCGTGAACCCCTGGCGGAGCCTGCACACGACCACCAATCCAATATTTACTTAGCGTACGATTCCAGTTACGGTAGCTGGTTTCCGATTCGGCGGACGCGACGGGAAAAAAAAAGAACTACAGCGAACTACATCACACTTAGATCCACGTTCCTTGCGGTCCTTGCGGCCTGCGGCCCCGCCAGACTGATTAATTGCTATAATAGGGTAACGGATATTTCCTTTTAGTAACGGGAACTGTTTAAAAAGTCGGCTCTAGCTCGACCTCGTGTAATGATGATGGTTCCGAGATCTTTTTTATACTCACGAAAACAAACCGTGTCCCCAACCTCCCTAACGGCTGCGACACCGAAGGTATCTTCACCTAAGAGAAAGGATGCACCATCGACGGAGAAGGACGTCGCCTCTTCTAAGTCCGTCAACACTAAAATAAACTCAAAAGAGCGAACCATGGGTAAGCGGAAAGGTTTACAACCAGATAGGTTGTCTCCACTAAGCGGGAGCCCGCCAAGTGCGACAACGACAAATGTTGTCGCGCGACCAAATACCCCTTCGAGCGCCGTACAGATCCCCATTAGATCAAAGCATGACACCGCGCATTCGCACAGGCCGCGACTCCATACGCACGCGCATCGAGCTAACTCTTCTCCAAATCGAAACTCTCGAGATGTACACTCACCTGATGCTATCCCGCCGTCGGTGGCGGCATTGCTTGCCATCACTACTATTCCCCCACCTAAAAGACGTGGGGGATCACGACAAAGGCAATCTAGGGACTCGTCTAGAGATTCACGGATGACGGTAAACTCGATTGTACCTCGGTCTCAAGTATCAGAGAAAGAGTTAAGCCGGGAACTGAGTGAAGAATTCGCACAAGATTTAAGCGATATCAGCTTCACGTCTTATGGTCGCAGCCCGATGGAAGTTTTACTCAGCCCGCCGGACGAGCTCGACGAGGATGAGGCATCTTCAAATAGCGATAGCGCATTCGCATCACCATTCTCAACCCGCGCAGCATCATTCGACAGTATACCGTCTCTAGGCGATTCGTTTGGAACTAGTCTAGTTACTTCTATCGATTCTCCCGTTACCCCACGCGGGAGAAGGATACGACCGCCTCGACGGTCGCTAGAGCCGGTGTCTTCACCTCCTGGTCAACATTTAGAACATCCGCTTTCTACTAAGAGTACCCTGGACGTTGACGAGCTTGATTTTAGAGTTTTCACACCAAAACCAAGCCCAACCGAGCAGAAACAGACTACTGGGCTCACACCACTTAAATCCGTCTTCAAGTCGAATTTGACGGCGTCGCTTCGTGCATTGCGTTCTGCCGCCCGATCATTATCTAGTTTCACTTCTTCGTCGATACCTCCAGATGATTTCCTTACTAGATCTATACTCACAATCGACCCGCGAGTCCCATTCACCGACGAGAGAATGCCTCCCGTCCTAGGAGAAGAACCCAGCGAAGCCATGCGTCGTTATCTAAATCCGACCAGCGTACGGCCAGAATCGCGCGTACGGTCAACATTTCGCAGTTATACAGCATCTATTCAGATGCAAACCTATAAAGTACAACGATCAAGGAGTACCCCGGCAGCTAGTCGTTCAGGCGGTCAAGCGGGCAATTCTAACAAATCACCGAACGCGTACGTCTTTCCACCGGGTCCTCGCCAGCGGGAGATTCGGGAGAACTCGGATTTCATTCGAATTGCTGTCTTAGAACACCTAATGCGCAAGCGTGGTAAATTAGACGACCAACGTGAAGGACACGCACGGTGGCTTCTACCGCCAAGAAAATCTACAACAAGACCCTACGAGATTAGACCTGATGGTGTCCCCGCGAGATGGGTTGCACTTTCACAGGACGTCATCTAAATTCGGATGGAATAGGCATTACCCGCTCGGCACTCTCCATCATCAGCATACCGCTACGATATTACATTACGATCATCGAGACAGCAAAATATATGACTACGCTAGAGCGCGCTCGTGGAGATAATTATAAATCGAATTTTGAGGGTTCAATATTGTGGGCTACCAATTTTGGCTAACAAGTGGTCGGGAGTGGATGGAGGTGAAAAGAAAGGACTTTGTCCCACATCCTACGTCAACGGCGAATACCGACAAAAGCATTAGCTTCGACTTCCACGAATCCTAGCCATTTTATTACTCCATCTTGCCGACATCGCCAGTCTAACGAGATCCACAATATCATTCTGGAATGTGCAATCTCAACAACGCTATGATACATAGTTAAGAGCTTTGTGGGGTATATTCCCTGCCTCTTTCTTTTCCCGAGTCAAGGGCATTGCCGAGGAATACTTCGACATGCGACCTAAGCGACTTGATTAAATTTTCACGACCGGGTTAGGATGGGTAGTGGTTTATTTCATCCTCTCAAATTGTCGAATTGTGTATCCCTTGGGTTGTCGCATGCACAGCACATAAGAGTGCATTATCTCGCAGGGCCTTCCAATCAATCAAGTCTATGACGACCGTGAAGCCCCGCAACATCAATTTTGGCGGCCACGAGATAGATCTTTCTCAAGTTTAGATTTCTTCTAGACCCACGAAAGATGGAACGTTCCTGAATGGTGGAACATATCAGCGGTCAGAACAAAAAATTGCGCATCCGACAATGCCATCCCGCGCTCTTTGACATTTATGTCGAAACAGAGTACATTATGCATATGACCAGTCTGGTTTTCATCGCGTAGCTGTTGCTACGTTGATATTGAGTTTCTTTCTATATTATGTACCATTACCAAAATACCCTTGGCAATTTTCTTTCCTTTTTTTCATGTTACGATTTAGTACGGATTCATGTTTGTTTCTTAACACTTCACTCACAGCATCAGGCGAGCGAATTTTTGATACGCATTTGGGAGGAGTGGGACAGCTTCTATTCTTGAACGCATTGAGGAGGCATTATTCGGATAGGTTGGGTAGCCATTGCATTGCCCGGCGTTGGACTTGAAGGTCAAATTTTTTTAATACATTGGGCAGCTTGAAGCGGCATAAATGGGGGTTCAGACACCTGAGACGTACGATTGTGCGCGCATTGCGGAAATTTAGATCCGCCCTAGAAGACGCAGGGACTTTTGGGCCACTTTGGACCCTAAAGAGGGTTTGAGACTGTATTCATCCTGCATGAGTGCCCAACTAGGAAGGAGATTGGAACAGTGATAACACGACGAGGAATTTGGTAGATCCTAGAAATCAGAGGCAGATGCACTCAGGTGCTCTAGACGGGGCGTGAGCCCTAGAGCAAAGCAAGCGATTTGCAAAACAATTTAGGTAGCAAAACTTGGGAATTTGAGGGTGCTATTTCACCCACAAATTACTATATGAATCAAATATATACACAAGTCTTTAAACACTATTAAGTGATATCGACCTACCTAAGTCAAATCTCATAGAAAGTGGACACTCACTCATAAGTCTGGAGTGGAATATGCATGTATTTATCCTACTACGGTTAATATTGTCTCAGATTAGATTCTTATAAGTGACGTAGTGAAAATACTACCCACTACATAGCTTGTGAGTGACGAGACGCAGTATACTTAGGAATTACTAGTAGTTATATTGGATTTATAGATAGATTAGGTATCTAGTGTATTTCCACTCAATGACATTACCTACTTATCACAAACACTTTGCTAGATTATATTTTCAGCAAGACTAATTACCTTGACACGCGACAACTCGGCATGTTATCTAATCGAATAAGATCTCGAATAAGAAGTGAGACATTAGTGTTACCTATGTCTCACCACGTCTCGTGTCCCCCCTTACAGTATGTCACCAACCATAATATACATACATACATACAAACCCAAAGCTTTCACAACAGGAACGCTTATGCCCTTTAGGCAATCATTCACGAGACCTTCTAAACGCGGGGTGAATATGAGTGTAAGAGATCAAAAACAAAAGTACCATATGTGAGTGCTTTCATCAAGCTACGTAGATATCAAAATATACGAGTGAGTACCTACCTAGGTACCTATACATATGCTTATCCAAGCTAGAAGATATCATTTCCCAAGCAAACTTATACTCGCTAATAACGCCCACCCAACGGACCACACGCGTCAACACTATCCACCGCGCGCGCAATTCCTTAAGCAATGTAATCCCGATACACCTTCTTAGCATCGCGGCGCACCCTCCGCCCAGCCTTACGAATACCCCTCCAGACCTTCTCCGTCGTCGCAATCTCGCGCTTCTCGCCGGTAGTCGCAGCAGCAGACCTCACATGGTCCGCCATCCAAGCAGCCCACTCCCAGGGGGACGTCGAGCCGCCGGGCAGCGAGTTGAAGTACTCCCAACCGGCCACGCCGCCGAACGTCGGGTTCTCGCCCGTGAGCTCCTGGAGAACGGGGGCCTCGTTGTCCAAGCTGACGAAGCCGTACCCGTTGGACGGGTCGGTGACCAAGCCCATGACTACTTTTTCGGCGGGGAAGCCGTCGTCGAGGATGGCTTCGTAGTCGCCGGCGCTGCTGGCGTCGCCCCATCCGTAGTAGAACTGCGCGTTGTAGAAGGCGATGGAGCTGCCGCGCTGTTGCTCTAGGTCGAAGTAGTTGAAGCCGCTGAGGTTGCCGCCGCCTTCGGTCAATGCGGAAGCTACGGGGGCGAGGGAGATGATGAAGTCGTTGCCGAAGTCCTTCTTGAGTCTGTCGATCAGCCGGATGACGCCGTCTAATGAAAAGTTCTCCTCAACATCCAGGTCCAGACCCTGCAGGTTGTAGGTGCCGATCATGTCGTGTAGTGGGGCGTAGAACTTCTCAAACGAGGCGTCGTCGCCGTCAAGACGCTGGTAGGAACCTGCGGCAGCACCGCCCAGCATACCCATCACAGTAACACCCTTGGCCTGTAGCTGTGCTGCGTCAGTCCAGACTGCGTCGAACATGGCGTTGTCAGGGGGTTCGTTGTTAAGGTGGATGGTGGCGTCATCTTGGATGTGGATGGCGGCGATCAGGACATGGGTGACAGAAACTTCAGGGGCACTGTCGACGAGCGGTAGTAGCGAGATATGCGCTGTGGCACTATTGTTGGCTTGGGTCGTCTGGTAGTAGATGACGACGCGGTGGTCGTTAGCTACTGCTGCCAAGGCACATGCCGCCGGGACGAGGAGCGGCATGAACCTCGCCATCCAGGTGGATACTTTGCAAAACAGCATCTTGAACAGCTGTTATCACCACTCTTTCTTGTCGAAGGCTGTAAGGTAAGCTGCTGGGTGCCCGTAGAATATGAGGGGCCTATAGATGTTGATTTGACTATGGCAGAGCTTCCTCTAGTCTGAGCTGCTCGGGACTCGTCTCTCTCTAAGTACCTGAGGTTTAGCTCGCAGTTCGAATAAGCTCTTGCTGCGTGGATCCTCTAGGATAGGGCTATGCATCGAGGGAGCGCAGCAAGCTACCTTAAGTAGCATCTAGAGAGGCGGTATGGCGGCTGCTCCGTTTCACAGGATCTACATAGTATATAATTGAGTAGACATGGGTAATGCCGGACGATCGGTTGAAACATTTTGTCAGCACGGGGAAGAGTTTGTCATGGCTGGCGTCGGTATGCAGGTAACCTATTTCCTGCGAACAGCTCGACGGCTACTTGCCATGATGCCTGTCGAGAAATCCACTTTGACGCGGGAGTTTATGAGGTCGACCAATAGAACGAGGTGCCTCGCGCGCAGCTAACGAGAAGGGCAGGTAGTTCATTTGGAGATCGATTGACCCCGTCACATCTGCATCTGGGCTCCTCCTGCGATAGGAAAATATAGTCGAGAGTGCTATTTATTTCTTGGTCGGACCAGGTGATGAATGCATGGCTGTCGAAAGGGTTCTATTATATCAACCAGAAGCACTCGAGTCGGGCCTTTCTAACCTTGCTCTGTAGTAATTCAGTATGTATTGCTGCCTGTTGCCTACTGCATTCGCGGAAGTACGGATGCTTCCCAACTATACCAATGCCGTAATGGTGGGATATTTAGACTTAAGTAGGTATATGTGTGTATGTATGTAGGTATGCATACATTATCTCCGAACATGAACTTCGGTCAGCATCACGTCTTTCACCGCATGTGATATGTTACCGTCTTGATCATATCGGGTATCATTATTGGCATGAGGAGAAGGTGGTGATACAATCGGTCAAGGTGACGTAGCATTGTATTAGTCCGACAGCTTTGAAACTGAAAATAGCTAGTTAATTCCGTTGTATGCTATTTATTATTCACGGCTGGGATCGATATATTCAGATTAACAAAGTCGAGCAGGAGATTTCGTTAATGATCGGGTAAGAACTAAAAATCCTCCAGGGGCGACGCTAAGTCATCTATTCTTGGATATACACTAAAGCTTCGCCCTAGCAGCCTTAGGAATATTATGTAATCTCATTGGTTCATGCTTATTTAAGGTGGGTTTTCGCGTGATCCATCTGGGGAAATCCTAACTTCTGATGTAACGACTAATTTGACCATGTAACCTCTCACCTGCACTTTCGAGTCCCTTGAATTTAGATTTTATCAAACAAACTATCACGAGAATAAACCAGGTTTAAATGTCCTTGACGATATTGATTAAGCGAGATGAAGAGGTTTGATATAAGTTGCTTTACCGTAAATCCTAATCGGCAAGCTTCTCGGCCCGTTAATGCTAAATCTAACTTGACTCGAAAATATCTTATGCTCTAGGGAAATAACGAGAGTCCCAATATCTTATAGTGCTTAAACTATCTCAGCAATGCAGATCTGCTATATAACTATTCAAACTCTACAACTTATCTTACTTGACAGATACGCACCCACGGCATTCACGGGAAGGTTATACGATAGATTTGTGACTTTTTTATTTTTTATTTTTTAGGTATTTTCACTGTAAAGGATGTGTATAAGCTTTTTGTCTTCTAAGTTATATTTGCATTTCTGGTAGATTTAGTTGATAATAATTCTGTAAATATCAGGTTTTGTATTCCTCAACAGGAACTTCAGCACAGCTCCTGTAATTGGCAACATCTAACATCTCTGCTAGATGTAGGTACCTTAGGTGTACCGAAGTGAATGGAAGTAATGTACATAAGGTAAGATCTGATGCGGCACTTGGAAGCTGCTTACTAGATTTGGTCAATTTTTATCGATAAGATGCGTTAGCTTCTAACGCTAATTTTATTGACTCACCGGGTCTGCGTCTGCGTCATTCGTCATTTGTAATTCCAGAGCTTCATTGCATATTTCAACCAGTTTGTGGCGTCGGGTGGTTTACAAAGAGCCTCAATTTATCACCTCAATTTTTTATCTACGCTGGTGCCTATTTCATCTTACCTAACTGTTTTTACTCTGCGCATTGTTTTTTATTTCTGAAATTGTTACCTCCCGTGCAAGTCCCCATGCGCCTTCTTTTGCGCCAATAATTATATATCTAAGTTTCCCAATCCCCCTTCTTTGTTCTCTTACGCCGGCACATATTGAAGCTTTGACGTAGCCCGCCTGTTATTTTCCAGATTCCCGTTTTTAGCTCTATGGCAGTTTCATTTTACCAGATCTCACCATGACGCCTACTCCTACTCATGAGGATAGACCGAAGGCAGAGTCGGACAATGCGCGGCAGTCCGACGGGTTAATTACTGAACAGACTACTACGATCGTACAGGAAGCCTCCGCTGCCGACCCTGGATTAGAAAATGGTACTATCGATATTAAAGACGAGGACTCCGCTCTGAGGAACCTTACAGCAGGCGTGCGCGATCAGGATGACCTCGAGCGAGATATTACCTTCAAAGCGAACCTTGCCTTGATCGAGGCTGAAGATAAGCGAGACGAAAAACGTATAGAGAAGGTGCAGGCCACTATACAAAAGCTCAATGCCCAGAAGAAGACGCAAGAGGAGCAGTTCCGGAAAGCAATTGGTAGACCTAAACTAAAGCAGACTCTACGAGAGAAAATCGCACGAATAGACGCAGAAATTGAACTAGCAAATAAAGACATAGTAGATTTCCGCGCTCGCATCGAGGGACGACATCAAGATAATGAACATGCCGAACACATTCAGGGTGGGAACAAGAAGTTGCCCAATGAGACTCACCGTGAATTTTTAATCCGTACCGGGAAAATCACGCCCTTTGCGAATTTCGGGGGACCTCGACCTCAGGGAGTTGAGGGAGAATTAGCGGACGCTTTGATCGACGCAGAGGACGAGGCTGCGGCAGAGCAGTTGGAGGAGCAAGATGGTTATGAGCCACAATCTCACCAAAATCTACGTGCGCCTGGGTTTGACGAGAATCCCAGTTTAGCCATAGCAGCGGCAGAGACCGAATTCTCGTTGCGCCCACGAAAGAAGCGAAGAGTGCAGCGTGATGTCGTATCATCGGATGAATTTGCACCGCATGCTTCTTCTGATGCGCTCGATGCGGATTCTATTGTTGGCCAGGAGTCGGAAGACTCCGAGCTCGAACGACCTCGTAAAAAGTCTAAGAAGGTAGCAAAGGACGACGGTAAGGTAGATCTCAGTCAGATTGACGATGGAAACGAGGCTAGTTATCAGGCTCGACTTGCAGACTGGGTGGACAGGCGTGGCAAAGCCAGACGCCAAAGGCGACAAGAAAGAAAGGAAGAAGGACATGATGAAGTTGATAGCGGAGATGAAGAAGAGTGGTTCAAACCTTCTCCAGACCATACCGACCATCACTTCGAAAACGACTTAAAGTTACCCGGCGATATATACCCTGCTCTGTTTGACTATCAGAAGACCGGGGTGAAGTGGCTAGCCGAGCTTTATTACCAAAAAGTAGGGGGCATTGTTGGTGACGAGATGGGCCTCGGAAAGACTATCCAACTCATCTCATTTGTCGCCACTCTGCATCATAGCAAGCAGCTTGACAAACCAGTCATCGTTGTGGCACCAGCTACTGTCTTGAGACAGTGGGTAAACGAATTCCATCGCTGGTGGCCTCCCCTCCGCGTGTCAATTCTCCATTCGTCTGGTAGTGGTATGCTCAATATGAGAGCTGAGGGTAAGATTGAAGATGAAGAAGAGATGTGGGATGAAAGAGAAAACAAGGGGGTTAACAAAGCTGCCAAGAAGATTGTGGATCGAGTGGTCAAACAGGGTCATGTTCTAGTCACCACCTACGCCGGCTTGCAGACGTACGGACGGATCCTAACCCCTATCGAATGGGGCTACGCAGTCTTAGACGAAGGCCACAAGATCCGAAATCCAAATAGCGCGGTCACGGTATATTGCAAGGAGTTGCGGACGCCAAATCGAGTCATTCTTTCCGGTACTCCGATGCAAAACAATCTCATGGAATTGTGGTCATTGTTTGACTTTATCTTCCCAATGCGACTAGGGACGCTTGTTGATTTCCGTAACCAGTTCGAAATACCTATACGATTAGGAGGCTATGCAAATGCTACAAATCTCCAAATCATGACAGCTCAGAAATGTGCCGAAATATTGAAGGACACAATAAGCCCATTTCTACTTCAACGATTGAAAGTCGATGTTGCAGCCGATCTCCCGAAAAAGAAGGAACAGGTTCTTTTTTGTAACCTTACAAGACCTCAGCGTGATGCCTACGAGTTCTTCCTCCAGTCAAAAGAAATGGGCGCTATTCTTGTCGGATCAAGGAATTCACTTTATGGAATTGACGTCCTCCGAAAGATTTGCAACCACCCTGACCTAGTTGATCCTGGATTAAAGATAAAAGAAGGCTACGAATGGGGAGTCTCTAAGAAATCCGGCAAGATGCAGATTGTAGAAGCGCTTCTCCAAATGTGGAAACGATTCGGACATAAGACTCTTCTATTCAGTCAAGGTATTCAAATGCTTGATATCCTTGAGGCATTTGTAAGGCGCCTAGGGTATATCAATTACCTGCGAATGGATGGTGGCACTGCTATTAAAGATAGACAGAGCCTCGTTGACCAATTTAATAATACCCCAGAAATTGATCTCTTTTTACTAACCACAAAGGTTGGCGGCTTAGGAGTGAACTTGACTGGCGCAAATCGGGTTATTATCTTTGACCCCGATTGGAATCCTTCAACAGATGTTCAGGCTCGGGAGCGAGCATGGCGTCTTGGTCAGAAGAAAGAGGTTACAATCTACCGACTCATGACTGCTGGTACGATCGAAGAGAAGATGTACCATCGCCAGATCTTCAAACAATTCTTAAGCAACAAGGTATTAAAAGACCCGAAACAGCGTACTACTTTCCAGCTCCAGGATCTCCATGACCTCTTTACGCTAGGGTCTTCTGGAGATAAGGTGACAGAAACAGGGAAGTTATTCGAAGGCTCGGAAGTTCAGTTTAATAATACTTCAACTAAAGATGGCCCGAGTCAGAAGGCTAGCGAGGCAGCAGAGCCTATGGAGATACAAAGTAAATCAGCTATTGAAGACGGTGATCGTGATCTCCATTCTATAGCAGGTGTAGCTGCTCTCGAGGACTATGAGCCTGACCCCGATACAAAGCCGGCGCCGACAGAGGAAGACCGGATCATGGAAGGTCTTTTTGCCCGCTCTGGTGTACATTCGGCACTCGAACATGATAAAATAGTCAACGGTAAGAAACAATTGAGAGCCGACCCAAGATTACTTCAGCAAGAAGCAGATCGCGTGGCGGCACAGGCAGCTGCATCCCTTCGACGAGCAGGTGAGCAGACGCACTCGGTGCCTATTGGCACTGTTACCTGGACCGGTGAAGTAGGCGAGGCCGGTAGACCATCTAACATCCGTAGGGGTCGCGGCGGCCCCGGTTCAGCTAGTATATTAGCCGGATTAGCTGATAGGCAAGGACTGAGCTCACCCGCAGGTAGTTCTCGCTCAGGATCAGCAACGCCCACACCAGCCAGAGGAACAAACTTAGGGGCTAAAGATTTCGCGAAGATGATTCCGGAATTCATCAAAGCCCACGGAGGCAAGGTCCCCACGAAACTACTGGTTGATCATTTCAACCAATTTTGTATTACGAAGAAGCAGTCTGGCGACTTCAAGACCGCCCTGGACCGGGTTGCTCAGATGGAGAAAAGGGGGTCTACTATGAGGGGTATCTGGGCCCTGAAACCAGGACACTGATTGATCGGTGTCGACATAATTATTGATCTAAGAATAGCTTTGATTTAAAATAGCGGATTCCGAGGGCGAGTCTTCATGATCGGTTTAGCAAGGTGTTACGGTACGGTCTATATACATTAGCATAGCACAGGTACATTTATGTTCACTAGAGCTTAGGAATAGTTGCTCCAATTAGCGTTATGGATTTATCTTAATCAAAACTATAATTCCTACGAGATGTTCATAACAATGCTACGCGAGTTCCAACAAATCACGTAGGGAGATGATAATATAAGTATATGGTTTTCGTTGGATCAATGTTTTCTCATTTCTATAGCCGTGCCAAAAGGCATCATGTGACAATAAGCATAGCTACCCGAAGTATCATGGAGACCAGGCATGTCTTATTCTTTTGTAGATGCACGCCGTTCTCCTCGTAATTGTCAACGCCACAGAGATGAAGAAGTCCTCGTGCCAACCCTTGATTCCGCCGATCATTGCTGGATCGCCCACCAAAACCACCAGCCGCAGCTGGTTGATGTATAGGTGAATATAGCGCGATCACAGACGACGACCACGGCGACCACCCTTTCTGCGGGTGCTGTCGGAGGGAGTGGGGGTCACGTCCTCGATACGGCCGATCTTCATGCCGGAACGGGCAAGAGCACGGAGAGCAGACTGGGCACCGGGACCGGGGGTCTTGGTACCGTTACCACCGGTAGCACGGATCTTGATGTGGAGGGCGTTGATGCCAAGCTCCTTGCAGCGGGCGGCGACGTCCTGAGCTGCCAACATGGCGGCGTAGGGGGAGGACTCGTCACGATCGGCCTTGACCTTCATACCACCAGTAACTCGGGTGATGGTTTCGCGGCCACTGGAATCACCCAGAATGTTAGCCTATGAACCATACACACGAAATTTTTTAAGAGGAGATATATAGAGGTCATATGTATATTATAAGTATAGCGAGAGAAGGGCGTAGAATTCGTTCCTCCTCATTCGCTTATACCTCATAACCTCGAGACAATAGGGATTGATTTCGAGAAAATTGTTTAGACGAACCTGAGATCGGTGACATGGACGAAAGTGTCGTTGAAAGAGGCGAAGATACGAGCAACGCCAAAGACGAGCTCACCTGTGAACGCGGGGTACGTTAGCAAACTTGACGATGTCTTACACTTTCAAGAGGATCTTGACTCACCTTCACGGACCTGAGGTCCGAGGGAGATGTTCTCCTGAGCAGGACGGGTGGTCTTCTTGGGAGGCATTGTGAATGATCTTTTGGTGTTGGTGGGGGGAGGAGTTGGACTTCGGGGTTGACGGTTGTTGAAATGAAGCTTGACCGCGGGTTTTTTCCTCGAGAGAAATCGATCGTTCACAATAATTCAGTGTGTTTATTTGTGGGGTGGAAGAGAAGCGCAAAAAGGCGGCGGTGGGAAACGGCAGAAATAATTAAAAGTGGATTAACCCTAACACCTTTCCACTTCTCGCTTGGGGCGGTGTACTAAGTAAATAGCCCACAGCTTTGACCCAACCCCCGTCTAAACTCTTTTTGGTCACACCAACTAAAGAGTCCCGCACTAAAACTTTACCAAATTTTCTCGTGCCTTTTCTGAATTTTTCTATCCTTTTCACATCCCAAACCCGAGTCGACAACCCAGGACCAAACGGCCATCACCCAATTCGACAACAATGGCTGCTACTACGTATGATATACCTTCCTAGTTTCTTGTTCTTGAACGAGCGAAACGATATCCGGTCCTATGGATTTTGCAGATTGTCGTGGTCTTCTCGGCTGGATTGCCTTGTTCTTTTGAACACCTGAAAAATGGTGTGAAAGAGACATCGCAAGCCAGCTCGATCTTTCCCAGACTTCTCCCTCTGTTTTTCAGGCTTGATACATAGCTTGGATACAGAGAGATGTTGCTCTGGGGTGTTGGAGATGAAGGCCTAGCCCTTCTCTCTTAAATTTATCTGCCGCTTTCACTATCAGCAGACGGTCAAGAAATTGCTGTCAATTTAGCTGGTATAGAGCGAGCATATATCTTGAACTTATGTTCGAGGCGTTGTCGGATGAGGGGGAATGCTATGAATATAGTCGCACTTCTCGAAAGAGGTTACAGGCTCTAGCATCTCACCGATTAAAAATTTTCCCACCGAGTTAGCTACCGCTGAGAATGTCGCGTGCAGTCGGCAATTCTCCAACCGGGGCTCTATTCATGCATTCATGTATGATTGTGGACTACGTACTAATCTGATTTGACAACAGTTCCGTCCCTACCAAGGACCAGGTCCTCGTCCCCGAGACCCTCCTCAAGAAGCGCAAGAGCCAGGAGAAAGCTCGCGCTGAGAAGTCCGCTGAGCTTGAGCAGCGCAAGAAGGTTAGTCATTTCTATTAAGTAAAAAAATAAAATAACGACGTGATGCATAAAACCATTTGCAACTAGACAAAGTCAATGCTGTTGCAAAATACCATCTTTCGGGTCTGATCGACAAATCTATACATATATTGTCATATGCTTCTATGTACATGAATTATAAGCTGACATAGATATATAGCTCAACAAGGAGAAGCGCTCCGTCATCTTCAAGCGTGCTGAGAAGTACGTCAAGGAGTACCGCGATGCGGAGCGTGAGAAGGTCCGCCTCAACCGCCTCGCCAAGCAGGAGGGCAGCTTCCACGTCCCTGCCGAGGAGAAGTTGATCTTCGTTATCCGAATCAAGGGGTATGTTTATTCCAACATTTCCAACGTAATCAACCATTTTCTAACGAACGAATAGTATCAACAAGATTGCCCCTAAGCCCCGCAAGATCCTCCAGCTCCTCCGTCTCCTCCAGATCAACAACGGTATCTTCGTCCGTATCACCAAGGCCACCGCCGAGATGATCAAGATCGTCGAGCCGTGGGTTGCTTACGGTTACCCCAACCTAAAGAGCGTCAAGGAGCTCATCTACAAGCGCGGATACGGCAAGATCAACAAGCAGCGCATTCCCCTCACCGACAACTCTATCATCGAGGAGAACCTCGGCCAATACGGTATTGTCTGCATTGAGGATCTCGTTCACGAGATCTACACTGTCGGCCCCAACTTCAAGCAGGCCTCCAACTTCCTATGGCCCTTCAAGCTCAGCAACCCCAACGGTGGTTTCCGAACGCGCAAGTTCAAGCACTTCATCGAGGGTGGCGACCTTGGCAACCGAGAGGACAAGATCAACTCCCTCATCCGACAGATGAACTAAGTTAAGGGTTATGGGTTAAAAGGGTCTGGTATTAGGGGGTTTGCTTCTATGCATGGTTCACGGCGTTCATAAAAGCTTCGGATGCTACCAATGAATTGAGACTTTATGATGATGGCAACCCCATACTTTCGCCTGTCCTTAGCTGTCTAGTCGTGAATAGTAGCATGAATAGTAGTATACTTCTTATGAAGCCTTACCAGGATATTGCCGCCAGTCTTCAAGTACCTTCTAATCCTTAGCTCATAATAAGTCACCGCCATCTAAGTACTATAATAAAGCTTATGATGGTAGGTACATAGGGCGCATTATACCAGAGAAGTGTTTACTGAAATAAACCTAGCGTAAGTTCTTGCTTATATGAGCTCATTCGTATTATCACCTACAGTAATATAAAAAACTTGGACCGCCTAGGAGAAAGTCGAGATTGTGATTTATATAATCAATGTATTCTATGTTCATGTCGACACGGTCCTCGTAGTATGCCGTGATAGTAGAATATACAGTTGCCTTCCAATGAAAATTACGATACCACCGCCAATTTCCGCGGATCTCATCCCCCCCTCTTCCCTCTTTCCTCTTTCATGCAAATATTCTAATATAAACTGTGAATGATAGACAAATATACACAAGAACCCTCGGCCAAACAGGGAAACATCTAAGTACCTAAAGACCTAAGGCGGAAATGCTATATTTTGATGTCGAAGCTAGTGCCGCAGCCGCAACTACTTGAAGCAAGTGGGTTATCTACGATCTTAAACTGGCTCCCAATCAGCTCCATCGTGTAGTCCACCTTACTCCCCTTCAGCAGCTCTAAACTCGGCGAGTCTAGGATGATCTTGGGCGGCGCGGAGGCATCGGTAGAAGAAGGAGGATCGTCTTTCACAAACGCGAAGATAGTATCGTCCTCACCGATGCTAGGCGCGGAAGGCGCGGCGCTGGTGGTTGTCGAGGGCGTGATTTCGGCGGTGGTCTTTTGTCCCTCTTGGTTGGCGGGGGTGGGAGGGGTAGATGAGGTTTCGGGAGGCGGGTGCGCGGATGTTGTCGAGTCCGGGGTGGAGGGCAGGGAGGGCGGGAGAGAGGTTAGCGACATTAGGTATTGGAACCCGTGACACCCGCCGGATTCGACGGAGATGCGCAGCGCTAGGTTGGGGTTTTTGTCTTTGACCATGATTTGCGAGAGTTTCTGGAGTGGGGGGAATGAGGGGGTTTTGTTAGCTAGAGTCGCGACAGAGGAAGTAGGAAGAGTAGACAAAAAAAATGTGTGAAAGACGTGAAAGACTCACGTTGGCGGCGCGCGGTGTAATCTCCAAGACCATATCGTTGCCATCCTCGTCCTTCTGCGGGTTATACACGACTTGGGTCTTGCGCCAGGGCGCCGTGGCGCTGAAATGTCGTCGGGCAGTACTATACGGGACATGCGATATAACGCTCCTGTCATTCCGGACCCGGGGATTCCGCGCCCGACCACGGATGTCCCGTGCGAGGTGGAAAGCTCGGGTCCGCGGCGGTAGCAACACATCGAGAATAGACGTGTTGCTGCTGCTGCTGCTGCTGCTACCTATAGGCGATGACGATGCGCATAGCAAGCGCACGAATAACCTCGCAGCTGAGGGGGAGGACCCGTGGGTGCAGCGTACGGCGAGCGGAGGCGGCATTTTCGGGGCTGGGGAGGTTAAGCGTTGCCGGAGAAGATGTGGGCGTTTCTAAGCAAGTAAGAGATTATTCTTTTTTCTTTTTTTTTTTTTTTTCGTAGGTGGGATGATGTCAAGGGTCAGTTTAAGCTCGGCGAAAAGCGGCACAGAAGCCAATTGTGTTGGTGCGGGTTGACGGGTACGGTTTGCGGCATTAGTAATAGGATAGCCAATTATGTAACCGCGATTGTAAATGCAGGAACGTTGATTATAGTAAGTTCATAGAATTGGAAAAGTGACACGGAAGGTTCACCTCAAGCAAGGTGAGAATTCGGTTAAGAGAGTATATGGTATATGCATTGGTAAGGACATTATACAAGTAACATGATTAATAAAACTATTTATACTTTTCTCGTTCTTTCAACATTTAGAAGTGTGTTCTAACTTCACCACGATTAAAGGTATTGAAAAGTTATACTTATGAGCAGCAACTATCAAGGCTGTGTGAATGAATAAGGCTTTCTCCAACTCATCCCCAATCTCAATTGGGCTTATTAGAGATAAATTATCGAGCTCCATTTTCATATAAGTCGACATGATGTTAAGTTGTAGAGAAAAGAGGAGAAACCTCAATTGAGGCGGAGGATGATACTCTTCAAATTCCCATACTCGCTGAGGTAAAGAGGAGAATCAAACCCCCATCCCTAGCATCGATAAACATCATCAAGTAATATATTGACGCTTACTTTAGTCCCCTAAAATAAGAAACCCCCCTTTTTATCTCATCTGGACCCCTAGATGATCATATCTCAATCCGGCATCCCGTCGTGGCTATTATCAAGCTTTACTCCGACGTCAAGGGCTTAGATATCATCCATCCCACGCCTAGCAGACAAAAGAGATATTGAGGCATCTCGGCGTTTGCTGTCGGCGATTACGTGCTAGCGAGGAGCAAGCTCATCAGAGACATTTATTTCTTATCGAGCACGTCTGTCTAGCTCAGATGCCAGGAATGTAATTTACATGTTGTCTGCGTTATTGACCCTCTAGCGTGCATCGCTCCCGCCGGAAACAGGTCGTTCCGCGGGAGTACTCGTTCCCCTTTTCCCTTAGGTATCATGCAGGCACGCGGATACCTCGACGGGGCGCGGCCTACGTGCCGGACATGATTGAATTGGGGACTTCTGGCCGTCGATTTCGCATATCCTCCTTTTTACCCGCGATCCAGTACGACGACGTCCTTATTTTACCGGCTATATGGGCCACGGATTCCCAGCACCCAACCGCCCTCCCCCCCACGAGCAGGGCCCGCATCTCGAGATATATTGCCTGCCGGGCGAAAAGAAAACACCCTGCACGCTGAAATATTTTTTGATTAAATCTCCTACCAGAGACAGGGTTCGAAGTGGAGGTATTTGGAATCAAAGGTAGAGGCTAAGGGGTTACAAAAGAGCACTTGCGCCCAGCTAGCTTAGCCGTCGTGTGAGACACACGGACTCGATATAAGCGCTTCGATAATTTCTCCCTCACGACTAGAATATATACTCTTTACTTTTTAATCACCACTAGCACCGTCAAAATGTACGCGCAAATCCTCCCTCTCGCCGCCCTGGCCGCCACCGTCTCCGGCCACGGTCTGATAACAACGCCTACACCCCGCGGCCCAGGCGACGCATCCTCCGCTGCATGCGGGTCCTCCGTCGTCGCCAACATCAAGGGCGACCTGACCTCGCACGTCGAAGGGCTACCCGAGCTCGCCGCCAAGGACACGGGGTACCACGGCGAGCTCTGCAACCTCTGGCTATGCCGTGGCCTGCAGTACGCCGACAACGCGGCCAACGTGCAAGCCTACAAGCCCGGCCAGGTAGTCTCCATCGAGGTGGAACTGACGATCCCGCACGCCGGCGCCGCCAACGTGTCTATCGTCGACACCAAGACTAACACCATCATCGGCGAACCTCTGCTCAACTGGCCTGCCGGCTACGCCGACGAGCGCCAGTTCTACGCTCACCAGACCCCTGCCAACCAGACCAAGTTCGACGTTACTATCCCCGAGGACCTCGGCTCCAAGTGCGCTGATGCTGGTTCTTGTGTAAGTTGACCTTGAGACTTGAGGTGTCGTATTGTGTTATGTTACGTTGTAGCTAATAGAGCGTGTATAGGTCCTTCAGTGGTGGTGGTACGGAACGGGAGCGAAGCAGACCTACGAGAGCTGCATCGACTTCACCGCGTAAGGGCCGCCGTATCGACGATACTAGTGAGGCGTGCAGGGGTATTTTGGGCAGAAACAATATATATTGGAATAGATGTGAATAGATATATATCTTAAAAGAAATATTGAATATCAGTGTCAACCATAACTACCTTTCAAATGAGCCAGTGTTATATGGGCATCAACGGCACTATTATTGGAAGCTTATACAAACATCATCTATACTATGAAGACTGAAGAAAGTTATGTTTTCAATATTTTATTCTGTTTATGAACTACTCGAGGAAATATTTTGGTACTGCAAATAACAGGACGAAAGCAAATTATATAAAAGCGCGGATACTCCTGAACACATCACGGATCGTCCCAAGATATAACCCCAAACCTCCCTATTTTCCCTCGTTACTTGTATACGACGTTACGTGAAATAGCGTCCCCGATATTAAGTCGAGTGAGCCGGCCCCGGTCATCCTCAATACCTACAAATTTCCACATCCCGTCCCATACAACACCCCATCCCCATCCCCTATCCCGACAGTTAATTCACAAGTTAGTATGGTGGGTTAGGTCCACCGATTGAGGAAGGAGGAGGATATTCCGACTCGGGTCGTCCACCCGCCACGGAGCCCGATCGTCCATCACCGAAGTGCTTCTTGCGCAGGGCAGCAAGACGCTTCTTCTTAGTCATGGTGTTAATATACGTGCCGATGGTGAAGGCGACGACGTTAAAGAAGGGAACCCAAGCGGCTTCAGGTAGGAAGGCCTGTGCAAAAGCAAGGCACAGCGGCGAGCTAATCCAAGATACCTTCATGACCTTCATAAAACTGACGCGTACCGTTGCTCGGACCTGGTGATAGGTTCGGGCACCGGCGATGAGAGCCATAGCGACGAGGTAGACAGTGTTTTGGATTGGAGCAACCTAGTTGATGCACGTCAGTCATGCAGTTAGTTTAGGTGGCGGTCTGGGGGAACGCACTATAAGGTTGCTGATAAGAATCTGGAGAATCTTGGCACGGAGACTCGTGCGACCCTTGAAGGCCTTTTGAAGACACCAGATCAGGAAGTGGCCTAAGGGCGCGCTGACCAGGGCGCCGTATGCCGCCATCTTTGGGACACGGGCCGTGAAATAGTTTCCATGCTTGTTGCGGTCTCTAGCTAGCCATGACGCGAGAAGCTCTTGTAGACCAGCGAGGGTTCCAGCCGTGAGCATCTTAGTCCGCATCGGATTTTTCTCCAGCTGATTGATGTAGGCCTAGTAAAAAGCCGAGGTCAGCTTGGTTGCGACTCGGCGAATCTTAAAAGTTAATGGCAAAAAGACACGACGTACCATTAAGTAGCCCCTCGTGCCGGCGTTTCGTTTACCTCCAGTGATCGCGGTACCGATCGCCTCTGCGATGGGATGCTTGCCGGTCGTACCTGGGAGAGGACCGTCACGAGGAATGTGCGCGAGAGCGCCGGGCACGGTCTCGGTCGCATGGCGGATCGTTTCTTTCTCGATCTTAAGCGACATGATCGCCTGAGTTTAATCGATAACAGATGGTCTAGTCCAGAAAGTCTAAAGCAAGAATCGTGTCAGTGATGAAAGTGCGGTCGGGAAAGAAAGGTGTTCTAGTGTGGACGGCGGGTACTTGGGGACTCTGTTGGTGTCAATTGATTTGTTTACCTTGAGCTGACGGGGGGGGCCTCGGTAGGATTATTTCGGATTTCGGGACGTGAATTTTACAGGCTTTCGCGTATCTATCAATCAAAGCATAAGAATATTCTCGCAAGTAGAAGAAATGATAGCTAGCATTCTACATGAGGGCAGAAGTCACCGGGAGGGAATTGCGGGTCTTTGGAAACTCATCCGTATCGGTCGGGTTTGAAAGTTGAACAATAGGATGTAGATTTGGTGGCAGATTGTGGAAGATGTGGAGGAGGTTGGTGAGGATGAGGTTGGACAAGGTTGGACAACAGGTCGGGCAAGTCTGGGGCCCTGGGGCCGCCAGCACCTGCTGAACCTTGCTGGGACCTGGGCTGGGACCTGTCTGGGTACCTTCCTCTCCTTGCACTTTCATTCGCCATAGTTCCCTCTCATTCGCTCGTAAAGTCGCGACCAGGAGATGACCACGCCTGGGTGGATCCTTTGCTTTTTTAGTAACCTTGAACCAAGGGGGATCAAGGGGGGGGACCATTACTGCACGACAGCTGCGACCCATAAAATCCACAAAACACTCGGGCTCGATCTATCTTGACCTTGAATGTGCTCCGCTCCTCATTGGTTCGATTAACCGGTATGTTCGTTCTTCCGTGGTCTGGCTACTGCTTCAGTACGAGTGCACATGTATTTTCCTTTTTCGGTACGCAGCAAGAACCACAAGAACCACAAGAACCACTAAGACCCAAAATCGCTTTACATGCACACCTTGGAGAATATACTCATATAATTGGTAGCTAATAGGATATGGAGAGATATCAGGTACGACTACAGCGTCTATCACGCCACTAATGCATCTAATGTGCCTAGGTACGTAGGGGCGTGAGAGTGAAAATGACGGTATGATATGACAAGTGATACCGTAAAATAGGGTTTAACCATGCGGCACAACCCACGAGTTCGGAAGCCAAAAGGAAACTCGGGGGAGGACGATGTTGTTGTGAATAGCTTCAACCGTGTACCTAGCCTGTCTAACGCTATGGGAATGAGCGAGTTTACCTGTTGAGTAATTCGTGGTTGCTATTCTACCTAGGTAGGTAATCTAAGGCAGCACCTACCTAAAATTTGCCCACATAGTTTCATCGCCTACATGCACGGAAGTACATACCTAGTAGGTACCTATATAGGTATATGTTAGGCACCTAGGAAGGTCCGTACGCACCCAGTCAAACTAGCAATCGGAATAAACATTCGTAATTATTTCATCACTAGTTCTCCAGTCTCCAAAGAGTCCAAGTAACTTTGCGTCCTTGCGTTCTTGCCCCTCCATCTATCCACAAATTCACATCTCCGTCCGTGGGTCTCGAGTCTCAACATTCATTTTAGGTAATTTTGACTTATAAAGTCCAGCATATCAAGTACAGAATTTCTTGAAGAGCACTTTCGTTTTTACTTTTGCTCTACGAAGCGTATTTTTCTCCCGTCAATACCACTTTCGTTAGTATTGATAGTAGTGAGGGGAAATATCAGTCATTTTGACTGCTCTATTACTAAAATACTTTCGTCACTAAATGCATTCAACCCAGGTATTCTTTTCACGGTGAACCAGCATCTACCTTTCTATTTCATCCCGACACAAAACACTGCACTGCACTGCACTGCAACTTCTACCCAGCATTATCTTTCTTTTGGTATATCCTCACGTATTAATACTAAAGCCATGAAGAATGTATATCGACAGGGTCCAGGGGCGCAGGAGGCCCAGAAAGCCTTATCGCCTATACCACGACTACACCGTTTAACACAAACTACGCAACAACCTCAACAACCACGTTTTCGCAACTCATGTTCCCACCTAACTATGACGCGTATTTTCGATACCGCTTTAACTTGTCCTCTGTGCGGTAAACCAGGCCAGTAGGGATGGCTCTGGCAATGCACCGATGATCGAGACCTTCTCATCGAAGACGCCATCGAGAAGCAACACGGGGTAAGTTCCCCCTTCATTTCAACATTCTCTATAGCACACGTAATAGCTGACTAGCCTTTTTAGGTGTGCTTTGATACCATTGGGGTAGAACTCGTTAAGCAGTTGAAGAAGGTTCGACCTCGAAGTCCTCGAAGCAGATCAGAGAGGTACAGCGTATTTGAAGAGTTCGCGAGTGGGCGTTTAACGGGCTATACGCCTGACCAAATCCTCGCCGTCGTCTCGCAAAGGGATGAGGTATGTATTATTTTGCCAGGATATAAGAACAATATACATACTAATATATAAATTAGGTCCGTAGTCTTGCGCGGGCAGCATCACCAACGTCATCCACAATCGACCCGCCACCAGGATTCCAGTTTAGTGAAGGTACAGCACCCTGGGTTCCTGGTTGGAATGAGGAATGTCGTTTCATATCCTGTCAGAGCTGTCGTCCTTCATGCGAACTAAGATCCTATATAAGTTTAGATGGTATCGCGAACGGCGATATACCACCTACTGCAGCCGTTGGCTTCGGTTTCAACCGCTTGTCATCTAGGCCAGTTATCCACCCAGACAGGCTGAAAAATATTGGCCTGAGGGCTGTACCTTGGGTATGACAACGTCACTTTTATTATCCCGTATCCATTGCTAACCTCAGTATCAGCCATTAGCTCATCGTAGACCGGCATCCTCTGTTGGCTCATGGCATAGTTCATGGAACAAGTCATGGGAAAATTTGTCTCTTGCTGACGATCAAGAGAACGAGACCGAGTACGTTGAACACGTTGAGCACGTTGAACACGTTGAACACGTTGAACACGTTGAAGATGTTGAGTCTGTCCAATCCCAGTCCCCAGAAATTGGCCTGATCACCAAACGTGCAACCTCGGGCAACCTTACAAATCCCACTACCAACGGTACCAACGGTACTATCCCGTCAGTCCGATCCGCTACTCGAGTTTCATTTGAGGAGAATGTTAAGTCTGCAGTATCTGTTAGACACTCGATATCTCTCCTTCCTCCCATACAAGAAGAACAGGCGTGTCCCCGCAAGCGCTCCCAAATAATGGGAGAGGAGGTGAAGGAATCTTCAGGAGTTGACCATGGCGTGACAGTCTCGAAGAAGGGTGCTGACTTAGAACTGTCTGATGTCATCACTCAGCTATAGTCGGAGGTATGTCATCGCTGGAACGATGCTCGGTTGGTCGTAAGCATCATGCGCTGGCTTCACCGGAAGAACGTTTGCCTAATACTATAGGATATGGACGGTGTTCTTGACTAGCCGCTAGTCTTTGTGTACAAACCACTTGGTTTTAATAATTCGACGGCAGATTTAGTTCCTAGCGCTAGTTAGTAGCTTTTAATTGATATGATTTTCATAAATATTATTGTCTTTTTATTGTTCTTTCTCTGGTCTATGAATTTCTTGTCTTAGGTTTACAATGTTATGACCTCAATACATATGCAACTAGCCGGAGAATTGTTGATAATTGCACGTGATAGTCTGAGGCTTACATAGGTACTTGCCTAAGTAGGCAAGATCCGAGGGTTATTAGGTGGTTAGTGCTTTTGAGACGCTAGAATGTTTCACAAGCTTTACCAAATCAAAACGATGGATCGGTGGTTGGGGTATACCCTTACATCCAATCGATATTTAATTGGCCTTTACCAGTGGAGATCTTTTGTAAAGCCTATTCGAATCTTAAAAGGGAATAGTAGATCCGTATCTAGACGCAATTCGGTACATCGTAATATCCCGGAAAGCCTCTAAAGGTTGCAAGGCTACGAAAACTGTCATAAGTCGTTCGATGTTCAATACCGATGGATCATGAACAGCTTCAAGGCTGGTTGTTGTAAGCATTCTTTACGCATGGTGTCGTCTTTTACAGGCTCGCGACAAGTTCCGACAGAATGGCTACGACGAGTTACGGAAGACCAATCGGAACCACCGAGACTTTATGCTTGGCGACTTACAAACTTAGCTGATGGCGCAAATTACGCGCGTAAATCGCTTGAGGTGGGAGAAGAAATACCAAACTCAGACGATGAGCGCCACCGCATTTATATCCTAGGCGTCGGGAACATCGGTCGGCTATATGCGAGCTTTCTTGCTAAGAATAATCCCCGGCCGCCGATTACCTTGGTCGTCCATCGGAGAGAACTCCTAGACCAGTGGAACGCCCGTCCGGGTATCGAGCTGGTGCGCGACGATGGTAGGATAGAGCGAAACCCCGCGTTCCGCATCGAATGGTGGACCGACGCTCAGCCCGCGCACGGCCCTGTTAGGGAACCGGGCTCGGGCTGCGGTATCAGCAATCTAATCATAGCCACCAAGGCCCCGGATGCTATCCCGCAGGTCGACCGCGCGAGACGGTATCTCGGCGGCGGCTCGACCGTCGCGTTCGCGCAAAACGGCATGTGTAAGCTCTGGCCGCCGCTGGGAGAGGCGTACGTCGCGGCGCGGTTCGGCAAAGGTGGGGGTCCGCGCTGGCTTGCGTGTGTGACGACCCATGGCGTCACGTCGCTCGAGCCATTCCGTAGCGTCCATGCGTCGCCTGCGGACGTGCGTGTAGGGTCTGTGATGGTGCGCGGTGGGGACGGCTGGGATGGCAATGGCAATGGTAATGGTAATGATGGAGATAAAGATCAAGATGATTACCTGGCCGAGCAGATCGTCGGTGCGCCGGGGTTAGCTGCGCGGAGAGTCGCGACGCGGGAGCTGTGGGTGGCGCAGCTGGAGAAGCTGGTGGTTAATGCGGTTATTAATCCGCTGACGGCGGTGCTGAGGTGTAAGAACGGGGAGGTTTTTGAGGAGCGCGGGGATGGGTTGGGGGATGTGGTTGAGATGTTGGTGGAGGAGGCGAGTCGCACGCTGAGAGCGCTGGTGGGACATCGGAGTAGTGAGGGCATATTACGTGCGCAAGATGATGCAGTGATAGGGGCAGCTGGGGAAAAGAGTCTCGAAAGAACACGAGAAGAGCTTCTAGAAAGATTCTCTTCCGTGCGATTGCGTACAATGCTCTACAGTGTTGGTGAGAAGGTGGCGGCGAACACGAGCTCGATGCTACAGGACGTGCAGGCCGGCAAGAAGACCGAGATCGAGGACTTCAACGGCTGGCTCGTGGAGACGGCGCGGTATCTTGGTGACGAAGGACTGCCTGTCAACGAGAAGTTGATTTCGTTGGTTGAAGATGGGGCGGTGCGGACAAGAGGTGAGTTGGTTAAAGAGCTTCGAGACAGTCGGGGGTAGGTTGAGTTGTGCATGTGTGTATGCGTCTATGAGATTGTATATTATTATAATGTATAAATATTCATGAATTGGAGTTGGTTAAGGGTAATGGCGGTAGATGAAGTACTTTCGGCACTCTTCATCTCTGCTAGAGTCACTTGTTATAGTAGTCCTTTTCACCTTTTTTTAGGATTAATTACATCTAGGTGTTCGACATAGCATTATATTTCAACGACAAGTTAATATAAATTATTACAACAGGCAGACTATCAAGCATCTACTTTACGAACCGGATGGACCAGACTGAATGTGAAGATAAAGAGATTGAACTATTAAATGCCTGTCTTTCTATTTCTCACAAGGGCGTTACGCGCCCCTTATATACTAGATATACCCCTGTAACTACTCCTAACCCACTTGTACAAGCTGAACTATGATTCCTTTGCAGTTGTTGGCGACATCTAGAAAAAATTAATTAGATCTATAGTCCATTTACACCCATCGTTAAATGCTTTCCATCTACCTATACCGAACGTATAAGAACATGCCACTGCTTCTGGTTTCTCACTTTCTTATCAGCTGCCACTAGCTGGGGGTATCTCCAATTAGTCGTACTTCTCAGCCATCTTCTTGAGTATATAATGTAGACCATGTTCCAGCTCCTATGTCTTATACTCGAGCTTTTTATGCATGTTTTCGACCGATCGTTCAATCTCGTCCAGGGGATCTTTGGAAATACTAGTTCCTATTCTACTCTTGTTCATAGGTTGATCTTTCATATCTATAAGTAGTTCCAAGCAGCTCATACGCTGTTTCCAGCCTTCATGTTATGTATGCACTCCGTGGCATTGTGATACTTAGTACGGGAGGACCTCATAGTAAAAGGGTATGCTGTGAGGTTCATTCGTATCTTGTTGTGGAGCTGTACACTCTGGAGCGAGGTGGATTGTTTTGTAATTGATAAATATAGTAGTAAGAAAGGTTGGCATTTCCAGTTCCACTTTGACGGTGTTGTAAGGAATTGTGACCAAGGGCGTCAGTAGCAGATCAGTAGAATATCGACGCAAGGCACTTCCATCGAGACTTTCCGTGGAAAGAGATGGCCTGGAGATGTGAAATTTAGGAAACGCGCAGGGTGTAAGGCAACAGTGAGGACATATCTGCTGCAATCCTATGAGTTAGGCTGCCGAGGACACATCTGCTAAGAGCATGACATACTCTCCGAGTTGAACAGCTTGCAAAGTAACGACACAACTGACGGTGTAGTGTTATTAGATAACCTCGATGAAGGGTCAATCTTAGGCGTAATTCAAGTGAAGGCTCGTTGGTTTTTTGAAGATAATATAGCTGTTAGTGCTTTGAGCTTCATCGTGGATAGAAAAAATAACCGTGGCTTTTTTACACAGTGTAGAACTTGTCAGGATTCTAGATGAGACATCTGAAACATAGGATAGGTTCAATATGTATAGGCGTAGACCTTCGTAGTTAGGTTAGAGTTGCTTGCGGGACAATGAAATTGTTTCCGTGCTATTTGGTTCCACCTCGTGATAGAACTGGTCTTGTATTTAGGGTATTGATTGGCGCGTCGCTCAATAGTGCGTCTCTAGCAAGTCATAACTCGCCTAAGTACCTAGTATTTCTAAGTCTTTAATAGTTTCAAGTTGTTACATGTAGTGTTTACGTTGTTGAGTAAGTCGGATTCAAGTCCTTGGCTTCTAATGTCAAGAAAACTATTTTTGAAACAATTAGATGAAGCTCTCCGTATATGAGCTTAACGATCAATAGCTATTCCCTTAGAGCTTCATCCGTAAAGATACTGCGACGTCTAGTAGGTATGAAGGTAACTAAGAGCTTTAACCCTGTATTCATTGTGTTATGATATGGTCATAAAATGATACTTGGTTCTATTAAAAGGAAGCAAAAGTACTAACTCACCGGTTAAAGTTTTCATTAATTGGGATAATATAGCATATAATACGGTATGGTAGAGTTGTCCTGGGGTAATATCTTATATAGTACGGTATAATTTTATTTTAGGGCTAGACGGTTCGAGAAAGTTATAATGTTGAGAGAGTGAATTTGGAATTTTCGAGGGTTAGAAATACGTCGCGAAGTACCATCAAATAATTATATACTCAGCTAGTATAGTTAGGGAAGTGTATATATACTAGTACAACGTACTAGCTGGTAGTTCTACCAGTAATAAATTATCAAGTTTCATATCATACCTGCCTCTTTTGAAAGAGAAAGACAAATACTTATATCGCGCTTCGGAAAGCTTCTATGCTGGTTTAATACTGTAAATTATAGTAATATAAGTCTCTCCTATATAGTATCCCATGATGTCCTTTAAGAGACTTACTACAAGGCTGTTGGGTTATCAATGTTGAAGGTTTTGTTTGTATATTAGTAGTACTGTTCTAAATAATACAGTGCCGTAGCTATACGTACGACGACGTATTTCCCCATTCTCTAGTTAGTCCATAGACAAGAGAGACTTAGGATTTCCTTTTATAACTATTTATAATATGTTCTTAGGGTATAATATATCGAGATCCGAGGATCTACTTAACCATGAGTAGTTATAAGTCTACGGTTTTGTTGGGCATGCAATGTTTCTATAATTTCCCGAGAGGAAGCTGTATATTTATAATCCAATACTGTTACCTGCTTCATTAAATTCATCGTATGACTCTCTTCAAGTTAATAGATCGGCGGCTATCAAGAGAGCAGCATGGTATGCTTATATAGATTACAAGTAGCTTGCGCTTGAGACTGTATATTGTGATCCTGTTAACATATTTAGGCTTAAAACTTGCCATGTAGCAACTAAGAGTTTCTATTACTAGGTAAGTTTGAATTTATGGAAAACCAAATACTTAAACCATGACTTTGCTTTAAATTCAGATACCAGCAGTTTAAATCACGAGATAGGACTGTAAACCCCGAGTTTGATCTATGGGGAATATTTAACTAAACTATGAGAACTCATGACTATAACTACACAATGAAAGTATCCTGTGTTCTAAATGGCTCGTCTAAAGTCTTAATGGTTAATCAAGTAAGTGTCACATGTACGTGTAGTAGTTTCCTGTTTCCGATTCAGGAAGGATATCGATTTAATCACCAAAGGAGTTCGAGCCCCTATCCAGTTGCTGTCCACTATAACGGCAGTTCGGATACTAATCAGGCCTATCGGTAAATGGTTTCGTGTAACTAATTAGGATATAGCCACTACTATTGCGCTTCTAAGCTATTAAAACTGGCATAAAAAAAATCAACATGGCTAATTTGAAGCTTATTTACACCACTGAAAATGGTGTGTTTAAAGCATTACACTAGCCAACACTGGTAGCCTAATTGTGAGAAGGTTTGATTCTTTGATTCAAATATGAGAAACAAAGAAGTGAATAAAGATTAAATTGTGATGCAAGTCTTATACTTGTATTAAAATTGGAGTCTAGTAACTGGTGATATTCACTGCTTGGTAGTGTAGTTGTTGTAGTCTATTTTACGGTAGGTATGTATCGCAAAAAGGTAAAGGTCCCAAGTACGGGATCAATGCCGAAATAATATTTTATGGGTTCTGATCTTCCTTTTTCACATCTTTCTGCTGTTTTTACATTTACACGGGAATTGTGGAACAGGTAATGAGTAAACTTATTGTATATAAACAAAAAGATATTCTAATTGTTCTGCCATGAAGCTTCGAAGTAAATAAGGTTAGAAGAATATTGCCCATTAAGTTAAAAATATGGGTTAAGTACATGTAGCTCTTATACTTTAGGTACTGAGAAACAAGTTTCTCACTATTAAATTACCTTGGGTTTAAACTTTTATAGACCGAACAATCATTTCATAGGCAGGTACAACTTATCATTTACTAATCACAACGTAGAAGGAACGAAAATCCTACTTAGGTAACAAGTTATAAGGTTTAGCTAGAGACCAAACCTTAACATACGCTAGAAAACAACTAGTTATTCTAACAAACGAAACTTCTGTTTGAATACATTCTTCTTAATACAACTTCACACTAATCTCAATTGTAAGGCTAGCCACCACGACTCTGGGCCAATTCTCGATACATCAGTCTAGGCTCTATGACAAAGATCGGCACTATTATCACCCAGAAAACACAGGCAAGCTAATAAGGGGTGTAAGTAAGTATGTACTGTAATCGTGGCATGATGCTGCCTTCTCACACACAACAATAAGCCCCCAAACAAAGAGACCCATAGCTTTTGTCGAATTTGGCAGGTTATCCCCGAGATAATTATGCGATGGAAGCACTCCGGTGTGGACCTGATGCCCGGCAGAAGTTGTGGCCTGGGCTGGCAAGGAAGCCTTAGGCTTGATCCTATTCGCCTTCTGCTCATGCACCCAGACTTCTGCCTCGTCAACCAAACCTGTTTGGCTGTATCTGACAATGGGGGTCGTCCACTGTTCACCGCATGGTATCGCATAAACTCGGAAATGCGAATTTGTCAGGTCGCAGCTGCAGAGGACCACATCCTTCTACGACTGATGGTTTCTGAGTCGCCAAGAATCCTCTCGTTGCCTGCAAGAGGTCAGGGAAGGGAGGTTTAGTGAGTATTTCGTGGAGCCGGGCAAGTTACCTCGGCCGCGAGCTGTTGAACCTAGACAGCCTGCCTTTTGGTGAGGCGTGGAGGTTCCATTAATACGAGATCGATATAGGCCGTCGACGACAGGGTCGAGAACTTAACATACGTATTATATACCCCCCGTTCCCTGGCACAATTCTTTCCATCAGCCTAGCACTCTTTACTACAGAGAGAAGTACAAGTACGAACAGGTACTAATAAGGCGCTTAGGCTAGGCAAACAGATACTACGCCTCGTCTTACCTCTCACACCATCAATCGCCCTTTTCGTTCGTCAGGCTTCAAGAATCAGACAGGGCCTGTCCGTCTTTCAGCCCGACGAGCACTAATGCACAGGCTTGTCCAAAGGGCTGACCCTGTCACGGTTTCGTACTATTCTATTCTATACTAAAGTCTG